GGGGGGGGGGGGGGTGGGGGGGGGTAACGGTAGGAGTGTATGTGTATGTGTATGTGTGTGTGTGGGGGGATAAGGTGGAAGTTTTAGTATATGCTGTTTATGATATATGCTGTTTAGCACAGATTCAATTAATGAAAAACCTCTAGTCTTTTTAATAATAAAAACTTGTTCTTTGTCGCTCTATATATACAAAGTCTAGGCAGGAGAAAATTTATTATGTGAGTTTTGATCTTTCTTGCAATGAGCAATTGATTTTCTGGGTTAATGGAAACGAACCAAAAGAAAAGAGAAAACAGAAATTTAAATTTTTTTTCTATAAATGCACACGACCTGTTGCATACCATACGGGATCCCGATAAGAAAGACCTTGGGAACAAATTTTAATCGTCCAATCACAACAATGCGATCTGTTATTATTGAATTTTTTTTTTTTTTTTTTTCTTTGACAACACGGGTTTGCAATTATTAATAGCGGATTTTTTACTTATTCATGTGGGTTTTTTCTTCAAGTTCCGGGTCTTGAATAGTGGTTGGTTATAGATCTTATCAACTTTATTAAAAACTTTCCCCTCTATTATTTCCTTGGTTGATAATGACTGAGATATAAAAGAAAAAACAAAACAAAAAATACAAACCATTAGCCTAATGTTTCATTGTGGTAATGGTAAATTTAGGATCCGCTGAAAAGGGACGGCGGGGCGGGTCCGGGAACTGCGACATATTACAGTTTAGATTGTTTCTCTCTCAAAGAGACTTTTACTCATCTACATTGTTTCTCGGAAGAGACTTTTACTCATCTACATTGTTCCTTAATTTGGACTCATCTATATTGTTCCTTAATTTGGACTTCTTTTTCTTTCTCTTTAGGGTTTAGTATGCCCTGTAATTTTTGTAATGTGCAATAATTAAAATCCTTGAACTAAAAGTCTTTAATTAAAATCCTTAAACTAAAAGTCATTAAATTATACTATTTCCTAATCAGTTTTCTTTCAGATTGTAACTTTTACATCTTGAATCAGCCTTATCTTTATTATGCATAATCTCTTTTTCTTTTCATTTTGATTCGACATTAGCGAGCAAAGTCCACCATCGAGAGACGCGAGATGGTGTCACTCAAACTAATAGATGACTCAAACTAATAGATCACTCTAGCGGTAGCTACTAAGTACTGCTAGTGGAGCAATATGTAGTGAGTAGTAATTGTCATTCAAGTGTGATACTTGTATCGACCTGTCATCCGTCCGTCTCGTAGATAAATGATGTAAAACGTCCTCTACCAGTATTTTTCGTAATCTCTCTCTCTCTATATACATATATATGAATATATTAATACAGTTGAGTTTTTGATAAGGTGCTCATTTTGACATTGGACATGATTTTTTTTTTCTTTTTCTACAGTACATGGAATCCTTAGTTTTGACACCTTGAGATAATGTAATAAACAAAATATCACATTATTTTTTAGATTGGAAATGCCGAGAAAGACCGACACTATCGAGCAACATTAACCGACACTATCGAGCAACCCTAATCGACGCTATCTTACTTTGCTTGGTAGTGGAGCACCATTTATGAGTGACGCTTACTAGCTTGTTACTCCACTATATCACTTTTCTCGGTAGTGGAGCACCATTTATGAGTGACGCTTACTAGCTTGTTACTCCACTATATCACTTTGCTCGGTAGTGGAGCAGCACTTACTAGCGACGCTTACTAGCTTGTTACTCCACTATCTCGCTTTGCTCGATAGTGGAGCAGCACTGACTAGCTTCCACCGACACTATCTCGCTTTGCTCAAAAGTGGATAGGGATCATACCTCTTCCTCAGTAGATATTATTACCTCAAAACCTTTCAAAATACGGTTAATTTGTCATTTTTTAATTGATACACTGAGGTAACCCTTCCCTTTCTTGAAAAGCTAAATTGGCTTTAGCTCTCATCAATCGAAGGTAATCGCCATTGTCTTGTAAAAGAAAGTTCAAATGATATTCAATGCTCCTTAAATACTCATTCCAGGGGCCCAATCCAATAATCTCTGATAATTTTACTTTTGTCAGCGTCTGCGCACCGTTATTCTTGTACTGATATGCCTTGTCAAGTATCGAATCTCGAAAGTCAAATAACGACTCTTTAATTTCATGAAATTTTTTCCACACCTTCCATTCGAGCTCCTCTTTGTCCAGATCAAAATTCAAAGTCAATTGGGTTAGTTTCAGGGAAAATTCATTTATCATCAGTTCACCAAATGTTTCCAAAATGTCAATTGTATCTTGAACACACTTGAAATACTCATTCAATATATCCTCGTTCTTGATGGTTAGAATTCGTTGAACATCAATTGAACAATTTTGAGCGCTTTCATAGCTTGCAGCTATATCATCTCGAATCTCTTGACGAGTAATAGTTTCAATACAAGAATCATTACTAGCCCTGGTTTTTTCCACATCTTTTTCAATCTGAACAATTTTCCGATTCAAGTCTTTATACTGCAAATGATTTGTTCTTTGCAAATCTTGAAAATCTTGACTAATTCGGGGCTTTAAATGCTCAATAATCTCCTTCAACTTTGGAGCCATTTCTTTTTCAAGATTCCCTTTGGCCAATTCTATTGTTTTCTCAACCTTCTTTTCCCAAATTTGTATTTCGTCAAATATTTCCCTTGACAAAGGGTCAATATCATCGGTAACCAATGCACCATTTTCAAATACGGATATCGTTGATACGATAAGAACCGTTTCTACATCAGCATCATCTTCTCCCTTTTCCCAACCAGCTTCCTCCAGAGTAAATTTTTGGCCCAACATTTCCTTGACAACATTGATCAAACTAGATTTGAATTCTCGAGGGTAAAACTCGTCAAACTTTACCAAACTTTTGAATTCACTTTTAAGAAACGTGGTCTTTTCCTGAAGTTTAACTGCCTGAGATGATTGAACCAACTTGTCATAAATCTCTTCAATTTTGTTGCAAAACCGGTCTATGTATGGGACACTTTTCGCCAATGATACGATATATCCCACTCGTTTCGAAGTTGCATGCGAGAAATTGCTAGCATTTGAAGCAATTACTTTGAACCATACACTCATCTTCAGAAAGCACACCTTGGCCAATATATTGAAATATTTATCCACAAACAATTCAAACTTGGTGATACTTGTATTCAAAGCACTGTATATCCTTTGCAACCCTGCATTAATTCCGTACTTTGATTCAAATAATGGTCTGATGATGTCCAATTTATGGCTCAAGTCCAATTTCTCGTCAAGCTCAACTAATTGAGGTCTTATATTCACCTCATAAATAGGCTGCACATATGGTCTCAATACCGTATCACTCAATTTGCAAAAATGACAATTCACAGGTGATAACTTGTTGAAATCTGCGGTTTGATGCGTCGGTGGACAAACATAAGTCCATGCGTATATGAGATACGTGACCACGACCAAAAGAGCCCATTTGATTTGGGACGTCATGTCATAAATCTCAATTACAAATCAAACCCGTGTGTCAAATATCCGAAAGACAAATCAAGAGTGATTCTTACACCTTATTGATATTTACAAGAAGAAATATAGTGCAATGTTTTTTTGTTTGTTTGTTTGTTTTTTTTTTTTTTTGTGTTGTGTTTGTGATTATAGAATATACGGGTTGGTGATTTCTATCTCTCTTTTCTTTTTGGACCTACAGTAGCACTTTACATTGATTGACACTATCGAGCAGAGCGAGATAGTGGAGCACTCACATGGGTTTGAAGGTAAGCAGAGATGTCGAAGCAGAGATGTCGAAGCAGAGATGTCGAAGCAGAGATGTCACCAAGCAGAGAGGTCACTAAGCAGAGGCGCTAGTCTCTGTTGAAAAGACAAAAGAGTCAATTTTTGTAGAGACGCTAGCCTCTGTTGAAAGGACAAAAGAGTCAATTTTTGTAGAGACGCTAGCCTCTGTTGAAAAGATAAAAGAGCCATTATTTCCAGAGGTGCTAGCCTCTGTAGAAAAGACAAAAAAGCCATTCTTTTTCTTAGCAAAGTAGACAGAGCAATCAGAGAAAGCAGAGCCATTCTTTCCATCAGCAGAGGTGCCAGCCTCTGCAGTTGCAAGCAGAGACATTCTTTTTCTCAGCAGAGGCTGGCGCCTCTGCAATTACAGGCAAAGCTATTCTTTTTCTCAGCAGAGGCTGGCGACTCTGCAGCAATGTGATAACGTATCTTGAACAACAAGAGTTTCCTTTGTGTAATTGCAAATAGAAGGCTCATCATTGGTCCATTTGACAAAAGACTACATAGTCACAATGTAACACCAACTGAAAAATTCTCTAGAATATTTGCCACTTGATGTTTTAGTCATCCGAAAGAATGTCCACTACAGCCGTATTTCAGAAAAAAAAAAAAAGAGGATTCTGCTCAAGATGTCCTGGAAAACTTGAAAAATAGGATTTTGCTCAAGATGTCCTAGAAAACACTTCCATTGTCAGCTCTACTCTCTCCACTGTCTACATATTACAAGGCATTGAATTAAACATGATACTATTTATATAGATATTCCGCTATGTACGATTACACACTTGTCATAAAACCAAAAAAACCAAAATACCATCAAGTCAGCACCAACAAAATACCATCAAGTCAGCACCAGGTAACAAGGTACAAAGTGTTTCTCCACTATCTCGCTCTGCTCGATAGTATCGCTCGCTCGATAGTGTCGCACCAACTAAAAAAATTAATCTTTTTTCAATTTTCCATAGACAAACTCGTTAGCTTGTTTGAAAAATTGGCTCAATTGATCATAAGATTTGGCCTCTACAGAGTCAGTAAACTCATACAAGTCATAAATCCTTGGATACACATAAGTCTTGAACTTATCTTGAGCACATAAAAATTTATCATGGATCTTGTACTTGATGAAAAGTGGGTGTGAATGAACGTGTTCATCCAAAAAGGTGTGGGCCTTAAACACATAAGGTTCAACCTTGTTTACGCCACCATGTAATAAGTCGCAAAGAACCGAATGTTGAGAACTCAATGGATGTAAAACCTTGTTTTCGATTTTCTCGATAGGCGTTAAAGAAGGACACTTGTAATTGTACAAATATGATGTATAAAATACAATCAATCCAAATATGAATGTTCTGATGTTGAGTAAAACCATAATTTAAGTCGTGGGTTGAAGATCAAATCGAGGTCTTGAATATTTTGATTAACAAGAAGAAGTAAGAGTGTGATATAACATCTCAATAGGTGAAAAAAAGAATTTTCTGTTTTATAAACACAGGTAATATATATTGTCGCAAACGGAAAAAAAAAACATATAAAATTAGACACGTACAAATGTAGTATACGTCTATATCCATGTAAACTAGAGGGAAGCAAGCCAAACCGTTGGGTATATCTACATGGTGGAAAAAACAACATTCACTTGATCTAAAATAAAACTCGAGAGATGTCGTAGTGTATTTGTTGAAACGTGCATAATAACGGCGATCCTTAAGTTAGAGCAGAAAAGGGTCACCCACGAGTCCTTTGTAGAGTGCAAAGAAAAAAAATTTAGAGAGAACATTATCACTATCGAGCGAAGCGAGATAGTGGAGCAACACTAGCTGCCACCGACACTGACTAACATAGCTGCCACCAACACTGACTGACACTAGCTGCCACCATCACTATCGACACTAGCTGCCACCATGACTATCGACACTAGCTGCCACCATGACTATCGACACTAGCTGCCACCATGACTATCGACACTAGCTGCCACCATGACTATCGACACTAGCTGCCACCATGACTATCGACACTAGCTGCCACCATCACTATCGACACTAGCTGCCACCATCACTATCGACACTAGGTATCAAGGTACAAAGTGTTTCTCCACTGTTTCGCTTCGCTCGATAGTGTCGATAGTGTCGACATGAGAAAATCAAAGATTACAGGAGAATATGAAAATCAAATGTTCAATCCACCTACCCCATTTCATTTAATTTACTTTTTTTCAATTTAGTTTCACATGTGTCGGTAATCAGTGTGCGCCCTGACACTGATCACGTTTATTTCACGTGAAACTTATATATCTATTGTGTGTTTGTGTAACGCGACTTTTCTTTTGCCCAAAAGAGACTATTTATTTTCTAACTTGCCAAATTAAGTAATATTGCAAAATTTACGATATGTTTACCCTGCTAGGAAGATGAAGAGATATGGGAGCCCCAAAAAAAAAAAAAAACGCGGAATCTTGAGACTTGTAAATATGCCAAAGTTTAACTTAAAGGGAATAAAGATTTCAATTCAAGGTTGAGTTTTCTTGGTTCATTTTAATTTTATTTTTATTTTTTTTTTGGTAGGAAATCATTAGATCTAGAAATTATTCTTTCGTCGTCTATGTCTGTTGTTAGCCCATCGATATTGCGTATTCAGGAGAAATTTGAACCAAAAAGAAATAGCACAGACGGGATTCTTGTTTCAACTCTGCAAAACAAAATAAACCAATCAGCTAGTAAACCGGTAAAGGGCAAATACAAGGACAATGATATTCCAAAGATTCCGCAAATTCAGGCTCACGTTACTCCAAGGCAATCATCACCATTAATGAAAACGAAAACGGAATCGTCATCAACAACATCATCAGCAACAGCAATAACAACTACATCAAACAAATCGACTTCAACACTAATTTCAAAGTTACAGCTAAAGCGAATAAAATTACATGAGCAATATTTGGTCAAACAAGCACGTATAAAGAGACTCCAGGAAGAACTCGATTTGCAAAAACATGAGTTGCTAGAACTCGAAATTGAGATTGAAGACGTTAATAGACAAGAGATTGCTCTAAATAACCAATCAAGCCCATCAAAACAAAACATATACAAACAGGCTTTTTTACAAACAGAGAAAGATCTAAAAAACTTGAAAGTCCAAGATAACATAAAGTCTACTACTTATGCACCTCCAGCTCCTTTATTTAGCCCCTTAAAGAAACAAGCATCCTTCATAATGTCTCAAGCAATGGACGAATGCGCTAGTGTAACAAAGAAAGCCTCAGCTATTTTTGATAGTCAGCTTGTCAAACAATCAAATGCCAACTTGGATAGCTTAACTAGACAAACTAGTCAATTTTTCACCAGCATATTTAAAGATCCCAAACAGCCGCAGAAAAGGGACCGAATGGATATTCTTTTCGATGTAGAGAATCTAGAAAGCGCCCATGTCATACATGACAACGACATTGTAGATATAGACAATTACGACTCATCATTATCTGAATAAAAACAGTACATCTAAATCTGAATCTATCTATAAATCATCAACATTTGCCTTCAAACTTTTCTATTTTTTATTAAATTCACCTTTAATCTTCTTCCAATAACCATCCTTGAGCTCTTTCAATTGCTCTTTCCCACCTCTTCCAGTTTCTTCTCCTATCAGCATCAGGTAATTCCGCATGGAACGTATTTGTCAACACTTGCTCCTTACTTGTTATCTTTTCAACAACATCGTCTAGATCTTTCCATACACGATCTTCTTCATCTTTGAAAGATAAACCCGCAGCAATAGCAGCACCCAATGCTGTACACTCGGCAATTTGGGCTCTCTTCACTGTAACGCATGGCCCTAAAATATCAGCTTGAATTTGCAAAACTTCATCGGCTTTAGACATACCTCCATCAGTTGCCAAATGCGACAATGGACGACTCTCGGCTTGCAGAGTTAAAGCTTCTTCTAAGAAATCACCAGACGCACCAGCATCAGAAGCCATAGCCTTTAGAATAGCCCTTACTTGAAAGCAAACACCTTCCAAAGCAGCTCGTGCTATGTGAGAAGCAGAAGTATACTGTGTCATGCCAAAAATGGTTCCTCTAGCACCTCTATCCCAGTACGGAGCATATAATCCACTAAATGCTGGAATAAAGACAACTCCACCAGAATTTTCAACTTGAGAGGCCAAGGGTCCAATATCCTTGGCATTTTCAATCATCTTCAAGTTATCTCTAAGCCACTGTATGATAGATCCAGCAACTGCAATTGAACCTTCTAATGCGTAACAAGGCTTAGCGGCATCGCCCTTTAGTGTGGGGAACCAATAACCAAAAGTGGTTAAAGCTCCATGGCTACTAATTAATTTACGGACCCCCGTGTTGTATAAAAGAAAGCAACCCGTACCATATGTACATTTAGCAGCTCCAGGATTAAATGCAAGTTGTCCCACTAGAGAAGCACTTTGATCACCTAAACAACCACAAATGGGAACCCCAGTAATTGTTTTCAAAATATCATAAGCTTCCTGAGTGATCTTGTTATGGAACCCTAAATTCGACAAGTTTGGTGCTGCAAAAGATCCATAAAATTCAGAAGACGACACAATTTTTGGTAATCTAATTTTTGTTGGATCAACACCCCAAAAGTTTAACAAATCATCGTCGTAATCTTGTGTATCTAAGTTCATGAAATACGTCCTTGAGGCATTGGTTATATCAGTAACAAAGTTTCTCTCCTTTGTCAAATGATAAATCAACCAAGTATCAACAGTTCCAAACATGAGGTTACCGTCACCCTTTTCATATTCCTCTCTTATCGTGTCATCGTTATCCAAAAGCCATCTCAACTTTGCCGCTGAGAAATACGTCGACAAGGGCAATCCAGTTTTCACTTTCAATTCTTCTTTTCTATCCTCGTCGACCATTTTTTCCAAATGCTGAACAATTTCCGCTGTTCTTGTGTCGGTCCATGTGATACCTCCACTCAACGGTTTTCCCGTCTTTCTTGACCAAACGAGTGTAGTTTCCCTCATATTCGCAATACCAATACATTTGACCTTATACTTGACTTTCAAATTTGGATTTTGGTTAATTTTCCTCAAAGTAATGAGACAGGCAACTAAACATTGCACTGCGTTGGCCAAAATGTGTACGGGCATACACTCGACCCAGCCTGGCTGGGGGAACCTCAAAGTGGGACCCACTGAGGATTGGTTATTTTCAATGGCAACATCATCAGTGATGGAGATGGCGACACCCTCTGCTGAAAAAATCGGTTCATTGTGTCGTAAAAGGGAGGACCTCCTCCTAAATTGATCGGTATTTTGTGAGTTTTCGGGCGCTTCTGACGCTGTAGTGGAGTATTCTATATGATGCTTTGCTACTTCTTGCCCCTCTTGTGAAAATAAAATTGCTCTAGCTGATGTTGTACCAATGTCGATGGTGGCTACCAATGGAATCGAGGGGGCATGACTGTTTCGACGAGGCATATCTAGAACTGAGTGCAGAAAGCAAAGCTTAGGGGCTTATGAACAAATACTCAAAGAAACTTACACGAGCCAGTGAAAAATAAATTAGCCAGAAACAAAAATTAGTTGAAAAATTAAACTATGTATAAAGAGAAAGTTATATAAGAGAAACTATATATAAGAGAAGTACGTATAAAAGAAGGTATATTATTAAAGAATGTATAGAAAGAATGTATGTGTAAAAGTATCTATATGAAATTTGAAAGAAAAAGAAACAAACAATGTATTATGTATGTATAGACACACAATTTAATCATTTTTTACCAAATGCGTATAATTGTTCCTATTGCGTATATTTGTTCTTATATTTAATAAAAGTAAATTGATGATGTCAAATAGACCACGTCTTACACAACCAGGACTTATTAGGTGCTACCTTCATTTAACTGCACAGCAACACCATCGACTGACACTATTGAGCAGAGCGAGTTAGTGGGGCACAATAGTAACACTATCGCAATATTATCAATATTATACTACTGCCATTTTTTTTCTTGTCCCCACCATGAGTTAGTCGCACCTTTTTTCCTTTTTCCCAAACTCCGAAATTGCGCTCGGGATTCCTGAACAAGGGGCTATTCTTCATGACACTAGTGAGCCACTATCAAGCAGCAACACTATCGAGCAAAGCGAGATAGTGTTGCAACAAGCTAGTAAGTATGACTTCATAGCAACACTATTGAGCAAAGCGAGATAGTGTTGTAACAAGCTAATAAGTATGACTCCACTACCCTCACTACATTTTCACTACAATCATTGTGTCTTCTCACTATATCTTCACTACAATCACTGTGTCTTCTCACTATATCTTCACTACAATCACTGTAATCCAATCACTACACCTTCTCTCTATCTAGCTCTGCTCGATAGTGGAGCAACACTAGCTGCAACCAACAGAAGTACTAGCGCACTTTATTTTTCTTTTTTTTTTTTGTGGGGTATAATTTAAAGGACCAACACACGGGTGTTGCAGACTTAGCTCCGATGGTTGCAAACTTAGCTCCGATTAGCAGTCCAAGAAATAAATTAATCAATATTCTCCACTATCGAGCAAAGCGAGATAGTGTTGAATCAGTGAATTTTTCCTCTTTGTAAGTCGAGTAAGCTTGTACTTCTTCCTGCTGCAGAATGACAAATCACTCTGCAATGAAAACCAACCCTTGATCGTCAGTGCTACTCCACTATCGAGCGAAGCGAGATAGTGCCAATGAGATAGTCAGTATTGCTCCACTAGTTCGCTTCGCTCGATAGCATTGGTGGCAGCTAGTGTACTCCACTACCGAGCGAAGCGAGATAGTGCCAATGAGATAGTCAGTATTGCTCCACTAGTTCGCTTCGCTCGATAGCATTGGTGGCAGCTAGTGTACTCCACTACCGAGCGAAGCGAGATAGTGCCAATGAGATAGTCAGTATTGCTCCACTAGTTCGCTTCGCTCGATAGCATTGGTGGCAGCTAGTGTACTCCACTACCGAGCGAAGCGAGATAGTGCCAATGAGATAGTCAGTATTGCTCCACTAGTTCGCTTCGCTCGATAGCATTGGTGGCAGCTAGTGTACTCCACAAGCTCGCTTCGCTCCCTAATGGTTCCATAGGGTTCCCTAGTGGAAAGAAAAAAAAAAAGAAGCTATTCTATTTTGTATCACACGTAATATATACTCCTCTCTTCTTTGCGTTTTTCTTTTCTCCTTTCTATTCTGATGCACTACAATCTTCTAAATCGAGAGAGTAGTCAATATTAAACGGATCGTTATCATCAATATTATTAATACCACCATCCACCTCATTTTCAATTTCGGCATAATCGTCTAGCCAGCGACAATTCTGATTGAGCAAATGTCTATACTCTTTCACCCATTCATCCATCTCAACCGGCTCAAATATTTTAGTTTTACTCAAGATATTGAAAATGTATACGCAATACTTGATGAGTGAATAAAGACCCCTTAAATAACCGTGATCTACACTATGGGGATGGGCAGGAGGTATATTAGCATTCTCTTTTTCTTCTTCTGAAATAACAGATTGTGCAAAATCTATGATTTTCACTTTAGCCTGATCATAATTAGACTTTGAGCCGCCTTCGTAAACCAACAAAATCAGCGATCCATACATTCTGTAACCGGGAAGCTCATCAAAGATACTATACAATTCCCTGAATTGTCTTATCAAGTTGGGCACACGAAACAATATCGAATATATGTCCTTTCCATTGTATAAAAATTTTGCCAAAATTTTGCAAAATTGAATGCCTACCCGTATTCTTCTGCCGAAATACTTGTCTCTTGCTATCTTGTGATTGTCATGCGTGAATGTTTGTAATCCACAAATACGCACGCCTAATTGCTTCGACGTCGTAGTTTGACACTTGTGTCTCTGTGATTTTTGTTTTTTCAAACTTGCCTCAATTCCATATTGTCTTGTGCCCATTTTCAAATCCAACACACAGGGTTTCTTCATGTTGCTTGTTAAATCTTCCAATAAAATAAACCGTTCAAATTTGGTATGCTTTCGAAGCAACGAATTGGATGCTATTGTTGCAGGTGCCGTTGCAGATGCCGCCATCGATTCTGCTGCAGCTGCCGACGCAGAGGTATGTAATGACTGACGTGAGGGAGCTTGGTGACTATGCGCAAAACGAGTGAAATGAACTTGTCCATACAGGGGTTTCAAATGTTTACCTTTATCTTCTTCCTCTTCCCCTTTTTCCATTTCAAAAATGTCTTTACTCAGATATTTGAGCTCTGGTTGGAATACCTCTTGGAGTACTTGAACTTGGAGGTCAGTGTTGATTGATGTAGACCCTTGATTCGGACGCTGCACCGGGGAAGTAGTTAAGCTTGAAATAGGACTCGTCATTGTGCTTCCAAAAGATGCATATTTAGGAGACGGAAACGAACTTGGATATTGTTTCCAAAAAGTATCAGGAATGATGTGCATGTTATCGTCAAGAACAACCTCAGGCTGAATATTTCCCGACCGCCTTCGATGCTTCCTTTTCTGTTCTGCAAACACATGATCCCCTTCATCCCCTTCATCCCCTCCGTCTCTTCCACTAACTTCATCAACCTCATTCTGCTCAAAATCCTTTTCGCTAATGAGGCTCGAATATCGCACATTCAAAACACCAATATATTTTGGCATGAATTTTAAAAGTTTGGGATGTTGGAGTTCAATAGTTTCGTAAAATATATTTTCCCTATTAACTAGCGCCTTGCAAACAGCTTGTTTCGAAAATGAAAATATTGCAGTGTGCCCGCCCACTTTATTTTTAAAAGGCCTTAACTCGACAGCTAGTGGGAACTGCGACTCTTCGTCAGTATCATCATCGCCATGACTCCAACTCCGATCTAGTAAATTTTCAGGTTCGACACCACCAGCAACAAAATGCTCATCTAATTTCAATGCATCTCTTTCTCTTAGATCAACTGGCGATGAAGCTCTAGAGATCTTGATGATCTTTTGAATCATTTCCGTTTCTTTTCTTCGTTCACTCAATTTATCAACTATTAAATCATTGCTATTCAAAATCGTTGAAATACTAGTTATATTACCAACCAAACTGTGGTCAAACTCCAAATTTGCCGTCAAATGTTGTGGTTTTGCTGCTGGAGCTGGGGGGTTTGCAAGTTCTTGCATCTCCTTGGTTAGTGCTATATCCAATCTATCATGCAATTTTTCAGAGTTGGCTGGTGTGTGTGGAATATACGTTGCTGAGGAAATAGGTTCTATATCCATTCCGTCGCCAAGGAATTTTTCCTTGATGGGGCTAGTCAATTCTAACCTGGCACCTTCAACTGCATTGTTATCTGTATCTTCATCTTCGTCATCTGTCTCTCTAAAGATTCTCAATGATCTTGCAGCTTTTCTCCCCGTAAGACGGTTAGGGTTGGAGTTTGTATCTCCATTTACCGCGGCAGTAGCAGCAGCAGCAGCAGTAGTAGCAGCAGTAGTAGCAGTAGTAGCAGCAGCAGCAGTAGCAGCAGCAGGTGGTGGTGATGCTATTGCTTCTTGAGCAGTTTCTGATGAAACAATTTCTAAGCTTTTGTTTCCAGAACCTACGTATTCAGTAAATGCGACGCTCTTTTGAACAGGAGATACCTTGTGAAAGGACATTTCTGGATGATGTAGTGGCTTGTCCTCCATTGTTTTTGGTTGCGTTATTTTTGGTGTTATTTTTGGTGTTTTCTTTGATGTTGTTGTTATTTTTCTCAAGTTTTGGTCATCAAGTTGATCCAATCTTCCGCTCAGAGTATTAGACGCAGAAACTGAGTTGGTAACTTCCATATTGGTGATTTATGCATGTATGATACGTGTATTAATGATAAATGATCGACTGCCTCAAAAACGTCTACAGATGAATGACTTACTTGGTAGAACTGGTAACAAGATAATCTCAATTTAATGATTTTCTCTTTTTATTTTTCGTTTAACAAAATCTCAAAAAGGGTGGAAAAAGTAAGAAAATTGAAGAAAACGGTTCAAGTTTGATGTTCCTGTCCTCTTGTAAAGCAAAGGGGAAAAAGAGAAGAGCCGATTTACGGGCGAGGAAGAATACTTGAGTGAATATAAGACGGCTACTTTGAGATTGTATAAAATTATGGCATCTAGAGGTGTAACTTTTGCAATAATTACATATAATAGTGGAAATTTTTTTAAAGCCTTTGGGGAAAAAAAATCTAAAGTTGATAACAAAATGTGTGTTTTAGTGAAAGGAAACAGATTAAAAACGAAGCAATCTTTTGTATTTTCTGAGAGAATTACAAAGAAAGCAACCAGACCCGTGTGTTAGAAAGCAACCAGACCTGTGTGTTAGAAAGCAATTCTTGAATGAGTAGAAAATAGAGAAAAGCGTTCCAACGGTGCTAACTTTATCATTGATTTGGGTGATTTTCCACAGGATTTTTAAATCGAAATGTCTTGTTTTTTTTTTTTTTACTCAAACATCTCTAGTAACATCTCTAGACAAAATGAAAATGCCAGTATTATATTTGAAAATAATATGCACTACTATCCCCCGTGTGAACATCACTGTTGTCCTTCTTGCAGACTCTTTGAAAGAGGCCACATGTCTACTTTTCTTCTTTTATCATGAAAAACGTGGGGATTTAGCAAATCGCGCTACCACGTGTTCGGGACTAGCGAGGAAAGCGAGCTAGTGAGGCAGCATTGATGGATTTGACTAGCGAGTGGAGCAGCACTGATGGATCTGACTACCGAGTGGAGCAGCACTGATGGATTTGACTAGCTCGTTTTACTCGCTAGTAAAGCAGCACTGACGGGTCATGCATTTTCCCATTGTGAGACAAAATTTGTTTGTAACAAACAGATGGTCATTTTACACATTGTTGTTACATACTAGATTGAATTGCGGCGTGTATCACCACTAAACTTTTCCGTTTAGCAAGACCAAATTTGAAAACTAAAGTTTCACTCCTTACTGCTGCTTTACTCTTCACTGCACTTTGGTATTTGACTTGGTATTCAACAAACTTCAATACCACTTACATTGTCACATTTCTTTAATTCTCACTCTCCCTCGGAAACAATCCTCTTCTTTTCTATTCTCTTCTCCTTAAAGGCTTTCCTCTTCTTCTATTTTCCTCTTTTTTTTTTTTTTTCGAATTTTCTTTTTTTTTTGGGTGCAAAAAGAAAATTCGCACTAGCCTCAGCTATAGATGGGTATGAGCCAAGGCGTAAAATATGTGCCTTATGGTATTCTATCCAGGAGTTAAGCCACAACTAATAGAAGGTAAATAACACTATATGCTTCAAAAATGAACCAAATATACAATTAAAGGAGACAGTGTCTTTTTCAAAAACCAATAAAATCAAGTTTCTTTGATCAAAGAGCCAATAAGTTTTCTCGGCAGTTAAATTTTTGTTTCTTTTTTCAACAAAAACTCATTTTACTTTTTTTGTCCAACTAAGTCTTCTCCCAGATGATGTGTGATACATGTTCGCTGCCAAGCTATTTGCTCTCGTATTGGTAATCATATGTGCAAAATATGGTACAGTAGGGTTGGTAAAACTTTACAATCCAATAGGCGCTACTAGTGATTATGAGAATTGCTATATATATCGCGATAATAGTCACCTTAAGTCATTCTTGAAAACCAACCATTCTCAATATCAAACCGGGGATCTATGCATTAAAAAGGGGTCCACAACAACAACAACAACAACAACTTCCAAGGTAAATGCGACTTTTCTCGTTTTATGCCGCAATTTAGAAGTATACCTGTTATTAGAGACAATTCAATCAATTGAAGATCGGTTTAATCAAAAATTTCACTATGATTATACATTCTTAAATGATGAGCCATTCACAGATGAATTCATATACTTGATAAGCACATATATCCCTCAAGGCAAAATCAATTTTGGGATCATCCCCCCAGAACACTGGTCATATCCGGATCATATAAATACTACTGCATGTTCAGAAATACGAGCAAACTTTGCTGATGTGCCTTATGGAGATTCTGAGTCATATAGGCACATGTGCCGGTTTTTTTCCGGTTTCTTTTACAAGCAGCCAATGGTAAGGCAGTACGAGTACTATTGGAGAATAGAGCCGGGCATCAAGTTGCACTGTGACGTGAATCAAGATGTTTTCAGATTTATGAAGGAGAATGATAAAAAATATGGCTTTGCTATTTCCTTATTTGAATATTCAGAGACAATCCCTAGCTTGTGGTCATTTGTCATTGATTACATATCGAAACAAAAATCAAGTCGTCCTGAATTGCTACCTATGCTACAGAATGGGTTTGGATGGTATAATCTATGTCATTTCTGGTCTAATTTCGAAATAGCAAGGGTCGACGTTTTCGACAATTATGAGTATGAACAGTTTTTTCAGTACCTCGATTCAAAGGAGGGGTTTTATTACGAGAGATGGGGGGACGCGCCGATCCATACAATTGGGATTTGTCTATTTCTCAAAAAACAAGATATTCACTGGTTTGATAATTTAGGATACTATCATCCACCTTATTTACAATGCCCGCAAGATCCTGAATCTTATATAAACAACAAGTGCACATGCGACCCTGACGATGATATCAATTCAAATGAGAACTTGAGTTGTACGAACCATTTTCTACGCATTCTCAATAGCTAAAAAGGACAAGGAGGTTTCTTGGTTTATGACCCATACTATATAGAGTAATAGAAGAACGGTTTTTTTTTCTTCTTTTTTTTTTGCGCTCCCAAATGACTATTTATTTTGAACACTGAAAAGTAAGAGAGGAAAAACCAATTGGGACTTTGTATATATGAAAGGTTAACCCTTTAGTATTAAAGCCCAACCCTTTTGTATTAAGGTCGTTGTATATATAAAAGCTTAACTCTTTTGTATTAAAGCCGTTGTTGTTGTATAAAGTGAAGATCATGGCGATTCAATTTTTGTTTCTTATATCAAGACAAGGTAAAACGAGATTATCAAAATGGTATCAAACCATGTCTCAGAAACAGAAATGCAAAATTATAAGAGAGTTATCAACAATAATTCTCTCAAGAAGGGCCAAAATGTGTAATGTATTAGAGTACAGAGATTCAAAGGTCATTTATCGTCGATACGCGTCCTTGTTTTTTGTGATTGGCGTAGATAATGATGATAACGAGCTAATTGGACTAGAGGTTATACACCGGTTTGTGGAACAAATGGATAAAATATACGGAAACGTTTGTGAGTTGGATATTATATTTGGTTTCGATAAGGCGTACCATGTCCTAGACGAGTTATTGATCGATGGTCATATACAAGAGAGCTCTAAAAAGGAAGTTTTGAAACGAGTTACTCAACAAGACGAATTAGAGAACATGGATGAGTTTGAGAAAATACTAGCTTAGTACAAGAATTTGGAATTTTTTTCTTCTTTTATTGATTTCAACATGAACCCTTGGTGTGTGTATATTGTCGATATAGTCAGTGTGCTCCACTATCTCGCTCTGCTCGATAGTGTCTGTGTGAAGCTTCTACTTTTATCTCTCTTTATCTTCGACAAAGTGTGTTGACGAGATTAAGTTTCTACCCATAAGATTGTTTTTTTTTTTAATTTTTCATTTTGATATCAAAATCGTCCTCTTTTGAGCCCCTCTCTTCTCCATTCCTTCCTTTCTTTCGAGTGGCACTCTCTCACATTCATCCCAGGTTTAGTATTTGCAAGATAAGGTTAGATAATGAATAATAGTGATTCTACATAACATTTGGTAGCACTGGAAAAACATTTGAGCTTCTCATCTCATCTCATCTCATCTCAATTCCATTTTCATTAATTTGAAAATCTAATCTTTACTTCAACAAGCAGGTTCAAATAGAGCTTCTCTTTTTCTTTTATTACAAAATGATAAGAAAACAGGCCAGGGAAAGGAGAGAATACCTATACAGGAAAGCTTTACAGCTACAGGAAGCTTCGCTAACGGAGAAACGTCAGCGGCTCAAAGCGGCATTAGCGCTGGGAAAACCTGTTTCGAAAGAGTTGGCAGATGATGACAAGTTACAACGAGATTTCATTTATGACCAGAGTGTGCAAGATCAATTAGAAATTGATGACGAATATAGTGCTTTATCGGGGATTTCCGATCCCAAAGTTATTATAACAACTTCGAGAGACCCAAGTATTCGATTATTACAGTTTTCTAAGGAAATTAAGCTTATGTTCCCCAATAGTTTAAAATTAAACCGTGGTAACTATATCATTAATGATTTGGTGAAAACGTGTACAAGAGTGCAAGTATCTGATTTAATAGTATTGCATGAACACAGAGGTGTCCCAACATCGCTAACAATTAGCCATTTCCCTCACGGACCAACAGCTATATTCACTCTACATAACGTTAAGCTTAGACACGATTTGCCCAATTTGGGTAACATTAGTGAATCTTACCCACACTTGATTTTCGAAAATTTCAACAGTGCTTTGGGGAAAAGGGTGGTGAAGATTTTGCAACATTTATTTCCACCTGGTGTAAAGAAGGATTCTTCAAGGGTTATCACTTTTGTTAACAATGACGATTTCATAAGTGTGAGACATCACGTATATGTGAGAACCAAAGATAGCATAGAAATCAGTGAAATAGGACCAAGGTTCGAAATGAAATTATATGAAATTAGGTTGGGATTGCCTGATAATAAGGACGCCGATGTAGAGTGGCAAGTCAGAAGATTCATTCGTACTGCCAACAGGAAAAACTATCTATAGAACTATAGAAAGGAAGGTGTGTGGTACAGAGGGGCGGAAGGGAATGGAATAAGTAGAAGGCAGTAAAAGCTTTTTTTATGTTTTCTCTATACATTATTATCCATAACAGTTACATGATATCTTGGGTCACTTGAATCGAACAAATGACTTTGCCCACGCAACTCATTCAAACTCTCACTAGTGGAACGTCTCGGTCCCTTTCGTTTATCTATAAAATCGTTAACATTAGTTAAAACTCTTCCCAAAAGGTTCTGGCCTCCATCGAGAGGGCCAGCGGTCAATGTAGCCACACGGCCCAAAGTCCCCGTTCTTTCCAAAGTGTGATGTCTATTGATGGCATGATTTTCTTGCAACTTATCATATTTTTTCATCTCGGCATCAGGTAACATTATAGCTCGATCTATCGCATATGGTAAGCCTCTATGCCTTCCTCGAATCATCATGGCTATAATCACAAGCTTAGAAATAACATTGAACTTCCCACTTAACGAGGTGTTTACATCTGAATAACCAAGTGACATCCCAACAGTACCATAAGCACTAATGATTTCAAAAAGTATGGGGAAAATTTGGAAACGCAAATCTTGTTTTTGTAACTTCTTCCCCTCTGCGATACAAATTATAAATAAACCAAGGAAAATATACCACAAATCGTATGAGAGCTGGTTACGTAAATGGGCACCAACATAATTTGATGGTGCTTCTTCATCGGCTTCTTTTTTCCCCTCTTCTGGTGCGTAAACACCTAAACTTTGCTCTTCATAAACATTGGTCCTTCTCACTGATATGGCAATTGGAAGAACGGAGATATACATCATGATCAAGTAACTAACAAGTGTAGCCCCGTGCAATTGCGACAAATCCATGATTGAAAACCCCGCTGTTCTAGTGCAAAAGGCTTGATACAATCCGTTCAAGACTCTATATCCCATTGGAATACCATCAAACATTGCATTTTTCAAATCCAAAATGCAAAAAATAACTAAATCAAACCCGTTGAGTACCACCAAAATGAAAAACAACCACCATGTAGGAACCAGCGGGAACAACAATGTGAAACAACGACGTGGATGGTCCAATAGAAACCCTAAAGATTCCTTGTATAAAGATAAGGGTTTTGCAACTTTGAACATTACCCATATTATGAACCGAAGAAAGACAGGAAACCCAGTGTTACCAATAACAATCAAAAACGAGCTTATCACCTGGACAAATGCATTTTGATTGAATGAGTTCATCGAGTTTGCTGTTAGTGTAAATCCCAAGTCATTGAAAGAAGAGTTTGCGGTAAAGAAAGCCCACCATCCAGGTACTATAGCCTGATTATTTAACATGCTTCTATAATTGGGCATACAGTAAACCCAAATCAAAAACATGATTGCAGATACCAAATGAAACCCGATATAGTACGTCACAATAATCTTGATTAACAACTTTACGGCTCTGTACTCAATTCCGCCTAGTTCCTCCTTCTGCTCTTCAGTCATTTTGATAAAAGTGGAGTTTCTTCCAACTGTTGGAGTCCAGGATAAATAATTCCCGCTCATAGTCCTGGAAAGCCCATTTGTCGAGGTAGTGACTGCATCCGACTCATTGCTGTGAACATTGCTAAGCGATCCTTCTTGATGTGACTGAGATATGGATAAACTTGGTGTCATGATTCTTCGAATGTCAAAGTGTTTCTTGTTGTTGTTGTTGTTGTTGTGATTTTTCTTCTTCTTCTTCTTCGTTCTCCTATGAGCACTTGGTCTTATTGCTTCATTTTCGTCAAAAATAATCTTGCTATTTCTCTTTACTTCTTGATCTTTATTAGAATTAAAACCCCGCGGCTCGGGCAAAGTAAATACTGATGCGTTTGCGCGTGCATGTGGAAGTCGCGACTCATCTTCTTCATCATTTTCATCATAATATGCATTATTTTCAGTGTCCTCATTATCGGTCACCACCGCATTTTCATGATCATTTTCATTCTTAAAATCAAAATCGGATCCTCCTCCTTCGTCATCAGCATCATCCTCAGAATGAAAAGGCCCGTTATGTTCTGAATCAATTGACTCATCGTCATCATCGTCATCATCGTCATCATCATCATCATCTTCTTCTTCTTCATCGTCAAAGTCGCTAGACATACCAGAAAATCTTCTCATGGTAAATGACTTTTTCAACTTGTGAGTCCATGGACTATAATGTTTCGTGGCATTAGCGCCTCCTTGCAACCACTTTCTTTTTTTCAAAGGTTCTCTAAACTGTAACAGATGAGGACTTGGTTTTTTGGTAAAAATCTCTTTATGGCTGTCGGAATTTTCAACCTCATTCGGCGGTTTGATCACAAGTATATCATCATCTTCCTCTCCCTCTCCTTCATCGTCATCATCTTCATTGTTGTTGTTATTATTGTTATTATTATTATTATTATTATTAGTAGTAGTAGTATTGTTATTGTCATTATTGTCATTATCAAGGTGCCTGTTTCTATAGTGATGGGGACCGGTTTGGCGATCTATATTAGTATTGTTGTCGTTGTTATGACCAAAGGATCGTCGACTTCTTGTTGGTGAGCTTATATTTAAGAATTGTATACTATTCTTATTCTTTTTATGTTTTTCTTCCTCCTTTAGCATGTTTATTGATCTCAACATATCTTCTGGATCAACTGACTTTCGCCTCCGTGGATGTGGTAAAGCACCAAACTTAATGCCGTGGGCTTGAGCCTGATTCTTTTCAAAACCCAGGTTCTTTTCGTGATATTTTTCCTTGCTCTTATTGTCCTTGTCATCAGCATCAGCATCATCATCATCATCATCATCATCTGATGGCTCGGAGTAGTGTGTAACAGTGTTGTAGCCATTAGTGGCAGCGCTAGCGTGCAGCTGATGGTGGTGGTGGTTTTTCAGTGTTGATGATTGAGGAGATTCTGTCTCGTCTTGTTTCTCATAAATGCCCAATTTCTTATTGTTTGTTGTGTTGACCTTGGTAGAGTTCAACATGGAGGAGTTATTAGTTCGTTGTCTAGCCAAAGTTGCGTGCTTTCTCATATTAAAGTCCTGACGCGATTTCTCCTTGATATTGTCAAAGTGACGTTCAAAGTAATATAATCTAACAAACAACAAGGATCCGTGTATGAATATTGGTGTTGTTAAGGATGCAAGGAGATAAATGATGATTTGCTGGTAGAGGGAAATATCATTGAGATCAACGGTGTTTAGGCCTGCTTGAGTTGATGCGCCGCTTGTGAGGAATAGGATATCGATATATTTTGCCGACTTGACAGGGTAAACCAAGATAGAGCCAATGATAGCACATGTTATGATATAGAAATAGTGTACTGCCCGGAAATTTGGCAACACTATTTTGGCCCAAGGGTAAATCACCGAGACAAGATGATGAATAAAGTTGCGTATATGTAGACCAAACTCAAAATGAATATTCCCTCGCTTTAGACGTTTGTATATCTTGATAATATTACTATTCATGATATTTCTATAGTTACAGCTTCATTTAAGGAAGGGAAGAAAAAGAAGAAGAAAAAGAAAAAGAAGAAGAAGAAGAAGAAAACAAGAAGGGGCGGGGGGGGAAAAAAGGTGTTGCCTGTTTCCTGTGTAACTCAACTTTCCAAAGGATCAGCCACGCAACTGCCTAACTTGCCAAATCGTCAAACCAAGCTGCCAGGGTTATTTGTAAGGTCCACTAGATACTGCTATATTTGGTTGCTAAAATTAACTATGTGAGACTCAATTGATTCTTTTTTTCCTTGGCATAAAAGTACACCCTAGAGGAATGTAACACTATCGAGCAACACTATCGAGCAACACTATCGAGCAACACTATCGAGCAACACTATCGAGCAGAGCGAGATAGTGTTGCAACACCATGTAGCACTATCGAATAGACACTATTGAGCAGAGCGAGATAGTGGAGCAACATTTAGTAGACACTATCGAGTAGACACTATCGAGTAAACACTATCGAGTAAACACTATCGAGTAAACACTATCGAGCAACACTATCGAGTAAACACTAGCTTGTTACAACACTATCGAGCAGAGCGGGAAGCAACACCATGTAGCTTAATTATTGGTATATGTAGTTGGTTAATTCAGAGAATAGGTGGCTGTATGTAGAAGAGAGTTGAGATATAGTATTACTCAACTATCTTGTATATGCTTTCGTTTCAATTGAATTTGCAACCAAAAAAACAAAAAACACGAGCAATACTATGAGCAACACTTAGTAAACACTATCGAGTAAACACTATCGAGTAGACACTATCGAGTAGACACTATCGAGCAACACTTTGTATCGAGCAACACTACAAACCGTGTAATCAATATTATTACACGGTTTGTCGTATATTTTAATATAGTTTATTAGTTATAATTAGTCTTGTATATACATAGACAAATAGGTACTAGATGAAATATCCTCATTGACTTCCCCCGCTGCATTTGCAGCGGGGTATAATGCACATAAAGTCTATAGAACAAATATGATTTTACTATTCAATCTTAATAAGATTGATTATTATAGAATAAAGTTGTAGTAGGTATATTGATTTAGATTGTCCTCTGTTTGATTGGTATATCAACACTATTGAGTAGATACTATTGAGTAGACACTATTGAGTAGATACTACCGAGTAGATACTATTGAGTAGATACTATTGAGTAGACACTATTGAGTAGACACTATTGAGTAGATACTACCGAGTAGATACTACCGAGTAGATACTACCGAGTAGATACTATTGAGTAGATACTATTGAGTAGATACTACCGAGTAGACACTACCGAGCAACACCGTGTAGCTTAATTAATATAGAAAAGAGTTGTGAACACCATCGATTAGTAATATAATGATTTTCTTTTGGTTATAAAGGTCAGAATGATTATTGGTATATAGAAAAGATGTTTCACTATTGAGCAAAGCGAGATAATGGAGCACACTAGCTTGTTACAACACTGTTTCGCTCTAGATAGTGGAGCACACTTACTGCCACCAACACTATCTCGCTCTCGCTAGTGGAGCACATTGACTAGCTTGTTACAACACTATCGAGCAAAGCGAGATAGTGTTGCTCGACAGTGGACTAGCTTGTTACAGCACTATCGAGCAAAGCGAGATAGTGTTGCTCGACAGTGTTGCTCGATAGTGGACTAGCTTGTCACAACACTATCGAGCAGAGCGAGATAGTGTTGCTCAACAGTGTTGCTCGATAGTGGACTAGCTTGTTACAACACTATCTCGCTCTGTTCGATAGTGTTGAAAGTGTTGCTCGATAGTGGACTAGCTTGTTACAACACTATCTCGCTCTGCTCGATAGTGTTGAAAGTGTTGCTCGACAGTGGACTAGCTTGTCACAACACTATCTCGCTCTGCTCGATAGTGTTGAAAGTGTTGCTCGATAGTGGACTAGCTTGTTACAACACTATCTCGCTCTGCTCGATAGTGTTGAAAGTGTTGCTCGACAGTGGACTAGCTTGTCACAACACTATCTCGCTCTGCTCGATAGTGTTGAAAGTGTTGCTCGACAGTGTTGCTAGTGTCGCTTTATGCAAGTAAAATGACGTATCCAACTGCAAGTTGAAATAATTGAGAAATCTCGCTTTGTTTTCAATACAAAATTTCCATTACATTTAAGCTAAAAAGAAACATTAAAATAATCACAAAATTGTTACAACTAAAGGTTTAATTCCACAAAGGTTGACGTAATCTCTTTAATTGCATCAAAGTTGATGTAATCATTTCAACAGAATGGTTGTGTAATCATTTCAATTGCATTAACTTCTTTTACACTATAGAGCAGAGCGAGATAGTGTTATTAGTCAGTAGCTTGTTACAACACTATAGAGCAGAGCGAGATAGTGGACTAGCTTGTTACAACACTATCTCGCTTTGCTCGATAGTGTTGCTCGATAGTGTTGCTCGATAGTGGACTAGCTTGTTACAACACTATCTCGCTTTGCTCGATAGTGTTGATAGTGTTTTAGTTTTTTCTATAAAATTAAAATTCAACCGTTGCGCATATATTATACACTCCCTATTTCATGCCTTCTATTAACTAGTATAAATACTTTAAAATCCCCTTAACTTATAATTCTATTTAATCAATGAATAGAATATATTATTTTACTATTATTCTCTCTCTCTCTCTCTCTTAGTAAGCAGTACCATTTATTCCCCATACCACCGTTTCCACCACTCCCTGCTATTTATTCTGTTAACCAGAATACTCTGTGGTAAGTAAAAACTTTAATATTTTTTTAAAATGAGCTCTCTATAGTTAAAACATCATCCTATTTCATTATCACACCTTATTTGATTATCTCAATGTTTCTCCACTATCAAAACTCTCTTCTCGATAGTGTTGCCATATTTACTTGATCAATCTTGGATTAGCTCAATGTTTCTTCACTATCAACACTATCTCGCTCTGCTCAATAGTGTTGCACCAGTTTACCGCTTTGCTCAATAGTCATACACCAGTTTACCGCTTCCATTTTTCAATCTTTCTCATCTGCGCGCGATGAGATGAGCTCAAAAGAAAAAAAAAAAAAAAAAAAAAGAAAAAAAGAAGGAACCTAAAGAGATTTGATACAAGGAGAAAGTGAAAAATTGTCTTGCAGGTTTTATTAAACCTTCTTCAAACCCCCACTAGACTTGCTAAAACGCCGATAATCTCTATAAAACATAATTCAACACCACTAAAAACCAATCAAATACCACTAAAAACCGGCAAAAAATCACTAAAGTTCAGCCACGTTCATCAAATCATCACCAAAGCTCATTAAAGACGCACTTTTTTTCAATAAAAAGTTGTCTTTTTCTGTTTAACAACTCTATAAATCCCGATTTTACTAACTTTCAAACTACTAGTTGATTGTCCCCCCCCCTCAATCTCAGTAGAATCATCGATTTCAGTAGAATTAAGGAAAATTCATAATGGTCAAACCTTCTGTTCCAATATGTCCACCAATGGACAGTACCGGTGACAGATTAATGACTTTGGAAACGCAAGATGGTGTAGCATTGCAAGGTTATTCATTTGGTGCCGAAGTACCAGTAGCCGGTGAAGTGGTTTTTCAAACAGGTATGGTTGGTTATCCCGAATCAATTACTGATCCATCGTACGAAGGCCAAATCTTAGTAATCACTTATCCCTTGGTCGGCAATTATGGTGTTCCAGATAGAGAGGTAGAGGACAATGACTATTTTCCGGCATTACCTAAATATTTCGAATCTAATAGAATCCATATTGCCGGTTTGGTTGTTGCACATTATACCGAGAAATACTCACATTTCTTAGCCAAGTCATCATTGGGTCAATGGTTAAAGGAACAAAATATCCCAGCTATTTATGGTATTGATACCAGAGCTTTAACAAAAAGATTAAGAGAAAAAGGCTCAACCTTGGGTAGATTGGCTTTACAGAAAGCCGGTACTATAACTGAACAAATCATTGCCGACAATTCTGGTAACTGGGAACAGTATTTCGATATCCCCAAATATGATGATCCAAACGTTAAGAATTTGGTTGCTAAAGTATCAACTAAAAAGCCTGTTTTGTATTCACCGAAAGAAAATGTCAAATTGAGAAAGGATGGAAAGCCTATTAGAATTGTTGCAGTTGATGTTGGTATGAAATACAATCAAATTAGATGTTTTGTTAGAAGAGGTGTTGAACTATTAGTTGTTCCATGGGACTATGACTTTACGAAAGATGATTATGACGGTTTATTTATTTCAAACGGTCCAGGTGATCCTGCGATTATGGATGAAACAGTAAAAGTTTTGGAAAAAGTGTTGAATGAGGCCAAGACTCCTGTTTTTGGTATTTGTCTCGGTCATCAATTATTGGCTAGAGCTTCAGGTGCCTCTACATTGAAATTGAAATTTGGTAATCGTGGTCATAATATTCCATGTACATCCACCATATCAGGTAGGTGTTACATCACTTCTCAAAATCATGGGTATGCAGTTGATGCGTCGAGTTTGACTAATGGTTGGAAGGAGTTGTTTGTAAATGCCAACGATGGTTCCAATGAAGGTATTTATCACGAAACTAAGCCTTTTTTTTCTGTTCAGTTCCATCCAGAGTCTACACCAGGTCCCAGAGATACAGAATTCTTGTTTGACGTGTTCATCAATGCTGTTGCTGACTACAACAAGACTGGAGTTTATAAACAAGTGGAGTTCCCTGGTGGCGAGTTGAAACAAAATTTGACTGCTCACCCAAGAGTTGACGTTAAGAAAGTATTGGTTTTGGGATCGGGAGGATTGTCAATTGGCCAAGCAGGTGAGTTTGATTACTCGGGTTCACAGGCTATTAAGGCTTTGAAAGAAGAAGGCATTTATACGGTGTTGATAAATCCCAATATTGCCACTATTCAAACCTCAAAAGGTTTAGCAGACAAGGTTTACTTTTTACCAGTCAACCCGGACTTTGTGCGCAAGGTGATCAAGCACGAGCGTCCCGATGGTATTTACTGTACATTTGGTGGCCAAACTGCTTTGAGTGTTGGTATTGCGTTGAAAGACGAGTTTGAAGAATTGGGCGTTAAAGTTTTGGGTACTCCGATTGATACTATTATCACTACCGAGGATAGAGAATTATTTGCTAGTGCAATGGCAGAGATTGGAGAGAAATGTGCAAGATCTGAAGCTTGTAACAATGTTCAAGAAGCAATTGACGCCGCTAATGCCATAGGATATCCGTTAATTGTGAGAGCAGCTTTTGCGTTGGGTGGTTTAGGATCTGGGTTTGCTGATAATGAACAAGAGTTGGTTTCATTGTGTAATAAAGCTTTTGCAACATCCCCTCAAGTTTTGGTGGAAAGATCCATGAAAGGTTGGAAAGAAGTTGAATACGAAGTTGTTCGTGATGCTTTTGACAACTGTATCACCGTTTGTAATATGGAGAACTTTGATCCATTGGGTATCCACACTGGTGACTCTATTGTCGTTGCTCCATCTCAAACATTGTCTGATGAAGACTATAACATGTTGAGAACCACGGCTGTTAATGTGATTAGACATTTGGGTGTCGTTGGTGAATGTAACATTCAATACGCATTAAACCCCTTTTCAAAAGATTATTGTATTATCGAAGTCAATGCTAGATTATCGCGTTCCTCGGCTTTGGCATCCAAGGCAACTGGATACCCTTTGGCATATACTGCAGCTAAACTAGGCTTAAACATTCCATTGAACAAAGTGCAAAACAAAGTCACAGAATCAACTTGTGCCTGTTTTGAGCCATCGTTGGATTACGTTGTTGTTAAAATTCCAAGATGGGATTTGAAGAAATTTACTCGTGTTTCTGCTTTGTTGTCATCCTCAATGAAATCGGTTGGTGAAGTTATGTCGATTGGAAGAACATTTGAAGAGGCTATCCAAAAGGCAATAAGGTCAACCGACTATCATAATTTGGGGTTCAATAAAACAGCAGCTTTAATGTCTATAGACATTGACCAAGAGTTACAAACACCTTCTGATCAACGTTTGTTTGCCATTGCCAATGCATTATCAGATGGATATTCTGTTGATAAAGTATGGAGATTAACAAATATTGACCAATGGTTTTTACACAAATTGGAAGGTTTGATCAAGTTTGGTGACAAGATTGCAAGTTATGGCAAAAAGGAAAACTTGCCCGTGTCCATTATTAGACAAGCAAAACAATTAGGATTTGAAGATAGACAAATTGCCAAGTTTGTTGACAGTAATGAGGTTGCCATAAGAAGATTGAGAAAGGATGCTGGCGTTATTCCATTTGTTAAACAAATTGACACAGTTGCAGCAGAGTTCCCGGCTTTTACAAACTATTTGTACGTTACTTACAATGCCGACTCTTCGGATGTTTCGTTTGATGATCATGGAGTGACTGTGTTGGGATCAGGTGTCTACAGGATTGGTTCATCTGTGGAATTTGATTGGTGCGCAGTTAGAGCCATTAGAACATTGCGTGAAAATAACATAAAAACAATTATGATCAACTACAATCCAGAAACCGTTTCTACGGATTACGATGAGGCTGATAGATTGTACTTTGAAACTATCAACTTGGAAAGAGTATTGGACATTTATGAATTGGAGCAATCTGCCGGTATCATCATATCTATGGGTGGTCAAACTTCTAACAACATTGCTTTACCATTATACAGACAAAATGTAAAAATTTTGGGCACTTCGCCAGAAATGATTGATTCAGCTGAAAATAGATACAAATTTTCTAGAATGTTGGATAAAATTGGAGTGGACCAACCAGCATGGAAGGAGTTAACATCTATTGATGAAGCCGAAGATTTTGCAAGCAAGGTTGGCTACCCGGTCTTAGTTCGTCCATCATACGTTTTGTCAGGGGCTGCTATGAACACAGTGTACTCAGAGGACGATTTGGCATCATACTTGACACAAGCTGTTGATGTTTCTCCTGATTACCCAGTAGTCATCACCAAGTATATTGAAAATGCCAAGGAAATTGAAATGGATGCTGTTGCCAAAGACGGTAAAATGATTATGCATGTGGTTTCTGAGCATGTTGAGAATGCTGGAGTGCACTCTGGTGATGCTACTTTAATTGTTCCACCACAAGATTTGGACCCGGAAACCGTTCGTAGAATAGTTGAGGCTACTGCAAAGATTGGTAAAGCTTTAGACATCACTGGTCCTTACAATATTCAATTTATTGCAAAAGACAATGATATCAAAGTTATTGAATGTAATGTGAGAGCATCGAGATCTTTCCCATTCGTTTCCAAGGTTGTTGGAGTTGATTTGATTGAAATGGCTACAAAGGCCATTATGGATTTGCCACTTACTGCCTATCCTGGTGAAAGACTACCTGAAGATTACTGTGCTGTTAAAGTACCACAATTTTCTTTCTCAAGATTGGCTGGAGCCGATCCAGTGCTCGGTGTTGAAATGGCTTCTACTGGTGAAGTTGCCACTTTTGGTAAAAACAAATATGAGGCGTATTTGAAATCCTTGCTTTCAACTGGTTTCAAATTACCCAAAAAGAATATATTGTTCTCGATAGGTTCCTATAAGGAGAAACAAGAGTTGTTGCCAAGTATCGCTAAATTAAACGAATTGGGCTATAAAATCTTTGCCACTGCCGGTACTGCAGATTTCCTCAAAGAACATGATATTCCTGTACACTACTTAGAGGTATTGAGCAAGGAAGAAGACCAAAAATCAGAATACTCATTAACTCAACATTTGGCAAATAACTTGATAGATTTGTATGTCAATTTGCCTTCATCCAATAGATTCCGTCGTCCAGCTTCATACATGTCTAAAGGTTACGAGTCTCGTAGAATGGCTGTTGACTATGCTATCCCATTGGTGACCAATGTGAAGAATGCTAAATTGTTAGTGGAAGCAATTGCAAGAAACATATCTCTTGAAGTGTCAAACAAAGACGCCCAAACCTCACATGGAACGTCAATATTACCTGGGCTTATTAATATCACATCGTTTGTAACCACATTGAATGATTTTGAGAAAACCACATTGGAATCATTGGCCGCCGGTTTTACCTTTAATGCGTTTTTGCCACATACTCAAACTGGTGCTGCTGTTACCGATTTTAGGTCTTTGGTTGATGCCATTGATCAAGCAGGGGCTGATGCTTATACTGACTATTCGATTTCCATTGCGGCTTCAGAGACTAATGCACAGAGCGTATTGGATGCTGCGGAAAATGCAGGTGCTTTATACATTCCATTCAACGATATCGATGGATCTAAAATTTCAGCAATTAGTGCTCATTTTGCATCTTGGCCACAAAACAAGCCTATTATCACAGATGCCAAATCAACAGACTTGGCATCGGTGCTTTTATTGGCTTCATTACATAGTAGATCGGTCCATATCACAGGTGTTTTATCTAAAGAAGACTTGGACTTGATTTTGATGACAAAGAATAAAGGGTTAGCTGTCACATGCGATGTTGCTGTATTGGCGTTGTTCCTTTCAACTGATGAGTTGAACTTCCCATTTTTGCCAACAAAGAGCGACCAGGACTACTTATGGGAACACTTGGCTGATATTGATTGCTTTTCAATTGGTGTTTTGCCTTACCTAGTAGCCAAAGCTTGTAACGAAAACATCACTCCAGGATTAGGAATAAGTGAGACAATTCCATTATTGTTGACTGCTGTGAACAAGGGCAAAATCACGATTGCTGATATCGTTGAGAAGTTTCACACTAATCCAGCTAAAATATTCAGTATTCCTAAACAAGACGCACAGGTTGTTATAGATTTGGACAGATATTCGGAAACTAAACCTGTTTTTCCAGGTTTTACAGACTTGAAATTGAGAGGAGTAATTGAAAGGGTATCATTCCATGGCGAAACGGTTTGCTTGGATGGCAATGTATTAGCTGATGCAGCACTAGGTAAGAACGAGGTGGCATCAAAATCCAGATTCAATAATTTCACATCTGTTCCAGTTTCTCCTATATTGAGTCAAAAGAGAGTTTCATTCTCATCCTTGCGTCGCCCTTCACTTGCACCAGAAAGTCCTGATATTCAACCTGCTGCATTTGAGAGACTTGGTTCTGAATTGGTTTCACAGCCTGTTGCTGGTTCGTTGGGTGAAATTGCTGCTTTGAATGATTACATTAGAAGAAAGAATACATTCTTGAGGAATAACATTTTATCAGTCAAAGATATCACAAGAGCAGATTTGCATTCTTTATTCGCAGTTGCTCAAGAGATGAGACTTGCAGTCGAAAGACAAGGTGTTTTGGATATCTTAAAGGGAAGGGTTTTGGCAACAATGTTTTACGAGCCATCCACTAGGACTTCAGCGTCATTTGATGCTGCTATGCAAAGATTAGGTGGTAGAGTTATTGCCGTTGACTCACATTCATCATCTGTCAAAAAGGGTGAAACCTTGCAAGACACAATCAGGACTTTGTCGTGCTATGCCGATGCAGTTGTTTTGAGACATCCAAAAGAAGAGAGTGCCGATATTGCTGCTAAATACTCACCTTTACCAATCATCAATGCCGGCAACGGCTCTAAAGAACACCCAACACAAGCCATGCTAGATTTATTCACAATTAGGGAGGAATTGGGAACAGTGAATGGTATTACTGTTACCTTCATGGGTGATTTGAAATACGGCAGACCCGTTCACTCTTTAGTGCAATTATTGCGCCATTATCATGTTAGAGTGCAGTTAGTTGCTCCAAAAGAGTTGCAAATACCTATTGAAATTAGAGAGTTATTGATTGAGAACAATATGTTGGTTGTTGAATCTGAAGAGTTGACAAAGGATATAATCGCCAGATCGGATGTTTTGTACTGTACAAGGGTACAAGAGGAAAGGTTCGAGGACAAGGAGCAATACCAGCGGTTGAAGGATACATACATTGTTGACAATAAGATCTTGAGTGATGCTAAGCAGCATATGTGTGTTATGCACCCATTGCCCAGAACTAATGAAATTAGAGAAGAAGTAGATTTTGATCAGAGAGCAGCGTACTTTAGACAAATGAAACATGGATTATTCATAAGAATGGCTTTATTAGCAATGGTAATTGGAGTTGATTTTTGAATTGAAAAAATGAAAACAAAAAACAAACAGATTGAAAAAAAAAAAACAAAAAAATAAAAGAGATTCTAGAGCTTATAACTTTATATCAAGTTTTTTTTCTTTCATGAAAGGTTATGGAAATATTGGTATCTTGGGGGAGATATCAAGTGACACATTAGTGACCGTTTGAATTCTTGTACAGTTTTATAAACATTTTGTTAAGTAAAGAAAAAGAGAGATATTATTACTAGTTGTACTTTTTAACTCTAGGTCTTACCACATCGTGATTATCTTCGTTGTTGGAAGTTTCTTTGTTATACTGTGGAAAGTTCCTCAATGAAGATGCTGCCACCTCTGCATATGAAGGTCTATATTCTTCTCTGTGATTCTCTTGCACCTCCGAAATGACGGCTTGTACATATTCACTGATTTCTCCATTTCGATTAACTTCTTGATTCAGGCCTTCGAAATCGGTTTGCCTTCTTCTTCTTCTTTTCGATTGACGACCATCTTCATTTTCAGTGATTCTGGAATCAGGGGTACACTTTTCGCAGTTTTTGACAACCACTCCCATGGTCTCCTTGATTCTTGGCCAGTAATATTTGTCAGTAACTAATGTGGTGCCTTTGTTTATACCGCAATGGCCATTATTTTGGTGTATTACTTGACAAATTCTTGATTGCTGATCTGATTCAGCAACCACTTCTTTACCCTTGAACATGAGTTTCCCCTTTTCAATATAATACTTGATGGCTCCCGCACGTAGTCGCGCTTTTTCCTGTCTATCTGCAGTTGCAGGGTACTTGCCTGTTTCTAAGAAATATTTTATTTTATCGAATCGGTAAGCGCTTGATTCGATGTTGGATTTGCTCACCAAATCTCTTCCATATATTATCGCATCAACCGGAGAATCGTAGTTTCTGACATATGCTGCACCGGTGATTTTTCCAATCCTCTTAAAATTCATTGATTCCCACAACTTTCTAGCTGCTGCATTACTCTCAAAAACAAGATTAAAAATGGTGTAAGTGTAATCTAACTTGGGTGCCCATTGGAAAAAACAGTCAGTCAAGGTTCGGCCTATACCTTTTCCCCTGATACCTGCATTAACCAAGAACTCAGCCGTGCAAATATGAGAACATCTTCTTCCTGGGTAGTTTTGTTTGATATAAAAAGCTCCTAAACACTCTTTTTCCCACTCTCTATCATCTTCGTCCAAATTTGGGACATCACCAAGGCACATAATACCAACAAATGAGGACTCGAACCAATAGCTTACAAACCCTTCAATAGATAGCGGATCAAAAAATGGTAATGTTTCCCCTCTCTCTATTTCCATGTTGTACTCCTCACATAGAAAGTTCAAAAGACCGAATGGGACCCTAGTGTAGGTCGATATGGGGTAAATGGTTGCAGTTGTGACCCCGTCTTTTAACAAGATGGTATATCTGTCATTTATAACACTTTTTGCTTGGTCGATATTGGTATTTCTATGCTTATTGCTGGTGTGGTTTGTAGAGTTATCAAAATGCGTTACTAAAGAGTTTCCATGTTTCTGCTTTGAGCGTATTTTATTATCGTATTCGTTCATAACCATAGAGTAGAAGCATTTGGATAGCAAAACTCAAAAGTAAAAATGAAGTGGTATAGCAAAACTCAAAAGTAAAGATGAAGTGGTATAGTGTAGTATTGATCTACACAATTTTCTATGATCCATTTTTGTTTTGTTGAACTTGTTCTTCTTGCCGCCACATAAAATGCGGCTTTTAAAGCCACCAGCTTTCTCAACGGCACATCACATCACATCACATCTATTATATATACATTATTACATGGGAGAGACTCTCTAGCAAAGCAAGATAGTGGAGCAACACTTTTGTAGAGATTCCACTGGAAAAAAGGGGTGGAAGAAAGAGCCTTTTAAAGCCTTTTAGGGCTATCTTTTTGCACCCATTTACAATACTTTGTATTGTAACAAACTAGAGTATTGTAACAAGATAGTAGGTACTGCTTCACTATCTCGCTCCGCTCGATAGTAGACCTAGTTGCTAGCTAGTTGGTTGCAAATCCTTTCCAAAAATATAAGCGCCGACCAATTTGTTGGAACCTTTCAACACCGCAACGTTCTTTACATATCCGATTCTCTCAAAACCGAGGGCATCCCAAATTTTCAAACTTGCCTGATTAGTTTCAAAAACAAGATTAAAAACAGAATAAACGTAACCTAATTGTGGTGCAATCTCCAAATACTTTCCACCCAACTCCTTACCCAAACCTAATCCTCTTTTGACATGGTTTACCACGAATCCCGCGTTGCAAACATGGGAGCAACGACCTATATAGTTTGGCTTAACATAGAAGGTACCCAAAAATAAGTCATTCCATTGGTTAACTGTGAGATCTTGTAAATTTGCATCTTTCAATGAGGTGAATTTTCCATCGATTAGTATGGATGCGAAATGGTGAAACCAATAATTTTCAAATTCGTCAACTGCTTTTGGTGCTACATGGGGGTATGTCTGGCCCTCTTCTATTATAAAGTTAAACTCTATACAAAGTACCTTGATTAAATTTCGGGGAACTAGTGACGAATTGTGGATATTGAACAATGTAACAGGCTTGCCGCTTCTCTCAAGATTAAAGTTGATAACTGGAGTTTTAACCTTGGGAGTAGCATCAAAGTTTTCCTTTGCAAAGGGTAAACCCTTGACTAGTTGATATACAGAATCGCCTTCCATAACAATACTATCGAGCGACACTATCATGCAACACTATCGAGCAAAGCGAGATAGTGGAGCACCACTGACTGCCACGCACGCTATCGAGCTCCACCAACGAGCATAGCGAGATAGTGGGGCAACACTTGGTAGCATGTTCGGAAAAGAAAAAGAAATGGTAATTAGGGCTTATTTTCCTAATTTGGAATTTGCGTAATATTTGTAGACACTATGGAGCAGAGCAAGACAGTGTCGGTCGATAGTGTCGGTCGACAGTGTCAGTCGCGATCAGTACTCCACTATCTCGCTTCGCTCAATAGTGTCGCTTCGCTCAATAGTGTCGCTTCGCTCAATAGTGTCGCTTCGCTCAATAGTGTCGCTTCGCTCAATAGTGTCGCTTCGCTCAATAGTGTCGCTTCGCTCAATAGTGTCGCTTCGCTCGATAGTTTCGCGGTCGTTTGTTGCACACGGGTTTGATTAGATCTTTCCCCCTGAGAAATAAATCTTAAAAGTCGGTGAAAAGTGTGATTACAAGTTAAGCAGAGCGAGATAGTGGAGCACAACACTTACCAGCAACACTATCGAGTAGAACGAGCTAGTGGAGCAGCGCTGACGGGTTTGGACACTAGCTCGCCTTGCTCGCTAGTGGAGCAGTTAAAACAATAAGCAGGCTCTCAAATTGACACTAAGCGCTCTACTATCTCGCTCTGCTCAATAGTAGAGCACCATTGACTAGTGACAGTTTTACTTGAACAATAAATTATTTCAACAAATTTTTCCAAAAACAATCCACTTGAAAAACTGCTACTGGCCATCTCTATTCTCTTCTACATACCATGGCTCTCCTTGTACCATGGCTCTCTTTATATCATGTTTCTCCTCATATCTTGACTCTCCTCACCACATGACTCTCCTCACAACAGAGTCAAACCCGTCGGTGACAGTCAGTACTGCTCTACTCTCTCGCTTCGCTTGAAAGTCAGTACTGCTCTACTCTCTCGCTTCGCTTGATAGTGCCTTTGGTCTTCCTCATCGGTGTAAATTTTTGTTCCTGCATATAACTCGACTCGTAGCCTTTTCTTTTCTCCTGTCGATGGAATGATAAAGGTTTAAAGATCCCTCCCTTCACCTTGATAACTCAAGAATAATTTCATAACATTCCTTACCAATTACCAACTAAACCAACAACATTTCACCTCTTGAACGGGGGAAAGACTCATTCGCGAGTAGAGAACTTTACATGTGGATCAAGACATCGAGATAAACCACCTTTTGTGCCAAAATCAAAAGATGGAAGACCAAAGAAGAAACGGAACTACAGTTGATGGTATGTTTACCAAAAAAAAAAAATAGTAAACAAACACTTGGAGTAAAATGCATACTAACTTGAACATTTGCTAGCTGTAAACAAAAGAGACAAAAAGAGAAGCAACATAGCTGCACGCTTGAACAAATTGGAGCTCACATTCCGAAATGACCGAGATATGTTTTATCGCAACAGTTTGCATGAATTACAAAATAAACTAGCAAGCCTACAACAAGGATCAAACGAAGATTATTTAACGCAAAAGATAAGGTTGGAGGAAACGAGAGATTATGAGCTCACTAAGCTAAGGTTATGGGAAGAGTATCAAGTCAAGAGAGTTGAGCGGGAGTACAGGTTGGATTTGCAAAAAGCACAAGAAAATCATGACAAAATGATCAAGTTGATCAAGGAAAAATTGTACGATAAGCTACAGAAACAGATTAAAAACTTGAAAGAAGATAAGTATTTGTTGAATCTCCTTAATGGTAATAGTTACAGCAATGACGAAATGGACCATATTAGTGTCAAGGATGCAAGATTGAGCTTGCATGATAGGCGTTCGTTAAGGAAACGCGCAGAGCACATTGGAAGGTTCACCAGTGGAGAAATAGACGATTTATCTGATGGAGGCGGAGGCATTTTGTCATCATCATCAGTAGCTGCGGCTGCGGCTGCGGCTGCGGCAGGGAACGAGTCAGGATATATATCTCTGGGAAAAAGAAGGCGGTTATATGCGACACGGTATTCGTCCAATGACGAGGCTAGCAGTACAAACAGTGCAAGACCTTCAAATAATAATAGTCATGGCCAAAGTCAGAATTACAATGCAAAAAACAATGGTGGTGTTAGCAGCGGATACGAGTCCAACTTGAGTGATAAGGACTACGATGCTCTAAATACCCTCATTATGGAGGATGGCCAGTCACTTATTCATGACGGTTTGGATGGTAATGAAGTCAGTAGTTACAAGGTACAAACAAGAGGCTCACATAAGCAATTTGTTGGACCACAGGGTCTAAAGCCGGAGGAATTGAATGACGATTTGACGCTATTGCGTAATGCGATTATGAAGAATGAAAGGTAGAACAAATTGGAAACGTGACACTATCGAGCGGAGCGAGATAGTGGAGCACACTGACTACTCTCAAACCTCGACATGCTAAATAGTCAAAATACCAAAATGCCAAAATGCCAAAATGCCAAAATGCCAAAATATCAAAATGCCAAAATATCAAAATCTCAAAATGTCAAAATGTCAAAATGTCGAGATGTCAAAATTCTTTGTATAAATTATAAATTCAAACACTGTAATATTTCAACGGATTGCTATGACCAGTGTTGCACAAGGGTAGTTGCACCAATAAGCTTCACTGGCACCTTATTTTTCTCATTCTCTTTGTCTTTGTCTTTCTTTGTCCTTCGCTTCTATTGTCTTTTTTTTCCCATCCCCATCGCATTGAGCCATTGAAAAAAACTTTATAACCGATTGCAAAATAGTTTAAACTCAATTAACGCATTACAAATTAATGGTGTTTGTGCAAACAGCGTCGATTCACACGTTGGTTTAAAAATGGTAATTTTGCCTTTTATAAGAAAGACATTGACGACTTTTCGTCGTCGTTGGCGGCGGCGGCAATGGCTACTTTTTAACAATATTTCTTTGACAGTACTGTTATTTTCTTTGTTATTTGTGTTTATATTTTTATGGTATAATAATAGACACTTTTTTGATAACGATCCTTTCTGGACAAGATACAAGGTTAAAGTACCGTCGAAAGAAAAGCAGGACAAGTTGAAATATATTAGTGAGAAAATAATAGATACAGGCATCGATGCACCTTTCCAGTATGGCTGTATTAAACCACCAACATCCGCTCTGAATGCCGAGAATGGGCACCATCAGAAAGCCAATGCTGCCTTTGTTATGCTTTGCCGCAACCACGAAATCGATGCTGTAATAAAAAGCGTTGATTCTGTTGAACGGCATTTTAACCAGTGGTACGATTATCCCTGGATTTTCTTAAACAATGAGGAGTTTACAGATAAGTTCAAAACGACTGTTTCTGATTACACTAAATCCAAGGTAAGTTTTGGCACAATAGAACTGCAAGATTGGGAGTTTCCGTCAGATTTAGATCAAGATGATCTCTATGAGTGGATAGAGTCTCAAGGAGATCGGGAAATATTGTATGGAAATTTGCAAAGTTATCACAAAATGTGTCGATTTTACTCTGGTAAATTCTATAAGCATCCTCTTATTAAAGATCTTGAGTGGTACTGGAGAGTTGAGCCAGATGTTGAGTTTTTTTGTGATATTACCTATGATCCGTTTGTAGAAATGGCCAAAAGAGGTAAAAAATATGGATTCAATGTTCTTTTGGAAGACTTGTATTATAGTATACCTGGGTTGTTTCGCCATTTTCAAGCGTATATCAAAAAGGAAGGGATTGTGCCAAAAAGTAGCTGGAAGCTATTTACATTGAATTCGAAATGGACGATAGAAGAGAATGACGAAGGAGTTTACGACGGCATCCACGATGAACGTGAGATAAAAATGGAAATCCAGGATCAAATTTATTTGCAAAAACTTATTCATGAAATGGAAGGAAAAGATGACAGTGTTTTTGCCAAATACCCTTATTTGACTCGAAGGATTCTTTCAAAAAGTAAAAGTTTACCTAAACTCCATGAAGACAGGTTTGATAAAGAAGATTATACTTTGTGTCATTTCTGGTCCAATTTTGAGATTGCCAGAGTCGATATTTTTGCATCTGAGCAATACCAGAAACTATTTGAGTATCTTGAGACAACAGGTGGTTTCTATAAAGAACGGTGGGGGGATGCTCCTATTCACTCGTTGGCAATGGGGATGCTTCTTGACTTGAACGAGATTCATTACTTTAGAGACATTGGATATCGACACGATAAGTTTGTTCATTGTCCAGCAAACGCACCTGGACATCAACTTGAATATGAGGGGGTAGAGAGCGAATTAAAGTGGCTATCACCAGACAAGCCAAAATATAACGGAGTTGGGTGTAGATGCAAATGTCCAGCAAAATACAAAGAAATTGAAGATTCGGGTTGCATGAAGAGATGGGTCACTTTTACAAAGTCTGAATACAAGGAGATGGTTCCTGTAAACGTCGAGAAATGGAAGAAAAGAATTGGTAGGAAAATTAATAACAATTTGAGTCTCGGGGGAAAACTCGAAGACACGGTTGTATAGGTGACAAGAAAAGAAAAGAAAAGACGACACTATCGAGCAGAGAGAGATAGTGGAGCAGCACTGACTAGTGTCGATAGTGTCGGTGGCAGCTAGTTTTAGTAATTTTCAACTTGCAACTTTTCCGATGAAGGAGGTTTTTCTATATATGTTTCAACTCGAATGAGTATTGGATGATGAGAAAAAACAAGCACAGGTCCAACTCCAGAAAAGGAAAGGGATTGATAGTGGAGCAGCACTTAATAGCAACACTATCGGCACTATGGCGTGGAGTCAATGCTGCTCCACTATCGGCACTATCGAGCAGAGTCAATGCTGCTCCACTATCGGCACTATCGAGCAGAGTCAATGCTGCTCCACTATCGGCACTATCGAGCAGAGTCAATGCTGCTCCACTATCTCGCTCTGCTCGATAGTGTCGGTTATATAGGCGATTTTTTTAATAGACTAGATTTTGTTCAATATCCCAGAGGAGTTCTCTACAATGAAAATGGCAAATGCAAATCACACCTTGACAAAAAAATTGGCATTCACTAAAACTAATATACAAAAAAAAAAAAAAATCGAACTGAAGAAAAGACACAACCATCAAAAATTGATATATTTATCCACCAAAACCATACAAGGTTCTACCTTGTCTCTTTAATGCATAGACTACATCCAATGAAGTAACCGTCTTTCTCTTTGCGTGTTCAGTATATGTAACAGCGTCTCTGATGACATTTTCCAAAAATTGTTTTAAAACAACTCTGATTTCTTCGTAAATCAAGGCAGAAATACGCTTAACACCACCTCTTCTTGCTAATCTTCTGATAGCTGGTTTTGTTATACCTTGGATATTATCTCTCAAGATCTTTCTGTGTCTTTTAGCACCACCTTTTCCTAAACCTTTACCACCTTTTCCTCTACCAGACATTGTTGCGATTGATGTTATATAGTTTGAAAGTAAATTATAAAGGAAGAAGTCAAGTAGCGTAAAATGGTGGGATATTTTAATGTATTTATAAAGGGGAAAAAAACTATCTAGTAAGACAAAAGAAAGGATATGTTTGAGAGAAAGAGAGAGAGAGAGAGAGAGAGAGAGAGAGAAGAACGGAATATGATCTATGCGAGAGACAGAGGGAAGAGACGAAATGCAACCATATCCGTGTGTGTAAACACAAAAGAAACGCCAAACGAGGTCCAAGTATAACGCCAACGACGCCAAAGTGAAGTTGTCGCGACAAAACTCGAGTAAACTTTCGTGGTATTTTGTGCGTGTTGAGGTTGGAAAAGAATGCTCACGCGAGCTTCTTCGCGTGAGACTTTATTCTTTTGACGCCAGAAAAAGTGAAGTGGTTTCTAAATTACACTATAGACTGAAAATTACTCAGATGAAGGGTTACACATAGATGTAATGATTTGTCTTTTCCATTAGGTATAATGCTACCAATACCTTGGTACGACTAGCCACCCGCAATGTGTTTGTGTGTGACTCGAGAAACAGGGCGTTATGTTTGCTTATTTACGCCAAATCTCATTGATACTAAACAAAAGGAGATGTAATAAACAATATAATATTAGCGGTGTAATCATATACATTTGCCATATAAAAGCCAACCTGTGTTCCTCATCTAGTAGATAAAGGGTTTTTTTTTTATTTCAATCAGTATTATTTTTTTTATCAATGGCCAGAACTAAACAAACAGCAAGAAAATCCACAGGTGGTAAAGCTCCAAGAAAGCAGTTGGCTTCAAAGGCCGCTAGAAAATCAGCACCATCAACAGGTGGTGTTAAGAAACCTCACAGATATAAGCCAGGTACCGTTGCCTTGAGAGAAATTAGAAGATTCCAAAAATCTACTGAGTTATTGATCAGAAAGTTGCCTTTCCAAAGATTAGTCAGAGAAATTGCTCAAGATTTCAAAACTGATTTGAGGTTCCAGTCGAGTGCTATTGGTGCTTTGCAAGAAGCCGTTGAAGCTTACTTGGTTGGATTATTTGAAGACACTAACTTATGTGCTATTCACGCAAAGAGAGTTACCATCCAGAAGAAGGATATCCAATTAGCTAGAAGATTAAGAGGTGAAAGATCGTAGACGCTGAATATATGTCACTTGCTGAAAAAAAAAAAATAGAAGTTGGGTTTTTTCTTTCAATTCATTTTGTCTATTTATAATTTTTGAAAATGTATCATTTTTTTTATTGTTCCTCACCACATGGCTCTTTTCACAACGGAGTCAAAGACAAAGTCTCGGTTACAGTCAGTCTGCTCGATAATGGAGCAGCACTGGCTCTACCGACACTATTGAGCAGAGCGAGATAGTGTTAATACTATGGCTACAAAGTGTCTCTCCACTATCGAGCGAAGCGAAATGGTGTCGATAGTGTTAAAAGTATGGCTACAAAGTGTCTCTTCACGAAATAGTGTCGATAGTGTTAAAAGTATGGCTACAAAGTGTCTCTTCACGAAATAGTGTCGATAGTGTTAAAAGTATGGCTACAAAGTGTCTCTTCACGAAATAGTGTCGATAGTGTCGATAGTGTTAATAGTAGGGCTACAAAGTGTCTCTCCACTATCTCGCTTCGCTCGATAGTGTCGATAGTGTTATGCACATATTTATTCTATTAATGATTGCATATACATATAATGGAAATTGGTAGCACCTTTTCCGTTGTATGCCATTTTCGATGTATGATTGCTAGAAAGAACCTCACCCTCGAAAAATCACGAGTTTCCAATCAACCTTTCTCCACAAATGTCAATATAATATATATCTATATATCTATATTTAATTGCACTTCTTCTCAATTGATCATGAGCAACTCAGTAGCACCACCTGTTTCAGAATCCACATCTAATAACGTATGGAGTAAACTAGATGAATTGTCATTATCGCCTATTCCATCAGGAGTTCTATCAGCGGCACTTTTACTTAAAGCCTTAAAGAAGTCTGTTGGAACTACAGAGATCCCTTATAAGGGCACATCTGGCTCCTCGTATGCGCTCCATAAAAGTATTGTTGCCGCTAAACCAACTCGTATTTCCTGTGCATTTTTTGGCGGAGCCTTAGCTTTGGGAACATTTATGATGATTGATGGTGACCCATTGAACGCTTCTGGTTTCAATTTTGCTTGGCTGACTTTGTATTTATTTGTCAATGGAAAAGCTGCAGCTCTGAGCTTCTTTAAGGGAAGAATGACTCCCGTGGCGTTGGGCAGCTTGGCTTTGTTCGATGCTGCTCTATATGGCAGGGAGTTTTTTTGGAGCAAGAATAGTCCATTTCAGAATTAAGAGCTCAAGAACAACCTATTCATAGTGAAGTAGTCATTATTTAGAGAAATCAAGTAGAAGAAAACAATTTGAACCTCTAAATCTAAAATAAGAATGTCCACACCATTCTTGAAGCTTTTTCATTAACCCATAATACAAACCCTTCTTTTTTTTTTTTAACTTACTTAGTTTAACACCGTTTTTTTTTTGTTTGTTTCTTTGCCTCGCCCTTTTATTTTCATTAACAATATTATTTTCCAATTTAGGCTTTATCCTTATCCCCATTTCAAGGGTAATAATCCTCTTTTGTCACAATAATCTTTAATTTCTTCATCGTCGTACAATTCGATAAATTGTTGATCCATCGGCCTCTCTTTGGGTGCAGCAAACTTTCTATACTCGTCAAATATTATCGTCTTAGACCAATTCTGTAACCTTCTTAGCACTCCCACAAGACATCCGGTTCGGTGCTTTCCCCGATTGCAATGTACTAATATGGGCTGATTTTCCAGATTCAAAACAATCTTTATTGCTTGTGTGATCAATTCTGAAGAAATCTTGACAAATGGCTCTTTGTTTCCAGACATGCCCAATTGGAATAGCTTAATACCTTGACTTGCAAGAAACTGTTCTTGTAAAACCGGGTATTCTTCGGGAATCAAGCACAAAATAGACTTTAGTTTTAATGTTTTGAGAAAGGAGAAATTAGCAGGTTGTGGGAAGGAACTTCGATAAATTGACCGGATAACTAAAGCAAAATTCTCAGGTGGAGTTAGCGGCTCGTCATCCACATCAAAGTTGAATTGGATTTTCTGCAAACTAGGCCCAACTTTGTCGCTAGCAGCAGCAGCAGAAGCGGAGGAGCCTACTTGCTTTGCATCGCAAAGACCATGTTTTTTTTCAAAGTCCTCTTGTAATTGTTTCTGCAAAGTGATATCCAAGTTGTCGTCTGCATCTTCGTTATACCCTCTTTCCTCTTCTTCAGTGTACCCTCTTTCCTCTTCTCCAGTGTACCCTTTTTCCTCTTTTATAGTGTACCCTCTTTCCTCTTCTCTAGTGTTTCCCTTCTCCTCTATTTTCAACTGATCCAACGTGGATCGTATAGACCTGTTATTATTGTAATTATCAATGTCATCACCTTTGTCAGCTTCAAATATGGAGTCGTGTCTACTCTGAATAGAGTAGTTCTCAAGTGTTATGCTTGTTTCTGATGTATCTTTTGATAAAGTCGGTAGATTCGGCGGCGCAGGAAAGTCATCATCCATCTGAAACGGAGCATCCGGTGTCTCAACCATATGAGTCACAATTTATGTGGCAACGAAACAAAAAACGTATCACCAATGGTGTTTAAATACCTTTCCTTAATTCCAACTTTAACCAACCTTCCATGATAAGAATGAAAAAGGGAAAACTTAGCGAATAAATCAAGATCAAGACTTCCTGATCCGAGGGGTAGTGTACTAGAGATCAGAAGAAAAAATAAAAACAAATCTAGCTAAACGTGTCGCAAAAAAAACAACAGATGTGTCGTCAAACTCAGGACATGCATTCTTATTTTTTAAATTTCCTTCATATGTGCCACAGCTTATGCGGCTTTTTGAGATGAGCATCGGGGCATTGATTTTTTTTTTTTTTTTCCTTTTCATTCTTTTAGGTGCAAACAGATTAAATTAAAAAATTATCAATTCCTTTTCTATTCGAGCAAAAGTATGGCTGCACAAACTAAGAGGAGAAAGCATGCGGTACTTCCAGGTAAAGATGTTAAACGAGGAAGATCAGAATTACGAACTATTACACGTACATCGCGTCGAGGAATTTCAACTTCACTACAGGAAGCTGAAAGTGAAGATCTGAAAAAAAAAATGGAAGGTGAACTGAACTTGAGCGAGAATGATGATAATAGTGTAGAAGAAGACGAACTGAATGAGCAAGAAAAGGGAAAAGCTTATAATGCCCTTTTGACTTTACTCAAATCGGACCAAATAGTAGTTGATGGAAAAGAAAGCAAAAGCACAGCGCTAGGGGACGAAAAAAATAACAATGGTGGTGTTAAAGTTGAAGACGGATCTGACGAGGAAAAAGAGTTTGATGAAGAAGCGGCGGGGTTGAACATGGAGGAGGAGGAAGAGGAGGAAGAAGAAGAGGAGGAAGAAGAAGAGGAGGAAGAAAACAATAGTGATAATGAGCTGGATAATGAAGACTCAGCCAAGGGTATAAACAATGACCCCTTTGAAAGTCATTTTAACCAGGTTTCAGAAGAATACCTAGACAAAGAGGAAAAACTTGTTTTTTCTGAAAAAGAGAAATGGAAAATCCTGGCCAAAGAAGTCTATTCTGATTTATCATTAAGTTCATTCACGCAACTACCACCAGGTTCTTCAATTGAAGTGCCACCAACTCTGCCTAGAGGAAGAAAAGTATCTGATTTTTTATTGAAAAAAAAAGTTTGTGAGACTTTTGCTAACGAGTATGGAAAAGAGCTATCAAAGTTAGACTCTGTGCTACTTCGACCAATTTTGAACTATCAAGATATCAATTATCAATATAAGAACCATTCTAATAAAACGTACCGAAAACTATATGTTTTGCACGCACTCAATCACATTTACAAAACTAGAGATAGAATAATCAAAAATACTTTGAAACTAAATCAATCGAAGGAAACTGGCGAGGATTTGGAATTAAGAGATCAAGGCTTTACAAGACCCAAAGTACTAATACTTTTACCAACAAGAGATGCATGTAATGAAATTGTCGAGATGATCATCAAACTCTCAGGAACTGACCAGCAAGAAAATAGGAAAAGATTCACCAGCCAATTTTTCTCAAGTGACAAGGTTGGAAGGAACAAGCCCAGCGATTTCCAAGACGCATTCAACGGCAACAACAACGATTTTTTTTGTATTGGATTGAAATTAACGCGCAAGAGTTTGAAGTTGTATTCTTCGTTTTACTCCTCGGATATCATACTAGCTTCACCCATCGGTTTGTCAATGATTTTGGAAAACCAAGACAAGAAGAAAAGACAGTACGATTTCATATCATCTATTGAATTATTGGTTGTTGACAAGACAAATCAAATTGAAATGCAAAACTGGGACCATGTAAATACCGTAATGAAATATGTCAACAAGGTGCCTAAAGAGTTTCATGACGTTGATTTCAGTAGGGTGAGAATGTGGAGTATAAATGACCAAGCCAAATTACTAAGACAAACGTTGGTGTTTTGTGAATATCTCACACCATCCATAAGCAACCTCATCTCATCCAAATCGTACAACTTAGCAGGCAAGGTAAAATTTAAGCCAATTATAACTTCTGAAAGTAGCATGATGAATTCAATTGGACTTAGAATAAGACAAGTATTCCAAAGATTTGACAGTGTATCGCCAGCAGCGGACCCTGATGCGCGTTTCAAGTACTTTTCAAATGCAATTGTTCCTAATTTACTAAAGACATCTGCCTATGGTGATGGTATCATGATTTGGATTCCTTCGTATTTTGACTATTTACGAATAAAGTCATTTTTCAAACAATCTACGAAATTCAATTTTGGATCAATCGATGAATACAGCTCACAATCAAAACTAACACGAACAAGACATGAATTTGCGACTGGCAAAATAAACATATTATTATACACAGAAAGATTGCACTTTTTTAGACGGTACGAGATCAATGGTGTCAAAAGTTTGTTGATGTATGCTCCTCCATCAAACCCTCTTTTTTACAAAGAGTCCATACGATTTATTGGCAAATCTATTTTCAAAGAAGAATGCGATTTAAACCTAGCAGCTGTTAAAGTCCTCTTCTCCAAATGGGATGCTAATGCTTTGGAAAGAATTGTGGGGAATGAAAGAGCTCCAGTATTGTGCAACTCTCAAAACGAAACGTACGAATTTAGGTGAGGAATCAATAAAAAACGCATAAATGTAGAAGTGCCTGAATCAGGACGAGGAAGACCGCGTGAATCAAGAAGGAGACCGCGTGAATCAGGACGAGGAAGACCGCGTGAATCAAGCGTCAATCTAGGTGTCGATTTATCTCTTAGCTGTCCCCTTTTTTAATTTTAATTTTTTTTTTATTTTTCTTTCATGTACTTAATGTATTAAAGGCCATTATAAAACATCCAATAGCAACGTATGGACTTAACCTTTCTCCTATTCTAGCAAATTTATAAAAAACACTCAAAATACCCGATTTCCTGTTATCCAAAATAGCAGGTGCAATACTATGGATATATGTGCATGTACAAATCAATAGTAATATCACTTGTAACAATGATTGGAAATTAAATAAAGCAGACTAAAAAAAAAAATCAACCAAAACAACAAGAGGAGGGGAAAAAAAAAGACTAGTTAGTTTTATATTTGCATATTAACTTTTAACCCATAATATCAAAAGAAAGAACCATACCATATCTGTGTGGCCCGTGTGTTATATTGAATGTGTATCAATAAAGAAAGAAAAGATTGTTACAAGTAATCAACCTTTTTTTTTTTTTCTCTCTCTCTCTCTTTCTCTCTCTGTATAGAATTGTTGAAAGCATCTAGACTTGTATAGTTCCGCTACCAAACATTAAACATCATCATTAAAATCTATAAAGGGGCTAAAACTACACCTTACAAAATTCGATAAACTTGTAACAAATCTCTACTTCTTGATCAATTTGGATACTTTTGAAGGTACGTCATACTTACCGCAAATGACCTCGTAGAACTTCAACTTGGACATGTCTTGATGCAGAGCAGCTCTCTTTGCAAAAAAAGCGTCAAATTCCTCAACATTATTGAGTTTGATTGATTCATGAGTTATTCCCTCTTCACCGCCAAACGTCAGTAGTAAATCGCACCATTTCCAATTAGCGTTAATGTCATTATATGGTCTGTTTGGACCTTTGATTGCACGCTCAATAGTGTATCCATAATTGTTAATCATATAAATTTGAGGCTTGTTTGGTAATATATCGTGGTATCTGATAAAGCTTGACAATTCCTGTACAGTCATTTGCGCTCCTCCGTCACCTTGGACTAAAATAATTCTGCCATTCATATGCAAGTCATTAGATGCAAAAGTCGCGCCAAAAGAGGCAGGTAGTGCCCACCCAATCGATCCCCACGCTGTAGATGAAAGAAGTTTCACACCTTTGGTAAATTTTACATCAGGTAAACCAAACACAAATGACATTGTATCCACTATAAACAAGTCCCCGGGTTGAAAAGTTTGATTAAAGTGGTCAGTCAATTTGTCCTGTGGTACAAACTGAGAATCCAATTCTGATGCTCGGTATTGGTTTGAAGCTTCATAATGCTCTTCAAAGGGCTTGGTTGCAACTAATTTATTCGCATCAAACTTCTCAGCCAAAACCTCCAAAAGTGAACCAATTTGAAACAATCTTTCTCCATCAGATTGCTTGATATTGTACGTTTTGCCATTGACCTGAACATAATCTGGGTGCAAAATGACAACGTCTTTGATACGTGAAAAATCGGTGGAAAAAGTGCCATTGTTCATTTCGGTATTGTAATATCCAAGGAGAAGCAAGAAATCAGACGACTCAAGAAGCTGCTGAACTCTGGGTGTAGCCGATCCGCCACCATTATAGACACCAGCATAGTTGCTCTTTGTTTCGTCAACATTTCTTCCAAAATTGGATGTGAAAATTTTCACCGACTCGGGTAATTTTTCAATAAGATTATCAAGTTGCTTTTGAGCTCCGAATCGAGTGGTTAAACAATCAGACAAAACTGACGGGTTTTTAGACTCATAAAACTTGACCAAAATTTCATCAGAAATTGTATCCAACAATTTTGAAAAGATTTCAGTGTTTTCGTATTTGGAAGCCAGCGAAAATGGATTTGCAAATAGCAGTTGCGACGATATTTGCAAATCAGGTATGTCACAAGGAATAAACAAATAACCTGGTCGTCTTTCTTGGATAATCTTTTTCAAAACTTTATCAATCTTTTCTGAATTTTCATCCATGTCAGAAGTTAACGTTTCTTTAGCACAAGAAATTGCGTCAATCATCTTTTCATAAACTAAATGATCAGGGGTCTTGAAACAGTCATGATTAGGAAGAAGATGGTGCAAGTTTTTCACTTGACTTTTTCCTTCTTCTTGCTGCTTTAATGAAGTCATACCAACAATATGCAAAACGGGACTATACTCGGCAAAAGCACCAGCAATACCATTTATTGCAGACAATTCTCCTACACCATAAGTTGTGATTAATACTGATAACCCATCGATAACTCTAGCATAAGCATCTGCAGCATAAGCCCCATTCAATTCATTGCATACATTAATAAGCTTTACACCCCTGTTGGCAACAACCGGTGAATAAACATGGTCTATAAAATTGAGATTAAAGTCACCAGGAATGCCAAAAATTGTTTTCAACTTTGGGTTGGCTTGAGTAATTCTGTAAAAAATGAATTCTGCAAGGCTTATACTACTAGGTACTTCAATTGGAGTTATTGTAGCAGAAGTTTGCTGTGAAGTATTTTGAGACAAGATTTCTTGAATTGGAACCATTTCCCCTATTTTCAAAGTTTTGCAGTTGGTTTATAGGAAAAGAGAGAAAAGATGAGGAAGAGAAGAGAGGAAAGAGAGTTTGCTTTTTGAGACTGGAGGGGGGAGGGGGACATGAGCAAGACTATTTATAAACAACCTTTACAAGCCCCTGGCTTGCATACGATTTTCTTTTTTTTTTGGATTTTGCAATAAATCACACATTTGGTTTTTCCCGCTTTATCCCGCTACTTAGTGCCAATGTGTAAGAAGTGCTGAATAAATATAACTTTCTTTTTCAATACTTAATGATCTCTTTTGCATTTTCGCAAGTGTAAGTATTAATAATTTCTATCATGCAATAACTCGGTTATAGAAGGAAATGGGGGGGAAAACAATAAAATTGAGCACTCTCAACTTTTATGGTCACTTCCTTCCTTTTTTTTTTTTTTCGAATGCCGCTATTTACCGATTTCTATACATCTTTGTTGTTTCTTAGTGTTGCCCTTAGTTTTTCCAATATAGTCTCTCTTTCCACGTATTTCTACACATTTTTTGTACTTGCGTGTATTGAAGAAAAAGTACACTTTTTTGACTATGTAGATCAACAATTGGGACTTGCGAAGTTGTCCATGATCTTTTGATAGGTATGTATTGAATGCGTTTTACAATTGACGAATAAAGTCTAAGCCATTTGCAGTGTTACACCTTTTTTTTTTTTTTTGGCTCAGCGCAGTAATGTTTACTTTCATTTGATCGTTTATGCTGTTTTTATTCAAAAATACAGCAGCATTTTCGTAATAGGAGGTGGGGAAGATATGTCTTTAACTCAAAAGTGTCAAAAAAAAACCTTGTATTGAAAAGCAATCTTCCTGTCAAATCTTCAAGCTACCATCTACTTCTCTCTTCTAACTCAAATAGTTTGTTCTCTGTTGTACACTCTCTACACTACTATAAACTACTCTATTCGTTCAATTAGAGGAGCCACAGGTGAATCTAGTCTCTGTTCCTAAAGTCTTTTTGACTCCACTATGACGCCTTCGGCGTTATAGTTTCGAAGACTAGTGTTTTAGTGATGCTATTACCTCATCTATACTCTCCTTACTATACGCTGGCCCGTATTCATGACATTTCTCTTTTCCCTTTAATCGATTCATCACTTCTACTGCATCACAGTCTTGTCGAGAGATATACTCCCAGGAAGAGAAAACAGAGAAGACCCTCTGCCCCAGTTGATCATTACCACCTTGCTCCCACTCAGCACTTGGCATCTCCTGCTCTAATCCAGCACTTGACAATTCATGCTCTAACATAGTACTTGACATTTCATGTTCTAGCATAGCACTTGACATTTCATGCTCTAGCATAGCACTTGACATTTCATGCTCTCCTTGCCCTTGCCCATCCCAAGCAATCGACGTATTAGACCACATATCTGTCCCTATTGGTTTCCCTTTTCTCATAGTGTTCTCCATTCCCATTCCATTCGGGAACGAGAACTTCACATCAGTTCTTCTCCTTTCATCTAACTCATTTTCTAGTCTTTTTCTTATTTGTTCGCTTTCACTCAACTTCTTTTCTAATTCTCTCAATTTTGTTTCTTTTCGTTCCCGAAACGCCCTCTGTGCTGCTCGGTTTTGCTCTCGTCTCAACTCCTCTGCGCTTTTCGAGGACAAGTTTTTGATAGCCTCGGACTGATCTTCTATAGCCTGGTATTCATACATAGAGCCTACCATACCCCAAATAAAGTAGTGTACTGAATATATTACAATATTTACCTTTGTGAACCTTTTGAAAATTACAAAACTGAGCAAAAAAACTACACTCTGACCATTCTACTCTATTGTTTTTCACTTCACTAGCGAGCCAAAGACAATGTTAGGAACACACTCTACTCTGCCCAACACTTTCTTTTGGTGATTTGCTCCACTTGATGTTATGGAGGGAACCTATAGCGCTAATATATATATATATATTAGCGATATCAGTTTTATATATCTTGCAAACTGGGCTTAATAGAAATGCACGAAAATGATTTTTAAAATCAAGAGTATCTATAATAGAAGAACTCTCATTTTAATACTTGTATGACCCATATACTGTATGCTTCATTAAACGGGCCTTAGTTGAACCATAAGTCATGTCTATTATTAGTTTTTGAAATAAACAACTTACCTAGGGTTGCTTACAATCTTGCTGAAGTAGAAAAAAAACTCATTATATGTATCTATTCAAAAGCTGTCTAGTCGATCATCAAACTTTCTTTGGTTCTACATTTAAGCCTTCAGCTGTTTTTTTACCTTTTCTTCTTTTCAAACTGAAAATGAAAAGTATAGAAATATTCATCTATTGAGTATCATTATGGTGAAAAATGTTGTAATGAATATTAATTTGGGCAGTTTCAGGGTAGTACAGTAATTTAACCATTTATAGAGAAAAAAGCAAAGAAAAATACTCAATGACAATCAGAAAGTCTTTCATTATATTATCTTTACCAAATACGTAGAAGCCAATTCTTATTATATTGAAATGAAATAACCGTAGGAGACAAGTTTACAATAAAGTATCGAAAAGCAACAATAACATATAAATCTAGGCCTTCAACAAATAGAGGAAGGACATGAAAAAAAAATTACAGAAACGTGTAGCAATAGATCTGGGATGAAGAAAAACTTGTCTAACATCAGGGCTATTAAAAAAGATTCCTGATGAATTGCAAATTTGTTTTTTCTAATCACTCTCCCCATTGGAAGAGGGGAAGAAACAAAATAGAAAGAAAAAGTAAAAGGAAAGGGAGGGCAAGGAGGAGATGAATTTTTTTACGCAAGTTGATTTTGACCCCTTTTCCCTTTTCCCTTTTCCCTTTTCCCTTTTCCCCTTTCCTCAATTCGTAATCATTCATAAAAGAAGCTGCACAGTGCTTGATGTCAGTAACTAAATATCGTGCGACCTTCCTTCGTCATTTACAATTCTTTTTTGTTTTTTGGACGAGCTTATAGATAGTATTGGTTGCGAAAAAGAAAAGAACCAAAAGGAAAAAGCCAGTCATAACTTGCAAAAAAAAAAAAAGAAAAGAAAAGAAACAAAAAGGTTGATCCGATGAAATCATTATGTGTGATTGAAGAAGCAAAAATTGCAATCACTTCAGCTGAGCTAAGCCCAGCTGAAGTTTCAGTCGAGTCCCCCCTTTCAAAAATAGTTTCTAAAAAGTAACACTTTAGGTGAGAAACTATAATACAGCACTATAGTTCAGAAACCGAGAAAATCATACACCAGCTATTTTAAACGAGTTGGGATTTCATTTTGCTTGATTTCCGTTGTCAAGTTGGGATTTCATTTTGCTTGGTTTCCGTTGTCAAGTTGTCAAAGGCATGTCCAGTACATAACCGCTTTTTCGCTTGTACTATAAAACGGCTTTTCTTTTTTGAATTTATTCATCATATGTAGGTAACTTACGCAAAATCATATTTTAAGCTTCAGTGTCGACTTGGATTTGGGTGTGAAAATTTTTTTTTCCTCTCAAACTTAAACCTAGGTGCATCGCTTAATGTGCCAACGTATCTAATTTCGCATATACCGATAAAGAAAGAATAGGAGAAAACAAGTCAAATAAGCAAGACATTGTCCAAAATAACCGTCACAAGTTGCGGAGTGAAATAGCGATGCGCAATGGTGCGGACCCGACCCTTCTTTTCATGGTAGATACACGATATGTGAACCAGTGCTAGTAAATTGTATCAAGTAAACTATTTATTATCCCATTATCAACTGGGTTCGCTTATTTGTGCCATCAACTGAGCCCATCTGTGATTCCTCCTTTGGCTTCAACAAAGGAAAAAAAAAAATCCAAAAAAAAAAAGCTCTACAATTTCATCTCTATCTTCATTTTCGATTTCTTTTTTCATTCCATTAGCTTCATTACTTGTGGCAAAGGATCAAAAATTATTTTTCAATGTCCAAGCAACAAAGACACTATCGAGCAAAACGAGATAGTGTCGTACCAAGCTACTAAGTGTTGAAAACCTTTTTTTTCTTTAGGTTGTGTATTCAATACTCTAAACCTCTTTATTTCAAACGAGAAACTTTTTTCAGGTTCAAAGACAATTTGATATCTCTACCAAAATATAGTCTGCAAAAACAGTATATGCACCATAAATCCATATTTAGATGGAGCAGATTTGTTGACCAAGTACACGAACAAAATATTATGAACAATTATGTTAAATGCTTGTAATAAATAGTAAAGAGTAATATTTGACGCAGATGATTAATGTACGGGGATGATCTCATGTTTAGGTGTGTGTAGACAATAAATGAGTCCGAATTCTCGGGTGATAAAAAATGGTGATTATGGTGGTCCCTAATACATACTTCTAGATTGAGTATTGCCAATAAGATAATTTTGCATTGTAGAGAAAAAAAAAAAGAAAAAAGGAGAATGCGAGTAGAACCAACATGTGGGGAGATATTACTTTCCTTGCCTCATATTCAGAGTACTAGCTATTATTTGGATTTGACTGGCCTTGCTGGTTTACGGCCATTGTGAACTATTGTTCATGACGGAAATTCCATCTTGGATCTTGAATATTGTTACAGTTTAATAATATGCTTTTTTCCCTTTCTCAACTGAGGCGTGAAAAAACAGCAGACATGTACGATATTAGTATGTACAAGTTTAGCTCTGAAAAAGAACTAATCAACATTAACATAATATATGCCCTGAAATGAGACTATGAAATTAAATATTGTCAAACAAACCTAGAATCATAACTACACACTCAACTCACAAGAGGTGAAGAGTAAGCCGCTTACACACGAAATTACAAGAGTAAAATTTTTACATAAATCACGGTACAGTTTAAAAATAACGACTTACTATCTACTGGCACATTTCCATGATAATAACAAGGATGGTAGTTCTGAAGAGGACACACTTCCATGAAAATAATAACGATGGTTTCTGAAAGAGAACATATTTTCCTGAGATAATGGGGTAATTTGAAAAGGACACTTGTACTCAAGTGTTACTTGTCCCATGTACCCACTCTACTTTTAAATTAATTTGAACTAATTTACCCTCTTTTGGTAAAAACCCATATTGTATGTACAGGACACCACATCATCAAGTCGTTGAATACTTCAACCTATGTATTACGCTATGAATTTTTTTTCAGGGCGTGTACCAATAACAATTTCTAAAACAAAAAAGAAAAAAAAATTGAGAGTGTGTGTACAAGATGCGAACTTTGGCCATATGATTTTGTAAGATGGAGGCTTGTAAAATGACATTACTTTATTTGATAAAAAGCGTATAATGAAATTGCATTATTTGATAAAAAACGTATAATGACATTGCTTTATTTGATGAAAAGCGTTTTATATTGCCCTTGAAATGAAACGCTTTTCACTCTCAGACCCGTGTCGGGAGAAACCCCTGTTCTGATGATAAAACTTGGTATATCTTTCTACACTGCTTTTTTTTTCCTCACCGCCCCCAATTTTGATCTTTTTTTTTTTCTATTAACTATGTCAAACTTGCGTGCGTGTGTGTGTATTGCCTCTTTAAAGTTTAAACAGGGGTCAAGATTGCAAAAAAAAAAAAAAATGTATTTTTCAATTTAGCGATTCTAGACGCACATGGTAGCTCTATTTAGCATCTCTACGTCGAGTCGTGCAATTTTTAATCTGTGAGACTAGAGCGGCGTGCGTTAGCTAGTAAACTTTTCTTTCTTTTTGTTCTTGGAGCTTTCAGCATAACGCTTTGTTTATTAAAAAAAAAAAGAAAAGCAATAATGGTTTCGATCTTACTTACTAAAGGAGACTGAAGCTTAGGTACTGAATTGTATCTTTGGATATAATAGATTCATTCATTTTTGCCACCGTATATAATATTTTGCTGTTAAAATATAAAATGTACAAAGTACTTCTACTAGGGCCTGACATAAATGCAGGATACACCACAATATTATTGTTTGTGTAAGTGTTCAATTGTGTTTATTGTGTAGGAGTTCAATTGTGGGTATTGTATGTGTGTCAATTTCGCAACTTGTGAAATTTCTTTTCTTTTTTATTTAGTTTTTTTTTTTTCATTAGTGTCAGATTTGGACAACATATAAACACTACATCACAATATATGCAATTTGCTAAAAGAAGAAATCGATCATTAATGCAATATTGCACATAAATTTAAGGTTAGATCACAACAAGATGTATAAATATCACAACATTTCTTTCTACTTCAAACGTTCATGTTGTTTTCTATCAAAAAATTCTTTCTTTTTTTTTTTTCCCCTTCCTTTCACTATATCGACCAAATTTGATTTCACTCATTTAGTATCACACGCTAGGATCTTTTACTTTTCCTTGTGCAACAACCAACCAACTATTGTCTTTCCTTAAATCAAGATTAGAAACTTAGGCGTTTACTAAGCTTCAAATTATATCCAATCTTTTTATCATAGTTTTATTGTTGATATCCTTTAATTTTTTATTTTTTTTTTTTTAAGTAGTTGAGATAAAAAATGAAAACTTCAGTTTTGAGTTTGTTGACTATTGCTGCTGCTGCTTTAGCGGCTCCTGCATCTCACCAACATCATCAACACCACCAACACCAAAAGAGAGCTGTTGTTACTCAAATTGTTTATGTTGACTCTAAAGGTAACACTCTTTCCGGTCCATCTGCTTCAGCTCACCCAGTACTTGCTGAAATTTCAACTTCAGCTACTATTCAAGCCCCAGCTGCCGAAACTACCCAAGATGAAGCAAAAACCACTTCTTCTTCTTCATCATCAGTTGAAGAATCAACCTCAACTGATGCTCCAGCTTCATCTGAAACTCCTTCATCAGGACAAGGTTCAATTGCCGGTGACTTATCTGCCTTTGCCGATCCATCTGAAAAATTCCAAGACGGTGTTTACTCATGTGATTCCGTTCCAGTTGGTCAAGGTGTTATCGCTGTTGATTGGATTTCAGGTTTAGAGGGAGGTTGGACCACGGTTATGAATGAGAAAGGTGATACTTCATCAAACTGTAAAGATGGCTACTACTGCTCATACGCTTGTCAAGCTGGTATGTCCAAAACTCAATGGCCATCTAATCAACCAGACAGTGGTATTTCCGTTGGTGGTTTATACTGTAAGAATGGAAAATTGTATAGATCCAACCCCAACGAAGACTACTTGTGTGCATGGGGAGCAAACAATGTTGAGTTTGACTCTCAAATTTCCAAAGATGTTGCCATTTGCAGAACTGATTATCCAGGTTCTGAAAATATGAACATTCCAACCTTGTTATCTGCTGGTGGTGATGCTCCTGTTTCAGTTGTTGATAGCGACAATTACTACACTTGGAAGGGAGGTAAAACTTCTACCCAATACTATGTTAACAATGCTGGTGTATCTATTGAAGATGGATGCATTTGGGGTACTGCAAGTTCCGGTGTTGGTAATTGGGCTCCAGTTGTTTTGGGTGCTGGAACCACTGGAGGAAAAACTTACTTGTCATTGATTCCAAATCCTAACAATAAGGAAAAACCAAATTACAACGTCAAGATTGTTGGTGATGATGTTAATGGTGCTTGTAAGTACGAAAATGGCCAATACAACGGTAGTGGCTCTGATGGATGTACAGTTACTGTCAACTCAGGTAAAGCCAAATTTGTCTTTTATTAAAGAGGAAAATAAATTTCAATCAAATTTCTTTTTTTCTTTCTTTTGTGATTGTTTTTTGGTGCCATATTTTGTTCCCTTTTTTTTATATATATATATTTTCATTCAGCTTGGGGATTACTGTTAACCTCATCATCGTTGTATGATTGAGAGGACAGTAGGTTACCAAAGATAAAGGGAAGGAATGTGTGATTATAGTTTTATTTTTTTTTTTTATTCAACTGTTTTTCTATTATGATAACCGTTATCTTCGATTGGTTGTATTACTCGTATATATGTTCTTCTTTTTTTATTATATATTTGGTACCATTTATTTTGTATCTACAATTTTAATTGTAGAAAGAGTTTTATTCTTGTTATGTATGGAGTAGGTTAGTCCCTTTTATCCAAATGCTAGTGTATTGCAATAACTTATAATCAATTCATTATTTGTCTTGAACAAATTGTATAGATCACCGATTTTTTCATCGGGATTTGGTTCAAACGAGTTTTGAATATATAAATGAAATGGTGCCTTTTGTTTTAATTTTTGACATAGAAATTTGTTAATAGTTGATACTGTTTGGGTAGTAGATATTTTAAATACTTTTGGAACAATTCCTCTAGTTGAACCAATGGGTTGAAACCGTAGACTAATTTTATTACTTTCAATAGCTAGTTTTTGCTCCCCCTCCTCCCCTTTTCCCTCCTCCCCCTTCTCTTTAGCACTAGTTTTACTAAATACCAATGTCTTTAATCTCTCATGATGTATTTGTTCGTTTATAGTTTGTTCTAATTTCTGTTGACGACTAATTGGTAACTGGTCTAGAATAATCGAAGTCGATATCGGTATCATGGGTTTGGGTCTGGTATCGTCGTCTTCAATCTGTTGTATATTTGCATTTTCTTCCAATGAAGAGGATAAACTAGAGGATTTTTCAGTATCTGACTTTGATTCTGAGTCTGAATCTGACTGTCGTATAATCGATGACATGGTTCTTTACAAATTATACCTTGCTTGGAACAAAAGAATCTATTACCAACACTCTTGTTGTCTCCTTTTCTTTCTCTCTTCCTTCTTTTCCTCTCTTCTTTCCTCCTTTACCTCTCAACCTGTCCCTTTCCTCTTTGCTCTTCACTCTCGCGATTGCGCGCTACATCAACGAGCCCCGAAAAAAAAAAAAAATGAAGAACATCCAATTGTAATGCTGATACAGAACCACTAGTCATCTGAACCCCCCCCCCCTCTAGGTGTTGCGAGACTTTGTTGTTATGGCAGATGAGAGCATTCATGAATTGACTTCAACGTCAAATTCAATCACTAGTGAGTCTACTCTAAAGGAGGTACCCGAACAAGCACAATTCGATCAAGTGCTTGAGAATATAGAATCTGGTGCTAGAGATGCTGTTGAAAGCAAGGATTATTTATCATACAGTACGTTGTTGGATATCTATCTTCAAGAACCAAAGAGATATAGCAAAGAGCAAAGAGAGCTCTTATTGGAATGTGTATTGAAAACTTTGGAGAAGAACCCCGAATTGACTTTTGAGATTGGATGGGATTTACCATCGATAATAATTGCTTATGTTGACTCAGATTTCGATTTTTCAGTTGGAATAAGAAAAGCTCCATGCATTTACAAAGTGTTGAAAATTTTCGAAGTGCTCGCTAAAGAAGGTAATCCAAAGGAGCTTTTTTTGAAAAGCTGTGAGCTATTGGAAACTTTGAATGTGAACCTCGAAGATAAGGTAGACGATTACGTACAACTCCAGCAGGAGAATTTCTTTGACATTAAAGTGTACTGCGTGAATGAATTGATCGATGCAAGTATGAAAAAGATACGTACACTTTATCCTTCTAGATTCGTTGCGATGGCGGTGGCATCATTTATCAATTTGGTTTACAACCTTAATCAGTCATCCTGTTCAATTGAAAATTACCGTTTTGTTTTGCGAAGAGCATACGTTTTTGTAAGAAACTATTCCGGATTACCAGAACCAAGTGACCTTTCCCAACACTCAAAAGAAGACCTTGAACGAGTTCGGCTGGATGAAGCATACTTGCAGAGAAAATTATTAACAGGATTTCTGACTAATATAATCACAATCTGTACAAAGTGCCATGCTGATGGATTTGCGTTGGATCATTTTTGCAGATTGCAAAAACGCTCTGGAAAAACACCGATTTACGACTTTGAGTATCAAAACGCGATAATGGATAGATGGGTAGAATTGGCCAACCTGTTTGATTTGTATTTGAAAAATATTTTTGAGAAATTTATCAAGGAGACTAATGACTTATTTAGACAAGTAGAACTAAATGCGGATGACGCTACTGAGATGTTATTCGAAAAATGTATTGTTGATTATCAAAACAATATATACACGAATGTGGTGAACACTACAGCGACCACTATTAACAATTCAATATTGGGTGAGTTAATTCTATTCACTGCCTCAGCGATGAGAAAAGAGCAACAGCAGCAAGAGCAACAGCAACAGCAGCACATGCATGGAGTCAGCATCGAGTTCAGAGACGTCATTTATATGGCCTTGAGGTTAGTCATCCCACAGATGGTGCAATCTGCATATAACCATAAAACAGTACAAGATGTTGTTTTGTATTGGATATGGTTTGTATTGTCTCAAAAAGAGATATATCCAAAAAAGAGCAGTAGTATTCAGATAGACATAGCCTCAACACCAAAAGTGTTCTTGCTTGTTTTTTACCAACTGCTACTATTTATTCTAACAGATAACGACACCCCCGTAGCAAGGTACATGATTCTCACTTTACTCACGAAATTGCTATATTTAAGCCCCGAATCAATAGGTTATGAATTTATTAAGGACACATTAGAGAACTGCCCTTATGAGTCGGTCCGCCCAGCTTTAATTGGAACATTTAAAGAATTGTTGTTGATTCTGCGAAACGATGATGATGTGGTCGAAGATTTGAATTTGGATAAAGCTTCTTTGGGGAGTACAAATTCAGGTGGTGCTTCCTCTTCTTCACCACCATCACCACCACCACCGCCAAAATTACCACCAAGACAATCCTCAATTAGTTATGGAAAACATTACACTTTGAATAAAGAAAAGCTCAGTGATATGTTAGAATTGATGCTCATGGCACATTCAAATTGTATTGTAGTTAAAGACAAAGAAGTTCTGATAGACTCAAAGAAATTGTCCACTTTAGCTGCATACTTGAACTTTTTTGTAGGACTCAAGAGGCATAATGTGGTTGTTGAAAATAAGAACAAAATTGAGAAAGTATTGAGTATAATAGAAAAGGATCTAACGCAGGTAAAAGAGCATAACGCTAATCAATTTGAGAAAAACGCAGCTGCTATGCTTCAACTCACGATTGAGAGATTCAGAGAATAAGCAAAGAAGAAAAGGCGTATCTTGCAATTTTAACGTATGTGTTTACTGTAAAATATCTTACTGACTGTTTATTGTTTGTTTGTTTGTTTGTTTCATTTCATTTCATTTTTTTGACTTGGACGACCCCTTCTTCCCGGAATTTCGATCATCTATAAGTGGTCCCCAATAAACAAAAAAACCTTCTTTTGTTGTTGAAATCTCTTCCTCCATCTGCAATTCAATATCATCGATAAATGGATCCTCAAAATCGTATTTACCAACTTTTCGAATCATTCTAATCTCGTGTTGTCGTACCAACTGTTCCTCTGTTAGTTCTTTTCCTCTTGGCTGTACTGGTAATTGGTATCCTGCTGAAGTTGTGTTCTGTTGCTTTTCTTGATCATCTATCAAATCGTCATCGTCGTCATTATCATCTTCATCTTCATCGTCAATCATATCGTCAATTATATCTATAGCTGACTTAGCCTTGGGATGTATCACTGACCAACCATACTTATCTTCAGCTAATTTCAATACATTTACAACAACTTCGGCTTTACCAGGTTGTGGATTTTTTGGATCTAAAAGAGGTATATTCAATGCAATAATGGGAGTTTCAATTTTTTCCTTTTCCTTTTCCTTTTCCTTTTCCTTTTCCTTTCCAATAGATGGTTTCTCCAGAGTCGATCTATCCAGGATTGGTTTCTCCAGAGTTGATCTATCCAGGATTGATGTCTCCAAAGTTGGTTTGTCCAACCTCTTTTTCGCATTTTCCTCATTCAACAAAGAGACAGCCGTAAATGATGATAATGCTGTTTCTTCATTCACAACGTCAGCTTCTTGAGGATTTAACAAATCAATTACTGACGGTGCTGATAGTTTCACAACAGGCCGGCTATCGGATTTTTCAGTCGTCATCCCCGGTTGCAATGGTTTCTTGATCGGGACGTCAGATGCAGCAGCTTGCTTTCGTAGTATTTGTTGAAATTGCAGTGGTGTCAGCTGTTGACGCGAAAGCAGAGCCGGCGATTGTTGCAATTCTGGTGTTTGTTTCCGCTTTTTCGAATCAAATACTGTAAAGGAGCTTTTTCTTTTCAAAAGGTTATGATTAGCCAGTACCTCGTTTGACTGCAATGGAGTCAAAGGAGGAGCTGGTGAGGGGGAAGATGTACTATGGCCATCGTCCAAATTGATAATCGAGTTTATCGACGTCTTGCTTTTCGATTGTGCTTGCACAAGTGATGAAGAAACAGGATCGAGGTGAAATTTTGTTTGGAACCTTTTCACTTGACTAGCTAGATTTTTGGGCAACTTTTTTGGCGCAAGTGGTAGTGGTAATGATTGTTGTGATTGTTGTGATTGTTGTTGTGCAGCTGTTGTTGTCGTCGCCAGCGCCAGCGGTTTTGAGTTGAGCAGCCGACTTGGCTCATAAACTGAAGTTGTTTTAGCGATAGCTCTTGATGCAAGAAAGCCCTTTTTAAGTTTGGTGAGTTGGATCGGAGCAACTTCACTTACCGTCAATGAGTCTGAGTCTGAAGCGTTGAACGACGTTTGATACTTGGAAACAAGTAGCTGGATCGGCGAAATTGTACTTTTGGTGGGAGGTGCACAAGGTGCAGGTTTTTTCTTCAATACTGGTTGGCTTTTCAGTATTGGAGACAAAGCGCTGTTTCCATTGGAACTATTTGAGGGCGTTGAGTCTAATAACGAAGAAATTGATACATTTCGACTATTAACCTGTGACATAGGAAAGATATATCCCAACAAGACCAAATACAACCAGCCCACTAGTAAAAAAATTAATTTGGTTGCAAATTAATCAAATTGAGGGTAAAAGGATATTTCGTTTAACAACTCTTGATGAGAAAACCGCTATTGCCAAAGTAAGTCTTATGTTGGTATATAGAAAATTTTTCTCTATGAGTTTTTGTTTTTTTTAATTTTTTGGGTGGGCGGGGGAGATTAACTGCGAGAGTGGGAAAGTGAGAGGGTGTGTGAGGATGTGTGTGAGAGAGAGAATTTAGTATTGGCTGTTTCAATCTCCACGCTACATTTTTTTATCTCTCGCAGTGTTTTAACTAAACTCGATTTTGTTGGCCATTAATTAGGACATTGTTAACTATGGTCATTTTTAGCAAGAAAGAGCGAGAAAAAAAAAAAAAAAAAAAAAAAAAAAAAAAAAAAAAAAAAAAAAAAACAAAAAANAAAAAAAAAAAAAAAAAAAAAAAAAAAAAAAAAAAAAAAGAAAAAAAAAAGAACAAAAGACCTACAAAAGGAAGAGTGAGAACAGGCGAAAAAAGATTTTTATTGTTTTATAACTGAACTGCGCGCGCGCGTACACCAGTAGTAGTAGCCTCTGTGTGTGGGGGGGGGGGGCCGCGCGGTAGCGCAAACATAAATTGCAACCTCATGCAGCTGGTAGCGATGAAAAGTATTTGGCTTGTACTAAGAGATGAGAGGCAAAAGTGTGTGTCCCTTCTGCATGCTCTAGCTATATTCAGGTGACAATATCTCGCTCTGCTCGATAGTGGGGAACCACTGACTAGTGACACTATTACCAAATATGGGTGAAATGTTGTTTTATACATTTGCCTCGAATCTTTTCTTCTGCTTATGCTTTATATCTATATTATTGTTCGTCAAGTTTTTATGTTCTTTTCCTTTATTTTTCTTTTTTGAATCTTTTTTTTTTTTTGTTTCTAACAACATGTGCTCGATCCTTGAGTACCTTGCTCATTATTTTCAATACTTATATCTATCGTCTCCGACTTATTAGACGTCTGGAGCTCCCCACCGTTCGCTTCGTCTTCCTCGCTATTAAACTCAGGCAATGCTTGTGCAATTTTCTTGAACAATAATTTCACATTGTGATTAGCTTTTGTTGATGTTTCAATGAAAAATTTCGAGCCAATTTTATTGTGCAACTGCTCAACATCCTCTACACTCACTTGTCGCTTTTCATTTGCTAAATCCAGCTTATTTCCTACTAACACAATAATCACATCGTCTCCTCTCTCTATTTTCACATCCTTGATCCATTTGTCCAAATTTGTAAACGATTTTTTGTTGGTGATATCATAACAAATAACAGCAACATGGGAGTCTCGTATATATGATGGTATCAATGACCTGAATCTCTCTTGACCTGCTGTATCCCACAACTGTAACCGAATAGTCTTACCCTCTTCGAGGTACATAGTTTTGCTCAAAAAGTCTATTCCAATAGTCGTCGCATATGTTTCGTCAAATGTGTCATACATGAACCGCGTTATCAAAGATGTCTTTCCCACACTCTGATCTCCCAAAAATACAATCTTGTATTTTTTGAGAATATTTGACTTATCTGAATTCATATTGAACAAAAGAAGAGGGGTAAAAAAGAACAAAAACTTGAGAATGTGTAAGCCCCTTGTGGCAATGAGTATCTGCTTACTTAATCAATGACTATTCTACCGTTGACTTATCCACTTTATTCTTCCTCTTTTCTTGGTCTGACTCCGAGTCTGACTGGTCAACGGTTTTCAATCACTTTGATTTCTTTGATTGTTCTTTGATTTTTTCTATTTTTTTTTTTTTTCCTACAAAGCAGACAATGTTAATTTTTCGCTTTTAAAGAGAAGAAAAAACTGTTTTGTAATTGGGGACCATACCAGAGTTTGAGTTGGACTTTGCATTCCCAAGAGAATAAAGCATTCACAAGCACTCCAGGAGAGGAGGGAAGGGGGAGCATAAGTTATTTGAGTTTGTTAAACCAATTTAAAGCTTCAAGTTTAATTGCATCATCACTTTTTCTTTTTGAAATTAAATGGACGACGCGGAATTGAGAGCTATAAGAGAGGCTCGTATGGCCGAGCTACAAAAAAACGCAGCTAGCGGTATCGGCCCAGGATCTTCTCAACAGCTGCAGCTGCTGCTGCAGCAGCAATCTGCAGCTAATGATATGGCGGCCACTATTTTGGGAAGGGTTTTAAATAATGAAGCTAGGGAAAGGCTAAGTAGGGTTAGAATGGTACGCCCTGATAGAGCACAAGCAGTTGAGGAGTATATCATCAAACTATACTCAATGGGCCAGATAAATGGCAAATTATTAGAAAAGGATATTGTTAATATTTTAGACGGATTGAGCAGAGATTTGCAGGCAAAGAAGCAAACTAAGATTGTATATAATCGGAAACAACTTGACGACGAGGACGATGATGATTTTTTTGACTGAAGGAGGAAAAGTCGGGTAATGCTGAAGTAACTAGTATCCTTGTTGCTCCTACCTCATTCTATTGAAATAAATAGCTAAATGTATAAATTACAACTCTTCACTATCGGCACTATCGACACTATCGAGCAGAGTGAGATAGTGGAGTCACACAGACTAGCTGCTACCGACACTATCAACACTATCGACACTATCGAGCGGAGCGAGATAGTGGAGCACACTAGCTGCCACTGACTCTATCGACACTATTGACACTATCGAGCAGAGCGAGCGCACTAGCTGCCACCAACACCATCGAGGAGAGCGAAATAGTGGAGTCGCACAGACTAGCTGCCACCCACATGCCTTCACAATAGCTTTAAAACCACCTCTAGTTACAAAACTCTCTCCATCCTCTTTGTCGTTCCTCCCAATTAGAACTGGCTAGCCATTACTACTATTACTACTGAAAAACGCGCCAGTACTGCTTACAACCTCTCTTTTACTTCTTGCACCTACCCATTACTGCTTACAACCTCTCTTTTACTTCTTGCACCTACCCATTACTGCTTACAACCTCTCTCTTACTTCTTGTAACCTCTCCTTTACCTATCAACTTTATAAAATGCCTCCCCCCCACAATAACCCTATATGGTCCTCCACACCAAACGCGCGAGATTCATCGCACTATATTTTTTTTTTTCTTTTATTTGTTTTCCTGTTCAATGCTCTTGTTTATGTTTTTCAATCTAGTTTAAAGATTCCAGAAGCAAGAACGGCGCACCTTTGAAGAGGCAACTAATTTATAGTCATGTCGAATATACAAGTAGTTGTACGATGTAGGGGAAGAAACCAGCAAGAGATCAAAGCAAAATCACCTATTGTACTTGAATTGGCCGATGATACTTATTCAATAAAGGAACCATATATTACGCTATCCAACACTATGGATTATGCCAATGCCAATAAAACCTTCACCACCGGCAGTAGCTCAAACACCTTCTTAGATGCTTGTAAGAAGACATATAAATTCGATCAAATATACGGGTCTCAAGCTGATCAGTCGCTTATTTTCGCAAATGTGGCAAGTCCGCTACTATGCGACTTTCTAAATGGCATAAATGTAACAATTTTGGCTTATGGTCAAACTGGAACCGGGAAAACGTATACAATGTGTGGGACCAGTAACCCAAATAGTTTAGACACTGTTGATTTGCCCGAGGTTGCAGGGATAATACCTAGATTGTTATGTGCACTTTTTGAGAAACTAGACTCTACAACAAATTCCGACTTTGCTGTCAAAGTGTCTTACTTGGAAATCTATAACGAAGAACTAATAGACTTGCTACAACAGCACAATAAAAAATTGAGAATACTTGAAAAAAATATCCTGGGTAAAGCAAGTCCTAACCACAAGGCAATTGCTGTACAGAACTTGACTGAATGTTGTGTGAGTAGCCACCACGAAGGAATGGAAATCTTGAGAGCGGGTCTAAAAAGAAGGAAAACTGCATCTACAAATATGAATGAAACCTCTTCACGATCACATACCATTTTTGGCATTCAGTTGTACCAGAAAGATCCCACGAATGACACTGTGTATAAGATATCAAAAATGAACTTGGTTGATTTGGCTGGCTCGGAAAATATCAGTCGATCGGGCTCTTTGGCAAAAGAAGCCGGCGGAATTAATCAGTCTTTGTTAACTTTGGGCAGAGTAATCAACACTTTGAACAACAACAACAAAAGCGAGTCAAAACATATACCGTATCGAGAGTCTAAACTTACATATCTACTACAGGACTCGCTCGGAGGAAACACCAAAACCACCTTGATCGCAACGGTTTCTCCGGCACAAATCAATGCCATGGAGACATGCTCAACCTTGGATTATGCTGCTAAAGCCAAGAACATAAAAAACCTTCCCCGAACGGGCCTTGATTCCGAAGTTCTTTTGAAAAGAACCTTAGTAAAAGACATGGCAAAAGAAATCAGTCAACTAAACCTTGATTTAAATGCAGCACGTAATAAAAATGGTATCTACATGGAGAAGGAAAAGTATAGTAAACTTCAAGAAGAACATGAATCACTTTATACGCAATTGAAAGAGCGTGATTTAGAGATAAAACTGTTGAGTGTCAAATGTGATTTATTGGCCAACTTGAACACTGAGCAAAAATTACAAACTGAAAAGCTGGTCTTGGTGATTAAGGAGTTGAAAGAGAAGGTGGAAACATTGGAGAAGCAACACAAAGAGACTGTAACGGCCAATGAAAATAGAAGGATTGAAATAGAATCATTGAGTCGACAATTGAGCACAACTAAAGAAGAATCCGAGCATACAGTTTCCCTGGTAAACTCGATAATCGCAAACTATCTACAGGCATCTTTGCGCATTCTTGAAGAAACAATGCAAGCTCAAATAGATTCTGGTATTCTGGTAAATCTCAATGAACTTTACAATAAATTCCAGTCTGAGTTACATCAATATATGGAGAAATCTAAGATGTCTCCAAATTTTTCAATTCTTTCAATTCAATCTAGTCTAGACTCTTTGCTACATTTACAAAAGCAAATGTTCAACAATGTCGAGAAGGTGATTACCAATATTGGAATTGCCAATAAAAAACTATTTGACCAGATAAAAACAAGTGGTTTACTACAAGTTGAAGAAGCCATTTGCACGAAACAGACAAGCACCATAAAGAACGATATTGGATGTTTAACGGAAAGCTTGAAATCAGCTTTAAGTAAAGAGATTGAGCAGTCGATGCAGAATATCTTGGAGAAAACGTCAGCAGTTATTCATCAAGAAATGTCAAAAGAAATATCCGCATTGTTAACTATTGAAACAGACTGGAAAAAACAAGTGCAAGACTCATTATTACCACTGCTGCTGTTGCTAAAAGAAAATTCTTGTGAAAAAAAAGTCAACCGAAATGAAACAACCCAACCAAATAATCAATTGAGGCGACGTGCCTCATCGTTGTCGCCTAAAAAGACAAAAATACCAATCATGCAACGACTGAGCACAAGTCTACTTGAAGATCAAAATAAAAGAAGAAAGGTTTGTATACAATAGGTTCTACTTTTCCTTATAGGTTTGAAAAATGTTTTTTCTTTTGTATATATAGCAATACTATAAAATAAAACCACCCTTTGTATTATTATACCTAATTACTATAACCCTTTATATTATTGCAATATCCCTACTCTCTAGTCAGTCCTACTCCGCTAGAAAGTGAAGCGAGCTAGTATCGCTACTCTCTACTCACCCCTACTCCGCTAACTCGCTTCGCTCGTTAGTCGACACTAGCACTAGTTTTGACGTTATCTCGGATTTAACAGAGAGTTATTTTTATTCATTTATTAACACCGAGGGTAGCGCTTATTAGAGAAGGCTTTGATGAGGTGTTAAAAACCCCAAGGTGAAGGAATCAACCAAGAACGTCTTGCCAGAGAAAGCGGGGGGACCTATTATAGGAGACAGGATACAGGATAAGGGAAAAGGGAAAAAAGTTAGCACGATATGTTGATTGACAAGACGACGCAGTATATTATTGGCTACAGTACTTTATCAGTTTTGCTACTAAGCTGGTCGGTACATGATTCTTTGAAAAAATCATACAACTATACCATGTTCCTAATTGAGATGACAGATGGTTTGAAATTGGGGATATTCTTAAATTTTGTCATATTCTTATTCCTTGTGGTGAACAAAATTCTCCAGTTGGTGCTATTTGGATCTTTGAGAATGATTGAAGTCGAGCACTTGTTTGAGAAATTACCCATTTTTGCAATCAATTTGTTTCTCAATTTAGCAACGGGGGATAACAATGTCATTTTGAACGTGTTTTTGATAGGCATAGCCATGAGCTTCAAAGTAATGCATATTATTATGCTTGACAGGTTGGATTTTTTAAATCTCCAGATTTTCAATATCGTGAATGATGATGACGATGAAAGATTTCAATCAATTGGCGTTTTGCAAATAGTCTTCCACTATTTGGGACTGATCAATTTTTGGTTGAACTTTATATTCATTGGAATCGATTTTGCTTTAGCAAAGATTTTAGTATATGACGTTTTCCAAGGTATTAACTCTGTCACCTGTCTTTTGTTTGGATTCCAATTTGCGGTTCAGGGCGTCGAGAATCTCACACATTTTGCAAAAGTGCTACTAAACTTTTACGAAATAGTGTTTTTCAAGATTAGAAAAAACTCAAGAAGAAGGGAGAGGGCACAGAATTTGAATATGGAGTCAAATGAAAATGAAAATGAAAATGAAATCGAAGAAGAAGAGGAAAATGAAAATGTCGAACCATCGGGTAATCTAGGAGAGAGCAATCAAGTATTTATGTTTGATGCTGATGACGATGATAGCGAAGTTGACATTGTTTGGGAGAGCAAGCCGTACTATAGCAAAGCTATTGACATTTCGTCTGCTTTATTGACAGCCATTGCCTACTTGTGTTTTATTTACCTTTTGACCTTTCATTCAGGAATTTCACTACCTTTATCAATGCTTCATGGTACTTATTCGTCTCTCAAGAAAGCATGGGTGCAAACATCTCAACTACTTGCATTTATTGAGTCCTCAAAAAGGTTGGATTACCAATTACCAAATGCCACCAAGGAGGACTTGGAAGAACTTGACAGTTTATGTATCATTTGTCGAGAGGACATGTATGCAGTGGAAGAGTACCAGAGATTATACCAAAAACCCCAATCTCCAAGGAGATGTGCAAAGAAATTACAGTGCAACCATATACTTCATTTGGGTTGTTTGAAGGAGTGGATGGAGAGATCTGATAGCTGCCCACTATGTAGAAGAAAGGTCTTTGGTGGGCCACCTCCGACTTTTAATCCTACCCCTCCAACTTCGGCCCAAGAGGCCCCTCCTCCTCCTCCTCCTCTTCCTCCTCAACAAGATATCCAACCAGAACAAGAACCACAACAAGCTGAACTGCCAGAACTGTTCAATGTGAGTGAGAACTTGAACTCACAAGTACCGGATTCCTCAAGAGAGAATAGTGCTATGTCAACAGGTACCACTCTGGAAACCAATTCTCAAAGTGCAGAAAACATGAACAATACATCCCATCCTTATCAACACCACACAAACATGTCTAGTTCTGAGCAAGGGTCACTTGACCGTTTAGAACCAACGAGAACAGTTCCATCATCACAATCCACCACATCTTCCTCTCCAGTAGTAAATGATGGGGGTGGAGGTGTTTTCCAATCCATAAGATTGCCCAGATCAGCACTTCTTCCTCCAGATTGGGTTTTACTTCCTCTTCAAAGAACCGAGGAAGAAGGGGTTGATTATAAGGTCAGCGTTTCTTTACAACATCAAGTGAATATGCAAATACGAAAACGAGATAATGATGGACAGCTAGAATGACTAGGAGGATAGTTAGATTATTTTCTTTATGAATTTTACGAACTAATAGAATTTCTTTTACAGTCTCTATCAAATTTGATTTTTTACACGAGTAAGGGAAAGTATTATAACCATTTCAATCTTCATCAGACTCAATTTGATCCCACTCGTCATCACCCTCATCATTATCTTCGTTTTTTCCAGCAATATCAGCTTCTTCTTTTTCTTTTTCTTCTTCTTCTTCTTCTTGAGTATTGTCGATTTGGTCCCATTCATCACTGTAATTTATTTCATCATTTGCTTCTTCATTGTATGTATCATCTGCTTGTTTAGAAAGTGCTTGCAACCCATTCTCGTTTTCTACCTCCTCTTCCTCCGTATCGATTGTAAAGTCCCAATTATTGTAAATGTTACCATTATTCCTTTTAGCAGTCTGTGAAGTTGCAATTTCGGTTTCTACTTCTCCTGAGTCATCAACATCCAAGTCTGATTGAAAATCACCCCACTCTTTTTCGTTGTTATTCACCTCGATAACTCTAGTATCATCATTGTCATTAAATCCATACATTGTTGTTGATTGACCGGTTGATGTATCCAATGGTCTTCCTTCCTGGTCTTCTTGCTCGTTTTTCTCATCGTCATCCGAGATAACACCCCACTCATTACCATCATCTTCTTCACTTGTAACATCACTAATCTCAATTTCATCAACAAAAGTTTTAGTTTTCCCAATAGTTTTAACTTTATCGTCAGCTTTCTTCAATTGATCATATATCTTCTCCCATTCCAGTTGCAATGTTTCCTTCATCACTTCAAACTTATGCTTACTACAGAGCTCTAAATTTTTGTTTATTTCGGTTCTTTTTAGTTGTATTGATTTTTCACATTTCTGGAAAGACATTGTCGCTTCCAGTGGATCCTCCTCCTGCGTCAAATAATTATTCACAACCTGACAGCATTCCCCCAAGTAACACAAGGCAGAGATGTAATATAATACCCCTTCTGAATGATACGGGGGCACTAACACAAGTTCCTTAATTTTATTCAAAGCAGTTTCGTATTCTTGTTTAACAAATAAATTCCATAATGAATTAATCAAGTATAGCGGAGTCAATGTTTTTGTGCCTGATCTCCATGCGGGTGCCAATGATGTCTTATCATTATTTTTGTAAAAGCTAGAATTTTGAGGAGTAATCATAAAAAAAGAATTCAAGTATTCATAAAATTTCTCAATCTTGTTATCGTATCCTCCGTTTGGATATTGCGTGGATAGATTTGTCAAAATCTCTATTCCTAAAGACCAGATAAGCCTGATATCAACTTGGGGGAATCTGGTTAACAAACAAAAGATTTTATATGCAAGTACCCAGTTTCGTCGCAAAATGTTCAAATGGAGTAAAGTGTTTAAATTCGTAATATGTTTACTCACTTCAGACAGCGAAGCGACTTCCACGGGCAATGTTTCCATCCCGCTAGATTGAATGAGAAAATTCGTTCTAGAAAGCTTCTCGTGACCATCAAATTGTGTTGTATAATGTTCCAATTTATTGGACATGATAATATCATATTCTTCAAACTTTTCATCATCTTCATTTGCAAATTCGGAATCAACATCACTTGCCGTCTCCAGTTGGATCTTCTTTAGAAGAGCAGCTACTTTGGTCCCTAGTTGCGAATCCGGATCCAATCCCGAGTGCAATTCCAAGCCCAATCCAGAGTCCAATCCCGAGTCCAGTTCCTGTTTATCCCCATTCTTTCGCTGTCTTTTTTTCTTCTTTTTCTTCTTTGACTCATTCGAGCCGTTGTGATATACTTCGTATGTCTCTTCTGGTTTCTCTTTCAGTTTGAGCTCATTATGGATTAACCTTTCAACAACTTTTCGTATCTTGGGCTGCCGTAGTTTACGTTGTTCTATCTTGGTTGAATTTCTATAAATATTTTCAAATTTCTTCAACTCTATATATTTGGATATTACTTGACGAGATTCTAGCGTCGCTCGCAGTCGTTTCTTGTGTGGATCTGTAATATCCTCAAAAATCATGGATGGCCAATATAGTCTACCATGTTTCTCTTCTTGCTATCGTACCATTAGCTAGCCTCTTTTCTATCTTTGTAAAAAGAAAGGTTTGTCTAACTTAGTCTTTCCAATTGAATTTTGAAAAATTCAATATCGAGATGATCTTCGCGCAGTGTTTTTTTTTTTTTTCTTTCCTTTTTTTTTGCAGCTATTAAAAGATTGCAAAGTAATTCAAAGTTAAATGCTATTTATAACTTGTAACTTTGAGACCAAAATCTGGCAGAGCAAGGTATACTAATTGCATTTTCAATGATGATATCGATACCAAACTACCTCTAGAAAATGGCAAAGAATAATAATAATAATAAAAAACTACTCTTGTTTATTTACTGCTGACTATGTACATGTTTTTTCTTTCATTACTTCTTTTTTTTTTCTTTTTTTTTTTTTTTCTTCTTCTTTTTGGTTCTCTTCTCATTTAAAACATTCCTGGCATACCACCACCCATTCCTGCTGGTGGACCACCGGCTGCTGGAGGTTGTGGCACATCAACAATAGCACATTCAGTGGTGGCCAATAATGATGCAACACTAGCAGCATCCTGTAAACCATTCTTAACAACTTTGAAAGGATCAATAATACCGGCTGCTAACATATCTGTAAATTCGCCTTTTACTGAATCATAACCAACGTTGAAATCTGGTTGATCATATATTTTACCCACCAACACTGCACCTTCTTCACCTGCATTTTCAATGATTCTCTTTGCAGGTTTAGTGATAGCAGCTCTGATGGTATCTACACCCAATTTCTGATCGAAATTTTCAGCATTCTCCTTGACCTTGTCCAAGATTCTTGTAGCTTTGATCAAAGCTGTACCACCACCAGGTAAAATACCTTCCTGGACAGCAGCTCTTGTGGCGTTGAGAGCATCTTCGTAACGATCCTTCTTTTCACCAACTTCAACTTCTGAAGACCCACCAACTTTGATAACTGCAACACCACCTGATAATTTAGCCAATCTCTCTTGTAATTTCTCCTTTTCGTATTCAGTGGTTGCGGCATCGTCCATAACAGATCTAATTTGATCGCATCTTTGTTCAAGGTTAGCTTTGGAGCCCTCACCATTCAAAACAACGGTATCTTCCTTTGTCACAGTGACAGCGCCTGCACTTCCCAAATGGTCAATCGTGGCTTCAGTGGGTTTGATGTCGAGTTCATCGGTAAAAACCGTACCACCTGTAAGTATCGCAATATCTCCCAAGATGTTCTTTCTGTTGTCACCAAAACCAGGAGCTTTAACAGCACAAACTTGAACTTGACCTCTCAATTTGTTCAAGATACATGCAGCTAATGCTTCGCCATCAATGTCTTCAGCGACAATTAATAATGGTCTTCTTGTCTGGTTTGAAAGCTCCAATGAAGGCAAAATATCTTGAATGTTTGATATCTTCTTTTCACTCAACATGATTAACGGGTTTTCAAACTCAACTTTGCTTGTCTTTGTATTGGTTATAAAATATGGCGAGATATAACCACGATCGAATTTCATACCCTCGGTAACTTCCAATTCATCGTCTAAAGTCTTTCCTTCTTTAACAGTGATAACACCTTCTTTTCCGACTTTTTCCATAGCCGAGGCTAACAAGTCACCAATAGCCTTATCCCCGTTAGCTGAAATAGTAGCAACTTGAGCTATCTCAGCTGAAGTTGTAACATCCTTTTTGTTCTTTTGTAAAAATTCAATAACGGCCTCAACAGCTGCTTGTGAGCCTCTTCTCAAATCCATTGGATTGCAGCCAGCAGCTACATTCTTGACAGATTCAGTGAAAATGGATCTACCTAACACAGTAGCTGATGTGGTACCATCTCCAGCACTCTCATTTGTCTTTGAAGCAACTTCTTGTAATAACTTAGCTCCCAAATCTTCAAACTTATCCTCCAAGGTGATTGATTTTGCCACAGTGACTCCGTCCTTGGTGATTTTTGGAGACCCAAATTGTTGTTCAATCAAAACGTTTCTACCCTTGGGGCCCAAGGTAACTGAAACAGCATCAGCCAAAGTATTAACCCCTTTCAATAAAGCTGCTCTTCCCTCAACTCCAAATTTCAATTCCTTGTATGATGCATTACGCACAAAGGTCTTTGTTGCACTTTGTATATATCTATTGTTAGCTCTCAACATCGTTTGCCTCTCGATAGATCCAAGGTTTAGCTGGGGGGGGAAGGGGAATGATCTGCTTTTATAACCTCTAGTTTGTTGGTTAGTTGATGAGTTTGAAAAATTTCCAAACGCTCAGCTCTTCTTTTAATTTGGTAGCTCCCGATTCACGAAAAGGTTCATTTCAAGTGTGCTCTTTGGCGAAAAAATTTCCAGAAGATTCGAAAAGAAAAAAAAAAGGATCACGTGACTAGCTTGTGGAAATGTATTTTGTAATGGCTGCGAAAAAAAAAAAAAAAAAAAGGGCCAAGAACAAAAATTAAAAGTATATTTATGAAATATATAATATATATATTATATATATTATATTAGGTTTTATTATATATATTATATTAAGTTTTATTATATATATGTAAATATTTGTGTTACTAAACTATTGGTGCTACTGCTTATCGTATTGTTTATTGTGAATTAATTTTCTAATCAACAGTGAATTATCGTAGATTTCGTCGTCACCATTGTATTTGTACTCTGCTGAACAAGCTGTGAGTTGAGGAGGCCTAGAAGCATTATTTTCATTTGATGTCAAATTCGATGGTATACCTTGCTCTTCTAATTTCTTAGCTTCATCCATTAATGGTCTTATACATAGCCATCCAGTCTCTGTTCTAAAATGGCGCGACAACGCGTCGCTTCTTGCAAACTTCTTACCGCATCCCCATCGCGTAATACCATCCTGGAGATATCCCTCGCACTTGAAATTTTTCACGCCCTGGTGTAGCACTTCGTGTCTTTTCTTATCGTGACTTCTTGCAAATGTCTTTGGACAATATGAACACCGGAAAGGTTTATCTGTTGAATGCGTTTTCATATGCGATTTGAGATTATACGGCTTTTGAAACACTTTGTCACATTGAGTACATGGATAGACTTCACTCAAGCCAAGCAGATTCACAGAGTCTGGTCCTATTGAAGATGGGTTTACCAAATTTGTTTTCCTTTGTCTCCTCTTACGTATCAAAGACGAAGAAATTGTATATGAAACAATTGAAGAATAATCAATATTCAGTGGGTTTGAGAAACTGGAATTTGAATTAGTTGCGGAAGAGTTGCCATTATGGTAGTGAGAAGGTTGCGAATATGTAGAAAGAGATGCCGCAGATGAAGTGGATGAAATCGATCCACTCTTTGTTGATGCCATAGAAATCGGACTTCGCTGTGGTGAATTTGTTGCTTGTACTTGTGAATTTGTTGCTTGTACTTGTGAATTTGAAATCTGGGGTGTCACATACGATGTGTGTTGTTGCGGCAGATATGAATACGTCGAGCTTAAGCTAGAGTTTTCCAATTGATTACTATTGTGCTGCTGGGTATATACTGGATTCATTGATGAGCTTTCATAGTAAACAGGAAATGAAGAAGATCCATCTTGTGATTGGTAAACTTTGTTGTGACCCTGTGCTACAAATAAAAAGGGAAGCGGTTGCAAATTCTGCTGCTGCTGCTGTTGTGAAAAGGCTTGTTGCTGTTGCTGTTGTACTGATGCTGCTGTTGCTGATGCTGCTGTTCCTGTTCCTGTATATGGTAGCTGTTGCTGAAATGGTGCTGCTGTTGTGTAGGATTGTCCATGAAGATGGTACATAGAATATTGTTGCGGAGTAGCCGAGGTACGAGAAAGTATACTTGGTTTATTCTCCGGTATAGTATAATAGTTTAAATTGGTTGGAAACGTTGTGGTACTGCCGTAAACATATGGTTGCATTGAGTTGGGTACTACCTGAGAAGCAACAATAGTAGAGGAGGAGGGGCCGGCAGACTGATCTAATCTCGACATTGCTAACATGGGAAAATTGAGAATTCTTTAATTGAATCAAAGCTTGCTAGAGCTTTGCATGTAAAGTGTTTAAGTCTAGGTTTTAGAAGGGAATAATATATAAGTCTATAGTCTAAGAGATGTGAATTCATTAAAATCTTGGTTTTTGTTTTTTACAGGAAAATAACTTGGTTATATATAACCTAAATGTCAAGTAGTGCATAAGCTACGTCTATTATAACTTTACTTATCCATACTTAACCTTTCCTACTGACAATTCATTAAACTTGTTCTAGCTAACATTATCATTAAAAAGTTCGGATTCGGATACAAGAGGGAAATAAAAATATAAAAAAATAATAAAAAAAAAGTAAAAAATTGGCTACCTATTGCGTTTTGTAATTGTTCTTTGGGCTTAGCAATAAAACTGATGCAGTAACATCCATACGTACATACCACACTCCATGCAAATCTATCTTAAGAACACATTTTGACTTTTCATCCCTTTTTTAATAATCCATTGCCAAGAAATTGTATTAGAATAAGTAACAAAATGTATCTTTGACAGCACCTTAATCCGGGGGAACAAAATTAGCACCCTTGAGTCAGCCTTGAAGGGTAGTGAAACAGATCAGGGGATAACTGTGTTTTAATAGAAATCGAAATACACGTGTCAAATTTGTGTTATTTGCTTTTTTGTCTCTTTCTTTCTTTCTCCTTTTTACAGTCTTCATTTACAATACGTGTATATATTTACAATGCTTTTGGGTGTTTTGTACAGGCGGCCCGCGTGCCGATACAGTAACCTCTCCTTTCTTCTCTCCCCTCTTTTCTTTTCTCCTAAGTTTATTTTAACACACGCTGAATATAAATGCCTGTGGTATTTTTTCAAAATAGTCTTTTATTTTTTTTCGGTAATTGACACCGCTTTGCTGAATCCCATCATGTATAAAATTCAAGAGAACTTGCATATGAAGGCCTCAGTAACTGCTTGTTTCTACGCATTGCTTATATTTTTATCCGAAATGACAAAAATAGAAAAACAAGACAAGAAACATATCATCGTAAATTATATTTACTTTCGTTTGTCAAAATTTTTCTTGGCTATGGCTTATTCGAATACCCCCGAATTATAATTCTTTTAAGGGGGTTTGTGGCAATGGATTGAGAGAGGTGGGAAGATGATGCTCTCAATGTACAAAGGTATTACTTGGTAATGGTTTGGCTCTTTTTTGACTCTTTTGGCAAAGATTCAAAAGCTCTCACATTTCATCGGGGTTAAGTGATGTCACACAAATTGTTATCCTCATAAACAAATCTGAGGCATTTTTATTTTTATTGTCTGATTCTTTTCTTTCTACAAACATCGGAACGATTTTCAAGATTATCAAAACAGATATTAAAAGAGCCATGCTTACTCTCTTTTTTTTTTTTTTTTTTATTTTTTTTCCCTTCTTCTTGACTAATAGTCTATTTTGTGATTTAGATTGATCAATGTAGTAATATTTGCAGGTCACCTAAATCCCGTGGGTTTTAGTATTCTCCAAATCATTGACAATTTAGAAAGATCAAACAATATCTAACGCTTTTGAAACAAATCTTCATATATGTGTATATTCACTAACTAACTGTATTTGAAGAAGTGGTTCAATTGTAGAGATCAACTTGTAGTGTACTTTAAGTTGATTGAATGTGAGCTGATTTTCAAACATGTTGCAAATAGTACCCCAAAAAAAGTGAATTTTCAGGTCAGAACAATTTCATCCAAGAGAGTTTACGCGATAATACTTGTCACTATCTCAAATGACTTTGTTTACCCGTTTGGTATAGTTATACAAGCTACTTAGGAAAACTGTTTATTCCCTCAACGCTAAAGGGACCAAAACCATTTACATGAGACACAATAAGTTGAAACAGGGTTGATTATAGCCTTTTACAAGGCTTAACAAGCTATTTTACTCGAAACAGAAGGAATGTATCTCTATAGTTTTTATTTCATTTTTTTTTTTTTTTACTTCAAATAACACCAATTACATTGCAGAGAAAAAGCCTGTTGCCAAGGAAAATGTGTCAATCGAAATTATCAAGCGAGGTACTATCTTTCAACGCTTAGCCGTGTGGTAGAAAGTAATCGCATTGTACTGGTATAGGTTCTATATTCGAAACAAAAAGAAAAAAATAGGTTCATCATTATCAATATCTATTTACACGTATATTTCGGTAATACCATGAATAAACCACAACCACCAGAACAACAACAATAAGCAGGTGAAAAAAGTTTGAGCTGCGGGTAGCTGACTTGACATTCATATTTAGATTACCAATAATAGGAGAGAAATTACCAATATTTGTTTCTCTCGTACCGCCGATTTACTGCTTAATGCCCCAACTGGTTAAAGTATAAACCACAGTTTTTTCACCTCTGTAGTTGGTAAAGAGTTGGAGATATGACGTAATTTGTTTTTTCAATAATACCACACGGGCTCCTTTGATTTCCCTCCCGGGATTAGCTAACCACAAAATGAATATCTTAAAGGAGTTAAGGGAAATAGAACTTTTGCTCGACAGTTCAACAAATTCTATCTTAGAAAACCCTGATGGTTTTTGCTTTTCTTTTTTTTTTTTTTGATAAGAAATAGTTAACCAATCAAAATACGATTTTGTACGTCAGGTAATTGGTATCACTGTGCATTAAATGCGTAAGTTGTTACAAATAAAAAATGTATGAAACAGTAGTCTTCTTCAGAGTATTGTTCACACACACATCATATGCGTTTGCTTTTTTGAACGTCATACACAGTGTTGATCAAGGGGTTCAAGTTGTGTTGGATATTGTGTTCGTTAATTTCTAAAGAAATTGTATTTATTATTATTACTGAATACTTACTCTTTTTCTGTTTTTAAGCCACACAATCGACACTAATGAATTTCTAAATATAGAACCTCTCAATTTAGCTCTCACGTATATGAGGGCTACGTATCGTCAGCAAAATCTAAATTTGTATAGAATCGTTTAACAATACCACAAGTTATATAAAACTCGATCCGAGTCGATCCGATATATATTAAAAAAAGGTATTTGATAAATGCGATTTATTGTTTGAAAATTGAGCGGCATTTATGCTTTTATGGTAAGCATTTACACATTTAAAAGGTACTAGTCGGTTACGCTCGCTTGTCTGGTGAACCCCTCCCAAATTACTGCAAGTGGAAGGGGAGGGTGGGGTGGGGAGAGCAGAAGGAGAAGAAGTAAGAAGAGATTGCTTGCCTCTTTTGCATAACATCAGTTGATGGTCTCCACCAGGATATCCATTCACAAGGATGGCTATTTAATAATATTTAGAAGGACCAATAGGCAATACTGAACTTAATAGACGTATCATATGTTGAGAAACGGTTTGAACATGAATACATCTCAATATATTGATCTAATACTTATACTCAATTGCAAAAAGACTTGAAAAAAAAAAAAAAAAAACTTTCCAGAGGAAAAGAGAACCATTGGATGGAAATAATTGTCAATTGCAAATGATGGTCTGAGGATAATTTTTTTGTCTGTTTTCCGCGCATGATCATGGTACTTCAGGCGATAAAGATTGGAAAAAAAAATAGCTATTGAGCATTTCAAAAGCTTTATACCCTATTGAGTTTCTTTTTGAGCTGTGCTTTCATTATCATGTTGAACCCCCTCCCTCTTCTCTTTTTCCTCCTCTTTTCTTCACAAAAATCTGTGGTTGATTGAATTTCATGATTTATTTTGTTTCAACAAAGCTTTTTTGGTTTTATTTTCAAAACACATACACAGGGGAAGGGGGAAGAGGGTTCTTTTTCATCCAATTAGATACTGCTACTGTTACATTTTAGACTTGGTTAACATCTTGTAGTTGAATAATGACATGTTATTCAACAAGGTTACATGCACTCCATTTTTGAGTTCAAATATTTTGCAGCAATTGTAGAATCCCAAATAGGAAAATATTCTTTTTGCAATCTTGTCAATTTGCAACTAAAAAAAAAAAAAGAAAGGAATTCTGTGCAACTGTTCAATGAAGATGTAAAATTTGACAAGCTTGAAACATTGGGGACTTGGCACTCAAGTTTTCTACCTGTGGACACAGGAGTTTGGCACTTTTTGAAAATCCTAATAACGCAAGTGAATTTCAATAACTTATAAGAACCCATTTATTCCTCAAATATATAGAAAGTACAAAAAAAGGTGTAATTGAGTAACTAACATAAGATATAATATAATTTATAAGGGGTGAGAAAATGGATCAAGTTATTTCCAATACAAGTTCATCAGGAAACATCAATGTTACCTTCAACATTCCAAATGAGACTGACCCCATTGAGATTCCGTTTCTTTATCTTGACCACTTCCATTTTACACAAATGCGAGGTGCAATCATACTTGGTGTTACAATTGGAGCATGCACGATGTTGTTGATCTTCTTATTAGGCATACTCTACAATAACCGAAAAAAATTGAAGACCTCGGTGCTTTTCAATTTGAATATTTGGATCTTAATAGCTACTATAATAAGGTCCGGTTGCTACTTGAACTATTATATGAATGATTTAGCCAGTGTGAGTTTTAATTTTACTGGTGTTTACCACGGCGAAAGTTTTGCTAGCTCTAATGCCGCTAATGCGTTCAAAACAATTATGTTTGCATTAGTCGAATTATCGTTAACGTATCAAATCTACGTTATATTCAGGTCAACAACTTTGAAAAACTGGGGTATAGCAGCAACCATCTTGGCAGGATTGTTATCCTTAGCATCTGTTGCAACCCAGATTTGGAGCTCAGTTTTGGCTCATAAAAACTTCAAAGCGTCTACAAAAGGTTTGTACGTGTCGGGTGCCTGGATGGACTTGCCGACTATCTTATTTGCTGTTAGTATAAATATCATGTCCTTACTACTATTATTCAAGTTGGGTATTGCAATAAAAACAAGAAGATACTTGGGATTGAGGCAGTTTGATGGATTCCACATTTTGTTCATCATGTCAACGCAAACACTAATCATTCCATCAATACTTTTATTCGTTCACTACTTTTTAACTTCAAATTCTGGCCCCGATTTGATCAACGTGGCATTACTACTAGTAGTGATATTTCTTCCATTAAGCTCCTTGTGGGCACAAACAGCAAATAACGTACGGAGAATTGATTCTTCGCCAAGCATGTCTTTTATTTCAAGAGAATCTTCAAATAGTAGTAGTGGTAGTAGTGGCGGTGGCGGCGGTGGCGGCAGCAGCGGCGATGCTTTACGTCAAGCTTCAAAAATTTCCAGATTTAATACATATAATTCATCAACAACTAGTCCAACTACTTTGAGAGATGACTCACTGTATGTCACGGAGAAAATAGTAAATCAACCAATAAGTGGCATAGATGCAAATTTACCTTGCGATTTAGAAAAATACTTGTTTGATGACTCTAACAATGAGGGTGATGGAATGATTGCTAGAGAAGTTACAATTTTGAAAACCTAAACATTTGTACAGTAATTACTATATACGTTTCGTTCTATTAAGTCAAGTCAAGTCTTTTCTATCTTTTCTTAACGGTTTTTCTTTAGTAAGTGGAAAAAAAAAAAAAGAGAGAGAGAAGAAAAGATATTGCAAAACTAAGAAAAGAAATTGCAATCGATTTTATGTGTGCCCAAGTCAAACATAGTTTGGATCAAGTTACACTTTTAAATGGTTGCCGAGCCGGTTCAAGTAACAGTTGAGGCGCTACAGAAACTATACAGTCGAGTAAACCAGTTTGTAAATGCACAACAAGATAAACTTGTGAACTCTGAATATTATAACCAATTTTTCAACATCGAGTCCTCTTCACCACCAGTGGTGCAAGTTCGACTGTTTGCAGCAGAGTCAAGTGCCAGCAACCTATTCAGCCTGATTTTCAACACAATAGCTCAAAATAAGGTGGGGTGTGCAACTGTGCTCGGACTAGGATTAGGGATTGGTTGTTATTCAATATACAAGAAATGGGATCACATACATCATCCAGAAAAAGCCAAAAGAAGAGTTCCCAAGCTAGCAAACGGTGCGAAACGCGATGTTGCATTAATTGTTGGATCTCCAACGGAACCCATTACTAGACTCGTTGCATTAGACTTTGAGAGACGGGGCTTCATTGTATATTTAACGGCATTGGACTCCTTGGATCTAAAATACTTGTCTGCAAATCCGGTAGGTAAGAATATCAACTATATAGACTTTTCGCAGAGTTCAATTGAGGATAACTTGGCCCGGTTTAAGCAAATACTAAAAACCCCAGTAGTTCCATTCTTTGGAGCAGAACCTCATTATTTATTTTTGAAAAGCGTGATATTCACCCCATGTCTCTACTTTCCAGTTGGACCCATTGAAAATATTGGAATCAACACTTGGCACAAGTTAACTGATAGATTACTAACCTACTTGAAATTGTTTTCCAGTGGAATGATCCAGCTAGTTCGTTCAAGTTCTTCAAAAGTGATTTTGATAAATCCAAATAACACAAGCTGCTTGAATTTGCCCTATCATGCGCCTGAACTGATTTTTCAACACGAATTAATGTCGCTTTTCACAGTATTGGCAAGAGAGTTGAAGCAACACGGCGTTTACGTAACACAAGTAAAGCTTGGAAATGTTTCTCTTACAAGTGAAGTACTAAACTCAAATTCACGCATTGAAAGTTTGGTCAATTCTGAAGTAAGGGCATGGACTTCTGAAATGAGAGAATTATATACCAAAGATTTTACTAGAGCACAATTTAAGAGCCATAGAATCAAGGCAAGCGGCAGCGGTAAGGGCGAGTCAATAAAGAGTTTATTTCATTTGTTGTTTGATTTGACTTACTCAAGTAGTCCTCCTTCAGTTTCCTACTGCGGTAAAGGAGCAAGATGGTGTGACTATATAGCCAAAGTATTCCCCAACTCATGGATAGAACTCTTCATCATATAGCACAATAGCTTTATAACACTTTATGAAGAGATTGTTATGGTCGTGTCTAAAGAGCCAACGGAAAAAAGACTTTTTTTTTTTCTTTTTTTTTTTTTTTTTTTTTCATGAAAAATTTTAAAAGCATCTCATCGAGAAATTATCATGGTAAAATCTTTCTTTCTTTCTTTCTTTCTTTCTTTCTTTTCTTTTCTTTTCTTTTCTTTACGTCCATAATCAAAGAATTATCGTCGAAGCTTACAAAAGGACATCTCTTTTTCTTTGAGAGAGGGGTCGTCAATTTACATTATAGCTTTGGGGAAAGTCTCCTGTCTCCGTAGCGGAAACGTAATGGAATATCGTGAGTTCCATTAACACAATGTACACGAAGATGTTAAGGTTTGATTAAGAAGGCTCTTTTCTCCTATTATTTTGTATTAGGAGATTAAGAAGAATTAATGCACGTTGCTGAGCGGCGTGCGTTCTTTTTTTTACTATGAGTAGAAATAAAGTGATGCGAGTCAGGTTAGTATCGATAATGGGTTACCATGATAAAGAGTCTTTTTATCAGTTAGTTAGCTGCCACATGCATGGAAGTTCAAGATGGATGGAGTCAAGTCGATCGGTCATTGGCTTTTCCGAGATTTTGTCGATTTTTTACTCGGTTTCTTAACTACTTGACATTATTACTCATATGAGTGAGTAAAGTTCTCTCTTTATTTTGAGGGGGGGATTTTGCTTATCTTTCTTTATTTTGTAAAGAAAGCTCTGGTATGGTTTTGGGTAGTTGAAATTGGTGAAATTTTGCATTATTTTGGAGTTAGTCACACTGAATCGATTTTATTCCCGATATTTTGGCTTCGCTTTACATGTGTGTGTGTTTGTTTTTGTTGACTGGTTTTCTCATTTGACTGGTTTTAATCCTAGATATAACGATGAACGTGACGATTTTACGTTTACTTGAGGAGTCTTTTAAATTTTTCAAAACGGAGTGTAATGATTTCTTTCATTGGTGATTACTTTATAGAAGTTTTCATTGATATTGAATTGTGTTTCATGATTCCCATTGGGGTATTTAATTCCCTAGTGGATGTACTGACTTTGACGTTGGGACTTGGTGTCCTGAACGAAAGTTATGATAATTGGTTGATTATTAAATCGATTAACTCAATGGAGCTTACTTTTGCATTATGGACGTCAACCCCCCCCCCCTTTTTTTTTCCATTTTTTAAGCTTGGTTCTATTTTGAGAATTATGCACTGTCAAAGGTGCCAGGCTTTTTCTTTTTGTTTTTGTCCATAATGTTATAGTAGTTTGTCACTTTGGGATCATGATTGAAGATATCAAATCAGTGTTGACCCATTCAACTATTAAAACTTTTGCACCTTTTTTTTTCTTTTTAAAAGATGTCGATATTGTTTAGCAAATGATGAAACATCCAAGCAAACATAGAGTCAAGCTCTGAGCATACTTTGGTATTCACTGTCTGGAAAAATGACAGGTTTATGAAAGGTGAAGAGATTTGCATAATTTCTGATATAAATCAATATATCGAAAAAAGGTGTCAGAAGTTGATAGTTGAAAGGGAAAGAGGAAGAGTTAAATTGGTAGTAAATGTAGACCTGGGTTATTTATTAATAGCTCATTGTAGATAAAAGAAGAAAAAAAACATATTATTACTCTACTTTCCAGTGACTGGTGAGACTATTGCCGCCTCTTGAAGAACTATCGTTACTCAGTAGCTCTGCAACGTATAAAAGTAATGTAGTAACCATATTCACCCAGTTCCAAAACTTCCATGGATGTACTGTAATTTTAGATGCGGATGATGATGATGATGATCCCCATAGTGGCCATATGGTCAACTGCGTACCCAACTCTCCCGTGTAGGACAACATCAAGTGGGTATACACAGCTATAATTAAACAAGGCGAGTAAGCATAAATAAGTCGTATTATAGCGGATGGAGGTTGATGGCGCAGTGGGGTGAGGTGAAACGACTTTTTTGCTGTCAATGGAATCCTATTTTTGTGGTATACTGAAGATGATGACAACGACAATGACGAAGAAGATGATGACGATGATAATGATTGCTCGGTGGGTTCTTGTTGCTTATCGTGAAGAGACAAGCTTGATGGTTGACGAGATGTTGATTTAAGGTTCTTTTTCAAAGCTACGGGTGGATAAGACACGGATTTGTATAATGATGGGATAATTTTTGTTGCGGCATAAAACACTCCAATTCTATAAGCAAGATTCAACAATAGAGGCAAAGTTAAATTCTGCATTGCCATGACCAAAAATTTCCAAACTCCTTTGAACGATGAAGGTAATGTTGATGCTAAGAAAGGCACCACTTCAGATATGGGTTTTAATATCGAGGGTGCTATTTTGGGTATTTCCTTCCTCACGTTTTGAGTAGCCAGTGTTAACAAGTTTGCTAAAGCTTGAGAGGCGTCTTCGGACAACAAGGGGAATGTTTCGTAGATGCATCGAACAATGTAGGCAAAAAGTAAGGATGATTCAATCATTGAGCCTTTTCCACTAACGATTCCAAACAAGCCCAAGCCAATGGTCAATGTTAATAAAGAACCTAACAAGGATGCATTCAAAATGTCAATAGTGAATGGAAACACGTAAATTCTGTATAAGAAGTAAAAAGCAGCTGTGTCTACCAAGGCACTGCTGATGAGTGATATCATCAACCAAGAATCTGATTTATATCTTGTTAGCCAATTGACAGTTTGTCCAATGGCTTGTATAAGTAACAAGGAGCAGAATCCTTCCAATACGGTAAAAACAAAAGTTGAATTAACTAGTAAAAATTTCCAAATTGCAAGTGGACTCCATGCTTGTTCAAAGTGTTGATTTTGACGATGGTAACTTAGAAAATATGTCAACAAACTAGGGATGAAAAAGTGTTGGCTGTAGTATACTATTGACACCCACTTGAAATACTTTGTTTTTCTAAATAAAAGTCTAATTGTTGTCAAGATAAAATATATCACTAAAGTGGTGAGCGAAAAGGCCAAACCACAATTGACACCACCGACATCAAAGGCAAGCGGGATAGTGAGGATAATAAGCGCCAAATAAAGTGTTGAGAAAAGGGCACTAATGGATCGAAGTATAGTCTTAATTAAAGTAGATGACATTCAATTGATTTTAACTGCAATACATTTGTTAATAGGGAGATAAATACATAAAAGATGCTGAGACTTGAATATTTGGCAAGCTGTTTAGTGTGGGGTGGGGAGTGGTGGTGGTAACTACGCTCTTTGCTTTTTAGTTGTGTAAAGAACGAAATTCGCCGGTTGGTAGTTGGTTCAATATAGATCTGGAACAATGTATACAATGTATATATCTATTACTATAATCAATTGACTGGTGTCTTCTATTAGTTTTTTTTTTTTATTTTTTTTCTGCTGCTCTGAAAATAACCTTTACTGAGATCAATATCAAAGCTTGTTTGATAGACACCAGACAGCGACACTATCGAGCAGAGCGAGATAGTGTCGGTGGCAGCTAGTCAGTGCTACTCCACTATCGAGAGACACTAGTACGACACTATCGAGAGACACTAGTACGACACTATCGAGAGACACTATCGAGCAGAGCGAGATAGTGTCGGTGGCAGCTAGTCAGTGCTACTCCACTATCGAGAGACACTAGTACGACACTATCGAGAGACACTATCGAGCAGAGCGAGATAGTGTCGGTGGCAGCTAGTCAGTGCTACTCCACTATCGAGAGACACTAGTACGACACTATCGAGAGACACTATCGAGCAGAGCGAGATAGTGTCGGTGGCAGCTAGTCAGTGCTACTCCACTATCGAGAGACACTAGTACGACACTATCGAACAGAGCGAGATAGTGTCCTTAGTGGAGCACATTGACTAGTACGACACTATCGAGGACCCACAAGTAGAGCTAGTACTTTTGTATAGTATAATGGACAGACAAAAACTATAGAGTAGTATATAGACCAGATAGACAAAGGGTGTAAGTAGTAGAGCAGATGGACAAAGGGTGTAAGTGGTAAGGGGTGTAGAGAAGCACCCTATGGTCATTTTGTATCACCTTCCACTTGTGTTTAATTGAGTTTGCTCACTTTGTATTAATTTTCATTTTTCATTTTTCATTTTTCATTTTTCATTTTCTACTTTACATGTATTAAATATTTTATATTAAAGATTTTTGCTCTAGTTTCACTATACCACCAAACGTTATCTTTTTACACAGAGATCTTTTAAAAGTGTTTTCATTTCATTTTCGTTTTTGCCTTCGTGTGACAAGTTGAAAGCGTCAAGGTACCTTATAACTTCGAATCTTTGTAAACCATCGACATCTTTTACTCTCTTTATTGTTGGTAATCCATAATTTTCAGGTAGTATTCCATCGGGAAGAATTAATGAAGAACTTCTTGAATGCATTTTGTTTTTCGTAAAACGTTTTTTTCTGGGAGTTTGTAATGAAGAAGGTGTTTTCTCTGTAGTGGATAGATGTTGCAAAGTGTATGAGGGTGTTTTCTCTGTAGTTGACTGCTGATATAGCAAAGCGTATGAGGATGTTTTCTCTGTAGTGTAAGAGGGTGTTTTCTCTGTAGTGTAAGAGGGTGTTTTCTCTGTAGTGTAATTTTGCAATTCGGAATCAACCTCTAAAGATGGTTTGGCTCGCGAATAGTTTGGTAGTCTTATTTTCGCAAGTATAGTCATCTATCATGAAATATGTAACCACCTTGAACTTTCACGGTGTAGTTTGAAAAAGTTGAAATCAAGAGTAATGGCAAACTACAGGAAACTACAAATTGCAGTTTTCAAATAAAATAAAAAAATCGGGCAATGCCCCCATCTTCATGACAACGTTCTAGAAATGATTTCTGATTTTTTTTTTTTAAAGCAAATTTATCATTCAAACACTAGTCAAACAGTTTCCAAACATTGTATCGTTGAGGGAAATGGCACGGGTTTGGTAGTAAATCTAGACTGTTACTCAAGAGGTTTGATTTTGTAACAAATTCGGAGCTTATCCTTTTTATTGTACTCTTTTAGTCCATCTCATCAAAACGCATGATTACAAAGGTGCACAAACAAGGGTGAGCAAAGTTTTTCCTAGCAAAATTATTCCTCTCTTTTTTTTAGAAAAAGGTAGCATTAGGGAGAGTTACATGAGCGGAGTTGTTAAGCAAGGGAGAGGGTGTTACTACAGAGAAACTAGTATTATTTCAATACTGGAGTTGAAAAGGCTATTGCTATTTCTACTGTACTTTTCTTACATGTCCTTTTCTGCTTCTCTTATATGGCCCTCTTTTGTACTTGTTTTTCATGCATCTCTTTTATGCATCTCGTACATTCTTCTCTTTTACACTTTAATCAAGTAAACTTTTTTTTCTCAATTGACTGCAAAATATTGCTGCTCTAACAATTAGTTGATGAAAATATTGCAGTACGCACAAGTTTGATAAGCCGTGATTACACGCACAAGTTTGATAAGCCGTGATCACACGCTTAGATCTAATGAGCCATGATCACACACTTAGGTCTAATGAGCCATGATTACACGCACAAGTTTAATCATGATTGGAGTAAGCCAATGAGATAGAGTAGTGTGGAGTAAAGCAAAGTAGAGTACTTTAGTGTGCTCCACTATCTCGCTCCGCTCGATAGTGTGGATGCTCCTCATTAAAAAGAAATAAATTTGTAAAAGAGATGATACCAGTTGTATCTACATACCAAAAAAGTAAGCTCGTGTGTGTGTAAAACACCAATTACAACTAACCTAAAAATGGCAAAATCTCCTCCTTGGTTAAATAATTGTGTCTCCTCTGCCATCACCTCATTAATTTGAAAATCGCATTATCAGCTTTTTTTTTGCTTGTAAATTGTAGTAAAAATTTATCACTTGATTATAAAAGTTATTTTACAAGTAGTTAAGCGAGATCTAGAAATCTGGCAATTTCTCCACGTCATGGGCTCAACCTGGCAACTTCTACACGCCATGGCTCAATCTGAGGCAATAAAAGATCTACTTCCCCTACAAGAATTTTAACAATCATTTATTTTTCAAAAAAAAAAACGTTGTAAACGTTAGTCACGTGAAATTGTCAAAGAAATTAATGCCTCGCATAAAACCGCTAAAAAATCAAGGGAAACCATTCAATGCTAGTGCACCAAACCAAACATAAAGATTATAATAAAACGATACTAATTTATTTTACTGAAAAAAATTTTTTTTTTTTTTCTTCAGTCTCTACAAGCCACAGTTGAAAAGGTTTTGCATTATTATCTAGAAAACAGTACCGATGGAGATGAAAAAAAAAAAGCTTATATTGACCATGATTTATTCGAATAGAAAGAAAAAGTAGAATAGTGATCATTGTTTGAAAGTAGAGGGCAACTGCTTTGTGATTGCTTGTTTGCTTGTTTGCTTGTTTGCTTGTTTGCTTGTTTGCTTGTTTGCTTGCTTGCTTGTTTGTTTGTTTTGCTTGTTTTGCTTGTTTTGCTTGTTTTGCTTGTTTGGTCTTACCAAAATGACTAAATCGGTAATATTTCAAAGACTCAAATGGGGTTTTTTACCCGTTCGCAGAATTGTTGATGAAGATGAGTTTGGTAACTTTATTGATGTTATTGATGGTACAGATCAAGAGTCTACCAGGATTGTTGATGCTACCAGGTCTACAGAAAATAAATCTTATGTTAACGATATCGATGCAAAGTCACAAGAGTCAAAGGTAATTATAGAACGAGAAATTGCATCAACTCCAGTTTCATCAAATGAACCCGAGTTGGAATTCCGTGACGAAGCACATCGTCCGTGGTGGAAATTCTTTGATGAATACGAATATAGAGTCAACTCGAATACGAAATCGGGAAGGAAATGGTATAAATGGTTTCACGACGACGATACTCCAGCTGAACGCAGAGTGATTTTGAAAATTGATTTATTATTAACTTTCTATTCATTAATGGCGTACTGGGTGAAATATCTAGACCAAACAAACTTGACCAATGCATATGTGGGTGGAATGAAGGAATCTTTGAACATGGAGCAGAATGATTTCGTTAATACTCAAGTGATGTTTAGTGTAGGTAACATCATTTTCCAAATCCCATTCATATATGTCTTGTACGCACTTCCTTTGAACTATGTGTTACCAACATTGGATATTTGTTGGTCGATTTTAACTGTTTGTTTGTCACAAGCTACAAATGTTGCAGGATTGAAAGCAATGCGGTTTTTCATAGGTGCGTTTGAAGCACCTTCGTATTTTGCTTATCATGCATTATTTGCCTCTTGGTTCAAAGGAAGCACAGGTGAAATTTCAAGAAGAGCTGGCTTTTACTATTTGGGTCAATATTTGGGGATCTTGACCTCGGGATTATTATCGGGAGCAATTGAAAGGAGGATGGGTGGAGTAAACGGACATGAACCTTGGCAATGGATTTTTATAATTGATGGTATAATCAGTATTGTTGTTGGAATAATTGGTTACTATATGATTCCAGGAACTCCAGAAGATTGCTATAGTATTTTCTTATCAGATGAAGAAATCAGAATAGCTAGAAGAAGAATGAAAAGGGATCAAAAAGATGCAAAACCAAGAGAAAACGCATTGGGACATTTCTTGGATAAAAGTATTTGGAAAAAAATATTTACAAGTTGGCAATTTTATGTAGTTGGATTATGGAACATTTTCTGCTGGAATAACTCAAATGGATCCTCGGGTGCTTATGCATTGTGGTTGCAAAGTTTGACAAATGAAGATGGCAGTCCTAGATTTAGTCCCGGAGTGTTACAAGATTATACTGCATTAACACCAGCCTTGGGATTAATCTGGTTATTTTTGACTTGTTCATTTGCTGATTTCTTCAAATGTAGATGGGGAGCTATAGTGTTTTCTCAAGTGTTTAATGTTTTGGGCAATATCCTACTAGCTGTGTGGAACCTCCCAGAGAGGGTTAAATGGTTTGCTTGGTGTTTGCAATATTTTGGTTGGGCAATGGCACCGGTGTTGTATTCATGGCAGGGTGATATTTGCAGAAAAGATATTCGTGTGAGACAAGTGATTTTGATTTCAATGAATGTTTTGGCCCAACAATCAACTGCATGGATAGCAGTGTTGGTTTGGAAGACCGTGGAGAGTCCTCGATTTTTAAAAGGTTACTCGTTCACTGCTTCTAGTGGATTCGCATTGACTATTTGGACATTTGTCGTTTTATGGTTTTACAAACGGCAGGAAAAACAAGATGCCAGAGCAAATGGTATTGTACTCTATGACTCAACTAAGGAAGACTTGGAGGATGTTGTGAAACATACCAAGGGAACTGGAACTGAAACTGAAACTGAAACTGAAACAAAGAAAATTTAAGATATAATCTATAAACTATAAGCTATAACACTTTTCTGTAATATATTGAATAAACCAAATAGACGTGTAAATTTATATATATTTATATACACCAAGAACTAAAAGACCAAACGGGAGTCATAAAACATACCAATATACCAAAAAAAAAAAAAAAAAGTAGGCTAATAACAACCTTTAAATGTATAGCGTCCTAAATATATATGGTTTTCCCTATTGTTACTTAGAATCTTTTCCTTACAAAAGGTATCATCATAAAACCTAACTAAAAAGAACTGAAATTAAGAACGTAAAAATCAAAAAAATCAAAAAAAAAAAAACAGTAACGTAAAAAACACAGAAAGGGGAAACAAAAACTCTTCTTCATCAACACCTAGTTTGTGTGTGTGTGTGTGTGTGTGTGTGTGTGTGTATGTGTATGTGTATGTGTATGTGTGTGGTTGCGTGTGTATATATGTGTATGTGGATTCGCCTTTCTTATGTTGTCCCTTCATCTTGTATACCTAGATTAAACCATGGATGATTTAATGCTTCCAACGCAGTGATCCTGTTCTCAGGATTTATAATAAACAATTGTTTCAACAAGTCAATAAAGAACCACCAAAAGGTAAAGTTGCCAAAGTTGATTAAATGCTTGTTTTTCTCAAAATTTTGATTTAAAGAAAAATCAAAATCAATATGGAGACCAATTCTATAACTTATGAACAAGTCAATTCTTTTTAATTCATTTACAGAATTGACAAATTTTTGTGGCGTTGATATCGTAGGAAACCTCAAGATTAATGAGTTTGCCAATGTCCTTTCATCGTCAAATATCACATCATCATCAAATGAATCGTTTTCGTCCTCATCTTCTTCACCTTCCTCGTTTTCCTCTTCCTCACCCCCCTCCTCCTGCTCTTGTTCACCGTCATTATCCGATGATGATGTGCAGGAGGTGGTTATAGACGTTTTCTCATATCCACCACCACGACGTTTATATTTGCATGTGTCATAGATGTACTCATTAGTGAAATACTCTAAGCCGCATTCATTTTCTTTGAGTTTGGATAGTTTAACCATACTTTTATCTATCCTATATCCGCAAATCTTCTCAATCATTGCTAAATGTTCAAGATTGTCGTGTGTTTTGAAAAGTGGTTCTCCAATAATTAGTTCAACCAATATACACCCAATAGACCACATGTCGCAAGGATAAGACCACCCTGTACCCAAGACTATTTCAGGGGCACGGTAATGGCGCGTTGATACAATCAGAGAGTGGTACTCGTCATTAAATATAGCACTACCAAAATCAATAACTTGAATCAATGGGTTTTTCAATACCTTTGACGTTTTGGGTACTTTTTTCATAGAGCTTCCTGATGAATTATTAATCTTGGTATAAGCGGTACTTATTGTTGAGCTGTAAAGTGTCTTTTTGGCGTAGGAGTCATCGTGTAATAATATGTTCTCTGGTTTCAAATCGGTATGAATCAAGTTCAAGTCATGTAGAAAAGTCACCGATCTGATTAATTGCTTTGATATAGCTTGGATGTGACTTCCTGGGAAGGGAATAAACTTGTTATTTTCTAGGAAATCGTATAGTGAAATTTTCAACAAATCTGTGACAATGCAAATATGACCACGGTAATCAAAGCATTCCCGCAAATGGATACAATGATTTTTGTTGGCGTTATCAAATTTCTTCAAAGTGGATAGTATCCTCAACTCTATTTTCGCGGCATCACGGTATTTTTGAATGTTTCGTATAATTTTAATGGCAACATGTTCACGATTTACTTTGTCATAACATTTAACCACCTTGCCAAATGTTCCTTGACCAAGAAGTTTAATAATAATGAATCTATTAGCAAATGGTTCGTTTGGCTTTATAATGTAGTGTCCATTTTCGTCATCACAGGGTGGCAAGTTGTTTTGGTGCGGTATGATGTCGGTTTTAATATTTCCCAATTTTGGGGTTTGTAAAATGTAGTTGTTTGGTAGTTTATTGTAGAAGCATTTCACCTGGGGTAACTGAGGTAAAGAGCTTGTCCTTTGCTTCTTAGCAAAACCGCTGCTTTTGTTTTCATCAATTTCAATCTTGTTAACATTGAATAGTTTATATGCTGCAGCTGCGTCTCTATTGACCAAGATTGAATCGCTGTTGTTTCGTTTGCTTCTGGGTATAATATCCTTTTCTTCAAAGATTATCACGTCGTCGTCCTCGTCGTAATTGTCCCTTTCTTCATCCTCCAAAACAAACGTATCGGCTTCATCATCGTCATCATCCAAAATTACGTCATTTTCTTCCACCGAAAGAAAGGGATTGGTAAATTTGGACTTTTTTGGTTGTATTTGGGTACTGCCAATGTTATGGACCGAGCCTAGATAGAGGGAATTGTGACTGTCTTCAATGATTGTTGATGACGAATTACTATTGCTACTGTCTTGGAATGGATGGAAAAACAGGCTCTTTTGATGATACGATCCTTGGTACATGGAGGCGTTCGTTGATTGTGAAGTGAACTGGCGTAGCAGCAGCAGCAGCAGCAGCAGTTGCAATTGATGAGGATGGTGGTGAAGAAAGAGGTCTTGCTGTTGCAGCAGCAGCAGCAGTTGTAGTTGTTGTTGCAGTTGTTGTTGTTGTTGTTGTTGTTGTAGTTGCGGTGATTGCTGTAGTTGCAGTTGTTGTGCTTGTGGTGGTTGTGGTTGTACTTGTTGCAATGACTGTTGATAAGCGTGGTGATTGATTGACGAGGAGTCGGAGTTGACGAAATTCTCGCTGTACCCCCTAGGTCTCTTTCTATTTGTTAATAGGGACATAACTGCTACTTGAAGTAACTTTCTATGTTACCAGTGATGGAAAAAATTTTGGTCCCGTTGCAAGTGTGTGGTAATAAGGCTACTTGAATTTATAAAATTTACTCCTTTTGGGGGGGGTTGATAAAGTAAAAACGCAAACTTAATTGCTCAGTAGTGTATGTGTGTGATGTATGAACACGGGGGTTTAGTTTAGCAATTGGGAGACAGATCATTCAATTCCTCTTTGATAAGGAAGAATTGAAAGAAGAAGGGGGGGAAAAAAGATTGAGCACGAGGTGGAGAGATGCTGTGAGGCGATGCTATAGAGTGAGCAGGTAGAATAATAGACGATAGGCGTACAGACTGCACAAGGGGGGGGGAATGGTTGAGTAGACGTATGCGCTGCTGTTATTCCTGTAGAAAAAGATCATACAATAAAGCAATGAAACCAATACACCAATAATTAAGGGTCTACTTTTTAGCAGGCGAAAAAAAGATTTCAAGAGTCATTTGACTATGCACCATATAATTTTTCTATAGAAAACCCAATACAATAATTATGTTTCAATATACCAAAATTAGAAAAAATATTGGGCCAAGACGAACCTTTGTCTAAGAAAAGTGGTATTTATAAGGTGAAGGATTTATTGAAACTTGCATGAAGGAGAAAGGGAAAGGGAAAGAGAAAGATGGAAAAAGAAGAATGATTATTTAATGGAGTTTTTTTTTTTCTTCATTGCCCACAATATCCTTCCCCCTCGTTTAGAAAACTGTATAATACTTTTTGTATCACTTCAATTCATTATTTTGTATCACTTCAATGTGTTATATTTGTATCACTTCAATGCGTTATATTTGTATGTTTAGATCCTTTTGTTGACGACATTTTTTTGTTATGAAAAGGGTTGTTCAGCAACCACAAACATGCAGTTGACTACTATATACACAATAGGGCACAAGGACACAGAAAACCAATCTTTGTAAGGTTTTCTGAGCTTTCCCCAATATGTAGCTAATCAGCGGCTATATGAAGGACTTTCTCCTTCACCTCTTCTCCACCTTTCTAACTCCACTATGTATTTTTCTCCTTTTATTTTTCACTTTTTAATAACTATCGAGCGAAGCGAGATAGTGGAGAACATCGACAAGTTACGACACTACAAATGGATGGACAAGTATAAATGGATAGACTACTACAAACGGATAGATAGATTAATAGAAAAGAACAGTTCTAAACCAGTAGATATGATGGGAAAAAAGCAATTATAGACTAATCTAACGCCCCTAGGTCATCTCACCGATAGATGTGCATTTTCTATTTATATACTTTTAAAATCTTTTTCTCAAGATTTGCTTGGGGCTTCATCTTCCAAATATATTTCTAAACTCTTTGCGTTATAACTACAAGTCCTAAAGACTATCGAGCAGAGCGAAATAGTGGAACAGCACTAGCTGACACTATCAACACTATCAACACTATCGAGCGAAGCGAGATAGTGGAGCAGCACCGACTACACCGACTCTATCGAGCAGCGACACTGTTGAGCGGCGCGCTATATTGCTCTGCTAGATAGTGGAGCACATTAGCTCTGCTCGATAGTGGAGCACATTAGCTCTGCTAGATAGTAGAGTACATTAGCTGTCATCGACACTATCTCGCTCTGCTCGATAGTGGAGTACATTAGCTGTCATCGACACTATCTCGCTCTGCTCGATAGTATAGCACATTAGCTCTGCTAGATAGTGGAGTACATTAGCTGTCATCTCTCTGCTCGATAGTGTCGAGGTAATAATCACAAACACCAACTATGTCTTTTCTCTCTTTTTGCAGATCATCAATTATTTTTTAGATAAACATCTGTTGTTGTTTTTAATTCTCAAATTGTATTTACACAATCGCCGAGATTTCAAATACGAGCAAGTTCCAAAATGTAAATTGGTGAGGATTGCAAAACTTGTTATCTTTTCAACTATTTAACAAAAACACAGCCACGACTCTTGCTATAGAGTTTACTGTCTAAAATACATTTCCATTGTATGAAGAGTTGCTTCTCCACTTTTCTCAAATCTTGCCACTAAAGCATGAAGAAAACTTAATTTGTATTGATTGTTTATCGTCTTTTTCCCATGTGTTTTGAAATTAAAGTTTACGTTTAATTTTCAGTACAATGAAACTTACTTTATTTGAACGCAAGTGGCAACTGTTATCCAAAAATGGCTGAATTCGACGAGTTGACCTTTTTATGACTTGGGTGCTGGAATCAGACTTTATCAACTTTATTAGGTCCGTTTTTTTTTCTTTCTCTACCACACACGGGTTTGATCCTCTGGCTAATGTTTAACAACCTACGGATAAAGGTCGCCCATAGGTTTTGAGAAATAGTTATAGGCCAATTTGCTACTAACCACATGACAAGATTAGTCAATTTAGATAGCGCAATCGAAAAATAAAATATTTGGTCCGCCTCTAACCTAAATTTTTTTTTTCCCAACCATTTTTCTTAGAATCGTATCGTAATAGACCCGTATGTTCAACCTCGAGAATCCTTAAATTCTGTGAACTTCGAATAGGGGGATGATGTGCTTTATCTGTGTTTGCTGTTATCACTTAATAAAGTGAACCAACCAAAAAAAAAAAAAAAAAAAAAAAAAAATAAATAGAAAAAAACTNAAAAAAAAAAAAAAAAAAAAAAAAAAAAAAAAAAAAAAAAAAAAAAAAAAAAAGATAATATCAAAAAAAATCTAATCAAGAATCGACAGAATATCTTGATTCTAATTTTGTTTTTATTTTTAAAGAACTTATAAAAATAGAAATCGTTAGTTTTATATTTTTGAGAGTGGTTAACCAATACTCCATTGCAAAGATCGACTGCACAGTTTTTCTAAGGCAAAGTTTAGCTGCAAAATTTGGACCTTTGAGATCTGGGACACCTACGAAAAAACAAAAAAAAAAGATAAATTGGGGGTTGAGTGTTTTGTAAAGATAAATTGGGGGTTGAGTGTTTTGTACCCTATAAAAAAAAAGATATATGCTGGATGTCGTATCATAACTGATAAAGATCATGATACGTTTTTCAAGTAAACTTTTGTGATTTGACAAAATTGACAGGGAGTGGAAACTTTTGAAACCTTAATCAATGAAACAAAACAAAATGTAACTAATACTAAAAAAGAATAATAAGCACCATAGTACCACAAAATAGAACTGCAAAGAAACAAGAGACAACAGAATGAAATTTGAGTTCACCCATTTAACAGAAAAAGGCAAGAAGGGTAAAAGTAGTGAGGTTGCATCTGAAAACATGTATGAAGAATAAAGCAGAGAAAAAAAAAAAATAGAGTGTTTGACCTCTGATGATTCTAACCCCTCAAAAAAAAAAAGGGAAAAGAAAAAAAGACAAATGTGGGAAACAAGATGATAGTCCTGGTTTGAAATGCAAATCGGAATATGCTGGACCCGGTGGGTGCTTTGGAAACAACCCCGTGTGTGCTGCACGGCTGGTATTATGGTTGCAAAACTCATCTGTACATCCCCTCCCCTACCCCTAAATTTCTCCTCACCCCCCCGCCCCCATTTTTTTTTTCCTTAATAATTTAATTGTCCACTTTTATTTTACTAATAGGACTTTCTACATATCTGTTAACTTGACATTAAGGATGCTAAAAACACAATATTCTCGAGAACTTATTCCAACATTGAAAAACGGTTAAACTTTTATTAAGTACAGTAGTGACTCTCAGCAGTAGTTCTTGTCTGCATTTTACTAATTCAAGAAATTTCCACTGAATAGGAGTCTCTTGTTTGTAGAGTATCATTTTTACTTATTAATTTTCTTTCAAAACTTTAAAGTCTTCACTAAAAAAAAAAACAATTAAGATTCAAGTATTCAAGAAAAAAAAAACTAGTAAGGTGGATTCTTCTTCATGAATGAGGAGGGATCACACGGATGGCAATAGCGACAGGATAGAGAGCAGTGGTAATAGTGAAAATAGCCAAAAGAGTGTAAACCGTGGAATCGATGACGATAGTAAAAAAGTCGGTAGCGATTTCGAGATCCAACAGCTTTCAAATAATGAAACAAAAAGTGTACAACTTCCATCAATAACCCCGCTGAAAAAAAGTCCAACTTTGAGTCTGAACTCGCCGCATATCTCGAATTCGACATCAACTTTACATAATTCCGCGCTGGAGAATCATTCGCCACTGCCGCGACAACTACAGAGAAAATCCTCCTCTTATCATACACATCACCATTCAAACAATGAAAAACAACGAGAAAGCAACAGTATTCAGCCATATTACCTACAAGCACAGAAGCAAGAAGTTGACATGGAAGAACAAGTCAATGATATAGATAAAGCTGTTATTGTCAAACTGCGGCTACCGAAACGATATTTCTGCAAAACTTGCAATCAGGGATTTACAAGAAAACACAATATGGTAAGTCACGAACTAATTCACTCCTCCCTGAAACCACACATTTGCACTGCTTGTAATTTGAAATTCAGAAGAATTCATGACTTGAAAAGGCACGAGAAACTACATACTGGAGAAAAGCCATTTTCGTGTGACAAATGCTCAAGAAGATTTGCGAGACCAGATGCGTTAACAAGACATCAAAATTCTGCTAATGCATGTACAGGCGCCGTCGTCACCTCCGCCGCTGCCAACACGACTAACTTTACTGACGACTCCTCTATTTTACAAAGGCCAGCTTTAACTGTGAATCAACAAGCAGGAGAAGATTTAAGTGGTAGCTCGTTATCTTCTAATAATGACGAATTCAGCTCAAGTGGTAATAGCTCCGCTTCCACTGGACACTCGGCGAACTCACTGGCAAACCTAGCTAGCATACCAACACTAAAAAAACTTGGTATCTCGACATCGAATTTGCAATTAGAATCTAAAAAATTTGGAAATCAGCGACATAATAGCAATCCGCCAACCACCACCATCACTACTACTACTAATACTACTACTGATACTTTACCAGTTCGAAGAAACTCATTTCCACATAAACTTCCCTCAATCAATAATACCTCAGAAATCTCCCAGCATCAGATTCTTCCCCTACCATTCCATCTGTTTTCTCCCAATAATATACAAAACTCTTTGCAGACCTCGTCTCAGTCCCAGCGGCAGTCACAGCAGCAGTCACAGCAGCCACAGCAATCTCAACAGTCTCATCAGTCTCATCAGTCTCCACCACCACCACCGCAACAGCAGCTACATCCTCCACCATTTCCACCACTTGCACTATCGATATTGAATAATTCTTCAATTCAGCTACGACATAGTAAACATTCAGGTCGTACTGATCAGTACCAAGGACAAGTGCCATATCCATCGCAACCAATAAATTTTCCAACTAGACCCCCACCAGCGCCGCCGCCACCAATGCCCCCACAACAACAACAACAGCAGCAGCAGCAACAACAACAACAACAGCAGCAGCAACAACAACAACAGCAACAGCAACAGCAACAGCAACAGCAACAGCAACAGCAACAGCAACAGCAGCAACAGCAACAACAACAACAACAACAACAACAACAACAACAACAACAACAACAAGCATCAGGACAACAAACTTCTGGTTTACTGTCACTTCCTTTGATAACCAGCTCAAACAATAAAGAAAACTCGTCACATCCTATTATTCCTCCACATCAACATCATCATCGTTATCAGCACCAACACCAGCTACATAATAATCTACACTATACCAATAACTCTGAAACTCGAAACTCGGTTCAAGCATTATTATTACCACCACCGTATTTTACACCAAATGCGCAAGGATTAAGAGAAGTTCAGTCATCGAATGCCCCGCCTCCGCCTCCTTCATATCAACAGGATATTCGACATATCATGAGGAATACATTCAAACTGAATGACCGAGATATTTCAATGCAACAGCGAGAGAACAATAACTTGCCAGGACAGCCAGAGAACAATAACTTGCCAGGACAGCCAGAGAACAAAAACTTGCCAGGGCAGCCAGATGGTGGGTATACTCGACGCCCCTCATCATCGATTACAGGGCCAAATAATGAACAACAACAAAAACCACCTCATCAAGATGGTCGTGTGGCGCAACTAAATCGAAATATGGCAGTAAGGTCCGATGTCGGTATTCGAGGCGTAAGCACAAAGGAAGATTTACAACAAAAAGAAACATATATCCCACTATCACAATATCAAACGCTAGTCGAGTATACCAATTCATTACAGGATAATTTGAATCATCTATATACTAAAATTGCTAATTTGGAGAATAATTTAGAGAAAAGCCTGCCGAAATAGGGACTTTAGAAACGAGGCAACAACGAGGTTATAAAGAGGGCTTTTTTTTTTCTTTTTCTTCTTCCCAGAGAACTCGGTGATATTAATGTTTATTAGAAGCAATTTTAATTTTTTTTTATTTTATTTCAAAGCCAACTATTATGCGAGTAATGAGGTGTGGATTTATGTGGAGTAAGTATAGGTAACAAAGAGCTAATCCTCAAAATGTGACGATAACTCACTTTTCTATTTTTTCTCTTTCAATTAATTAATAAGTTAATAAAGTGTAAAACCACTTAGTATATATAAAAACTGGGCAAAACTTCAAAAAACTAGGGGTTCGTATTAACTTCCAAAAAACCAGGGGTTTCTAGTAACTTTCAAAATAATATTAGGGGTTTCTAGTAACTTTCAAAAAATATTAGGGGTTTCTAGTAACTTCCAAAAAACCAGGGGTTTCTAGTAACTTTCAATAAAATATCAGGGGTTTGTAGTTCACGTAAATGGTGGCTAGTCATTTGCACTTCCCTTTCTCTTCACTCTTGAACCGTTTTTCTCAATTATCATCTTATCTTAATGGCACAATAAATAGATAGTTCGTGTAATCGAATCAGGAAAAAAAAAAAAAACTTCCTAATATGCATTTTGTTATCTTATCTTGATTTGTTTTCTTACTTATACGTCCTAAAGATAAAGACAAGTAATAAGAGATGGGTCAATTATAAAGCTAAATTCGACTCGCCAACTTAAAATTGTAGTGTGTTTTGTAGATATACACGGTTCAATTAGGTCAGTAGGTTCGCTCTGCTCGGTAGTGGAGCAACACTGATTACCACCTAACAGCCCTTTGCAACAAGTTGCTCTCTTTTCTCATTGACCTTGATTAACCGCGCTTTTACCATTGTAGTATTTTTTTTTGTTCCTTATACTCCTGATCTTTTTTTTTTATATATATCCCTTAAATTAGACAAGGAATCACCCACACTACAGTACAAGTTTTCTCCTTAATTTGGCTTTCTGATTTGTCGATATTGATACTGGTTAAACTACTTATCGCAGAAATCGCAAAAAAACAACCCAAACACACACACACACACACCGCTCCCCCGGTTTTACAGAACAAATCTTATCTTATCTTATCGTTTCCAATCCCCCCTTAAGCTCTCCTTTTTTTTTTTGTTTTTTTTTTTGGAAAAAGGAAAGGAGTGACACACTTGGTTTAAAGCGCTTTTTGGCAATTAGTTGAGTAATGCTGGAGGCAAGTATACAAGCGGAAAATTCGTCCAAAAAGAGTGCTGTTGCTGGCTCTGGAGGTGGTAATCCAGTCGATGAAGATTGGTCAGTTATTTCGTCCTCTTCGGATTTTGATGACGAGAGATCAACAACGAGCTCTAGCGGCCAATATTTTGTTATCAACAAAAATGACGAAAATACCCAGAATGTGGTTAGTGGCGGTGGTGATGACGCTGGTAGATCCGTTCTCAAGGTACCCAAGTTATACACTGAAAGTTATATTGAGAACAGACAGGGGGAAGGCCAATTCCTAAGCTATGATTCGCACAGTGATTCTCGCTCACCTGTGCTTTCTGGTCCAAGTTCAGACCTTGGCTCAGGTCCCGGTTCTGTTATAAGTGATGAAATGAGCAGATCAATCAGTATTGGAACAAAGATTAGGTTTTTTGAGAATTTGAATCTGTTTAACGAGTCAATTAAACAAAAGTCAAGTGATATTTACTCTAATTATGCAAAAGCCAAACTTGACCAATTGAATAAGTATATTAATGACCAGAATGCGTTGAATGAAGAGGAGAAGGACGACGACGACGACGAGGAGGAGGAGGAGGAGGAGGAGGAGGAGGAGGAGGAGAGGGAGGAATCAGATTTGGATAATACAATTGAGTTGAGCAAGGAAAACAAAAATCAAACTCTAAATCTGCCACAGCCTGAACTAGTCGCTACTGCTGCTATCTCGCCAAATAGGAAATCCAAAAGGCCAAAGAAAGCAAAAGTAGAAAAGGTAAACCGTTGTTGCTTTAAGAAAATACTGGAGTTTATGGATACACACTCAGAATACATAATCTACTACCTAATAGCAGCGTTTTTTGGTATAATAATACCCATTGTATACCTATCTTATTCAAATTTACAATTATCGTTACCATTTCATTTATCACCTCCTCCACCGCCAAAGACCCTTACCACGTATGACAAATTAAACAATTTCTGGAATAGCATGATATACGAAGAAAAGATAACAACTAACAAAAGAAGAAGTTTTCTTTTGTTTGGACATGAAAAAGTAAAAGTCAATAAGTTTAAGGAATATGGAAGCCAGGTGCAGAAGTCGTTTGTGTCTTTATTTCATAAGTTTGACAGTGCTGAATTGATAGATTCAGTTGCTATCGAATTGAAAAATGCCTTGTTTTTCACCAATGCAAAAGTCAACATCATAATGCACAATCTCAAACGCAATGTTTTCTCTAGACTAGATGCACACGAATCAGTAAAACATTTTCTGATAATAGGCAAGGGGGTATACAAATCTGGCAAGGCCACTCTTAAAAGAGTGCTTTCTGAAGGAGAGGTTTTCCAGGAAAAAGTTGCAAAATCTCTTAAACAAGGCTTTCAACTTTCCAAACAATTTCTCTGCAAGAGTGCAGTTGGAGCTAACGAAATAATGGATAGATCATCTATGTTGTTAAAAAAATGCACATTCCCGGGATTATTCCAGAAAAAAACAATCTCGGGAAACAGAATCATTAGAACAGCTAGATCAGTATCTACACTATTTCATGAGAGTTTATCAAAGGTAAAATCCGAATTGCAATCTCAGTCGATATATGTTATACAAGATGTCCATCGAATTTAGACAATTTCTTGCACATTGTTGTTCTACCCCCACCCCCCAACAATAACAACAACAGCAGCAGCAACAACAACAACAACAATTAATGCGTAAGAGGTCTAAAAGCTTTTGCGGGATGAGGTGTGTCCCATCTTGAGAGTATTTCTACGCAATTCATCTATATTAAATTTCGTTTCTTGTTCTAGGCTATTATAAATGAGTGCTTTTTATTTCTTTTGAGTCAACTTTTGACACAAAGTGTCTGTTTAATCGCAGATATAAACTGCTCCTTAACTGCCAACTCTCCAGATAAACTGCTTCTTAATTGCCAACTCTCCAGATAAACTGCTCCTTAACTGCCAACTCTTTAACCAATCCCTCGTGGAATCTCAAGCCAAGCTGTAATGCTAGACTGCTCTTGACAAAGTCGTGTGCGGCGCGCAATTTGGATTGCGGAAAACGAAAAAAAAAAGACAATAAGTTCAACGATATTCCAAGTAAATGAATAGTAATAGTAAAGCATCACTTTGTTTTAGAGGATAGTACTATTGAAGGATTTCAAGATAATAAGATATGGGTATGTTTGTTTCCCATTCATGCTGGCCCAGTTTGAGCCCGCGTTCTCTAGCTTTTTTCCTCTTTTTTCCCCCCCTTGCTTTCTACTAACATTTATTAGGTATTCCAAAATTTTTCAGATTCATATCGGAAAGATGGCCGTTGATATCGCAGCTAATTGACCAGAACCAGATCCCTGAGTTTGATAATCTATATCTTGATATGAACTCCATTTTGCATACGTGCACTCATTCGAATGACGACACTATTAACAGATTGTCTGACGATCAGATGTACGCGGCCATTTTCAACTATATTGAGCATCTTTTCACAATAATAAAACCAAAACAGACGTTTTATATGGCTATAGATGGGGTTGCTCCAAGAGCCAAGATGAACCAGCAAAGAGCTAGAAGGTTTCGAACTGCATACGAGGCCGAGATAAATTTGAAAAAGGCTATTGAAAATGGAGAAGAGATTCCTAAAGATGACCCGTTTGATTCTAATTCAATCACACCGGGAACTGAGTTTATGGCTAAATTAACTAATAATTTGAAATATTTTATACATAAGAAAATCACCGAGGATTCTCAGTGGGCAAATGTCGAGATCATTTTGAGTGGTCACGAAGTTCCAGGGGAAGGTGAACACAAGATTATGGAATACATTAGAGCGCAACGTGCACAAGACGGATACAATCCGAACTTGAGACATTGCATATATGGGTTAGATGCTGATTTGATAATGTTGGGTTTGGTTAGTCATGACACGCATTTTGCATTATTAAGAGAAGAAGTTACATTTGGTCCACGTAAGGGCCAAAGTTCTTCGTTACAAAAGGATGTAACCGATCAGAAATTTTTTCTTTTGCACTTGTCTATATTAAGGGAGTACTTGGCATTGGAGTTTCAAGAAATTGAGGAAGAGATGAAATTTGAATATAATTTTGATCGAATATTGGACGATTTCATTCTCATTATGTATGTTATTGGAAATGATTTTTTGCCTCATTTACCTGATTTGCATATAAATAAAGGTGCTTTCCCGTTATTGGTTTCCACCTTCAAACAAACATTACTTCAAATTGATGGTTATATAAATGAGGATGGTAAAATAAATTTAAGAAGATTAAACGCGTGGATCCACCATTTGTCGGATTTCGAATTTGAAAACTTTGAGGAAAAAGAAGTTGACATTGAATGGTTCAACAAGAAGTTGGAAAATGTATCAATCACTGGAGAAAAGAAGCGGAAAAGGATTGGTAAGCTCTTGATTTTGAAAGATCAAAAGAAGTTGGTTGGATTCATCAAACCGTGGCTTATGGAAGTTTCTAGTCAACCAGTATCTACACTTATTGAATTGGCCAACGAAGAGAAACTACCATCGTTGCCTTTGAAGAAGGAAGAAGTAGAGAGCAATATGGAGTTTTTGAAACAGTTTGCATTACAAGCAGGGTTCTTGATAATTCACTCTAAATCAGAAGATACGTATCTTGCCAAATTAGATGTTGACGGTTTACCGTCATTTGAGTCACAGGATGACTTTGAAGAGCGTATTAAGGAACTTAGAGCAACTATCAAGCATTATCAATCGGCAAATTTGGTGGAGAGTGAAGAAATCATGAATGATACTAAAGAATTGTACAAAAAGAGATTTAGAGAATGGAAAAACAATTACTATAAAGATAAGTTGCATTTTTCAATTGATGATGAAGAGAAATTAACTGAATTGACTGCACATTATGTCGAAGGTTTGCAATGGGTATTGTATTATTACTATCGCGGATGTCCATCTTGGAGTTTTTATTATAGATACCATTACTCGCCTCGTATTTCCGATATATCAATTGGCTTGGAAGCGCTAATTGAAAAGGGCGAGGATATAAAGTTTGAGCAATCGCAGCCTTTTAAACCATTTGAACAACTAATGGCTGTTCTTCCAGCTAGATCAAAAAAATTGATGCCGCCAATTTACAGACCGTTAATGACTGATGAAAAATCACCAATTATTCAATTCTATCCTCATGAAGTAGATGTGGATATGAATGGTAAAACAGCTACATGGGAAGCTGTTGTGTTGTTAGATTTTGTTGATGAAAAAAAGTTAGTAGAAACATTAAAACCGTTGGAAGATAAGCTTTCACCAGAAGAAGCGAAAAGAAATTCGTATGGCCATGCTATTAAGTTTATGCATAACGCACAAATTGACAAGGTTTTCTCCTCGCCATTACCAGGCTTTTTCCAGGATATTGAGCACGATAAATGCTATGAGGAAAAGTTTGTGTTGCCAGAAGTTAAGAAGCATAGAATTGGCCAAATCGACGGAGCACGTTCGGGCACAGAGTTGCTGGCAGGTTTCCCTTCTTTACAAACCGTTCCATTTACTTTTGAGTTGGCACAAAATGAAGTGAAGATTTTCAACTTTTCCTCTAAATCCGAATCCGTGATCTTGAACATTGAAAATGTGTGGTCTGACTTATCGGTGATGCAATTTGCTCAAAGCTTTGTTGGGAAATTAGTTTACAGCAATTGGCCGTTTTTGAGAGAATGTAGAGTTTTAAAGGTTGTTGATGGCATACACGTCTTTGAATCAGAGAAATCTTCAACTGGAAGGCGGCATGTGGTTACTCGTGAACTTCAAGCTAATGAGCAGAAAGCTTATAAAGCAGAGTGCAACAACACCAGCTATGCTTGGGATAAAACCAAGGCTGTTAGGTTGGGAACAGTTGACGTTTTAGTATACGTGCAATCTGTCAATGGACTAATCAGAAACGCAAGAGGTGCATACGTGAAAACTTTTTCAAAAGAAATTGAGGTTTATCCTTTACAGTTGATTGTTAGAGAAGTGTTGCACAAGGATCCAAGATATGCTACTAGACCACCATTACCGATCGATCAAGAGTTCCCGTTACATTCCCAAGTAATTTTCTTAGGTGATATGGCTTATGGTGCTCCTGCAACAGTTGTAGGATATAGCGGATCCACTTTGAGCATCAAAATTTTCAAGATCCAATCAACAGCAGAGCCAAACATTGGAGAAGTTAGACTGATTATTGAGTCACGTGAAATCAAGTATAGTCCTTCTTTTGAAGTTAGCAAGACTCTTAGGATCAATTCTCTTTTGTTATCGAAAATCACGAGTCAATTTATGGTTACACATGAAGGCAAAAAGATAAACATTGGTTTGGATTTGAAATTTGAAAGTAAGAGACAAAAAGTCTTGGGCTATACAAAGAAGCTGTACAATGATAAGTTTTGGGAATTTTCTCCATTGGCTATAAATTTGATAAATACTTACAAGACTAAATTTCCGACCTTATTCAACAACTTGACAAAAATGAGTGGTTCCGAAATACCTCAAGTAAATCAGATTCTGAGCTTGGAGGAAATCAAACGGGTTCAGTCATGGTTGAAGGAGGTGAAGAAAGATTTGATCCCCGTTTCGTTGGAAAGTCAGTCCTTCACAAAGTTTAGTTTTGCTGCAATTGAAAAATATATGGACAATTATATTTTGAGACAAATTCCATCCATCAACAAGGACATCAGGGGTGTACCACGACATGCAATATTGAACGCGAGCGAGTCGTATCAATTATTGAGTGAACAAAAATTCGACTTGGGAGATCGGGTTGTTTATGTACAAGATCATGGTAAAGTCCCAATCTTGTCCAAAGGAACCGTTGTGTCCATATTCACTGTGGGTTCCAAGACTTCTTTGGCGGTTATTTTTGATGTACCTCAGTTGGGTGGAAATACTATGAACGGAAAGCTTCAAAGCAAAAGAGGATTACTCATTGACTCCTCGTTGGTGTTGAATTTGACAAATAAACAGTTTATTTCCCACTCGCGTGCTTCTAAAGAGAGAAAAACACATGATATAAATGCGAACAAACAGGGAAGAGTCAACGCTTCATACGTTAGCAGAGATCGACGCCCTCGACCAGATGCGAATGCTAAAGTGTTGGATGCTAAACATCAATATGTGAGATCCAAAGAAAAGCCTGTTCAAAAAGACGTTGCAAAACCAGGGTCTACCTCAACTCAATCTAATGAATTATTAACTCTTTTGAAGAGAAAGAATAAGGAGCCAAAAGACGAGAAAGAAAAGGAAACAAATACTGATGATAACGTTGCATCTGAGGGAAAAGGTAAAGATGAGCGACTTAAGACTGATCCACATGCAATAAAGCAAATTTATGGACAAATCTTCTCGAATGTAATGAGTCAAGGTGCAATACCAACAAATGGGAATGGGAATACAAACGGGCCTCAGTATGGACAGCCAATTCCTTACCCGGGGCAAGTAAACTTTGGGTACTCTCAACAGTACCCTGGTGTGCCACAGTCTCAACAGTACGCTTACCAATATCAGCAGCAGCAGCAGCAGCAGCCTACCTATATACCTTCCGAATTACAGTCAACACAGGTTCACACTAACGATTCACAAAAGTTTGGTAATGCTATAGATAGGTTTCTCTACGACGCAAAGATTGCGGAGGAGAAAGTAAAGAACGAGGCGGGCCACGCGAAGGACAAATCGGAGAAGTAAACAAAAACAAGAAAGAACAAAAAAAGAGAATCAATTTTGAAAGAGGCGGCTAGAAGAAATCAGTTTTTGTTTCTTCCAATGTATAATTTCATAATTTTTAAAGAGGTAATAAAAAATGTGTAAATACGTGAATTATGTACAATGAGGTTGAGGTTTTTGCAATCACACTTTTTTTTATTATTATTTGCCCTCTGGGTTTTGCTCTTTCTGCCTCTCCTTCGATGATGGGCGTTCACTTTTGTCACCAGGTAGGTTCGTCAAGCCAAGTGAATCCCATTCACTAGGATCCATTAGTTCATGATCCATCCTACATTTAAGATATTCCTTAGCTAGTATTCGACAATTTGGTGCGTTTTTGTTCTCGGTAAACTTCATACATTTCAAGTATTTGAGCATTTGTTGTTTGCATTCCCCATCGTGATCTAAGGGGAATGAACCTCTCTCTGGAGGTGTTGGAGTCCAAGTTCTGAAATTTCCACCTTTTGCAATAATTGTAAGTATTCCTTTTTATTCCTCTTTACATGTTTGTTAACAGGGTTTTAGACGTACCTGGTGCACCGCTTGCCATACTTTATTGATACGGGTTTGATTTGTGCGTGATCAAAGGTGTTGAAGTTCTTTTTGTCAGAATTGAAAAATTAAGCAAAAAAAAAAAAAGGAAAAAAAAATGCACAATTTCTGAAACAATCAGTACGCGAGACTCAGAGTCTATATAGAGAGAGCATGCAAACTGGGTTTTCTCTTTACAGTAATGTACAGCTTGTAGTGTGAATTCTAAACCGGCTTTAGTAGTAAAAACATGTTCTGATTGGGCTATTAAGTTAGTTGCAACTTTTGTCTCAAGTCAATTCCAACTCAAGACCAACGGTTTCTTTTAACAAGCTGACGAATCCTGATTCGTTTACGGAAATCTTGCCCGACAACAAAAGTCATTGATTGCTTCTATTATTCTTAGAAGGATTGAATATGTAGTCCAAGTCTCTTACAAACGGGTTCGAAATATTAGACAAGTTGGCAACGAGGTGACACCGTCAAATAAACCTAAAACCAGCTTGCAACAGTAAAATATCTAAAAGATCCAATTACGCTTCAACTGTAATCTCGGCATGATCATCCTTCCGTACGGAAAGTTGAGGTTGAGGTGCTTTAAGAGGAACAGCGCTGGTGGATACAGCGAGAGCTGCAATAATAAGAGATAATTAATTGCTTTGTATATCAGGAATAAGAGTGTATCAGAGCAGCACTGACTATTGTCGATAGTGTCAGTGGCAGCTAGTTTTAGTGATTTTCAACTTGCAACTTTTTCCGATGAAGGAGGCTTTTCTATATATGTTTCAACTCGAGTGAGTCTTGGATGATGAGAAAAAAACAAGCACAAGTCCAACTGCATTTTTGAGTTGGTATTTGATTTGAATAAAATTTTGCAATTTATGCAAACAAACCCGTGTGTGGACTAACAATGTAGCAAGACTGCCTACTTTAGACGAAATGCTACAATAACTCGTCAATGAATGGTGATGACGATGTGGAGGAGGATGTAATCTTCCACTCCCTTTAATTACCGCAAAGTTTAAGTAGAGATGCGCATTGGAAGATGTACATTAAATATGCTTAATGCATTAGAAGGATGGTTTGTTCAAGAATGCGACACTATCGAGCAGCACTGACTAGTGGAGTAGCACTGACTAGTGTCAATAGTGTCGGTGGCAGCTAGCGTGCTACACTATCTCGCTCTGCTCGATAGTGTCGATCTCTGACTGATGAGGATACTACAATACCAGTTTGGTGTTGGAAGAAAAACTTTGTCCATATTTGTTCAGAATATAACTGTAAATGGAAACCTGAAAAAACTTTATTTAATTTTTTTGCACAAAAGATCTCAAAAACGAAGAAGAAATGTATGTAATCTTTTATTTCACTCCCATCTCATATTATCACCCACTGTGCTTGATTTTGTCCTTGTAGTAGCTTAGGGTATTTCTCATTTTCGGTAACAGTTCCTATTACTACAAACTTTTCGCTATCAATTCATACATATGGTGTTGCAATTGTTTGTCAGACTATGTCTATGTTTTCATTGCCGTATTGACAAGAGCTCAAAATAGATAAGGCCAGATCAGAAAGGAAAACAGAAAGGTTGCTCCATTTCTTACTACAGTTTTTTTATTTCTTACTACAGTTTTTTTTGTCAAGAAAGGTACTTACTATAAGTAAGATTTGGCACATTCGCATGCGTCAAATATTCGTAGAATGACTTTTGTTTTGCTGTTTTATTATCAAAATTACAACTTGCAGCTAAGAGTTTGAAAGGACCAACAAAAATGAGCATTTGCTTGGGATAGAAGCCTTGTAAGTGAAAGCAATGTCTAAAACGATCGGGATCTAAAAAAATTAATCACATCTTGTTTAAACTTTGGTTATTGATTACCTCTTTGGCAATAATACTCTTTTATTTTTAAGAATATTGGAATCACCTTGGTTTTGTCAACTGTTGAAGAATAACTGTTATCAAAATATAAGCCAAAATCGTCATGAAGTAGCTATCAGTTTTCGCTTTATATTTGATCTTGTTGATATGGTAGCGTTTACACCTCGTTAGAAGAGAGGAAGACACTTTGTGCGATTGCAAATCACTATCAAAGAACAAATTGCATACTTGGCTCAGGGTTACTCGGGTACAGCAGCTGTACTAATGCAAACAAGTAAAGTATTAACTTATAGTGTAGAGAAGTATGGCTAAATAAATAGAGTGTTGGCAAGACTCTAGGCTTTTGGCAATTGACATTAAGTTACGCGACAAGTCTTACGACACCAAAAAAATCCCTGTAATGTTTTTTTTTTTTTGTGTGGGAAGGACATTGTTGAAAATATCAAACTTGAATCGGATTAGTTTGTCCGTTGAAATCACACCGATTAGATATGATATGTGGTACGCTTTTGAAGCCGTCTTGATAAATGACCGGGATTTACCTAGTTATTGGAAGAAAAAAAAAACAGCGCGGAAGTGGATACATCGCGTTGGGCCAAGTCGTTGGTTCAGGACTTTGATGCTTTGTTTCAATTAAACCCGTGCGTTTTTCAAAAATGAGGGGCATCAGACCCGCACAAATTCGGATCAAGGGAATTATTTTTTTCATTTCTTTTTATTTTTTTATTTTTTCATTTTCTTTTTTACCCGCGCTTGATAGATGAATTAATGTCGGCAGAAAAAAAATCTTTCAGTTAATCGTCCATCCGCGGCCATAAAGAAAATGTGCAGAGTAAAAATATGAGTTTATGCGATTTGAGAGAGGAGTTCGAGTAGATTATCTATCAAGTTTCAGTTGGCACACAAACTGAAACGCGGCAACTAATATCATTCTCGTTGGTAAAAATTGTTGCCGAATTACCAACAATAGACAAAGAACCGTTAATAGGTTTCTATTATTGAATATAACCGTCATTTGTTATTGGGAATTCTCCTTTATCGGCGTTCATACAAATTAGGCTTTTGTCTCAAACAATTTAACCTACTTATTAAATAAACTCTTGTACTTTTTTGGGTCTACATATCCTTCTCTCTTGCCTCACCTCACATCGCATTGAAGTTAAAAACTGGAGAAACGGCTAAAAAAGAAAGAAATAAAAAATTTCGCTAACAATTGAAAAGTACAAATGAACAAAAGGTGAATTATCACAAGAAAAAGTCGCAAAGTTAAAAGAAATCTAATCATCATCAAGTGTTGTTTCAACGGATATATGTTCTATTGATATGACTTGTTCCTCATTGATGATGATGAATGGAGATTGATATTGGAATGAATATGTAGCCCTAGGTTTCCAATACCAAAATGTCGTTTCCCTCACTCTAAGGTTTTTTAAACTATGAAATGTCGTGAAAAGTCGACAAAACATTACCAATAATTTTTTTTTGGAGAAAGTAACGGTACATTATTACATACTCTGCCACTGTGATTGCCGCTTCTCATATGTGTATTCATCTCTGACTGAGTATCCAAGAGTGTAGAAATATCTGTGTACACATTGGAATTAGTTTTCCATCAAATATAAAATGTCGCATTTTCAATCTCTTCCATTCATTGTGTTAATTTTAATTTGTTCATTAACCGCTCTGTTTTTTTTTTTTTTTTTTTTTTATTTTTTCTTTTCAACGAATAACTTATTTTTAGGTTCCAAATTTTCATCTTTTCAATAGAAAACATCCTTCATATCCCAACTTTTCTTTTCCTTGAAAAGGGCATATTTTTATATATACACCCTCCTATATATGAAATTTTAGAACTAGAACATCCTACAGCTGGACAATACCTGTTTCACTTATTCCAAATTTTTTAAGAAACACATATCATCATTACTGCTAATCACAGATAATACCCCACTGCTACTTGTTATTTTTTGTTTCATCATTACTTTACTAACCACCACTGCTAATCCCATTGATAGATTTGTTTTTTCACTTTAACCTGTATTCCTTTTTTTTTTTAATTTTTTTTTTTTGTTGGCCCACTCACATTTAGATTTTCACTAATTTTGCGCGAAAATCCACTGTTAAAGCTGTTATTACCACTGTTAATACTGTCACTGCTGTTATTTTTGTCCTAGTCCAAGATGTTGAGCGAAACGAAAGCATCCGAGATATTTAACCAGTTTGCAACTGTTGGAGCCAATCAGGAAAAAATTTTGACGTTACCTGATTTCATCGATATTCTTGCACCCTTCCCAATCGATATACCAAAAAATGCATTTTCACTTTTGTATTTAATCGCTGATACTGAGAAAAAAGGATTTGTTACTGAATCTAACTGGATCAATTTTATAGACACTTTAACTTCTTCAGACGGCGAGTACAAGTTGCTATACAAATTTCTCTCCAATGACAATAAACTTGATTCAAAGATAACATATACACAATGTGTTGACATTTTGAACAAAATCAATAGTTCAATTGACCCCAAGTATCAACAAAAATTGATCAAGTTGAATTGGGTTTATTTCCCAAAATTTTTCGAGCCCTCTGGCTCAATTGAGTTTAATGATTTCGTGACCTTGATTAGTTATTTGCCAGTGACAAAGTTGATTGGTAATTTTGAAGTAGCTTCAAACCATAAAAAACAAGTTTCTGGTGAACAATTGGTGAATTTGTTGTCTACAACTTTGAGCCACAAACTTTCAAACAAGTTAAAGAGTAACTTGCACAATGTCACTGGGTTTTTTGGTAATAAAAATGAGTACTCTTTTTCCAATTTGTTGTTCATTTATGATACTTTGAACAAGGTCGATTTGATAAATGAGGTTATAGTGAATACACCGCCAACTACAAAGGACAAAAAAGATATCATTATCAATAAGAAGGATTTGTATAACCACTTGAATGATCCATTATTGAAATCGGCTAATTTCAAACCAGTTTCTATTTTGGAGTTGGATTTGTTGTTTTACTTGATCAACCAACTGAGTGTAGACAACATTCCTCGGAGACAATTGGTTTCGTTTTTGAATCCTAGCTTCAACAACAACTTGAATTCTTTGCCTTCAATTTTCGATCACCCGCAAAGTACTCACTCATTAAAGGAATCGAGCGATAATTTTTCATTGTGGCCAATTTATGATTCCTTATATTCGTTTTTCCTTGGTTCAATTGCTGGATGTATTGGTGCAACAGCAGTTTACCCAATAGACTTGGTGAAAACAAGAATGCAAGCACAAAAGCACAAGGCGCACTACAATAATTCATTAGATTGTTTCAAAAAGATTCTTAGAGCAGAAGGTTTCAAGGGTTTATACTCGGGTTTGGGAGCTCAATTAGTAGGAGTTGCTCCTGAAAAAGCTATCAAGCTTACTGTCAATGATTTGGTACGTAAAATAGGTACGCAAGACAATGGTCAAATTACAATGAATTGGGAAATTCTTGCTGGTCTGTCAGCTGGAGCTTGTCAAGTCATCTTTACAAATCCTTTGGAAATTGTTAAAATTAGATTGCAAATGCAAGGTAACACCAAGAATTTGAGTAAACCAGGAGAAATACCAATCAAGCACTTGACTGCATCACAAATCGTAAGACAATTGGGTATCAAGGGATTATACAAAGGAGCAAGCGCTTGCCTTTTGAGAGATGTACCATTTTCCGCTATTTATTTCCCAACATACGCCAACTTGAAGAAATACATGTTTGGATTTGATCCAAATGATGACACAAAGAAACAAAAATTATCGTCTTGGCAATTGTTGGTAGCCGGTGCTTTGGCCGGTGCACCATCAGCATTTTTCACCACGCCAGCAGATGTCATAAAAACCAGATTGCAAGTGGCTGGAAAGAAGAACGATATCAAGTACAGAGGTATTATTGATTGTGGTGCGTCAATCCTAAGGACAGAAGGTTTATCAGCTTTTTTCAAAGGCTCATTGGCCAGAGTGTTTAGATCATCACCACAATTTGGGTTCACATTGGCATCATACGAATTGTTGCAGAATCTTTTCCCCTTGCACCCACCAAATACTCGTGAGTCAAACTTCAAGGCTATCAGTGGATACCCAGGTGTTTATAACTTGACAAACGATCAAGTTTACAACTCGCAAGGAAAGGGTGATAGAGTGATTTACTTACAAAAATCAGAGATGAGCAACTCAGCACAACATGATATGTTGGTCAAGTTACCTGCTGATTACACTTATAAATCACAAGATGCAATCAAATTGCTCTTGGATATTGATTATAAGTTTGGCAATTTTAACTATAATTCATACTTGAATTACATTCAAAAAAAATAGAAGAATACATATATATAAAAAAAAAGAAAATGTGCTTGTACTATATGTCCCAGAAGGATACATCATCATAAAGAAGCAGTGAAGAATTAATTTCAATTCCAATCAGGCAAGTGTTTCTACAATCGGGGTTTTCCACAACCGGATTTTTTTTTTATTAATCATTTAACGACCTTTGATGATCGCAAGAACTTTCCAATTCTATTAAATTATACACACAACACACATGCATATATATATATATAGGTTGTGTGTATGTGTATAGGGAAATATTTTTTTAACCAAATAGAAAAAAAATTTATAAAGAATACAAGATTTTCCTGTTTCCTTTTTCATTTCCTTCTCATTTCCTTTTCCTTTCTTGCCCTTCTTTTTTATAAAGTATAAGCCTCAAATAGTGTTTGGTCTTTCTCTTTGTTCATATGCTGAAATCCAAGATGCATTCGTCCATTTTCAGTTCCCATATCGATGATTTTGATCAAATAGAAATCCTTGAAAAAACCATACTTCAAAAAGGAAAAATTGATCTTAGTTGTAGCATCTCTGTCGCCAGATCCCCTCTTAAGATTATAAACTGTAAACTTTTGTCCCACATTGTAAATAAAATGATTCTGTATTACCTCAAATTGTTGGTACCCGTTATTGCAATTGTTGTAATCAGCTATTTTTTCATAGGTTTTAGAAACAGTGTTGAAAAACACTATGTCATTCTTCCTAACAACAAGTAATTTATTTTCATTAATGATGAAAAACTTTCTCACAAATCCCATGCTGTATGTGGACACTTGTCCAGTCTCCACCACTACCGAAAAGATGTTTACTCTGGTATTGAAGAAAACCACACTGGATTTAGCCAGCTCCAAGACTTGCAATGTAATGTTTTCTGGTACTGATATATTTGTGTCGATGAGCTTGAAATTACTAAAATTACTGAAATTCATTGTCAATTTTTGTTGGTTGGGCATCAGATTTGCTTGATGTTTAAAGCATATTAAATCCCCCTTGGATGATAATAGATATATATGTTTAGATTTCGAAATACCAGCTACTATTTTCGGATATTCGCGAGCAAGCAAAGGCACTGGATCCTTGATATAGACCATCTCTGGTCTAGCGCTGTCATGATAATCCAAAAAAGAATGCAAGTGTCTGTTAGCTCCAACGGGGTCGTTTTGCTTATCATTCAATTTCTCGTTTACCTCCTCCACGCCTATTTTTAAATAATTGGGGAATTCCACATTGTGAAAGCCAAATGCTCTTTCCAAATCTTTACCACGGGGATGCTTATTAAGATTTTTTTTTAAGAACTTCATAAAATCAACAGTTAAATCTTCAAACTCACCTTTGATTTCGTCAAACCGATGGTACCTAGGTATGCATATTTGATGAGTACGACTAAACTCGTATAGTTGTAAAATGTCCAACTGGTAGTCCAAATCTCCTACTATTATCAACGAATTCGTGCCATAACATTCAATTTTGAAAACGTCATGCATTGAACGGGAATCCAATTTGACTATTCCATCGTCGCCTCTATAATAGCAGACTTGCGACGGCTGCTGATAAGTTTCACGTAATGAGTCAAACACTGCCATTTTCATCGCTTGGGAGAAATCTAGCTCGGTACTCTGTGAAAGTCGATTGATGATAAAACTGCCCCTATGATACGCAGCAATAATGCATTGCGGTATTATTATCTTGGACTTTCTATGAGCAAACCCTGCTCGTAAAAGGTCTGTTTGATCTTCTTTGTAATAATCGTTACTATAATCTATTGTACCCGTTTTGAGGTTTAGAAAACTTACATTGTCAAATTGAAATTTCCGTAGTCGCGACTGATCTTTTCTTAAAGGGTTTTTGATATTTGGGTTCTTGATTAGCTCTTCGTTGCGCAGTTTCTTGTTCTTATATGAGCTTCCTTGTAGCCCATCACGCTCCCGCTTATCATAATGTTTGATTCTTTTCTCCGCTTGTATAGAATTATTGTGGTACTTCAATTCCCCTTCACTTGATGACGGTATTGCTCCGTTGACAACTTTGAAATATCTGCCACGCTCTTCATCAAAATAGTGTCCAGGTATATTCAAACGTGACATTCTTCAAACATATTTAGTCTATTTAAAACCCTTGTCAAACAATCTCATTTCAAAAATATATCCATGGCTTTAGATTTTTTTGATAATCTGGTAGCTACCAAATGTTACAATTATCGATGAACCACTTGTTAGTCCAATCACTTTGCTATTCCTTTTCATTAAAGAGAGAAATTACTATGCCAGTGCCTTTATTTGCAATCGAATGGGTATGCTGTCTTTTTTGTCAACTCAAAAAGATATACGAGGAGAGCGGGAAACTGATAGTATAGAGATGTCAGAAATATACTAAAGTAGTTATAATCCAAAAGTAGCTATAACTCAAGTTTGATGATGTTGCAAAAGCAGATGTAAGGAAACAAAGTTTAACTGTAGTTGCCTCCTGGATATCCCGCTTATTGGTTTTTATATTTGTATTGAAATGCAAGCAGACGATGTAAGTAGTAGCAAAGTACAACTTGTTATACCACCCACTATATCTCAATGAAGTAGCTTTTCTCTGATTTCTCTCTCGATTTTACAAGGCTCTAGTCAAAATCTAATTCGTAATCCTCATTAACCTTCAGGCTCATTCTTTCATAACTCTGTTCGTTAATCTTTCTAAGCATCAACTTCTCAAATCCATTAGATCGATCAACTCCATCCCAGAAATATCCAGCCGATATGTCAAATCGATTGGGTAGGTTGATCCCTTTATTATAACGAAATCCTGATCTCTTTTTATCTTCCAGCTCTACTGCTGCTGCTTCTTCTTGTTTTTGTTTCAGTTCTTGAAACGCTGATATAGGATCTTCGAAATTTGCATCTAATTTTTGTTTAAAATCATGCAATTCTTGTTTGATTTGTTCTTGCTTCGATGTGCGAATTATAACAATCTCCTTTCGTCGTTTCTCTTCTTCCTTCTTCCGCTCGAAATCCCTTTGCGCCTCATCAATATCTATCATTCTTCCCGATGAGTCTCTATATATGGTTTGTTGCGTTACTCTCTTTTGTTGTTCCGCTGGATTTTGACTAGTCACAGTGCGGTCAACCAAGTTACCATTATCTATTCGTTTGAAGCCTCTGTTTTCTTTGACATTGGCAACAATGACCGGTTTCGACTCGTCATCATCATCTCCTTCTAGTACGTCTACATCTAGTTGTTCGTCGTTATATGAGGCAGAAGTCTCTGTAAAAAATGGTCTTGCAATTCTTAAATTGGAGGGTACCTGCACCAACTCATCTTTCTCCCTTTTCTCCTTTTCTTTTCCCTTCTCCTTCTCCTTCTTCCTCTTCTTCTTCTTGTCGGATGACTTCCTAACATTTGTGTCATCTACCAGAAGGTATCTGGCCAAATAATCCGCTCGTGACATACTAATACTTGCTTGCAAGTCTCTTCAAACTTTAAAGAGTCTTTGGTCATGAAGGAAATCAACTAATTTTTCATTATAGTGTTTTTCCACACTCCGGAAAAAAGAAAAAAAAGGTTTATCTAATCTCTATAATATCTAGGAGGAAAAGATATATATAACATCTATATTAAAAGTTGTTTATTTAGGTTGTTTGCTGTGTTTTGATACTTTCCTCACTTATCTAGCCTCTTTACTTCGTTATGCAACACAGCCATGTTTTCACAAAGTTCCATAAACAAGGCATATTGGGTCTTAATCACTTGTAAAATACTAGCCAAATTACCAAATCCTTCGTTACAATTTCTCTCCAACCCATTTAATACAACTTCTAAATCATTGATCATCTCTTCGTATAACTGAACAGTTTCATAATAGTTTTTAATCTTCTTTATAAAAAACTCATTCAACTGATAAGAGCTCGATAATTTTGTTCCTGGAGTGCATAATTGTATAATGAGTTGCATAATGTTATTGACGTCTTCAGTAATTTCGTTATTCATATCCTTGAGACTTTGTAATTGGTTCGTATCTAGTTTTAGAGCTTGCTTAGTAGAAAGAAGTTTATTCTGTAAATATGAAACATCCTTGGGGATTGTATTTATCAACTCATGGTGCTTTGCCATATCTGAGTTTAAGGTCGTGGCAATCAAGTGCTGGGTGTTTATATATGTATCGAGTTGCTGCAATTCGTTCTTGATTTCTGCTGGTAAATCCCCTACTCGCGTCATTGCAGTGAGTTGTGGCTGCTGCTGTTGTTGTTGTTGTTGCTGTTGTTGTGCTTGCTGCTGTTGCCCAAATAATCCACCTGTCGTTGCAGGTTTGCTTCCAAACAATCCTCCGCTTGCCTGAGAATTGTTAGACCCAAATAAGCCCGTATTATTACTGCCACCTCCAAATAACCCACCACCTCCAGACTGCTGTCCTGTATTTGCATTATTGCTACCAAACAATCCACCACCTCCAGACTGCTGTCCTGTATTTGCATTATTGCTACCAAATAATCCACCACCTCCAGACTGCTGTCCTGTATTTGCATTATTGCTACCAAATAATCCACCACCTCCAGACTGCTGTCCTGTATTTGCATTATTGCTACCAAATAATCCACCACCTCCAGACTGCTGTCCTGTATTTGCATTATTGCTACCAAATAATCCACCACCTCCAGACTGCTGTCCTGTATTTGCATTATTGCTACCAAATAATCCACCACCTCCAGACTGCTGTCCTGTATTTGCATTGTTGCTACCAAACAATCCACCACCTCCAGACTGCTGTCCTGTATTTGCATTGTTGCTACCAAATAATCCTCCAGTGTTTGTATTTGAACCAAATAGTCCACCACCAGTAGTACTAGGTTTGGCACCAAACAAACCACCACCACCACCGCCGCCGCCGCCGCTTGCAGAGGTTGCTTGTGATTGACCAAAAAGGCCACCACCAGTATTTGAAGGTTGTTGTTGCTGTTGTCCAAATAAACTTCCCGATTGCAGTTGTGACGCATTTTGTGTATTCAGACCCAGACCAAAAAGGCCTCCTCCTGTAGTCCCAGTATTTCCAGCCAGAGATCGGCCAAAGAGGCCCCCTCCTGTGGTTCCAGTATTCCCAGTCAGAGACTGACCAAATAACCCGCCATTCGAAGAACCGGTTGTTGTCTTGTTCCCGAAAAGTCCTCCAGTTGTACCCAGTGTTTGCTGGCCTCCTTGTGTATTTGCTTGCCCAAACAAACCACCCGTTGAAGTAGTCCCAGTCGTTGCTGGTTTCGTTCCAAATAAACCACCACCCGTATTAGTATTACTTGACCCAAAGCCTCCAAACGAGGTTGCCGGTTTCGATGTTTGACCAAACATCGACTTTTGTATTAAAAAAGATAAGATACTTCCATATTCAACGTTTACTGATTTTTTTTTTTTCACTTCTCTTCCCAAGGTTTTTTATTTTTTTCCTTTCTTGCGCGTAAACAATCTAGGATTATAATTGCAAAATTTATATAGGAATAAAGAAGGAGCTTTCTTCAAAAGGAGCTTCAATGATATGAGCAATTTACCGCCGCAGTACTTGGAGCAAATACATAACCTGCTAAACCAAGCGTTTGATTATTGTACTCGAGAAGACAAGTTGAAAATTGAAAAATTAGAAGCAAAAATACACATTTTGGAGAGATGCTCACAAGAAGATCATGTCAAGATTACGAATCTAGAAAATGAAATTTTGAATTTGAAACAAACCATTGAATCTCAGCAGAAGGATATTGAGAAATTGAAGCAGGAAACAGCAAGAGGGGCGAACCGTGTATCTATATCGCCAAAGAGGGAATTGTCAGCAGCAGCGCTGTATGAGCTAGGCGATAACGCACCTGGAAAAACAAAATGCGCGATTGAAAATGTACATCTATTGCCTACACAGTATAGTGACACAGAAGATGAGGTTGCATTGAGCGAGATGGCCTCGTCTCCTGTAAAAATAGATGGTCAATGTATAGTCAAGCAATCGGCAGCAGAACATGCACTGAGCCCCATTAATGTGAGTCCTAAACGGAGATTGTCTTCAATCAAGACTAGTTCTAGTCCTGGAACCACAATCAAACTCCGTAAATTAAACGATCATATCTCAGGTAATGGAATCTTTAAGATAAAGAGTGAGGAGAATAAGTTACTGAGCCTAGCGGTAGATTTAGAGTTGAAGCAGGATTTATTCAATAATAGACCAGGATCTCTCCTCCACCACGAACAACGCGATGAGTCTCCTCTCCCGCTTTATATGAAGAGGGAAAGTGATGAAGTATATGGAGATGTTGAAGAAATTGCCGATTCACAAGAGGATGATGCAATATACTCAACGCCGCTGCTGCAAAAAACACTGTCATCACCAATCGTGATACCCAAGCATTTAAATTCCGTACTACAAACGCGACAGTACCTCACGCAATATTACACTGACAAATTTGTCACCGATCCCAGCTTCAAAATCAATTTATCGAGACACCCCATAAAACGTCTTTCATGGGATTTTAGTGATTTCAAATTGAATTTAAACTATCAGCCCGGCAATTTCAGTCAATTCATCAGGAGGCATAATATCATGGACAAGACCAAGTTTGATAAATACAAGACTTTCTATAAGCTTTCAGAAGATCAGCAATTTGAAGATAAATTACTGCAAATATTTGATAAATTCGAGTCACCACCAGGATTCATGAAGCTGGAATTTCCCGATACTCAAGAGTTGCAAGAAAGAAAGAAAATTGTACGCGAACGGCAGTCGAAAAGAATCAACCGTCGACTAGAAAGTTGCACTATTGTAATAGACCAGGAACAGATTGGCGAGTTTGTTTTCAGTTTAGATATTTTGAATCGTTATGTGGTTCACAATAGGTGGTACAGGCAACCACTGAGGTAGCCAAAAAAGTCTCATAGATATAATAGAAACCAATTAGATTAAAGGACTCCAATCTCTGACTCTATTAAGTCAACTGTACATTTTGCTACATTTGCTGCATTTGCTTTCTCTATCTCCAAGAAGAGAGATCTGTAGCCAGTGGAAACATATGGGCAAATATTAGAGAAAAAAATAAATAAATTAAACTAAAACAAAAGTTGCAAAACCAAGTATAGTAGTGACTGCATATCTTTTTGTTTGATCAATAGGTAAACTTTAATGTTTGAATAAGCAGTCGAAACAAGAGTGTACTAACAGCCTGGCTCCCAGGCCTCGGCGCCAAACCGCCCAAAACGATCTCAGTGAGAGTAGTACTATATGAAAAGAGGTTCGGTTTTGAGGATACATTTTCTCTCTCCATATTTTCTATATCGTGTATTGTCCAGGAAAGCTTAAACTCTGCTGTTTTTTTTCTTTATATTCGGACAGACAGAGACTTGGATTTTTCTTTTTGTTTTTGGGCAAGAAATGTCGTGGTGTACATGAGAATTGGGCGAGGGCAAGAAGGGCAAGAAGGGCAAGAAGGGTGAGGATGTATGCAAAGAGCGATGAATAAGACAATAAGCGGAGGGCGGAGAATGGCGAGGTACATTGTAAATCCGTGGACAAACAAGTTTTGAGTCTTTGCAATTAGAAGTAAGAATCTATTCGTCAATCTTTGTGTCGTATAAAAAATGAGGCGGATGCGAGGGGCTACCATCGATGACTGCGTGTTGTTTGCGAATTATGAACGGACATAAATTTAAAATATAATTCTTGTTTGGTCATAGTTATCATAGTGGTGGTTGTAACATCATATGACGCGGAAGCTTGTAATTGGTAACCAACCAAAGCTCTTTCCAACCAAGCTTCTCTCCTTTTATAAATGTTGACGGACACAAGTTGGACCATATACGATTTAGTATGCACACATATTATCAAAGTTTGGCAATTTTTTGTATAATATGTCCAAGTTTTGTCTCTTTCATCTATCTAGACTAGACGCTAGGTAATCGAGTTTTTATAGATCTTTATAGATGTTTCTCTTTTGTAGAGGAAGCAACTGGAGAAAAAAAAAAAATAAAAAAAAAAGTGACAGAGACTGACTGACCTATATAGAAAGCCGCACTTCTTTCCCAAAGTGTAAAAAAGAGTATATCCCGAAAAGAGAGGTGTCAGACTCTTTTTCTCTCTCTCTCTCTCTTGTAAAGATGAATTTCATTTGACACTCAAAGAGTTTACATTGTCAACCATTTATTTGATCTAGGAGACAGGTTTCACTGTAAATATTTTCTGATCACAAACTAATTTGAAACTCACAGATTAAAAAAGGGGGTCTCACCCTTTCGATATTGGTTTCTCTACGCAAACCACTCTCGCATATAGACACACTTTTTCCTTTACCTTTTCCTTTCTTTTTTCTTCTTTTTCTTTTTCTTTTTCTTTTTTTTCCTCTAAAGTCAGTCAATCTCAGTTATCATCCGTCAATAGGAAATTTAACTTTAACTATTTGCATTGTTTCTCTCATTTCCTAGATGGGAATGCCTCTATGAAAACTCCATAAAACAAAACACTTAGCTATCCGAAGCAGCTGAATACTTTTCCACTTGGCCAATGCAAAACATATGAATACTGCAATTTTGCCTGGCTTTGACGATTTTTTGTTTTCTATTTACAAATTTACAGTCTATTACGGATTTAATTAACCATTTGTCTCTGACAGGTAGCTCATTGCTGTGTTGAGTGTACAAATGGTACATTTATTAATAGACTTAGTTTGCTAAGAATTGACTTTTTTTTTTTTTTTTTTTTTTTTACTTTTTTTTTCCACTACAAAAAATGTCTCGAACAAAGAAAGATTTGTAAGTAGTACCAATAGGGCATGTATATTTTCAACACTTTGCGGATAGGGATATTGCAAACGTTCTGCACTTTGTAATGAGTAAATTTTACACTGTACTAGAATAGCTTGTACTAGAGTATATATGTCAGTATTGCTACGTATAGAACAAAAATCACACCTCATTCTTTGTGCCCAATTTCTCCTTGGATCAGGTCCTGCCCACAAGCAAAAGAAAATCTTAGAACAATACCAAAAAAAGGAAACAAATAAAAAAAAAAAAAAAAAAAAAAAAAAAAAAAAAGAAAATTATGCCGNAAAAAAAAAAAAAAAAAAAAAAAAAAAAAAAAAAAAAAAAAAAAAAAAGAAAAAGGACAGTATGCCGTAGGATAATAGCTTTGCAATTAGCAAATAGTGGAGAGAATATATATACGAAACAAGAGCTTGACGGTAGATACTAATACGGTGAAGAAAAAGGTCAAACCAAAGTAAAAAAAAAAAAAAATTACTTTGGTAATGGCGAATTCCGAATCACACCTAATCACCAAGGTAAAAGAAAAAGAAAAAAAAAAAGAAAGGTCGATTAGGTACTTACTGGTATATTGTATATTTTGTATATTTTTGTATATATTTTTGTATATTTTTGTATCGCGATTACATAACATGTTACATAATCATAGTACTAGACTAACCTCTGTAGCTGTCTGAAAATTACATAATAAATTATCCTCTACCTAGGCACTTTATTACGTAATTGATTATGTATACTAAATTTTATTTTATTATTCTCTTAACACTGACACTTGTGGATTTACATGTATTAGCCATACATACAGTACTGCTACTTATTACTTACTTACTACAAACTACAAAGTACTCACTAATAAGTACTGCTCACTAACTACTACTTCTCCTCCCTCTATATACACCTTCTCCCACTACACCTACTATTTATTCAGCAGATAACGATATTCCATTCGCATAATTTTTAAATCCTTCTCATTCGACACACCCCACCCAACCACTTTTTCTTTCACTTTACTTCCCCTTCATTCCTCCCTTCTCCCTTACGACTTTCTTTGTTAGAGACAAGTACATCTTATCATGTCTTCATCCCACCAACGCAACTTTTACCCCCACAATCCTCACCACCGACACAACTTATCTATCAACTCAATGACTTCAATTATAGAGCCTACTACACCGCCAAATCTTTCTCTTGCAAACAACGTGAATGCCAATACTAACATCACAAATTATGTCCATTTACACCAACAAAATCAGCTCCAACAACAACAGCAACCTAAAACTCCCGCAACGTCTACTTCTACAACTACTTCAACTAACTCATCATCTTCAACTGCAAATACTTCATACTTGCACAATCGAAGTTTATCGTCAAAAAGCTCATTTACAAAATTTAATACTCAGAATATCGGCAAGTCGGTGTTGTGGGACTCCTCAAACAGATTAAATCACAACCTAAACTTGCCAAACTTCTCCATCGATAACGAAGTCTTATCAACCCCTTTGGTTATACCTCATTCCGCCCAGGTTTCATCATCAACAACCACATCATCTTCTCAAGTCTCCTCCTTTCAAAAATTATCTTTGGACACTACCACCACTTTTCATGATTATGCAAATAATAATAATAATAATAACCAGAGTAATAATAATACCTCTGTTGGCTACAACTATGACATTAGCAATGACAATAAGGAGAACTTTTTGGGCAAGCAGTATAGTGAGCCAGATGCAATGGTCAATGCAAGTGCCATTATTAATAACGGTGGCATTTTGAGTGAAGCAAACTCCAACTCTTCGGCATCAACACCACCTTCAACTACTACAACGGCCACTACTACCACCACCACGGCCACCACTAAGTGTCCAAAGATGGTGACGCCTGCTGCTGCTGCTGCTGCTACTACTGCTGCACCTCAAAAGATAGATAAGGACTATTTGGTTTCAATTGGCAAAGTTCCGTTAGCCCAGCTCAAGTCGGAGATTTTAAAACTAGCCAAGGATCAGTACGGTTGTCGTTTCTTGCAAAAGAAAATCGATGAGAATCTAGTCATCAACTACCAAACGAGGTTAGGAAACTTTGAAATCATTTTTGACCAAATATATCCTTATATGTATGAGCTAATTATCGATCCCTTTGGAAATTACTTGATTCAAAAGATGATTGTTTATTGTAATCAAGCCAACTTGAATTTGGTATTGGAAATTTTACAACATAATCTTTTCCAAATATCAATTAATCAACATGGCACAAGAGCATTACAAAAGATTATCGATAGTTTGAGTAATGCATCACAATTGAGCTTGTTGATAAAGGGGTTGAAACCTCATATTATTGACTCGATCAAAGATTTGAATGGCAATCATGTTATTCAAAAGATTTTAAACAAGTACACTCCAACTGATTGCCAGTTTATTTATGATTCAATTATCGATGATTTGTATACCGTTGCTTCTCATAAGCACGGTTGTTGTGTTTTGCAAAAGTGTCTTAATCATGTGACCCCACTGCAGTTGGAACAGTTTTCACAAGCAATCTTGCGATTCGATAATTTCAAAATGTTGATTAATGACCAATTTGGAAATTACGTTTTACAGTATTTGATATCAATCAACTCGTTAGATGTGAATTATCAGATGTTTTATAACTTTACCAAATATGGCATCACCAATCTATGCAATTCCAAATTTAGCTCGAACGTTGTTGAGAAATTTTTGAAAAACTGTTTCAACAATGAATCGATTAATATTGCATTTGCAGATTTGAAATTGAAATTGATTCACAACGTTTTAAATGACGACTTAAATACGCTAATTAACGACCCTTATGGAAATTATGTTATCCAAACAATGATTGACATTTTGATCAATACTCAAATTGGGTATCAAAACGTGGATAAAATATCCCTATTACTTCCCAATGCAAATCAAAGTGATTATCAAAACCAACAACATTTACAAGTGGCCATTATCAAATACTGGTTTCAAAATTGTAAAATCGTATCATCTTTTGGAAAACGTATTCAATCCAAAATCAACACTATTTTGAATAACAGTGTTTCTGGCTCAACAAATACTTCCTTTAACAAAGGGAGCAAGAGACCTAGCCAAATGAATGCAAATGGTGAATTTACGGTGAATGATGGACAGTATCCTATCAAACAACAGCAACAACAGCAACAACAGCAACAACAGCAACAGCAGCAACAACAGCAACAACAGCAACAACAGCAACAACAGCAACAGCAGCAACAACAGCAACAACAGCAACAACAGCAACAGCAGCAACAGCAACAGCAACAGCAACAGCAGCTGGTACCACCACACGCACGTATGCAAAATCGAGCATATGCTCACCGACAGTCGCAATATCAAAACCTTGAAGCACAGCAACAAGAAGCACAACAACCATTGCAACAGCAACCACCACCACCACCGCAACAACAACAACAACAACAACAACAACAACAACAACAACAACCATTGCAACAGCAACCACCGCCACCACAAACACAGCAGCAGCAACAACAACAAGATTCCTCTCGCTTACAATCAATGACATATCGTAACAATTTTGCGCAATATGACTCTAGAAATGAAAGTGGTCTTCATTTGGACTACAGCTACAACTTACAGACTCGAACCCACTCAATGCCAAGTAACCTTTGTTCAAATAATCCAAAGATGAGGTTCAATAGCGATTATAATAGTACCGGTAATAATACCGAGTACATCAATTTCAACGCCCCCCACATGAGCATTAATAACACGACTCATAAAAATTCAATTTCCTCGATGAAACCAATTGGTACTATGAACGGGTTTAGTACTAATAATCTTGTTCCACAAGCGCCAAATTTTGCTTCTAATGGTGAAATTCCATCTGTATTTGGAAGCTTCCCTGTACACGAGAATTATATAGCAAAACCAGCATTTCCATTCCCACCGCATATGAACTCGAACTATACTGATACACCCTATGTACAGCAACCGCAACCGCAACAACAACAGCAACCGCAACAACAACAGCAACCACAACCACAACCACAACCACATCACACACCTCCGGTTTTCAGTAACGGAAGTGGCGCACTTCCACATCTGCATCATTCATCTATCTCCTCCGTCTCTCAAGGTCATACACCACAACAATTGCCCATTGCTGAATATTCCGCAATTGACTATCAAAAAGGCAGTAGTATTACACCCCATTACAACAATATTTATGCACCTGAATGGTCAACCCAACACCAGCTCCAATCAAATTCGCAATTCAATCCTTCTGCTTTAATGTCGGATAAAGGTATTGTGTATCACTCACACAATCCCTCGTGGTCTTCAACTGCTTCCTCCACACAAGGTAATGCAGTATTTGGTGTTCAGAATTGGTAAAAAAAAAAAAAAAAAAAATTCATCCACACACTGCAAAATAATTTTTAAAAGAAGCAACGAGATAGTTAATTCTTTGTGCTATTTAATCCAAAGAAAAAGAAAAGAGTCTTATAAAAGCCATCTTTTCATCACATTGCGGATCCATCTATTTTGTACTTTACATATACATATATATATACTATACTATACCACTTTGTTGATTTTTGATTGATTTTTTTTTCTGTATGCAAGTTTTGAAGGGATATATTACTTATTTGGATAGTTATGAATGGTCATTTCAATATTTGTTACTTTTACTTTTAAAATTTGCATTCGCATTTGCATCCCAAACACACACACACATACGCACGTACATATCCACAAAACTGGCATTTTCATAGTATCCAAAAAATTTGTAATTAAGAATTACACATTCTCTCGGTTTCCTTGTGACTGTTAAAGAGTAAAAAATCGGTGTACTCGCAGTACAGTTTTATGAAATTGGTACTATTTTAAGAATCGATCAATCACACTTCCCATTTGGGAAAGATTTTTGAGATGCCTTCCGTAATTTATTTTTGTGTCACAAAAAGCCTTAATAATGTGCTGCAAGATTGCTGCTAAATTTTTTGATTTTGTTTACATCTTATTTTTTTTTGCAGTAATTCGAAAAAATATTTTTTTGCAGCATTTTATTTTGAAATGAAGGGTTTTTAAAACCAAGCACTTGGTAGCATATTGATTACATAATCGTTTTTTCGAAACTGGCTTACCAAGATATTACAAAGCAGGTAGCTTCCCCTTTCCTTCTCTATTTTTTTTTTTTTTGTTTTTTTTTTTTTTTTAGCCCCAGATTGAGTTTAATAGACAAGAATGTTATTACAACTCGCTGATAAAACTTTTAACTGCCTGAGTCAAGGTATCGATGACACCTTCATCAGATCCTTCATCACTTAATTCGTGTGTAGCACCAGGGATAATTTGACTGTATTTACTCCAGTATTGAGTAGGAGTAGCGTTTTGCCATCTTTCTAATAATTCCTTCTTATCCACATGGGCGGGAACAAACTGGTCACTACCAGAATACAAAACTAAAAGCGGTTTGGTTACTTTTCCAAAAGTTTCTTTGAAATCGCTCTCTGTTAGATATGACGAAAAATAATCATCATCACCTCTTTTACATGCGAGCGAGTAGAATCTGTAAGCAGTGACTGGGGTGTTGAAAAGAACTTTTTTGTATTTTTCTGGTAATATTTCATTCTCTCTTCCCTTAGCAATGTACTCATCGTATACCTCCTCAAGTAACTTTTCCAATTTTGCACTTTTTCCCAGATTTCTTAGAGCTTCCTGATCAGAAACTGGTGCTTGCAAGATGGCTCCTTGAATTTGTTGTGCCTCCTCTTGCATAGTCTTTGTCAAATAGTGAATTGCATTCTGACAACCTGTTGAATGGCCCATTATGACAATTTTCTGTTTCTTTCCACCTGCTTCAGATTTGAAATACTCAATTGCTTTTTGGATCTGGCGGGAATCCCTTTGCAAACTGGATACTCCCCATCCATTGTAGGCAGAGCCAAGTAAAACTTGTATCAAGTTCCATTCACCACCATCAGAGATCACCTCGGCAAGTCGTGGCAAATACGGTACATTCAATAATCCATTTCCTAGTCCACCGACAAAAAGTACAATATTGGGACAAACATCTTTTGAATCCGGATTCTTTATAAATTCAAATGCCGTTAAGTTAAAACCAAACGTGTGTACAATACCCCTCTGTGGAGGAACCGCGCTTAGAGACATGATACAAGAGAGCTTATGCCGGCTTTCCGCGTGATAATACTTTAGCAATATCCTCAACTGACCCAACTTTTGATGATGGAGTAGAAGGGGAGCTCATCTCGTTGATAAGCTAGTGTCTTTTTTTCCCCTTCATGTCGCAAAAACATTTATTCGCGACACTGAAAAAGGTATCAGGAAGTTCACCATACAAGCCACGCATTATTGATCGTCTAGGCTACTCCGGAGAGATAATACCACCGTGAAAAACCTGATTATAACAAGGAGAAGAGTAGCAGCGAACCTCTATTATAGATGATGGAGAAGTTTGGATTCAATAAAGTTACGAATCATCCGACGTCGTCGTCGCAATCCAAGATCACGCACAATATTGCGATTCCACATCCACATCCACATCCACATCTTCCGTATAGTCAGCATCCAAGACAAGCGGAGCTGATGAGAAAGCAGTTGCTTGTTGGTAATGCACCCGGGAACGACGTTGTTGTTGCAAACTGTGTTGCTGTCAATCCGTCGGACTTTGCAAATGTTCCAAATAGAACTCCTGTGATTTTGGATGGCGTTATTGTTTACTCGATTGCCAAAGATGATCGGATGAAACCAGGTTATATTGGTTTAGCGGCAAATATGAGATCATGGGGGAAATACTCTTATGATCAAACAGTACATGTGGAGACGTACGATATATTTCTGTCGGGCCAGCAACAGCAGTACCTTGGAGCCGTAGATTGCCTGATTGACTTTGTCAAGGCAAAAGCCAATTCGTCTCCGTTGAATCACGATGACTTGGTGAGCATTTTCCATCAAAAGTACGATAATCAAATTTTACAACCAACACAGGTGATTTACATGGAATACCATGGCGTCTATTATTGTGTTAAAATCGAACAGGTGCAAGTTATCGACGTTAACACTAAAGACAATTTACCAAGTTTTAAGGACTCAAAAGATATAAGCACTAAGGGAATACTAATGAAGTCTACAGATGTTGTTTTTTACCCATTCGAAGGATCCAAAATCACCATTTCAAAAAATAAAAGCTTAAAGTCAAAGATTTTTGGTGGTTATGGAAGCGAAACTCGCCATCGCGCTAGAAAACAGATTATCAATCCAGATTTCAAATTGGAGGACTTGGGAATTGGTGGTTTAGATGCAGAATTTCAGGATATTTTTCGTCGTGCTTTCAACTCAAGAATCTTACCACCTGAAATTGCTGAAAGATTGGACTACAAACATTGTAAAGGTTTATTGTTATACGGACCTCCCGGTACAGGTAAAACATTGATTGCAAGGAAACTATCCAAAATGTTGAATGGTAAAGAACCAAAGATTGTTAATGGTCCAGAAATGTTAAGTAAGTATGTTGGTGCATCTGAGGAGAATATTCGTAACTTGTTCAAAGATGCTGAGGCCGAGTACAAACAGAAAGGAGAAGATTCCGATTTGCATGTCATTATATTTGACGAATTGGATTCTGTGTTTAAGCAGAGAGGATCTGGCAAAAGTGATGGAACAGGAGTTGGAGATAACGTGGTGAATCAATTGTTATCTAAAATGGATGGTGTTGATCAATTGAACAATATCTTGGTTATTGGTATGACCAATAGGCTTGACTTGATTGACACAGCATTATTGAGACCTGGTCGTTTTGAGATCCAGATTGAGATTGCTTTGCCTGATGAAAAGGGAAGAAGAGATATTTTTGCGATCCATACAAAGAAGTTGACAGAAAATGGATTGTTGACCTCAGATGTCAATTTAGATGAATTGAGTATATTGACTAAGAATTTCACTGGGGCAGAAATTGAAGGTCTTTGTAACTCTGCAAAGTCTTATGCTATATCTCGTCACACCAAGAAAGGCTCATTAGCTCAAATAGACCAAGAGTCGATAGTCAATATGAAAATCACTAGAAACGATTTTCTTTTGGCCTTAACTGATATTCGTCCTGCTTTTGGTACTGATGAAGAAGATTTGACGCTGCAGGCAAAACATGGTATCATCCAATTTAACCAAACGATTAGACACATTTTCGAGAAGGGGCAATCTATAATCGATGTTGTTAGATCTAGCGAGACAGAAACGTTAAGAAGTGTTTTATTATATGGTCCTCCCGGTGTTGGTAAAACCGCCATAGCAACAACTTTGGCTTTGAACAGTGATTTCCCATTCATTAAGATGTTATCGGCAGAGACTTTAGTTGGTATGGGAGAAGCAAAAAAGATTCAAGAAATTGATAGTGTGTTTAGAGACGTTCACAAGTCTCCACTTAACGTATTGGTTATTGATAAAATTGAAACCATTATCAACTACAATCCTATTGGACCCAGATTCTCAAATGACATTTTACAAGTCCTTGATGTGTACTTGACTAAACAACCACCAAAGGGAAGAAGGTTATTGATCATTGGGACTACGTCGCAATTCTCGGTGCTTAAGCATATGAATTTAACAGATAGTTTCAATGATATTATTGCCGTACCTCCCGTGAAGAATGTTGAAGAAGTCGGTAAAGTGTTGGACAGGATAGGATTCATGCAACCAGATGATAGACAAGAGATTTTGGAGCAGTTGTCATCCTACGAAGTCAACATTGGAGTAAAAAGCTTAATTGACGTGCTCATGGTAAGCAAGTACTCTAAAGACACAGTTGACGAAGTAGTCAATAATATTATTGAAAAAATGAACGGTTAGAATTTGATACTAGAGAAAACTTACACACCACACTCTCCCACTCTCATTTTTGTAAACCTATACAGCCTTTATAGCCTTAATAGAGCCCTCTATATGCTTTTTCGTTTGTTCGTTTGTTCGTTGTTGTTTTTTTCTCTACTTTAATTTGACTTATCGTTTGGTATTGTTTTCTTTAGCCATTCCAAATGTGGAATAAACACCTTTTCGCATCGGTCTCTATTTGTTTCTTCATCCGCCCTGATGTATTCAAGGTAATTACCCATATATGATGTCTCCTTATTCAAATCAACGTTGCTATCCAAAGCTGATCCATCAGATTTATAATAGTTTGGACAAATACCTTCTGTAAAAAACTGGAAGATTCTCAAGTCAAAATCGTATCCCACATTTTTGTCAATTGCCGAATACATTCGAATATGTTCATCTGAATCTTTATAAATCAAATCATTGTTATCGACTAACCAATTGGGGTAAAATTTAGGATATGATAAATGCATGAATACTATATCTACATTGTCTGGTTGTGGTTTATCATTAGCTTGGACTGGATCGAAATGGCCCAAAGCTTTCGAAGTAAAGCTGTCAGTTGCCTTTGAGTGGTATCCTACCCACTGAAACTGTTTCAAAGTTTGATGCCATGGTTCTTTCATTACTGTAGCCGCTGCTATGAATGTTTCTTTATCGCCCTCGCCTGCCGAACCTTGAGTCAATATTGGGTAGTAAAAATTCGGACCAAACACATTATAGTATAAACAAAGTAATAACGTTTTCAAATGACTAGTTTTATTAATAACAAGCATCCCTGTTTCAGAAGTTGGATCCGGTAAAGTGCCCTCAAAATCGTGGAACCACGAATCGGCAAAAGTGTATTTTGAAAATGGTTGCAAATTCTCCTCCCCACCTGCTTGTTTAATATCGTATTTTGAATATCTGAGTTTATTCTCCTTAACTTCAACTTCAGCAATTTCGTAAAACTTTGGGTTTGTGGTTCTCGCCCATGCATCAGGCCATAAAATCAAATTGTTCTTTTTGTATAATTCTGAGTCAAAAATGTAGTCAATGTTCTTTGTTGGAAAGTTGTCTGAATCTATGTAAAATACATTTTCAAATTGAGAGCTCAACAATGCTAGCATCTTGTACTGATAGCCTCCAATGTTGAATTTTTCCTGCAATTGCTTAGCCAACTCAGTGTCAAAGACATTACACCTAGCATTGTATTTTGATTGAATATGAGTACAGAATGTTTCTTCGTAATCATCCTTTGAAGCTAAGAATAGTTCTATTGGTAGCTTTGCCCCGGTGGCTCTGATTTGTTTGATTACAAGGTATGATAGCCAACTATATTTACCGCCACCAATAAGCACATATCCTGAAGAGCCGTGATATTTCAGCCACTCGGGATCACTTGGAACGAGTTTTCCAAAAGTAGCTACGCCTTTATTAATGAGGTTTGGTATATGATCGTGTACATATTGATAATGGCTGTCGGCCATCGCCTTGTACGTAGCATCTGGGATATCCAAAACATTCTCCAAATACTCTTTACTAAACAAGAATGAGTCATCGGTTGAGAACAACTCTTTTGCTTTTTCCGTTATGTATTTACCCTTAATTGAAGGTTCTGAAATGCTATACTTGTCAAGGTCATCGAAAAATATCTTGTAATTTCGAATTTTGGGATTTACTGGTTTAATATTACTTGTTGACAGAACTTTGTCTTTTTCAGAACCCAGACTTTTTCCCGGTTCTGGAGGTCTATTCTTGCCGGTATTTGGTTTGGCATTTATAGTATTATCAAGAAAACTCTGTAAATCGTTGGAATGAAATCTATTGGAGGTAAGCAAGTGCACTCCAATTAAGCCTATAGCTATTAGCACAAGAACCCTTAACCTATGCTTCAAAATCATTGCAAAAGAAAGTCCTTGGCAGACTTGAAAGCTACTCCACAAATTTCTTTCTGCAAAGATTTCTTTTTGATAAATCAGAAAGAAATCTTATCTCAAATTCATCGCAATTATTTTTCGCTATATATTTTTTTTCAATTGTTCCGTTTTTCCGAGCGACATGGCCACTATCGACACTATCGACACTATCGAGCGAAGCGAGATAGTGGAGCACACTGACCGACACTATCGAGCAGAGCGAGATAGTGGGTATCCAGTTAGTGTGTTCCACTATCGACACTATCGACACTATCGACACTATCGAGCGAAGCGAGATAGTGGAGCACACTGACCGACACTATCGAGCAGAGCGAGATAGTGGGTATCTAGTTAGTGTGTTCCACTATCTGGTAGAGCGAGATAGTGGGCATCCACTAAGTGTGTAAATTATATTGATTATATATTATTAATATTCAATAGTGTCTGTGGCAGCTGGTCAGTGTTGCTCAATTATCTAAGAAGCTAGTCAGTATTGCTCCACTATCTCGCTCTGCTCGATAGTGTCGCTCTGCTCGATAGTGTCGCTCTGCTCGATTAGTGTCGCTCTGCTCGATAGTGTCGCTCTGCTCGATAGTGGGTCAGTGTCGCTTCGTTTTCTAGTTGTTTTTATAGCAATTATCTTTTATATGAGCACCTAACGCGGTGCGCGCTTAAGGCTCATCGCAAAATTAAACGCTTCCCCCCCCTCTTACCCCCCACAGTTCTAAAAGAGATTTGTTATCGGCTAGTTAAATTGAGGTTTTGTCGATTTATCAGCGATTTTATACAATTCACATCTGTGCTTATCAAAAAGTATCGGGGCTTTTTGCTGCTATATGTTTCGCAAATTTCAAAGAATGACCCATACTTCAAAGCTATTGAAACTCCCCAAATCACAATCATTCACTAAACGTATCCTGCCCGATAAGAGAGTTTGTGATATCGAGACGGCCCTAAAGAATGAGAATGGTATAACCAATACACCTCGAAACTTGATTAGTGGTGGATTTACATGGGTCTTGCCAACTCCAAGGAATGACTACCAGTTCTTAATAGCGAATCCCAGGGCACTAGAGGATTTGGGGCTAGATGTTGACGAACAAAAAAGTATTATTTTTCAGCAGATTGTGAGTGGTGAATTCTACAATGACAGGAAAACGTTTATGGAAAATGGGTTTCCCATGCCTTATGCACAAGCATACGCGGGGTGGCAGTTTGGCCAATTTGCAGGTCAGTTGGGAGACGGGAGAGTCATTGGATTATTTGAAATCGCCAAACCTTTGCCCGATGGCAAGAATAGACCGGTTTTTGAGATTCAGTTGAAGGGCGCTGGTAAAACACCCTTTTCTAGATTTGCTGATGGGAAAGCGGTTTTGGCGTCATCGATTAGAGAATATATCATATCCGAGCATTTGAATGCGATTGGAATCCCCAGCACACGTGCGCTATCTTTGACTTTGTTGCCATCTACCTTGGCTCAAAGACATAGTGCAGAAAGATGTGCTATTGTTGCTCGATTTGCAGAAAGCTGGGTAAGGTTGGGAACATTTGATTTGTACAGATACAAAGGTGATAGAGAAGGAATACGAGTATTATCTGATTATGTCATAAAAGAGTTGTTTACAATTGATGGAAGGAGATTTCAGAATTTCGAAAATGTTGTGCAATTGAAACCTGGTTTGATAAGCTCTTTGAAAGAGGAGGGGGAGGAGTTGACGGATTATGATAAGATGTACTATGAGACGATTATCAGGAATGCGGAAACCACTGCCATGTGTCAATGTTATGGGTTTTTAAATGGTGTTTTGAATACTGATAACACTTCTATTTTAGGTTTGGCAATGGATTTTGGACCATTTTCGATAATGGATAAATACGATCCTGATTATACACCCAATTCAGAAGACCATCAATCTCGGTATGGCTATAGAAATGTGCCCACGGCGATATGGTGGAATTTGACTAGACTAGGCGAGGATTTGGCCGAGTTGATTGGCGCGGATGCATCTCTATTGAAGAACCCAGAGTTCAAAAACGGGATTAAAGAAGAATGGGAAGAGGATATAATCAAGAGGGCCACAAAAATAATAGAGGTGGGAGGGGAGATATATTTATATTCATTTACTAAGAAATATGTTGAGACATTTTTCAAGAGATTGGGATTATCTTTGTCATTGATAGATGTACAAAACCCCGATGTACAAAATGTTCATTTGATAGCGCCCATGTTGGAAGTTTTGCAAAAATTGCACACGGACTTTAACTTGTTTTTTTTAAAACTTCAACAAGTTGATTTTGGCAAGAGCTATTATGAGATTGCCGAGTCGTTTTATATGAATGATAAGGAGAGACGTGATAAGGAGGATATTATTGAACAATTTGCCCAATGGTTGGAGAAATATTACGTACTAAGGCAAAAGTCAATGGAGTATGCTGATACTCCAAATTCCCGCGACTACAATCCCAAGTTTTTACCAAGAAACTGGATTTTGAACCAGGTTATTGAGCAGACACTTGGTTCGAGGGGACAGGATATCAGTTATTTGGAGAAGTTGCAAAAAATGAGCAGTAATCCGTTTGATGAGACCAAATGGGGAGATGAGATGAAGGATATTGAGAGGGTATGGATATTACAGGGAGATAAAGGCGAGGACTATACAATGTTGCAATGTAGCTGCTCGAGTTGATAGTATTTGCCCACTATCGAGCCCACTATCGAGCAGAGCGAGATAGTGGGGCAGCAAACTAGTCAGTGTTTATCCACTATCGAGTAGAGCGAGATAGTGTCGGTGGCAGCTAGTTAGTATTGTTCCATTATGGAGCAGAGCGAGATAGTGTCGGTGGCAGCTAGTTAGTATTGTTCCATTATGGAGCAGAGCGAGATAGTGTCGGTGGCAGCTAGTTAGTATTGTTCCATTATGGAGCAGAGCGAGATAGTGTCGGTGGCAGCTAGTCAGTGTTGTTCCATTATGGAGCAGAGCGAGATAGTGTCGGTGGCAGCTAGTTAGTGTTGTTCCACTATCTCGCTCTGCTTGATAGTGGAGTAACAACTCTCTACTATAAATAAATGCACAGAAGTAAAAATGCCCATTTTATACAGATGCATAGTAATAGATACATATTAGTATTTTAAAACTCATTAGTATACACGTTAGATATAGATACACATTTATATAAGCATTAGCATATATACATAAATACACACAACCTAGTCAGTGTTTATCCACCATCTCGCTTTGCTCGATGGTGGACACACAAGCTAGTCAGTGTTATCCACTATTGAGCAAAGCTAGTTAGTGGATATGAATCACCTAAATAAACACAAGCTAGTTAGTGGATATGAGTCACTATCTCGCTTCGCTCCCTATTGTCGCTCTCTACTCTCTACATTCTGCTCCACTAGCTCGCTTCGCTAAACACAAGCTAGTCAATGCTTATCCACCATCTCGCTTTGCTCGATGGTGGACACACAAGCTAGTCAATGCTTATCCACTATCTCGCTTTGCTCGATAGTGGAGCAGCGTTGTTTCCCCTCTTTAGTCGTGCACAAATCAAAACGCGTCTTAAACCATACATAAATCTTTACAAGGCATATTTCACAAAATCAAACAGACCAGTTAAAGTTTTGGTTGCCAGATTCGCGACAAGTATGAAACTTTTTTAATAAAGATAATTCAATACTATTAGTAAGAAGCACTAAAAGTGTATTTCTCAACCTCTTGCAATACCAAATATAACTCCTTTATAAGGTTCTATAATCCAACACCCCTACTATAAAGCTCTATAATCCAACACCTCTACTATAAAGCTTATTTTTTTGTTTTTTAGAGATAAATAGATAACCCATTAATAATAATTTTCTCTTTGAATTCATGCAAGTAGTGGTAACAATAGACACAAATTTTTTACAACCACTTTAAAGCCATTTACAACAACTATAGACGTTATTGCCCTCTCCTTTCAAGTAGACACTCGAGTTTAAATCTAGAAGCTTCATTTAATAACCCTTTATAATATTCCTAATATTATCCAACCCCCCCCCCCCTTCCCTTTCCTTCCCCAGCTCTACTCAATTGTGACTTTCAAAATAACAATAAAATTTTGGCAACACATTTTGAACAAAGAGACAAATCCACACATACAAAATCTCTTTGATTCAGCAAAGAAAAAAAAAAAACTAGAGAAAAAAATTATTAGAAAGAAGCAACACATTTTTATTAGCTGGAAACTATAAAGGTTTTTGAGGCCAAATAGCTGACTTGTTATATAGGTTAGGTTAGTTGACCCAGCTTGGTGGTTTGGTTTTTCCCAAAAAAAAAAAAAAAGAAGAAAAAATTTTTATATATATCAGACCCGTGTGTACTCTCTCCATACTGCTCCACTAGCTCGCTTCGCTCCCTAGTGTAGAGAGAGAAGTTGCTTTAAGATTTCAAGAGAATGAGTGAGAGAGATCTTGTCGTACACTATAAGGTGTTGAAACAATTTCTTGATATATCCTATGACCAGCAATCAAGGTCTAAGTCGACCTCGTCTAGGGCCCAGAGAGCAAGAGAGAAATTGTTGAAATTGTCGTCGGCCCAGTTTAGGGAACTAAGTACCGATGTTTACGATGAACTAAAGAGAAGAATCGATGAAAGTCGAAGCGAACCAGACTACTTATTACCAAAATCTTCTTTCCACCCAAAGAGAAATCAAGCAAGGCAGAAATTAGCATCGTTGCCACAAACGCGTTTTAAGGACTTGGTTGCTGATATTTCCTTTGAAATCGAAAGAAGAGAACTACATATTGACACCGCTGCCGCTAGCACTAACAGCAGCAGCAGCACCCACCACCCCCATACCCATTCCCATACTCACAATCACAATCACAACACTCAGAGCCTGAGTCTCAGTCTGAGTCTCAGTCAGAGTCACAGTCACAGTCACAGTCACAGTCAGCACCCTTCAATTTCATCAAGCCATCTCAACAATTTCCACGAAAGAAAAGCATCTTTGGCATCTTCTCATCACACTTTATTGGCGGATTCAAATGGCCATCATAGTCGTCTGGCCTCTCATCATTTGAACAATTTTCCTACCCAACATGAAAGTAACGGTACAGAACTGAGAGACGTAAAGGAAAATACAACTTCAAGTAAAAATGTCACGTCTCCTAATCCAGAAGTATCTAACCAATCAATTGGTATACAAACGTCAAAAGTCGTGCCGGCAAAAGCTAACCTTGCATGGTCTAGTGATGAAGAAGAAGAAGAAAAAGAAGAAAAACGGGATAACGAAGAGGCAAAGACACACCATCAACAACAACAACACCAACACCAACAACACCATCAACACCATCAACATCAACAACAACAACAACAACATCATCATCATCATCATCATCAGTCTATTGAAACTCTTGAGGTGTTAAATGGAAATGGAAATGTGCACCAGGAAAATGTCAACAATGAACAACTTTTACTATTGCAAAAGCAAGTAGCCCAGTACAGCGAACAGATAAGTAATTTGACTCAGGAAAAAACAGCCCTTGATGAAAAACTTGGCTCCTTACAGGAAGATTACAATTTTTCCATCAAACAAAACAAGACCCTAAGCGAAGAATTGGAAATATTGGGGCAAGAAAAAGAAGAGTGGATCTCGAAACATGAAATGTTAACCAAATTGGCAGAAACCAACGAAAAGTTGTCGAGTGAGTTGGAAAAGATCAAATCTATGAATGCTGCATTGAGGCTTGAAAACCAATCTTTGAAAAGTGCATCTCCTGTCAACCGCTCCATCAATAACGCTGATGTATCTCCAAGTCAGAAAACGTCTTCTAGTACCGTTAGTGTTGACCAGTTTTTGAGTAAGCTAGAGAATATTCAGCCCACTCCAACAATCAATGCCACAACTGCAGAATTAAGAAATCAGGTCAAACTTTGGCAAAGGAGGTACGAAGATGCTAGATCAAAGTCGATTGCCAATGACATTAAAAAGTCAACCCTTTCAAAAATAGAATTAAAACCGTTTATATCCCCTCAAGGTTTGATATCAATAAAATTGGTAAGTGATGTACAGGCTTTGCTAGAGTCCCTCCTTATCTACATTTCCCAAGATAATTGGGATGCTAATATCATGTTTGGAAAGATTTCCAAAATTGCAACAGCTATAAATGAAATAGCATCTCAAGGAGATGGCGATCATCCAAATAGTAATGAAAATTCCATATTGCTTAGAGAGTCGGCAGCTTATGCTTTGACAACAACGAGATACCACGCTACTTATAAACTTTTATTCCCACGCTTTATTGTTGAAAAATCGTTGGGAGACTTGCTTTGTATTCTTTGTGAATTGATTTCAGTATCAAAGTTGAATGAAAACTCGACTAATTTGAGAAAACTTGAGGTTGAAAAGAAAGTAGTGAAAAAGTCCGTTAATGAAAATTTTGGAGCAAGGCCATTGAGAATGGCAAATAAGCTAAAAGATGCTCAGAACCGGTCCGAAGCTCAAATGAAAAGCATGATGAGCCAGTATAATAATAATAATAATAATAATAATAATAATAATAAAGATAACAATGGTAACAGCAACAGCAACAACAGCAACAGCAACAACAGCAACCACGACAACAGCAACCACAACAACAACAATTACAACAATAACCACAACAACAACAACAGCAACCACAACAATCACAACAATCACAACAACTCATCAGTTGTAAAACAAAGTTCTCTCAAAGTAGTCACTACAGGCAAATCTCCAGAACTGAGTCCCTTTGTTGACAGGTTGAATGATACCAAAGATAAAGATAATAAAAATTCTGTTTCTACTGGTACTGGCACTGCGTCCAAGTACATGATTCCAAATGCTTTTGCAGCTATGAGAAGTTCGAAAACGAAGGAGTCACAATCGGAGTCTTCCTTTGTAACTACGAAATCTCCCGTTCCTAAAACGTCACTCAAGCTGTCTTCGTACTTTGAAAAGGAGCAAAAAGATGCTCCGTTGAACGAGATTTCAACAAATGGTCCTACCCCACATAGGGATCGAACAACATCAACAACAGCAACACAAAACTCGTTCGCTACTGCTGGTCATAAGGAAGCAGAAGAGAAGGAGAAAGAGAAAGAAAAAGAAAAAGAGGACAAGATGAAAAATGAATCACAGGTGCAAATCTCAACCCAGCTGGGTATTTCTACAACTCAAAAAGAGGTTACCCCAAGAGTAGCCATATCTCCAGACTCGTCAAAGGATCATAGCTACACCTCTCATGTCTCAGCAATGGGCAAAAAATTTGAAGAGCCACATAACCTCAGTGATGAAGGTTCACTGCCCCCAATCAAGCCAATACATATTAAAAAGGGAAATATTCTAGATCGTGTTGAGCAATTTGAAAACTCTCCTGACCATCATCTGCAATATCCATCTTCGTCTTCTCCAAAAGCACTACAGTCCCCTTTTGACTCTCTATATAGTTTTGAGGAAGCGAAGCAAGTTACCGATCCATTCACTGTGAACTCCAATAGCAACAGTGGAAACATTTTTACATCAAATAATTCAACCAATGATGATGCTTACACAAATGAGAACGTTCCGGCTTCTATTAGCAAAGGAAAGGGAATATTACAATCTCTTAAAGACAGAATTGCAGCAGAATCAGGAAAACTGGAGCCACAGGATCAACCTTTATTACAGAAAGAATCAATTCTGGATAGACCGGTAGTTCAGTCAAATTCAAGTGATACAATTACAGCAAAAACAGTGCCAAAGGAGTATTCAGAACCGGAAAACCGAAACGTTTCTCGCACCACTCTTGGTAGGCTGGCAAATCTGCACGTGGTGAGAGAATCTACGAGTGAATCACCAGAAGAAGAAGAAGAAGAAGAAGAAGAAGAAAAAGTAAAAGTAAAAGGTTTGCTGAAGAGTAGCAGGGGTGGTGAAGAAGAAGAAGAAGAAGAAGAAGAAGAAGAAGAATATGATGATAATGATGAGGATGAAGAAGATGAAGAGGAAATTAAAGCAAGGGAGAGGCAAGAATACCGCAAGTCGGTGGCAGCACAAACTTTCAATGTGGATTTGTTTGATATCGACGATCCTGATAACACATTAACTCAAGTTTTGCTTTATTTAGAGCATCAAACTGTTGAAGTCATTAACACTATACAATCACTACTCGGTGCGATCAAGAAACCAAACGCTACACGTGGTGATTTGAGAGAAAAATCTAAAGCTATAACCGAAGTGATTTCACAAATGACAGAGGCGACAAACACCTCAATGAATCAAACACGTAATGCTCAATTGAAAGAACACGGAAGTTGGGTTGTGAAATCTTTAGAAGATTGCTATCATAGAATGAATATCTTGTGTAGGCTGGGAGATAGGTTTGATGATGAATTTGCTGATAAAAATTTCAAACAAAGATTAGCAGGTATATCATTCGACATTGCAAAGTGCACCAAAGAATTGGTGAAAACTGTTGAAGAAGCTAGTCTTAAAGAAGATATTGCTTATCTCGATGCTAGGCTTAGTCAAAATGAAGATTTGACATAAGATAGGGTGATGATTCAATGTACTAGTGATGATTTGTTTATTATTATTGTTGTTGTTGTTGTTATTGTTATTATTATTATTTTCTGTCCTTGGTTATTTGAGATTTTCTATACCAACACTGGGATTTATTATTTAACGTATTTTGACAAGAAATCTTGGTGAGACTGAGATTCCAACGTATTGGTTGTAAACTTATCCTTTTTTGTGTCCAGGTTTATGCTCCTGTTGAATTTGAAAGTTGTATCTCGCCAGTTACTTTGATTAGCTGTGTGTTCCTTAACCTTGATATTTTGCTTCATTATTGATTTTTCACTCTTTGAACGTTCTCTTTGCTCTAGCATCTGTTTCTCCTTCTCTTTTTCTTTTTCCTTCTCCTTCTCCTCCTTGATTTTTTTGATCTCGGCGATTAACGCCGCGGTCGCTTCTTCATCGGAATCTGAAGCGGAGTCGCAGCTGGAGTCGGAGTCGGAGTCGGAGTCGGAGTCGTCATGGCTGGAAACTTTCTCATTGAGATCTACTCTTTCTTTGTTGCTTTCATCTTTTACACCACTGATAGGTGAAGCATGATTCGGAGTATGTGTTTCCTTAATAGGTAGTTCTACCCTTGCCATTTTGGATACATGTTCTATCTCATCGCGTCCGTTAGCTGTGATAATCGAACTTGTATGTAAAGAATCAGTACTTCGTCGCCTAACTTCTCTCATGTTCTCAAACTGATTATCTCCCAGCTTCAAATTCTCACTAGCCACTTTTTTTTCAACTGGCGTTACTTGCTTTTGTTCATCATCACCTTCTTCTTCCTCCTCCTCTTGCTCCTCCTCTTCGCTATCATCACTTTCGTAATCCACCAACCGAGACTCTTTTTTCAACAGCTCTGCACCACTTTTTTCAATCCTCGTACTTGTTCCAATTCCCAATTCCTTAACGGCACGGGCAAATATCTCTTGTGGAATATCAGACCTATATTTTAAAGTTTGTTGCTGTGGTAATTCTCGTGCATGAACTATTGAGCCTTTTATGTTTATTCTTCGACCTTTTTTGCTTTCTAAAGTTGGTCTGTGATTCGTTGTCATTTTGAAGAAATATAAAAGTCAGCAATAAGTTGGAAAAGCCAGAGCCTTATTCAACAAACAAGTCCTGTTTTGAAGAGATAAAGCTTGTTTCTAGATTCAATCTGGTAATCTCTTCTTTTTTTTTTCTTTCCTCTCTTCTGGATTATTTTTACATTTCTTTAACAATCGCATACAACTGGAGTTTTGCATTCTTACATGTCACTTGACGTGGCAAATCAGGATAAAAAGGGGTTCTTTTGCATTAAACAGTCTATAAAAGATTTTTCTTTTCTCTAGAGAAGTAAAAATAACTCCTACTTTTAGTCCTCGTATTCGATTTCTGCCTCCCAGTCATCGTTATCGTCTTCATTTTTTTCCTTCTTCGGCATCAACTCACTTATGATGGGTCCGTCCAATTGATTTAATAAGTCGTTAACTTGCTCAATAACAGTAGGATCACATTCTTCAGTCAATTCGCTATTTATTATCTTATAACCTGACGTCAAACATAACCGGGCATCGTTGACCAAGCTTTTAATCTCCTCATTTTCACACATTTTCAATTTTTTTATTTCGATATCTCTATAGTCAGCAGCAGCAGCAGTGGCATCACTATTATTGCCATCCAATTGCGCCTTGTCCAATAATGAAATGATTTTTTTGGCTTTGAACAAATAAGCTATGGCTTCAATGTAAAAGGCATCAAGAATTGAGTCATTTATATCTTGAACATTGGAAACTATATCTATAGCAATTTCATACTGCTCCAACTCAACAGCATATTTGGACAATGTAAGTAGTGGCTGAATCAACTCTACGTACTCCATGCCTACTTCAAACGCATCATTTTCCTTCTCCTCTTCTTTGATCACATTTGCATAATCTTCCAATTTGGTTTTCTTAGCTTGAAACAAATCCCATGCTCTGACAAGAGCTTCAATAGCGTCCTGATTTCGTTGTTGTGAGATTCGGATTGAAGATAGTTGGGAATAACTTTCAGGGTTGGTAGAATCAAGACTCAAACTATATTCAATCAATTCGTTGCATTTAGACTCGGCCTCTTCTTCCATACATAAATCAGTCATCCAGATTTCTATACTGGCAAAAATCCCCAGATTCAACTTTTTAAGTAGCCATTTTTGATACTCTGTTAGACTCTCGTACCCACTATCTTTAATTATTTGGTTGGAGCATTCGCCACCTTGCACCTCGGCCAAGTACTCGTTCAATTTGTTCAATCCAGTATTTATATAGTTTAACCCATCTCGACCACCAATAATTTGTCCCAAATACAAATATTTCTCAGCACCTTGCTTAGCCTCAGGGTCCAACTGACATGCTGTTGTCAACACTTGATATGCCTCCTCTAATTGGTTATTTTCAAGTAGTGTTTCTCCGAAAATCGAGAGTAATTCAGGTGACGAAGACGAGTTCTTATCTGAACCAATGTGCGATGATAAGAGTTCCAAAGCTTTCTCTGGTTGCGAGGTGGCTAGAAAAGCTCGCGCCTGCAGTATTACCTCTGACATAAGATTTCTTCTAGCAGTATTACTCTAAGTCTCTCTTCCTCCAATCGAAAAGCAAAAGTAGCTTTCTTCCTTTCTTCCTTTCCTCCTTCCTTCCTTCTTCTTTACTCAAGCGAGTTCATACCATCATCATCTTGAAAAAAAAAAAAAAAAAAAAATGTCGGACATATTAAATGTCGCACAGCGCCTATAAAGATGCAATTTTTTGAGATGAGGTCGCTACCAAATGCCTTTCTCGTTGATAGATTCAAGATGTACCTTTATTCATTGATGGGGATGATATCAACACACATTCCCACCTAATATTCTGAGAAATTATGAATATACAAGATGTCAATTGGTCTTGGAGATCTGTTGATACCATATAATCTCTTACTGCCAGGTAACGCCGTGAGTTTTCCCTCTGATAAAATGTAGGTGACCCACTGTTTTCTTTAAGTTATATATCCTTTGTATGCAAAAAAAAAAAAATAAAATAATCCATTTTGCAAGGAATGGAATGGGAGCAAAAAGCATTGTATTGCAGTATAAAAAGAACGCTTTCTATAGAAGATGGACGATGTAACTTTTCAAGGCATACAGAATGAGTATGAGCTCTTACGGCTACTTCAAGTACGGTCCAAAAATCAGCATCGTCAGCAACATTGGTTCAAATTCATGAATATAACCAATAGGAACCTACGAAAGATACTTAAGTTACAAATCGATATTACAAGAATGCAAAAGAACCTAGCGGCACGCAAGTCAAATAAAATAGAATATAAGCAAAAGCAAGTTGCAAGTTTAGCTCAGCGTATAGTTAAAAGTTCAAGACAAGCTTATTTTGCATATAACTCGATTTTGGCACTAGGACAGTATATTACTTTGGGATTTGCATTGATTGCTAATTTGGCTGCTATTGTTGAGCTTTTATCAAAGATACCTGGCGTCAAGCTCAAAAGGTATGAGTATGAAGTAGCAGAAACCAGAGTTGATGATGGTAGTTGCAATACGTATTATGGGGGATCTAATGTAGAGAGTGTTGATTTCGAAGATGATTTGGGAGAGGAGGTTTCTTTCCAAAAACACAATGAAGAAGATGAGGAAGACAAGGAAGATAAAGAAGTAATGCTTAAAAGTCCAGTCTCGTGTTTACAAAGTATGAAGCTGCAGAAAGCAGAATCACGAGATTCACCAGTGGTGGTGCCTACATTATACGACTCTTTAAGCGTAACGCAAATACCTCCTCAGTCAGACAAAGACATGAACATGAATTCGACCTCATTTCTATCTATGAATAAAGAGTTGAAGATAAAAAGGAGCCAGAGGAATAAAGAGACAGAGTCACCATCTATGGAAAAAATGACGATTGATGATATCTTTGGTTCAAAAAAAAAGAAAGCTAAAAGGAAAGCAGCGGTGGAGAATAATAAACAAGTTGAAACGCTACTCAAGGAAAGTGCTATTTCAGATTCATTTGAGCTGCAAGGTGCCACCATACTAAATGATGATTCTTTAAATATTGCTACTACTCCCAGTGATCTTTCTATACCAATTACAGTCACTAAAGGGGGGGGGGAAAGAAAAGTATCAGATTTATCAATATCCGATATATTCAAAAGTATGCCTTCATCGTCAGCAAAGACAAAAAAGAAGAGAAAAAAAGCAGCAGCAGCAGCAGCAGCAATAAATGATAATGGATCTTTCCGCAAAGACAAAGTCAATAATGTGGACCTGCAAGACAAGTGATAATGCAGTGAAAAAGAATTTATAGAGGGTGTTTTTTTCTTTTTTTGGCTCTTTTGTTAAAAGAATGTAGTTGGATTATCTCTTTTTCATTCAAATGTACATCTTACAAAGAAAAAAGAACTACAAACATTCATAAAACCAGTAAGAGCACGATAAGGGTAATAATAAGAAGAATTAAAGACTAAAGCAAAAGAAAAAACGGGGGGTGTTGATCATAATACCTATCTACAATAATTAAGTTTCACAGTTTCAATGGGAATGAGAATTCTCTTTCTGTAGCTGTGGAGGGTACAGTAGATACGGTGAATACTGTGTGCACTCTAAATACCTCAGCGAATACTGAATTTCCTGCAGTGATTGTTGAAGTGTATGAGATGGTTGCTTTTTTGAGAATGCTGCGTTGCACTGTTTGGGAAAAAGATATTGTTGTGGTAACTTTAAAGTTTCAATAATACTTTTTAGTGTAGGACTATTCAATTGATCAATATCTAGACAATACTCATCATCATAGTCATCTTGATTAGTTTGTTTTATTTGTTGATCAACTTGATCATATTGGTAAGGTGGGATGGTAACATTGCTTGTCGAACATTTGACAGATGTATTAGTAGTAGTTGCAGCGTTATTATGTTGAGATTGGTTTGCCATTGTCGGTTGTAGCTGTGTTTGTTTTGGATAGTGATTATTCATTAGACTTAACGGTGATTTACTCATAGATGATTGTGGAGTATATGGCGAATGTACCGAGGATACTTCATAGATCGAGGATCCCATCGAATCAGGAGTATCTGCGTGTTGCGGAGATGGTTGTTGAAGCAGGTGTGGATTGAGATTGAAATTACGATGACCGTTATAATTCTGAGTGTGGTTATACAAAGTTTGACACTTTTTTTGCTGTCTCGCCAATTTCTTCAACTTCTTTTGTTCCTTCACCTCTTCATACACTTTCAAAGCGAATGGTAATAATTCTGGGTCTGTTATAACTTCATTCTTTTGTAATTTTTTTCTTAGTTTGTTTTTGATTCTTGATTTCCCTTTGTGGTCAAAAGGCAATTGTTTACACTCTCCACCTTCAACGTGAATTTCGCACCACATTTCAGCATTACTGAAAAACTCTCCACACATTGAGCAATTCCCCGGACTCGTCGCGCGGTCCCTTGTCTTAGTGCCTTCGGGATATTTGAAATGTCTCGATTTTAAATGGGTTTTGTATGTATCTCTTCTTGAAAAACCTCCTGTTGGATGACACTTGTGTGTGATGTTGTTATCGTCAGTATAAGTACTTTTTTCAAAGTAAGGGCAAGTATATGCTTTATTGCTGGAGTGCTTTTTTAAATGCCTCGTGAGGTAGCCTCGTACACTGAAAACAGCGTCACAATGTGGACAAGGGAAAGATGACTTTTTCCCACAATCACTAGTCAGTTGTTCTTCTTCATCTTCTTCCTCAAATGGCGAGAAACTGTTATTGGGCGATATCGAGTGTTCCTTATTACAAATGCCCAATTTTTGGGATAAAGTAGTTTCATTTGACGAATTTGACATTGTTGGGGATAATTCATTTGCGTGTACTTCATTTTCCTCTTTTGCAACCTTGTGTAAAATCACTGGCGGAGGGTGTTTAAATGCATCCAAGTCATTCTCTTTGTTGTTCATGACATTGTCATCTTCGGCAAAGACCCATTCTAATTCGCCTTTGGAGTTTTTGATTGGTAAAAGCCTAGTAGTTAGACCCATGGAGCAACTTATTGGTGTTAACGAATCATCTATTTTCTCCTCCTTAGGTGTAGATGACTCTGACAGCTCGGGAGATGGTTCGGTGGACAAGTTTATAGGAGGGAACAAGAAACTTGAAGCGTTTTTCCTTTCAGTTGATTTTGTGGTGGTGGTGGTGGTGCTCATGGTTTTCGATTGCGGCTCTTTGATTTCCTTTGGATAAGATAGTGGCTCATTTTTCACTATTACTAATGAGAAACATGACAAGACAAAATTCGAGATATTGGTAACAATGTAATTTAAAAAGGTGAAAAAAATAGATGTTACTGCTATTTCGTACATGGCTTGGAAGGCGGTTTTCCTTGACTCATTGATAGGGGATTTGCTTGGTCCAGAAGACTTAGTTTGGTTATTCACACCCATATTTCAATCTACTCGTGGGAAAAAGGGGGGAAACTTGGGACTTAAATACAAACCCAGCAATCAAATTTTGTTTATAGCCTGGAAAAAAACGTGATTTTTATAGTTAGCGGCTATTATCAAGAATAGATATATATACCTTTCTCTTTCTCCAAAAGACTAGAGTTTCTCGTGCGTCACTGTGATAATAATATTATATCTATCTTTTTCAGCTTCTGGTTAATAAGTTGACGTCTCTTCTCTCAGGTTCAGGTTCTAAAAAAATGGTGCTCCTCAAGGTTGAATATAAATGTTAGTTATTGGTTCTTAATATAAGTTTTTTTTTTTTTTTTTTTTTTTTTCCATGGTCCTTGATAATTAGTAACATTTTGTGTGTGTATGTAACATTTTTTCTTGCTGGGTTGGCTTTTGTTCGACGGAGCTCAGGGGAAGAGGGGGCGAGAGGAAAAAGACTACGGCGGGGGCGTGGGGCGACTATGGAACTATTCCATAAAAGTGTGACAGAGAAAAAATAATAAGTAAGGAAAAAAAGTTTGTCCGTAAAGGTGATGACAGTTTCTCAGGGAAAAAAGCTTATTACATAAGATTTTGCTGAGAAATTATATAATAAAATGTTGGTTTACAAGTTGTATGTTTATGTAATGTTTCAGGTACTATTAGGGTTTGCCAATTCTCCCCCGCCATTATGGCTTTATGAATTTACGACTTTATGGCTTATGGCTATAATTTTATGGCTTTATGGCTATAATTTTATGGCTTTATGGCTATTATTTTATGGCTCTATGGCTCTATGACTTTATGGCTCTTTCTCTATGACTCTATGACTCTTTCTCTTTGCGTTGATCAATACGATGTGGTATTTTCAATCGTATAATCAATGATTACTTTTATAATTAACTATTTTTTAAACTAACCCATAGATTTTTTTTTTTTTTTTTTTTTTGGCTTCCCTCATTATTAGTAACTAGATAATAATTTATCCTTGGAACAAAGTTATTCCTCGATTTATTCCGAAGAGGATAATCCTTTATAAAGAGGAAGCAGAGAATCACTTTACACGAGTTTGATGACTTTTGGAGTAGTTTGTTATTCCTCTTGTTTTTGTTCCCCTCAAATCTATTGTCTGATTATCTGAAACTAATTACTAACCAGTAGTGTAACAAAATCAATAAAACCTATTGTTACTATTGTACAGGGACTAATTTTGTTATTGTAAAAAAGAGTTGTAATGTATGTCGATTTCCCATGTCGTTAATCGCATTTTTGACGACAGAAAATAAAACCAAGAAAACAAAACCAACAAACAAACAAACAAGATCAATAATCAATTATAAAAACTTTGCCATAGATTCCAAGTAGAACACTTTATTCTGTTGGCATAGATTCCTAGTAGAGCACTTTATTCTGTTGAGTATATATTTAATAGATTCTCATTCCAAACATCTTTATAAAAGTTAATTGAGCTTGGTGTAGAGTGAAAAAGATGTAAATATTGTACATTCACTTTCTTTACCAAATCTCAATCCCTCTCTCTAATGTAGACTTTTAAATATTAAGCTTATATTTTGATAAATGGAAAAAAATTACGCGGTACCAAATAGGTTTATGAATATACTTTTGAAAATTTGAATTTAGACACTATCGAGCGACACTATCGAGCAAAGCGAGATAGTGGAGTACACTGACTAGGGACACTATCGAGTGACATGAGAAAACAATCAACACTTGTTAATTCATTAGCTTTTATCTCGCTTTGCTCGATAGTGGAGTACATTGACTAGGGACACTATTGAGCAAATTGACTAGTTACGATACTACTCACCCAACACTCATCTACATCTTACTCTCATCTACATCTAATACACATCTACATCTTACTCTCATCAGCACCACTGTTGTCTACACCACTGTTATCTACTGTTATCTACTGTTATCTACTGTCATCTACTGTCATCTACTGTCATCTACTGTCATCTACTGTCATCTACTGTCATTTACACCGCTGTTGTCTATATCATCAACTTTAAAGTTACTATGGTAGTCACAAGACTATTGAGAATAAAAAATTGCAAGACTAAATTTCCAAGACTAAATTTGTCGTCTGCTTAGAAGAAAAATTTTTCAGACGTTGTTATAGTCCATCCACATCTAAGGAAAAATCCCCAACATTCGCCACAAACCAAGGAAATACAAAGGTGTTTTCTGAATAACATATACTGGACTTATTGTTGATTCAATGATATAGCTGGGGGAAAAAAAAAAAGTAGACATAGTTGGTTTTTTTTTTTATTATGGCCTTTCAATTTAATGGTTCTCTCGAGACTTTTCAACATGACACAGTGACACACCACACCAAGGACAACTCGTACTGGTTCTATGAAAAATCCAAAGAATCGTTTCCTGGTCAAGCATTTGGTTTGGAGATTGTTGACATTTTATACCACACCAAAACGGAATTTCAAGATATTCTTGTTTTCAAATCAAAGACATTTGGTAATGTGCTCGTTCTTAATGGTATAATACAATGTACCGAGAAGGATGAGTTTGCGTATCAGGAATTGATTACCCATATACCAATAATGTCGCATCCTAGTCCGCGCAAGGTTCTAGTCATTGGAGGAGGAGATTGTGGAGTTATACGAGAATTGATCAAACATGTTGAAGATAAAAGTGTTGAGTCGATAACCATGGTTGAAATTGACGATATGGTTATTAAGCTACTGACGGAATTTCTACCACAAATGGCCAAATATCATAACCACCCAAAAGTGAAATTGACCATTGACGATGGGTTCAAGTTTCTTAGGGAGACAAGAGAGAAATTTGATGTTATTATTACCGACTCGTCCGACCCTGAAGGGCCAGCTCAAGAGTTTTTCCAAATAAACTATTTCAAGTTGCTATCTAATGCGTTGAATGAAAATGGTATTGTAATTATGCAATCGCTGGAAAATATATGGTTGGATATCAAGTACTTGAAGGAGCTCCTTTTAAAAGCATCAAATGTATTTCCCAATGTAGAATATTGTCAATGTTATATGCCAAGCTATACTTCCGGTCAGCTTGGCCTTATCATTGCAACGATGAACAAAACGGTTGACTTGACTCGTCCGTTGAGAAGGTTTGATAGTTGTAAAGAAACAAGTCTTTTTAAGTACTATAATCATGAGGTCCATCATAGCTCGTTTATATTGCCTACTTGGGCAAGACAATACCTTGGATAATGACACTATCGAGCGAAGCGAGATAGTGGAGAGAGACCAGACGAGTGAAACGAGTCTAGTCGATAGTAGTTAGAGACCAGACGAGTGAAACGAGTCTAGTCGATGATAGTTAGAGACCAGACGAGTGAAACGAGTCTAGTCGATAGTAGTTAGAGACCAGACGAGTGAAACGAGTCTAGTCGATAGTAGTTAGAGACCAGACGAGTGAAACGAGTCTAGTCGATAGTAGTTAGAGACCAGACGAGTGAAACGAGTCTAGTCGATGATAGTTAGAGACTAGAGTGAAACGAGTCTAGTCGATAGTAGATAGATCAACACTATCGAGCACAATTAAATACTACGATACTATCGAGCAAAGCACACCACAATTAAATATTAATAACCTCGTTCTGCTAGATAGTGAGCACTTTATAGCTTGTTACAATACCATCTCGCTCTGCTCTATAGTGAGCACTTTATAGCTTGTTGCAATACTATCTCGCTCTGGTCTATAGTGAGCACTTTATAGCTTGTTACAATACCATCTCGCTCTGCTCGACAGTGTTACTCGATGGTGTTACTCGATAGTGAGCACTTTATAGCTTGTTACAGCACTATCTCGCTCTGCTTTATAGTGGAGCAACGCTTTGTAGCTTTGTAGCTTGTTACAACACTATCTCGCTCTGCTCGATAGTGTTGCTTGATAGTGTCGCTCGATAGTGTTGTAACAAGTTATTTTTTTCCCCTCATTTGGTAGCCCCTTATTATCCCATTCATTGCAAGTTTCTTTCTCAAACTATAAACAAGACAAAGGTAGTGTAAACAAGTAAAGGTTTACAAATAAAAGTAGTGTACCACTTCTCCAATCGTCCTACTTAAGCTTAGTTCCTCTTCTTTATTGCTGGTGAGTAAAATTTTTGAACATTTCAACACACCTTTCTTTACACACATACACACACACTCACACTCACAAAGCATTCATTGAAAAAGTGGAGTGTACCAATAACCAAGGTAGTGTATTCGTTGACGAAGGTTGCAAAAGTTATTTATAAAGTATAGTCACTATAAAAAACTTTGTTATATATTACAATTATGTCAGGTTCCAACGATGATTTCACAAGCAATATTGATGAACAATTGCTTAATAGTGTTGATACACATAGTGGGAAATTGAAATTAGAGGAAATTGCTCATGTAGCCGCTATAGCTAATAATTCAAAGCAACAAGAGCACCTCCAGCAAGCTATACATGCAGGGCAAGGGCTAGTGCCATTTGATACTACAATTCCTCAACAAAAACAACAAAAGGCTCAGAAAAAAAGTAGAAGAAGTAACAAGTCAAAACAAGACCAGCAGACGGGCGAGTTGAGCGAAGACGATTTTAGGAAATTCCAATTACAACAACAGCAGCAGCAGCAACAGCATCAACAACAACAACAACAACAGCAGCAGCAGCAGCATCACCTCCATCAGCAGCAACAGCAGCAACAGCAACAGCACCATCTTCACCATCAGCAACAACAACAACAACAACAACAACATCAATTGGATCCAGACCTGTACAACAGGCAGCATCAACACAATCAACATCATCAAGTAAATGCCGCGGCCGCTGGAATCAGCACATACACCCATCCACACCACCAACACCAACACCACATCCCAGAATTGACAGCTCCTACAGCTGAGGAATTATCAGAATACAACATCCAGATCCCCGATCCCATTGTTGATGCTAAACTGAAAATATTCCCTGTAACGGAAAACACAATTACCGCTGAAGGCAATTTAATAACACGTCCATATCCTGAACAAATTTTCAACAATCGTGACGACTTGAACGAGTTTATCGCTGAATTTGCTAGAGATAATGGGTTTGGTGTTGTTATTGCTCATTCTAACAAAAAGGCAATATATTATACCTGTGAATTAGGTGGCCGTTATCGTCATAAAAAGACCAAGAAAATAGATGTTTCAAAACAAGTCGATGTAGGAGATGGATACATGTTGGATCCCGACACAAAAACCAAAAAGTTGAAGTGCCCCTTTGCCATGACTGCGTCTTTTAAAAAATCAACAGGGATGTGGACTTTGAGAACTACTTGTAATGAACACAATCATCCACAGTTGGATCCATTGCTGAATCATCCAATGTTACGCAAACGCAGTGATGAATTGAATTTGGTCATTTTGGAATTATACAAGTTGGGCACAAAACCATCACATATCGAATCTAAAATCAAAAACCAGTACCCTGACGTATTGATTAAAAGAGAGGATATCTACAATGAAATCAGAGGCTATAAACGTAAATTGAAAAAGCAAAATTCGAGATTTGGATTTAATAATCCTTCCAGAATTGCAAACGCTCAATATAGGAAAAAAGCAGCTCAACAGGCTGCGGCAGCAGCTGCGGCGGCGGCTGCCACTGGAGCTGGTCCACAAGGTGTAGTTGGATTACCAAACACTATGAATAATATTGGTGTTGTTCCCGGTGTACAGAATAGCAGTGATGCAGCTGACGCGGTAGCTGCTGTTGCTGCTGCTGCAAGTGCAAATGCATTTTTGCATGGCAATGGTCAACATGTGCCTTACGACCCATACCACTCTGCACCACCACCACCACCACCATCACAATCTCAGCAGGTGCAACAACAACAGCAACAACATTCCTCCCACAATCATCACCAACTTTCCCAACAACGACAACGACAGCAGCAGCAGCAAAGACAACAACAGCAGCAGCAGCAGCAACAACAACAACAACTCCCTCAAAATCAACAACAACAACAACAAGAAGAGTTTCAACGCCAATTTGTTGCCGCTACTCAAGCTCAACAACATCAATTGGATGACCAACAATACCAGCAGTATCAACAACATTTACAAGATCATGGACTTCACGATAATGATGGTGCCGCTGCCGCTGCAATAGCAGCTGTTGCCAATGTTGCCCGTCAACATCACTATCAAGACAATGGAGATTTATCAATGGATAACATTGATAGTCGATTAGTTGGAGAATAGAAGGAATGGTCATGTACGAGAATGTTTTTGTCTTTTGTTTTTTTTTTTTTTTTAAATCACCTTTAATCTTATTGTTTTATTAATTATGACCTTAATATATATGTATATCAAATTATTTATATCTAGTCTATCAGAAGTAGTAGCTGTAGCTGTAGCTGTAGCTGTAGTAGTAGCTGTAGTGGTAGTAGTAGTAGTAGTAGTAGTAGTAGTAGTAGTAGTAGTAGTAGCAGTAGTAGCAGTAGTAGTAGTATTGATGCAGTTGTTTACATACTTTTTAAAATTTGTATACCTTCACATCTTTCTTCAAATAATTTGGTCAACTGCAAAACTTTACGACCTCGAATAACAGGTTTCTTTTTGAGTTCATTCTTTGTGAGATTTGCGTCGTTTCCATTTATGCTTAATGCCGATATAGTATTGGATTTGTTTGTTGTTGGTGTTGTTGTTGTTGTTGATGGTGGCAGTGGTGTGAAATGATACTTTTGTGGTGGGAACTGTAATTGCAAATTGGAAACATTAGTCAATGCTGTGTCCTTTTTCCGTGGTTGTTGTCCAGTTTCAACCGGCGAACTAAACACATTCTCATCTGTCAAATTTTCTGGTTTTTCATTAGTGGCTTTTCCTGAATGGATGGGTTTGGATACGTTTGCGCTCTCTTGTATTTGTTCATCTGAAGAGTTATTGTTGAGTTGTTTCCGTTCCGGTAATCGAGGTAGTTCTTTAGTCTTCAAGTTCAAGTTGGTTTTAGAGGTAGAATCGTTCTTGTGTAAAACAGAATTGTTTTCTGCTTTTTGCAATGTGCTTGGTCTTCTTTCAGGTAATGGTGGTTTTTTCTCTATCGTGGCATGCCTGTTTATGGGACGTAGGTCTGAAGATTGTATACTACGGTTGTCTTTATATTTGCTCCTGGTCATTGAGTTGACATTGGGATTTGAGACAGTATATGCCTCGAAAATAGAATGAGGATGATAACGATTTTCTTCATCATTACTATCGTTGTCATAACTGACATCGTAGCTTACATCGTATGAGTTCTCAATTGTATCATTGGCTTCTTGTTCACTATGTACAATAATGTCCTCAATTTGTGTAAAATGATGTATTTTACTTATTTCCTCCCAATGCTCCACGACATTTCTAATAAATCTCTGAATTACTTGAATTTCATTCTTTTCTGATGTCACCGGTTTATGGGATAAGCAGTGAGAAAGCGATTTCCCAATAGTAGTGGTTGTGTGTTTTGTTATGTGCTCATTCCTGGTAAGATTATAAAAGCATTGAAACAATTGCAACAAAAGTTGATCATAATTTTCAGTCAGAGAAAAATGCCGGTGCCTAATAATTATTTTGTGCAAAACTTGACTCGTATAGTCAAAGTTATCTTTGATAGGAAGACTAATTTCGTCGCTTGGTATCAATGGGTGTGGTAACTCCAGCAAGATTTTTTTGAATGCTGTTGATATACTGTATAAATCCCAATCGTTTATCCAAAAGAACTGGTTTCTTAAAAGACACTGGTAAAGAATATCAATGTATGTCTTTTTGCCCGGTTTATAAAAGATCAATTCAACTTTAGTTCCATTAGTATTTATAATGTTGAAGAGCTGGTACAAATGATGATTGAAAACTGGGTGTTTCTCGCTTGATAATGTAACATATGGATTTATCACTGGAGTCATTTTCATTGATAAATGTATACAAGGCTCGAGTTGTAGGTCATACTTGTAAATGTTTAGGGATATCTTTAATTTGGTAATATCTAGATATTCAGCTAACTGGCTTAAATCCCGGCAATGGACGACTATGGTTTGTTTATCCTCGCCGGCAGTTGTTCTTGTTGAGTCTAATGCAAAAGTATCTAGTATTTTATTTAGATTCAGTAGGTTCTTTTTAGTCGAGTTGAAGTTGTACAATACTGAGGTTATGGACTTGATGAACCAACTATCGTGCACTAGGAATATTTTGACCAAATTTTTCAAGTTGTAGCCATTATCACCACTCTCAGTCATCATGAAACTTTTGATAAATTTTAGGCCCCAGACCCAACTTATTTTGTTCAACCCGCTAGAAAACATTACCAAGACATATGGTCTTTTGGGTAAGCTCTGCATTAACGTAGGTATAAGTTCATTGTAGTTTATAGCATCTGTAGATGGCAAATAGGAGGTATCAAATATATATATGGGGTAATTTGTGATTGGATCTCGAAACGTTGCATTGTAGAAGATTCTTTCCATGGAGAAAAAGCAACGGCAAGCAGGAAAAGCTACGTGTAAAAAGGAAAGATAATGCAGCAACGACGCTACAGTACTGGGATCTTGGAAGAAAGGTCAGCGCTAGACTTTCACGGAAAAGGAGAGATATTGGTTAGTAGACCTTGTAATTTTCATGGGTATATTTTTTTGGTACATCATCAAAATGATGTAAACATTGAACTTGCATATTAGAATCTTTTTTCGCGTGGGCGTGTACGAGAGAAAACTATCGACACTATCGAGCGAAGCGAGATAGTGGAGGACATTAACTGCCACCGCTATCGAGCGAAGCGAGATAGTGGAGCACATTAGCTGTCACCGACACTAGCTGCCACCAACACAAACTGCCACCGACACTAGCTGCCACCAACACAAACTGCCACCGACACTAGCTGCCACTGACACTATCGATAGAGGAGATAGTCGATAGATGATAGTTGATAGTTGATAGTTGATAGATGCTAGATGATAGATAAGATGCTAGATGATACATGATAAAGGTGCTAGATGATGAAGGATAAATAGAGATGCTAGATGCTAGATGCTAGATGATACATGATACATGTAAAAGATAAGTTTACGCAAAATCTTTAGCTCTACTAAATAATGAAGAGAAAAAAAATAAAAAAAAAATAAAAAAAAAAAAAAGACAATATATAATATATAATATAATCGCTCCTTGGTAATCACGTGACATACTAATTGCCTTATTCTGTTTTGCCACTGTGCAACATTGGCGGGGGGGGGGGTGATAGAGAAGATAGAGAGCGACACTATCTGTCACTACGAAGTGCTACTCCACTATCGAGCAGAGCAAGCTAGTCAATGTCGGTGGCAGCTAGTCAGTGTTACTCCACTATCTCGCTCTGCTTGACAGTGTCTCTCGCTTTGCTCGATAGTGTCGGTGGCAGCTAGTCAGTGCTCTCCTCGATAGTCGAGTGTAATCACGTGCCATACTAACCATCTCTTCTTCTCCTTTAAGCATATGGTAGCATTTCTTCCAATCTGTTTTGCCACTGTGGGCAAGTGAAAAAAAAAAAAAAAAAAAGTGGCTAAGATGGCCAAACTTTAGGTGGAAAAATCATACAGCCAAAAAAAACATCATTTATTTAAGTAGGTGTCAATTGGGCAAAGTTGTAAAGAGAAGGATTATCTTTTTTTTTTTTTTTGCTTCCTCTTAGGTTTGAATTATGACACCTGTGCAAAAAAATCCGCAGAGTGAGCAGCCACACCAAAGCCAGCAGCCAAAAGGTAGTCAGCTGCTGCAGGCACCCAAGAAACCAGTTGAAAAGGAAGAGGAGTTATCTGAAGAGGACCAGCAATTGAAAGATGAGCTTGATCTAATAGTTGAGAAACTAAGCGAGCCCGGTTCTCAAGACGAGCACACCTATGGGAAATTACTCGACTCAATGAAGAAGTTTATTCAAGAGTCAACTACTTCCATGACTGCTGTGCCAAAACCACTAAAGTTCCTAAGACCCCATTATCCAACATTGTCGAAAATATACAATGAGTGGTTAGAGTTGTGTCTGGATCTGGAAAAAAGTACGATTGTCTTGGAATTGGCCGATATTTTATCGGTTTTGGCAATGACTTATTCGAACGAAGGAAAGAGGGATTCGTTGAAATATAGATTGGTGTCTGGAGACGCCACTTTGGCAGATTGGGGTCACGAGTACATTCGCCACTTGGCGTTGGAGATTGGCGAATCATACCAAGAAAATTTGGGAGTCGACGAAGAATTGGTTTCAAAATTGATCAAGTTGGCGTTGAAAATCGTTCCCTTTTTTATGAAGCATAATGGAGAAGCAGATGCCGTGGATTTGCTCTTGGAGATTGAATCGATTGACAAGTTGCCTCAATTTGTCGACGAAAACACTTATGCAAGAGCTTGTCTCTATGTTACCAGTGTAGTGCCGTATTTGGCACCACCCGATGATTTGGCCTTCTTGAACACTGCATTTGCTATTTACTTGGCGCATGGCCAACTAACGCAAGCATTAGCCATTGCCATCAAATTGGACAATGATTTCTTGATTCAACAAGTCTTTGACTCTACAAAGGATGAGTCTGTACACAAACAATTGGGTTTCATTTTATCACAACAAAACAATAATTTTAAGTTACTTGAAGAAAATCATCAAGTCCAGGAAACTATTGGTAATGTCAAATTGGCCGATTACTTTCATTATCTAGCAAAAGAATTGAACTTGCTTGACCCCAAAGTACCTGAAGACATTTACAAGTCACACTTGGAAAATTCAAAGTTTGGATTGGGAACATCAGGATCAATTGATTCGGCAAAGCAGAATTTAGCTGCTGCTTTTGTCAATGCATTCATCAATTTGGGATTCGGTAAGGATAGGTTGATGCAAACTGAAGAGGACAACAAATCTTGGATATATAGAACAAAAGGTAAAGGTATGGTGTCAACAACAGCATCTCTTGGATCACTTCATCAATGGGACGTTAATGAAGGTTTGCAAGTGTTGGACAAGTACACGTATTCAGATGATCAAGAAGTCAAGGCGGGTGCGTTGTTAGGTACGGGTATAGTGTCTGCCAATGTTCACGATGAGGTTGATGCTGCGTTTGCCTTACTTCAAGAGTATGTTAATGACCCTAATAAGCTTTACCAAACATCAGCTATTACCGGGTTGGGGATTGCATTTGCAGGTTCTTCTAGTGAAGAGGTATTAAACTTGTTATTGCCTTTGGTATCTGATCTAGATGCTCCTTTGGAAGTTTCTTGTCTTGCGGGGCTAGCCTTGGGGCACACCTTTGTTGGTACTTGTCACGGTGACATTACCTCGACTATCTTGCAAACTTTATTAGAAAGAGATTTGACACAATTGACCAACAAGTTTGTCAAATTTATGGCATTGGGGTTGGGTCTTTTGTATATAGGTAAAACAGAACAAGTTGAGGATGTTTTGGAAACCATAGATGCAATTGAGCACCCTATCAGCAAAACTTTGAAAGTTTTGGTGAATATTTGTGCCTATGCAGGTACAGGAAACGTTTTGCAAATACAAGCATTGTTGCAAATGTGTTCTGCCAAACCAAAAAGTCAGTTAGAGAAAGAAAAGAAGTTGGAGCAGTCTGAAGAGGACCAGCAGCATAAGAAGAAGAATAAGATCAAAAACAAGGGCGAGGAGGAGAACAATCAAGACGGTGATGTTGATATGGAAGCTTTAGAAGATAAGAAAGAAGATGCTAAATCCGATGAGGGAGGTGGGGCTACCAACTTGACAACTACTGTTACCACTACTGCTGCTACTACTACTACTACTAATGCACAAGGGCAAAACAAGGAGGATGATGATGACGATGATGGTGACGATGACGATGATGAGGATGATGAGGATGAGGATGAGGATGAAGAAGTCGACGAAGGAGAAGAGTTGTATCAAGGAATAGCAGTGCTAGGATTAGCATGTATTGCAATGGGCGAAGATATTGGTCAAGATATGTCATTGCGTCATTTTGGTCATTTGATGCATTATGGAAATTCCTTAATTCGCAGGTCTGTTCCATTAGCTATGGGATTAGTATCTGTGTCTAATCCTCAAATGAAAGTATTTGAAACTTTATCGAGGTACTCGCACGATCCTGATTTAGAAGTTGCTCAAAATGCCATCTACTCTATGGGATTGGTTGGTGCTGGAACAAATAACGCTCGATTGGCACAATTGTTGAGACAATTGGCTTCATATTATATAAAGTCGCCAGATTCATTATTTATGGTGAGGATTGCACAAGGATTATTACACTTGGGTAAAGGAACCTTGACTTTATCTCCATACAATTTGGAAAGAACAATCTTGTCAAAGACATCATTAGCAGCATTATTGACTGTGTCTGTTGCGTTATTGGATCCGAAAGCATTCATATTGAATGATACAACAACCGAGACTTCCCATGAATTATTATATTATTTGACTCCAGCTGTTAAACCAAGAATGTTGGTTGCGGTGGATGAAAAATTAGAGCCAATTAAAGTAAATGTCAGAGTTGGTCAAGCGGTTGATATTGTAGGTCAAGCTGGTAAACCAAAAACCATAACTGGATGGGTTACACAATCTACACCAGTATTGTTAAATCATGGTGAGCGAGCAGAATTGGAGAGTAGCGAAGAATGGATAAGCTTGAGTAATTCATTGGAGGGAATTGTGATTTTGAAAAAGAATCCCGAGTTTATGGAAGTAGATTCGTGAAAAGTAAAGCCAGAGAAAGAAAGAGATGAAAAAGAAAGAGGATAAGAATCTACTTAAATAATAAAGCAGAAGAATCTTTTTTTTAAATAAAAAAAATGACTTTGTTTGTTTAAAACCTTGCATCTCTTCCTTTTTTTTTTATTTATTTTAGGGAGAGTAGCCTCTCTTCTCTATATTTGCTCTCCCACTCTCTTACTCTCAAAATGCTATTGCCATTGTCTCTCAACTAAACTCTTGTGCTTTACCAGTCATCAAAAGCCCTACAATTAATCCAAATAAGCCCAATACCGATCCAAAAATCTCCACAACCAATATTTTCACAAATAATGCACTATCAGCAGCATCAGATATAGCAGCAGTAGAACCAGTTATACCCACAGCTATACCGCATATCAAATTAGAAATCCCCACAGTTAATCCTGCCCAAAATAACGAGTACCCAGTATAGAGGTTTTCCTTTGAGTACAACACATCACTACCAACGCTTGTTAGTTTTGCACTAAAAACAATAGCCATGATCAATCCATAGATTGCCACAACTTCACAAAAGATGATTGATATTAAATTCTTTGTAGTTATTCTTGGAGCTCTTACACCAGCTCCAAGAATCGATGTGCCAGTCACAAATATCCCCCACGCCGCTCCAACCACCGAAAATCCTATACAAGACGCAATTCCTAAAGATGCCCACATATATGGTGATGTGCTTTCTAAAAACCCGCCTATATTGAATGATTCACCAGATCCCGTGAAGAGCATATATCCGCCCACTGTCAATAGTGATCCTATCACTAGAGAAGATGTTACATATGACATAATGCTCAAAAAAAAGGGGGGGAGGGGGGGTAAAAAGAAAATGGCGGTTTGCTAAGGTTACTAATTTGTTGTGTAAAATAAACTTATACTACAATCAATTTGTTCACAAGGGCTTTTCTCGTTAGATTGAAAGCGCAGAGATGTGCCGAAAAAAAAAAAAGGCTAGATAGATATTGGTTCACTTTACACGCCCTAGAGAGCAAAAAAGAGTTGTATCTAAGATGGTTTAGAGGAAGAGCTATTAGTGTCTGACTATCGAGCAGAGTGAGATAGTCCATAGAATGCAATGTAGAATGTATTTGAGATATAGATTTATTCGGCAATGTTGTGGCTGTCCATTGTTGAGCAGAGTGAGATGGTGGGCAGCTAGTCAGTATTGCTCCACTATCGAGCAGAGCGAGATAGTCCATAGAATGCAATGTAGAATATATTTAAGATATAGATTTATTTGGCAATGTTGTAGCTGCCTATTGTTGAGCAGAGTGAGATGGTGGGCAGCTAGTCAGTGTTGCTCCACTATCGAGCAGAGCGAGATAGTGGATTAGTCTTGGTGTGGGGCAGCTGGTCAGTGTTGCTCTACTATCTCGCTCTGCTCGATAGTGGACTAGTCGTGGTGTAGGGCAGCTAGTTAGTGTTACTCCACTATTTTGCTCTCCTCTAAAGTGGATAAAGTACAAATTTTTACATTGCTGTGAAATGTTGATATGCAAAAAAAGAAAATTAAATGGCTGCGAAAAACAAATAATTAACAAAGGTTTGGTCGCAAATTTTTTTTTATTAGTATTCAGCATTTCTATAAAACTATCATGGGCAAACTGTTCTCTGTCAACCCATTTCATATCAAGCAGCAGTGAGAGTTCCCCTACATCTCACACCTACCCAATGATTTTATTAATATTAATTATATACTTGACATATTTTGCTCAATCTCTCGGCGTTGAAAACGATCCACGTATGTGCAAAAAGAAAAAAAATAGAAACCACTGAAAGCCACTAAAAAACACAATAGAGCTTTTTCCTTTTTTGGGCTCCTGTACATTTATACTAACTCAAAGTTGTAGAAGTTATCAAAGAAAATGAGTTGCTAGCTTCAAGTCTAGTGCAGCCCGCATCTGAAAATATAGCCAATTTCCAAACATTGAAGATATTAGAACAGCTCGAGAAACTACCTGAGTTCACACAGTTTGGTCAGGACGGTCACGAAAAAGGAGAACAACAAGAAGGAGGACAGGAAAAACCACAAGATACCAAGGATAACAAAGAGTCCAGCATTCCTTCACATTGTCAAAAAAAGGAAATTCATATTCACTCGTTGCAAGATTTGAATGCAATAATTGAGTGTGAAACCATTATTGGGGATATCATAATTAGTGAATTTGATTATCCAATAATCACATTGGCAAAGCTTAGCAAACTAGAGGGAAATTTGACAATTTACAAATCTCCAGAGTTGGTTCGTGTTGAGAGTCCGCAGTTAAGTTCAATTGAAGGTTGGTTCAAACTATACGAATTAACATCGTTGGCACTTATATCCTTCCCTAGTTTAAAGAAGGTCAAGATATTATGTTGGGAAATATTACCAATTCTAAGCAATGTTCAATTCAATCATGAAATTCATGGCATTGAAAGCATCACCATTTCAGATACTTCGCTTACTGGATTCTCGGGATTCTTGGCTAACGAGTTGAAAGTCCTTGATATAAACAATAATCGATTCTTGGATTCTATAGAGTGCAATGTTGAAACAATCTCAGATTATTTCCACCTAAGTGCAAATGCTAAAGAGATAAAAGTTAATTTACCTAATTTGAAGAAAGTCAATGAATTGAGTATCAATAATGTTGAAATTCTACAATTGGATAATTTGGAGCGAATTGATAACTCAATGAAATTAAATGACAATTTCTTCCATCTGATAAAATTTCTCAAATTGAAATATATTGGAGGTACTCTAGATTTATCAAAAAATTCAAAATTAACCAGTATCGATTTCCCCCAATTGAACGAAGTTCAAGGTGGACTTATGCTTATTAAAAACCCATTGATTGAAAAAGTCAATTGTTTCCCTAATTTGAACATCATTGGTGGTGCTTTAGAAATCAAAGGTCCAATAACCGATATTTCCCTTAAAGATCTAAAGTTGGTGAAAGGTAGCGCAATCATTTCAAGCACTTCACCAGCATTTGATTGTGAGAAATGGTCAAAACTGGAGGTATTATTAGTCGTTAGAGGTGGTAAAATCGAATGCACAAATTCAAATAATGAAAAGATTACTTCTAAGACAAAAGAAAATGGCGGCGGTGGTGGTGGCGGTGCGGCAGCGCCTGCTGTGGGTTTCACTAATAATAATAATAATAATAACAACAATGGCGCAAAATATTTGAAGAAAAATACAACAGCTTCGTCAATGTCAACCAAACAACAATCAGGCTCAAGTGGCACTTCCGATGCTACCCCAACTCTGCTTTCATTGTCTTCAAATGACACTGGAAATATGGTTTTGATCTTGCTTCTTCATCTATTGGCTCTCTCTTTTGTTGATGTAAGTTTGTAAAAAAAAAAACAAAAAAAACCAAAAAAAAAAACACTAGTTATGCTATGACTTGTATAGGTTCTTTTCTTCAATATACTGGGCAATTTCAGGAATTACGTGCTTGTTCCATTCCTCTTTTCCAGTAGCTCCTCTTCTTGCTCCTCTGCTTATTTCTCTCCTGATACTTGAACTACTAATATTGGCGATATCCTCATTCAAATTTTTCAACAAAAATATATTGTTTGACCAATGGCTGGGAATATCCTCGTGTTCCCCACTCGAAATCTCCTTAATGTACCCCTGTTGTTGAGTTATACTAGTAGTTCCATCTTGTCTGGTTAAGCAAAACAAGTCAGTAATTTTCATAAAGTGTTCCAATGAATTGGATAACTTATCAGGAAGATAATATTTTGGATTCAAAATTCGTATCAATGTATCGAACCCAATCAAAAAAGTCAACTTGAAACCAGAACGTAGAATGTTTGGGTATCGAGCTTCAATATGATTCGCAATTGATAGCGACTTATCGACAAATTTGGCGTGCTTGATCAATCCAATTGAAACATTGATTGGGAATCTTTTAGCTACATCATTTGCCATCAAATAAATCATATCAATTCGGTGCTCAAGTGCTTCCAATGACAAATGCGCGGTATTTTTATCAGCATTCTGAATTGATAGTAGCAAAAGCAAACTCTTATTCCCTATAGGGATTTGATCGTAATTCGACTTCAACAGCTCTTCAACTAGCGCATAGTGACCCAAATGCGGAGGATTGAAGGACGAATCTAATACACATACACGCTGTGTTTTTGACGTTATTAAAGCCGATTGTTGGTTCGTAGAGGCGACTGTTGAGTAGACAACTGCAAAATCGGTTTTGGATGCAACAAACTCTTGTAATGCTTTGGTAAATCTCGACATGACTATTGTGCGTTATTAGGAGGAGTACTCTTTTGGCTCAATTGATTTTATCAGGAGCTTTTTTTTTTTAGTTTGCTTTTTGTTTGTCGAAAGGTTTCACTTTTAAAAAGTTTGAAGGACCAACTAAAACTAAATTGGTACGGCTAAAAGTTTGCACTGCAACAAAGAACAGAGGAATAGAGAATAGGTTTGGGTGGGAGAATAATGTAGAAAGGTTCTTTTCCAGTCTTTACAAGGTTTGGAGTATTAATTGCGTATATATGATGTCAAGTCTTGTAGAAATCAAGAAATCAAGAAATCAAGAAATCAAGAAATCATTACGATTATATGTAGTACTTTTTCTATGGATCCTTACAATTCATCCTTTTCAACAACAACTTCTTCTTCTTTATGCTCTTCCTCCTTTTGCTCTTCCTCCTTTTGCTCTTCCTCCTTTTGCTCTTCCTCCTCCTGCTCCTTCTCTTCCTCCTCCTGCTCCTTCTCTTCTTCTTCCTCCTCCTCCTTCTGCTCTTCCTCTTTTTCTACTCCAGCAATATCAACCAATTCAGTCTCAAAAATCAATGCAGCTCCACCAGGTATTGGCCCAATTCCATGTTCGCCATAAGCAACATTTGAATGACACCAGAGTTTACGTTTTTCACCGATACACATCTCTAATAACCCTTCATCCCAACAGCGGATAACTTGTCCTTGGCCAACTTTAAAGGTCAATGGTGTACCTCTATCCCATGAGCTATCAAACTTTTCGCCATCCTCAAAAGTCCCTTTGTAATGGACACTTATTGAGTCACCTGGTTGTGTTTTACGTGTACATTTCACAGCTTTGAGAATATCTGAAAACAATAATAGTTAGCCGAGTTTAGGTAAGCTACAACTAGATTAATTAGTTGATGAGAACAAAAGATGAAAACATACCTATTTTCAATTCATCTGGCGATGGACTGGCTGAGAATGCAGGAACAATGAATACTGAGAGGGCAATTGCTACGCTAGAGAGTCTCATTGTAAGTTGGTTTTTCTTTGATGTTAGGTAAAAGAAGTTTTATTCCTTTTATTTTTTGGATCTACCTTTTTTATACTCCTATTTTTTCAAGGTTCAAATTTGACGAAGCTCCCTCAAATTCAATAGAATTTTAAATTCACTATTATACAAGATCTTATATAAAACTAACATATATATATGTACAAATATATATATATATAATAATGTTACAACATGATTACTGCCCCAAAATTAAACAAATACCCTAAATGAAATGAACAATAAGGAAATTCAAACCCCAAATAATAACATAATTGAATAGAAACCTTTGATCTCTTTCTCTTTCTTTCTTTCTCTCTCTCTCTCTTTCTCTCTCTCTCTCTCTCTCTCTCTCTCTTTCTCTCTCTTCTCTCTCTCTCTCTCTTTCTCTTTCTCTCTCCCTCTCTTATTCCTTGGCTCAGAATATTCTGCGACCAGATTCGAGCTCATCTAAAACATCATCGTCATCTTCCATCACGTCCAACATTTGATATTTTGAAATGTCCCACCTATGCCAGAATTTCCTGACATCATTAATATCGTGCGACTCAATGTGATCTTGAAGAAAATCTTTTGATCTCACTAATCGTTGCTTTAAATTCATCAACTCCTTGTCGTCATCGTCACCATCTGAAGCTAAAGATGCTGGAGTAATGTACCCGTGAACTTCGTCTTCAACGTATGTTGTTGCATCACAGTACCTAGCCCATGCTTCATCAATTGCTCCAATCAAATAATCAAAGCAACGAACACGAGCATTTTTATCAGCAACGGCAACAGCATGACTTAAATCTCCTTCTTCTTGTTCTTCATTGTCGTCGTCATCATTGTCGTCGTCATTGTCGCGGCAATCTTCTTCTTTGTTTTTACCTTCACAACCATCAGTCATGATTCTGCTCCTACTACCGCTATCACCAAACATCTTCTTTAATGAGATGCTACTACTAATTGGACTTGAAACCAATTTGCAGTCCAAGTTGGCAATTTCGTGGTCGGATTTTAATATTTTGATTGAAGAATCAGATGTTCTTCGAGATTGGAAAAAACGTTCCCTTCTATTTTTCTTCTCTTTATCGTAAAAGTCATCATCATCATCATCATAGCTGTTGTCATTCCTATTGTCCTCACCGTCACTATATTGAGATATTGCCCTTGACAATCGAGAATCAACCGTAAATAATACTCTTGAGGAAGCCCTTCTGTGTGCCCTTACTTGGTCAGCATTATAACATGACTGCTCATCCTCGGAATCATCATCTGAAGACGACGATGAGTAATAATTTTTAGGAAGTGACAATCTATTATTATTACTAGTCAATTGGAAAGGCGCAGACGACGCAGAACCAGTTGCAGTGGCAGTTGCAGTGGCAGCGGCAGCGGAAACATCCTGCTGCTGCTGCTGCTGCTGCTGCTGCTGCTTAAACTGTTGAAGACATATCTTCTTATTTGTTGCCGACGGATATAAAAAATTACAGCCGCGCTTATTGTTATTATTATTACTGGCAATTAATTGTGGTGTCGCAGATTGAATGTCTTTTTTCAAATTATATGGTTTAGGACATAAAGCCATGTTTGTTGACGTATCTATAATGTTTTGATTTATCCAAATAAAGTCGTGTAAAATACACCAAAAAATACACAACTAAGGAATAATACAAACAAGCAATAAAAAAGGGTCGTGTGCAAAAAACAAAATTTTCTAATCAACCAATCAAGGCGTCAGAAAGACCTTTCTATGCAAAAATTTGGAAGGCAAAAAAAAAAACCCACCACCAAAAAAGTTATAACCAAATAACGAAAAAAAGTTGGTTCAAGGACTATAGGAAAAGTTCTCCTGTAGTTTTAATGGATGAACGAATACCTTAGTGATGTGGATGTAGAGGTACTCTATCTGAAATAACTAACCAAATGCGATACAAAAGAAAATGGTTCTTTTGCTCTCAAATACTCGGTTGGTTGATTTGTTGTTTTGTATATACTTTTTGGTATACTAAAAAGTAAAATACTCAACTGTGATTGGTCGAAATTTTGGTTGGTTGAAAATCAACAAAAAAAAAGTGGTGAGGAGAAAAAAAGGCAGAAAAAAAAAAAAGTGAATGACTTTTAATTTTGTAATTTTTTTTTTTTGGCTTTTTCTTTTCTACTAGAATTTATAAATTTGCTGTGTCTTTTTCATTTCTACTTATATGCGGTTTCTAGATAAACAATAAATGTCGGGTGCAGTCTTTTTTAGGGTCGTGTGGAAAACAATTCAGACATTGTGTTTACTATTTTTGGAAATAATATTAGCGAAATAGGGGGGCTATATTCTGTACTTTATCTGTGTGTAAGGGCCCATCTAATAGGGTTGTAGTTTAGAGTATCCAGACATTTTTTATTCAAATATTCACTCTCAATTGGATTAGTCTGGTGTTTAAGAACACGTATCTATTTCTGTCTAGAATTGGTTATTTTAAGTTGGTGGCCAATCTATTCAAATATTAAAATAGAGCCGTTGTATAGAAAATAATTTGGACTAGAAGTAGCTATGACTTTGACAACGGGTAGCTATAACCTTGACAACAGGTTGCTATAATTTATCAACGTCTATTGATAATTATAGGAGAGAATTTCAATTTGTTTCAAATTGCTTGCCAATAAAGAATATGTAGTCTTTTATCTTTGCTTGCTTTTTGTTCTATAAAATAGCAGTATCTTTTGTAATCGATATACTTTGTTTGTGTCTACAGGATTGAAAATTCTGTTGCGTCTGCTATATTTGCTATGTCCGTTATGTCTTCTATGTTTTTATGTCTGTTATGTTTTTATGTCTGTTATGCTCGTTATATCTGTTATGTCTGTTATGTTTGTTATGTTTGTGTCTACTACACAATCTGTCTGCAACAAGTTTGATTATCATCAATTATTAAATGAAAAATACCCTTCAAATAAGCCATAAAAATACCCCCCTATAAAGATATGTTATATGGATTGCTGTTGCAGATATAACCTGTAGGAGTCTTAACAAAATCAGTCCGTTCTCTTTATCAAAAGCCCAATGAAATAATCAGCTTTTACCCAGTAGATCTATTCTACCAATATTGCTAAATTCCAATTTCATAAAGTTCAGACCTTTGTGTAAATTCTTTATCTGATTGTTGCACCTTCTACAAAGTAACATTTTATTAGTTCTCTTGTAATGGGTGCAAAAAAACTACTCTACAGTGTCTGAAATCAAATGAGCGGGAAAACAACAATGTTTTGGAAAAGCGTGCTATGTAACACTGAACAATTATCCATCTACTTAAAATGTTTGTTACTATTACTGAATTTCACTCACAAATATTAAAGTGGGTCTTGCTCCTTATAAAACAGTCAACCATCTAAGCCCACCATCTAATCCAATAACCTAACCCAACCACTCTCACCTTCTTACTTGTGAGCAGTATGTGTTGGAGATTACGACACTATCTCGCTTTGCTCGATAGTGTAGCACATAGTCCATAGTCCACAGTCCATTGAGTCAAGTTACCAGGATAAGTTGTGTAAGTAGAGAAGGAGATGATATGAAAGAGGAATTTGTGAAAATGGACTATGTGAAATAAGAGATGGTGGATATGATACACTAATGAAAGCAACAGGGATGCTAGTAGAAGAAAAAAATAGCAAGCGGAGAAAATGGGTGAGAGTGTGTGTAGATAGATTATATCTATACCTTGATCTATTCTTTATACATCAGTTCTATGTTTCCAAACATAAAGTTGCAAAAAATAAAGGAAAAAACAAACTAAACGTTTGGCAACACAATATATTTTCGTTTTCTTTTTTCGCAGCAATTTGTGTCGAAATACGTTTCATGTGAGACCCAAAAGCTTCCGTTTATTAAAATTGCTCCTCTACAAAAGAAAAAGCATTCAATCCAATAAATCAATATCTCGATGAAAGCTAAAAAACCATTGTATGGATACCATTTATACTTTTTATGCGAAAATCTCAAACTCTTTTACAAACGTGAATTAACATATTGTAAAAATAAGAAAAAAAAATAAATCAAGATGATAACTCCAGGATGGCATATATTTTTACCCCCTTGTACCATCGTTTATCGATTTCTTTTTGAATCATGGATCCTTTTGTTAAATTGTTGTATTTTTTTGTTTTTTTTCTAACACACACCATTTTCCAACTCCTCGATGAATCGATCGGCAACTTCCATGAATGAAATATTTTCATCATTACTATTACCATCAACTCCTCCATTCATCGATGAAAATGAGGTGGCTGTAGAGCTTCTTTTTATGCCACCTCTGCTACTACCCGCTGAAACACCACCGAAATTTGATCTTCTCACGTTATCATTCCTTCTACTGTTATTATCCAACTTACCAGCATTATAGTACATGGCATATTGTGGATTCTCATGGTAATTCCTTTCCTTTGAGGAACCACTTGCAAAATTTCCAACTAAATAGTCGTACATTCCTCTTTTAACATAATCATCCTTGGCTAAAAACCTATCCTTTATGGCACTAGGTCTAAAGTAATCTTTTGTTTTATTTGTGAGATCTTGATACAAATCTTCAAAATTCTCTTCTGCTTTAACATAATCATGTTGTGCTACTCGATCTATAAATTCTTCATTTGAATTGAGCTTAGTGTCCAAATAGTTCATAAACCGAAGTATGAAATCAATAAACTTATTAGTATTTTTGGCATTAAATATGAATAGCTCATTCTTCAGAAATTTATGAACAAGATACTTGGTGATTGGTATGAATAGCTTGATACCAGTTATCAACAATTTAACAGATATTATTATGAATATTTGAATCTTGTCCATGGTCGATATATCTTTATTGTAATAAATGTTCTTCACACTCAGCGTGGAAGCATTCTCATACTCAAAAACTTGTAAATCTTTACGCAACAGATGGTACAAATTGAGTTTAGTCTCTGTATCCAAGGAATCTAAGAAAATATCGATCTTGACTTCATCATCTAGATTTGTCATTAACTGATCAAAATCTCGTTGATCTATTTTGTTTTGCTCGCTCGTCATGGTGATTGCCAATGGATCATACTCAATTACTTGATTATTCTGTTTAAATAAATTCATGGGGCTTCCCAAACCACTTTGTTTCGTTGTGGATAAAGTGTAATCGCTTTCAACGTCGGTATCAGCTTCTATTTCTACATCTTTGGCAGCAGTCTGTTGGAATTGAGATCTGGATTGAGACTGAAGCTGAGACCTCGACGGAGATTGAGATTGGGATTGGGATTGGGATTGGGACTGAGATTGGGATGGAAATGGAAATGGAAAAGAAGGAGAAGAAGACGGGGATGGAGGTTGATCCTCTTGTTTTGTTTTATCATTGAAATAAGGTATATGAGGTAGCTTTGAACTCAAAGTCTGTTTTCCAAATCGAAATAAACTTGAAGCAATTGCCCCTTTATTATCATATGCCATTTTGAGTAGTACTCGGTTTGGTTTTGTACTATTTGCTAGTTCAGCTAACGACTCTTGGGTCTGCTGTGCTTGAATTTGTTCAGGGTTCAATACAACATCTATATTTTTGGAAATTAGTTGGTTAAATTTATCGTTTTGTTCATTGAGGTATTGGTCAACTCTGGTGTTTGCAATTTCTTCCTCTTTTGATTCAGCAATGGAAGAAAATGAACATTTATGGTTGAGCTTATTGTTGTTGTTGTTGTTGTTGTTATTATTATTATTCTTTTTGCTTAGTCTTAGCGATACTGGCCTGATATTGCTTTTATCAACAACACTCAAATTCCTTGCACTCAAATTCCTCCTATGAGGTGTACCAAGCACAATTTCAGAATCCAATTCTTCGGCAGTCTTCTTTCTAGGAGATGCAGTGAAACTTGTAGTTGAGGACATTTCCGATGGATTTAATGTGGGTATTGGTGACAAACTTGCAGATCTAGCTCTATTATCTATAATTCTTGAATGTAACTTATCCCTTGGACTTTGATATTGTTCCGTTATTTGGATGGGCCTAATCTCCCCGTTGTCCTCAAATTCGGAACTGCTACAACAGCTGCTACAGCTGCTAGTGATGCTATTGCTACTGCTACTACAGTTGCTACAGCTGCTACAGCTGTTATTAGAAGCTTGTTGTCGAGGAGTGGAATAGCCTTGCTTGCCTTTTCTACCAGCACGACGACTTTTTCTTCTTGATTGTGGAGACCGATTTGGAGAGTTTTCTGTATGTGTACTATTATTGCTGAGCTTATTTACTATGGGGATCCTATTAAGTACACCGTAAAGCAATGACCTAACCACCATGATAAACCAGCAATAAACAAAAGCGCCAAAAAAGAAAAAAGCAAGAATGAAGAGAAGAAAAGAGAAGAAGAGAAGAAGAGAAGAAGAGAAGAGAAGAAGAGAAGATGAAATTCAACAAAGAGAGGGTCAGATTTGAGACAATGACTTGCAATCTATAGATAAGAAGATGAAATGCCATTTACTAATTTCTTTTTTGTTTCTTTTTTCTTTTTTCCCTCTCCCCCTCCTTAATATTAGACTCATGGGGGGGGGGAGGGGGAAGGGGGAAGGGGGAAGTTACCCAGCTCAGTACTATTGTCAGTTTGTTTAACAGAGATTGGAATTTTTCAATTAAAAGTTTATTGGGCGAAAAAATAAACAAACGAGACAAGGCACTATGTGTAAAAATTGAACCTGAGGTCTATTAACTATGCAACAAACAATCGCTGTAAACAAATGTAGTAATACGACTTTGCTTGTGATAAATAATATATCTCATCTTGGCCATCGTAACATAGACAAGAGCGAGGAGAAAAAAGAATCATACTTGTAGGAATCGGGAAAGTACACGACTTGTTTAGGTGGAGATAACTTATAGAGACAATATAGGCACAATATAGACAATTTATAGGGACAATTTACATCTAAGATTAATCTGAAATAGATTTGCCTCTAGATTTGAATAGATTTGAATAGATTTGCTTGTAATGTTTGCTTAGGGTTGCTTAGGGTTGCTTATGTTTGCTTATTTGCTTGAATGGGTCCAGCTGTAAACAAGGTTAGGCCTTATGGAAGATATTACTTTATGTTACATCATCTTGAGCTTGTGCTTACTATTCAAGTATTTTTCTATTTACATGTGTAAATTCAATTATTGTCAATGCAACAAAGCTTAGACAGCAAAAAATTTCACTTGGCACTATCAGCACTATCGAGCGAAGCGAGATAATGGAGCACATTAGCCGCCACCGACACTAACAACACTATCGAGCGAAGCGAGATAGTGGATCACATTAGCTTTCACTGTCACTAACAACACTATCGAGCGAAGCGAGATAGTGGAGCACATTAGCTTTCACTGACACTATCGACACTGACTAGCTACCACATACAAGTCACGTGATAACACTATAACCAATACTATCTACCGACACTATCGAGCAAAGCGAGATAGTGGAGCACATTAGCCGTCACCGACACTAACGACATTATCTCGCTTCGCTCGATAGTGGAGCACACTAGCTGCCACATACAAGTCACGTGATAACAATATAACCAACACTATCGAGCAGAGCGAAATTGTGGAGCACTGAATAACGACACTATCGACCAGAGCGAGATAGAGGAGCGCACTAGCTGCCGACACTATCTACCGACACTATATTGCTCTGCTCGATAATGTCGTTTGCTCGATAGTGTCGTTATTCAATGCTCCACTATGTCGCTTTGCTAAATAGTGTCGTTTGTCGTCTGTCGCTAGTGTGCTCCACTATCTCGCTTTGCTCGTAGTGTCGTCTGTTGTTAGTGTCGTCTGTTGTTAGTGTCGTTTGTTGATAGTGTCGTTTGTTGTTAGTGTCGTCTGCTGTTAGTGTCGTTTGTTGATAGTGTCGTTTGTCGTTTGTCGATAGTGTCGTTTGTCGATAGTGTCGTTTGTCGTTATTCAATGCTCCACTATCTCCCTCTACTCAATAGTTGTCACGTGACACTTTTCACAATATCTTTATCAAGTCTTTTAGCAGTATACTGCATTTTAAACAAAGGGTATAAACGGTTGAAATTTAAAAATCTAATAAGTAATAAAGATTGCCCCTTTTTTGACAAAGACATCAGGGGGTGTGGAAGAAACTGGTAGCTAGTCAGTGTTACTACTACCAGTGTCATTCAGTGTTACTACAAAGTGCTGCTGCACTATTTCGCTTCGCTCGATAGTTATCAGGGGGTGGAAGAAACGGAATGCATTATTAATTTTTCACTATTCATTAGTAAAAAATTACACTACCTTGTACATTAGTGATTCAAGTGCATCGCTTTTGAATGACAAATTTAACGCAACTCAATGTATCAACTATTAGAAAGAAATTGAACAACGATGGGAACCCAAGATGGCGGGGAAATGGGGGGAAGCCATTGGTCAATGGGCCCATTAAAAGTCCAAAACTACTGTAAATATCTTTTCTAATAAATACACCAGGATAGAAAAACTAAGATAGTCACCAAGATAGTTACTAGAAGCTATAGTTTTTGTTTAATTATTAATAATCAAATGGTCAACATGCACTTTACTCTCAACCCCTATTGACTCAAAACACATCGTAACCTGACCCAAATTAAAACAATTAATCTTTTTCTTCTTTAAGCTTATATAAATTAGGGTTTTTCCTCTCTTTTCTTTGCTATAAATGATTCCTTCTTTTTTTTTTCCATTTTCAACTATTTCCGATTTTTCCACGTTTCTTCTTTTGCTAGTGAATTGCTAATAAACACAGCAAAGCACAACCCTATCACATCGCCTCGCCTCGCCACTTATAGTTATGTCCTCATTAGAACAATTAAAACAATTCACCACATTGACAGTGGACTCAGGTGATCTCAATGCATTGAAAGCCTTTCACGATGTCACTGATGCTACAACAAACCCATCATTGATCTTGGCTGCTTCCAAGAATCCAGAATATGCTCCATTGATCGACGTTGCTATTGAATATGCCCAAGACAAAGGATCTTCACCAAAGGAAAAAGCATTGATTGCTTTGGACAGGTTATTGATTGAGTTTGGTAAGGAGATTTTGAAAATCGTCCCTGGTAGAGTTTCTACTGAAGTCGATGCAAGATTATCCTTTGACAAGACTGCTACAATCAAAAAGGCATTGGAATTGATTGATTTGTACAAGAAAGAAGGTATTGATAAGGAGAGAATCTTGATCAAGATTGCTTCCACTTGGGAAGGTATTCAAGCAGCTAAGGAATTGGAAGAGAAACACGGAATCCACTGTAATTTGACTTTGTTATTCTCATTTGAACAAGCTGTCGCATGTGCTGAAGCTAAAGTAACATTGATTTCTCCATTTGTTGGAAGAATCATGGACTGGTACAAGAACTCTACTGGTGAAACCTACACTTCAGAAACTGACCCTGGTGTTAAATCAGTTAAAAACATTTACAACTACTACAAAAAGTTTGGTTACAAGACCATTGTTATGGGTGCTTCTTTTAGAAACGTTGGCGAAATTGAAGCTTTGGCCGGTTGTGATTTCTTGACTATTTCACCAAAATTATTAAACGAGTTGGCCAACTCGACTACTAAGATTACAAGACAATTGAGTCCAGAGAGTGCTAGTCAACAAGATATAACTAAAGTTTCATTCATTAACGATGAAGCTGGTTTCAGATTGGGCTTGAATGAAGATGCTATGGCTACCGAAAAATTAGCCGAAGGTATTAGAAACTTTGGTAAAGATACAGTTACTTTATTATCCACTTTGGAGAAAAGATTTGAATAAAGAACACTGACTAATGACACTATCGAGCAGAGCGAGATAGTGTTGTAACAAGCTAGAGTGTTGTAACAAGCTACTGAGTGTTGTAACAAGCTAGAGTGTTGTAACAAGCCACTGAGTATTGTAACAAGCTACTGAGTGTTGCTCCACCATCTTATATAGAGTATTTTCGAAAATGAAAAAAAAGAAACAACAAAAGTATCCTACTTGCTAGGAAGAAAGGTTTTCTATCGAAATCTTTCATTAATATTCTCTCACTATAGACATTTTTCGGGGGAACAATAAAAAGGTTGAGATGCCGAGTGCGATTTTAATGCATGTTATAATATTGTGTAACCAAAGTTTTTCAACAATTTATTTCAAATCATTATTGGAAAAAACCACAGTTGTGAATTACACTCTTTTCATCCGATCCTTTGGCTGCACATTACCCGTTGACGGTTTCTTTTCTTTTCTTTTCTTTTCTTTTCTTTTTTGTATCAATTTACCCATGACCCGGCCAGAAACGGTGGTACCTGAAGCCCCAACCTCCCCCTATCCGATCCATAACTCAGCATCGATCATTTCTGGATTTGGTCGAGGTTCATCGGAATTAGGTATTCCAACTGCAAATATCCCGGTAAATACCGAACTAAACAATCTCCCTACGGGGATATATTACGGTTGGTGCAAGGTCCATCCAGATAAAAGCAAACTGTGTGATTCAACACATAGCAGGCCAGATGGGAAACCGATAATTTTCAACCACGGCAACAATTTACAAATTGAAGAGCTTAAAGTTTTCCCCATGGTGATGTCGATTGGATGGAACCCGTTTTATCATAATAGGGAAAAAGCAGCTGAGATTCATATTATTCAAAATTTCAAAAGCGGCGATTTTTATGGCGCCAAGGTTGAATATATAGTGTTGGGGTATATCAGACCCGAATTGAATTATACAACAAAAGAGGCTTTAATTGAGGATATACAGTTGGATATTCAGATTGCTAAAAAGATACTCGAAAGGAAAGAGTATGCAGAATATGAGAAGAGACTAGACTAGACGAGCAAAGCGAGTCTAGTCGAAAGAGAGAAGGAAGAAGATACTAGGGGAGCAAAGAGAGAAGAGAAAGAGAGAAGAGACTAGTTGAAAGAGAGAAGAGAGAAGAAAGAAGAGGCTAGTCGAAAGAGAGAAGAGAGAAGAAAGAAGAGGCTAGTTGAAAGAGAGAAGAGAGGAGAAAGAAGAGGCTAGTTTAGAGAGAGAAGAGAGAAGAAAGAAGAGGCTAGTTTAGAGAGAGAAGAGAGAAGAGAGAAGAAAGAAGAGGCTAGTTTAGAGAGAGAAGAGAGAAGAAAGAAGAGGCTAGTTTAGAGAGAGAAGAGAGAAGAGACTAGACTCGCTTTGCTCGCCTAGTCTCTTGCCTAGTTTCTTCTTGCCTAGTCACTGTATAGATAGTTTATAGAATAATACAGCACATATCCGCTCACTAATAAAAGGTTGTACTCATCATTTCGTATGGGGAAGGAGAGGATGGCTAGAAATAACTACATCTTATAACAAGCTACAAAGTGTTGTCGGTGGCAGCTAGTGGTGGCAGCTAGTGGTGGCATCTAATGTGCTCCACTATCTCGCTTCGCTCGATAGTGTCGCTCGATAGTGTCTCAAAATCGCACGATTTTGAGTCAGCGCGCTTGTTCCCTCAAAACCGCCCTCGCCTTAATATTGGTCCGCTTGTACCAAATTCGTACGACAAATAAATGAAATTGCGAGGCTAGCCAATCTTTTTCCGGTGCGATAAGGCAAGGGAAAAAAATGAATGATAGCAATTACAGGAAGGGGAAAAAAGATTTTGCACCTATTTCTTTTTTTCTTTCATCAAGGCAATAATGGAAATTTCAGCAAGATAGAATATGAAAATGAAACAATTCTTCTTGGTCTGAATAAGGAGAGAGGTACGTTCCGCTTAGTTGTTGCTGCTATATTTATTTTGCTTTTTTTCCCGCTTAGGGATGGAAAATTTGAAAGGTTCAAGAGGGTTTGAAAGAGTTTAAAAGAGAGAGAGAGAGAGTTCAAGATGCTAGTTTTTGGGTTACTATTTATTATCAGCTTTGTTCCAGTGATGTCGCTTGACCCCTCGAGTCAGTGTGTTTTGCCACACTCAGTGTTTGCTGGTAAGGATATTTGCAACTACATTGAGTCGCATTGCGATGTTTCTTATTTCAAGATATCCCAGATCTACTATTGTCGGTATCACAATCTTGTTTCGTTGATTTTCATCTCGTCCATTGCTTTGCTTGCATTGTGTTTGATACTACTCGCTTTGAGCATATTGGTATCAAACTACCTTTTCAGAAACTTGAATGAACTAACTACCAAGTTTGGACTCAGTAATCAAATACTAAGCTTTATATTGATCCCCTTGACCAATTCATTTCCCGATATAATCAACTATTTTGTGGTATTGAGATCGGGCAGCTCAAATCTAGTAATTGGTCAATTAATGGGGAGTTTGCTCATTATTTTTACCGTTATAATTGGATTGATTAGTATATTGATCGAGAACTTTACAATAGAATATCCAAAATTGCTAATTATTGATCTTTCTTGGATACTTATAGTTCTTATACTTTTTTCCTACATTTTGTCGGATGGTAAGATTACCCTGTTGGAGTGTATCACAATGAGTATGGTGTACGTAGCGTACATTGCTTTCCTTAGTATATTTGATAAAGAAAGATTAAAAGATTATGACGAAGAGTTGGTAATTGGTCATGATGAGCATCAGCATCTAATCGAACAACCATATAATATAGAAGATGCATTGAGTATAATATCAAATGAAGAAACTGGCGGTGAGTTTGGTTCAATAGAAACTCGTTCCAGATCAGCCTCACCTCGATTGTCTCCAGTCTCTACAAGGTGTCCATCTCCTCTCCCTGCTACATCACCAAAGGGGGATAGAGATTCGGAAAGAGAAAGTTATTTGCTGATTCATTATGTAGCAAAAATGAAGTCATCATCATCATCACCACCAACAGCAGCAGCAGCACCAGTAGCAGCACCAGCACCAGCACCAGCACCAGCATCAAGGCATTTACAACAAATCCGCATCAAAATAATGCTTACTCATATATTTCAAACAGTATGTAATTGCATTGATTTCATTTTGATTTTTTTGATTCCATTTCATAAATGTATTGAAAATGAAGATTCTCATTGGAAATTGAAGATAAGGTATAACAGAATAATACGTGCTTGGTATTTTTTTGAGGTGCCACTATTAATCAATTATCAGTTTTTCAAATTCCCAGTGGTTTATGTAATGCCACTACTCCTTATCTTTTCCCCAACAATGTTGATAGTAAAAAGTATAGGTCATGACATCAAACTTGTTATTACATCAATACTTGGAATTATTACTAGTTTAATAGTAATCTCCAATATTTCCGTCTACATTTTACAAATGTTGAAGAATATAGGTATAATATGGAACATTTCCGAATATTTGTTAGGAATGTTGGTATTTGCCGTAAGCAACTCAATTAATGATGTCATTACCAATGTAACACTTGCTACAAAGATCAATCCAATATTGGGTATCAATTCGTGTTTGGGAACACCTTTGTTGATAATATTACTAGGTGTTGGATTTAATGGTTTCGTGGTGCTACAAAACAGCAAAAAACACTCCATTAAATTCGATTTGAAACCAAGCGTGATATTGGACACTGCAGCACTAATATTTACAATTTCTTTTATTCTAATTTATTTGCCCTGGAACAAATGGAGATTGGATCGAAAATTGGGCATTTGTTTAATTTGTTGGTACTTGGTTATAACTTTTATTAATTTATATTTGGAGTAAGGTAAGGTTCCTTGCACCCTTTTTCATTAACTCAATGCTTTCAAAGCCTTTTCATAAAATTCTCTCCCGGAAAATTCTTTCATTTCTTTTAGAAACTTTATTTTTTTTTGCCTATCTATAGTATAATTTGTTAAAACAGTAAAGAACCAGTCATTTTGAGTTTCCAAAATAATTTCTTTCAACAGGGCTAACAAATGGTCTACATCTTGGTGGAAAATATACTCTATATTTAGTAGTTTTTCATATACCGGTATTGGGATAGTGATGCTGTATTTCAAATAGTTCAATATCAAGTCTCTTGCACGATGAAACTGTTTTAGGAAAATCTCCAAATCAATCAACTTGATTAGAATCTTATAATCACCTAAATATTTCCAGCCTCGGATTAACACCTGCCTAGTCAGATTGTATAACTCGTGATATATGTAAAAATCTGCAGCTTTGATCCATGACTGAGGATAGTTTGCTGTAATGTATAGGTACCTGTGTAAATTCATTTCAATATAACTGCGTGGGTAATTCTTCAATTCCAAAAAATCAAAATATTCTTCCCATGAATCTAATTCTTGTCTAGGTATAAGTGCTACATCACAATAATGCTTATGAATTTTTCTTTCAAACTGATATAATTCATACACTTTGAATTGAGTGGTGATATATGCATCAATAAACGTTTTCTTCAACTGGGCCAGCAATTTCTTACGATCCTTGAGCAGATCCTTCTCTGGTACGATATATCCTATCTCCTTGGTCAATTCCTTGGGATCAGCAATTTGTTGAATAATTTTAAAATACTTTTTATAGAAAAACTCGTAATGATAAAGTGGTATCTCGATGATGATTCTCAATAATATGTAATATTTCCTCATAAACTGATTCTCTTCAGTAGCATAATTTTCAAGAAATGTTAAATACAAATTGTAAAACTCATACGAGTAAAAATGAGTCCCAATCAACCTCCTTGCCTCTTCAAACAAGCCCAACACTTGGTCAATATTGTTACTGATAGTATTCACCCGAAATTGCAAATACGAATACCATAATTCAATACAAAAGCGTAAATGCTGAAACGCATTTTTATACACTTTTATAGCCTTCTCACAACCACACAACTTAAACTCCCATTCAGCTAGTCTTACCCAATATTTGTATAGGAATGGGTACTTGTTCAAAAACTTGTCATACGAAACACGAAGAATATCTAGTTGAAACTGTGGAGTTGACTTGGTAATTCCTTGCTTATCATTATATTCTGCTGATTCAATTAGTCTTTGCCATAATTCAAAATTGTCTGGATCTTTTATTAACTCCGTCGATATATCGGTCCATTTTCGCTGTTGCAACATACTTCCATATACATATATAGATGTGTATCTTGCCTGAATGTGAAAATCAAGGACGCTGCTAGACTATTGGAAGGCTAAAGACACTGTTAGACAATTGGAAGGCCAAAGACGCTGCTAGACAATTGGAAGGCCAAAGACGCTGCTAGACAATTAAGGGGGAAGATAATCAATCCCTAATATACCATAAAGTTACTTGAATCTAGATATGAATTCCTTATATGCTCATCGCATTCCTTTCTTTTATTTTTCACCTTCGCACTCGTCACGTGACTGAAAAACTAAACAAAAAAAGGAATGCGATGAGCATCAGATGAAGATGGGTTTAGATTTTGAGTCCTTGAGGCTCTTCCTAAGGGGATTTGGAGGGGAGAGCGGGGGAGAATGGGAGGGGTTTGTCGACGACTGAACAACTCTACCGAGGCGAAGTAGAATATATTGTATTCTCATAACTTGAATGTGGCTTCTTCAATTTGGAATGCCATCAAATTTTTTGTCCAGTTTCCTTCTTTAAAGTTGAAAAAAAAAAAAATATTACTTTGAACTCACCTTCCCTTAACATCCCATCCTTGCTTAAAAGACAGTTTCTCTTTCTTTACTTGCCTCTAATATGTCTGACGAGGAGGTTCTTCTTGAAGATTTCTTATTTGAAGAGCCAAATGGGTTTCTTCCCCCACCGCCCGAATCGCATTTCGCTACATATAAACGTAAGCTCGCCAATGTTCAACCTCAAGAAATCACCATGAAACTAGTCGGGAAATCGCCATTATGGGGCCATTTGTTGTGGAATGCTGGTATATTCACAGCAGACTATCTAGATAAGAATTCAGAAAAATTGGTGAAGGATAAACGAGTCTTGGAGTTAGGTGCTGCCGCAGCATTACCATCATTAGTTTGTGCCGTGAATAAAGCTAAAGAGGTTGTTGCTACAGATTATCCCGATGCAGATCTTGTCAATCACATCAAACACAACTTTGACCAATTATCGCAAAAGACCGAAATAAGCAAGTATAAAGTGAAGGGATACATTTGGGGTAACTCGATAAATGAATTGATTTACAATGACAAAGATGATGATGATGATGATGATGATAACAAAAATGAAGCTAATTTGGAATTGACAGATGATAAGAAATTCGACTTGATAATCTTGTCAGATTTGGTATTCAACCATACTGAACATCATAAATTACTATCCACCTGTCGACAATGCCTAAAACTGAATGGGAAATGTTTAGTTGTTTTTAGTCCCCATCGTGCTCATCTACTAAATCAAGATTTGGCATTTTTTGAAACTTGTAAAGAATATCAGTTTAAAGCAGAAATGATTGGTATGATTAATATGACGCCGATGTTTGAAGAAGATGAAAAAACGGCAGAGATTAGATCTAGAGTATATTCATATTTTTTGATACCAAATTGGTGAAAACAAACACTATCGAGCAGGGCGAGATAGTGTTGTAACAGGCTAGTGTTGCTCGATAGTATTGTAACAGGCTAGTGTATACTCGATGGTGTCTACTAAATGTTGCTCCACTATCTCGCTCTGCTCGATTGTGGATCATTTTCCACAATCTACTCCTACTCCTACTCTTTCACCTTTTCTCTCTCTTTCTCCTTTTGTCACTTGTTTATAACTCAATTGTATATTGAAAATTGTACAAAAAGATAAATTGTATATACTGCAAAACTTCAAGATTTCATTTGCAAACAACAGTCGAAAACGGCAAAGTTGAAGGTTTTCTAGTTATACATAGATGACACATTGCTAGTTGATGGCTAGGTCGGGGAAAAAAGGTTGAAGTGTAAATGGCAATAAAAACTTAATGACTCGCTTAAGCGGATTGTGCATTCATCTTTCTCTTACCGTTAGTCAAGGTAACGTTGACGAATCTTCTTGTGTATAGTAATCTCATGTATGCTCTACCTTGAGGTTTCTTTGGTTTCTCTTGTTTTTCAACTTTTGGAGTTTGTGACTTGACTTTACCAGCACGAGCTAATGAACCGTGTACTTTTCCCTATGACATTAGTTAGTAATTTAGATTCCAAATGTGAGGTCAAAAAAAGAATTGTTCCCTACACTATTGAGCAAAGCGAGATAGTGGAGCAACACCTTGTAACTTGTACATTTTTAAGCTCTCCTTTTCTTCACCAACACTTGATTGCCCCAACTTTATTCGACATAAAGTTACCATAGTCAGTGTCGGTGCCAGCTAGTGTTGCTCCACTATCTCGCCCTGTTTGATAGTGAATACACCGGGAATATGCTTGACCCGCAATCTATCATAAGTATCCAACATACCATCTTGATATTATCTAAACCTATATGTGGTGCTCTTTTGTAAACCTATTGCTTTCTATAACCAAAAGATTTTTTTTTTCACCTATACTACAGAGAGCGAGAGGAATGCGTCAGCTTTTTCAGATGGGGCGTGTAAATTGTAAAATAGTAAATGAATAAAGTGAGCATATTCGTTGACTTTGTTTTCTCAGTCACCTGGAAAATAGTTGGGAGGAGGAACATTGGAAGAAAAAAAAAACGACAACACGTGCAAAAAAATAGATAGGGGAATACCCTAATGAGAGCCATACTTTTTTTTTTTCTCCTCTTTCAAATGAGTGAATGGATACATGGCATGGGTTTGGAGTAATAAAGAGCGGTTGACAGTTTTCACACCAAAAGATTGTTCTATAATTTACTCTATCCTCTATCTTCTAAACTAGAGAACTCTTCAAAACCAAAACCAATGTAATCAAGACTATAGCAAATACCAAAAAGATCAAGATTAAAATACCTAATCTAGCAACAGGATAATAATTTTCAGTAAGATATTTTTGAACTAGAAAATATCTGTGAAATCCAACTAGTAAACTAAATATTCCCAATAATATGAATAAAACACCCAATGGTTTCCCATATTTGATTAATTCATCATGAGTTTTTCCTAGATCTAATAATGCAATGATGTTATTACTTGTATGTATTTTCGCATCCTTCTTGTCTAATCGGAATAATTGAGTTACTCCTATACCTAAGGTAATGAACGATAGTGATGTGCGTAGCCATGCTAAAAACGTTCTTTCGTTAGCTAGATGATCTCTAGCTACAGAGCCTTTGTTTTCTAATTTGACTGATTTATAGTCGAGCACATTAAATGAAACTCGCGCTTTAGGTTTATCAGCACTGGGGGTTGGCTCGGGAGACTCTATGGAATTCCCTATTGAAGCCAATGGCTCATTTGATTGTGTGGTCAGTGGATTGCCTGTAAATGCCTCCTCATTTGATTGTGTAGTTAATGGGCTGCCTGTAAATGCCTCCTCATTTGATTGTGTAGTCAATGGGTTGCCTGTAAATGCCTCCTCATTTGATTGTGTAGTCAGTGGATTGCCTGTAAATGCCTCCTCATTTTCTAGACTTGATAGAGGGCTCATCGATCTAGATACCGCATCAGTTTCATGCCGTGTCGTCATTGTCAAATAATTTCGTTATTCCTTGCTTTTAGAGAATGGTGTTACTTTTACAAATTGAAAGCAAAGCACATCTATGTAAAAGTAAAGCACATCTATGATAATCGAATTGTTTCTTTTATCGTTATCATTTATCTTTATTCTTCAAAAATAAACATTGAGGGGCGCGTGCTTGTCTAATTAAACGCTATCTCAGGTGACAATCTTTTTTTTTCCATAAACTATGTGAAAACTCAAGTGCTCATTACAAAGTCAAGGGACAGCTCTACGCGATAAGTAAATGGCCAATGATGATCAAGTAATGACACTCTGGACCAAGAGACACGTATTTGTGGAAAAAAACCGCAATGGAGTGGAGAGGGGGGGGGGGGAGTTAAGAAATTGAAAAGTCGGTAAATAAGTCTCCCCTTCTATTAATATAATGAACTACCAATACATACAGATTTGGTTCCACAACATCATACATACATATGTATATACACAAATCTTGTTACGAACATATATAGATCTGAGATATGATATACGAAAATAACAATAAACGTAGCTATATGATAATGTAGTCCTTTTCGATGGTTGGTAGTCGGCAATTGAAGGTTTTGGGAGGAAAAAGAGGTGTGTTTGCTTTACATTGTATGTCAAAGCTAATTTTCTTTGTTTTCAAATCTTGAAATACAATAGTGCGTTAAAATGCTTGAAATACAAAAGTGCGTAAAAGTACTTGAAAGCATTGTAGCTTATTCAATGACTTCAAGGCTCGGAAAAAAGTAAAACCGAAATCAAAACGCGACTTCAACGTAGAAATACCCTAATCCACAAGAGAAGAAATTAGTTGTCAGGCACTTCCAACTATATTTAATTGCCAGTATTTATACTGGAACTTATAAAGATAGTCGCAGAGATCATAAGCACATGAAATAAAAAGCACTAAAAGCTATTGAACAAATCTACAAAAAGTTTTAAATTAATGCTATTGGCTAAACTTCTTTTTAATCTTGAGGTTTTTTCCAAATCTGCACCAAGTGCTACCAATTCATAACAGGGACCTTCAGTAGATGCAAAATAAACGGTAGCGCTGAAATATGCATAGTAACACAAAAGGATACAATTATATCATTATGAATGTATATACCGATAATAAAATTAATCAAATATAGGCGCACCAGTGATGGTGAGTGATGACTAAGCTTTTGTTTACCAGATCCTTTTTTTTTCACCAGTATTGTGCTGTATAATTAATAAAGAGAATGTGTCAATAGGCCAAGTGTTTAGTAAACCATTCATGGAGCAACAGGGTGTAGGAGGCTACATAATGGTTAGTAGTTTTTGGTTTTTTTTTTTCATTTCACCTTTTCTCTGGATTTTCGGTTTTGCCAAGCCAAATGAGAATATTGCTGAAACTGACTCGATAAACACATTTTATTGTTTTTGTCCTTTGTCCTTTGTCCTTGTTAATGCTATGGCAACCAAGCCACGGGAGTAGTCGCCATAGAAAAGGAAAAGGCCGTAACAGGGGAGGGGATAGTGAAGCGGACAGGGGGAGGGGGAGGGGGGGGTGCGGATGGTAACAGGCAGGTGAATGGTCGTGGCTATCATGAATGCAAAAGGATTGGTACAAAAATGAAACGTGTCAACACAAATGGTTGAATTAAAGTGGAAAAATGCTTTGAAAGTCTAAATGAAATGCTATGGTTTGAATTATATAAAGAAAAGTGCTGAAATGAACGACACCATACAACACACAAAAATCAAGGTAGCGCCTTTAGTTTGTAAGCCCAAATAATTGGTATTACCATGCCCATGAAAGAAAATAAAGCTGCTTCTTGAGGGAGCTCCATTTGCTTGAGATATTGTAGTCATATCATAAGTTTTGAACCCTTGTAATAAAGTTTCCAGATTCCCTAGCCCTATTGATCCTGATTGTATCGATCCCTGAGGATCAACAAACGCTGTGCGAAATTTTTGGTAGAATGGAGATTGAGTGGTTTGAGTTACTCCTAATGAATTTGTTCCTGTGACCCATACCAATGTTGGACTTTCTGAGGAGGATGAGGATGACGAGGAGGTGGATGAGGAGGAGGAGGTGGTGGTGGTAGTGGTTGCAGTTAATGCTATAGTAAATAGATATAAAAACGAAAGTAGTAGCTGCAAATTCATGTGTTTCAAATGGTAATGATGTGCTTTGTATTTTGTATATGTCTTTTGGGGGTTGTTCAACTGCGTAGTACTCAAAACGTGAGTTGGCTCTGTTTTTATACTCCCAGTGGATTAAGAAGATAAGCAAACTGTAACGATATCCTTGTAAACTCGAATATGCTGCAAATGCAAAAATAGAAGTAAAAAAAAGAAAAAAAAAAAAAACAGGAAAGAAAACCAAAGTGTGATACAATCACTAAAAACTCAAAAATGACCTGGCGACAAAGCAAAGCAGAAAAATACGAAAGGGGGGGGGGAGGAGGAGGAGGAAAGAAAGAGGGTTGTGGCAAGATACAAGAGTATAGAAGATTGCAGATTCAACTATAAATGAGAAATTATTATAGATGTTTCCATAGGAATCAGGGATTAGCCAAGAGCCCATCAATAAGCCCCTTTGGTCACATTTTTCAATTTCTTCGTCCTCGATTGAAAATTTGAAACTCTATTTTCATAATAGGTGTCAATAAATTTGCTCTGCTTTTTCTTTTTTTTGCTTATATTGAGTTGAGATGCAATCAAAGTAACTCAACTCGTTTACTGTTTACACAAGAGAACCAATTTACTGAATGCACAAAAGAAACAAAAACGAAATTTGGCAAGTATTGAACAAAAGTTTTGTGCAACTTGTTGAAAAGTAAAAGCAAGACGCTACCAAATATAGAATCGCTAAGGATGCATTATTTATATACAGTGGTTATCACGAAAAACATATAATATATTGACATAAAAATATATTGTAGAGATATTATTAGCAAAACAGTACACAAGCCACTGCTTGCTTGAGTAAAAAAAAAAAAACAAGAATAAACAGGCTTAGCTTTTGCGATTGATGTGAGTTAATCTGGTAAACAAGGTTAACATTATACCACGTCAGATCAAAAGTTTAAATTTGAATTTGATAGAGGAACCACAGGGAAAGAAAATGATCCTTTTGGTTTTTCCTTCTCTATCAACATATAAATAACGGAAATATGATTCAGCAAAAGCAGAATATGGTTTTTAGCACCTAGATTTTCGAATATTATTATATGTAAAACCAGCTAATAAGGCATAGTTTCAAAATTGTTCCGAAGTTAAAAATGACAATCCTCTACGCCAAAAGAGAAAAAAAAAAAAAAAAAAAAAAACCTGGGGAAATATTTTTATGGATTTTTGAGCAAAGTAAAAATACTCATGGTTTTCAAGAAAAAANAGACTAAAAGAAGAAAAACCAAAAACCAAAAGAATATCACCACTAAAGAGAAAAATGCCAAAAAAAAAAAAAAAAAAAAAAAAAAAGTACCTGGTGAAATATTTTTATGGATTATTGAGCAATGTAACAATACTCATGGTTTTCAAAAAAAAACTTACAACTTTGTACCGGAGATTGAAAGGAAAAAGCCGATTAAAAAGAACATCGTTGACACAGCTCAATTTACATAAATTGATTCTAAAGCTTTTGGTGCTGAATTCTTATTTTTTGCCAATTAGCAAAGCCACATGCTTAGTAATTACCAAAACTCATCTAATACAATTACTGATCATGTTTTACCTCTTTATAAACCAACACTTTCTATAGATTAATGTGATTCAGGGTTTGACAAAAATAGAGCAAATCCCTTATTGCAAGCCCTTTGTAACTTGATTACTAAGTAAACCAGGTCTATCTCCTTTGAAAATGACATCATAGTTAACTAACCCTTTTTATACAGATTATAATTATACAACCGTAGTAGGCGAGTTCAAATTTGTTATTTTTCTTCTTCAAAAATGACGCGCCAGCGCGCTAGAGGTCCGAAAATAAAAAAAAAATTGTAACAAAGGTTTCCTGTAGCGCGGTATAGGTGTCGCTTAAAGTTTGGATAACAGCTCTACTTCTAAATCATAACCGCTAACTGTTTTCTTTTCAGTCACAAATAACTGTTTTCTTTTTCGACATTGTTTAAAATTTTGGTAGTGATTATACAAACCCTTTGGTTTGTATAATCAAGTGGCAGCTAGTCAGTGCTGCTCAATAGTGTCGAAGAGACAAAAAAAAAAGATTTTAGATAGTTACTCGCCAATTGTAAGGATGCAATCGTGAAATTACACAAAAGATTGAAAAAGCTTCAAGTAGCTTTTGAGCCCCGAATACTTCTTCATCTTCAAATCTATATAAAATAATCAATAGCGGGTTTTTTTGCTGGTATTGAACTAACATCATGTGTAGATGCTTCAAAGACTTTGTAATCTCTTCTTAGGGAATCGTCTATAGTCAATACACTAGCAACGTTGCCACATCGATAACAATAATTGGGAGCAGACCATACAGTAACTAATTTACTGGAAAACATCTCCCTATAACCTTCCATCACCAATTGATGGGCTCGAGCAATAAGACTGAAATTGTTTCGATGGAGGAATTTGTCAACTTCGTTTTCACCAAAGAGGAAGCCAGCTCCTCGAGGTGATATGCTCCAACTAGATACGTCTTCTGGGTCGGACCATAGTAGATCACACATTCCACCTTCATGTGGTACTTCTTGCTTTCTATCCATTATTCGAATTTGCTCAACCGTATCGATTTCAGGACTCAACCCCCCATGAATACAAAAAACACCACTAAAACCGCCATTTCCGCCACCTCCGCCACCGCCTACTATTGCTCCAATACTAAGATAATCAAAAACTTCACAGCAGTATCTCCATACATTAACCGACCCGTATTTTCTCATACACTCATCGTAAAAACCATACACTGTAGTAATTTGTCGGCTCTCGTGATTGCCTCTAATCAAATATATTTTATCAGGAAATCGTAGTTTATAACTCATCAAAAGTAGAAAAGACTCTAACGAATTAAATCCTCGATCAACAAAATCTCCAAGGAATAAGTACTGCGTCTCAGGTAATGACCCACCTATTTTGAATAATGTAATGAGATCATGTAGCTGGCCATGAATATCTCCACATATCGTGACGGGGGTTTGAATATGCTGAATATTTCCTTCCTCTATTAAAATATCTATTATTCGCGTACATATTTCCTCAACGTCAGATTCTGGAATGTGCTTGCACTGTTTGATGTTTTCTATCGTTCTTCAATAAAGGGAAAAAGGAGGCCAAATGTTAGTATTTCAATGGAAACTTCCAACAGTAACAACAAATGTCACATACTCATCTAAATGTAGCATTTTCTTAATGCAATATTGGAGAACTGAAACTGAACCCGTCAACGTGTTTTTCCATCCCAATTTCTTAAACTTATTTTTCTTTTGGATTCTTTTTCATCCCGTACGCCGCACGCGCGCGCGCGTGCCTTATCAAGTTCTATAACGTCTATGGTGTCATTTCTGATGGAGTTGATGAAGGTATATTAATAAAATACATAAAGCTATAAAGAAGTAAAGTAAAGAAGAGGAAGAAAGATAATGTATATATACACACATATCTCTATATATTCTCCATGAAGTGGATAAGGGGTTACCTCGCTCTTGTAGGTAAAGTGTATTTTTGAAATTTAGCTTGCAATTGTTTCTTGACTGTAATCTTTTGCGTACCAACAAAGCTATCAATACTCACTTTGATGGCCCGATTCAAATCGTTTTGACTAACAAAATCACTCAACCTCATTTTGGCAAAAGATTCGGCAATTCTCAATATACTTTCCAAATGACGTACTGTAATTGGGAACGAACCGGTGGATAAGCTTTCTTTTCTCAAATCTGCATATACTCTAGCAACTTTATCCATATCCATTTGATGTAGCTTCGGTTGAGCCTTAACCCGAGCATATTGGATATATTTGACAAGTAAATCCTGAGGTATAGGCGATATTTCCAGCTCCTTTTGAATCTTTAATTTTTTCAATTTCTCTGATCTTGTTCGGTTGGCTTTTTCAAGCAGTACTTCTCCTTCACCTCCTTCACCTCCTTCACCTCTTCCTCCTCCTGCTCCTACTACATCATCGTCGTCATCGCTTATGACATCCTCTGAATTGGCCGGATGAGATCTCATATGGGAATCAACAACAAAACTTGCTAATCTCTCGTCAGATTCAGGGTTTACCAAATCCCTCACAACACATAAAATGTCAAATCTTGACAAGATCGGTTCAGTTAAGTTAACGTTTTGGGATAATGGCAACGTGGAATTGTATCTCCCTCCAGTAGGGTTAGCTGCTGCAATTATAGCGCATCTTGCTTGCAATGTGGTAACAATACCTGCTTTGGATACTGATATAGTTTGTTGTTCCATTGCTTCATGGATAGATGTACGATCTTGATCGTTCATTTTATCAAATTCATCAATCATACAAGTACCTCTGTCAGCCAAGACTAATGCACCACCTTCCAAGGTCCATTCTCTTGTTATAGGGTCTTTTCTCACAGATGCAGTGAGACCAACAGCAGAGGCACCTTGACCAGTTGCAAGCACCGCTCGACTTGCTGTTTTTTCAACATATTTCAAAATTTGCGACTTGGCAGTACCGGGATCACCCAATAAGAGAACATTGATATCACCTCTAATTGATAGTTTGCCGTTTACATCCTTAGGAACACCACCAAAAAGAGAGCATGCCACGGCAGTCTTAATATCTTTATGTCCATAAATAGATGGCGCTATTGACGAAATGATCTTATCAATTATACCTCTTTCACGAGCCAATTTCCTAAACTCACGTTCTTCTTCCTCAGTCCATATATTTACCAAATTATTTCCCCCCATAAACCCACTACTTTCTTTCCTTTTAATTGAATTAGCTTCAAGAATTGTTGCAAAAACGGGGAACCCATTCTTGGCATTCAAATTGCCATCATAGTTATTTTTGTATATTCCGGTAACTTCAACTTCTTCACCCGGCTTAGCAACATCAACCAAATCTGACAACAAAATCACCTCTCTGTGTCTGGGTAGCCTACCAGCAGGCACAGTTCCTGGAGCCTCTTGTAAGGTTATTCTTTGATAGTTTCTGTACAAGGTTTTTTCAGAATTCATCTTGAACGGACCCTTACTTTGACAGTTGGTGCAAAAGGATATCTTCATTTCCGCATTCGCATCTTGAATAAAGGGACCTAAAACAACTCCACATTTCAAGCAATCGAATTTGACATACTTCAATTGTGGGAAAACACCGGTTCTTCTAGTAACAACACCTGAAACTTTAACCAACTGGTTCATATTGCTTTCTCTTAAATCACGCAAGTTTAACAGGTTTGGATACTCAATGATCCTCACATGAATTTCCTGATGGATTTGAGAATAATTTGGATAGTGCAATTCAACAGCTTCCATGGCAACAATATCAAATATTTTCAACATCTCCTGGGGACTAGTTGCTAAAAACAACGCCAAAATGGCCTTTGAGTCTGCCAAATCTTTGTAGCTAACTTCTAACGATTCCGCATTGACTTCTCCCAAAGTTCTCATTTTGTTACCATAAACGGAATCACCATTGGAATCGGTATATTCCAAAAAGAAAGATTTCAACTCTCTAGCGATAGATCTGCTCACTGCTGGTTGAAGAATCCACTCTGTTATACTAGGTGCTTTCATATCTGTTAAACTTTGCAACGATAACTCTTCATTAAATGGATCAATTTCCATTTCATCCAACATATTATCCTGATCCTCTTCATCAAACTGCTGTCTTCTTCTTCTTCTTTGGATTGGTAAACCATACTGATCCATCGCGTCTCCTTCTTCAGCATCGTCGTTATCATCGTCCAAAAATACACCTCTTCTAGATCTATTAGCATTATTTAAAATGGCGTCTCTCTTATTTAATTGCTCGTCAATTCTTCTTCTCGTTGCCAAATCCATTTCATCAAAATCCCCCGTGTCATCGATATTGCCATCTCCTAAATCATAATGGTCCTGTTCTGGATTTGCTCGATAATCTCTCTCGAGATCCTCCATTAAATCATCACCATCCTCCTCATCTGAAGGATTGAGATCTGCTACATCATTTTGAATTTCCTCGTCTATAACATCCTCATCATTCAAAGCGGTGTCAAATGGAATTGCCGGAGACGATGGTAACATTTGTGGTGACGACGCAAGCGGCGATGACGGTTGATTATGATGGTGATGATGATGGTGCGATGGCGGTGAAGACCTTGTATTGACAGCATTTTCTTCCGATTCATCGTCATTCTGTCTTTTCCTCGTATGCCTTGATGGAGTGGACATTTTCAGAAAGAAGGTGTCCTTGTTGACAAGTGAAGAAAAGTGTAAATTGAAAAGGAAAAGATCAAACAAATTGCTAAAAGTTATCTCAAGGGATCTTTCTTTTCTTATTTTATTTTATTTTTTTTATTTTTTATTTTTTTTTTTCAGATCGAGACGCGTCTCATTAATTTACCGAAAAAGGAAACAGAGACAAAGATTGTCGCGGCGTCAATTTGATTTCCCAATCGGGATAAATTGACAGCACGTCAACGGTTTTTACAACAACGCTCTATCGACACTATTGAGCAGAGCGAGATAGTGGAGCACACTAGCTGCCACCGACACTATCGACACTATCTCTCTCTGCTCGATAGTAGAGCATACTACCACGACTACAAATGAGATACAGAAATTTATTAGCAAATTAAACTGTATAGAATAGGTGGAGTGGTTAGGACAAAGTGGTTATGGATAAAATGGGGGAGAAAAAGGCAGTTACGTCCTTTTTAGAAACGGATTGTAGATACTACTATTAGTGGTTGATGTTAACGCGCTAGGCAATCTTTTTTACCTTTGTTATTTCATTTTGTCGAAAATCACTACATTATTTTTGGTTTCATCGTTTTATTCTATCAGTGTTAAAAAAAAAAATATACATTTTTCAAAATTTTCACCTAACATGCATTTCTATATTAATCGACAATAATGTTCGAGTCTATTAAGCACCTCTAACCACATTGAGTATATCACATTGAGCACCTCACTCTAACCACATTGAGCACCTCACACAAATTACCTTAAACCCATGCGTATAACAAATAATGCTTTTTCCTCTTGGTTAATCAGGACCTCTGAGTAAAGGAAATTCAGCGAATCCAACAGCACATATGTCGTGAATGTTCCCTTGTCCGGGTCCGTGTAGATGGCCACATTTACATTCATAATTTGAGCTTTGATTCAGAATAGAATCGGATTCTGTGGTGGGAGCAATTGAATTGAATTCTGTGGTTGGAGCGATTGAATTGAATTCTGTGGTGGGAGCAATTGTATTGAATTCTGTGGTGGGAGCAATTGAATTGAATTCTGTGGTGGGAGCAATTGTATTGAATTCTGTGGTGGGAGCAATTGAATTGAATTCTGTGGTGGGAGCAATTGTATTGAATTCTGTGGTGGGAGCAATTGAATTGAATTCTGTGGTGGGAGCGATTGAATTCAATTTCGTGGTGGGAACGATTGCCTTAGATTGTGTATCTGGGATGAATATGTGACCTGTAAAGGTTTGAGGATTGGAATGACTATCATGCCCATCTCTTTTTTCTTGTTTGAAGAAATCAGCAGATGTTGTTGGTGCAAATATAGACATATTGTGAAACAGACTGTAAGACGTATTTGGATTTTGTAGGTCTAACAGCTTTTGGTGTGAAGAAGTATCCAATTTCCGTTTTTTATTTTGGAAATGTAATGGGATATCTTCGATCTTATGTACTAACAGAGATGACACTTTTAATATTCTACAAAGATTCTTTCCTTACTGGAAATATTGAAAAACAAGCAAAATGTTTGGAATTATCTATCCCAACTTGAAACGAAAGCTATTTATACAACAAACCTGGAGCTGTAATACCGTCGTCTTTTTTGATATAAAGATATATTTGAAAAAGCTTTCTTGTAGTTGGTAGAGGTTTGATTCGAAAATTTTTAGTCTCGTTTAACTGAAAAAGGAAAACAAAGGAATAATAAAAATTTCTTTTTTCTTTTTTTTTTTTCAGATTTTTCAAATTGTTGTTATAGACGATGTGACACTATCGAGCAGAGCGAGATAGTGTAGCAGCACTGGAGTAAGGAATGACTTTACAAGAGCGACACTATCAAGTAGAGCGAGATAGTGGAGCAGTACTGGAGTAAGTAACGACTTTAAAAGGGAAGCGCCGTAAGGTATGAATGTAAAGGATAGATAGAGGAAACCGAATATACTAAGAAACTGAATATACTATTAAGAAACTGTACAATTAAGAAACTGAATATACTAAGAAACTGAATATACTATTAGGAAACTGAATATACTATCAAGAACTTAGAATTATAGATATATCTTCCCACTCTGTGCGGAAATATACAAACATGGCATTTTTAGGTTTGGGTGTATACACCGTTGCCATCACCACCCATTACCATTTAGCAACTGATCATCAGCCTCTTTTCAAAACCTCTCTTTAACGCAGATTTTGATAAGAAGTTTAATTGATATTTAAGTTTCCTATGACACTTTATAGTTGCAGGGAGCATGTATCAAGGTCGTATTCTTTGTTAATTTGAGACAAAAAATTTTAACAAAGGGTACTAGTTATTACCGCGCTCTATTCCCCACGTTGGAGTAAGAAAAGATGATACAAATCCGTGTCACCTTTGAACAACTGAAAAAATCTTGGTTTCTGCAAAAAACAAAATCCCCAGCGCACCGCCGTAAAAGCTCCCTCCCTTCCCTTCCCCCTACTCTTTTCGCATGGCTGAACTCGTGCTAAGCTTCCATTTTTCCTACGACAAACAATAAAATTCGTGCTACGTAAAGCAAGAAAAATTCTTTTTTTTTGTTAATAATGGTAATGGTTTATTAGTATATAAAGATAAAAGATAATTAATATATTTATTACCTTGTTCAACAATAGGATCTACATTCCGCCAACTTTCAAGGATAACAATTTTCAAGTGTGACTTTACCTCTTTTCTCACACAGTTTTATGCTGAGACTGTTAGAAGCCAGGGAAAAAGTCTATAATAATTTAGCTTAGCTCCACCCATTATCGCTCTCCATTATCGCTCTCTTCTTTCTTCTAACTACTGATTTTTAGTTTATCAAAAAAAAAATATGGAACCAGAGCCAGAACCAGAGCAACATGTGCACATTAAGGAGACTTTCCTAGTTGGTAAAGCTTTGTTAAACTTTACTTCCATCTTTGTTTCGCTTGGGGTTTTCTTATTTGGGTTTGAGCAAGGTTTAATGTCATCATTGATCACCAATAACTATTTCAAATATTATTATCACGATCCGTCACCTGCAGCTATTGGTATAATGATTGCAATTTTGGAAATTGGTGCGTTATTTTCTTCATTTGTAGCAGGTAGGGTGGGGGATTTTGTTGGTAGGAAAAGGACTATTAGATATGGTTCATTTATTTTTGTAGTTGGGGCATTAATTCAAGCTTTGTCACCGAATATTTGGGTTCTAAGTGGTGGAAGGTTTGTTGGAGGTATAGCTATTGGGTTCTTAACTACAATTGTACCTATTTATCAATCGGAAATAAGCCCTCCTTCAGATCGTGGATTTTACGCTTGTGCTGAATTCACTGGTAACATAGTTGGCTATGCTGCTAGTATTTGGGTGGATTATGCATTCTCCTTCTTGGATAATCACTATAGTTGGAAAAGTCCACTTTTTGTCCAGTTTGGAATGGGTATATTGTTATGGCTGGGAACTTTTATTATTGTTGAAACTCCCCGGTGGTTATTGAACCATGATCATGATCTCGAAGGTATGATTGTTATTGCAGATATGTATGCTGATGGGAATGTAGAGGATGAACACGCCAAAAGTGAGTACAGAAATATCAAGGAAGGAGTATTAATTGATCGTATCGAAGGTGGAGAAAGATCTTACCAATATTTGTTCAAACGTTATGCAAAGAGATTGTCAGTTGCTTGTTTTGGCTTGATGTTTTCCCAATTGAATGGTATCAACTTGATCTCTTATTATGCCCCAATGATTTTCGAAAGTGCAGGCTGGGTAGGAAGAAAAGCTATATTCATGACGGGAGTCAATTCAATAGTTTACGTATTAAGTACGATTCCTCCATGGTATCTTGTTGATTCATGGGGTAGAAAGCCGTTGTTGATGTCTGGTGCATTATTGATGGGTAGTACCTTATACTTGGCAGGCTGGTCCCTCCATTTAAACAATAATTATACTGCAATTACGGTGGTTACATGTATCATAATAGCCAATGCTGCATTTGGTTATTCATGGGGTGGTATTGGCTGGCTACTACCAGCAGAGATCTTACCATTACCAGTAAGATCCAAAGGTGCAGCAATCGCAACTGCAACTAATTGGTTTTCAAATTTCATTGTTGGTTTGGCCTCACCAATTTTATTGGACCAAATCAAATGGAAAACATACCTTATTCCAGCAACTAGTTGTGTTGTTTCATTTTTTGCAGTTTGGTATTTGTTCCCAGAAACTAAAGGGTTATCGTTAGAACAGATGGGCTCAGTGTTTGATGACAAGTCATCAATATTTTCTTATCATGCCTCAGCAAGCGTTGGAGATAACAGTGGAAGTAGTATTTATAGTAGTAGTGGTGCTCGTAATTATGGCTCTACAACGGAACGAAGAGGCTCTTCTACTGCTGCTGCTTCTGGTACTGCTACTGCTGCTGCTGCTGTTGCTGCTGCTGCTGAACCACTTGAAACCGTTCAAACAGTAGCTTCAATGCAAAGACACCCAGCCACTATGCGTCCTGAACTTGCCAATAATATCATTGCTGGAGCAAGTCAAACTCACATACTACCAGTAGTAGCACCTCCCAACTTGAAGCCAACAAAGTCTGATACTGCATCAATATCTTCATTTGATATACCGTCACTTGCTGACGCAAATGCTATTATTCAAGAAATAGAACCACCATCATTAGAAGCAATTTTAAAATATAAAGCAATCAAGCAGAGTAAACCGTCAGTTTTAGCTCAATTTTCAAAGAAGAAGTCACTTGGAAAGAGCGATGAAGATAATGATGATGAGGAAAATAGATTACTATAGAACTTTACAAAAAAAAATAATAATAATAATGATAAAAATAATATAAATAAAATTTTACATTAGAAATTACTGCCATTTTGCCCCCTTTTTTTACGTTATATGAATGTCCATCTCTATATCTTTGACATTGTCTTTACTAACTGGTTGACCCAGTTCAACATTTTTCCTTTCTTGAAACAATTTATTCAATTCCCTTTCAATTTCAGGAATGAGGTATTTATAATCACAAGCTTTTGATCTCACGCGAGATTCCCTAAGTAATCTCTCTGCTTTGTCATATTTGGACAAGTGCAAATTAATCACCCCTAGTCCATAAGTGGCCAATGCCACGGTTTCTTTAATCTCATTATGTTCTTTGACAATCTCTTGTGGTATCGACTTGGCAAATTGTAAAACTGATTCGTACGATTTAATGGCTAAATTGAAACACGTGTTTTTTGTGGTTGTTACTCTATCATAAGCTTCTTGATCTTGTAAAGGCACTTTTTCCTTCAAGATCGTTTGTAATTCCTCATCTTTAACTATATCTTGATTATTTTTGATTGCTTCATATTCAACTCCAGCAACTTCAGAAAAATTTCTCTTCATTGCAATTTCCCTTGCTTCTAATTCTTCTGCTTGCATGTATAACAAAGAACCCAAATTACATTGCGACAAAAGCATTTTGCTTGGTTCAACGTCAGCTAGTAACATATCCTCCGTCATCACAATCTTGACTTTTGACGCCATTGCAAGATCGCCCGTTGAAATGCATATGGCACTTAATAGATCCATGGCGTTGAAAAATTCATCGGTAAATGGTTCCCACACCTCAGGTCTCTTTTTGATTCGAGCAACTTCTTGTCCCTCATCATCATTAATTAATATGGCATCATTATCGAGCATTGCGGTAAAGTTTTTTTGGCTTTCATTATCTCCTCCTCCTCCTCCTCCTCCTCCTCTTCCTTTAGTGATTAAACTGAGTTCATTCCGATTATCAAGAAGTTTATTCACTTCATCTTGGGCAATAACTATATGAGTCACCAAGATTGCTTTACATAGTTGAGGATTTGCTTTGTTCAATTCAACTAGCTTAATAGCAATCCGTAAATCCTTTTGGATTAAATGTCGTCTATGTTCTCTATTCTTGATTCTTGTCTTTTCAGACTTTTTACTTGCATCTGGTTTTGGAGCGAGCACACTGAGATATAGAGTTGCGATTTCATTGTATACAAAAGCAGCATCACTTAGCATATTTAATCTTTCAAACATTTCACCAATTTTCAATTGTATTCCAGTATATTCGTCACTTAGTGGGTCGATTCCGATTTCCTTACAATGTTCCAAAGCTTCAAGATAATACTTGAGTGCCAATTGGTAGTCATACTCACCTCGATCACTTTCTGCCCATAACCCCTTTCTCAAAATTTTAGCCACAGATTTGGGGAAAGTGTGCTTTGGCCACCACATATAATATGCATAAGCTGTCATACAGGCGAGTCCCAAAGCCGTGTAACCTAGTTTTTTGGCTAACGATGGTTTGGGTGCCATATAGCCTGCATATTGTTGATTACCATAGTTTGAGCTATATTGGGTATATCTACGTCCACCATATCTCAAGGATTGTTGTCGCCTCAACCATTGTTTATTAGAGCCAACACCAGCACCTGCACCTGCCAATCTTCTGATCATCGAAAGATATAATACCTTTTTCAACCTGGAAACAAAGCTTCTAATTATAGAATCATAGAAATACAATTTAATTACATCCTTATTCGTTTCTTTGACGCTGTTCCTCTTTGTAAGAAAGAAAAAAAAGAAAGGAAAAATTAAAGCACGTGAACATCACGTGCTATATACATATACATTTAATAGAAACGTTATATTATCAGACAAGTCAAGTCAAGTAAGTTATGTAATGAATAACCTATATCTCTTTTGTCTTTTCTCTTTCGACTAGATGAGCAAAACGAGCCTAGTCTACTCTCTTCTTTCTTTCGACTAGATCACCAAAACGAGCCTAGTCTACTCTCTTTGCTCGTCTAGTCTGGTCTAGTAGCGAGTAGTTAGTAATTATTTCGGACTTTTTATAAGGAGGAAAAAAAATAAAAAAATTTAAAAAAAAAAGGGAATAATCACTCTTGGTAAATTTTCTTTATCCTTTTTCACTCACTTTCTGCGCTTTTTCCTTTCTTCAAGCCATCCCTTAGCCCTTAGCTTTTTCTTTGTGAGCCCAATTTTTTTGCTTCTTTCTTTCCTCCCCTTTTTCGCCTCCGCGTATGTCCAATATCTTATCTGTGTTCAATCCACCGCCATCTAGAGACATTCCCGAAAAAAACATTGAGGCTTGTTTACCATGCACTGCAATACAATCCGCGGTGGCAATACTTGGAGGATTATATCTAAGTTCACCAAACCAATTCAAGGATAAAACAACTGGCAAGATTGACGTTATCAAGAATCCGCTCTGGTGGCAAAAATCGGTCCGTGGAGCAGGAATCATTTTGTTTGCATTGGGCGCATATCGTGCTGGTGAAGTTGTTCAAATATTGTATCAAAAGAGATTCAAGTGAAAAAGACACACTGGTTTAACAAGCAGCACATTTTGCATATGATTTAAAGCGTAAATAATAGCATAGAGGATTGATGTGTCATATTTTTCCTTAGCAAAGCAATGTGATTCAGGGGTTGTTTTTTTTTTTTCCACATTTTTCCTTAGCAATAACCAGTTGGCAAAAAAGAAAGTAGTTGGGCAAATTTGCGTTTTTCTTGTATATAGATATTTTAAACCCGTGTGTGTATAGATTTTGAAGCTCAATTGATATCTTACAATGTGATTCTGGCAAGTGCAAAAAATTAGTAAATATTTTGACTGAGGTATACCTATATAAAATAGATAAGCGGTAAGGTCTAACGCCCCTCCCCCACAAACAAAATAAAATCAAAGAAAAATAAAAGCCCCACCCCCATCTGCCCTAGAAAAGCCTTTGATAAAGCCGGTTATGGTAGCAAAACAATGAAAATGGTAAACCTCTATTTAAGTGATGTAGCATTGGTTAATGGTAGTCCACATCCCTGAAATTAGAATTCATCTTTTCCATAAACTAAAAGGGATTGTACATGTGATACTCGATTTTTCAAAAGGAGAAAAGAAAAAATCAAATCCAAGAAAAACCTGCTACTTTGATCTATCTCACTTTTATAAAAACCTGCTACTTTGATCTATTTATCTTTGATAAAAACCTGCTACTTTGATCTATCTATCTTTTATCTTAAGGACCCGTCACTTTCAACGGCTCACTACGATAAGAAGAAAATAAAATAAAATCACTCTTGTACTTTTTTGGTTTTGATCTAGGGATGAAGGTCAAGCAGCGCAAAGACTTGTAGAGTTGAAATGTACCAGGGTTCTTGATTGGTGCATGAAAAATAGTTTGTTGCATGTTCTTTATTGTTCACACAATGTAAAAGCGTAATGTTGTAAGAAATCAGACTATAAAACTGTGGAGCAATTGGGTGCTGATAATTAAGAAATCAAGAAAAAGAAAGGAATAAGCGAGGTAGGGACAAGGAGGACTGGTTGTCCATCACTTTTGACGGTGTTTTTTTTTTTGACACCTTTCCATGTAGATCATAATCTTTTGGGTTGAATATGATAGTCTTTTTTCTTTTGCGCTATATGGAAGAATAGTTACCGATATTTCTAATAGCATTAGTAGCTTGATGCCACGTTATGAAAAGGGAACTATACCCTAAAGATTATTTCATTTTTATTTTATTCCTCTTTTACAGTTATGATAGCGGGATTGTACAGTAAACAGTGACGTTGACATTGACATTGATATTGATATTGATACTGATACTAATATTTACTTTGTCATGAGAAAAAAAGCACCAAGCTCAAGTTTGAGGCATCTTTGATATTCTAGAAAGAGGGAAGCAGCTACTGTGAATTTCACGTTATCTACACACGAATATGTTGTATTTATTTTGCTCAATATACAACTAAGCTGCATGGATTTACTCTTGAGTATGTTTGGGATTTGTTATGGTTACAATTACAAAATGAAAAAGAATCTATGTTCCACATAATTATGTGCTCATAACTCTTAGTTTTATCTTAGTGAGATGTAACTCCCGGTAAAGCACGTATCTAAAGTGAAACTGCCACAACTGCAACAAGAGGTGGGACATGGGGCGTGGCGCCCATACTAGTTGTCGAAATTCCTTCTTTTTCTCTTTTTTGATTTCATAAATTTGGTCTTGAGGTTGTGATTTTTATCATATACGTGCTATCTGGTTAGTAAAGAATCAACTTTATAACTTATACATTTAGACTATTAAGCAAAAAAAAAAAAAATGTTATTTAAAGATCTAAACGTCCAGCGTATACAATCTGAGAACTGGCTTAAAAGTCAAAACCACAACCAGTATCACAACCGAGATGTGTTCAAAAAAAAACCAAAAAAGTTGGATGGAGAAAAGGGGGGAGGGAAAGAAAAACTAATTAAAAAGGCTTGACTTTTTTTCTTTGATGCAGCGAGTAATTTTGGAACCAAGCCATTCATTTGTTCCTTGATCTTGCAGGGAGGAGAAGGGTAAGTAGTTTCAATTAACTTGTCAGTGACATATATCAAATACCACATTGAAATCACCCCATTTACCTTTTCGCAGCAATTTGGAATGAGAGGATCGATCTAAAAAATTTCTATTTCATCCCTAAAAAAGTGAGTACAAAAATACTAATATTCCCAAAGGGGACAAAACGAGGCAAGGTAGCTTTTCAAACTTACAATTTAGTAATCGAGTTGAGGTGATTTTACCAATCACACACCCTTTGCTTTTAACTATTCCTCTGCTGTAGACTTTTGCTTACTAACATTTTCTATTTTTATTAGTAATGGAAATTCTCTCTATTCTGTGTCAGAACTAAAAACTCTAATGTTAGTCCTACTTCATTCTACGTCATTTACTTACAACCGATTGGTTCTTTGGCCTTTTTTTTTTTTTTTCCTTATTAGTTGTTCGTAATTTAAAAACCTTTTTATTTTTGTTTTTAATTAGAAACTTTGAATCAATATAGCACCAAAAGTTTTTATGCTGTTTCTTTTTCCCTTTTCTACTTCCACCTCCACCTCTGCTTTTAATCTGTATGTTTGTACCTGTGAGCCGTCTCTTTGCCTTCTTTTTTGATATTTGCTATTAAAACAATAGAGATATTAATCTGAGATTATAGTTTAGATTTTACAACTTGCCTGCTTCAAAACCTCCCAAATCCATTTTGCAAAAAAAAAAAAAATAAAACTAGAAGAATAGATCGGATTTAAAACTTAGATGAAACAATAACTGCTTAGATACAGGTAACTCTAGTTGCTTCATGAGGTTTTCTTTTAATTGAAAGAAAAATAAAATGCAATAACTAAAAAAAAAAGGATTGTATTTTTAGTATTCTGAAAATTGAGCTGTTATTAGTAAAGAGAAGCAAAGGGAAGGGAGGAAGGAGGCGAAAGAGAAAAAGAAAAAGAAAAAAGTTCCTATATGAAAGGTGAGGTTATCTTCTATCGTTGTTGATTTAATGATCTTAGATTTAAATTCGCCTGGAGATTTAAACTTTTATACCCGAGAAAAAAAATAGAGCAATGTTTCAACGTTAATCTCTTCTAGAAGGGTATACAAAACAACAACTAAATTAGTGGGGTATTCAACCCAACCAACTTTGGCAAAATCATTGCGCATCTGCATTTTCAATCTATTTTATTTGATATCTTTAGATACATATATGTAACTCTTTTTCACAATTGGGTTTTGTGCAGAACGTATTATTATCTTCACCAGGGCGTACATACGTTTAGTTATTAGACAATAGCTCAAATTACATCTTACTCTTGAAGCAACGAAAGAGTGCTCTGAGATCTTTCCTTGGATATAGTATATGCCGTTGCAGCGGCAGCAATATCGGATCGTTCTACTTTTTCAGAATAGGTACCCAATAATGTAATGGCTGGCTTTTTTTATTTTTTTTTAATTATTGTCCTTCAATTAGGAGCAAGAGAGGAAAAAAAAGGAGGGGAGTGGGGGGGGAGGAGGGGGGAAAGAGCAGGGGCAGGGGCGTTTTAAAAGTAATGAAGGCCTAACGGAAAAACTTTAAACATTCTCAAATGCATTGTGAAAGCTTGGTATTTATCGATTAAGGTATATATCAAGATGGTCAACCACATCACGTCTCAATTGACTTTCTATCTGATATAGTTTTACTACAATTCTGTTATATTCCTATCCGTAAAAAAAAAAAAGTTCTTTTTTTTCTTCTTCTTCTTTTTAACACCTGAATAATATATACCTTTCAAGAAAAAATCGAAATCTTATTTGTATACCTAGTTGAAATTTAAAGATTAGGCAGTTTTGCTGATGAGATGGGTGGGGGGGGAGAAGCTTTTGTAAGGAATAGAAAGAGAAGTATCGATCCGAACCCGTGACAAAGAAGTATCGGAAAACAGTTTAACCACAGGGGAGGAAGAGGCCAAAAAAAGAAAAAAAGGAAAAAAAAAATAAAGAAAAGAAAAGAAAAAAAAAGAAAAAAAAAAAACAAAGATAAAAAAAACAAAAAAACAATGTCACTTCCAGTTTAATTTACTCTTATTTAACTTCTCTCTTCATCGAATTCCCCTCTTTCATCCCCATTTTCACCGACTACCCAACTCAACCACTAAGGCTATTTTAAAAATTTGGTTGGAGCTACTAAACGGAATTGACTAAAATAAAGTTTGGCAGATGAAATTTCGAAATTGACAGCTATGCAAATGTAAAAACAGTTTATTAGTGGCAGTATTTGGCACCAGTATCCCGCCACAGTTGGAGCGCTTTACTGATGATACTTCATCACGTAGGGCGTAAAGCAACAGTTAAAGTGATTGTCAAAATGATCCACTTGACTAAATAAGTTATTTTAATCAGATAAGATGGTTTATAAGCAAAAAATAAAAATAAAAAAAAAATTGATATTCTGGAATACTATGAACTGTCTATAATAATAATAATAATAATGATAATAATTATTAAAATAGTAGTAACAAAATTAACATAACTTTTACACAATATGAAAGCTTTTTCTTGATCCCGTTTCCATTAGTGAGACAAACCCACCATAGTCAAAAATACGTCAAACGAAAACTTGTTTCCTTCCTTATCTGGGTCCTTTTAACCAAAAAAAAACAATAAACTTGTTTAGATCTCTAGCCTTTTTATTAGACGGAGTCGCAGAATGCGTCAAATGGCGCACTAAAAAAATAATATGCACAACAAAAAAAAAGAAACAAAGTTAAATCAAAAAGTTGGGTTTTTGTCACGTTTCTTACTGGTAGGTTTGTGTAACTTTTGAATATTCCGACTTTTGTCCGTGCGCACGGTAGCGACCATAATTTGCAATTATTCCACATAATGGTTCCGTAATCAAAATCTAGGTAAGCGAAATGAAAGTTGAGTTAGACACTTCAAAGACAAGTATCAGCTAGTGGGTGGTCCCCTAAATCTTTATTTTTTTTTATTCTTTTTTAAAGCCCTAATCCCTTTTAAAGCCATAATCTCATGGCTTTAGACTTCTATATACACTACCACTAATTAATGGCTGAACAGGTTCTAGTTTAATTTTTTTTTTTTTTTTTTTTAAAAAAAAAAACTACTTTGTTAGTTGAAAGTAGCTTTTGTGCAGTTTTTATCGGTTTTCTGCATATACTTAATCACCTTTAATGTTGAATTGCAAATATCAATATACAATAGAATTCAAAATACTTTAGTTAGTGTGATAGTACTGAAGTAGTTAATGGTCTTAGTATAAATGTATAACCAATTCTTTCTGATACCTATTTTCTTGTTACCAATAGGTCTTTTTTTTTCTTTCTTTCTTCTTTTCTCTCAACTCCCCTATAGAAATGTTCAATTTGCTAGTTCAAATTATTTATATCTGATATTCACAACCAAATCCTCGTCTTTCAATCCACTTAATTTACCTTCCTTGTATCTTACAATCCTTATATCATACCATCCCCTAATATCGCAATTCTCAGATATTCCAATCTTAAATATTTCCATTTTCCAAAAGCTATACACTTCACTTTAGTAATCACTAGTCTAGGGTTGTCAGAGAATTCTTAATATTATCCCTTAGCTTGTAACAGAATAGGTCCTGATTTAGTCTCCTCCTCCCTTTTTACCCCAACACCCGCTCAATATTGACCAAGGCAAAACCTTAGTTGAACTATATTTTAATTCACATCTCGTTACTTGAAAGAGCGAATTAAAAAAGGTTCAAAGGCCAAAGGAACTGTTCTTTTATTTTTTTATTTTTTTATTGGTACTGATCACAAAGCTATACGGTGAAAGAACATTCAACCTTAGGTACATAAAGGTCCTCCCAATAAAGTTTCTCATCTATCTTGGGGTGACATCGCTAAACGCACACTATAGTCAACTCCACATCATCACACGCACACACTCGTTATTGTCACTTGTTTTCCAAGGTTTCTTCCTTTTTTTTTTTACCCTTTTTTTTTTGCTTTTTCTTGACTTTCTTTATTAAAGCTAAAAAAAAATAATTTATATTCCGATTTTGTGCACAGCAGCGACAACGGTAGCAGTAAAATACTTATTGACTGCAAAATACGCTCTATTTAATTTTTTACTTTAAAAGAACCCTTCACATATAAGTACAATATATTCAAAACATCCAAGTTGTCAGCTGTAACACCACCAACTATACAGCATTTCAAGTCATTTGTAATGGACCAACCTTATCAGGAGGCGAACTACGAACAACACCAACAAAATGTAATTTCCAACCCTTTAACAAGTCCAAACGAAAATGCAACCCGTAGTGATGAACACCTGCAAAGCATTGATAGTGCACAACAATTACTGCAGCAGATGTACTCGGACCAACAACCAAATCAGAAACAACAACAACAACAACAGCAGCAGCAGCAACAGGAACAACAGCAGCAGCAACAGCAAAGTTATTTTGGGTCTCAACAAGGACCAAATTTAACTCAACAATCGCAGGTAAGTCAACACGGATCGTATAATTATAGTTCATATCAGCTGTCACCACAGGAACCAGTATCAACATACCCAGCTGTGTCATCGCTTCTATCACTTCCGCCACCTCCACTACAACAATTGTCTCATGTACCTCTACAAAATTCAAATTATGTTCCAAATACATATCAGCAGCTTCCTGCACAAAGCCCATATTCCAATCCAGCATCCATTCCACAATCCCAGCGTCAACAATCATTATCTCAATTATCATCTGAAGTTAACGGACTGTTGGACCAACAACGTCGTTTAGTTGACGACAGATTTGAAGGAGCCAATAATCATGAAAAAAATGCTGTAGCTCCAATGCTGTCCTTACATGTACAGCAGCAGCAGCAATTATTCTCAAAACACAATAGGATATACCATCGTCACTCAGATGCTGCAATCCCCTCATCATCACAGCCGGTACTAGCCAGTAGTGAAAAGTTTTTAAAAAACGGATTTAAGAGGAGTATGAGCTATAACAACAGCAATAACAGCAACAACAGCAACAACAACAACAGCAACAACGATAACAACGATAACAATAGCGAAAACGGCGGCAGCAGCAGCAATAACAACAACAACACTAATAACAGTACTGACGCCCATTCATCCGCCAAACTTGTTTCTGGTGAATTTCTGGGACAACAAATAGTGACATCAAATTGTACAAGATGTAAAAAGGAATTTTGTCAACCATTAATTGCTCTAAAAGCCAACGATAACCACAAGTCATTTGTCGGACCTAAAATTTTTAAATTGTGCCATCATTGTAGAGATTTGCAACGTCAAAGATCAAGAAGATGGCAAAAAAAAACAAAGGACAAGCAAGGTGTTTGTAGAAGGTGTGGTTCTGAAATTCCATTTAATGAAAGGAAATTCGTTTTATGTCCCGTGTGTAGACAGAATCTAAGAACCAGAAAAGCAAGTCGAGCAGCACAGGGTAAATGTGTTCATTGTTCCGGGCCATTAGATTCATCGATATCGATCAAAAATGAAGAACGTGATGGTGATGGTGAAGGTGACGGTGATGGTGATAGCAATGAGAATGGGAATGGTGACCGTAGCAGTGGTCGTGATGGTGTTGCCACATCTGAATTCCCGTCTCTTCTGGCAGAAGAGAACAAAACCGGTACTGGTAAGAGCAGTAACAATTACAAAGTTTGTCAGCGATGTCGGGAAAACGATAAAATTAGAAGAGCAAATTTGGAAAAGATGGGCAATTGTAACAGATGTGCTAGGGCATTGGATATGAGTGATTATGGAACTCATAAAGTTTGTTCAAATTGCAGAAGCAAGAAGAAGAGAAATTCAAAGTCCTTCCCTTCAAGTAATGAATTCTACACGTCAGGAACAGTACTTCCCCAAATATCATCGCAGCTGGCCTCTCATGATCAGTCTAGCTCTTTAACATCTATGGGTAGTGTGCAAAGTGTTTCCACGAATAATTCTGATCCACAATACAATAACGGCTTAGTAGTACCACATCAGCATCAATATCAACATCAACATCAATATCAACCTCAACAATCAAGTCATTATTCACAGACATATTTACCTTATCCGCCTCTGTATTCTAGTCAATTACCTACAATTCAGTCAGGAATGATTCAACAAGGCGCACACCCTCCACCACCATCGTCATCAACATCATCAACATCTCAACAACCTTACTTTTCTGGTGTCCCACAATTTCCAATTCAGCAGAGGTCCCAGTATTATTCTTCACCCAGTCAACTTCACCTGCTTTCTCATCATTCCCAGCAAGAACAATCACTGGAACAACAATACCAACAAAAGGAGTATTATTCTACTTCTAGCCAACCCTAAGAAACCAAAATCATAATCATAAAAAAAGAAAACTTTTAAGCGGCTTTTATTCTCTCCCCCCCTTTATTATCCTTACCTATTGGTTTGTTTTTTTTTCTGGATTATTACTAGTAATGACGCTAATGATGATAATGATAACAGGAAAGAGAAACACCACCACATGAATTATAGATTATATGCTTTTATTGTTACTTGCTGTATTCAATTCTTCTTAGACTTTTTATTTCAAGAATGTGTATAAAAAGAAAATGTATTATTTGTAGGTCATTTATTTGACAGAATTGTGAAAATAACCGACCGACACTAGCGACCCTATCGCCGACACCATCGAGCAAAGCGAGATAGTGGAGCACACTAGCTGCCACCGATACTATCGCCGACACCATCGAGCAAAGCGAGATAGTGGAGCAGCACTTGTAACTTGTTACAACTCTGACTAGCTTGTTACAACACTCTCTCGCTTTGCTCGATAGTGGAGCAGCACTTTGTAACTTGTTACAACACTAACTAGCTGCTACTGACACTATCTCGCTTTGCTCCATAATGAATTTCTGCGCTCGCCAGGTATAAATTTCTACTCAAATTCGAGCAAAAATATTCAAAATTACTCTTCAAAACTATATTTCAAAACTATACATTGTCTCAAGTCTATACAATGAGCTAGATATGTATCTATTAAAACAAAAAACTCACACCCTAGCCAATTTCTAAAAATCCTTTCTCCATTACTCTACAGATTTAGACTTCTACAAGGAAAAAAAAAAAAAAAATGATGGTCCTTTGTTTCATCTGGTTTTTTTTTTTTTCAGTTTTTTTTTTTCGTAACTAATGAGTTACAACTTATCATTAACTATAGCTCTTTTATTTTCACATTGGCTAAGCTCAGATTCCTCTTTCTTTAGGTGGGAAAATAATGAGTTATATAGATTATGTCGGGGTACCGGTATCTCAAAAAGAAAAGATCTTGCCGCAAGTACCATCAGACCATAACGGCGGCAGCAGCTGTAACAAGAACAAGAACAATAAAAATGAGAATGAGAAGGAGTGCGAGAATAGTACAATGGCCAAATTATCTATTGCATCATCCTTGTCCACCACAAGCACGAAATTTTCATCGTCAGCCGATTTCGATGCCCATATCCTAGAGGCCAAAAGTTTACGAAGGAAAAATTTCAAGCAGTTATCGTTGAATTCCTCACCAGTAATTTCCGGTTTCCAAATTGACGATGTTGATAAAATACGAGCACCAAAATCCTTGCGTTTGAACAGACAACGACCGGCTCCCATGCTAAGCTTATCCAACTTACCCCTAGACGCTACAACTGGCTCAGAACCAATTGAAACGAAAAATCATACACAACCATTGATTGCTCATTCCGGTTTTCACAATGCTTACTCATCATCATCATCTTCATCATCAACATCTTCATCTCTGGGTCAAATTGTGAGTCAAATCGTAAGCCGGCCCCCTAGTGTCGGCAAATCACACACAACAACATTCAACCTTAATAGAAGTAGTAAGAATTTGGATCCCGAGCTGCAAATTTCTACTGAATTGATAATAAATCAGATATCAGAGCTTGATTTAGAAAGTCAACAGCGCACACAACGAGGGAAACAGAATGGAGGTGGAGGTGGTGATTCTATTAATAGTATCAGAACACGGCAAACTGTTATCTCTTCTATATCACCAACAAAATCACCAAATCATTCATTAAAGTCACCATTAAATTCAGGACTCCAAGTTGTGGATGGCCTCAAGAGTAGCGATCACTCACCCATTGCAACCACCTGTACGCTAAAGTTGCGCAGTCAAGACCTATTAACCTTGAAGCAGTTGGGACTGGGCAATTCAGGCTCCGTTTCAAAAGTCTTACATATCCCAACTCAAAAAACAATGGCTAAAAAAATCATCCATGTTGATCTGAAAAGTGTCATACAAACCCAAATTATTCGTGAATTGCGTATATTGCATGAATGTTTTTCGCCTTATATTATTGAATTTTATGGGGCATTTTTGAACACTAATAACACTATAGTGATATGTATGGAATATTGCAATTGTGGGTCATTAGATAAGATTGTCCCGTTATGCGAGAATAAACAATTTCCTATTTTTGTTTTAAAGAAACTATCATTTGCAATTTTGTCGGGGTTGAATTATTTGTATTCGACACATAAAATCATTCATCGTGATATTAAGCCGAACAATGTGCTAATGACGCACAGGGGTGAATTTAAACTCTGCGATTTTGGAGTTTCAAGAGAATTAACCAACTCCTTGGCAATGGCCGATACTTTTGTTGGAACATCTATGTATATGTCACCAGAAAGAATTCAAGGGCTAAATTATGGAGTAAAATCAGACGTTTGGTCAATGGGGTTGATGTTGATAGAATTGGCCAGTGGCATGCCTGTATGGCTAGACGAAGAAGAGGAAGAGAAATACGTCGAGGATCACTTTGGAGAAAATAATGGAGAAAACGCAAGGACAGATTCGCTTAAAGGACCGGAGGGCATATTGGACTTATTACAAAGAATAGTTAATGAAAAGGCTCCATCATTAAAGTCAAAAATCAACCCGGTAACTAAAACTCCATATGACCCACAATTAGTTGATTTCATAGACTCTTGTTTGATCAAAAACGATTCAATACGAAAATCCCCAGATCAATTTCTCGCAGATAAAGAGGGATTCTTGAGGGGAGTTGAGGAAGGTTTGTTTGATGCGGAGCATAAAGTATGGGCCAAAAAGATCAGAAAATTGAACAAGGAACAACATGAAACGAAAAAGTAAAGATTCTTCTTTTTTTTGAAAAAATACAACGATTATATAAACACTTTCGATATAGAGTCAAAGGGAAAAGTGGAAGTGTGTGTGTGTGTGTGTGTGTGTGTGGGAGAAACTATCAGTCAGAACAATACATCCACCTATCTTTCTCAGCAAAGTCTTTCTTTTCTTCTTTTTCTTTTTTTTTTCTTCCTTTTTTACTTAATTCTTGATTGTTTTTTCCTTTTATTTTTAAATGTCGTCGTTAACTGCTTTTGAAATCTCAACACCTTGAACTTTTTGATTGTAACTGGTGCTTGGCTGGATTTTCCTAGTACTCCTAATTTCATCCATTGCATACCCAGGAATTTTAATATTCCAATTTTTTTCCAAATGCAACTGTATATCCTTTGCTTCTATACTGTCGACTTTTCTATGCTTAGCCAACCTACAAGCAAAACTTGTTACAGAATAAATAAACTCATCCGCCAAATCTAGCAATACCTCTTCCACATTTCCATCAACTGTAGTCTTACCGTCTCCTTCATCAACACCTACAGTGCTAATTATATCTTGAAGCTTCCTCTTATTTAGCACTCTTCCATTATCAATGGTTGACGTTCCACCTTCTAAATCAAAGGTGGGCAATTTTGTTATTGCAGGAGTGTCTAATAAAATACTCAATGAATTGGCCGCACCGCCAGTCAATGTCGGTCTAGTATCGGCAACTGTATTAAAAGTAACCATCGTTGGTGGTTTGATATCTACCGAGCTTGATATTGGTATCGAAGGTACACTGGGTTTAGTGATTCCAGCGAGGTTCAATGCCATTGCCGATTTCGAGCGCTGGGGAGTAGAACGTGTATCTGTTCTGACTTGTCCTGATTTAGGCGCAGTAGCACCTGCTGGCGTTCCAGCAGTAGACGAATTTGATGGTGCACCTCCCGATTTAAACTTGTCTGAAGTCGAAGAGCCCTGCCTACTGGCCAAGGGCTGCGGTGGGAATGGAGTCTGAGAAGTTTGTCGACTGGGAGCTCGAGATTGGAGGGAAGCTTGTTGGGGAATTTGGGATGGTGTTGGTTGAGAAACGGGATATACCGGAGTGCCAGTGACAGACTTTGTGGGTTGTGGCATTGGGACATTAGGAATTTGTCTCACTTGCTTCATGGATGAACTTTCCTGGAATGAGTCCAAGCCAGGCATGGATTGCTTTTGGTTTGTAACATTGTTGCCTTGCTGTGCCATTAACAGCTGCTGGTGTTGTTGTTGTTGTTGTTGTTGTTGCAATTTTTGCTGAAACTGTTGTTGCAATTGAGAAGAGAACGGAGGGGAAGCTTGGTCCGAATGTGATATTTGTGCCAAACCCTGGCCAGGTGCTTGATGTTGGATGTAAGGTTGATGTTGTTGCGACTGTGGTATCCTGTTTTGCTCTAGCTGCAGCAGCTGCAGCAGCTGCAGTTGTTGTTGTTGTTGTTGTTGTTGTTGCTTTTGTTGATGTTGTTGTTGCTGTTGTTGCTGTTGTTGCTGCTGTTGCTGTGGATGTTGTTGCTTAGCTTGTTGAACCAATTGATTCCTTATATATATCCCTATCTTCTGGAACTGCTGGAATTTTGTTTTAGCTTCCATCAACTCTCTATCAATAATCAAAATTTGTTCTTGAGTTGCGTTGCCCGCTTTTTTACTCTGCTCTAACAATTGAATCTTTCTTTGAATTTCAGTAAGTTTTTGCCTAATCTGATTAAACCTCTCCATAGATATAGAGTGTGAGGGGGCATTTACTGTACCGGCAGTGCCACTCCCCGCTCCACTAGATGCACTAGAGCTCACACTTCGCAAAAGATTGCTATTTACATGCGGACCATTCTGGTTCTGGGCTTGTTCCTGCAACTTTTGTTTACTTTTTTCTTCCAACTGCTGCTTAGTTAGTGAGTTATTCGACGCTTGTCCCTGCAGGTTTTGAAAATATTGGGCGTTAGAAGGACTTTTCCCAGGAGTCCCAGAAGGTATATGATTGATTCCCATAGCAGGCGATTGGAGGTTGGGATGTGGAGACTGCAGCATCATTGGCGTTCCCTGTTGTTGTTGTTGCTGTTGTTGTTGATTCTTTTGCTCTTCTATATTGCTTAGCGCATTGTTGTTGCGCAAATTTTTCTGAGCCAAGGCATTTTTCTGATCTACACCAGATATGGCCTGACTGTTGTAGGTATTCAGCTGTTGCTGCTGTTGCTGGTGCTTCTGATGCGCCTGTTGTTGCATTGTATTCTTCTGCTCTTGATACCTTGCCAATAACCTCCGTATATTCTCTGCCCTCATCAAATGATGTTGTTTAACTTGATCGTCAGTTGTACTTTTTGCAATTTCAAAGTCATTCTTCATGGCTTGCACAAGTTGTGCAAGCTGTTGTGGGGGAATGTTTTGTAAGTTGAGCTGCGGCTGTTGTGGGTGCTGCTGTAGATACTGATGGGTGTTCTGTCGTTGAGGTTGCAGTTGAAACTGCTGCAGCTGCTGAGAACCATTGGAAAGCGAAGAGGCGCCTCCTCCGTCATTCCGGTTTGCAGTACCGTTGAAATTATGAGTCTGTGCTCCATTATTCATTGATTGATTCATCTAGGATAAACTTTTGCAGACTTTTACTTTAACACCCACACACACACGCCAAAAAAGGGGAAAAAAAGTGATGCTATTGGATTCAAAAGCAAACTCGTTTTCAAAACAGCAATTATCGTGCTGATGGATCCGGCCAAAGTGATTTGTGAATCCAAACAATGGCTTTTCGTTTTAGGGCGCTTAATAAAAAGAGTATATTTTTCCAGTTTTTCTCACTTCTTGACCTTTTTTTTTTTCTTTCTTTTTCAACTCTCTCTGCCAAATCATTTCAACAGATTGGAGCTGGGAGAAGCGCGGCTGGGGAAAACACGCATAAGTCAAGAAAGTATACAAAGTCATTGACCATTTCTCAGGCAAAAACGAGTCTATCATTGAATGTTTTGTTCATTCTTTTATATTAAATAAATAAATTAGGCAAAATATGATTCAAAAGTCTACTTAAAAGGTTGGTCTGTAATTATCTATCTCAGTTTAAACTTTTTGCGATACTTCTATTTTTTCTTCAATTCCCAGACCATCAGAACTCAACTGGTTGTAGTTTTCTTCAACATCAACATCAACATCATTGTTCTCGCTTTCCTCAGCTTTTTTCAATGCTTTTTCCTCGGCCAATTTCCTAAAGTAAGCCGCATAACCAAATTTACTTCGGTTCCTTAACCTGGCACCATATCGTTCAAATACAAACGGTACTGGTACCATAATCAACGCAATAAAACCAAATAGAGATCCTGCCCAACCTATACCCAAATTCTCAAAACACTGTACTGTGAAAAGCGGGAAAACAGATGCCAACAAATACCGCAACAAATTGTTTGCAGCAATAGCCGAGGCAACAATGACTGGTGGAAACGACAAGGCAAAATATAACAAAACGGAAAAAAACACTAGTATCAAGCCAAATCCAAACGGAACTCCACTTACAGCGGGAGCCATCCAATGGACAGACTGTGTCCTCCCACTCCATCCCAACCAGAACAAGGCAATCGGTAAACAAATAGCACCAATCTTGCCCACTAATAACTTCTTTTCTGGAGAATCAATAATAATCTTTCCATTCTCATCTTTATTACCACGAGTTCCGTCAGCGTTTTTGGGGAAATAGTACACAAAATCAAGAACTGTATAGAATAACACTCCCAAAATTAACCCTAAACCAACAGCAATAAAAGGGAGACCAGAAACACCCAAGCTCATTCGATAAACGCCGCGGAATATTACAGGAAATGCTTCAAAAAACCCAAACAAAACGGCAAAAATAAAAGCAATGTAAATAGACATAATCAACACAATTGGTTCCGAAGCCAACAACACCAAGGGCATAAGCAAGTTGACTCGTATCACTTTTTTGAAAAACTCCATATTTAACTTTGGGGTATCAACTTTTAAACCGCGCTTCTGAGCCCTACGACTCAATATAACAGGTTTGAAAGTCTCGGGGGCTAAAATGGCAAATGGCCAAATAGCACCAAAGAACATAAGCAAAACCCAAGAAGCTGCCCATTGCCAGTTTTTGTGCTCAGCTGCGAATCCACCAATAATAGGGCCCAAAACAGGACCAAGGAAAGGACACAAACAAAAAATGGCCACGGCAATAGACTGATCAAAAAGTCTGTTGGCCCACAAATCGGAAATTGTTCCACCCGCAATTGACAAAGCAGGACTTGAAAAAAACCCACAAAAGAAACGAAGTACCAATAGAGTTCTCATGTTTTTTGCCAACCCGACACCCATGATAAACAACATGGCAATTGGCCAAGAATACACGTAAAGTGGTTTTCTACCAAAAACCTCGGATAAAGGAGCCGCGATTGCGGGACCTAATGCTAACCCAATCAAGTAAAAAGTAAGACCTGATAAACACAACTCTTGCGAACTTCCAAAACGTATCATTATTTCTGGAATCCCACTTGTATACATCGATGAACCAAGAGAACAACAAAGACACATTATGGCTGCTGTATACGTTATCCACCATTTTTTAAATTTAGACCACGATTGTGGATTATCCTTGTCATCAGGTCCATCCCAATCTAGCTCACTAAGACTTAACACTCTTTCTTCTTTTTCTTCTTTTTCTTCTTTTTCTTCCAATTCTTCGCTATAATTGCCATTGATGTTGTTTATATTATTCATTTCTCTAGGGATCTCGTTGATAGCATCTAACGAGTTTGTCCTGTTCTCCTTCTCTGCGATTTCTTCAAATGTAGTGCCATCAGAATCTTCGTTGGGTCCTACGGCGGCATATTTAAAATATGGCGGGGTTTCTGGAGAATAATCCTCTTTTGTTTTGACAAATGCGGCTGAAGCCGAATTTGGTTGCACAAATGTAATATTCTTTTGCGTTGCATTCAGCTTAGCAGCGGGATCATTATCAGTTGGATCTTCTTTAGTCTTGACCTTCTGTAATATACTTTCTTCCTCTGCTGAATGGGTCAAATTCTCTTGTGAAATGGTTTGATTTCGCATTGCACAATTTTAACACCCCTCTAATCTGCTCACTTTTTCCCTTTTTCTGAAATAAAGAAACAAAAAAAAAAAAGAGAGAGAGAGAGAATGGAATGGAAAACAACCAACAACCAACAACCGACTAAATATCCTCTATCAAACAAAATTGAAGATTGAGATCTGAAAAAGAAAAGTGTAATTTGAAAGAAATACAAAACTTTTCATCTGAGAAATCCCTGACTTTAAATGCATTATCAAAAATCGTGTAGTTATTATAATGGAAATACATCTCATCGTACAATAAGTTGATTTTTTCCGTTGACTCTTCTTTGTTACTAAAGATTGTCTCATGGGGGGAAGACAAAGATGAATTAAATCCGAAGGAAATAACACAAAACTAAAAAATTTGAACTGTAAGTTACTTCCGAGATTCTACACGGCTTAGTTAAACACTATCGAGCGAAGCGAGATAGTGGAGCAGCACTGACTACACCGACTCTAGGGAGGCAACACTAGTCGCGATACCGACTAGTTACTATTGATTAGTTACTACTGGCTGGTTATGACAATTGGAATTAGTCAGATTAGGATATTAGATAAAAAGGGAGACAAAAAAAAGAGAGATAGCCATTAATCTTTAATTACTACTTTTCTTTTGAAAGTACTTTCTTTTTCTATACAATAAAAAAGTAAAAAAAAGACTTTTTGTAACTGGTGGATTGCGGTTTGGTTACGTCCACATGGCTTACAAGAAAATGGGCTACATCGTAAACTACTTTGCCATCACATCGTAAACTACTTTGCCATCACATCGTAAACTACTTTGCCATCACATCGTAAACTACTTTGCCATCACATCGTAAACTACTTTGCCATCACATCGTAAACTACTTTGCCATCACATCGTAAACTACTTTGCCATCACAAACCAAGAAACTATTTTTCTAGAATGTTTTCTTTTTGAGGGGCGTCTGTATTGAGTGACAACTGATTTAGTTACCGTTTTGTTTTCTCGGTATCGAGCTTAAAAAAAAAAAAAAAAAAAAAAAAAAGGATTTTCTTTCCGGATTTAATAAAAGTAGTATATTTTGAAATAATATTTGAATATCTCCGAGGAAAATAAAAAAAAAAATCTATAAATAAAATTTCATTCAACATTCTCGAACGCAGTAGATACTTTTGGCAAATACATAAATGGTCTTTTCTATTTTCTTGGTTTGGTAACAAAAAAGAAAAATAAAAAACAGGTTAAATCACAAGAGGCTATACTATGTTATCTCCGGGCCCGCAAATTCTCCCAATTACGTAAATTATCCGGAAAACAGTGACAAAACACAGTATAGTATGTTAAGGAACCCGCACTCATCTGCCTCCTACACCTTGTAGTTCAACACCAAGAGCCAAGGTCAGCCTTGGCCCGATGTAATCAGCAGAAATTTCTCATCAAATCGTTCTTTTGTCTAAAAGCCTTTCTCATCAAATTGTTCTTTTGTCTAAAAGCCTTTCTCCATAGTAGGTTTTTGCTCTCACATAACCAAAGAAAAAATTACATCCAAAAATTACAAATCCACACCATAAAACAAATATAAAAAATTTGAAACTTAAAGGTTCAATTAGCGAATTCAATACCATCCCGATTATTTGAGCGTTTATAACCGACAAGTTTCCTATAGAATTGGGATTTTGATTCATACATTTTTGTAATTGTTGGCATTTTTTCCCCATCAATGGCAAATACATGAAATCGGGATCATCACATTTGTTTTCATAATACAATTGCTTACAAGATTCTATTTGTGAAAGAATGTTGGCTCTTTGTTCTTGTAGTTTGTGGTTGATGTCTGACCTTATGGAGGTGAATATGTACATCAATAGATACAACATGTATAATGATAGAATAAAGTTAATGACAAATTGCAAATAAGAAGATAGAATATAGGGAATTCTCTCAATAGGGCTTATGTTAGACTTCCAAGGTGCAGGTAAAGTAACTGTATCACTTTGAGATAATTGTAAATCAGAAAATGTCTGCGGACAAGTTTGACTTATCTTTTGTAGATGCATCCTCAGTGAATCTTTATCTTGTCCCTCAATCTCTTTCTTCAATCTCAGTTTGTAGTGCAGCAATAGAGTATCTTCCGTCGTGTAATCTTTGTTTGAATAGTAATGATGGTGGTGAACAGTCTGCGGCTGTTGCTGCTGTTGTTGTTGTTGTTTTTGTAAGCCCGACGCGCTCGAAAAGTAGTTTGCCCCTTCATCGTGAGATGGCACAAATCGTTGTAGGCTGTCTACATTATATATTGAGCTTGTGTTTCGTTTCGTGAAAGACCCACTTTTATTTACAGGTTGATACGAACTAATATCAAATTCATAATCAACAGACAGTTTCCTCCTGGTAGTGGGATGTTTGACATCTGAAAATATCTCTGGCTCCTTCAGTTTTGGAGAAGGAGGCAATAAAAGGAGCGGCTTGCGAACTGCTAGTCTTGCACCTAGCATAGTAGGCGATAACAGTGAAAACATACTGGAATTCAAAGCAGGTTTGTCTTGCATAAACATATTTTCTCTATCAATCTCTAAAAAGTCTTGCTTTTCTCTTTCTAAAGGAGTATCTATGCAGCTATCATTTAGCTCATTAGAGTCATCAATTTCCATTGGATCATCAAAATCATCATCATCATTATTACTATTGTAAACAGCGTTACCCTTACTTGCATCGACTCTTTCCTGCTCAAACTTGTCATCTAGGGACAAAGCCAGTAGAAACTGTTCGTTGTCAAAGTTTTGAAACGCGCTATACCCATATGACATATAGATCTTAAAGTTTCATCTATTAAAGAAAAGGAAATGAAATGAAAAAAAAAAGTACAAAGTGGAGAGAAGAAGAGAAACCCGTCAAGTATGGGTCACGTGAGTTATTTAGTAAGATGTATATTTAAACGAGTGATACTTGTCACCTGTGTAGAGGAAAACGAGAACAAGCAAAAGAAAGAGAAGGAGGGGAATGAGAAAGAGAAGGAGGGGAATGAGAAAGAGAAGGAGGGGAATGAGAAAGAGAAGGAGGGGAATGAGAAAGAGAAGGAGGGGAATGAGAAAGAGAAGGAGGGGAATGAGAAAGAAAAGTAGGTTTGCGATTTGCGATTTGCGATTTGCGGTTTGCGATTTGCGGTTTAGAGGGGCTCATAAATCGTATTTCGACATTCAATAAGGTAGGAGACCAACTTTCAAGGCAGTCTCCTTCCATGGGAAGCTTTACCATTGAATGCCCTTACAAAAAGACATCCCCCTGAATTCTGCTTTGTTCACTATGTGAAGTAATCAGAAATTTTTTTTCAGTGTAATGCGCGTTAAAGCAGTTTTTCTTTTTTCTTTTTCTTTTTTCTATTGATTCATATTGTACTAAGAATCTCATCTCATCTCATCTCATCTCATCTCTGTTTCTCCATATCTCTTATCGCAATAACAGCACAATAATTGATTTTCCAATGGCTTCAAAAAGAAAGCAAAAAGAGAAGCAAAAGGATTTCAAAAAGGCGAAACTAAAAGTAGGCAAGACGGCTCAGAAGCCCGACAACTATACAGATATCTCGTTCAAGTCAAAAACAATCACACTTCCAGGACAGTCTATTACCACAGTACATATTACGGGGTTCAATGATTTAGCACACCAACTTTCCCTCACTAAGCATTATTCGTCTAGTACAAGAAAAGAAGTTCTTACAAACATTACTCAAAATTTACCGTCAAGCCCTTCGGCTTATAAGCAGATTATTTCCAGCGTGATACCCTTAATACTTGATGAATCGAAACAAGTAAGGATGGAATTGATGTCGCTATTGGCAGAAATTGGACTTGTGCAACCTGGACTACTTGATTTGCATAAACGGAGCATCGTTCTTTTCATAATCTCAGCAATGACGCACATTCAGCCAGATATACGAAATACCAGTACGCAATTTTTAAATATCTTGATCAAGTATGCTGATTTAAAACTGTATTTTGTCAAGATACTAAGAAACTTTTTTGTTTTAATGACCTGGTCATTGAAGGACGATTCAAGGTCCAAATCGGTCTTAATAACAACAAGTTCTTCAATTCTTCTCGGTGCCAACTCCAAGAAAGCAAGAGTAAATCATTTACAAGCACTATCAAGATTCTTGGAGATGACATTGAAACGTGACTTTGGTGAAAATACCAAATGCGCCGAAACAAGCACTACCAGACTAATAATAACAACGCATCCACAAACAGAAAAATACCTTTTTCCCTCGATTCCTCAAGCATTTGCCCCATTAAATTTATTCGGTAATGAAATGAAAAGTGAATTACTTACAACAGGAGGTTCTGTTGATTTAAAGGAATTGGATTCAATTACAACAGAGGATATAAATACCAGACTTTCTATAATGCGTGATGTTTTCAAGGATCGCATGTTGACAAACTTGAACGGGTTGAGCAAAGAAGGTGGAGAGGTGGGCAGAGAGTCAAACAAGTGTATAAATTTACTCGAAAGTATTTAATAAATAAGACGAGGATGAAAAGCTAAGGTGGTGGTGGTGGTAGCGTTGTGGGTCCCAATTGAAACCACATAATCAATTCTGCCCACTGTTTAATGATAGGTAAAGGTTTTTTTGTTTTTTTTTATTTTTATTTTTTTTTTTTAATTTTTTCATTGAAAACTGAAAAATTTCAACGAACTTAACTTGAAGGAAAAACCTGGGGTATTTCATGCACCGTATACTCGTTAGACTTGCAGCTCCATCCTTGAGATGCTTAGGAACAACTAGACCAATGGTTTCGGCCAGGTCATTTCTCCCCAATCATTTGTTGTGCTCGAATATTCACACTTCATCTAGTTTGTTTGCGAAAAAGAAACTGAAGGGAAAGGGAAAACATAAAAAATCAGAAAGAGAAAATGAACTTGATGAGTCTGACGAATATGAAGGGGTGACGCCTACAATAGATTTCAGAGACGCGACAGACAGATTTGAGCTGTATCTCAGCAAGTTTCGAAAATCGGCTAATGAGATCAAACTAGGCAAATTGAACCCAAAGATTTTTGATGGGCTTATGATTAATGTGGGTAATAATAAAGATGTACAAGAAGTTCCCTTTCCGAGCGTTGCCCAAACATCAGTGAGAGGACGAAACTTTATAATCACCACGTTTGATCCACTGAATGCGCAGTCAATCATCAATGCTATCATTGGATCGGGGTTGAACATGAGCGGTACCGTTGACCCTCAAAATAAAATGAACATCAAAATACCCTTGCCTCCAATAACACAAGAAACAAAACAAAACAGTGTAAAGCTTTTGAAACAGCTTTTTGAAAAGACTAAAAGCAACAAGACAGGGTCCTTGGCTAGTGTGAGAGGTGATATTAGACAAAATTTTAACCGTGACTTGAAACATCACAAGATTTCCGACTATGAAAAGGAACAGTTGAACGAATTGGAAAAATTACACAAATCGTATCTTGAGAAATTGCATGATGCATTTGTAGAATTTGAAAAGAGTATATTGAACTAAATGGTAAATTCGAGGAGGAGAAGAAGAAGAACTTTTTGTTGTTGGTTGTTCCTTTTTTTTTTTTTTATTTTTTGGTTTCAAGTTATAAATAATCTGGATCTATTCTTTTTGCACCAATAGACTATAGCTAAACTCAACTCAATCAACTTTTTTGAATCTAAATCATCATCACTAGTAATACAGTAAAACTCGTAAGAACTATCACTGAGCATAAATCCAGTTGTACGACCCCACTTCATGTAAGACAACTTCCTGTAACTGATACCTTTTTCCTTGAAATGGATACGTGATCTGCTTGTTCTTAATGTGTTGTAATATAAGATAAGCTGCAAACTAAAGTCTCTATTATCTTCTGGAAGCTCACTGGTAACAAACTGGTGTAGCTCTGTATCTACGTAAAGAAAGTGTCTGACTGCAAACGGTACTTGACTTGTTAAGGGTACTAGTAGTTCATGAAGCACTTTGGATAAAAACTTTCCACTTTGAGCATGAGCGATACTTTTTATGATATCTTCTGCCAATTCTCTAAGCCTATAAAACGCATTCTTGTTTCCACTTATCAAAATTATTCTCAACTGCTCCCACGTCTTTACAAAAACATGCAAAAATCCATTTTTGTTAAATTTTGGCATGCACAACGGCATCCACAAGTCTTCCTCCTTCTTTTTCAACGAGGTGACTATAAAGATTAACAAGTTTAAATCCTCGTTGGGGAGATTGTGTTGTTTGGGATGTAAATAGTTAATGACAACATCACCTTTTGTCAAGATGGTAAAGACCAAGTCTTCGTCTTGCAGTTGCTTCAAAATTTTATCCATCTTGTGTCGTAGAGTGTGCAGAATTTTCAAACTTTGCCTACATGCAAGCATTGTTGACATGTAAAATTCAAATGCTCCTTCACTTCCTACCCCATAAGTTAATCTCGCGCATAACTCGTCCAAATTTTCCAGATCCAATGGGCTTAGTATCCTCCTTAAATCGTAGTTTAATCGGTTATGGAAGTTTTTATCAATTATAGGTTTCGACAAAACGCTTAGTAAATAAGTGTACAACACTTGTAGTTGGGCCACTATCAACTTGTCTGTTTCATGGCGTAGTTTAGAGATTGCTATTAGGATGATTGGCGCTTTGTTCAAAGCCACCACTTTCACTTTATTGCCCAAATCAATAATTTGTAGATCCTGGTGCAAATCTTCTTGAAAAGTTGAAATGATCGTTGTAAGAATTCCCATGTAGCCCAAAATGAGTTCGTCTGAACCATTTAATGAATATATTGGTTTCCCGGCAGTGGAAAAGATGAAAACTTGCTTGAGTTTGTTATGAAACTGGGTGCTGTCATTACTTTTACTGATTGCAATGCATTTTTCAAAGTAACTCTTATTGTTGATATTGTCAGGGTTGGGATATAGGTCCTGGTAGCAGATATCTGTTGATAATTGGGTATTCGTGTTCAATTGCTGAGCTCGACGACGAACGCTTTCAGGTAAATTGGAAATCTCTTCAATGTCTGACAAATTTATTTCCAAACTCGTATCAGTATCGCCCAGATGGATTGAAAGTGAATCACCACCGCGAATCGATTGTGTCTCAAAATTCACAGCAGCAGTGGAGATAGTAGTGGCGTCATTAGTGGAAGAAGCGGTTGTTTTTGATACAGTTGGTAGTAAGCTGGAGGACTTTGTTGAGATCTTAGAAAACCGTGGACGCTCCATTGCATATTGAAATGCTCAAGCGTGAAAGAAAGCTCGATACAATTAGTTTACAAAGTTATGTATGTGTTTTTTTTTTAGTGCTTCAACAAATCCTCAATTGATCAACGAGGAGAGACTCTTTGCAGGGTAAACATTGACAATGATTCGCTCAACTTTGAAGAAAGTGAGCACGGGAAAAGAGAGCCCGCTGCGTGTGTCAAATGAGAGGAAAAGAGAGTGTGTGTGAGTGTGGCAGTGTGAGTAATTGGAAGGAATAGTTATAGATAGTAGATGTCAATAGACTCACAAGCGAGACTGGTTGAGTTTGTTAAATAGAGATTATAAAAGAACAATGTAGAGAGAAAAAGATTGTAGGGCGATAGAGGTGGCGCAAATTGGGGAGATAGAGTAGATCTTAGAGATGGTATACAGGAGGAAGGAAGGAATGAATGAGATGGCGGAGGAGGAATGGATGAGATGGCGGAGGAGGAGTGGATGAGATGGCCGAGGAGGGATGCAAGGGAGAATTGTAGATGGAGAAAATATATAGGGTATATGGCACAAGAATAATCTAGGAATGGTTGAGAAGGGGAGAAAGAGTCAAGATTACCTCTGGGCTCTGATAGTGTAACATAACTGACTTCATTGATACATCCATATATATATATATATATATACTCCTTAGTACTACTTCATCTATTGTAGACACTTGAATGGCCCCCCCCCTCTTGAGAATGAATTGTTTGCCACTTCTCTGAAGTTATTGCCAACTGTTTTTTTCTCCTTCTCGTCGTCTAAAAGAAAGCAGTTACAGGTTACATGGTGAAAAATGTGTTGATTAAATTGTTGGCTACAACAAATGAGATGATATGAGAATTGACCATTACCTTTTCAACAAGTAGTAGCAAATAAAGACAAGTATCAAGCCAGCACCAAAGATTGGTATATACTGCTTAATCATAGCTTCAAAGTTTATCCTCTGTGCTCTTTTTCGATATTTTAATGAATCCTGCTTCAATGAACTCGATAAATCACTCATCTTGTCCAAAGAATCGCCCCTATATAACAAATCTTCTATATTTTTAGTCATGACTTTCTTCACGTCAGCAAGGTCGTTGTTCAATTTATCCAAGTTGGATTGAGCTCTTTGGTCCTGATAAATTCTCTTTGTCTTGGTCAAGAAATTATCAAAAGACGAAAATCCAAATGGTCTAGCCGCGGGAGATAACGCATCAAGACCGTGACTATTGTAAAACTCGTTGGCAATCTCACTCAAATACGAAAATGCCAATTTTCGAGGATACGATCTCTTGCAAATGCATAAATATACAATGCTCTGAGAAATCAAGTAATGGATATTGTACTCTCCAGACTCTATAGTAGCCTGTGGTTCCGAGTTGGGGGTCATTCTGCTAATTAAAATCTTGCATTTCTTCTTCTGGTCTAATAGCGACTGTGTGTTTGTTTCGTTATCCTCATCTACTGACCCACATAAAGGAAGAGCTAAAAAGGGGAAAGAATATCGTTAGATTTGGCTTCTAAGTCTCTATTCAGCTCATGCAGTAGTTTCTACGTACCATCATAGCGATATATTAAAGTTGAATCTACCATTTATCACTGTTTCCGTTGCCCCTTCTCTTGTTTCTCCAGCCGTTTGAAATTTTCAACTCTTGTATATCGAGGATATACTAGAAAAAGAAATCATATTTTTTATTACTTAGAAATTTTGTATATGTAATATAATCTTTTTTTTTCTCTCTCTCTCTCTGCTACTGGTACTTCTTTACTGTGAAGAGCTTGCTACTTTACAAGAAAAGGGTATCCATATACAAGGGTTAGGTTACAAAAGGTGTTGGGGTTATGGACTTGTCGAATTTATCGAGTACTTTACCGAAATCGAAGCCGCTATATCGCAAATCTGACGAAGCAAGCAGGCTTCAATCTAGCGATCACAATTATTTGCAAGCATCATCGTCATCTCAATCAACGGTTAGTGATTTTAATCAAAATCTCACTTCAAACTTCAAGGACGCTGCTAAAGCCGTTGCATCCCTATATAATACTGCTTTAAATGTAAGGAAAAACCCAGATTCAGGACAATTTGAGAAATCTATTTTAAAAACCGAATTTTCCAACGCTGCGAGGTCAGTTGCCGCTTTATACAAATTGGGCCATTCAACACATGCTGTTTCTCAGGAAAGAGGGTATTTGGAATGCATTGATGATCTTTTACAAGTCATCACTAATAACGAAGATATTGAAAATTGGGCGCTTACAAGAAGAGCCGAGATAACCAATACAAAAAGAAAAGATTTGCATGATTCTTCACCACCAATCGTAAATACAACAACAACAACGACGACGACGACGACGACACCTATTCTTAGTAGTCCCAGTGATACTACAGCAAGTGAAACTGAGGATTTCAAACTCCCGCATGATTTTGTTTTTCAGTATAACCTGGATTTGAAGCCTCCTGTGGCAATAAGACCAAGTATACCGCCTATTTCAGTGCAACACAATGCTGGTCAAAGAAACTTGATTGTCAGCAAGAAAAACAAACGTCATCAGCAAATGTATAAGAAACTTCACTCTTCAGAAGATTCAAGTGAAAGTGAACTTGACGATAATAATAATAATAATAATAATACTAATATCAATACCAATACCAATATCAATATCAATACCAATACGAATGCTAATACTAATGCCAATAAGCGAGTCAAAATCTTTAAAGACCACGTTATCAGTCCCATCAAGAAGAAGAAGAAGAAGATGAGCAAAGGGTAATCTGCCAAAAAAGAGAAAAAAAAAATATAAACATAAATCCACTTTTCATTGAGCTAAAATTGGGATTTCATTGAATGACCTAATCATCATTGGCTCTATAAAGCATAGGCTCCTTTCAGTAAGCTATAAAGCATAGGCTCTTTTCAGTAATCTATAAAGCATAGGCTCTTTTCAGTAATCTATAAAGCATAGGCTCTTTTCAGTAATCTATAAAGCATAGGCTCTTTTCAGTAATCTATAAAGCATAGGCTCTTTTCAGTAATCTATAAAGCATAGGCTCTTTTCAGTAATCTATAAAGCATAGGCTCCTTTCAGTAAGCAAATAATCCATCGTCATTGTTAGTAAACTCGTCCTCATATTCGCTTTCCTCTCCACTTGAATGCTCTTCGTTATCGCCATCTGTATCGTCATCAGTTGAAGACCCGCTCATCAAAGCAAACTCTCCACTATCCTCAACAACATCTTCGATATTCTCTAAACTCAAGCATAATAGCGTATCGCCTTTTGATACCGTATTGGCTATGATTTCATTTGTAGACTCCACATTACAGTTTGTTAATTTGGATTTCGAGCGTATCGTCACATCATGCCCAATGATGCAATTGTCTAATTGTACATCATCCTCTATAACGACATTGTCCATAATCAAACAACCTGTTACCCTGACTTTTTTCCCAATAGTGCACCCCGACCCAATAACACTTCTCTTGACACTTGTCTTTTCGCCCAATTGAGTGTTTTCACCAACCAATGCATCATTCCCTACTTGAGCTACACCTTTTTCCTTTGGGTGTTGAGCTTGACTACGTTGCACAGCTTGTTGCTTCATGAAATGTCGATTAGCTTCCATCCAAACCGGTAAATTATTGACTCTAAAAAATGTCGCTTCAGATGGTACTATCATAATCCCAATGGTTTCTTTCTGTTGTGAATGTCTCCATGATCTCCTAGCCAAGTCGCGAATAACTTTACCAACTTCTCGCTTTTGGAAATAAAGCTCAGTAAACCTATCGGCCTCCTTTTCAATTATATCAAAGATTTCATTAGATCCCAAAAATATACCGCTATTTAATAACTTGGTACTGATGATGGAATTTGGGTATCTCCAGCACATTTGCGTTCGTAATTGTAGCATTTTCGATTTATCGATATCTTCTTTTTGATAATGATCTAACAAATATAAATCGCCAGAGTTTCCATTTGAGTATACGGTATAATTTTTGGGGAATATTTGCAGTTTCTTGTCCTCTATATCAAGTTGGTTCTTGTAACTAACTGTAATACCCACTTCTCCCGAATCTCTATTTTTAAAAGCCTCTAACAAAACCTGGGGAGGTAGATTTGTTATAAAATCGCACGGAAGTAATATAAAGTTGCGAGTTTTGGATCGGAACGATGTGTTCTTACACAAATTGTAAATTATCTTCCCATTGTGCTCTGCGGTAAATGGCATCACCTCTATGGGAATAATTGATGGTGCTGATGACGATGATGGTGGTGATGAAGCAGCTCCAGCTCCAGCTCCAGCTCCAGCTCCAGCAGCAGCAGCTATATCGTGAGTATCACTAGAACCCGAACTCTTCTTTCGCATAATGGACTGGTAAATATCGATTTCCAGCTGTACCAATTCAGCGGATTCCTCCGATGTGACAACTATGATTTTGGAAAAAAAGGCCATCTGACACCAGTCTAAAACGTAGCTTAATATAGACTTATTAGCAACGGGCAACAAAGCTTTGGGTACACCCGTCGACCGTAATTCAGAAAACGGCACCAAAGCCTTCCCTTTACCACAAAACACAATGGCCGTGAAATCCATTATTGTCCAACCCTTGTACCTTTTCCTATCTCACCTACAATACAAACCTCTTCACTTATCAAAAGTATAATTGGCATTGAAAAGTTTGGAAAAAAGAAAGAGAGCGAGCGAGAAAAAAAAAACAAACAAAAAAAAAAAAAACAGAGAAAAAATGTATGCTACCAAATGCGTCAACCGCTACCAATTACATCGACAGCCGCCGAGTTCAACAAAAGAAAAATTGTTTTGCCACTTTGTTAGTAGTATCAAGAATTAGGAATTAGGATTTGCATATCTATTGGGAGGTAAATATTAAGGAATAAACGGGGCTATGAGCTTTGACGAAAATGACCCCTTGTTAAAAGCTTTGAATGCTGAACAAAACGCTGTTACGGACACGGGCAACGAGAATCCAGTTGCTGGTGGTGAAATGGAGAAGGAGAACAAAGATGAGCAAGGTACGAGTCTGGAAAGTGGTGATGGCTCGAAGGAAAGTCAGTTAGAACCGATTGATCCCGAAAGGGAAAGGGCTCTTCTGAAGTTCAAGGATAAGCTACTTGAGCATAGGAAGTGGGACGCAAGATTGAAAGAATTACGTTTGAGCATACGAGATTTGGAAAAGGATTACGATAAAACCGAAACTGATATCAAGGCATTACAGTCGGTGGGTCAGATAATAGGAGAGATATTAAAGCAATTGGACGATGAGCGGTTTATTGTGAAGGCATCTAGCGGGCCCCGTTACATTGTTGGATGCCGTAACACGATCAAGAAATCGAATTTAAAAAATGGTGTTCGTGTTTCGTTAGATATGACTACATTGACAATAATGAGGATTTTGCCAAGAGAAGTTGATCCCTTGGTATACAACATGACCACTTTCGAGCCCGGAGAGATATCTTTCAACGGAATTGGTGGGTTGACAGAGCAAGTGAGAGAATTGCGAGAAGTCATTGAGTTGCCCTTGAAGAATCCCGAACTTTTCATTAGAGTCGGAATTAAACCGCCCAAAGGGGTGTTGTTATACGGACCTCCTGGTACAGGCAAAACCTTACTAGCTAAAGCAGTTGCTGCAACTATTGGGGCAAATTTCATCTTCTCACCAGCGTCGGGTATTGTCGATAAATATATCGGAGAGAGTGCAAGGTTGATTAGAGAAATGTTTGCATATGCCAAGGAACATGAGCCATGTATTATATTTATGGATGAAGTTGATGCAATCGGTGGACGCAGGTTCAGTGAAGGAACCTCTGCTGATCGTGAGATACAGCGTACCTTGATGGAGTTGTTGAATCAAATGGACGGTTTCGATACCTTGGGCCAAACAAAAATAATCATGGCTACAAATCGTCCTGATACATTGGATCCAGCATTATTGAGGGCAGGTAGATTGGACAGGAAAATCGAGATTCCGTTACCAAACGAAGCCGGCAGATTGGAGATATTCAAAATCCATACTGCTAAAGTTTCAAAGCAAGGCGAGTTTGATTTTGAGGCTGCAGTCAAAATGAGTGATGGTTTTAACGGTGCAGATATTAGAAATGTCATCACAGAGGCTGGCTTTTTTGCAATTAGAGATGATCGAGATTACATTTTACAAAATGATATCATGAAAGCTGTAAGAAAAGTGGCTGACACTAAGAAATTGGAAGGCAAGTTAGATTACGAAAAATTGTAGTACGATAAGAATAAAACAGAAGAGTTTAAAAAGAAAAAAACGGAAAAAAAACAACAAACAAACAAAGAAGAGTAATAACTGACTCTTTTATGCATTGAGCAAAGTCTATGTACATATATATATGGGTGCATTTGTGTGTGTCATTAAGAGTCTACTTTAATTTTGATTCTCATTCTTACTTGACTCTTCCTCTGCCGTTCTTTGTATTATTTGTAATGTTTTCTCAAAGTCGCGGCATTTTTTATTCGACAAAGCTTCCAAATGCATACGCAACTCTGGACTTTCAATCTTGTTCAAATGTTGTGCCATTTTAGATCCAATGAAATCTTGGATTTCCTCAGATAATGGGTACAATTTCTTTTCCGGTTTAGAAGCTTGTTTTGCCAACCAAATTTTCTGTTCCACAGTCAAGGGCATCACGGGCCCATTGAGCTTGGCTACTTGTAAGCCATCGAGTGCTCTTCTTTTAAATTTACTATACGGATTTCTCAACTGATTCACTAATTTCTTGGGTATTGTTGATTTTCCAATTGTGTCAAAAGCAAAAGTTTTTTCAATTACAGTAGCTGGCGGAGTTGACAATTCACCATCTTCAATCTTTGACGGTTCCGGCCAAGGCAACTCATAGTCGTGATTCTTGATGTACCTGCGAGGTATCCATTCCTTGAATCTCTCGTCATAGTATAGCTCACCAAGCGTGACATTTTCGGCTACAACATAAGACACTTTCCCGCTATCGTCTTTCTCCTTACCAACAACTCTCACCTTACTCCGTGGCACATAATCGGGAAAGTCAAAAACATGCGACGTATGTCCCTCAGGCCAAAATGGTTTCGGCATTAGCTTTTTGGTTGAAACATTGCTTAGTGACACAGAATCAAACTCCGGTGTATATGTCAACACCTCAACAATTTTACCCTTATGTGGACCCTCTGTTACAAAAGCCAAATCTCCTTCCATAATACCAGCCTCAAACCGAGTCTTTTGTTGCGATTTAGGAACTTTGTCAGGAAAGAAACCTTTGAATGTTGGTAACGCCGTAGCATCTTGCGATTTCAAGAAATGTTTCTGAAGATTCTTGGGTAATTTGTCGATGTCTCGTACAAAACGAGACGTATATGATACCCAAGACATAGACGTTTTGTCAAATGTGTCTTTATATATATGTGTGTTAAAAAAAACAGTTGGTTTATTTCAACACAATGATAGCAAAAAATTTTCAGCTTGTAAAGAGACAGAAAATTGAAAGGAAAAAAAAAAAAATTCAAGACTCACAAATTATACAAAGTTATATATATATATATATATATAAAACTCAAGGTAGGTTTAAAGCGTAGCAAAACCCACCACCATGTTCTAGCCAATACGTTCCGCCGCTGTGCTCTGCCTCTGCTAGCTCATTCCGTACATATTCTGATAAATTCCTCCTCATTAACTAAAAGATTTGGGTTAGTAAACCTGGGAAAAGGGGGGGGGGAGTCAATATTATCCCTATTCTTGATATATACGTACTTTCACCATCTTCATCTAAATCAAATTCATCAATCATAGCCTGTAGTTCCTCATCACTCAAATTTTCACCCAAATCTCTTGATATTTTTCTCAAGTTTCTCACGCTTATCTTACCGGTGCCATCCACGTCGAATAATTTAAACGCACGACGGATCTCGTCGAGTGGGTCTCTTTTCAAAATCATTTCTCCAACTGTTTTGTAAAAATTGTCGTATGTCAATAAATTCGTGTCATCTGTATCGTATTCATGAATAATGTCCAAGACTTCACGTTTTGTCAACTCGAACCCAAGAGCTCGAAACGCTACTTTTGTTTCATGATAGTCCAATGACCCATCCCCGTTCATATCAAACAATTGAAACGCTTCTCTAATCTCTAGTTTCTGTTCTTCGGCCAAATCCAGTTTTAGATTCACATTATTACTATTATTACTCGTGCTACTTCCTCCAGCATTGCTTGGCGCAGCATAGACATTTCTCTTAGACGGTGTTATACCATTATTACCACTACTTAAATTATTGCCGTTGTTACCACCTAATGATGATATTCTCTCCCCTCGATTAAACATCCTGCTTATTCCCTATGTATATTTAATAAAATAAAATAAAAACTAAACCAAAATTGTTTCTCTTGTATTTAAAACAAACCAATAGATCTTTTTTTTTCCGCTGTGGTTATAAAAACGCGCGCCTTATCAAAAGAGGAGAGTGAGTGAGTGAGTAAAAGAAAGTGACAAGAGAGAAGAAAAAACAACAACATATAAATAGGCCCAAAAAAAGCCTTTAGATTTTTTACAACCAAATTTTTTTTTTTTTTTTTTTGAATTTGCAACCAACTTTTTTCTCTTGAGGATGGATGTCTTTCTTTAGATGAAATACAATATAGGCCAAAGGGTCAAGGTTCGTGATGAAGTAGGTATAGTGCGGTATATTGGGGAAACGAAATTTGCTCCTGGCGTTTGGTATGGTGTAGAATTGGATCGAGCATGTGGTAAGAATAACGGAACAGTGGGAAATGTTTGTTATTTCGAGTGTACGAATAAGGCTGGTCTTTATGGTGTTTTTGTAAAAGAAGCTCTATTAGAGGAAATAGGTGTAGATTCATTTAAAAGTAATTTAAGCGAAAAAAAAAAGCTCAAGGAAAGACTGAACCATGCCAATGAAAAGGAGAAGGAGAAGGAGAAGGAAAACATTGTAGTTGGAGATTTTCTAGACTCGAAAGTCAAGCTCCAAGAGTTTAAAGAGTTGGCAGAAAGAGCAGAAATGCACCAAAGAGACAATGAATTCCTTCAACAGCTCAAAACTCAGCTTGAAATCAAATTGAGCGAATTGACAAACAGTTATTTGGAATTGAAAGAAAAACATGCTGCTGCGCTTGAGGAGCTTGAAATAAACCATGAGTTGGAAAAGGAACTAAGTCAAGTCTCAGTGAGAGAATATTCTGCTCAAGATTTGAAGAGGTTAGTGGAAAACAATAGATACAACGAATCTCAATTGAGACATTTGGAAGAAGTAGTTCAAGAAAAGGACAAGCATTTGGCCTTAATCAAAGAGCAATTGGAAAATAGTAGACTTGGTATAATGAATTTGCAAAACAACTTGTCTCAAAGAGAAAAAGATATTGCCATGCTCAAGAATCGGATGGAAGCTGTTTCCGACCTTGAGGCCATGGCAGAAAGACTATCGCTAGAGAATGTCTCATTAAAGAGAACGGAGAAGGAGTTGAGAACTGCAATAATGGAGTTGAATGAGATACATGATATAGACAAGAAACTAGAAGAAAATCATATCAATGTAGAGGAACAACTAAGGCTTGAATTGGCCCATTGCAAGAAATCTTTGGACTTGGAAAGAGATTCAAATCACAAATTGAAAAGGAAACTCGAAATTACTGTACTGAAAACCAAAGTAAACGATGAAACACCACTACAGTCAGTTTCAATGCTAAATTCACAGATTCAGGCATTGCAAGATCAAGTCGCTGCTTGTAATGTGCTGATAAAGCAGCGTCAGATTCGCATACAGATTCTTGAGCTAAAGTATCATTTAATCTGTGAAAGAGTAGACAACTCCAAGTTATATAAAATGGATAAGCGATTTGTTGATTTGATCTTTGACTTGCGGAGTTTAGAGCTTGAATTGACTGTTTTGATAAAAGAAACAGGAAAAGATTTGGTATCAGAGAAGTTGTTTTGTGTTGAGTATTCATTGAGTGCATATTTGGCGCTTTTAGGTGTCATTATCAAAGTGCTTGAATATAATTACAATTCTGAGCTTTCTTCAGTCTTGCTATTACCATCGGTTGTTGAGTATGCTGATGATGTGAAAGCAGAGATAAATCAAGTACTACGGTACTTGATTGAAAGTAAAGAAAGAGAAGAAGAAAAAGAGGAAAAAGACGTAGACTTTGATTTTAAACTGTGTCTCCAGAAACTTTTGGATTTTTACAATTTCTTATATCTGCAAAATGAGTCGTTAAAGATGTCGATCCCGTTACAGCTCTGCTTGATCAACACCATAATGCTGAATACAATAAGTTATGGGGAAAAAGTTTTTTCAGTTTTTGCAGAGAAAAAGTTCACTGTGGAAATGACACATTTGGTCGATTTGAGTCATATTATGGCCGAGTTCAGGTCAATTTTTGAATCCATTTGTGATAAAGAACTCGAAACTGATATCTCAATAGACGCTCCACTAAACACTGGTCTTGTGCTAACATCACTAATCAATTGGGCAACAGCTATGAACAATATCTACTATGCACAGGAAGATTTTGATAATGATAATACTTGTAGTGAATTAGAGGTGGCATGGGTAGATTTGTGCAAGTGGAAAGCAGACGTACCGACAACATACCATGTGGAAAAAGTAGTTCCAATTAGCATATACGACATTGAGATAGATAGTTTACCAAACAACTCGATAAACCCAACAGAACCCAACAACAACAACAACAACAACAACAACAACAGTGAATTTGACACTTGCAATGAAATAATTTCACAAAAAAAAGAAAGTGAAATTCAAGACCTAAAGTTGAATATAGCCCTACTTGAACAAAACTTGAAGGTGGTAACCAAAAAAACCAGCGAGGAATCAGAAACTTTTCAAAAAACATTGACACTTATTAATGAGGACCTCAAAGAAAAGAGTGGAAAAATATCACAATTGGAAAAAGAAAAACTAGCTCTTGAAAGAGATTTGGCAGCTGTGGAGAATGATACACTTTTGCATTCAGCTGACATGGATGATTTGGAATTTCAGATCAAGTGCAACGAAAGAAAACAACGATTGGAAACACTCATTGATCTCAAACGAGAAGCAAAGTACAACTATGAAGAGAAAATAAGCTGGAGTTGGAATGAACTGAAGAGTTCATTTTGGAAGCCCGTTTCGCGTTTCCAAAACTTGGCAAAACAGCTAAGAAACCTTGCAGAAGGTATACAAATGGTACAAATTGAACTGACCAACAATCCAAAGTGGAAACTTAAGTCCGAATCTCCTTCAATTTTGAATGCTTATTTAGAAGAACAGTTTTTCAGTTACCAGTCTGCAAAAAAAGACCTTTTCTCCAAAGATCTGCTGATAAAGGGGGGTTCTATCCGTTGATAATTATCGTGTTTATTTTTTTTTTGTATCTGAATCCGAATCAGGAAATGCTTGAACGACGATGCTTTTTCGGCCACTTTGTAGCCAAGTCGATATTCTCTTTGGGATAGAAGTAGTTTAAACATGCTAATATGAAAATGTCAACAATAACTATCAAGACAAAAAGTTTTCCTGCAAACATGCCACAGCAGTAAAATTTCCTTAGCCTATCGATTAATGACTCGTTTAATGCAGCCAAATCCAAAGAGTCGTATACACTTTCGGTGCGAAGGGCAATATCACTCCAACTGTACATTTTTGCAACCAAGTCGTGAAACTTGGATGTATCGATTGCCCCTGACCTTATTTTCCCTATTGCTTCTAATGTTGTTTCCACAAGTGAGTTTTCCTCCGGATCGGCAAAGCTAGTCATGTCACCCGGTAAAACTTCAGGGATTCCTCCTACTTTTGTAGTTACCACATACAAGCCACACGAAGCTGCTTCAACAAGCACAGTACCAAATGCTTCCGTTAGAGATGGATGTAGGTAGATGTCACCTTGTGCCATTACGTTGCGAACCTCTTCGTGTTTCACTGCGCCAATTAATTGTACTCTTTCTTGCAAGAAATACTTTTCTCTCATTTGCTCTAAATCGAGAAACTTTGGACCATCACCGGCTATTACAAAGTTTACATCGGGGGCGGCTAAACAAATTCTGGGAACTATCGCATTTAATAAGTCTGCTCCCTTATTGGGGAATAGTCGAGTTATCACCACAATTGTTATCACATCTCGTTTAGCATCCGAGTTGCTTACTTTCGTCCTTGGCTTAAAGTCCTTTGAAACAACAGCATTGGGGATAACTGATACTTTCCACGGCTCTATGCTAGCTCTCAATACTGTGTTTTCTTTACATGTGTGGCTAACACAAATAACATGTCCCACATCACTGATTGCAAATTTTAACACTTTGTTGCCCCAAATGGATCCGAAATCAGCAAATCCAAATAAGGAATGGTCAGTAAAAACGGTCTTTAGTCCCATTGTTCTTCCATGAAATATCGCCTCATGGCCCATAGTACTAAACGTACCATGCCCATGAATGATATTGATTTGCTCACGAATGAAAATGTTCCGTAATATTGGAAATGCTGAAAACACGGTAGGGAAACCCGAAGACCTATATATCACCCAGAATGGTACATAATAGACTTTCAATCCATTTGTAAGGTATCGTATCCCTGTTCTCGATTGATAATCATGGGTTATAATGATGACTGTGTGACCCAAGTCAATTAATTTTTGTGAAAGATGATACACGTGGAATTCTACACCTCCTGGTTGAGGATAAAAGAAATCTGTCACCATTGCTATGTTGTAACCCATTCTCAACAAGTGATGCGTATGTCATTAGCCGGAGCAGGTATACAAATAGTAGTTTGGGCTCAAAAGAAGCACTACTACTACTGCTACTACTGCTACTACTGCTGCTTCTCTAGTGAAAAATAAAAACAAAAAAAAAAAGGGAAAAGCCGCACAAGAGAAAATTGGTATCAGTCAGTAGCTAGCTTATGACCAACTATTTCACAAAAATTTATCATCAATGCCGTGTATTTGAAATTTACATTTTCTTTTGAGATATTACATTTTCGTTTATAAAAAAAACTTTCCTTCCTTCCGCTTTCAGGTCATCTTTTCTATATTCTACACAAATGCGTCTCTTGGTAAAGAGTTTGCTGAATTTTTAAAGTTCATTATACTTTCGTCATAGTTCCAATTACTTTGTTCACAAAGTAGTAATGCATATTGTAGATTAAGTTTAGTTTCAATGACTATTTTTACAAGAATCTCTTGTTGACCTGGTTGTAATCTGGACTTTATTTCAGGTGGAAGATCCGACGCTGTTGGTGTGACAGCAGCAGCAGCAGCTGCTGCTGCTGCAGCAGCAGGTGGTGGTGGTGGTAATGCCCCACCTTGTAGTGCCGGGGATCCTGAAAATGGTCCTTGTGGAACCAATCCGTTCGTATTATTAATGCCTGTAGTAGGAGTAGGACTTGAGTTTGGATTTGTGGTTGGATTTGGATTAATAGCGGGTATCTGTGTCCAAGGAACTTCATTCGAAAATGGTCTTACTAACAATAAATCACTTGCAACAATCATGTTTCCATTTGGTCCAGGTATTACTAAAAAGGTTCTATCAAAACTTTTTTTGGATAATGCAACTTTTTTTGGACGATTATAGCTATGAAACCTAGCATTACCTCGTGCAGCTCCACGTGTATCATGTGATTCTGTTACTTCAGGCTGCGCGGTTTCTTCAAAACAGCCGTGAATAGTAATCAATATCCCATTTAAAACGGGAAATTTGTAGCACTCCATACTGAATACTTCAGGTTTAGTTGATATATCATGCTTGGTTCCAGGTAGCTGTTGAAAAAGTTTGTATATGGCTTCTGGTCCTACTGCTACTTTCTCCAATCGACTCTTTGCAGATGAAACACGAGTGAGATTTCTCGAGTTGGACAAGTAGTTTCCATAGTCATTACTCGAGCTATTGTTTTCATCTATAAGAAAAGGGTGTGATGAGTCCACTTGCATCGAAAATTGGGATTCGTTCTGATAGAGCACCATTAAGTTGACCCTATTTGTGTCCCATAGGTTCAAAAAACTTGCAATAAAGTTTGTTGATAGTGTCCTAATTTCATCGTCTTGGAAAAACATTGCTTGAGGCGCTTCAAAAGGGAAGGTGGAATTAGCATTTAAGATCTGTTCATTTCGAACGATTTCTCCATTCAAAACAACCAATCTCGGGAATGCTCTCATCAATTCCAATTTAATTGCATGAATCTCTGCAGGATTTGAGTTTTGCAAGAGCGGATTATTGAATAATATCAACTCTCTAAGAAAATTCAACTTATGCCTCCAAGTTTCAAAAACTTTAATTTTGGAAAATTGATTGTTCAGTAGTGAAAGATTTTGTAATTTTGGAAAAGTTTGAGCCATGTAAGAAAGTGACTGCAAATCAGTCAACTCGTTATTGGATAGATCAATACTCACAACATCGAGTTTCAAATCCAGTGCTATTTTCATCAAAGCAGGGAAAAACTTTGACGTTACCGATAATGATCCAAAGAAACCCTGTGCATTTAAATTTGGATCTTGCTTGACATTACTCAAATTCAACATTTTCAAGTCCGGCCGGTACCTTGATTTTAAAAAGCCCGTGATTACTTCAATGGTGTTATTTTGTCCGGGATTTGCTCCACCCATTTGATTTGACAAAGTTGAGGGTCCCTTGGAAAATCTCAAAGATTGACCTGCAAATTTCACGCCTGACCAGGTGAGCAAAGTATTTGCTTGAGACTCATTTTTCACGTACCCTTTTAAGACGCCGGTGTTCTTATCTACAGTATAGTTACTCACAATCACTCGACATTTCCTGGAAATGAAATTTATACAATCAGTCAGACTTGCTCCATTCCAACCAACTATTTCAACCGGATAAGCATTGGCATCGACAAAGGTGTCAATGTTTTGTTGCAACGATCCCCTGCCCTGATGGTTATTATTGTTGTAATTGCCGTTGTGGTCTCCACCTCTACCTCTCCCGCGATAACTCATCTATAACAACTGGTGAAAGCTCAAAGTAAATCCTTTGGAAAGTTGGTCAGTTGGGTTTTTTATTGTCAATATTTTTTTTTTTTTTTTTTTTTTTTTTTTCTTCTTCTTCCGATGGTTGGTAGTTCGAAAATGTGTCAAGTAACATTTAAAAGAAAAGGAAAAGGTTCCATTTCTGGCTACAATTGATGAATATGACCTCGACACTATTGAGCAGAGCTAGATAGTAGAGCAACACTAGCTATTGGAAGAGGAGAAGGAGGGAGGAGGATGAAGAAGGGGAGGATGAAGAAGGGGAGGATGAAGAAGGGGAGGATGAAGAAGGGGAGGATGAAGAAGGGGAGGATGAAGAAGGGGAGGAAGAGGGGATGAAGAAGGGGAGGAAATGAGGAGGAAACGAAGAGGGTAAATCATATATGATATTGCTACTTAATCTTCTTCTTTCACTGTACCATTTTCATGGAGAGTTCCCACAATTTTGTATCTATTTTCAAAATGTTCATCCCAACTCTCCAACGATTCTAATTCTAATTTAGTCAAGTTCTTTAAATCGTCAATTGGTTGGTCTATTGGAGTTAAAACGGCTGGATCAAAAGAGTTTAAAGCCAATCCTCTTGATGCATCTCTTCCGGCGAAATTCTCGTACGGACCACCTGGTCCGTAAAAAGCAGCACCTTGAGTTACGTCGAAAACTCTATTTTTAACAGCAATAAAGATCTTAGGGTCATCTTTCCCATTGTATTTAGCTAAAGTTTTTGGAGTAAATTTTCCTTGTACAATTGACTTGTCTTTATCATTATCACCAGCAGCTAAAGGATTCGAGTTATTGGCTACAAATTCGGTGTAGATGTTTTTTACAAAATATAAAACGATCAAGACTACTATAATTGTAGTTATCATGCTCTAATTCGTACTTTTAAAAGGTGTCACTGGTAATAAATGGGAAAAAAAAAGGTGTAGTTCTATATATGGAAATTATTTTTGATATTATCAAATACTTTTATATAGAATCTCTCATTCTTTCTTTTTCTCTCTCGTATAAAGGCATAAATGTAAGTGGAAAACTGCAGGAGATTTGTTATATTTGCTTTTGCTAATATACTCAAGATGTCTACCTACAAAGGATCTTATGACATTGTCTATAGTAGGTTGTATATCTGTAATACTCAATTTCTGATTACATATACCAACTTCTTGATTAGGCAAAAAGGAAAAATGCAATTCTTTTAAAGAGAGAATGACAAATATTAAAATCAACAATTTGGTTCTCCTCACTGCAGAGCGACACTCAGTAGCTTGTTGCGACACTATGGAGCAGAGCGAGATAGTGTCACGCTTCGCTTCACTCGTTTAGTCTCTAGTCTCTTTCTCTCTATCTACACTCTATCGACTAGACTCGCTTCACTCGTCTAGTCTCAGGTTTGATAGAGTAAGGATTCCCATGATTTATGCCAGTACCAACCATGTTGTTCATGATTAAACAAACATAGTTTATTACGCTTGTTTCTACAAAATTTTTTCTATATAGGACTCTAGAAAAAACGTATAGTGTAAATATTCTATATTGGTCAAGATCTGATGTTTATGGTCAAGAGCCACCACTAATGACACTATCGAGCAGAGCGACACTATCGAGCAGAGCGAGATAGTGGAGTAGCACTGACTACACCGACACCATCGAGCAGAGCGAGATAGTAGAGTAGCACTGACTACACCGACACTATCGAGCAGAGCCAGATAGTAGAGTAGCACTGACTAATGACACTATCTCGCTCTGCTCGATAGTGTTGTAACAAGCTACTGAGTGTCGCTCCACTAGTGTTGTTCCACTATCTCGCTTCGCTCGATAGTTCGAATATTTAGTTGAATTTTTTTTCCCCCTTCCTTTCTAACCTTTGAAAGATATACTCTTTTTTCTTAGGGAAGACTGCGGGTGATGGGAAGAGATATTGTAGCATTAGATAACGTTACAGTAAACAATATTGGGGTTCTTAAAAAGATCAACGAGGTGGTTTTACCTTGTAAGTATCCAGAATCTTGGTATAATCAATGTTTCACTGAAACTAATATTCTCGTTCAACTTGGATATTATGCCGAAATACCAGTTGGCGCTATAAAAGCTCGAGTAATCAATAATTATCAGATCAAGTCTTCTTTTGAAGAGGAGATTTCGAATTCAAACGTTTTAAAAAAGACCCCCAATTGTGTATACATTGAAAGTTTTGCAGTTTTACCAAACTATAGACATTATGGTATTGGTCTGAAATTGTTGGAATGGCTTATTGAGCAAACAAAAAAAAGATTTGTTCATGAAATAATCATACATGTACAAACCTGTAATGAAAGCGCCTTGGAATGGTATACCAAAAAGGGGTTTGAGAAGGGCGAATTAGTAAAAGATTACTACAAGAACCAAGAATTGGACAGTCCAGATGCGTTTGTCATGAAACTAAGAGTTTAAGAATATAATATAATATAAAATAATATAATATAATAGTTTTGAGCAAATGGCTCTTGAGTGCATTTAATTTGGCAGGACAAAAAAAAAAAAAAAAGAGGAAGAAGAAGCAAGAAAAACTACTCAGCTTCGTCCTCAGTGTCCGTATTAATATCGGTAAACACATCTTCATCTTCGTCTTCGTCTTCGTCCTTGACTTTCTTTGCTTTCTTAACAATCTCTCCCCTCAAAACTGCTAAAGCGCCAGATAGACTATCCTCTTCCGGGTCGGAAATATCACTATCCGAATCTTCCTCATCTTCATCTTCATCTTCATCTTCTGCTGCTTCCATCTTCTTTCTGGCTTCTATCACCTTTCTTATACCTTCTAAGCTCTTCTCCTTCGGTATTGGCAGAACTTCCAAATCAACCGGAATATCAACATCCCCGCCATAGTATGAATTACACTTCATTACTAATCTATAATGATATTTGCCCACGTTTCCCACTGCTGTTGGTAATGGAATCTTGAAAGTACCAATGACAACTTTCTCACCATTTTCCCAGTCCTTTTGACTCAAACTCAAATTTGATAAATCTATGTTCTCCAAAAAATATGATGTGCTTCCATCTACTAGTTTATTCTCCTTTTGAGCAATTATGTAGCACGCCCATTTGTTTCGCACCGCTTGTGGGAAATATGGTGCATACGCAAATGGTAATCTTGGCTGTTGCTCATTCACAATCATTGGGTTTTTCATATACTCCAACGTCTCCTCATCCTTTAACCTGGCATCATCAATTTCAGGACAGGACTTTAATTTTGGCGACTTGACAAGAAACTTGACCGAAAGATGAGCATTAGAGTTGGGAAGAACAAGTCCATCTTCGCCCGGTACCATTATTTGTGCATCAACCACCCTTAATGAAAAAAGCAGTTTGGCAATAGATAAAGCTTTCTCCAACTGTTCTTTAGATTCAATACCAAGAGCAGCCTTAGCTTCTTCTTGTGACAAAGTCAACAACTTGCCCAATTTCTTGACCGGTTGTTTAACAACTACTTCCTCATTTACAAAAGGTAACTGCAAAATTTCCTGGTACTTGCCTGTTGGCTTAACCGCTTGTATAACTGCTTTCTTTAAATCTTCTGCGGCAAAGACTGCTTCGTGTAATCTAAAAGCAACGGCAATATCAATCAATCCATCAATCAAAAAGGGGAGAATTGCAACCAACTCCACTTTTTGCTTTTCCTTTTGTTTGTCCAAACCAACCTTACGATCAAAGTGAGACTCAACCAACAACCTTTTCTCTGCCAAACTTAATTCCGGAACTAAGTCTAAAACTTCCTCACTTTCCAAAACATAATCAAGAATAGTGTTGCAAGTGATAATTTTAGCTGGGTCTTTATCGGCAAATCGAAGGACAATGTTGGCAGCAGTTTTAACATGCAAACCTTTCCTTGTATGATTTTTGACATTATTCCACCATTTTCCAACAAGTACGGGTAAAAGTAAACCAATCAAGATGAAATATAATACAACTACAATGGAGGAGTATTTACCCTCGACCAAAAATGTTGGTAATGCAATTCCATGGGTGATAGGCTGCTCGCCATCTGGATGTCCATATCGTATATAGTTTTCCCTCGTGGCGTCATCAGTCAACGCTTTATAAGCGCTGGTTAATCGAATATACTCCTGTTCCATTTTCATCCTCGCCTCGTCAGTCAAGTCTCTGGGCAACTTGTCGGGATGGTACTTTAACGATAACTTTCTATAATGACTTTTCACTTCTTTCTCACTAGATGAAAAGGACACATCCAAAATCGCATAAGGATCAAATCTACCAGACATGTCTTCTTCTTTTGTCATGTATAAAGCAATATAAATCACCGAAATCCATCCAAGAAACAAGACAAGTAAAGTTTTGCTGAAAACCTTCAGTGACTTTTGCTTGCTCTTGTAAGCACTTATGTATTTCACATTGGGAACATCTATGGTGTTGGAATTTTCCTTTATTGAACCAACAATTCTAGAATTAATTTTGTCAGGGTCAGAGGAAATAATTCGTGTAAAATACTTGATTGTCATCGGTAATAGGATGAAGGTCAAGAGTGCCATAACGAAGAATGGCCATGTCTCGCCCTCCCCATCATAGTTATATTCGGATGAGGCCATTATACCTTAAAGCCCCTGTCAACTTTCACACAACTTAAATATATTCTTCAGATGTATAAGTTTTTCACCCAAAATTTTTCGTATTGACGTGTTTTTCTTTAGGGAGTCTCCAATAGCCACATTGAAAAAAATTAACAAAAAAAAAAAAAAAAAAAATGAAAAGAACAATAAAAAAAAATGAAGAAATGTTAAAGATAAAACAAAGTATGATTGCCAGAGAAAAGGGTGAGAAGAAATGATGATAGAGAGTTAATCTGGGAAGGGGAAGAGGGTTGTCGAGAAGCGGAAACACTTGGCGTGTTTTTTTTTTTTGCTGGTGAAGTAACATATTTTTTTCTCTTCTTCTTCTTCTTCTTCTTCTTCTTTAAAAACCTAGTGGTGGAACAATCTGATAGGATTCTCCACATAAACTATATCTCTGGAATTTGCAGCATCGAAAACAGCCTTGTCCATTACAGAGCCGCTTGGTGCTGCGATAAATTTAACACCAGATCTTGCAGCTCTATAAATATTATCAGGGAAGGGGAAAAATGCATCTGAAGATAACGCAACATTGTTTAATTTGCTCAACCACTCTTTTCTCTCCTCTGGGGTTAATGGCTCGGGAACCTCAGCGAATTTGGACTCATATTCGCTCTTCTCTGGTTCCTCAGTTGGAACTTGATTAGAAACGTACAAGTCAATAGCATTGGACTTCTCTGGTCTCTTTACACCTTTGGCCCATTTGAATGCTAATACTTTAGGATGCTGTCTGAACCACCAATTATCAGCCTTGTCTCCGGCAAGTCTTGTACAGTGGATTCTTGACTGTTGACCTGCACCTAAACCAATAACCATACCGTTTTTGGCGTAGCACACTGAATTGGATTGAGTATACTTCAAGGCAATAGTAGCAATTGTCAAATCAATAGCACCTTGTTCGGGTAAATCTTTGTTTTTGGAAACAAATTCTTTGAATGAGGAACCCTTGATTATAGCATCATTTCTCTTTTGCTGCAAAGTGACACCATAAACTTGTCTATTTTCCATGATATCAGGTGTAAAATTAGGATCAATTTGCAAAACACAGTACTTGCCGCCTTTCTTCTTCTTCAAAATCTCCAAAGCCTCATCGGAATATCCTGGAGCAATAACACCATCGGAAACTTCTTTAGATATAATTTGAGCAGTAGGGGTATCAACAATATTAGAAAGTGCAATGAAATCACCAAAAGATGACATTCTGTCAGCGCCTCTGGCTCTAGCATAGGCATTTGCAAGTGGAGATAAATTCTCAATATCTTCAACAAAATAGATCTTCTTTTCAACATCAGACAATGGCAAACCTACTGCAGCACCTGCTGGTGAAACGTGTTTGAATGAGGCTGCTGCTGGCAAGTTCAATGATGCAGATAACTCCTTCACCAATGGCCATGAATTTAATGCATCCAACAAGTTTATGTACCCCGGAGAACCATTTAAAACCTTAAAGGGTAATTCTCCCTGTGATACAAAAGCTTGAGCAGGCTTTTGATGAGGATTGGCACCATACCTCAAGGGCAATTGAGACACATCTTCTGCATATTGTTTTCTGAAAAAATCAGAAATAGCTACGTCGTAATCAGCTGTGTGCTCAAAAGCCTTCAATGCTAATTTGTTTCTTGTTTCTGTGGATATTTTTCCATTCTTTAATTCGTGTAAAAACCCAGAGTAGTCCTTTGGATCTGATAAAATTGTAACTCTCTGGTGGTTCTTAGCAGCAGCTCTTAATAATGTGACTCCACCAATATCAATCTCCTCAATTGCTTCATCAACAGTCACTGCAATCTTAGAAACGGTTTCTTTGAAAGGGTACAAATTGCACACGACAAAGTCAACTTTCTCGATACCTTGTGCAACCAAGTCCTTTTCGTCGCTTTCCGAATTTCTTGCCAAGATTCCTCCGTGAACAGCAGGGTGTAACGTTTTGACTCTTCCTCCTAACATTTCTGGAGCATGAGTGATTGAAGAAACATCTTCAACAGGAAAACCAGCTTCACGGACCAATTTCGCAGTCCCACCGGAAGCCAAGATGCGGATATCAGCGGCAACCAAACCCTTGGCAAGATCCAAAAGACCTGTTTTATCGTAAACGGATAATATAGCAATTTGTTTATGTTCTGTCATAATTAAATGAAAACTCTATGATGACTCAACTCGACTGGACTATCTGTTCTGTTTGATGATGATAATTATTCAATTTTTCTTTAATTTTTTTTTCCTTTTTTTTTGGGAAATGGAAACTCTTGAAACAATTGCGCGAGATGAGCAAATAGTTAATTGTTGGAAAAACAAGAATAATCCTTTGATACGACAGTAGTAGCGCAAAAATTCAAGTGAGATCAGAATGAAACCAAAGTGATAATCTCTTCCAACAGCAAGTGGTGAAAGAAAATTGAAAATGAAAACGAAGAGAGGAAAATGAGACAATAAAAAAAATTGCGACAAGCAAACGAGACACCGAGGTGAAAAAAAAAAATAAAGAACACTCGTAATAGTTGATTACAAGTAGGTGTTTATTTGGCTAGGCTATTTGGCTAGGCTTTGCATGGCAAGACATATAGTAATAAAAAGAATGTTCGAATCTGATTTTATAGAAAAAGTGCATTTTCTCTGGTTAGTCGATATTGTTATTCAAAGTACACAGGTATACAAGTAAACAAATGATGTACAGCTCGCCAAAGAGAAGAGTCGATAAAAATCAGCAACACCTCGCCAAAAAGAGTCGATAAAAGTCAGCAACACCTCGCCAAAAAAAAAGTCGATAAAAATCAGCAACTTTATGATCTGTATCTCCATAATGACAATGTATTATGTTTCTTCCAAGTGTGTCTTCTACCGGCTCTGGTTTTGTTGTACAAGTGACCTTTGTTGATACCTCTTGATTTCTTACCAGCAGATGTAAGACCTCTAGCTTCTCTGTGTTTGTGAACAGCATTAGCAATCCAGTTGTATCTTGGGTCTCTTCTGACGGCCTTGTGTTGAGGGTCAACTAAAATAACCTCAAAGTATTTGTAAGTAGAGTCTTGGTTAACCCAGTAAGAGTTCAAAACTCTCAAGTTGGCTGCTCTTCTACCAACTCTCTCTTCAGCGGTGGTTCTCAATGATTTTTGGTACTTCAACTGGTTAACACCTTGGTTGGTTGGTTTACCGTAAGTAGCACCTTTTGGAACTGGTCTCTTTCTTCCACCTCTTCTAACTCTAATTCTGTAAATAACAAAACCTTGCTTAGCCTTGTATCCCAATCTTCTTGCCTTGTCTGGTCTAGATGGTCTTGGGGCTCTGTGAATAACATTCTTTTGTCTGTATTCCCAGCATCTGACCCTGTAAAGGAATCTCATAACATCGGATTGCTTCTTTCTTTGCAATTCTTCCAAGTATTTGTATGCACCCATCTTTGATAGTTGTTGTTGTTGGCTGTGAAGTAGAGGTGAAAAACCAAGTTAACTTTTAAAAGATATTCTTCTCTTAGTAATTTTTTTTTTTTCACTTGTTTTAAGTGAAAAATTTCAACCTTGTCACAAAGAAAGAAAGAAGAAAAAAATAAATGAATATATAAATTTATAAATAAACTCAAACACTTCAATGCTAGTAAATGAAGTTGCAAAAATGACCATGAAAGAGTATGCATTTGCAAACCTTTCCCTCAAATCATCCCTTCTTTGCTAGCATCGTTTTTTCCCGAATCATCCTTTCTCTGCTATCAAATGCTTGCCTTTAATCTCTCGCTTTGCTAAGTTTTAGGGGGGTCTAAATGTTGAAAGGAGCCCAGTTAGAGAAATAAAAAAAAGTTGAATATATTTGATTACACGTGAGCGTGTCTTTTGTTAGGGCTATAACTATGTGTTGCATTTTTATTTTTATTTTTTTTGCAGCCAAACGCTACCGTGGTTAAATTTAGACCGCCTCCCCCCCCAGATTGAAAAGAGCGTCACTATCTCGCTCTGCTCGATAGTGGAGCACAGTAAGTGCCACAGACATCATCTCCACTATCGAGCAATATTGGTTAGTATATGGACAAATGAGTTTATGAGGAAAGACTAATTAGAAACTATAAACTACATTATAGAATGCGACACATTGTACTGACACATCTATAACGCAGACCAGACTCGCTCGCTCGTCTAGTCTCTAGTCTCTAGTCTCTTCTCTACTTTTCCTCTTTCGACTATCGGGAACAGCTCGTTAGTCTATCTCTACTCTCTAGGTTGTTTACTCTTGGTGGTAGGTGTACTCTACTGTTCTGTTGTACTCTAATCCTGTACTGACACATCTATAGCGCGGTGTAGTCAGTGTCGCTAGTCACTGTTGCTCCACTATCTCGCTCTACTCGATAGTTGTAGAAGTAGTGGTGAATTATAGCTTTGTTGAGTTTTTACTATGACATAATTAGTGTCGCTACATACATTGTTGATGTGTTTGTTTTTTTGCACCCAAATGAGAGAAAAACTGTTACATTTCCCTTCATATATTTTGACAGGGTATACGCTTGTATGAGGTAGATACGGCTCCTTCATTTTCTTATTATATATACACGATTCCACTTTTTAGTAGAATATTTGGGAAACGTGTTGCTAGTGTTACTACAACGTGTTGTGCTCCACTAGCGAGCAGAAGCGAGATAGTGTCGCTAGTTGCTAGTGTTACTACAACGTGTTGTGCTCCTCTATCTCGCTCTGCTCGATAGTGTCGCTAGTTGCTAGTGTTGCTACAACGTGTTGTGCTCCACTATCTCGCTCTGCTCGATAGTGTCGATAGTGTAGCTCTATTTGGAAGACCTTGGAATACGATGGCATATATTATTTATATGACCCGTGCACTTTTGCGATTGAATGCGAGTTTCTTAAAGCAAGTACATTACGATAACATACAACAAATTAAACCAGTGCCGATAACCCATTTTACCTGCTTGTATCCACCTGAGGAATAATGAACAAAAGAAGCACGAAGTTTCCTTTAACTAAGCGGGACCTTTTACATACAAAAGTAAATAATCAACTTTGTGTAATTTGATATTTAGTGAAGCTCATCGCAAAAACTGCGCTATATGATTTAAGGTTCCTTTCTAACTTGTACAGAAGGGAGGAGAATTTAGACAGCACCATTAAGTTATATCACGATGGGAGATGCCATGCACCATGTTTCTACAGATAATATGAACGATCGTAAAGAGCAGACTAAAGATGGACCTAATTCGGAAAGTATTCAAAGTGCATTGGAAAATGATCGAGAGCAAGATTTACAAATCAATATCGGGGAGGAAGATATAGAAAAAGGCCATTTGGAAGAGCCCTTACTGCCGAACAAGTCCCTTGAGGGAAATCAATTGGATACAGAGAAGAAAGAGGAGCAGGAGAAAGAGGAGCAGGAGAAAGAGGAGAAGAAAGAGGAGCAGGAGGAGAAGGAGGAGGAGCAGGAGAAAGAGGAGCAGAAGGAGGAGCAGAAGGAGAAGAAAGAGGAGCAGGAGGAGCAGGAGGAGCAGGAGGATAAGGAGGAAGAAGAGGATAAGGAGAAATCTAAGAGCGCTCTCAATGAAGACATTTCAGAAGATTTGCACCATAGTCTGGAACCAAAAAATGAATTCACTGGAGATGAAAAAGCCAAAAACACAATACTTGAAGAAGTGGCTGTGAATATGCAAGAGACGAAAGCTTTTATTAGCAGTAATGCTAATGCATCTGAAGAAACGACTAATACCAATAATGAAGCCATTACTGACAAGGAGAAAACCGAAGCAGGAGACTTATCAAGTGATGATGATGATAATGATGATAATGATGATGATAATGACGATGACGATGATGATAATTCCTCAAGCAGTTCCGACGAGAGCGATGAGGAAGATATTTCTGATTCCGTTTCACAAGAAAAGGAGACACAACTTGAAGCAAACGCTGCCATTGACATTGACAATGACGAAGATGACGCCATTGATGGTCCTATCAAGTCAGTAAACGAAGTTGAGGAAAAGGCTCTTTCTTTGCCAGATGACTACAAGATTCCAGAAAATGCACCAATTGAACGAATTGGTGAGATCACTGGAATTGTAGAAAACTCAATTATAATAAAAGCAAAGACTTCAGGGGAGTTTCGGATACTTAAGGAGGGCTCTATTTTTTGCTTTGAAGATAGACAGCCGATTGGTCCATTGTTTGAAATATTTGGCAGAGTTCAACTGCCAGTTTACAGCATCAAGTTTTCTACTAAAGAGGAAACAGAAAAGTTTAAAGATTGTAAGGGCAAAACTGTGTGTTATGTTGTAACTGACTCACAGTTCTTATACACTGATACAATTAAACACGTCAAGGGAACTGATGCAAGTAATTGCTATGACGAAGAACTATTGGAGGAGGAGCAAGAGTTTTCCGACGACGAAAGCGAGTTAGCAGCAAAGCAAGCAAGGAAAAAGAAAAGGAAGAATAAAGATGTCACGAACCTCAAAAAGAAAGAAGAAAATAGGCCCATTAAAAGACAACATGTTCTGTCCTATAGCCCAATGCATAACTCGAATCTGTCAAGATCAAATCCGGCAAGTTACGAGCGTACTCAATACTCAAACTATGCATCTAACCAACAGCTTAATCAGTACCCACAAAATTCCAATCTTCAGTATGATTATCCTTACCAGCCGCAATTTAGCACCAACCATGCTTACCAACAACCTCCATACAACGCCTCTAGCTTTAATCAGCCCAGTGCATACATCACTCCGTATTATCAACAATCAGGAATCGCACCATCAATGAATCAGTCACCACCATCAATGAATCAGTCACCACCTCAGTATAATCAGTTATACCAGCAGCCAAATCAAAATGTAAACAGTGCTCAGTTGGCACATTTACAAAACTTGCTTATGCAACAACTACAAAGAAATCAACAATGCAACAATCCGAACAATGACTACCACCCGGACAACAAGCAATAAGTTGTAAATGTACCTCTTTATATATGCATTTCACAATATATAGACACACACACACACACACATATATATATATATATATTCATTTCACATCACAGCTAGAACTTTCTCAGCTTTCATCAAAGCAAACAGCGGGAATCCTGCTTTTTTTGCTACTTCCAATGCATGCGACCTTTCACTAATTCCCGGCTCTAAAGTATGATCTATCATTACCCGCACATCTGTATTACCACACATATCTAATTCCAACACTCTTGTACGACGAAATCTGATTCGCTCTTGATTTACTTTCTCGTCATCAAGAATTCCTTTTAACTCTTTTGCAAAATGAGTCGCGAAAAATGTCCGGCATTGGTTGATCTGAAGTAAACTCACTAATGTTGCATAAGCAATAGCCAAACCCTCCTTGCCGCTGGTTCCTCTACCTACTTCATCCACGATGGCCAAGGACTTCGATGTCGCGTTCAACAAGATATTACTTGTTTCAACCATTTCTACCATAAACGTGCTCAAGTCATTGTAGAGGTCATCCGAAGCCCCTATTCTTGTAAATATTCTATCCACTATACCGATTCTCGCCTTCTCTGCTGGGACAAATGAGCCTGCTTGGGCAAGAATAACAATAAGCGCATTTTGTCTTAGAAACGTACTTTTCCCACCCATGTTGGGACCAGAAATAACCCACATTAGTTCCTGTTTATTAAGCTTTGAGTCGTTGGGAGTAAACATGCTACCAGCATCCTTGAGACTTAAATCAACTACGGGATGGCGACCCCCAACAATTTCCAATCTAGTAGACTTCTCAACTTGTGGACAGCTCCAATTATGCTCCTCGGCAATGATAGCAAATGAGGCTGTCACGTCCAAAAAGTCAACTGCTTTTCCCAACTCTCGAATCTGCTGGGCCTTCTCAGATATTTGCTCTTTCAAACGCATAATAATATTTCTTTCGATGCTCTTAATTGAGTCCTCTTTGTCCAAAAGTTTGTGCTGCAATTCCAACCACCTCTGAGACCGATACGTCAATGTCCTTTTCTGACGTAATAACACGTCCGACTGGAATTTCTCAGCAGCAGCACTTATTGCGTCTAATTTGGCATTAATAACCAACACATTTGACCACCGGCTATACTTTTCTCTTTTGGATATTGTTGCTTTTCGGTCTAAAAGAGACAATTCTGTTTGAAGCTCATTCAAGAAGCTTTCTTCTTCTGAAACTAATTGGTCGAATTCATCGTGAAGTAATTTCAATGTCTCGTTATAATCTTTTCTAATTTGAAACAGAGGCTCAACGCCTTGCTCATCTTTAGTTCTGTACTTTTCCAAGAAAGAATTGGAATCCATCTCATTATCATTATTAACATCTTCCTCCAAACTGGAAACGACAGTAGCGTCAACAACATCTGCAGCTTCTCCTTTTTCTGCATCACCAACCACATCTGAATCACACAGACTTAGGGGAACATCAATAATTGCGTCCAATATTGTATTTGCAAGTTCCATAGGTACGTCAAATTTATCGACAAAGCCGCCTAATGGACGCAATCCCTTCGAATCCTTTGTAAATTCGTCTTTCAAGAAAGATTTCAACTGCTCCAAATCTAGCAATGCGTCTGCTAATGCTTTCATATTGGACACATCATCATTGGTTCCTATTGAGATTTTCTGAATCACACGAATGAAATCGGGTAACTTTTGCAATCGTTGACGAGTTACTAATCTCAAGTGGTGGTACTTCAAAAATATGCCAACGTACTTTTGTCTCTTTTGAATTTCGACAACATCTGTTAGAGGAGCCTTTAACCATTGAAGAAGTAAGCGGGAACCAGACTGTGTGCAAGTCCTTTTTATTGACGAGTGCAATGTTCCAACCGTCGATATTCTTCCTGTTGTTGCCCGTTCGGTCAATTCCAACGTTTCTCGCGTCCTTGAGTCCATTTGCAAAGTGTCATTGTTGCAAAATCTCGTAGGCAAGTCCAACCGCATTTGCACTTCTGGTAAATTGACGTTGATGTAAGATAATGCGAAATTCAAAGCGGCTTGCTCACGAACGCTCAAACCTTCCAAGAATTTCCGAACCGCTTGAGCACTACCTTTGAAATGTGATTTGGAATTTATATTTGAATATTGAGTATTATGATACCGTACAAAGTATTTTTTAAACTCTTGCAAAGGAGGAAACCACGAAATTAGATTAGAGCTTTTTTCAAAGTACTCTACTGGCACCAATATTTCGCTAGGATTGATTCGAGACACATCGGCAATCAAGTTCCCCAAGGTTGTTTGCTGGACAAATGTTTCTCCTATCGAAACATCAATCCAACACAATCCAACTGTCAAGTCAGGATCAGCAATAGTTTGCGTCATATTGGGCGGGAAGGAAATTGCCAATAAATAGTTGTTCTGATTGAAATTCATAAAGCTCTCATCCATCAACGTTCCCGGGGACACAATTCTCGATACCTTGCGATGAAGCAAATTTTGTATAGTTCTATTCTGAGTATCATATTGGTCAACTATCGCCACATTCACGCCATGTTCGTGAACCAACATCTCTGTGTATTTTTTGATCTGCACCAAGGGGAATCCTGCCATAGGTATGTTAAAATTGCTGGTCTTTTTGTATGCTACTTTCAAGCCGAGTTTTGGTCCAAATTCCTCCGCTTGATCGAAATGTAGCTCATAAAATTGTCCAATTTGAATCAAACTGACGCAGCTTGGATTCTGGTCTATAATCCGCTTGATCGAGGCAAATAATGGAGGCATGGTTGAAACCTCAGTAGCTCCAATTGGGGTATTAATTCTATCCCTGCGACCACCTCTATCCCAACTCTCTAACCGGTCTCGGTGTCTCGGCTTATACAAAACAGTACAAGTTTCAAAAAATCTAGCATATTTTCGACTTGTATCATTGCAAAAAGCTCTTCTCATTCTCTATAGTTGCAAAAGGAAAACTCTTGTCATTTACCCTTTGTTAGCAATTTTGAAATTGTACCTCTAGCTTTATCTTGGCATCTAACGACCGCCTACTCAGTTATTTATCCTCTTTAAAAGACATTGAAAACCGGTTTTCGATAATTGAAAATTTTTGAAACAGATTTGTATTTATTGCAAAACAAAATAATTTAAAGAAAATGAGCTCACAGTCGTTGACTTGTTTTAAGAGTGAAACGTAGAGTATAGAGATATAACATTATCGACAACACTATCGAGCAGAGCGAGATAGTGTTGAAACAAATTACCGAGTATTGCTCCACTATCTCGCTCTGCTCGATAGTGTCGTGTCGATAGTAGTGCAACACTTGATAGCCTGTTACAACACTATCTCGCTCTGCTTGATGGTGTCACTGCTCGATAGTGTCACTGCTTGATAGTAGTGCAACACTTAATAGCTTGTTACAACACTATCGAGCAGCGCGAGATAGTGTCGTGTCGATAGTGTTGTCGATAGTGTCGTGTCAATAGTATAAGGCTTTTTATTTATTTCTTTCTTGAACTTCTTCTCACCAGTGGCTGTCGCGTTGCAGCCGGCTGTACGTTGATACTTCTACTAGACCTCCTTGTTTGCAAACTTGATTGATTTGCATCGACTTTTTCTGCTTTATCAGTTTTTCGTATTCTGTCTTTTTTGTTCCCACTTTTTGCATTTGCATTCGTTTCCCCCTCGTCCTCGGAAATAGGCTGCTCTTGCTCTTGCCAATTGTCTTCATCTTTGATATGAGTTTCCGACCTTGTTCTCCTTCGAGTGGGCAATGACGGAGCAGCAGCAGCAGCAGCAGCAGGAGGAGGCGACGATTCCTGATCAGCCTCTGTGTACTTTGTCTTTTTCCTTGTAGATGTCAATTGTACTTGTACAGGCTCCTCTTGGTCGTCACCCAATTTGACACTGAGCCTGGTTCTTTTTCTTGGCAACAAAGTTGCTGTTGATGTTTCCGTATTAGGTTGTCTTTGTCTTGTTCTATTTGCAGGCGCTGAATCATCATTATCGCCTTCTTCCTCATTGTCATCCAAATGAGTTTCCTTTGATTGATTTTCTTCCAAGTGGTTTTCCTCTTTTATACTGCTATTTTTCTTATCTTCTTTCAGGGCATTTGCCTGATCAGCCAGGTGCGCTACTACTACATGATCATTGTCATCACTATTATCCTCCTCCTCCTCCTCCTCCTCCTTTTTACCATGATCATCATTTTGAGTATCCGATGATTTGTCTTTGGTCTCTTTTTCCGCGCTGTCTTCGATAAATGTCTTTTGACCAATAATGCTCTCTTCTTTCTCTACTGTAGAGTTTCTTAACCGTCGTTTCTTCAAATTCTCTGGTGCAAATTGACTTCTTGTTTTCCGTTTATTTGATTTGGTTGTAGAATCGTCATTAGACTCCTCCTCCTCCTCCTCCTCTTCTTCTTCTTCCAGTAAAGCCTCATTTTCTTTCTCATTCGCGCTCTCGCTCGCGCTCTTGCTCTCGCTCTCGCTTTTGCTCTCGCTTTCACTTTCACTCTCTTTCCTTACATCGGACACCAGTTTGTCCTCCTTCTCAGCATTGGCTCCCCCTTTAACTGGCGAGTCTTCATCTTCAGTTTCTTTTGTTTCTTGTACATCGATACTTTCTTCACTCCCATTATCTTCTATAGCGTCAATTCTCGGTAGATTGTATAATTCCCCAAGTTTCTGCCATACATCATCATCGGTAAGTGGCTCCTCCTTCAGCACATTCACCTCCTGGTTTATTTTATTGCATATTATCTTGACATTCTCATGTTTCTTTTTCCCTGCTGGTTTATAGTCGCAGATTAAACTAAACAACTGTATTTCTTCTTCAACCGACCACTTTCTCCCAGCAGATTCAGCAGATTCAGCAATTACCGACATCTCATCAATCGTAATTGAAATAACCCTCGGTAAGAAGCAAATTTGGGCAATTCCTCCCCCTGTCAGTTTAAAAGAACTTACTCCAATCTTAACAAACTTTTACATTTTAAAATTGAACAAGATGGAAAAAAAAAAAAAAAAATTAAAAGTGAAAAATTTCTTTCCTTAATAAACCTTTGGTTATTGGTAAGGAAGGAAGGATATTTGCTGGCTAAGCTAAGCTATATTGTTGTTGTTATTGTTATTGTTGCTGTTGCTGTTGCTGTTGCTGTTGCTGTTTCCCTCTTTTGGCGTACCAAGGTTTTAGAGTATAAAGATGCCGCGGAAGTTGGATCGAGTTTCCCGCATGGTCAGGGGCGGTGTTGAAATGTCTATGAATAGATTCAATTTATTCAATTTATACAGAAAGAGTCCTATAAATTATATTGGGAAAACTTTATACCAACAGAAATGGGCAGCCAAATCGGAAACGAGGTCGTACCATGGTGAGCATTTGAATGAGAAAAGGTTTAAGAAAGTCTTATTTGAGCCTGAACTTAAGACGTACTCGCAACTAGATGCATCGTTAAAAGGTCAAGATGTAGCACCAACACCTATTACGTTGCAGACCTATGCAACTTTGGAGAAGAGGCTAGAGATTGCTGTTTTTAGAAGTCTATTTGCTTCTTCCGTTAGACAAGCGCGTCAGTTCATTCTTGGCGGATACGTCAAGGTCAATGGAGTGAAAATCAAGCATCCTTCTTTCCCACTAAAGAGCGGTGACGTATTTTCCGTTGACCCTGAAAAAGTCTTGTTTGCTATGGGCAAGTCCAAACCAAGTTTGAGTAAGGCGATCAATATTGACAATAAGCAGGTGAGGTACTGGAATCACTATGTAAGTATGGCTAAAAAGGACCCCAAGGCAGCCTGGGAGAGGCAGCAAAATAAATTCAAATCCTTGAATCAAATAGAAAACTTTGAAAAGAGGGAAACACTTGATGCTCAAAAGAAACAAGGTGAATTGATGATGAAAAAGAGGCAGAATGCGACAAACAAAATGACCATTTTGGAAGATATTATAAATCTTGGAAATGCCGCTGGCCATAATATATCCGTTGAAACGTTTCACAAGTATGGTGATGTTGCCAAAGAGAAATGCTTGATAATTTATCAAGGATTATCCAGATTGAACCATCCACTTTTAAAAGAAAAATCGCATGAAGCTTTGAATGCGTATTTTGCCAAGGAGACGGAAATGTCCAACGAAGAAAAAACTGAGTTCAGAAAGACAAAGAATATTTTGAGGGAGTTGGAGAAGAGCGAATGGAAAAGAATACGATTGGAAGGTGCAAATGATGGCAAGTTTTTTGATCCATCTAATATAATGAGACAAACTACTTTTACGCCAATAGATAAGGAAAAAGTTCTTGAAGATGAAACAAGCGCTAAAATCAATTTCCCATGGCAGCGCCACTTGTACGGCCGTAAGGAACCACTGAAGCCTTATTTCACTCCATGGACCCCACGGCTGTTTCTCGGTGCTTTTGCAATTTTGCCATCTCATATCGAAGTATCGTTTGATACTTGCCATGCCGTGTACTTGAGAGACCCAATTGCAAGACCAGGACATTCTGAAGTTATAACGCCCTTCCCAGAACATGTTCACGAGAGGGCTTATATGTACTACATAAAGAGAGGTATGTGATGTTTCCTGTAAATAGAATAGACACTATCGAGCAGAGCGAGATAGTGGAGTAGCACTTGATAGCTTGTTGCAACACTAACTATGCCATACTCTTTGACTCTTTTACTCTTTTACTCTTTGACTCTTTTACTCTTTTACTCTTTGACTCTTTTACTCTTTTACTCTTTGACTCTTTTACTCTTTTACTCTTTGACTCTTTGACTCTTTGACTCTTTGACTCTTTCATCCATTGCCTCTTTGACTCTTGGTGAAAAAAAATGGGTGAAAAAAAAATGGTAGGCGGTGCAATTGGATATAGCCTAGATGGCGCGTCTTTTAGCAAAGCATGTTCGTCGAGCAAAGGTCATTTCACCGTTGCTTCCACCGTTGTTAGCGGCAACAAGGGATCTAGAGAGGGCTCAATTGGAACTAAAATGGATCAAAGAAGAGCTTCCCAAGTCGGAATGGGTACTGGCGGTGAATTTGAGAAAAGGACTTGTTCCCTTACAATACATCCTTAAATCTCAACCTTTTGGTGATTTGAATATTATTTGTCGTGAAGGGGTGTTAATACCGAGGTGGGAAACAGAGGAGTGGTGTACCAGATTGGCGAAATTCATAATTGATAGTAAATTATCAAAAGTCAATATCGTTGACGCATGTTCTGGTTCTGGTTGTATACCACTTTTGCTAAGCCATTTATTGGCAAAAAACTCAATTGACTCAAGAGCTTACGGGTATGACATATCTGAAAAAGCTGTTGAACTAGCTAAAGAAAACTTGGAGCTGTATCTTGCTACTTATCCGAGTAAACGAATACAGATATCGTTCCATTTGGCGGATGTTTTTGATTCAAAATTATGCAAGAGTGTAAATATACAAGGTGATGATGGTACTGGCATAGATTTGGTCACTTCTAACCCGCCCTATATTCCATTGGAAGACTACAAAAAGTCTTTATGGAGAAACGGAGTTGAAAAATCGGTCAGATTGTATGAACCAAGCCTAGCTTTAATTGGAAACAACAAAGTCTACTCAAATTTAATCCAAAATCTTGTTGTTCCAGTTGGAGCCAAAGGCTTTGTTTTTGAGGTTGGTTATAAAGATCAAGCTGATTTTGTTAATAAATCGATGGATTCTGCGAAATGGGGCGTAGGAGTGATGAAAGATTCTGCCTCAAAAGTACGATGCGTGATTGGTTGGCAAAGGGAGGGAAAGTTTGCCGAGTTTAGCAAGCTATGTGATGACGTATATTAAGAATCTTGGTACTTGGTACTTGTTACTAGGTACTTGTTACTTGGGTCTCCTGCCCCTTTTGAAAGTGGTTTTATTTGTCAGCTGCCATATCCGGTGTCACAGAGTTTTCAGATACAAATTCTACAGACTCTCCTTCTTCCTCTTCTCGTTCTCGCTTTCTTTTCATACCTTTACCTACAGCAATGATAGCCACATTAGGAATCACTCGTGTGCCCCACAACACGTATCCACCACCGCTTCTCATTGTCATTGTAGGATGAATTCTACCAGGAATAGTCTGATACGGCCTCACTCTTGTTTCAAATATGGAAGATGCTAAAATCCTTTTGTCGCTGGTGAAGTTAGCTTGAACTTCTGCTAGAGGCTCTTTACACTGGTTGTAAATGACTATTGGTTTGGAACCACCAATTTTCGGAATTATGAATTCCAATGCCTCAGGCATATATAAGGTCGACATTGATATGAAGCCATCGAAGTTGCCTTCTTGTGCTGCATCTATGATATCATTAATCTTTTGCGCTCGCTCGCGCCGCTTGTTATGCTGTTCTCTTGCTTTTGATTTCTTGATATCTTTTGCATCTACTTCTTCAAACTTTATTTTTTCATTTTCAGGTTCAGCAAATTGTAACCAGTTGATTGGTTTTACAATCTTATCAATTACCTCATCTCCGTAGTCCGAATATGTCAAGGCTATGAGATTTGAATGTTCATTTTCGTGAAGTAGAATAATTGACCCTTCGTTGTTCATTCTTTCCATCATTGCATAAACAAGAATACCACCAGTTTCGTCAATAACTAGATATTTACCTCCTGGTCTCACATTACCATAGGACATGAGCAAGCCCAATGACTCAATTGATAAATTTAGCACCCTATTCGCGTCTTTCTCGATGTAATACTCCAACAACTGGGAGGCCGAAAGATAGTCGACCGAAAACCTCCTCAAGAATTTCTGCTGTTTCCTTTTCACATATTTCTGCTGTGAGAATACAGTCTTTTTATCAAAACCTTCATGACCTTGGACAATTTTTTCAATAATCATTTGACCAACATTTGAAGACGCCCCACTTTTTTTCAACTCATCAATATCCTTCTTGCTTAAACTCTGGATTTTCGCTCCAATATCGACGATATTTTGATTATTCTCAGCACTATTGTTAAAAATTTTGGTCAACTCCTGCTTCTGGGCATCTCTATCTTTATCCGCAAAAACATTTAATTCTGCTTGCTCCGATATACATTTTATTGGCACTGCCTTGTTGTCTTCTATTATTTCAAAAGATGAGCCTAGCGGATATCCCAATATGTGAGATACTTCAAATGTGCCAAATTTTCCCAATCCTATTAAACCCGATTCTTGTAACAACACAATCTTCAACCCGTTCGAGGGGAGTCTAATGATTACATGCTGTCCCGCCTCTATCGTAGAGTCGTTCTTCTTTACAGCAGCCATGTCGAGATCTGGCACGCTGGTACTTCTAATTCAGTCACACAACACTTACTTATAATTACCTATATATATACAAGTTGGTCCTTTTATTCTTCTTTACAGTTTTGAAGATTTTATAACCGTCTGCTTTGCTTGATGTTTTTTTTTTTTTTTTTCATCTCATCTCATCTCATCTCATCTCATCTCATTTCATTTCACCAAATTAACTTATTCACAGTAATATAGTTTGCAAGAAGAATAGCAAAGTATGGGAAGAAAGGCCAGGAACAAACAGGGAGCTCCACCAACCTATGACGAGTTCAAAGCTCTGAAGGAGGATAAGAAGAAGAAAAGCTTCAAGAGTAAACAATCTTTAGAGGATTCTAAAACTAGTACCAAGTTGAAGCGGAAGAATAGCCAAAATGAAGTGGATCATCTGAAGCCTTATAAGAAATCCAATTTTCAAAAGGCTCGAGTTACGGAAGATGACGAGTTACCCGCAGTAGACTTTGAAGAGTTGGCTTCTGCGAGAAAGTCATTATTTGATGATTCTGACGAAGATGTAGAGCCTGGTGAGTTGGAAGAGTTGGAAGATGATGAGTTTGATATAGATGGTTTGGAAAAAAGCGGCAGTGATTTGGACTCGGATGAGGAAGATCGAATAAAACCCATATTTTCAGACGATGAAAATAACGTTGATGACGACGACGACGACGACGACGATGGGGAAGAAGATTTGGAAGGATTAAATGCACGGAATATGGAACTCTTTTCTAAACAATTGGATGAAGAAAATGAGCTCGAAGCTGAAGAGGCACAAAAGGAACTTTTGGAGGAAGGCACAGTGCAGCCGAGGGCGAAGGTGTTACCCACTGAAGCAGAAGAAGAAGAGATTGCAAAGGGACCACCAGATGTAACAATGGTAAGAACGAGAATGTTGGAGATTGTAAAAGTTTTGGAAAATTTCAAGTCATTGGCTGAAGAAGGAAAATCAAGAGCAGAGTACATATCTCGGTTACTCAAAGACATTTGTGAATATTTTGGGTATTCTGAATTCTTAGCCGATAAGTTGTTCAACTTATTTTCTCCTTCAGAGGCAATGGAATTTTTTGAGGCAAACGAAATAGCAAGACCTATTACAATAAGGACAAATACTCTCAAAACCAGGAGACGCGACTTGGCTCAGAGCTTGGTGAACCGAGGAGTCAATTTGCAGCCTATAGGTTCTTGGACTAAAGTTGGACTTCAAATTTTTGATTCACAAGTGCCAATTGGAGCTACACCAGAATATTTAGCAGGACACTATATTATACAGGCCGCATCCTCCTTTTTACCCGTGATAGCTTTAGATCCACAAGAGAATGAACGTATTTTAGATATGGCCGCGGCACCTGGTGGGAAAACCACTTACATATCAGCATTGATGAAAAACACCGGGTGTATATTTGCCAATGATGCTAACAAAGCTCGTACCAAATCTTTGATAGCAAATATCCATCGTTTAGGCTGTAAAAACACTATTGTTTGTAACTATGATGCAAGAGAGTTTCCAAAAGTGATTGGAGGTTTTGACAGAATACTTTTGGACGCTCCTTGCTCGGGGACAGGTGTTATAGCGAAAGATGAGAGTGTTAAGATTAGCAGAACTGAAAAAGACTTTATACAAATCCCTCACTTGCAGAAACAGTTGTTGTTGTCTGCCATTGATTCTGTTGATGCAGATTCCCGTACTGGGGGGGTAATTGTCTATTCCACTTGTTCGGTTGCTGTGGAAGAGAATGAGGCTGTAGTAGACTATGCATTGAGAAAAAGACCCAATGTAAAATTAGTTGAAACTGGATTGGCTATTGGTAAGGAAGGGTTTATTTCGTATCGTGGAAAACATTTTAATCCTAAATTGAATTTGACAAGAAGATACTATCCCCATACATATAATGTTGATGGTTTTTATGTTGCCAAATTCAAGAAAATTGCATCCTCACCTCACGACGTTTCCAAGAGCGGAGCTAGAGAGAAAGAAAGTGCTGCAAGGGCAGAAGCTGCTGAAGAGAGTATTATTCACGACGATTTTGCCGAGTTTGAAAATGATGAAGATGAAAAGATTATGGATAAATCAAAAAGAATAAGTTTGAAAAAGAAAGGTATAAATCCAAATTCCAAATAGTAAACTATCATAGTATACAAGCATTTCCCAACCCATGCTCTTTGATATACTCTGGTCCATATTCTTCAAATTCTGCTCGTGTAACATACGCGTCTTTCGAATCCTCGCTATTGGCCCATTTGCTCATTCCATGCCAGGCATCTAACAATGGATCTTTGGCTGTACGTACGTTCAATGGCGTGCCAATAGGAAGAAAGCCTCTAGTATCCCTTTCAATTCTATTTCTAAAACCAGGCAACAACGCTAAACCGCCAGTAATGAATACATTCTGAGCCATGGCATATGATTGACCAGCAAGTTGAAAATTACCATCCAACCTTCTCCTCAATAAATCACCTATTATTTCGCTGATACCGGCTTGATCCAAGCCTCCAATACTTGGTTGAAACAATATTTCCGGTACTCTAATTCGTTCCACATTCAAATGGATTTGATGATTCTTTTTAATTATATCCGGGTGATTTGCAATCTCATCTGGCGACAAACCGTCGGCTTGCATCGCAATTGTGATATTCGGCCGTGGTCCATGAATGAATTTGTGCAACACCAGACTTTTCCAGTCAAAGGAATTAGCTGCAGCAAACGTATCTTCGTGATAGAAATTCGGATCATACTTTAATAAATCTTCCTCAACCTCCAATATGCTCTTGTTTATAATTTCCAATTCTTCTTCTACACTTTGATTCGATATTTCTCTGTACGCGTTCCAATCGTCATCATTAGTTCCAAAAGTATCGTTTGGGTCATTATCGATGGTTGCATTTGCATTACGCCGTCTTTTTCTAGATGCAGCAGAAGTAGAGCCAGTTTCGTCATTTGCCAATTCAGCTATATTTTTCATACGTTGCTGAGCTGCTGCAGACTTTCTATCCTTCATTGACTCTAATAGCTTTTGTCTGTTTTTGAGTTTGCTTATCAATTCTGCCAAATTCACTTTCTTTGCCGTACACCAATCATCCAAATCTCGTTCTCTCCATTCTTGCTGTTCTTTTTCATATCTTGCCTTTATTTCTTCTTCTTGTCGTTTTAATTCTCTATTTCGTTCCCTTGCTTCAACGTTTGCTTTATGCAATTTCTGTTTTCTTTTCTCCTTGATTTGCTCCTCGTTTAATTGGTCGTCAGGTATATCCACCAAGGGCCAAGTCATTGTTTCCAGATCGGCATTGGCGTCTTCACCATCACCCTGCTGTTGCGCAGCAGCGGCCCTCTTTAATGTCCGCTCCAATGAAACCAAATATTTCTTGAAATCATCAGCATCTTCAAATCCAGCTTTGATCAAAATCTCTTCAAATTCCGTTGCACTCAAATGAGAATTATCTTCTTTAAGTTTTACATAGTATTCCCATTCTTCTTGCTTTTCAACCAATTTTTCCAAACGCTTTTGTTGAGCTTGTTTCTGCAACCGTTTCCCCTGTTCTTTTCTTTTCTCGGCCTGCTTTGCCAACTCTTCTTCTGTTTTCTTATTTTCCACCTTAACGGCTATATCCACTGGCGCTTGTACCACAATATCTTTTTTCTCTAAAACATCCATATCTAGAATATGCTTCAACTCTCTGTTGTAGTCCTCTGATACGTAACAGAAATCTTGAAATAAATTGGTTGTATGAGTGGAGTTCAACTTGTTTGGAAAGTATGGGTATTTTAAGCTCAACAATTTTGACAAGTACAGTTGTGATTGGTCTCCACCCCAATCTATTCTCTTGGCTTGTGTCATTAATGCTTTTCCTTCAATCACTGGTATGATAGACGTCAGTTCATTTCCTGTTCCAATTACCAACCCAGTAGAGTGACCATTGGTATTGTAATAAAATGAAAACAAGGAGTCCAACCCGAAACTGATTTTGGGTACTTGGTAAGCCTCAAACAAAAGTTCATACATTGTTTTGCGTTGATGGTAGGTACAGGTGATTGGTTCAGTCATTATTATCGGATTGTTTAGTTTGCCATTATTACTAGTGACTCCCAAGTGTTCAAACGAGTAATCCAACATAAACTCTATGTAGTCCCAATTCGTAATTAACGGACCATCAAAGGGGGTTTTGGTTGTGGATTTCAAAGAAGCATCTGCATACACATCGTTTCCAATAATAGTCAACGTTTTCAATGCCCTTCTATCGCGATGACGAGATATGATTCCAGGAAATACATTGTTGGGCTCGGGACTATTAGTGAGTCCTACTCTCCATGTTGATGTACCTAAATCGAGCGCTATTGGTACTTGAGGCTGATAATTCTGATAAAACGGTTCCGGCTTATTTGAACCAATCTGAATATCCTTTAGATAGTGCACTTCTTGCTGCGGGAGCTTCTCCTCCTTCGATTCACGTTTTGACGGCAACATTTGATGACTTGTCTCTGGTCCCTACCCTTAACAACAACAACAACAACAACAAAAAAAAAATCCTTTCGACACAGAAAAATAAAAAGGGCAACTGGTGACTCCTGCGCAGCAAAAGAAAAAAAGACAACTGGCCTATGCGCTGGTTGTTCGATAAATGGTGAATATACAACAAATTTTAGGGTTTACAATTTTCAACTTGACTTTTTTGATGCGAACTCCTCCAATTTTTTACACTATATAACATTCAACTTTTCTTAAACAAAATTAAGGAGTCAACAACTTTAATTATCCCCTTTTGTTCGTATTTCAAAGATTGCTAACTTGTAAAAGTTGATAACATGTCAAGCGAAGAGAATCAATTCAATGTCCAAGGTTACAACATTGTAACTATTCTTAAAAGGCTAGAAGCAGCGACTTCTAGGCTTGAAGACATAACTGTTTTCCAAGAAGAAACAAATAAACACAAAAGCCAGCAACAATCAAACCTTCTCAAATCCAGCGTTAATGAAGACAAGCAGATTGAAGGAGACGGCTTGGTGGGTTCAAGTGTTGGCAATGAAAGCTTGCAATCCACCTCAATTGACCCGTCAGTAGCACCACCGCAACTGCAGCAACAGCACCAGCAACTGCAACTGCAACAGCAACAGCAGCAACAAAAAAGCCAACTTTCGTCGAAAGAAGTTTCCAAATCAGTTGCAGCATTTGAGCAGTTTGTCCATGAATATGTCCATCCCTTTGTTGAGACGTCAATTCAGATAGACTCGTTAGTTGGAGAGTCTGCTCAGTTATTTGGTGAAGCTTTCAGCGATCAGGATCATTTTTTACAACTTGTCAGTCAATGTCAAAAACCCGATATGACAGGACCTGCTTTTGTAAAGGTATTCACTCCCATGAATGAGAAAATAACTCAAATCACCACCTTAAAGGATGACAACCGTAAATCGACATACTTTAATCATTTGAATTCCTTGAGCGAAAGTGCAGCTATATTTTATTGGATAGGATCTACAACACCTGTTTCATACATATCAGACACCAGAGATAGCGCCAAATTCTGGTTAGACAGAGTTTTGAAAGATTTCAAAGGTAAGGACAAGATCCATGTTGATTGGGTAAACCAGGTTTTGAAGATTTTTGATGAGCTCAAAATATATGTAAAGGAGTTCCACGCTACTGGACCCTCATGGAACTCAAAGGGCAAGTCCTTTGATGAAGCTGTTGAGAGCACACAAGATACTCAGACAGTGCTGGAGTCTGGTGGTGATAATTCACAATCTGCACCATCTGCACCACCGATCCCACCGGCACCGCCAGCCCCACCGGCATCGATATTTGAAAGTTCATCTGACACTGCTGCTGGTGATGGTAGTGGAGGTAGTAATAATAGTAGTGGCTCTTCACAAGGGGGATTGAATGCTGTTTTTGCCCAATTGAATAAAGGCTCAGCAATCACTTCTGGATTGAAAAAGGTTGAAAAATCTGAAATGACTCATAAGAATCCCGAGTTGAGGAAACAACCACCTGTAGCACCAAAGAAACCCAAAAACCTATCGCAAAGTGCCACCGCTATCACGACTTTGGAAACACCATCTTCATCATCGCCAGTCGCTGTTAAAAAGAGCCCAAAAAGAGAGCTAGTTGATGGCACTAAGTGGATCATTCAAAATTTCACTCAAAACGATACACAGACACCAATTGTTATTGAAACTGAAATGCATCAATCTGTGTTTATAGGAAATTGCGAAGGTGTTACAATACAGTTAAAGGGAAAAGCAAATGCCGTTTCTATATCGGAAACCAAAAGTATTGGGGTAGTTATTGATTCGTTAATATCAGGTATTGAAGTAATTAAATCACACAAGTATGGTTTACAAGTTATTGGACTTGTGCCAATGATTAGTATCGATAAATCAGACGAAGGTCATGTTTACTTGTCTAAAGAGAGTATCGAACATGACTGTCAGGTATTTACGAGTAACAGTACCGCATTAAACATCAATATTCCAGAAGAAAATGACGATTTTAAGGAATTGGTTGTTCCTGAACAATTTGTATCGGTTGTGAAGAATGGTAAATTAGTCAGCGAGATTGTTGAACACGTTGGTTGAGAGGCGACACTATCGAACGAAGCAACACTATCGAGCAGAGCGAGATAGTGGAGCAGCACTGACTGTCACCAACACTAGCGACACTGGTTCCACTTTCTCGCTTCTCTCGATAGTGGAGCACTGACTGCCACCTACACTCCTTGATCCTTCCCCCCTATCGGGCTCTAGATCCTTCTCCCTATTGGGCTCTAGATCCTCCTCCCCTATCGAGCTCCAGATCCTCCTCCATTGTCGTGCATAGAGTCAAAGACCAACTTTATCATTTTTTCTCAGACCCTTACACTAAAAACAGATTTTAGTCCATTTTTTTCTAGAATGTTCTCCATAATAACTGATTATATAAAATATGGTGGTTGATTATATATGATATAGTAGTTGATTACGTAATATATGGATAATGTTTTGCCATCTCGTGTAAAAAAAAAAAAAAGGAAAATAGAGAATTGCTGCAAAAACAGTCAGTGTAGTTACAAAGTACTGGTCCAAGACGAGAAATTAGGAAGTAGATTGATTGTGCCCATCTGTTTATAGTTAGAGCAACATCCCTCCCCCCCCCTTCCTATTTACATCGGCCACTGTTTCGAGCAATGAATGATATGAAATACCTAGTATATGGTGTAACAAGCTACAAAGTATTGCTCAGCTCAATAGTGTCGCACCATGGGTTCGTGGTACATCATGTTCCTCTCAGTGCGTGCATCAACCAAAGAAAAAAGGTTGACAATTTTCTTTCATTTTCTTTTCTTTTTTTCATTTTTTTTTTTTTTCATTTGATTTTCGATTATAAAAAAATTTGAATCAAAATTTCCCTCTTCTAGTAAGTACAAACCTTTACTTTTCTATTCCACTTTTTCTTCTTTACTTTCTTCCCCATAAATATTGAAAGGAAAGGCTTGTTTCTTTTTCATCGTTGGAACTTTTGTTTGCGTCGGTCGAAATTCATAGATTAAACTAATAGATAACTATCCAAGAAAGATTGTTTTATATCAGGCTTTGAGTTTGAAGAACTTACTGAGTAATTTTTATTTATAAAAAGTCGCTTTTTTTTTTCAATCAAATTTTTTAATTTTTTTTTTTTTTGGAATAATAAGGAATTATTTTGAGAGATATGGTCAAAGATACAAAGTTTTATGACGCTTTGGGTGTAGCACCTAATGCTACGGAGTCGGAGTTAAAAAAGGCATATAGAAAAGCAGCATTAAAGTATCATCCCGATAAAAACTCGACTCCAGAAGCTGCAGAGAAGTTTAAGGAGATTTCTCATGCTTACGAGATTTTGTCTGATGAGCAAAAAAGGGATATATATGACCAATATGGAGAAGAAGGTTTGTCGGGAGCAGGTGGTGGTCCTGGAATGAGTGCAGATGATATTTTCTCCCAGTTCTTTGGAGGTGGATTTGGAGGTGGTCCTCAAAAGCCTACGAGAGGTAAGGATATCAAGCATAGTATTGCATGCACATTAGAGGAGTTGTTTAAAGGTAAGACCACCAAGTTAGCCTTGAACAAAACAGTATTATGTAAACAATGTGAAGGTAGAGGTGGTGCCAAGGGTAAGATAAAACAGTGTCCAGATTGTCAAGGGTCTGGTATGAAATTTGTTACTAGACAAATGGGTCCTATGATCCAGAGATTCCAAACCATTTGTGACAAGTGTGGAGGTAAGGGTGACTTGTGTGACGAAAAAGACAGATGTACCGCATGTAGAGGTAAAAAGACTGAATCTGAAAGGAAAATCTTGCAAGTTCACGTTGATCCTGGTATGAAGGATGGTCAGAGAATTGTGTTTAGTGGAGAAGGTGACCAAGAACCAGGTATCACACCTGGTGACGTTATTTTCATTGTTGATGAGAAACCAAATTCCGAATTCCAAAGAAAAGGTAACGATTTGTTTAAAGAGTGTGAAGTTGACTTATTAACAGCATTGGCCGGTGGCGAAATTGCTTTCAAGCATATATCGGGTGATTGGATAAAGATAAACATTGTGGCTGGAGAGGTTATATCCCCCGGAGAGTTGAAAATAGTGGAAGGACAAGGTATGCCTATTTATAGACAATCAGGTAGAGGTAACTTGATTATTAAATTTTCAATCAAATTCCCAGAGAACCACTTTGCTGATGAAGACAAACTCAAACAATTGGCAACAATTTTACCCCCAAGAAGAGAGATTTCTATCCCTAAGGGTGTAGAAGTCGACGAATGTGAGATGACCAAATATGATCCTTCCAGATACCAACAGAGAAGGCATGATGCATATGATTCAGATGAAGAAGACGCACGCGGTGGAAATCCCGGTGTGCAATGTGCTTCACAATAATCAACGTTTAATTTGCTGGGTTTTTAATCGCTTTGTTTGCTTGTTTGGTACGTGTTTTTCCTTTTTTTTTTTCATTTTTTGATAGAATTGTTTTATCACTCTAACGTATCAAATATGTTATTGTTGATCCTATTTATTTGATTAAATTGAAAGCTATGTCAATTTAACTATCATTTCTTTTTTTGAATGCAGTTAAAGATGGCCGGGTGCACTTATGTTTTGTTTTATATTGCAAAATATTATCTGAATACATTTTATATCCATTTAGTACATCATCTCATTTACTGAATGTCTCAAATAATAGTGTCTCACTTAATGAATGTCTCACTCAATGAATATTGTAATCAAACTCAATAAATGTCTCGCACAATAAATGTCTCGCACAATAAATGTCACACACACTAGATGTCACACACACTAGATGTCTCACATATAAATGTCACACACACTAGATGTCACACACACAAGATGTCATACATACTAAATGTCTCATTCAATAGGTGTTTCATTCACCATTATTTCGAGAGTTTGCTACAAATCACTACTAAACAGATTAGAAATTAAATCACTTAAACACTATCTAATCAAATTATGCAAGTTAGTCTATGCTTCGTCTATAAATGTGTACGACTTGTCTATAAATGTGTACAATAAATCTTTTACTTCTCTATGAAAGAACTAGCAGCGGACTGAACTCTGGTACTTGCAGTCAGACTAAATGTCTCTTGAGTCTGCTTTGCCCAGTATAAAACTAGAACCAACCCGCAGTCACTTAGCAAACATAATCCAGCCATTAACGTGTAGGTTCCGCCAAGGTTCATACTCGATACCATTTTGTCTAATACGCCAGCAAATAAGGCAGCTAGCCAACACCTCATCAAGTTGAGGCAACTAGAAGAGGCACTTCCCTGGGTGGGGTGTAGATCAACCAACATGGTTGTAGAAATTGATATCAATAGCGTTGATGAAAATGATATCAAGCTGGATGATATTATAATGGATATAATGTGTCTATGGAATTGTATGCACCATCCGAAGGTAACCAATCCGATTACCATCAACACTGTTGGGACAATCGTTAATGTTAACCTTGTGGCAATGATATTGAAAGGCGGTCTCTCGTGAATTGGTACATTCTCCATTTGAGTATCATACAACTTTCTTCTATAAGTATAGTACCAATTCATCATTTTCCCCACTATTAGTGATCCAAAAAGACAAGCAAGACCTTGAGGTAAGTATATGAGACCAACGTGCATAACGCTATAATTGTATTTCGGGGACTCCAACTCTGTAGATAAAGATGCTTGTGCAATAGTCCAAGCTGCAAAGTGCATACCCAGTGGTAACAAAGTAAAAAAGATCTCTTTTTCAATGAATATTCTAAAAGGACCCAAAATGTCAAACGGGTTTTTAGGTGTTATGGTCAGAACTTCGTTTGTCAACTTCTTTTTAAAAAATGGCATACATATCAAAGCAGATTTGTTCAAAATATTTTTTGGCACTACAGTGCCATTGCCAACAATATTACGTGATGTTTCAGGTAAAACAAATATTGCAGCTAGCAATGTTACCATGCCACCAATGGCCAAAAATATAAACATAGACCTCCATGTATCAAATCCACTGATCAAAGCTGCTCCTACCAATCCACCAATGCCGTTTCCAACGAACTGGAATCCAGTGACTGCCCCAACCATTGCACCACGATTAACAGTAGTACACACATCTGCTGAGACACCTGAACTAATAGATATAACAGGGGCAATTCCAGCTGCTTGTATGCATCGTAATAGAATTAGCAACCAATAAACATCTGTCTGTGACAATGCAATACATGAGGCAATATATATCAACAAACTTGCAAGTAAAACCGGCCGTCTTCCAATTGTATCTGCAATGTTAGATGACACTGTTGGTGCTAGTCCTTGAAATAGGAGATAAGAAACAACCGTTATATTCATCATAGATACTGATGTATGGAAATCGGAAGTCAATGTTGGCAACGCAGGAAAATATATGGGAGAGCTTATTGTACTCCAAAAGCCAATAGCACTCAAGATTAAGATCAACAAGAACTTTTCTCGTTTCTCAAAGATTGTATAGGGATAATTCTCTTTTGATTCAGTTGTGGCAAACGAATGCAACGTCTCCTGATTATCATCTTCTTCGATGTATTTCCCCATGGTAACAGGTCACTTACAAATACACACACACACACACACGTAAAAGGGATACTGTAAGTTCACGTTATTGAAGAGCAGCCAAGGAAGGGCGTTATTAACAGTTTTGAGCTTTCAAACAATTGATCTTAAGTAAATGTACTAAAACCAATTTTCAAAGTCCATATCTCCCTTTTTATTCATCAGTAATTCAAAATGACAAACAAAGTTTGCAAGATTGCTGTTAGATGTTTTTTGAACCGGACAGCGGCTCCTAATTATATCGAAGATTTCTTCCTATAGCTATCGTATTTTATTGCATTATTTTTTTCCTTCTTTTTTTTGCAACTTGATCAGTGAAAAAGAAATAATAGTAAAGAAAAATCTGAGGTTTTTCCGATAATGAGTAATTAGAGGCATTGCATTTTTAGATTACGCGGGTACGAGATTAGTCCAGCAACCGGAAAAACTAAAACGGCGGATTGTATGGTTCCGTATTGATCCGTATCTTTCCTAGCAAAAGTCTAGACAATCTAAGCAAAGAAACAGGATACACACACACACACTCATATATATATATTTGTAAATGTATATTATAGTCTATAAGTATAAGATAGTATAGCATCACAAGACCTTTTGAAAATTCAAAAATGATTTATAGTGTGTTCTGGTGTGCACATCGCGTGGTTTTCCGATAAACCTGAAAGTGAGACCAAATTTTTATTCCAAATCAAATGGAATCACATTACAATTCACTCTTAAACATCAAACTTTTTTAAATAGAAACTCGTAAAAAATATCAGCTGGTGATGACTCTACCCTAAACGCGTGTTTCCTATCTTGCCAATAAATTGAATGTTTTTCATTATCAAAGAATCTGAAAAAAATTCAAAAGCCCCTAAATATATTCAATTTGAACAAGAAGCAGTGAGAAAAGAGAGAAAAAAATGAAAGCAATCGCTTGAACTTGGCGCCGCTCATCCAATATAGAGAAGCTTTTCTTTTTACGTAATATTTACAAAAGAGTGAAAAAGAAAAGTCTAGTAAAGAAAATGGAAAGAAAAAAACCAATAATCAAAAGAATTCTGTATTTTCCTTCTTGCGGTATCAATCTATACGTACAGGGGAACCGGGTAGGTTTTCTACGTAGTAACTATGAAGAACTATAATTAAATAAGGTAATAAATAAACAACTAATATCGTCTAAAAGCCTTGACCTCAAGGCTCCATTGACAACTATTTTTCTTTATGTGGATTATTATATTTCCTCGCTGGGGGGTTTTTAGGGGTAGTGATCATGAAATTGATACTGCCGCTACCTTTGCTATTTTTTGGTTTCTTTGCTGCGGGAACGGTATCATCTTTTTCTGATTTGAAAACATTCTTTGCAGAGTCAGGAGACTCGAAATGGTGTGATGGAACGGGATGCCTATGTTGGGGAGAGGGAAGTTGTTGTTGCTGTTGTTGTTGTTGCCGCTGTTGCTGTTGCTGTTGCTGTAGTGCCAGATGGCCATTGTATTGTTGCCTAGGAATTGCTGAATGGTGAGTTGATGGAGCAGCAACAGCAGGAGCTGAAACCATATACTGGTGATTGGCTATGGATGCCGCTGATGCAACATAGTAAGGGTATGGTTGCGGAATATAGTTGACACCGCCTTGTGCATAATTGTGCAGCAATAAGATTTGGTATTTCGGTGAAGTTGCATCGTTCATGTTGCTTTTATTAGCTGAATGTGAATGCTGAGTTTGGGGTAAAGAAGGTTGCGGTATTGGCTGTGGTGTTGTATAAAATAAGGGATATTGGGTAGGTGCTGTTGCATGTAGGGTTGATGTGGTTGGCAGATGTTGTTGCAGCTGGGTATGATTATAGGAGGAGCACGTTTTACTATGCGAACCTGGTATTCCTGCTGTTGACGTCGAGGATAATGTATCATTGTTTGATGGTGAAATCGTTCCTATATTTGATTTGGAACAACTAGAATTGGTACTATCTGAAACAACTCGTTTGTGTGCAAAAATGGGCAGTTTATTTGGAGAAATAAGTAGATTAGATGACTGAATATTTTGAGTAGTTTCTGAAAAAGAAGGAAGCTGGGTATCTGAGTATTTTCTTTTAGTACCAGAAGGAGTTTGATTTAGGCTTTGGGATCTCTCTACTATTTCAGCAAGAACTTGTGTTGGGTTATTTTGTATTCGATCAATCTGCTGCTTTAGTTCCGGGGTTTCCATTGTTTCTGATACAAACAAGAACGGAATCAACCCACCATCAATGTTCAACTCCCTGACCAAGTTCAATAAAGTTACTGCTGTTGAACCCAATTCCTTCTTTATTGCGCATTGTTTTGTTTTCTCCTTCTCAATTTGTAAGTTTATCAACCCATTGAGGCTCTCGACGTTATATGGCCACAGTAACTCATCTTCTACTGTGTTTAAGGGTATATCTAATAGTTGAGACACTTTTTGATCAAGTAGACCTTTTTGCAGCTTTTTTTCATTTTTCTCGCCATGAAAGATACTCTGGATTGAATGTGAGTTGATCAGTGATTCCGATTCGCCATGATTATTCTCCATATCGAAACTCGTAAGTGTAGATAAAAAATTTGCGCTAGTAGTAGACGATGGTTTCTTTTTCTTTGCTACTGGTGGTTGGGTGGTGGTGGTGTTGGTGCTTTCTTCATCCGTTGAGAGAGGGGTGGTATAATCAGTAAAAGTCTTTGGCTGGGCTGAATTATTTCTTGGTGTAGTGTGGTGGCCCAACTCGTTGGCTGGCGTAGCAGTCATAAGATTTACAATTGACAACAACTTGGCTCTCTTGTGAATTGTATTTTCTTTAAGCGATTGGAGAATAACTTGGGTGCAAATAAATATCTCAGTAATGAACAAGTTTGAACTTGGAATAAATGCCAATAACACAACTAGTATTCCTTTTTATTTTATATTATTTTTTTGTCACAGGCTCCAAGATCAATCTGTCAACGCTGATGCTTTTTTTTCTCGGTAACAATCTGGTTGTTGACTTGACAGTTTGGTTCTCTAGAGAGAAAACTAAAAAGAAAAACAAACAAAAAGTAGTAAAAAGAAGAGGGAAGAAGAAGAAGAAGAAGAAGAAGAAGAGAGAAGAAGAAGAGGGAAGAAGATAATCAATATCTAGTACCAGTCTAGTTGGATATATTTATTATAAATTTCAGCTTTCGTATTTACAAAGGCTACCCATAGGTTGGTTGAATACTGAGTTTGGTAGGGATCAAAGTATCTTGATCTCACATCAACTTTTCTAACCACTTTAGGAAAAATAATGAATTGTTGCGGAAAAGAGTAATTTTTTCAGGTACCTGTCACATTACACAAAACCAAAAAAAGAAGTGGAAAAAAAAATAGAGGCTTTAAATTTGAATGAAACGTTGAGGACAAGAAAAGACTCAGGAGTCAATAAGAGGCGATGGTTTAATAGATTTAATTGTAGTTTCTTGTAGGATGTATTATAAGCCATTTTGTACCAAAACTATATTTTATTTTTTTAGCTTTACAGAAATAACCATTTGATACAGGGTTTAACAAATTTGACGCTAACAAAGGTGATGGTAACAAATGTGATGGTAACAAATGTTATGCTATATATATTTAAGGTGATGCTATATATTTAAGATGATGCTAAATATTTAACAAATTTGGTGCTAAATATATTTAAGTTGATGCTAAATATATTTTTACTTTGAAATTGAGGATCACCTGGCAACAGCAGTGTACTTTTGCTAGTGATATTTTCCTCTACATATGATACACATACCCACATATCCATATACACATACCCACATATCCATATACACATACCCACATATCCATATACACATTTGATATTCCTGCAAATTACTATATACTTACCTTGACATTACTGCAAATATCCATATAACTTGGTAACTGCATATATGCTTTTCTTTCTCTGGACAATTCAAACACAATCTGGTATAACGATGATAATGGCTAGATTATCGCTTTACCCGAATATCTCACAATTTTAAATCTTTTTGCCTAAAAAAGTTGTTTTTCCAATACATTTTTCTATAGACTTTGCATTGTGTTACTTGCACCAATAAAAAAAAAAATTACCTAAATTGGGTGTAAAATGTATGGAACCTCGTAAAAAGAAAAAAAAAAAGAATTGGAAAGAAAAAGGGATAGGTTTGAGAATTGAAATAGAATTGTTCCATACCAACATTGAACATGAAATTTACACGGACGTTGAATTAGTCGGTGGATAGGTTCAGTGACAGCAAAAATTAGGTACGGAAATCATTTCTTATGGTTGGTCTGGAATTAGCTCTTTTTTCTTTTTTTTTTTAATTTTCTAATCTACCCTGCCACATGCAAATTATATTGCATTTGCAAATCTTATTTTCGATATGTATCTCTAGGGTCCTCTATTCAAAAGCCAAAAACTGCCTAGTTTGTAAAGAAAAAATAGTGATCAAAAGTAGTGACATGATCGTAAATTAAAGTTGGACTGAAACAAGAGGGACTATTAATAAGAAATCACAGTCACCAACGTTTGGAGACACTATCGAGCAACACCGACACTAGCCTCTACTTCCTATCTTTTATCAAAGATACTGATTCACTTTATCGAGCAATACCGACACTAGCCTCTACTTCCTATCTTTTATCAAAGATACTGATTCACTTTATCGAGCAATACCGACACTAGCCTCTACTTCCTATCTTTTATCAAAGATACTGATTCACTTTATCGAGCAATACCGACACTAGCCTCTACTTCCTATCTTTTATCAAAGATACTGATTCACTTTATCGAGCAATACCGACACTAGCCTCTACTTCCTATCTTTTATCAAAGATACTGATTCACTTTATCGAGCAATACCGACACTATCGACCAGAGTGAGTGAAAATGCATAATAAATCGATTTACAAAAGGAAAATATTATATCAACAAGTGTGTTGCGACACTATCGACCAGTACTTGCTAGCTTGTTACAACACTAGTCAATTTTCTTTCATTACCTTGTAGTAGTTTTTAGTTTGAGTCAATTCTTTAGTTTGAGCCAATTCTTTAGTTTGAGCCAATTCTCTTTAGAATAGTTCCTTGAACTTTTTCTCTCAAGTAATGGGGCATTAGTTCCTTGCCCAGAGAGAACAATCTAGATTCTTTTCCTGAACAAGTTTAAGCTTTTCAAGCTTTCGAGCTCCCAAAAAGAAAAGGAAAAAAAAAAAAGTATAACAAGCAATAAAATAACATTTGGAAAGAAAATGATAGATCCATCTCTTGGTAAATTAGGAGTAAATATTGAATGTCGGAGCCGAAACTGAAGAATGTTGTGCTAGTTGCATTTGGCGGACCTTCTTCAAGTGGCAAAACTACTGTAGCAAAAACTCTTTCAAAGTTGATTCCCAAAACTACTCTTGTTCATCTTGATGATTTTTATTTGACAGATTCAAAGATTCCGGTTGATCCTACAACAGGGTACCAGAATTGGGATTGCGCAGATGCTATTGACTTTCCAAAATTTGTTGATTATTTAAAGAGTGTAAGGCTGGGTCATGTAAGTGCCCCTATTGAGTCAATACAACTGGATGATATCGATTTGCTGATGTCACCTCACGAGATTGAGTCACTTGTGCAAACCATTGAAGAAAATAAACAAAAAATTTCACAACATCATCTCGTGTTTGTCGATGGTTTCATGCTATTTCACGACCCACAATGCATAGAGCTATTTGATATTAGGTTGTTTTTCCATGCTTCGTTTAATACATTGAAAAAGAGAAGAGAATCTAGAAGTGGGTACAACACAGCAGAGGGTTTCTGGGTAGATCCTCCTAATTACTTTGAAAAAATAGTATGGCCAGCATTTAAACAAAGCCATAAATATCTCTTCAAGAGTGAAGATGTAGAAGGTGAGCTAAAACCAGAGCTAGCGGAAAAGTATTGCATCAACGATATTGCAAACGAAACTAACACTACACTATTCGACCTAGTCAATAAATCATTAAGCATTATCTTAACTAGAACTTGAATAATAAAAGGAAAAAAAAATAAAATAATGTACCTTCAGCTTGAGCTTCAATTTGTTTTCTTCTGCTTTTGAAGTCTTATTTCTTACTCTTTTTCATCTTCTTTACCAGTTTCATCTCCTTCTCGTATATATCACTTGCACTCTCTCCAGACGTTCTCTTGCCTTTTTTTACGCTAATCACACCACCATTGTTGGACTTACCACTCAGTGCTTTTGCCATTGATTTCTCATCCCAATCGCCATTATCAGCAATTGCGTATTTTTCCAAATTCAAGGCATTTATCAACTCTTTTTGTTTTTCTTTCATCTCAGAAATTGCTTCATCACCGGCTTCTTTTATATCTTGATGCATCTTTTGTTCTAGTTCGGCATAGTCTGGCTCCTCATCTACATTTCCTTCAATTTCCTTTAGCTGTTCGTCGTCTTCCAATTCAGGCATTTCGCTTTCAATGGCATTCGACAAAATACGTCTAAAGTAGGAGGAAAACTTTCTAATTATTTTAGCAAACATAGCCATTGCTTGATTGAGTGGCAATTTCAACTCCAGAGATATATCGTCCATGCTTTTATGTTGCAAACCAATAGCTAACAATATAGCAGATTGTACTGACGATAGACTAATGTGATCTCCTGTTTTTTTGGAGAAATATAACTGTGCAATCAATGGTAATGTGTCCACGATTACGTGATAATCCAATAAATTATTAGCATACGAGTCCAATCTCTTCAAGTCAAATGGTGATAACAACTCGTCCAACATCTCCTTGGTTAAAGGAGCAACCATCGTTTTTTCACCTTCACCTTGCTCAGTAGCTTCTATAAGACTAAGGGCTTGTGTTGCTGGGAACTTCCTGAATTCATAAGACAATAGCTGTAAAAATCGTTTATGGAAGTCCTTGGAAAACTCCTGCAACCATTGTTTTTCTCTTCCTGGTAATGCATTCAAAACAACATCAGTATGCTCCCCCGTTAAGTCATTCGCAGTTTGTCTCAAATATACAGGAGTAAAGCCGGTTTTTTTCCAGAATTTGTGTAATTGTGGAGTAAAACCATAGGAGACTCCGAGGTAATCTAAATAGTATGGTGCCTTTTCCGAAAGTTTCAACAATAATGGGGGCAACGATTTGGCATCTCTGAGTGAGATTTCATCCTTTAATGAAGCATTAGCTAGCTCCTTATCGGTTACTCTCGTCAAGGTATGGTCCTTCAACTCCGATGATTCACTAACATCTGTGAATTTGCCGGAATAGTAATCAATCAATAATTGCATTGCTCTGGTACCATATCCCATGCTAGAATACTCGGGATTTGTAGCAATCCGTACAACTCTTGCTCCCGATAATGACGCAAACTCTTCGTCTTGAAACTGTTGTGAGATTAACCACGGGATCAAATCCCCTCCTGCCCTTTGGCCTCTGCTTAACGACTTTCGCACGCTTTCTTTAGATATTTCTCCTTCCAATGCCAATTGAACCACACATAACGGATCTGGTATTCTGTTGTCACCTTCCTCAATCGGTGGTAAAAGAACAAATAACTGATGGGCTGGCGCATCTGACATCAACTGCAAATCATTTGGTGAGTTTTTGTAATGTGACGAGACATACAAAGCCATCATTTTCTGCAAAAATGCTTCAGATACAGGATGGTAAGAAAATAGCGTGTCCCTATTTACATAAAACAAGTTGCATTGAGATGGATGCGGAGTTCCTTTAGTAGCAAATTTGGCATTTTTGGAAAGTGAGACATCAAGACATAATAACTTGTTCAACCAACTTTCTACTGGATCTCCAGGTGCGTATCTGATTGGCTCATCCAAAACAACTTCCTTTAAGTTTCTGGTCAAAGGCCCACTGGTATCTTCTACCAGTTTCTTATCTCTTGAAACGATTTCAGTACCAGCAGCGGTAACCGATTGTTGTTGTTGTTGCGTTCTTAGTTGCTGTATCAATTTTAAAGACAAAGAGCGACCTGTTCCTTCGTACCCATTGATAGTGGATGCCATAAAAACAAGATATGGGCCCATTAACTTTTTCACAATTGGCAATGGAATTGCAGCAGCTTCATCAATGATTAACAATTCTGCTTGTCCCAAGACATAATTATCATTGGGGGAAATGTATTGAATGGTTTGCCTGTGTTCCCTCTTGATGTCCACACGGACTATAGCTTTGTTGAAAGATGGGTTTGTCGACTGAATAATGTCGTAGTCCATATGTTCAGTGTATCCCAACGCATCAAATCCTTTAAGAATAAACTCAAACAACGTTTTCAAATTCTCTGGTGAAGGAGAAGTCACAAAGATATTGGAATAGTTTTGAGATACAGCTGCCGCAATAGCAATACCCAAAGCAGCAGACTTACCTCGACCTCTTCCGGCTGTCAAGGTGACAGTACTCCGCAAGGTCTTCTCGGTGATCACATCAATAAATGTCAATACAGCTTGCGCTTGGTTTATGGTTCGTGTTAAGCCCACAAGCGCCCCTGCTGGCTGGACATCTACCAAACTTTCCTTGAGCTCTTTAAGTTCCTGAGCTTTGGGGGTTAACTCGTCGTCGTCTCTTGGAGGCAAGCGTTTAACATGTTTCCCACCAGAGATGGGCAACACATTCAACTCGTCATCAACAACAAGACATGTTTTACAAGATCCCAAAGATAACAAAAACCGCTCATTAAACCTGGCAACAACGTCATTATGCGCCTCTGTCCTATATCTGGCGTGAATGTCCATGCTCATAGTGTACAACTGCTTCAATGAAGTCATGCTCTTGAGCAAGATAACCACCAAACCACCACCTTCTACGGTTTCTATGGTTCTTGCTAGTAAATTGGGGGTCATGGCTTCAAAATCTTGTAGAATACACATCCCATAAGTATTTCCCAAAATTTTATCTGTTTCTTTGTAATAAACATATCTAATGTGCTGATTTGAAATGAAAGCTTCAAAAGGATCTTGATCGTTAACCTCTCTAATACCTCGCTTGATGTCCTTCTTGATTTTAGCTTCTCTTTTCTTTCTATGAGATGTGAAGCCTAGTAATTTCTTTTTATATGCCCATAGAACCGACTTGTTCATTTTCAAGTCAGCACTCATCATTAAATAATGCAAGTTTGGCAATTGGTTACGTGCCTTGTCACCTACAATGATAAAGAAAGATCTTTGTTTCTCCTGAACCCCATTTCGTATAAGAGTTGGGATACGTGCATCAATAGCCTTTTTACCCATTTTGACGATGAAGAAGAAGAAGAAGAAAAAGAAGAAGAAGACAACGGTTAAAATACAATTGAAGAAGGGTATTGAAATTCAGAGCTGAAAAAAAAAAAAAAAAAAAAAAAAAATTCCACCAGATGAGCAGCTTCAAAGACGCTACCACATCTCTCATTATCGCATTAACAAACTCAAAAGCCAAGCACAGATTCTGTGCTTTTATATTTGAATGTGATATAATTATAAACAATGCTATACCGGAAACATAGCTCTGCGTCTTACAGCTCTTGTTTGTAGTATACAACTTTTTTGGTATAGTTCAAATGGGCAATTTTTTAGGTAACGCAACTTATAATTCTTCCGTTTCCACTTTTTTCCGATCCTTCTTTTTTTTTTTTTTTTTTTAAGGGGTTGTTTTGCAATTTGTGTACAAAGTTTTCGCATCCATCTTAAGTGGCTTTTTTTTGGTTTGTGTTTTTTGCAACACATGAGCGGCAATTGTGATTCATCTATTCATGATGACTCTAATGCCAAAAAAGCTTGCAAGTTCCGAGGTAATAAAGTCAGACCCAATATATAGCCTTACTGCGTATGAGAAGAAAAAAGTGGCACCTAGGTCAAGTGAACAGTTCAAAATAGGTCCTCCCTTTGGTAATACCATTCAAGTTGCACCTTTATTTATCAACTGCACTCACCAGGAAGTTCATCCCGAAGTGTTTGCAAGGATTGACCGAGGTTTTGACTCTGTAAAGGATCTATGGATAGGTTATAGGCGCAATTATTTTTCAGTTGTTTCATGTTTCCAGTTTCGAGAGTTTGGAGCCAAAAAATCGATATTTCAAGAAGGCGGATTTTACATCAAGACACTAGGCAAAACTCATGCGGTTAAAAGATTTGCATTAAGATTAGTTGGAAAATGTTCAGAGAATAACGTTGATGTCCGACTTTCTCAGCACACGGCAAAAAGAGACAAAGGCCCCATATTTGAGCCGCCAATTATTCCTGCAATACCAGGCACGTTACCAAGCCATTTAATTATCAAGCAAAGTTCTAATGTGAGGAAAATCTCACGGCTTCAAGAAGTGAACCATCTTTTCACGTGTGAATATGGCTCCCTCACGCCTAAATGCGCAGACTCGATATTGCACAATTATGACAAAAGCGAGCCCTATGTGAAAGTTGCAAAGTATGACCGAATTCAATTTGCAACTTCTTTGAATAGAAAAGTACCGCTGATGACTGATAACAAGAAGCTTCTGCTTCAAGTACAACTATTAGCAGAATTGGAGCCTGGCAATCCAAATACTTATGCCGTCGTAGCAGTTACAAACACACCTCCATTCTTTATCAGAGGACGATCGCCTTCAACCTATTCTGCAAGCTTGCCTCGCGTTAGGTGTGCAACTAGTCCCTTAAAGAGAGTGATCAATGTGCCCAATTTTGACAATGTAGCTCGGTACGTGCATGCGCCAGCAGTACCACCGCTTACAAGTGAAGACAATAAGGAAAACTTTGATGCAAGCACCTTTATAGAGGTAGACATGCCTAACTCAAGCGCCTTTATAGAGGTGGACATGCCTAATTCAAGTTTTGGTTTCATTGCTATTAACAATAATGAAGAAAAAGAACAAGAAAAAGATGAACAACAACAAGAAGATAGTGATCAAGATGATCAAAATTTCAGCTTAGGTTCATCTATTCCAAGGGGGTATACACCACAACTGGTTCATTGGGAGCCAGAGCTGCTTGATCCGCAGTTTCACTTGCTACGTGCATACCTGATGAACAATGACCATCATTACTCACATAATGTTGAAAGTTTTGCAGGTAGTTTTCAACGTCAACAACTTGAAAGTAAATACCAAAATGGCATTACCCACACGGATAGTTCAACAGTAGTCCGCACATTAACATCGACCGAGTCTTGGACAAGTATTTCACCAAAAAAACTTCATTTCAATTACTAAGAAAGGAAGAACATGGACCTATTTTTATTAAGCGCAGGGAAGGGCAAATGTGTAAATTGCAATTTCCCAGGTACTTTTTCATTTTATATTAACTAGTTAATCTAAAAATTCTAAATTCGTATATACAAATTGCCTTCAAACTCTTTCTACGCTTCAGTTTATAAAGTGTTATCATAAGGAAACCATCTTCCGACACTTGCTCTGGCAAATGAGTAAAAAGAAAAAAATAAAAGATTGAAAAAACAAAAGAACAAAAGGAAGAAGGAAAAAAAAAAAAATAGTTGAGGCTCTCTGATGCCAAACAAATTGGGAACTGCTTTGTCGACATAGATATATCTTTCCCAGAACACACTATACTAGTGCCATGTTGTTTTTCAGTTTTTTCAAAACCCTAGTAGATCAGGAGGTTATGGTGGAGCTAAAAAATGACTTAGAAATAAGAGGAACATTAAAGTCTGTGGATCAATTCTTGAATTTGAAGTTGGATAATATAATATGTATTAATGGGGACAAATACCCGTATCTTCAAGCAGTCAAAAATCTTTTCATTAGAGGATCAACCGTCCGATATGTTCATATGAATCCAAACTTGGTTGATTGCACATTGCTTCAGGACGCTTCACGGAGGGGTATGTCTTCATTATATATATATTTTTTTTTGTTTTCTTTTCCTTTCCTTTTAGGAGGGAGGGGACTCGAGGTTTTTCACAAAATACTAACATCCATCGCAGAGGCTATGGCGCAAGCAGCAAAGTAGGCGCGGCTTTGTAAATTCATGTATTATTTGAATAAAAACAAACGATTTTGCAGTTTCTTTTCTCTTGTTTCTTGTCTCTTGATGTGATTAGATTGCATCTTTTTTGGGTGTACTTAGCCTTAGATTACACTTTGCTCTTGTATGTCCGGATTCTTTACAATAAGAACAGGATACATTCTTTTTACTCTTTAGCTCTATTGGTTTGATTTTGAATCTTTCAGATAGATTTACAGGAGACGGCATCGTTTGCTGATTCACAGGAGACGGCATCGTTTGCTGATTCACAGGAGACGGCATCGTTTGCTGATTCACAGGAGACGGCATCGTTTGCTGATTCACAGGAGACGGCATCGTTTGCTGATTCACAGGAGACGGCATCGTTTGCTGATTCACAGGAGATGACATCGTTCGCTGCGTTTTCACTTCTTCTGTAGATAGTTGAATAGATTGCTTGGGAATTAAAACATACTCCCCTTCTGTATTACTGTGTACAATTGTCCTACAGTTTGGACATTTCACCTCTAAATGCAAAAGTTTCAAAAATTCATCATTAGTAATTTGAGTTGGCGTATCTAGTTGATGAGGAAGAGTTTCAATGTATCTGTTAATAAGTTCCAATTTCGTGCTGTATTCTTCTTTTAAAGCTTCTAGCTCTAGGTTTTTCTGAGTTACAATCTTTGCCAACTTATCAATCTCCTGTTGCAACTCTGTAACAGACATGCTTTGTTGAAATGCTCTACCCGCTGGTCAGAAGAAGAATTGTTAGCTCAGCTTCTTTTTCGCGAATCCATCTCCCATCTACCACTTTGAAAGCTTTGACAAGTGGTATTAAAAATACTTTTCACAGAGTATCTACATTAGTGCAACAACAACAACGACAGCTACAGCTACAGCTACAGTTACAACTACATCCCAAGCAACTTGAGTTTTAATCAAGCACCTCTTTATCCAAAGCCAGCATCATATACAGTACATCTACCTTTCTTTTTTTCCTTTCTTATTGCAAGATTATCAGAACTAAGTCTCCCCGACAAACTAAAATTTTCGGCTGTGATGGCCTTTGGCGGAAGTGCACTAGGTGCGCATACTCAGATTGTTAAAGAGATTTTTTCGTGTTCAAAGTGTCCAGTTCGATCCTTGCGGTTTTGGATAATTAACCGCTTGAGGAATCAGCGCGTTGTGTCCTGGTAATTAATAGCACCACCACTGGAGGGAAGCAATTCAGCACAGTAATGCTATCCGTGACGGAGGCGGTACTGGATGGCACATTGTTCGTTTGTTAATAATCTGAACTTGTCGTAGTGATACAACTCCTTGTTTTTTTTACTCAGAATAACGACACTATCGAGCAGAGCGAGATGGTGTTGTAGCAGGCTAGTCAATGTGCTCCACTATCTTATCTAATAACAACACTATCGAGCAGAGCGAGATGGTGTTGTAGCAGGCTAGTCAAGGTGCTCCACTATCTTATCTAATAACAACACTATCGAGCAGAGCGAGATGGTGTTGTAGCAGGCTAGTCAAGGTGCTCCACTATCTTATCTATATCATCTATGTACTTTTCTTCTCTATGTACTCTTCTTCTCTATGTACTTTTCTTCTCTATGTACTCTTCTTCTCCTTCTTTTTGAAAAAGCTCTTAATACTACGCTCCAAGTTTTGTCTTTCTAGTATTAACAAATTGAAAAGTAAAATCCCTGAACCAATAATACCCTGGATTAACTCTGACCAATCTTTAGCAATAAAAGAGCGTCCTTTAAAGACAATGTAATGCTGTGTAGCAAAAGTAGCCGCGGTGATTATGACCGAGGGTGTTATATACTGTAGCACTCTGAAAATGTCGATATTGATATGAGCCGCACCGTAGTATTTTGCAATGGCTTTGAAACAGTAGATCATTCGCAAAGACATATTTAGCATATTGGCAATGATCAACCCCGACAAACGGAGATCCAAGATTGTTATCAAATAATACAGAACTGCTAAAAGCAGAATAGTCATCACAGTCATAAATTTTGAATATCTTTTCACTTCGTCGGATTTAGCAGCGCTAGTGAAAATTGCTTCAAATATACCATTGAAAGCTAGGAATGGAATATATGCAATATATTCTAGAAATAGGTCGTATATATCTGATTTTGACCAATTATCCCCTCTGCGTATCAAAAATTTCAACAAAAATGGACCATTGGTAACACCTGCAAAGATTATGAATAAGCATAAATTGAAATAAAATAAACAAATCATCTTGATGTATGTAAATGTTTCAAAATAAGATGCCTTCAATGATCTAGTGTCGCCGTCACTGCTACCATTGTTTATGACCTTGGTTAACATCAATCTTGTTGATTCTTCAAGAGGCTGAAACAATAGTCTTGCAATGATCGAGCCGTAATTTGTGACAATTGCATAGATGCCTTGCTCTTCAATGGTACACAAATAACTTATCAAAAACCTGTCTCCTTCAGTTAAAAGCTGCTTAAATATCATTTGAACAAAAAAGCTTTTAAAGATCTGCAACAGACCAAAATCAAAGTAAATGGTTTTCCCTTCATCTACAGGTACCACAAACAACTGTAAGTTAGTGTTGTTTGCCTTGTTAAATCCGCTAAATGAGTACAAGTACATTGCAAATAACGTGAAGGAATAAGCAAACTGCCCCAAAACAAAAGACAAAGTAGCAACACCATCAAATTCTCGACCCTCGAAAAATCGACTCGACAAAAGCACGCACACAAAGGTCATGGCGCATTTCATAAACATGGCAACTCCTTCAAACTTGGTTCTTTTACCAATATCCAAGTCATATTGGTATACACAGTAAATTGGTTCTATTGCCAATTCCAAAAAAGTCAGCACCAAAAGCGTTGCAATAGCAAGCTTATGGAAAGGTAGTTTCAATAGAAAATCTTGAAAATTAGCCGATCGATAGCCTTGAAGATAGCCAACGATAATAGTTATGGGAACCCCCAACAATGTTGCTACCGACCCTAAATTCACCACCTTCTGTAGAGTCTTGGTTTTCGATTGATCAAACTTAACGCGCTGAACCGATAGTCTGATCGACTCCCTACTGAAAAACAAAACACTTGATTGCAAAAAGTCCAAGTAAGCAGCTATACCAAATACTGGTGCAGAGATAAACCTAATCATTCCTTGGTTGAGAACAAAGGTAAACAACTTTGTGAGTACTTGTACAAAAATCAAGGATGTTACCCTTTGTGTAGAGCCGTCAACAACACTTTGTCTCCCGTCATCTTGATCGTTGGTCATGGATCTAAAGTCTATAACCCTATTACTCTTGTCTCTTCCTTCTCTCTTAACAATTGATTCCTTGAAAAATTATCCAATACTAAAGATTGCACAAAGATTATAGACACCCCTCTTTTCAGGATGGGAAAAAAAAAAAAAGAATGTGAAGTTTTTTTTCTCTCTCTCACTCTCATAGTTTTTCAAAGTATAAGACATTTTCATCCATTCAACAAAGAGCTAATAGTAATCCTTAGACATACATGAGAGACTCATATGGAGTATTGATTCTGAATTGGAAGTCGTAAATACATCAGAGTAACATCAAGTCTTTTCCCGATTGTCCCTTTGAGATTTGAAAGAACGGAAAACAACCCACAAAAAAAAAAAAAAAGAAAATAAAAAGAAAAATAAAAAGGAAAAGGAAAAGAACAAATTGAAGATTGATTCTATAAGCACGCGATCTTGGTCTTAATAATGGAGCAAAATGCCAGAGATATAGAACTCAGAGAGCAGGACCGCTGGTTACCCATAGCTAATGTGGCAAGATTGATGAAAAATACACTACCGCCGACTGCAAAAGTTTCAAAGGATGCCAAAGAGTGTATGCAAGAATGCGTATCTGAGTTTATTTCATTCATCACAAGTGAAGCTAGCGACAAGTGCTTACGAGAGAAGAGGAAAACCATTAATGGAGAAGACATTTTGTATTCGATGTACGATTTGGGCTTTGAGAATTATGCCGAAGTGTTGAAGATATATTTAGCAAAATACAGAGAACAACAGGTTTTGAGACAAGAAAGAGGCGAGACTAGGTTGACCAAGAAACAGGCAAAGATTCAAGTAGCACAAGAAGCTGCTGCCGCCGCTGCCGCCGCTGCCGCTGTCGCATCGGAATCCTCGCTTGGCGAGTTAGGCGAGAATAATGATGGTTTGGAAATGAAGGAAGTACTGGATCTCGAGTACGATCATTCGAATCCCACAGATTCATTGGAGTCGATAGATTTGGGTGAACAGTTTGAAGGTATTGCGGAAGTTACAGAGCAAGCAAATGGTGTTGACTCTGTTGAAAAGTAGAGCCGAAAAGTACTCATTGGATTTATTGTAGAAATATGTAACATATTTATTAAAAATTGGGCCCGAGAATCTGATATTTTAACTTGTACGTCTGCTAACTAGTGACGCCAATCTGTTGGAAAGCCGTGATTTTCTATTGTGGACACTTGCAGAGGAAGAAGGGGAAGAAGGGGAAGAAGAGGAAGAAGAGGAAGAAGGGGAAGAAGGGGAAGAAAGAGTAAAGAAGAGGAAGAAAAAGGTGCCTTGACTTATTGGGGATGTAAACAAATCTTTGCTTCATCATAAATACAAACTGAGTGACAATACGCGTCACTATTTAAACAAACTCTTCTGAACTTTCAAAACTTTGAAAGAACTACTACAACCAGTACCAAGTATTGTCAAGTATGAAGTCAAACTTTTATTACTCATATACTACTACAAAAAGCCCCAAAATCAGCTATTCAGCAATAATCTCACATCTGCTTATGCTTCAACGGCTTCCTCGATTTCCTTATACTCCCCAAAATCAGCTATTCAGCAATAATCTCACATCTGCTCATGCTTCAACGGCTTCCTCGGTTTCCTTATACTCCCCTTCTTCTTTTCCGTCATCATTTTTTGCGTCCTCTTCCTCTTCCTCTTTCTCTTCCGCTTCTTCTCCCTCGTTGTCCTCCTCTTTTAAGATCCCAACCTCCTTATCCAACTTCTCAGAGGCTGCGTTAAAGTCAATCTGTTTTCCTCTTGTACGCCTGCCCGTCGAGATTATATTGCTTTCATCAATCTCGTTCAATTGGTCTTCATCTTCTTCGTCCTCTTCTTCGTCTGCCAATTTAGACCCCTCAAAGTCGTCGTCCTCATTTTCATCGTCATCTTCTTCATCCTCCTCCTCCTCGTCTACCTCCGCGTCTACTTCCTCGTCATCTTCATCCTCCTCCTCTACATCATCGTCTTCTTTCTCTTTCTTCTCTCCATTTGCGGCTTTCTTCTCCTTAGACTTGGACTCGGACTCCACCTTGGACTCATCATCGTCGTCATAGGTTCTTCTCTTTTGTTTCTTCTTTTTCTCTGGTTCCGCTTTGGTTTCACCTTCTGATTCTCTTTTCTTGGAGGTGGAGCTTTGCACAGAATCACCATCATCACCACCTTCTACATTGACATCATTCCCCTCCTGAGATACACCTGCTGGGGCTACTTCTTTTTTCTGATCCTCGTGGATCTGTTTTACCTCTCGTTCCGACATACTCTTGCTAAAAACAACTCAATTGAAATATGAGAAAGGACAAATTGGAACAAAGTGTCAACTACTGGAATGAATGGAATTTTATATTGTGAGTTGAAATTTTTCGCTAAATTGCTCTTTGCTATTTTGGACGTGTGCGGATTTTTGTTGACAATGTGATGAATTTACCAATAGTTGTTATAAAAATGAGACCACTATGGAGCAGAGCGAGATACCAACACTATCGAGCGAAGCGAGATGGTGAAGAAACACTGAGGAGCCCAAAGCGACTCTAGTTGAAAAATATTAAATAGAGCAGAAACACTATCGAGCGAAGCGAGATAGTGACAGAGTATCTCTACAAAGTGTTGATAGTATCGCTACAAAGTGTCAATAGAGCATCTCTACAAAGTGTTGATAGTATCGCTACAAAGTGTCGATAGAGCATCTCTACTACGTGTCGATAGTGTCGATAGAGCATCTCTACTACGTGTCTCACCACTATCTCGCTTCGCTCGATAGTGTCGATAGTGTCGATAGAGCATCTCTACTACGTGTCTCTCCACTATCTCGCTTCGCTCGATAGTGTCGATAGTGTCGATAGAGCATCTCTACTACGTGTCTCTCCACTATCTCGCTTCGCTCGATAGTGTCGATAGTGTCGATAGAGCATCTCTACTACGTGTCTCTCCACTATCTCGCTTCGCTCGATAGTGTCGATAGTGTCGATAGAGCATCTCTACTACGTGTCTCTCCACTATCTCGCTTCGCTCGATAGTGTCGATAGTGTCGATAGAGCATCTCTACTACGTGTCTCTCCACTATCTCGCTTCGCTCGATAGTGTCGATAGTGTAAAAAATCCAATATATATGCGCATCAAGTGAAATTTTCAAAGGTCATCGAAGCATTGAGTTTTTCAATAAACTAAAGTTTAAAAGTGCACGATATACCAAAGAAATGGTATGTTACTGGGTATGGATGACGAGTTTAACGAAATACTAACCTTCTCTTTACAAGTCTGTCAAATTGCCTATCAACAAAAAGACAAAAATGTCTGACCTAATCAACTATCGTCTCAAAATCTTGACTATTGATAATCGAACCTATGTAGGCTCCCTTCTCTCGTTCGACAAACACCTCAATTTGGTTTTGGCAGATACGAAGGAATCTAGGATAACGAAGAAAAGCTGGAACGAGTTGAAGAAAAAGAAAAAGAGTAAAACGAACCCTATGCCAGTGCCGAATTCCAATACACCACTTTTCCCATCGACTGATGTTCCCCCAACAACTAAACTCGATGTAACAAAAAGGCACTTGGGTTTGATTATTTTGAGAGGAGAACAAATCGTGAGTCTTTCCATTGAAACTGGACCATTAACTGATATAAAATCAAGAGTTACCGGTAAGGGAACAAGTCGACCTTTGATCCACCCCGTTAGTAAGATAAAGAAACTTGCATAATCCAAACATAAAAAAAGAGAGAGAGAGAGAAGTAAACTAAACTGAACTGAACTGAACTTTGACAGTTTGCCAATGTTAGTTATATACATTTTTTGTTAGCTTGGCTTTTATATTTCACATCTGTTGAATATCACATCTGTTGAATATCACATCTGTTTATTATCACATCTGTTTATTATTTCACATCTGTTTTGATATCACATCTGTTTATTATTTCAATCTTTTCGTCCGTATAACTTTATCTAGCAACATCCACCGTTATTCTTACCACGAGTCTTCTCTTTAGGTGCTGGTGTCAAGCTTATTGTAGGACCATTGGTTGCTGCCTTCAAGCCACCTTGCTCATTAGTATCCAACTGGTGTTTTGAAATCATCTCATATATGTTCTTTAACAACTGATGAAAACTCAAATCGACGTTATCTGAGCTTAATGCAGAAGCTTCTGTGAATAGCAAGTTATTTTCTATGGCAAAATTTCTCGCTTCTTCCGTAGGCACAGCTCGCAAATGATCCAAATCGGATTTGTTGCCTACCAACTCAATAACAATATTTGCATCTGCATGCTCCCTCAACTCTTTCAACCAACGGCTAACACTTTCGTAACTTTCGGTTTTGGCAATATCATAAACAATCAATGCACCAAGGGCACCTCTATAATAAGCCGAAGTTATAGCTCTATACCTCTCTTGTCCTGCTGTATCCCAGATTTGTGCCTTGACTCTTTTGCCGTCAATCTCCAACGTACGCGTGGCAAACTCAACTCCAATAGTCGACCTGCTTTCTAAATTGAACTCATCCCTAGTGAAACGAGATAACAAGTTAGATTTACCAACACCAGAATCACCAATAAGCACTATCTTGTATAAATACTCGTAGTCGTATGAATAATCATCTGTATTGTCAGACATCCTGTATCAAAAAAAAATCCTGAGTTTATCTAAAACCTGAAGCTAATCTATTCTTACCTTGCCTTTATCAAAGTTGGATGAAATAGAGCCCTTGATAGATACAGTGGGTGGGGGGGAGGTGACAGCAAACTTGTAGAGACTAACAACGTTCTAACTGACTTTATATCAATAACCTTAAAAAGCTCGTCTTGGACTAATAATGTCTACCTTTATACGATTGATGTTTTTCACTCGTACCTCTGCTCCTTTTGTTTTGGTGTTGATTTCCTTCAACGTATAAAAATTTATTGTTGCATATTTAAATTTTTTTTTTTCGTTTTTTTTTTTTTTCACAAATAGAGAAAGAAGAAAGAAGCAAGAAGAGTTCATCTTACCGAGCTTTGTTATTAAACTCTCTATTCTGTTTTCACAATTGGGAATAAGCTATAGAGAATAGTCTTGGATTGATGTCTAATGTGTACACTATCGAGCAGAGCGAGATAGTGGAGCACGCTGGCTACAACAAAGCTCATTATCAGTCTTTTTTTTTATCTTGTTTTATTATTATCGAATATCGTAATCCTTTTGTAATAATCCTGATTTCTCAAGACTCGTGAAATCAACAGGGTCGTTGGTGACAGCTAATGTTTCCATTGGATAATTTCCATCAACCTCGTGTTGTTGCACCAACTTCTGAGGATAATTTCCATCAACCTCGTGTTGTTGCACCAACTTCTGAGGATAATTTCCATCAACCTCGTGTTGTTGCACCAACTTCTGAGGATAATTTCCATCAACCTCGTGTTGTTGCACCAACTTCTGAGGATAATTTCCATCAACCTCGTGTTGTTGCACCAACTTCTGAGGATAATTTCCATCAACCTCGTGTTGTTGCACCAACTTCTGAGGATAATTCTCTTTACGAATATATTGTCTTGTAAACGAAGAAATGTGAACTTCCATGAGTCCAACTTTTTCCATAAACTCTCGCCTACTATCAATAATGTTATTTATACTACTTCTCCATTGATTAACCTCGGTGATTTTCATGTCAACATCTTTACTTCCATCGTGAACCAAATACTTGTAAAGAATGCTCAATCGAATCTGGAAATAGGTAATCATTCGTATCAAGTAAGCTGCAATGTATCGCAATTCTCCAATGTAAGGTGCAATTGTCCCATTTGAAAACTGCTGTGAAGCTGCCATCTGTAAGTCCTTGTCAAATATATCGAAATCATCATCGCTTGCAAATACATCCATCATCAAGGGACTAGTTAAATCGCGAAGAAAAAAGTACTTAAGCTGAGGGCATATGGCAAAAAACGATCTTTTAAAAGCTTTATAAAACAAATAAAGAATTTTTTCCATGATTCCTTGGGATTTCCTACCAGCGATAAACCTACCGGGGAATATCTTGACCCACCGCATAATAATTTCATAAAGTAACCGTTGTTGAAGTTCCATATCCGCCAAGCTCTCATTCAACTGCGGAATATAATGTTGAATCGCATCATTTAAAAATGCTAAAAGTTCATGATATTTCAAGTAAAGAAACCGATGTGTCGAATATTCCTCCAATGTTGAAGTGGATCTTGTCACTATTGGTAATAATATCTCTCCAAATTTCGTAAGAAGATGTTGACATTCAGATAAAAACAGCGGATTGTAACCCGGTATGTAAACCGACATTGACACATTAGTAACTAACCTCAAATACACGGGGATGATTACAGGTTCAGTCATTGAATTTGCATTATAGGATAATACGTTAAACATGCCATCTCTAAAGCAAATTGTTGAGTCTAGCGAACTCTCAGGATCATAAACAGACATAAGACTCAAGATGTAGGATACAGAACTTACCACGTCTGGTTCAAGGTTAGCTTTCAATGTAATTCGAAGACCTTTTATAACTTCATCATAATACTTTATGGACTTAACAAGGCATGTTCGCCGTACATTATCCAATTGAGTTCCTCTAGAACTCAGCGATGTTTCTTCGCTACTGCTGTAGTACTTGTATGAATCCCCAAAACAATTTGAAATCAAGTAGTTGGTGCTCAAATTTAGTAAACAGTAAAACATAAAGTGGCTAGTGTATCCTTTCCATACAAACGAGTTTAGCCAAAGCTTGTAAAATTCTCGAATCTGCGTTAAAGTAGCCTCGCCGCTTAGTACTAACGGTCCCATTTCTTTAAGCATCCTTCTAAGCTTCAAATCGTAATTGATGTTTACCCTCTTTGTGCACTTGAAAGTTGTTAGAAGAATTAATGCTCGAGGTAGTAGACACAGCAGCTGGTGGTCCAAAAGTTTATTGGAAATTAGCAAATTTGTGTTTTGATTAATCATTGCACAGTCGTTTTGCATAAAGTATACTGGGTATGTTATCTCATTTCCGGAATCAATTGGTAGCAAATTATCATAATTTTGAGTAATTAGTTGGCTCGTACTGCTACTACTATTGTCCAGAGGAAGTTTTAATTTATCGACTGTCACTGTAAGAATATTGTGTTGTTCCTCTGTGCTAAACGATGTAGGAGAATGATGATTACTGTTGTTGTTATTATTATTATTACTGTTATTACTATTATTAGTGGTAGTGTTATCATTATGGTTTGCAAGTTCCCGTTGTGATTCCAATGCAGGAGTAGTCGACACCAGTCGCTTCCTCTTTGACCCTATAACTTTTTTTTTCGAGGCATTGATATTTAAGCTTGATGGCTCAGTTTGAATAGAATCTTCTTCTTCTTCTTCTTCTTCTTCTTCTTCTTCTTTTTCTTTTTCTTTTTCAAAATCGTTGGATTTTTTCAGATTGCGCGGTCGCTGTTTCAATGCCCGTTGCAGCTTAACTTCCCTCAACTCCTTTAATTGTTCCTTGGTATAATCGAGATACCCACATTTGACTTTGTGTTTTACACAATTGAAGCATGCGGGTAAATCTTCGGAACATTTAACCCGCCTTTTCTTGCAATTGGGACACCCCATTTTGGAATTTTTGTGCTTTCGCCGTTTGGCCTTTTCGCTCAGCAGATTGTCAACCAGCGACGACGCCGTTGAGAGCGACTCAACCGAACTATTCTTCGACGTTATTGTATTGGTATCTAGGGTAACTATCCTGTCTGTGCTCTTATCCATTGAGCAAAAAAAAAAAAAGACAACCTCTTATCTTTACCTAACAAGAAGTTGAAAGGAAAAAAAACCCTTTTGCTTTCCCTAGTGCTTCTTTTTACCTTATTCTTACTTCTTTTTGCCTTATTCTTGCTTCTTTTTACCTTATTCTTGCTTCTTTTTGCCTTATTCTTGCTTCTTTTTGCCTTATTCGTGCTTCTTTTTGCCTTATTCTTACTTCTTTTTCCTTCTTTTTCCTTTTTTTTCCTTGTTTTTCCTTGTTTTTCCTTGTTTTTCCTTGTTTCCTGTACCTGAAATCAATAGATAAGCACCAGCACAATAAGGTTTTTATCGGAAATAGCTCCCATTATATAAAAACCAACAAACCGACAAACAATGGCTCCAATTTTGGAAAAAATTCCCATGTCACCTATTGACAGAATGCCCATCGATGGATTTTCTCTTTTGGGTCGAGTTCCAAGGTAGTGTGCACATTACCAATTAGTACCACTATATTTTTTTTTATATATTTATTTTTCTTCTTCTTCTTCTTCTTCTTCTTCTTCTTGTTCTTGTTGTTGTTCTTCTTCTTGTTGTTTCATTTAATCGCCCCTAGCTGTAACGGGAACTTTGATTAAATATATTATTGCAATAGTGCAATATTGTAAGATGGTTGTAGTTTTTAGTAAACTAATTGCTCTATATGATTAATGGGCCTGATCTAAACGGCGTTTTTTATGGCCAAAAAATAAAAATAAAAAAAAAAAAGAAGAATCCGAGGATCAGATTAAGGTGTTGTTAAAGGATAGATTCCAGGAATCCTTCTTTAAGAAAGGATTTGCTAAAAAAGAATTTATTTCAAGGTTAAACGTTATTTCAGGTTTAAATGTTATTTCAAGGTTAAAAGTTTCAAGGTTAAAAGTTATTTCAAGGTTAAAAGTTTATTTAGAGATTAAGTATGAAACCTTATTCTTGATATCGATTTCTCTCTGTGTTTCCCGAGATTGAACTGAACGTCAACCTTGTTTGATGGAGATGTGATGGAGTTGTGACATAAAAGTATAATTTACCATATGGATTGGATTTGGAGAATAGGGGCAGCCTTTGAGGGGCAGCCTCTGAGGGGGACTTGATACAAAGTGTAATATGTGAACACCATATCGTATTAGTTGTAAAAAAATTTTGTAGCCCAGTTGAATTATTTGTGATAATTTGTATAACCATGTAAAAATATATTTCTAAATGGGTTTCTCCCTAATGAAATTTTTATTGAGATAAACAATTACAAGCAAATGAAAAGGCCTCCTGTTAACTTTTGAAAGTGACGGAGAAATAATTATTTTTTGGCAAGACCAATTGAGGTTGAGAAAAAACTTTAAATTGGATAAAGTTTCACAATGGGACAGGTTTGGGATAAGTTTGGGATAACTTTTCTTTAAATTGGACAAGTTTTCTTCTATACTATAATGTGTAGAAAAAACGCCTTTAGCTAAGACAAGATTTCTCTATTATTGGCGCCGCCTTTGAACAAAAAAGCTGGCCATTTGGATGTTTTCCTTCTCTCTTTACACGCCAAGTCTTGAAAATAAACCATCCTGTATCATAGGTACCCAATCCTAACAAATAATGAATCAATCTCTATAGTGAGCAAGACTAGACGAGTGAAACGAGTCTAGTCGAGAAGAGGAGCCAGCATTTATAAGGTGCTAGCATTTATAAGAAGCCAGCATTTATAAGGTGCTAGCATTTATAATGTACTAGTATTTTTAATGTGCTAACATTTATAAGAAGCTAGCATTTATAATGTACTAGTATTTATAAGAAGCTAACTTTTACAATGTACTAGTATTTATAATCCGCTAACTTTTATAAGGAGCTAGCATTTATCATGTGTTAGCATTTATAATGCACCTAACATTTATAGTGAGTCTAACATTTATAGTGAGGCCAAACTCTATAGGGCTAATCTATCCTCTATAGGGTCAATTTACCCCTCTATAAGGCCAATCTACCCCTCTATAAGGCCAATCTACCCCTCTATAAGGCCAATCTACCCCTCTATAAGGCCAATCTACCCCTCTATAAGGCCAATCTACCCCTCTATAAGGCCAATCTACCCCTCTATAAGGCCAATCTCTATTTTCAATGAGTCTATAAGACAATATACCCCCACAGCAGCTATTCTACTCTTCTCGACTAGACTCGTTTCACTCGTCTAGTCTTTCTAAGCCAGCTCTCGATATTTTATTCAAATCAGGACTTAAATTCAAGATTCTGCTTCTCTTTCTCTCGTCTCAACTCTTGAAAGTCACCAAGCAATTTATACGCTTCATTGATGGTCAATTCAAAAGGTGCCTGCACTAATGTATATTCTGGTATAACATCTTGTTCATTTGCCACTCCATTGATTAAATTTTGATATGAAACTAATAAATTGTTTTCAATGTCACCTGCACTATCGACTAATAATGTATCGTTAAAGCTAAAAGTTTGTGGTATCGGACCAAATCCAAAATTCCGGTAATGTATCTCAACTACTGGATCTTGGAAACAATTCTTTCGAAACCACTCAGTTTGGTAATGATTATAGCTGTACAAGTGTTTCATATCTACCAGCTTCATACCCATATCCCAAAGCCGGTGGAAAGGTAGTGACATTGGGAAATGCAAAAAATGATAGTAGTCAAAATGGGTGTTTGAAAACTCCTCGATAATCACTTCATTCCATGCCTTCATCATCAATTCACGCTTGGAAGTTTCAGTCAAGTTTATTAACAAGTTATATCGCTTATAAAAGAAATCGTGGACTCGGATACAATACTGACATACATATTGCAAATAACTATTCTTCAATGGTTGTGGTGGTGGTGTCATTGGAAATACCCTTATTAAATGAGGATAACAGAATAAAGCACGCGGAAATAGGTTTGGAAGCATCATCATCAACACTTTATACAAGTACAAAACAACAAGCTCGAATTCGTCAGTAGTGAAATTCGGTAAAACAAAGAGCCCCGATGGTGCCAGTATTAACCAATCTCGAACTACTTGATAGGAATCAAATTTAAATGCCCAATCATCAAACTTTTTGCTGAATTCAATTAAATCGTTATAGGAACAAAGTGCCTGGAAATTGCAGCTTTTCTTAGCATACACCTCTAGACTCAAAATAAATCTATTGAGTTCCTTTAAACACTTTTGGTCATAAGCAGGAAAGTACCACGACTTGGAGGCATTAGCCACATATTTGAGAACCGAGGGACACGTTATTTGTTGATGCTTGACAATTATGTCCCTTGTGAGTTGAACCAAGCCTGAGCCAAAAGTAAACGACTGGTCAACCGTTTCCTCCTCATAGATTGCAATTATATGGAGGTACAAGGAAGATAACAGTGCGCGGGACATACTAGCCACATCTCGTTTATTTAGCATTTGCCGCAAATTGTTCAATGCTTTGCCATAGTAAACGACAAATTTCGCAACTAGATTTTCCCTTAGACTCATTATTTCCAGGGGCTTCTTTATGCACAAGAATGCACGATATGCGTTTCGATACATGAAGCTGCATGTAAGTGCTAACAACGTAAAAAATAATGTAGGGCTTGTTAGATAAAGGACAAGTTCTGGTAAATATGAGTTGTTTTGTAAAAAAATTGAATTTTGCAAATGTTTGTAGTCTAGTCTTTTAAAACAAGTTGGTAAGAGACGAGGCTGGTAAGTTTCTGCTCGTATTGGATTGGTACTGGACATCCTCGAATCATACTTGTTTGAAGTATGTATTGAAAAAAATATGTATATATATATAAAAATAAAGGATACCGTACCTTCTTTGGTGGAATCTATAGGCAAAAGTAGGTGGCTGTTTCAAAGATGGACGTTTGGAATAGATGATGGAATATATACTTGACGTAGATATAGCTGTAATCACAATTTCAATTTCAATTTCAATTTCAATTTCAATGAGTTGAAAAGAGCAAAATGTCCATTGAGAGAAAATGGTTAGTTAAAAGGGAATGGGATTTCCATTTGCCGAGGCGCAGAGTGCTTAGATTGCAGACTCTGAGGTTTTGCTTCCTACTCACTCTGTACTATGTAAAAAGCCGAAACTCTCATTTTGCTATTACTCTCAAGGGCTTGTATAGATGCATTTTTTAAGGGAAGAAAGTGAGAGAAGAAAGTCACAGAATAGGAAAGAGATTGAGGGACTGGGATAGGGGAGAGAAGATGAATAAATCACAAGAAAAGGGTCATACTTAAAATGAGTCTCCATAATTGTAAATACAGAGAAGAGAGACACAAGGGAAAAGAAAAGGAAGATAAGAGAACCAGGAGAAGGAGATGAGAAAAGAGAAGGAAGAGACGACCAAGTGCTGGTCCACTATCTCGCTCTGCTCGATAGTGTCTCACAGAGTCTTGTTTACTTTCGATGAGAACTTGAGATTTTGACTACAAAATAGACACATAACCTGGAATGATAAACATATGGTGGCATCTATAGATACAACCCAAAAAGATATAAAAGTAGATTTATGGTTAAACGAAAATTAGCCGAAACTTAAAAGCTTAACGGAACATTAGTACAATATTGATTCCTATACTCTATTCACTCACTGTACAGAAAACATCTTTCCCTCTACAGCTGAGCCCATTTCAATACCTCTAAAGAACAAACAACTATAAAAATCGTGGTAGGCAAAGTCAATACTACGTATCCCCAAAACAAAACACCCGACATTTCTCTTTGGTATATTCCGTTCAATTGCGAAATTTGACTCAACTGAATTGCTGGAGGACTTATAGTCAACACAAATGCAACAATCAAAAAAATCGGATCATCCAAAATGGAAAGGTTGATATATTTGACACATACGGTAATTATCGGAAGTAATATAATTGGAGGTAAAATCATTCTTGATACTAGTGAGCCAAAAAGCATTCGGTTATAATGTTTTGAAGCCGCCGGTATATCTTGCGAAGGGTACAAATTTGAGCCTAAAACTATTAGGATAAGTGGTACTGAAACTGAACCCAAGTTTGTAATTGCTTTAGTGAATGTGTTTTGAATAAATGATCCATCGCTGGTTTCATTTCCCGAACTGAAAAACACGCGTTGTAATGGAGTTGACGCAACTACAACACTGATCAACATTGTATATAAAGGGGGGTTCATAAATGCAAGAAACAGCTTCACAAATGAGAGTCCAGCCACCTTGGATAGAAAAGTTGAAATTCTACCCTGACTTTGAATCTTGACTTCCCTGTGTTCATCATCATCATCTTCATCTTCATTATCATCATCATCGGAATTGGATGATGAAGAGCAAGAAGAGGCTGATGCTGATGCTGATGCTGATGCCAAAGCTGATGCTGAGGCTGAGGCTGAGGCTGAGGACGATGACTCTGAGGCTGAGGATGGCTCAACTTCGTTTGAGACTTCCTCCACTTCTGCTTGATCGATATACAAAGCTTGTTCGCCATCAAGTAATCTTGATTGTTCTGAAAGCACCAAGGCTCCATTCTTTGTATAGTAAGTATTCAATTCCAAATGAGACCTCTTTCTCAACAATTTATTAAAACCCCAAGACCATCTCAAAATTTGTCCCAATTGCTGGAAAATCAACAAATACAAGATACCTCTACCTGCAACTTTGTCGCTATCGTCATCATCTATATCTTCCCAATATAGACCAGGCAAAGTATATGCCAAACTCAAAGTGAGCGACACGGGAAGGGAATTTGAGTTACCAAATACTGCCATAGCAGTAACGAAATCTGATTCGGGGTCATTTAATTGTAAAAAAAACGAAGTTACCCTAGAACATCCATAAGCAATCAAGGTTGAAATGGCGAAAAATATAGGGATAACAATAATATCAAGAAGCTTTGATATACTTAGTGAACTTGCTAATTTGGAAAATATAAGACATGGTGTGAATAAGTCGACATTTAGTGAGCTTAGTAGCTTTTGACCTTGCGTGTTTAACAACCCCGATCTAGCGGCAATGAACCCTGCAAGACATATAATAACAACCTCTAAAACGGCTTCAAAGGTTAAACGCGATGTATCGATAAAGGAAAGAGAAGTGGTGCTATTTGATAGGAGCAAACTTCTCATCGATTGCTAGGAAAAACAAGACACAAACAACAAAAAGATGTAGCTTTACCTGACCCACTGCTGTAATTAGATCCAAAATGGATATAGGAAACCCAAAGCTCTTATACTAGTAGAAAAAAATTTCATTAAAGTGCTTATCTTTCTACTGTGGCATATTATAACATATTTATATGGAACGACATAATAAAAAAATATTATGCGCTAGAAAATCCAGGGAACAAAGCAATAAAGAGAAAGGAGCTCTCAGAGAAAAGAAACATAGGCTGAATAGAGAAATATAGAATAGAGAAATATAGGCTGAATAGAAACATAGGCTGAATAGAACAAAGGGTGATTAGAGTTTGAGTTTGAGTTTACATTTTTTTGGTGAGGGATTGAGACGAGATGAGATGAGATGATTCAGGATGAGAGCACAAAAGAATGGTGGCAATGTGTATAGTAATTTGTGTACTAATGTAGTAATTCGGCGTTTGCCATGCCGTCTAATGTATCAAGTGAGTATAATAATCTAGGCTTGCACTGCTGACTAGACCATTACTACCCCTGACTCTGTTTTTTCTCACTATATGCTATTGCTATCTAGATTATGTCAAGGAAGATTAAAGAGTTAAAAGCCCTGACATTAAATAGTTAAATGCCTTGACATTAAAGAGTTAAAAGCCTTGACATTAAAGAGTTAAAAGCCTTGACATTAAATAGTTAAATGCCTTGACATTAAATAGTTAAAAGCCTTGATATGGAAACCCCATTATACTTGGGGCGCGGATAATATCACGTGACTTTATTTATTTCTTTTCCCACTCTCTCTTTCTCTCCTAAAGGATGAATTATCCGAGCTAGTTGAGATATACTGGTTGAACAAATCAGTCCAGCTTAGATTGGTTCAAAATCTTAATGATAAAGGTTAGTTGAACAAATCAGTCACTTCTATTAAGTCACTCCGCCCATCACCTATTTTTTACGAGTAACGATTAGACGATTATCCGAGGAGCCGAGGAGCCGCTGAGATGGGAGGGTTCAAAGATAAAGGTCAGTTGACGGAGTTAAACAAATCAGAAACTCCTATTCTTCTATGCTCTACTCCGCCATCACCTATTTTTTACAAGTGACGATTTTCTCAACTAGGACCCACGTGTGCCTTTTGGTGCACGTGTACCTTTGTTTTTGTTTGTTTGTTTTTGACAATGTCTGAGACAATGCTTGCTTTTTCTTGTCACACCAAGAAAGTAAAGGAGACAATAATAAATCGAACCATGACACTGACACTATCGAGTGACACTAACACTATCGAGCAGAGCGAGATAGTGGACTGCATTAAAGTAGACGTGTAGACCATACACTATCGAGTGACACTGACACTATCGAGCAGAGGGAGATAGTGGAACACATTAAAGTAGACGTGTAGACCATACACTATCGAGTGACACTGACACTATCGAGCAGAGCGAGATAGTGGACTACATTAAAGTAGACGTGCAGACCATACACTATCTCGCTCTGTTCGATAGTGGAACACATTAAAGTAGACGTGTAGACCATACACTATCTCGCTCTGCTCGATAGTGGATATACTATCGAGCAGCACTTTGTAGCTTGTTATACCACTGACCAAGAGACACTGAGTAGCTGCCATCAACACTAGCTGCCACCACTAACTACTATTATACTTTTCAACACAAGTGAATAGGCTGTGCAGTTGGACGAGAATATAAAAAGAGGCAATGACACGATACAAGAGGAGGGCGAGTATCAAGATTATTTATCTTACCCTATTCTACTCCCGAGTCACTATATGGCTCTCTTTCTACTTCCCTCTATGGCTCTATTTTTAAACTCATTGAATTGCCGCAAAAAAAAGTAATTAGCCACAAAATGTATAAATATCGGATAATTGGATTTAACGATGCAAGCGTATCTTGATTAAACACCATTTTAGAGTCTCTGAAAGCTGGGATGCGTCACGGTATGATAATAATAAGACGCGGGGCAAGGTAATAGATTATGAGAATCCTCACAAGACTAATGAGCTCAATCTTCTTGCACCAATTTTTTTCCTCTCTAGTAAGCTTAATTCAGCTATTTCTTCTCTAGTGATGTTCAACCATTTCCCTAGTGAAGCTCAGCTGAATCTTTCATAAAGGTCTCATAGCTGATGAGACCCGTTCCCGTTCTTGGGATCTGATTTATTTCGCGACTTTGATTTCAAAGTTGCAATAACACAGATCCATGTTATAGTAAGTAGTAGATAAGAGAATTCACCAAGGATCATATCCATCTTCTTTCTTCCATTACCAACCACCTGCTACATCCATCTTCTTTCTTCCATTACCTAATATATCCATCTTCTTTCTTCCATTACCAACCACCTGCTACATCCATCTTCTTTCTTCCATTACCTAATATATCCATCTTCTTTCTTCCATTACTAACCACCTGCTACATCCTTCGCCTTATTCTTTCGTCCAACTCCGCCCAACTCCGCCCATCGTCGCCCGCGACAAACCCGCCCCAGCAAATCAACGCGAAATCAAAACAAAAAAGGCGCTCCGGAAAATAAAAAAAGATTCAAAGGGAAGCTTTGTTGGTGATGCTTGCACAGATCGATACCACGACCATAACAACAAGCCAACAAGCACAAGCACAAGCACAAGCACAGCATCCTCACCTGCTACTCATTCCAGAGAATCTTTATCTGTTTTCCTTTTTTTTTTTTTTTAAATCCCTTCATTTCTCATGATCATATAACACTCCAAAAACTAATGGGTCTAATAAAACAAGAGACTCCCTATCTTCCATATATGCCTTCAAGGAGGAGTAACAATGACAGAGATTTAGCGCCAAAAAAGCATAACAAGGCATGGTATCATGATAAGAACACATCCTCCGAGAACGAGGCCATTGAAAGTAGTATGGATGCTGATTATACTAATGGAGACTCGGTCTCCGAAAGGTCCGTCGATGGGGAATGCGATACTTTTGATAAAACTCCATCGCCAAAGAAAATATTGGACTTGAAAGACGAAAACTACTTTGGCTTTGCATCTACTCCTTTACATCCAAATCACGCTGTTTCGTTTCTTTCTCCTATAAGAAGACTAAATGATTTGCATTTGCAGTCTCAGACTATTGAGGAATTGACTTCAAATGAAGAAGAGGATTTCGAAGCATGTCAAGACGATAAGGAGAAGAAGGAAGAAGAAGAAGAAGAAGAAGAAGAAGAGGAGGAGGAGGAGGAGGAGGAGGATCATGAATACGCAATAGGAAACAAGACAATTTCCAATAACTCTGACGAGTCCGATAACGAACAATTTCCAACGTCGCCGCCTAAATATATCAATGTTAAAAAGAGACTACATCTGAATTTCGAATCTTCTCGAATAGCTACACCACTAATGAGCAATAATGACATCACTATGAAACTGGCTACTTGCCAGTCCGCATCCGAAGGCATATCTGGATCAACTTCAAAACTAAGCTTCTCACCAAATGATTCAACACCGTGTCCACCACAACCCAAACGAAAAAAGCTCAAATTCAAACAAACATCGACTAAAACCATACTTGATTTAAACTATGCTAGAAAGACATCTTTGCAGGATCTACCACCAAGACCTATTTTGCCAAACTCACAAGATGAGGAAATTGATGAGAAATACGAATCGAATTTGTTTGAAAGGCGAGATATGGAATCAACACCAATATCTCAATCAACTCCTTCATCGCTGAGATCATCAACTCCCCCTCCGCCTCCTCTTCCGCCACTAGCGGAGTACGGTCCGCCTATCAATGGATACAAATTTGTCAAACCGAAAACAAGAGTATCTTATTTCAAGTATGAAACGCCGAGAAAATCGGATCGATATAAACAGTTAAAGGACTCTTATAATAGTCGAAATTATCAAATAATTGGAGAACTATCAGTCACATCGGCAGGATTGATGAATGAAAAAGAAGAGGATGTTCACATTGGGGATAAGAGAATTGTCGATTCTTCTTATTCAAATTCATTTAATACTAATAATCAAGTGGAGGAAATACGACACGAATACCACAGTAAATTGAAATTACCGTTGGTTCCACCATATTTCTATCAGGAAAACCTCAAAGACGAACAACTACTACAGCTTCTCAACCAAGCTGCTGTTGAAGAATTTTATGATATAATTGTAGAAGGATCCATGCTTGAACTATTGAAACAAGAACGATTCAAATGGCATCCGGATAAATGGGTTGGCAAATCTAAAAACGGGAATGCCACAGGATTATCCCTAAAGGTTATTGAACAATTAAGTCAAATAATCAATGTATTGATTGAAACGTATAATGACACATAATTACAAAATTTTTTTTTTTACAAAATTACTTGCTTTTCTCTTTATTCTCAGCTATGCTTTCTCCATTCTCTTTGGGTACTTGGGTATCGGTATCCTCTTCTACGACGCCATCTTTATCATTCAAAGTAGTTATTTCATCAGCATCATCACCTTCCATATCCTTATCCACTTCCACTCCCACTTCCACATCCTCTTCCACTTCCACATCCTCTTCCACTTCCACGTCCTCTTCCACTTCCACTTCCACATCCTCTTCTCCCTCGACATCCTCTTCCCCCTCTTCTTCCGCTTCTCCTTCCACATCCTCCTCCTCCAAGTCCTCATCTTCCACTTCCACCTCCTCTGCACCATCCTCCTCCAAGCCCTCCTCCTCTTCTTCTTCTTCTTCTTCCTCCTCCTCCTCTTCTTCTTCGTCCTCCTCTTCCTCTTCCTCGTCGTCTTCTTCTATATCATCTGGCTGTTCTGGCGGATACTCATCGGCATTACTCTCATTATCCCATACAATATTAAACCTCGTCACTCTTGGTTTTTCAGCTAGTATATTTCTCACCACATGATCAACTTGTACTTTTGCCGGTGGGTTTTCCCTCAATTCCTCAGTATCATACTCATTATTGACATAGTATCCAACTCGAACAAACTCTCGGTCACTATACGAGCAACTCAATATTATAACAGTAACGCTAACTAGTTCACTTGCTGGGATCAACTCGGGACTTGGAGCATCGGCCTTGAATAAAAAGGAGTTTACACCAACAGGCACGGGACCAACCAATATTGAGTCTAATTCTTGATCGTGATCTAAGGAGTCCGACGATCCAACATAGGTCAATTTCCATTCTAAATCTTCCTTTAACGATTCAAGACATTCAAAAGTGATTTGAAACTCATAAGGGTCACTGAACTTGGCCGGATTATTTAGCACTTCAATCCCTGTTAATGATACAATTGACATAACACAGCAGCAACAACAACAACAACAACAAGACACGCGTATGGGTTCCCTATTTAGTTTCCTATAACTAGGTTAAGAAGAAAAGAGTATGTATTAAATGATAGGCCACTTTTGTATAATGCGCGCACTGTTTGAAAAAGACAGACGCGTAAGTAATTTTTTTCAACCTCATCTCATCATCAACAGTGTATCAACACTATCGAGCAGAGCGAGATAGTGGAGCACTTCATAGCTTGTAGCAACACTATCGAGCAGAGCGAGATAGTGATGATAGAGTTGATAGTGTCGATAGTCAGTGCTGCCCCACTATCGAGCAAAGCAGATAGTGGAGCACTTTATAGCAACACTATCGAGCAGAGCGAGGTAGTGGAGCACTTCATAGCTTGTAGCAACACTATCGAGCAGAGCGAGATGGTGGATCACTAACTAGCTTGTTACACCACTAACTAGCTTGTTACACCACTAACTAGCTTGTTACACCACTAACTAGCTTGTTACACCACTAACTAGCTTGTTACACCACTAACTAGCTTGTTACACCACTAACTAGCTTGTTACACCACTAACTAGCTTGTTACACCACTATCTCGCTCTGCTCGATAGTGTTGATAGTGTAGATAGTGTCTCTAATCAGTGCTGCTCAACTATCTCGCTCTGCTCGATTGTGGAGCACTAACTAGCTTGTTACAACACTATCTCGCTCTGCTCGATAGTGTTGATAGTGTTGATAGTGTTGATAGTGTTGACAGTGTTGATAGTGTTGACAGTATCGTCTACAAGTTCAATCAATTTCAAGATGCGACTTTTTGTAATATTCACCATGAAAGACTATATAAAGACTAAATAATGTAAAAGACCAATACCGAAATATATTCAATCTGAGTGAAAAGGGGACATGATGACCCTGTCAATAAAGTAAAATAGCTTCATTTTCCAGAATCTTACTTTCCTCCCAAGTGAATAAATAAAAAATGAAAAAAAAAAAATACCAACTCAAACGGTTACCAGCACCAGGTTGAAATTGATATAGAAATGAAAATAATGAAATAAAAACCCACCACTTCTCCGCCATTTGCACCACTTCTCCATTTGCACCACTTCTCTGCCATTTGCACATCTTTTCTTTTGTTTTGTTTTTTAATTAATCTTTTTGTTAATCTTCCATGGTATCAGTCTGAAACAGACTTAGTAGTATTCCTCAAAAAGGATGATAATTTCAATTTCCTTACATTGACCTCCGATACATGCATCGTATAATTTGTAGAGACCATTGTCGTCAACAGCACATTCCCAGAATGTGGTGCAATCATTCAATGCCAATAAGTAGTAGCCGTCCTTGTAGACAATTGACCATCCGCAAGTGAACAATGCATCGACTTGAGCTGGTTTGTCAAATTGGAATTGGTGGTTAGCAACAATGGAACCAGTAGCGTATTTTTCGTCGTACAAGACACCATCACATAAAGTGAAAAGATCTTCACATTCTTTGTCAATGACACAGTATGGGTGGCATAATGGAGAGTAGTCGTAAGATTTCTTTGGAGAGTATTTCTTTTTGTAGTATTTCTCTCCACGCTTGTACACCTTGTGTTTGTAGTCATCACCATACTCTTCTTGGCAATCATCTTCGCAATCATCTTCGCAATCATCATCGCAATCAGAGATTGGGGTTGGGGTTGATTTACAGCAAACAGTCTCGCAATCGTGTTCTAATTGACCGTCTCCAATTTCGAAAACCAAGTAAATAGTGTCATCGTCACATTCCTTAACACCCAAACCAAATGGATGCTCGAAAGTGGTGATTTCGCTATCATCACAGCATTTAGTGGTGGTTGGAACGTAACCAGCGTGAGCAACAGATGCAACAGCTAAAGCAATGGAGATTGAGGTGGAAAATTTCATATTGAGTAAAGTGTTTGGATGGAAAAGGAAGTAAGTGATGATGAAATGAAAAGAAAGGATACGATATTAACGGGGGGAAGTATGGCCCTCTATTTATACTTTTCCAATTTGAATGAAGCAGCGGGTCTAGTTCCCCCTTTTTTCATATCTTGTTATTGAGCGGTGTCTCTTCAACCACCGCTTCATCCCTTGATCTGGAATAAAAGACTGTGTACTGAGTAACTGTACCATTTTGAAAAAGACGGACCATACACATTTTTGAAAAATGCCGCATCCTTGTAAAACCCACCGCCCCGACACGGATGACCCCTCTTTCTCCTCCTCCTTCCTTTGTTTCCACTTCCCTCTTTTAGTAAAATGTTTTGCATCATTTTTGACCGCCGACATATCACCATAACACCAACAAATCAATGATATAAATGAGGATCTTTGTGAAAAAAAAAGGGGGACTCTCTTTAACTCAACACCACGGAGAAAATTAGAGACCTTATTTGTAGACCCATTACCAGCTTCAAATACTTTCCCTAGAGCTCTATAAGATTGTCGATTTCCACATACAATCTATTGACAGTACTCCCTGTGTAAAGTATTGTATCGGTTTTTTTTATTAGCCATTTTCATTTTTCGCAGCCGCCGACTGTGGGATCATACACATTTTTGGAAACCGCCGACACGGAATACACACAGACACACAAATAAGTAATCCCCGTTTTGGTCAATTGCTGGTGTATTGTTGATTGTAAAATGACAAGCCCGCTTTCCTGAGAATCTTTCCGATTATATCCCCGTAAATCCAAGAAACCATACACATTCTTAGAATAGACTCATCGGACACCCAAAAAAGAAGAAAAAAATAGAAAAGAATAACACCACAAGTAGTTGCATCTTTATGGCTGTTCAAAAGTATCTCAGATACGTTTGAAAACCCATGTGAAGATGTAAAATTATGCGGTAGCTAGACTATCGAGCAAAGCGAGATAGTCTATGCTTACTCTCTCTATAGACTATCGAGCAAAGATATAGCTATACCTACTCTCTCTATAGCTATACCTACTCTCTATAGCTATACCTACTCTCAATAGATGGTGTTGTCAAGAGTGAAACCCTAATTGCATATTGCAAAGTTGTATCTCGTAGACAAGGTTCTATCTCAATGTGGACCATATCTCTATTGTGTAAGGTATCTCAATGTGGACCATATCTCTATTGTGTAGAAATTTGTATATCAATCATGTGTTATGTGTTTAGTTGACACATGGGTTTGCTTGATTTGAAAATCACAGCCACATCTTGACCCCTTGGATAATCTGACAATCTAATGGTTATTGAGCTCGAAAGTCAAAGGGAGAAGGACACAGATAAGAGTTGTGACAAGTAACAATTAACGGGTGAGACTCTACAATTCCAAAAGAGCGACACTGTCAACACTATCAATACTATCGAGCAGAGCGAGATAGTGGAGCAACACTTAGTAGCGACATCTCTTCATCATCTCATCTCATCTCTTCATCCCCTTATCCCCTCATCACCTCATCACCTCATCACCTCATCACCTCATCCCTTCATCACCTCATCATCTCATCGGCTCATCGGCTCATCGCGTTTTCCGTTACCGCTTTCTTACAGGGCCGATAATCACACATGGTAGCGTTCGAGTATGTGAAAAATCATTCTCATCGATTGGATGGTTCCGTCAAGGTTAAAGGGTTGGTATTAGAGTTAGTTGTGAGGTAATAGAGTTGTTTATTGCTGGTGTGAGGGATTGAGGATCTAGTATGACCGAGTCTTTGGAAGCGAAAACGACTCAAGACCAGTTTATGGTGGAAACTTGCAACAATGACTTGCCGCTAGCTGTAAAACTAAGCAACGATGATCCTGACGAAATCGACGATAAGTCATTTGAGGAAATCCAGGAACTCTATATTCAGCTACAAGACCTATTCAAAAAGAAGTCGCTAGAGCTAGAGAAAACTTTTGAAGAGGAAAAAGCCCAACGAATGACATTGGCGTATTACCTTCGTCGAAACCAAGCGCTATTGAACATCCTTTTGACTCAAGCTGATGAACAAGACCATTATATATCAACCAAGGACCAAAATCAGCGAATAAACAAGATAGTACAAACTGTGCCGAGATTATCCAACAAGTTGAAGCCATTGCTATCAGAATCCATTGACACGTCTTCCCTAAACCCAAACTACCTTATAAATCTATACCTTTCTGAGAAAATCCCCGAATTGATCAATGATGACTTGATACAATTGGAACTAAACCCTCAAGGTACCGATGCTTGGTGTAGGAGGAATTATCCTAATTTGATAAATGCTCATAACAAACCAATAACTATAGATCAGTTAAACCAGTTGAATCATGAACAGTATACTGGGGTTGAATTTGATTTGGGCATCGATGGGAAGTTGGTACTTAGTCCCATGGCCACCAGCTCTACAAGTAAGAAAAGAAGAAGAAAATAAGAAAAAGAATAACAATACTGAGAATCGTATAAAACAAAAAAAGGTTTCTTTACTTGTATTGTAGCTAATTCTGAAGTTTAAATGAACTTTTCCTCTCCTTTTTCAATACATTTTCCAATACCTTTGTATTCTCGGTGAACAATTTGAATATAAACACTCGTTTATGAAATGCCAATGTTCCTTTATCAATTAGTCTAACCACTTCAAGGAACAAATCAACATCATCGAATATATCATTATCGGTATACTCTTGATTTTTCAATTTTAGCAAGTCACGGACTGATTTCAACTCAATCTTTGATAATATTGCATCTAAATTTTGTAAATGACTAATAATCTTACGCTGTAGTGGAGACATGTTCTCTTCAATATTTTTCTCCACAAGACTATTGAAAATGCAATAATATCGGTTATCGCTATATGGATTAACGATATCAAGGTTGAATAAATTGGCTCTATCATCTCCCTTTTGTTTAATTTTGTCTGGGTTTAACTTTGGGTAGGCCAAACTCATACTTTGTCCATACTGATCCATTACTGAGTACCAGCCGAATTCATCCAAAATTTCAATACCTTCAACTGTGGTTGATATCATACCAATTATGTAAAAACACAAGCCTCGAACATCCCAAAGTGAGCAATTGTGGAAATTGTCAATTATTAGTTCAATGACTGATGATTTCAAATTTATATTATACATCGGGTCCAACAACTGAATACCATACTTGCCTGATCCAATCTGTCCAATAATCCATAAATCTTGCTTAAGTAAGTTTAATAAATCCGAGTGAATCTCATCTTGATTATCAATATCTAAAAATTCATCATCTTTATTGATTTGATTGAATATTATTTCAATTGAGGAAATGAGCTGATCAAGAAAATCTTTCCCCATTCCTTGTTGAAAAAACATTAATCCGTCTTCTGTAGATAACAAATATTTGAAAAAATATAACGCAAAACTTTCAATTTCTTCTTCAGCTAGCTGTTCACTCTTGTCGGAAAAGTTCACCATGCTTGAGTTAACATAGGGGTAAAACTGTTGTCTGATCAACTCATCAATCTTTCGAACATAATGGAATTTCTTTATGTGGAACCACTTATTGAATGCATCTTCCAAAAAACCTTCATCCAAAAGATATGCAAACCCTGATGGATTGGTCAAAAAATGCACCAAGAATTTGAGTCCCATTTCATATTTGGTTAAAGTCCGTACCAATGGTCGATGTTGAAGTAATGTTTCTAAACTTTGGAAATTGTTGGCTTGGTAGTGCTGGAATAAATATTCAATTGATCGAACAACAATATCTTGGTTTGAATCATATAAATTATTAGCCAAAATTTCAATGCACAATGATTCGCATTCTTTGGCATTCAACAACCGTGGAATCAAGTTTTTCAATAGTTGCAATTTGATCTTGGAATTAGATAAATTGAAACTCATCTTGAGTAATGACTTAAACCTAGATTCGCTAACGGTGAAGTCGATATACCTGAATAAAGTTATAATAAAATAATTCCTACTCTCCAGATCATGTGTTGATCTGACTATGTCCATTAATAAAGTGAAGAATTGCCAATTGGATAATAACTCTAATCCTTCAGGAGATGAACTCAAAATCCCAATGAACCGAAGGTATCCCAGAGATGCCGTATTTTCGAGTCTCCGTCTACCTAAAATTGGATCGTTGGAAGATATTCCACTATACGGATCAACTTGTGCAACAGTCTCAGAAACTTGAGGTAGTAATTTACTACCGGCAAGATACTTTATCCCAACTTCTGAACCTAAAAACATTTCCAACAATAAACACCCAGTAGTGATATATTTGGAAAAATGTTTTGACAGTTTAGAAATGTTGGAAAATCTATATTTAAAAGGCCGATAAAACGATACTAACCTTTTCAATAGTTTTGGGGATTTTTCCAAAACTTCTTCAAATCGTTTGGGATTTGTTAATGGCCCCAGGATGAAATCTTGAATCGAGTTCCAATTCCATTCTTCGTACTCCTTGATTGCCAAGATCTTAGTATTGTTAATCATGGATTTGAACTCATCGTCATCAATGTTATAGTTAGCTTGTGCATTGATTTGTTTGATAGTAGACCTGATAAATACATTATAGCCCAAATTGCTGTTGAACTTCAGTCGCGTGAGACGTACGAGTTCAAAGGAAATATGGGCTGATAAGTTTAGTGATTGCATTTGAGAGCTTACCAATTCACCAGGAAGTAAATTATTCGCCATTGCATACAACTTGGTAAGTAACAAAGTTGCTTTTTTCTTCAAATCTATATCTCCTTCTGGCTCCTCAATAATTGTAATTAAATTGTTGAAAATGTCATTCTTGATAAGTACATAAGCCAATAAGCCTTGATAATGACGAACAATCTCCAACGCAAATGGCTCTTTGATTTGAGCATATTCAAAGGGGAAATTCTTTAACTCGTATTTACGCCAACCTGTATTACCACCACCACCTTCTTCTTCTTCTTGTTGTTTCCTTTGTGTTTGTTGTTTTCGTTTACGTTCATTGTATTGTGTCAAGTATTCTCCAATGGGACTGTTTTGTAGCCAAGGAAACACTTGAATCCTTAGTGCGTCAAGTAAAAGATCGAGGATTGAATTTTGAACACGATAATTCTTTCTTGTTAAATTGATAAGTAAATTTCGAATACTTGTAAAATCATTAATTGAATATGTCATTAACCCATTGAAATCTTTCAACACGCAAGAGATCAAAAACGAAATCTTTTGTAGTTTGTAATTTGAGATTTTTTTGAACTTGTTTGTTGACTGAGTATTTTGTTTTGATGCTTCATTTGGTGATTCATCGGTTGAGAATACTGCAATTAATGAATCCAAATCAAATCCATTTCTCAAGAACTTTCTTGAATTTTGAAAGCTTAAAAGTCGAAGAACTATTAATAAGCAAGTGGATGATATTTCAAATGGACTTTCAATAATTGACTTGATTATGAGTTTAAACCCCCCAGCATGGAATATCAATTCTGGTTTCAACAATGCAATTTCGCAAATCGTTTCCAAGCAAGCATTTCTAAATCCTTCGGGAATATGTTCAATATGAATTCCATAACTGTTAGTCAAAGAGGAGATGGAAGTGGTGGTTGTGTAGGAGGAGTTCCGGTGATCATCGATATTATTACTTTCAACAATAGCAATGAGCGCTTTGATTACTCCAACGGATAATAAATCTGCCCCTCGCTCAATAGACAAAAATCCTCTTATCAATTTCAAAGCTTGTTCCATTTCCGTTAAAGTATACCTTGACTGATCACTTGATAAGCTCACAATAATGAAAATCAAAATCTTCAGTTGTACTAGTAGGATCAAACTGTGATAATTAACGATTAAATGGCGTAATATTCTATAACACGAAGATCGAACTTCCGACACAGTATGGTACAACATGAATTGAATTCTCAACAAAACGGTTTTGATTTGAACTTCATCTTTCAAATTAGGGTATGCTTGAAAAAGCTGGACTAAATCATTTGAAATCTGAACTATTGAAAACTCATCCTTATCCCGAAGAGAGCTTAGATTCGACAACAAATCACTTAGTAGCCATGTTGGACTCTCTGGATGAAGCGATTCCACTGATTTCAGTGACGAGTTAGACGACGTAATAGGGCTAATTAGGGTTGCCGAGGGTGATTTTCTCATCAGTTCAAAATGGGAAAATACCGGCATAGTGGCACTTCTTTTTCGAGATAATTCTGGTAGAAATTGCTTGGTGGTTGTTGTTGTTGTTGTTGGCGTATCTGACACTTTGCCATTTCTCGATTTTTTATCTCGGTTTTTTGCATCTCTATCAAGTGGATGAAGCGGAATATCAAGGTATGGCAAAGCTGTGCTTGTGCTTCTATCCTGGTCTGGTTTTACAGCTGGCTGCGGTACTTGTTGAAGGGGAATGAATTTTGAATTTTGGGCTACTTTTGACAGCGACTCAAAGTTGGAGCTGGAGCTAAAGTTGGCGTTGGATCGTGATGAAATGGGTTGTTGATGATGTACAGGTTGGAGTGGTTGGAGTGGTTGGAGTACCTGTGCTGACGGCAACGATTGTAACGATCTCGACGATGACTTTCTCGGTAGGATCTGAACATCATTTGTATACGAATCATTAGCTGATTTCTTCATTATGGTATTCGTACAAGCATTGGCTATGATAAAGGACCTACTATACTAATGGGATTCCAATTCCGGCGCGGTAACAAGATTTCTCTTTATACACCTCTAATACACTTGTGGATCTACCTTTGAATATACCTTTGGATACACCTTGAATACACCTTTGGATACACCTTTGAATACACCTCTGGATACACCTCTCAAGTATAATTGGCTATACTAATTCTTGATTGATTCAATCAACCATACAAACTTGAGTATCAAAGTTGTTCTATTTTTTTTTTCCACCGCGCACAATCAAATTTTTGGTGCCAGAAATCGGTCGACGCTTGATGCCATGATGGGGGGAATGTATTTGTTGAAAGATGGAAGCCATATAGGGGAATGTATTTGTTGAAAGATGGAAGCCAGGCTGCTGGTAGTAAGACCCTCACTGAGGTTGTGTGTGGAGTAGTCCAATGGGTTACTTTCCATTGGATTTAGTGACACTATCGAGCAGAGCGAGATAGTGGAGCAATACTAGTGGAGCAACACTAGCTGGCAGAGTGTAATGAATAGAGAGTAAGTGGTAGACTATAACTGTAGAGAGTCACTATCGAGAGTCACTATCGAGAGTCACTATCGAGCAAAGCGAGATAGTATAGAAATACTTAGTAGCAATACTATCTCGCTTCGCTCGATAGTAGAGAAACTCGCCAAGATGAGGGTTCTTAGTTCACTGCTGATTTGAGAGGGCTGTTGGTTCATCACCAATTTGAGAGGGCTGATAGTACAATACCGGTTAAAAAAGGGTGTTGGTTCACCAATTTAAAAGGGCTCTTAATTCACTACTGATTAGAAAGGGGTTATTAATTAGAAAGGGGCTATTGATTAGAAAGGGGCTATTGATTAGAAAGGGGCTATTAATTAGAAAGGGGCTATTGATTCAAGAATTTCATTAAAGTTGCAAATTGCAATTAGCACAGGTCTTTTTTCTATTAACCAGTTTAAGCTTAAAGTCCATAGAATATGCGTTTGTGTGTTTATGCAAATTGTCTATCAACACTGGAGAGGCGGGTGAAATTAAATGAAACTAATGCTATACTTATTAAGCGGCTTTTGTAACGTTTTTGTATTCCTCTTTATGTGTCAAATTGTTGCGACATTTTGCTCTCTTTTTGATGTGGCGAATTTAAATGCGACATCTAATTGATAATGTACAAGATCTTCTTTTTTTTTTACCCGCTGAGAAGAAAGTTGACTTCTTTTATCCCCATATTTATCCAGTAGGCTTTTTTGTAGAGGTGACAAGGTGATTATTATTGATCAAATACTGGGTCTTACTTGTAAAGAGGAGATGATTGGAGAACTAATAACAGGAGAAAATGTTTTCATTAGAAAGTGGCAAGATAATTTTGAAATTAGAAAATGGAAATATATATTTGAACGGAAAATGGAAAGATGTGATTTTGAAAATGGAAAATGGAAAATGAAAAGATGTATGAGAAAATAGAAAATGAAAAGATGTATGAGAAAATAGAAAATGGAAAGATCTATTTGAAAATGGAATAATCTATTTGAAAATGGAAAGATGTAATTTCAAATACGGATCAAAATGGCAGGATGTAATTTCAAATACGGATCGAAATGGCAGGATAATTTCAAATACGGATCGAAATGGCAAGATTATTTCAAATCGTAATGGCAGGATAATTTTAAATCGAAATGGCAAGATAATTTCAAATCGTAATGGCAGGATAATTTTAAATCGAAATGGCAAGATTATTTCAAATCGTAATGGCAGGATAATTTTAAATCGAAATGGCAAGATTATTTCAAATCGTAATGGCAGGATAATTTTAAATCGAAATGGCAAGATTATTTCAAATCGTAATGGCAGGATAATTTTAAATCGAAATGGCAAGATAATTTCAAATCGTAATGGCAAGATAATTTCAAATACGGATTGAAATGGAACGATTATATTGAAACATCACGAAAATGAGATAATACTGAAAAGTGAGATAATGTCAAGAAAGTGAGACAATAGTGATGTTATGAGGTACTACTGAGAATACAACGAAAATGGAACGATAAAAGATGAAACTAATTCAATCCACTGACAAACCTTGTTTACCTTGAAATCTTGCTAATCTTTTAGTCTTGTTTACTTTCTGCGTAAAATCATTTCATCACATATAGAGAAACTAAAAAAACGTTTACTTAATCACCGACTATTATGTTTCACTGTTTTAGCCCTTGTACACGACGAAAATAAAAAAACGAAACCACTTTCTTGTATCTCAGGGTCATATAATTTTCACCTTATAACATTCACTTATAACATTCACTTATAATATTCACTTTATAACATTCATATTCTACAACATTCACTTATAATATTCACATTCTACAACATTCACTTATAATATTCACTTTCCTTTTTCGAGTGTCACGCTAAGGGCCAGCCCACTCAGGGAGATCCAATAATAACAAGGATAATTGTATAGCCTATTATCAATACCTATCGTATAGTTTTAAAACTCCCTCTAATACTCTTTGACCACTTCCATACATACATAACTAAAAAAAAAAATAAAAAAAAAGTCACACATTTTCAGATTTTTCACCCTTTCGCCGATAAGTGAAATTTTAATTTCATCGGTGGCTGATAATGGTAGCAATGAGAAGCTACCATATGCCGGATTCTGTTCAAAGCTCCTCTAAACCAATAGTATCGAGCCATATAACTGATACAATCAAAAAAGAGTACAGACATAGCTGTAGATCCTCGCCCCATTATCTTCCATCACCTCGGTAGAAACTATAACTATACTTGTTCTCGCAAATCTTTGTCTTTATAAACACGGATTTGAAAAATTTACCCCTACTTACCAGTAGATAACACTAACTTCTTCCATTTACCAAACTTCCTTCTATTCAAGGAACAGTTATTAGTTACCAAAAATAAGAAAAATTATACACCCAGTTCCTACACTTGACTCTCGCTCAAGTTACAAACAAGGAGGTTACCCACAACAGGTTGTCGACAAGAAAGAAAAATTTCAACTTGTCAAGGGGGGAGAGGGGGTAAAATAATTCCAAGCTTCTCCTTATCCTTTTTGTTTTTCTTTTCTTTTTTTTTCTCTCTCTCTTGTATATTATTATACCCCTTATAGAGAAGAGTATACCCACCCACCCACATTTTCCACCCTATAAGCTAAGCTGAGACAGTCTATTAGGGATAGATATAGGATATTTTGCTAAAGAGAAAATACTAGTTGAAAATGGTCACAGAAACTGTTTCTTTATCCGACGAAAATAAATCGAGTGATTATCCAGTTAAGCAAAAATTTGCGTTATTTTCATTTGCATCCGAGGAACAACAACAACAACAACAACAACAACAACAGGAGGAGCTGGAGCAGGCACAAGAACATCCAACGCTGTCGTCTATTGACTCCAATCCAAATTCAAATTTGACCACCCCCAACACAACAATGCTAGCTACTTCTCAAAGTGAAGAAGGAGGACCAGCTGAAGAAAATGGAAATGAAATAGATCAAGGTGATGGACCTTTACCCACTCAAGCACAGAGAATACCTTCTTTAGCTTCGGCAGATAGCTGTATTTTCGAAAGAGATTGCTGTTTTCTCGAACCTCACAGATCCAACTCTTTCGCATCCTTTGGTAGTGTCACAGCAACACCAGTATTATCAGCATCACAGCCGGTTCCATTTGCCCTCGCAAACCCACCAATGCAAAGATCAAGGTCTTCGACTCGCAACTCGTCAACCTCACTACACTCATACTCAGCTGCAGCTACATCTTCTAATCCATTTCACGGATATTTGAGAACCGAGGATCTTATTCCACCAGCATTAGATGCCACAGCTCAAATATTAAACAAACAGTCAACCGATTTGGAACAGGTTAACATGATATATTCATCAAGACGTAACTCGTCAGTGGTTGCTTTAAATATGGCCTTGGGCCGTCCAATTTCGCCTTTATCAAGAAAAAACTCCTTTTATAGCCCACTTGGTCAATTATCAGAATCAAAAACACAACAAAATGCGTCTCAAGCAAAAGATCAAGTTGAGCTTGAGAGTAATAACCAGTGCCTGCAACAACAACAACAACAACAACAACAACAACAACAACAACAACAATCTCAACAACAACTACCTTCATCCCCATTAAACACATCCACCGCACCCCCATTATTTACACATTCCAAATCACAAGTCAATTTCTACTCCTTTGCCGAAATGATAAATGAAGAATCGCAGTATTTGAGAAGACCAATGATGCAACGTTCAGCATACTCACAAGGCAATCTGCCAACGTTCAAGACCATTGGCAGGTTTGGCTCCACTCCGAAGAAGAAAAATTCCTTACACTATACAAATTCTTTAAGAAGTAAAAGTAAATCACAACAATCAACTTCCTCGTTGCCTCCTCCTCCTTCACCATCTCCACAAGAAAGCAACTTGTACAAATATTTAATCAACTCTACTAAAGACTTGCAAGATGACGATAAAACAGGTAGCGGTACAGACGACACTGAAAGTTTGATCAGTTGCTCAGTTGCTGAATGTATAAGAGGTCTAACCACCCAAGTCAGCGGCCATTAGAACCTGCTTGTTAACGAGACTGTAACTTATTACCATTTTCAGTTCACCAAATAAGATTAAGAAGGTAAAAAAAGAGAGGGGAAGAAGAGAGGAAAAGAGGAATAAGGAGAAAAAGCTAATGGGGCTTTATTTTATAAATTGGATGGATGGGGATGGGTTATCTTAATATGTTTGTTTGTTTGTTTGTTTGTTTGTTTGTTTTTTTCTTTGGATTATGAGATTTGGCTTGTCTATGTTTTTTGTTCAAATTTGTGGTGGGGTGTTCCTTTATATATTTTTGTTGATTGAGCTTTATATAAAAAGTGTGTATTAGAGAGAATTGGGATGATTATATTATGTGATTTTTTGTGGAAAGTGTAACATGACCAGCCGCCACTCTTTGTGTTATCGACACTATCTCGCTTCGCTCGATAGTGTTGTAACAAGCTAGTATTGATGAGAGCCTTCATTATCCTGCCAACGGTCAGTAGTTTTCCTTATTTCCCTTTTAAATTACAAGCTCATATTTAAATCCTTTGCAATATTTATCAATATTAGAATTGGGAAAATGGAGTTTGTTTTAAATTGTTTCAAAACGAAAAGTTGGTCTTCTCTTCATTTCTACAAGAATGGTTGCGAAAAAGGAAAATTGAAGAAAGTAAAAGAGTGGGGTTGGGTTTTCCTGTGAATTATATAACATGTTGACAACGAAAAGTGAGAGACTTCTTTTTATAAGGGAAGATTGCGAATATTAATGAAGTTCAATGCGCCAATACCCTTCTTCTGTTAGGAGAGATACAACCAAACCCTTGTGTGTAAACTCAAAATCCATTTCAATCAGACAAGTACATATATATACAAATGAGCATTTCTATTTAAGTAGAAGAAGCATATATTGAATAATAATTAACCTTAACAATGTATCATAGCATATACCAATAATCGTCCTACTTCAAAATTATTTACTTGAGCTCCCACTTTCCATCACCAACTCTCTACGTCGCAAGCTTTTTGATGCTGCATAAAAGTGTACCTCTTTCAATGTAGCTGCAAAATGTTTCTTTGTTCTTTTTGCAACCAAAAGGACTTGCTCGTATTATTTTTCCATGCAAGGCAAATTGGTAGCTTTCTAGAAATGAACCCACAATTTGAAGCAATAACGGGCATGGTGTTTCTATGTAAGGTTCGAGTTAAAAGAAAGCTTTCTATTTCAGGATTTAAAACAACATCAACAACAACAATAACAATCTAAAGGAAACAAAAATAGTCTTGTTTATATGGTTTCATAGTTGCTCTATTTTATGACTATTTTTTAACCTACTTATTAAAGAAAAAGAAAAAAGAAATAAATTATAAAGCTTCTTGGGTGCAAAAACCAACACCAACAGTTAATAAGCAAATCTGAAATCAAGTCTTTTGGTTCCTTCATCTTTGGTGTTTTTCCTATAATAGTCTTGCTCCTCTTCCGTCATTTGGTTCCAAAGCCTATCCTTGGAATTGTTTCTCCAAATGTAATAGTATCTGGTCAATAACAAGAGCGGTATAGTTGCCAATGCTAAACACCACAATTGCAAAAGACCCCTCTTATATAGTGGGAGATCGTCTTCTCTGAATATGTTCTGAGCTATAATAGAGTCAGCTTGGACGAACATATTATAAATGGCTGAACAAACTGACCTTGATCTAACAGAATTTGAGTTTCTTGACACCCACGAGACAACGATTGCATGGATATAAGGGTGGCCCGCATATAATGTATTCAAAACATAAGACGGCCAAACCTTGACACCAGACCCCGGCCAGAATCTAATCACGCCTAATAAGATGGAACAGTAAATTGGAGAAATCAACGCAACCATTGCTCTATTATTTATCTTTTCAGCAAGCCAAGTTACTCCAAGCATACCGATTATATGTATAACATGATTTGGAATAGTCAATAAATTTGTATCAAAGACTCCAAATCCAAGGGCTCTGGTCATTAATGTGAAATACGATGAAAAAGTCAACAATCCGACATAAGCTATTATTCCAATCATATACAATGGCCATAAATCATAGTCAAGCAAACATTTCCAAAGCATATGTATATCAATTGCTTGACGATTATGCATCGAACCCTTTTGAGGGTCATCTCTTAGTATCCTATTGACAACAATCTTTTCTTCTCTTTCAGTAAACCACCCCTTTTTATGCATCCAGCTCTTAGTCTGCACTGCAGATGGAACCATAAGGTAGAATGATGCAATTCCAATAAGGAGAGTGAATATTCCCTCCCATAAAAACAAGTGTGCCCATCCTGGCAAACCAAAAACACCTCTTAATCTCAAAACACCAAATGCGACAAGAGCCGTGAAAATCTGAGTTATCGTTAAGGTTGTCCAGAACCAAGCTAACCTAAGCGACAACTCTTTGCTAGTAAAAAAATAACTTAACCATAATACCAAGTCGGCAATGAACCCGCCTTCGATAGCCCCAATCATTGCACGTGTAATGTAAAACGATGTTTTACCAGACAAACCAACTTGAGACAATGCAACAATACTCCATGCACAAATCTGAATTGGGATAAACACATCGGGACCTAACCTTTTGGATATCAATTGTGATGGAATTTCAGCTACCAAAAATGATACATAAAAAATGGTATTACCAGTGTTATATTCGTTTGTGTTGATTCCCAAATCATCTAGCAAATTATCGGAGACAGCTTGTTGCAAGTTACCCCTATCAACTTGTAGGGCAACAAACATAAGACATGCCGCAAGAGCAACACGCCAATTCAACTTCCTAACCACCTTCTTCTCTTCTTCTTGCGTCCATTCAAATTCCGGGTCAAAAGCTTCACGACATTCATACTTTACTGTCTCATACAAGTCCCTATAGTATTCAGCAACCTTGGGATTAGAGAATGGGTTTTTTGACTCTGATTTCTCAACATCAAGAAACGAAGGTGATGATGATGAAACATCATACTCGATTGTTTTTGATGATTTTACATCTTTCTCCTGCACTGTCATCTTCTGAAGCTTGCTTATAATTATTCAAAGAAGATATACCTAGCTACATTACTACAACAACAAATAGAACAACAGGATCATATTTATATTTATGCATTCTCTATAAGAACCCCCCCAATAATAAGTACACGAGTCTGATTGCAATTAGAGGGTGCCAATTACAAGTTAGCTGCAAAATAAAAAGGAAAACAGAATTGAGTTTGAAATCACTTTTTTCGTATCACTCTGTGGCGCTAACTTAAAAAATATATGGATATAGATATAGATATAGATATAGGCTGCGAAAGAAACTATATGGTGAAATTTTCTTAAAAACCAAGAAACCAAGAAAAATCGACATTCCTTTTGGCAAAATACGTAATTTGACTCTTTAATTTGGAGATCTGTGGATATATAAATTGTGGTTTATCTGGGGGAGTAAAGGAGGAAACGAGGGAGTAAAAAAGAAGGAGGGAGGGAGGAAATGAGGGAAAGAAGGAAGGAGGATGTGAAACTATTATGTATAGGTTTTACAAAGAATATATTTATGGAGGTCTAGGTGTATATATATCAGACACCATTCACCTTGTTTATTAAGGACAGCAAGTTGGATCTTCCTTTGGCTTACTGACAGAATTCGAAAAACTTGAACATTGTCGAAAATAATTTTCTGCACAAGAAATACTAAATTTTAGTCAAATAAAAGAGAAGGGCGGCAACGGTATGGCAGGTGACTATCTACAGGAACTAGATATCTTAATTGGTCCCGCAGAAAAACTCACATAATAGATAGTGCTTCCACATATAACTGTGTACTATTATTTTTCAACGATTTGCTTGAGAAAGGGAATGTAAAACCTAATGTTACAAAATTCCTGAAATATTTGCATAGATCTTGACGAAATTCTTTTGAAAACCTTAATCTATCATCCACAATTCATGTGAGAGACATAAGTGTAAAGTAGGGGGGGAGGGGGAGGGGGAGGATCTTCCCCCTACTTTCTCAGCCTCCCAACTTCCTTTTCTTCACTCCTTCCTTTTCTTCACTACTTGCTCTCTGCTTCCTTCTTCCCCCCGCTTCCTTCTATTCACTGCTTTCTCCCCACCTCTTTCCCTGTTTTGTTTTCTCCTTCTCGCAAAACGTTTTTTCAACATCTCATTAACAAAATTAAGGTTTTTCCTTTGAAAATCTCTCCCTCTTCCCCTACATTGGCGATGATGGATTACTAATACTTCTATAAACGTCTCATGCCATAAACAGCTTTGGCTTGGACTGGCTTTGGCTTTGGCCTTACTTATCTCTTGGGCTACCGGGCGATTGGTAGCACTCACCATAAGAGGAAAAAAAAATTTTTTTTTTTCAACCAAAAAGAGCCATAGGTGAGTTAGATTACAGGTTTGTTGATCAATATTGATTCATTAGAATGTCATTAGCACTTAGGTTTGGACTAATCACGTCATTGCACGAAGCCGTGTTTGGGGCTCTTCCAAAAGTGCCATCAATTACGATACGTTTGGGTTTATCATTGCCTAAACCATGTCAAGAACATAACCATACCCATCATGGTGATTCTAGATTATCTGAACTACAAGAACAACTAGAAAATGGTCTATTAAGCCCTCCACCATTTATGATTGATAATGGTACCATATTGAGAGCAGCCCCCAAAAAGAAGAGTTCTTACATGAGGAAAAGAATGAAGCTATATATGCCCGGGAATAAACAAATTAAACCATTACATAATATAGTTCGGTGTCCTGCTTGTGGAAGTGTCAAGAGATCACATTTCATGTGTATGAGCTGTTTTGCTGAGATCAAGACTTTTCTTAAGAAATTGAAGAGGCAAGATGGATTGATAAAAGATCCTGTTGATCCACAACGGGATTTGAATCCGGTAGACGAGAGAATAGTATATCCCAACAAATTCTTAAGAGTCGATGAAAGACGATTGAAGAAAAAAGATTGGATACCTAAAAGAGAGGAACCTTTGCTTTTTAGCAAGGACCAAATGATTCCTCAAAAGAGGAAGAAGTATTTTTAAACTAACCATGTATATATTAAAGAGTGTTTCTAAACATTTGCTTCTATATAACCATATTTTTACTAGCTCCTCCTTTTTCCTTTTTCCTTGTTCCTTTTTATGGAGCTAGCCTGATTATTTGCCAATCTGGAGTCTTCACATCATCTCTTCTAAAGCTAATTCTATCATGTAATCTACTCAATCCGCCTTGCCAAAACTCAATTTCCAAAGGTACAATTCTAATTCCACCCCAATACTCGGGACATGGGATTTCGTCGTCTTTCAAATCCTTAAATCTTAACTCATATTCTTTGTTCAACTTATCTAAATCGTCTCTTGAAGTGATCTTGGAGCTTTGTGGACTTGCCCACGCACCAATCTTGGACCCTCTTGGTCTTGTTTTGTAGTAACGCTCGCTTGTTTCTCTAGTGACATGCTCCATTATACCTTCAACTCTAACTTGACGCTGTATATGAGGCCAAAAAAAGGTCAAACTGGCAAACTTGTTACTGTTGAAATCCTGAGCCTTTTTGGAAGAGTCCCAATTGGAATAAACCAAGAAACCATACTTGTCTAGCTCTTTTAATAACACAATACGACTCGATACTCTACCACTGGGTAATCTTGCAGTGGAGAAAGCAGTTGCCTCAACGATAGTATCTGAACCTTTAGGAAGTTGATCTTGAGCCTCTTTAAACCAGATATTAAACTGTTTCAAGGGATTACTTGCGATTTGAGATTCATTCAAACTACCTTTAGTATATTGATACGTGTCGGGTGCAAATATAATTGGTTGTTGAGTTGTTGTAGATGTAGATTCCAGATCCTTGGCAGTTTTGTTTGACGATGCTGACGATGCGGATGATGACGCTGAGGTTAAGGTCATTGCAAACGTACGTATATGGCTAGAACAGAAAGAAACAGTTGCAGACGATACAAAGGGTCGACTCAATCTAATCATAAGACCCGCACAATATCTAAAGCTTAGCTTATTACAAGATTGGTGAATTTCTTATTCCACCTACAAGCAATAAAGAGAAAAATTTAAAAGCCCTCTTCTCGGGTGATGAAAATTTAGTGGAGTGATTCTTTAGTGTCAGCAAAGAAAACAAATTTTGGACCCAGCTGGCGGGAGAAGCGGCACCTGTGGGAGGGAAAAGAGAGGTCATTAAAGAGGGGCTATTGAAGAGGTGGGGCTATTGAAGATAGGGGCTACTAACGAGGATGGGCTATTAATAAAACTTTCTCGTTTTCAGATTGAGTCAATTGAATTTGACTCTATCTACTTGATTCTCTGCTCGCAACTATTACTAAACTTGTGTGCAAAGCTGAACATTAAGTAATGTTCCAATCAACAGGTTATGCTTCTCTGTCCATTTGTTCTTACTTACTAGGTCCTGGGCTGTAATTGACCCGTGCAATCGAGTCGTGTGTGTGTGTTTTGAGATCTTTCTTGTTCAATTTAACAGGTGATTCATTTCATCGGACGGTCACGTGCCTAAGATCAGTAGCTTGTTACAACACTAACTCCCTCTGGTTGATAGTGTCATTAGTCGTGTGCTCAATAATGTCATTAGTAAGTGTGCTCGATAGTGTCATTAGTCAGTGTGCTCGATAGTGTCATTAGTCAGTGTGCTCGATAGTGTCATTGGTCGGTGTGCTCGATAGTGTCATTAGTCGGTGTGCTCGATAGTGTCATTAGTCGGTGTGCTCCACTATCTCGCTTCGCTCGATAGTGTCGATGGGACGGTCACGTGACTAAGATGAGATGAGATGAAGTGGAAATGAAAGATGAAAAATATACGTGAATTAAATGTAACTTGGATTTGAATATATATATATACCATAACTGTGTTTCTCTTATGATTGCAGAGTCAAATACAGTGCTAGGTGAGCCACAATTGAAGAAATTTAAAAATGAAGTTGTTTACTCGGCTCAGCTGCGGAAGATATCCACTCACACAAGAGCCAACAAGCATCATCCGTTAAATGTTAGGCCGAGTGGGAATTCATTTTTTATAACTGATGTAGAACTTTACCAAAAAAAGAGAAAGGATTTACTCGGTAAGTTGAGCATACTTTCCAATGAGACCATCTTGCAAATAATATCGCTCATTGACGATGTGGCCAGTTTACTAAACCTCTCGCACACTTCAAGAATCTTTTATGCACTATTATCAAATGAAGAGAACTGGAAACGAATATATATCGAGGATGTAGAGAGATTCGATAATAAACCTTGGTTGGGTTCATGGAAAAACACTGTATTGGGAATACCATATGAATACAATGCCAATTTACGATTGGAGAACAATTTGCTTTGTTGTGATGAAATATTTCGACCTTTCCAATGTTCGCAAATTGATTACGCCAAGATTTTTAGCAAAGTTATTAAGGAGGAAGAAGGCTACCACAAAGACTCGTTGTTGGGACAGTTGGGGAAATTGCCTCATGGTAGAATCATGCGAGTGGCAGAGAAGGAAATGTCCATGACTTTATTCAATGAGAAATATCATGCTTCTCCATTTATTTTGACCAATAATGATTCAGCAAGATGGCCAAAATGGACATTTGATTCCTTGTTTAAACAATTTCCTCATGTTAAGTTTCGCCAAGAAGCTATGAATTGGGATTTGGACAAATATTCGCAATACCTAAAACAAAATCGGGATGAAAATCCACTATACTTATTTGATTGTAATAGTGAAGCAACCAAGATATTGAAAAAGGAATACTCCCCATGCAAGATATTCCAAGACGATTTATTTAAAGTTTTCCAAACTGAGAAATACAGTTGTAGACCAGATTATGCTTGGATCATTATGGGATCTGCACGTTCAGGGTCTACATTCCATAAGGATCCCAATTCCACATGTGCATGGAATACAGCTATTCAAGGCCGTAAATTGTGGATCATGCTTCCTCCAAATGTTCTACCGCCTGGTGTTTCAACAGATAAGGAAGAAAGTGAAGTTACATCACCCGTGGGTATTGCAGAATGGGTCATTTCTGGGTTTTACAATGATACTCTTCGGCTTGATAAAGCTCAAATTGGAATTACATTTCCTGGTGAATGCATGTATGTTCCAGCAGGTTGGTGGCATAGTGTAATTAATATTGATGATTCAATTGCCATAACGCAAAATTTCGTGCCACGAGTGAAATTAAGCCATGTTTTGAATTTTTTCAAGAATAAACTGAAACAAATTAGCGGGTTTAGAATTAGAGAAGTTGAACAATGTCTTGATGAGGTGGCTCAAGATTGTAAAGACGAACTGTTGCTAAGATATCGTGATCAATTGAAAAAATTGAAGATTGAGAACAATAATAATAATAATAATAATAATAATAATAATAATAATAATAATATTGATGATGAAGACTGTGGCGAGATTGAAGATTTACCTCAATTGCCTGTGTTTGAACTATTCAAACAATTATTGATCAATGATGGGAAGCAAGAATTGGTTAATGAAGCTTTGAAGATTGTTGAAAAATGGGAATTGAAAGCTTATCAGAATGAAACCGGAAAAAGCAAGAAATGGGAAGAATTGACGAAAATGGATAATAGTAATGGGTCTACATTTTCATTCAAATTTGATAAAGATTGATATAAAAAACATTAGTCGAACTCACTATCGAGCAGAGCGAGTGGTTTCGACTAACACTAGCTAGCCCTGTTGTAACAGGCTAGTTTGTATAGAGATTATTTTTCATTTTTGGAGGGGAGGGGAGGGGAGGTGAGTATTCATTTTTATCTATTCTCTACCTAAAAGAAAATATACACATCTATATCAAAATTTAACCAAAGTACTTGACGGCAGTTTCGTAAAAGTATTTACCTTGGATTTGGGCGATTTCCTTTTCCAAAGCACTTGGTTGTCTTGAACCGTCACCAGCAGCAAGAGTACCTGCACCGTATGGAGAACCACCGTGGACCTCGTTCAAGTTTGATTGTAAAGCGAAAGCTTTAGCGTAACCCAATGGAACGTAGATGATACCGTGGTGTACCAATACAGACAAAGCATTGGCGGCGGTAGTTTCTTGACCACCACCTTGAGTACCGGTAGAAACAAAGATACCAGCGAGTTTACCGTGTAAAGCACCTTTAGCCCATAAACCACCAGTGGCATCCCAGAAGGATTTGAATTGAGCTGGGTAGTTACCGAATCTAGTTGGGATACCAAATAAGAAAGCGTCGTATTTGGTTAAAGTTTCTGGAGTAGCAATTGGGTAGTTTGGTTTCTGTGGTGCATGTAATAATTTCAATACATCATCAGATAAGGTTTCTGGCACTTGGTAGATATCAACTTGACCACCAGCTTGCTCAATACCCTTTTTTTCTTCTTCTGCCAATTGAGCAATGTGGTGGTACATTGAGTAGATTATAATTGCAACTTTTGGAGCCATTTTTCAACTGATATTTTGAGATGTATGAGGGGGACCAGGTATTGAATGAATAAAGAATGAAAAATATAAAAAGAAGAAAAAGAGCTTTACAGTAAGATGGAAGATGATTTAAGTTAATTTATATATGTACAAACGTGTCCTGTTGTAAATTCCATCAAGAGCATTTTGAATTTCGAGGATATAACCGACAGCAGAAGGGGGGGGCAGAAGGGGGGGGCAGAACCCTTCTGCCACAGAACCCACAGATTGTCCCATTTCAAACGTCTAATAACTAATTTTATTTATTTCTTTACTAATAATTTATTACTACTTTAATTTGTAAGCATTATTTTCAGGTAAATAGCCGTTTTAGTAAGAAATCACGTAATCAAAGAAACAAAGCGAAAAGGAACAAAAAGTAAAAGGAACAAAAGGACAAGTGGCAAAAGAAACAAGAGGTATAAGGTATAAGAGTCTAAAGGCAAAAGAGACTAAAGGCAAAAGAGACTAAAGGCAAAAGAAGCTAAAAGAAAAACCACTCAAACCTGTGTAATTAGCATTTAATAATTGTCGTATCAATGGATTAGTTGGGGGTAATGTATGGTCTAGATAGGAACCAGCAAACCCAACCTTATTGTTCATTGCTCCAATTTCTATATCCTGTCCTACCTACATGGTATTATTCACCCAGCAATCAATCCAATCTATTACCGAATTGATCCAATTTCTGGGCTCAATTCAAATCTATTTCTTAGGTTTGCTCTTTTTTTTATAACATGCACTACAGTGTTGCATAAACACACAAAAAAATTACCTTGTCAAAAAACAAAAAAACTACTCCTTCTATTTTTATTTTTCTCTTGTCCTTATTGAGCTTACTAAAAAAAACCACAATTAATAAGCAAAGCCTCTCAAGATTTTTTTTTTTCGATTGGCCAACACCAACACGACACTATCGAGTAAAGCGAGATAGTGGGGCAAAAAAACTGTTACTGGCTTGGGTAGCGAAAACTCTCTCCCCCCTTCCACCCCCTAACTTTACTTAACCACTATCGAGCGAAGCGAGATAGTGGAGTCATACTTACTAGCTTGTTACTTCACTACCTCTCTTTGCTCCCTAGTGGAAAATCTCGACACTTTATCTATCTATTTTTGAATCCTTTTGCCATGTTTTTTGTCATTTTATTGGCATTTTTTTAGCATTTTTTGCCATTTTTTTGGCATTTATTTTGACTTTTTTTTTTTTTATCATCGGCTCTAAAGGCAATAGAATAATAACGCAGGCGCTGTAAAGGTTAATTCGAGACGCGTAATGAAACTATCGATTGCCTACATGTATGTGTTATGGACCCATTTCATGATAAACAAACCCGAATTCCGTCGTTCCCTGTCTTTCTAAATCTCTTTGACCATTTGACCTAATTGCCAATCTAAAATGTCGATATAGTTAGTGTGTCTCCCACTATCTCGCTCTGCTCGATAGTTTCCGTCAGAGATGCTCCACTACCTCGCTCTGCTCGATAGTATCGGATTTGCTGGTTCAATTACCTACATTACATAAACAATTACTAATTAGTGGTGTGGTTTTTTTTGTTTTATCTTTATGGCGTAATCTATCCTTTTCCCTTACAAATAATTTTATTAATTCTCTTTTTGTTGGTTTGTATTTCTTAATTTGTTCATTTTTAGATTGAAATGAGATGCGCCTAATGCATGAAGGAAAAAAAAAAAAATATCTCTCTCTCTCTCTCTTTTTTTTTCAAGTTCAATTGATATAGTTTATGATGAATAATGTAAAAATAAAAAAACAAAAACGAATGCCCCCAAAATGCCACCCCCTCTCCCTCATTCTTACAATTATGTGAATTAGTAAAGCCCTTTCTTGAATATTCCCGAGTTATTCTTTGTCCTTTTTTCCGTTTTCCGTTTTCTTATTCTAAAATGGTTAATTACTTTTAATCTCTTCTTCTTCTTCTTCTTCTTCTTCTTCTTCTTCTTCTTCTTCTTCTGCTTATTCAATCCCCACCGTTCGTTGCTCCCTTATTATCATGAAGATTGCGATTATTCAATACTCCACTTATGGGCATATCACGACTTTAGCTAAAGCCGTTCAAGAAGGTGTCGAAAAAGCCGGATATAAGGCTGACTTGTTTCAAATACCAGAAACATTGCCTCAAAATGTTCTTGATCAAATTCACGCACCACCTAAACCAAAGGAGATCCCAATTGCAACTTTGGAAACATTAACCTCCTACGATGCATTTTTATTTGGTGTACCTACTAGATTCGGTACTGGACCCGCCCAGCTTTTTGATTACTGGGCGGCAACTGGTGGATTATGGGCACAAGGCGCTTTAGATGGAAAACCAGCAGGTGTGTTTGTTTCAACTGGTACTCAAGGTGGTGGTCAAGAAACAACCGTCCGAAACACCTTGAACTTTTTGGTTCATCATGGTTTGATCTATGTTCCTTTAGGTTATGCTAAAGCTTTCCAATATCAAGCTAATCTAGATGAAATACACGGTGGTTCTCCATACGGTGCAGGTACTCTTGCTGCTGGTGATGGTTCAAGACAACCAAGTGAGTTGGAATTGAAAATCGCTACAATTCAAGGTGAATCCTTTGCTCAAACTGCTGCCAGATTCGTTGATGGTGCCGAAGCTGCTGCCGCTAAGGAAAACAAAAAAAAAGAGCAAGTACCTACAGAATCTAACAAAGCTGCTGCTCCTAATACTACCACTACTACTACTACTGCTCCAACCGAAAAAGCTGCTGATGGTGCCGCTTCCTCGGCTCCAGCTCCAGCTCAACAAAGAGCTGCTCAACAAACTACAAAAGCTCCTGAATCAACAGATAAAAGTTTCTGCTCAAAGTGTACTATAATGTAAAAAAGAGGAAAACAGGGAAAGAAAAAGTGTTGTTCCTAATAATATAAATGGCTCTATCAGAAATTGTAAAAAATTCCTAAATAAAGCAGATAGATGATTAATAATTATTTTTGTCGTCAACATATTGGTAATGGATTACCACAAGTAAGAAGAATAGGAAATTAGCTTCTCTCGCCAATCGCGTTACAAAATCGTTAGTAAGATACTCTATTTTCTTAAGGTACCTCTTCTTGTTCCATCTTCTTCAAGTAAAATGATTACATACAAAAAAGAAAAATAAAGTGAGACATCTTCAAATTCAATCTCTCTTGTTACACCAATTGCAACAATCCACAGAAAACAAATCCATTCTCCTCCTCCTCCTCCTCTCCAAAGAGACTACATTCAAATTAGTAAAAACCACACTTGAACCCTTCCACTCCAAAGCGTCTTCAAATCAACAAAAAAACTTCCAAAAATAGAATCAGTCTCCAACTCAATTTCCTACATCCTTTAACCAACCATCTAGCCCTATTTTCAAACTTTCATTCACAATACATACCCTGTTCTCAAGCCAAGGTACGTTATGGACACTGAGAATATTTTTCTTTTCTTCTCACAAAAAAAAGAAACCGAGTATTGGAAAACTACCTATGTGAGGAAGGTAGCCCATTGAAAACAATAGTGAAAATATTTGAACTAGCTGGTTTTTCAAAAGAAAAAGGGATTGCAACGAATATTGATATGTGATCAGAGATCATGATCATGCAAGAACTGCATTGAAGTATTGTTTTAAAAGACAAGTTTTTTAAACCAAGATCAAAAAACATTAAAATCATCTCCTCCAAGGTGGGAAAAACCTTAGCGGGTCTAAAAAAAAACAATCAAAAGTTCAAGTCCACTCATTCCAAATCAAGCATGTTTGATTTCTAGATTTTTGACATTCTTTTTATTTATTTTTTGTATTATCCTCCCGATTGTGAAAAAAAAAAGATCAAAACTGATTATCAATAAACAAAAAAGCACAAAAAAAACCAATCATGGGAGCTTTGTTTGAGTCTCTTTCATTTTCTTCGGGGGAGTACCATGAAAGAGTAGGAAAAAGACTAACTCTGAAAAAGGGGAGATAGATGGGAGGAAGAAAATGTAACAAACACCAGTCAAGGTTTCAGTTTGTTTTTTTTTTCCCTCCATCTTACTCTAGTTGAAGTTAAAATTTCTCACGTAGATGAGAGGATGACATGCAAAGGAGTAGGGGGAGTTGGGGGAGTTGGGATATGTTCATATGAAGTGATCAAATCATAAGTGGATTAAAGCACCATGAAATAAAACGTCAAAGAGCGCAAATATGTATTTCATGAAGGGAATACCCATTATTCAATAAAGGGAATATCCATTTTCCCAAAGTGGAATAGGTGGTAATTCTCTTCTTTTTGTAAAGCGACTCAAATAATGACATTTTTGGAAAAACAATAATCCTGGGGAAGGAAGAAAGCTTCCCCCGATTTGACTCACCAGTCATATGAAACGCTCTCCATAAACAACATATTTATGTTGACTCCCAAACATACACATTCTGAAATTTCACACACATCCATAATAAAAACTTCAACTAATGAACCCAAAAACATAAACTAGGCTCTCTCAACACACAAATTCATGCGTTCCCCTCCCTTGTTTGAAATTGAAAAAGAAACCCAAGTTTCACTTATAAAGTGTGTAAGGATGCAATCAAACCCGTGTGTACATAGTAATGCTTCTCAATAGAATGAATTCCTTTCTTCTTTATTTTTTTTTTAAAAAAAGAAGTGAGCAACCTAGTTATTGTCAATTTTGACCTCTTTTAAATATATTTTAAAAAGAGTTGATTAGAAATGTCGAGGTTTTACCTCAAAACCCTGGCTTATTATATTTCGGACCTGTAGTTGAGCAAAAGTTGTGGTTTTTACAAACAAATAAGAATGTACCTCTTACATACCTTTTTTTTTGTTTCCTAGAAGATTATTCATAATGGCTTGTTGTGGTATACAGAGACTATCATAAACTCATCTAAAAATGAGATATGATAGCGATTGAATGAATGAAGCTGTCTAGTGAGAAAAGAAGAAGGGAGTTTTGTTGAATACAAATTGAACTTTCTTATATTGTTAAGCTAAAGACGCGTGAAAAATAATCCTGCATATAAAGATAATGCGTTAGCGAGGCTATTAAGCAGACCGAGATAGTGGAGGACTCACATATATATTTAAATAGACACACGGTAACAGTAGAACCACGAACCTGATGGTTGAAGAGAGATGAGCAGTTGGGGGAGGGGGGGAGGAGGAAGGGGAAGGGGGTTTGGAATTCCACTAGCCTTTAGCTGTGGTACACTTGAGAGTAGTACTCTAGTTGTAAATGAGATGGTGATGTAGTGAAAATCTCTACCTGATAATAAACGCGTTTAACTAAATTAGAATACGACATACTGGTATTTACTTTATTACAGATTATACATGCATATAATCCATATTGCATAGTGTGGGTGGCGATATATACAATTTATCAAGCCCGGTGTGGCATATTCTATAGACATACTGACAGATTGCTACAATCTATCAAGGTACTACAATTTGGTTAAACGCGTTAAAGGCCATCATTAACCGAAGAATCAGAATAGCTACACTAGGGAGCGAAGCGAGCTAGTGTAGCAGTATGTAGAGAGTAGAGAGTATGGAGAGAGTAGAGAGTAGAGAGTATGTAGAGAGTATGGAGAGAGTAGAGAGTAGAGAGTATGTAGAGAGTATGTAGAGAGTAGAGAGTATAGTGAGAGTAGAGCGAGATAGTGTCGTAACAAGCTACTAGATGTTGGTCCACTATCGAGTTGTAACAACTAGTATTTTGATATAAATCATAACCTTATGAGTTATACTTACTAGATAATATATAGAAATATTTTAATTAGAGCAGAAAGATAAGCCCGGGATAACAATGAGGCGATGATATAGGACGACTAAGATTAAAGATTCTAGCAGCAGTGTTGACTTTAAATTTAGCAGCAAATAATTTTTAGGAAATATCGCGTTATATATGAAAAAGTTTGAGGGAAGAAGAGGCGGTTGGAATTCCAATAGCCTTTAGCTGTAGTACACGTACACTTGTGAGTTTGTAATTGACAGTTTAGTAGTCAGTGTGGGCAGCAAGTGTCAGCTAGTGTCAGCAGCTAGTGTGCTCCATTAGCTCGCTCTGCTCCATAGTGTCGCAATTGTTTATCGCGTCATATATGAGAAAGTTAGGTAATATCGTTATGATTTTTTTTGTAGTGAGAGTAAATGAAAAGTATTTGTTACAAGTTAACTTTATTCCTTTACTTTATTCCTCTACTGTACAACTTTATTCCTCTACTGTACATCTTATTTCATTACATCTATCTCCCATCCAACTTCTCTCATCTCTCATCTCTCATCTCTCATCTATCATCTATCATCTCCCATCTCCCATCTATCATCTATCATCTGCCATCTATCATCTGCCATCTCCCATCTATCATCTCTTTACCTCCTTCAATCTCATCGCTACCAACTATCACAAGCAAGATTTCGCATCACTGCTTATATGCAGGTCAATATATATTCTTTTTTTTTTTTTTTTTTTTTTTTTTTTTTTTTTTTTTTTTTTTTTTTACAACCAAAACAAAATGAAGGTTGATCATTAGAGAGCCAAAGCTATTGGGTGAAGCACTTTACTTTATTTTGGAGAATAGACTAGAATGCGGAGTTCTCGGAGACGACAGCTACCTAAAATTGGCTATTCTGTTAATTCAGATGTAATTTTACCACAACCCCCAGAATCTCCATCGTCACCACAACCATTATTGGGATTGGGTTCGAGTTCGGTTAATGTAAGGTCTTGCTCACAACCACAACTACAACTGAACCGACTGCCCATATCAAATGATATAGCTCGGGTTTCAGACAGCGAGGAGGATATCGCTATAATATATACTCGGTATCAGGATCGTATTGTGTTGAGTTCTGGCTCGGTATCTACTTTTCAAACAAAGATGAATTCAGTTGCTGCTGAAGATATTGTTATTGCAGGCAATAATAGCAACTGTGGCGCTAGAGATATGGAGAAGCAAAATGACGACGACGAGGAAGAAGAAGAAGAAAAAAAAAGGGGGGGGAAGGAGCGCGACCAGGTAGATGAGATAAATGGGGCTGTTCTGGTACATCTGGATACATCACAATTGAGCAATGATAATTTTCAATGTGTCGATTTTACTCGCGGTGAGACTGTAGTTATCCCATTAGTCAATGACGTTGTACTTGAAGGTCAATTAGACTGGAAAAAGTCTCACACTAATACTGGAAAGAAGAAGATGTTGTTACGAGAGCAAAAGAATGTAACAGTTGAGCTAACTAGTAATGATTACAATTATCTCAATGAAAACACAGACGATGACAATAATGACAGTGATGATGATGATGATGATGACGACGATGATGACGATGATGATGTTCATTTAGTACATGAAACAGGGTTCGATAGAGTTGAGCCGTTTCATCAATCAGGCTTAGGAACAGTTGAACGAAGAAATGAATCAAATGGGCAAGAAGGTGCAGAAGTTCTGATTAAGGTCGATAATGTCAGTAAAGAGCCTTCGGAGGATAGTAGATATAATTCGGATTTTGAAAGTAATGTGCTTACATCTGGCGAGTCGACAAGGGAGATTGATAAAAACGAAATTTTAAAAGGTTTACAAAACGACAAGATATTGAATCCATTTTTTGTCAATGATGAAGTATTAATAGATTGCAAAGAGGAGGAAATATTGGATTGTTCTACCCCATATAGTATTGAAACTGGTGAATATGATAGTGGAAAGGAGACAAAAGAGGGTGAATACAAAAGTCAAAAGTTTGAGCTGGTCTCAAATGTTGATGATATACAATCACGTTCAACTATAAACGAATCAAAATCGATTAATAAATGCAAGCAAGAATCTGGTTTTTCTAGAGAGAGAGTAGATGTATTTGATGATAAGGAGAATGCCACCGGCACCGCCAGCACCAGCACCACTAGAATAGCGAGAAAACGAATTGCTTCTAAACCGCTCTCGGCCATTTGCAATCAAAATATAAAAACCAGAGTTGGATTATCCAAAAGAGTCAAGATTGATCGATTACATGATCATATTAGAAAAATTAATTGATTTTGATTGAAAATTAATTGATTTTGATCGAAAATTATTATTTGTATTTGTAATCATACTTGTACTTGTAATTATGCTTGTACTTGTATTCTTGTTTGTATTTGTATTTGTGTTTAGTTTGGTATTGAGTATAAATTAACGTATAATGTTGCACTTGTAACTGGTCTTCCTGAAAGTATGATATATATCATGTATCAAGACAATTCTACTTACAGCATAACAAAAAAGAAAATATTAAAAAAAAAAAAAAAAATAATCGTAGAAGCAGAGTTTAGAGTTTTGTAAAACTGCCATTCACCTGAAAAGTATCAGAATGAATCATACTTGAAATAAGAATTACAATACCATTGTCTCTTCTCCTCATTTAGTTTCTACTTTTCTCCTTTCCTCCCTCAATTTTACTTGTCTCCTTTCCTCCCTCAGTTTTACTTGTCTCCTTTCCTCCCTCAGTTTTACTTGTCTCCTCCTGTTTGTTATAGATTAAACAATCAACTAGAGTCCGCTACCTTTTTAGATACATGGTAGCGTAATGGGTCAATTAAGAAAAATATTGAGAGCTTTTTTATTGAGGAGGAAAAAAAAAAAATAAAAATAAAAAAAAAAGGGAAAAAAAATTATGTGTACTTTTTTCTTCTCTTCTTTTTCTCTTTAGCTAATAGTACCGGGACAACTTGCAATGAGCGTTCATGCAGACTTGGATTGAATTCAGGTCCTAGTGTGCAACGTCCTCTCTAGCCCGGTAGATTAAAAGAATGGAAAAACTATGTTTTTTTTTTCCATGTCTTACTTCGAAATGCTAATGTTCAGTTGTGATTTTTTTTAATTATAGTAATATAATATTAGTAAGATCTTGACTCTACGAGCTTTCGTACATTAAAGTAGATAGATAAAATGGAAAATGATTTTTGTCCATTTAAGCTTATTTGATGAGGGAAAATAAAGTTGATTCCATTCGATGAGGGAAAATAAAGTTGACTCTACTTGATGAGGGAAAATAAAGTTGACTCTACTTGACGAGGGACGCTAACTAAGGGAGGTTGAGAAAGCACGCAACAGTGAAACGTTTGCTAACATTTTCTTCAATAGTTTCAATTTATTAATGTTTTCTCTAAGATTTATTCACCAGATTTGGGAAATACTTTATTTTTACATAAAACTCTCTTCTACTCGTATGATAGAAAGTAGTAGAATGTAAACAGATAACCTATCAAGTCATATAATTAATACTCAAAACAGGGAACTAAATAATAACGCCATAAAAGCTGTAAAAGAATATGTTTAATACATGTTGAAAAAAAAAAAAAAAAAAACCTTTAATTTTTCAAAAATCGGTTATCCAACATGATTTTTATTTACCTAAACAAAAGCTGACAGTAACTGGTTTGGTTTTTACGCAGTTTTTCTTGCATCTTTTGTAGTAGTCAGATTTCTCATCAAATTTCAGAAACGGGGTATCAAGACCACCACTGCTGCCGCTGCTGCTGCCGCCGCCGCCACTACAAGTTGTTGATGAAGACGAAGATGAGGATCTTCTTGATTCGTCTTTCTTTTTTATACCAAAAAGTCCCATAATTTTAAACTAGCTGGATGAGGGAAGGGAAGGAAGGGCGTTTAAAATAGCTCGAAAAATGTATGCTGACGATAAAAAAAATTGGTTTAATCTGTAGTCAAGTACGCTTTATAAATGAATACTTCTTTTTTTTGGATTTCTAGTAACCCATATTGTCAAATGTATATGTATACGGCTTGAAGTAAATGCAAAACAAAGGATATAAAAAAAAAAATTGGTAATTACCAAGCTAAGGGTATCTTTTCAAAGCCTGTACAGGAAATAGGAAGACTAGGGTGGAAATACTTTAAAAATTTTGTTGAAATTCTTCTAACAAATGAAGATACTCAAACACTTTTTGCCGAAACAGACTCAAAAAGTCACTGTGCAAAAGTCAGCAGATTGCTAGACGGTTGATATGGTTGATTAGTGTAATAGGATTGGGTTTATAGAGAAGAGATGAAAAAACTGGGTTCTAATATAGAAATTAGCAGTAGTATATATATATATATACTCTGCGACCCACTTTAACCCACTTGTGAACAATTTACTACAAATGATTACAATACAAATTAAATTACTACTTTTAATTGTACCTGTACTGTACCTGTACCTTTCCCTACGAAGGTAGAAAAAGAAAATAGAAAAAAAAAAAAATAGAGAAAAAAAAAATTTTTTTTAGCACAACTACGGAGGATGGGTTCATTATCGTATCTACGTGGTATTATTTAGTTATGTCTTTGTATTTGTTGTGGTACTAAGAGTTAGTGATAAATTGGATGTGGTGGTATTTAATGGAAAATTTTTCTTTATTTTCCTTTTTTTGTTTTTTGGATTGTTAGTACCAAAGTTCTTAATCTTTTCTTTTCCTCCGTTTGTTGTCTTTGTATTTGTTGTTGTTCCTCATCGTCGCCTATTGTCGTTACTCATTTTGTTTTGAACTTTTCTTTTTTTTTCCCTCGAGAGGGAAAAATTTGAAATTGAGGGAATTATTTGCATAGGTAGTGTCAAATTTCACAGTTTCTTTTTATATTTTTTTTTTCAACCACATATTTTCTCGGTCGACTTTTGCGCTCCCTCGCTTTGTCTCGGGGGGAATCTACGGCGAGATACTGCGTCGATTGTGGAAACTTTAATAGCATCATTGGCATGTGCAGTTTTGCATATATTAAGAGACATTTAAGAGGGAACAACATTAGAGGGAACAACACTAGAGGAACAACATTAGAGGGAACAACACTATAGGGAACAACACTAGAGGGAACATCATTAGAGGGAAGTTTACTTCCTATTGCAGAGCTATTAAATACCATTGATACTATTGTTAATTCCCATTAACTACTAGTTATATATTCATGTAAAAAAAGCTGGTCACAAAGGAAATTTGATTTTGAAACATTCCCCTTTATTCGTCTCTCACTTGTATTAATTTTATTATGTATTAGTTTTAATGTGGTGGTGCTTTGGCGATTGATTGCTTTAGTGCTTTAGTGCTTTGGTGCTTTGCTTTGATTGTTAGTGATTCATATGCTTTGATGATTAGTGATTGGTGATTGTTTTGTCATGCCACTGCAAAGTGAAAAAAAAATTTTCTTTTATTTTACCTATTTTCTTTTTTAAATCACCTCACCTATATTGTAAAATACTTAGTTCGCATCTGTGAGGTAAGGCACGAAATTATAACCGGTTACAGTGTTATGAAGCTTTTAATCTTGAACATTTGAGGGGTGGGAGGGTTTTGGTGTCAAAGGTTAATGTCACTTGAAAAGCTTATGGACAAAACTTTCCTAAATAGGAAAGTGCAATTTCATTTTCCATCGAATCAACTACAATCGCGCTACTATTAGTACCAGTCAAAAATTTAGCCGGGGCCATATATATCCCCTCCAAGTCACAGCTTTCCCCACCAAAAGATGTTACCTCCAACTAGTAAACAATACCTTCATTTTCTTTATTTTTAAGATTAGAGTTTGCATGTATCATAGTAAAATCATGACGAATTTTTCTCTCTATTGATAACCACACTAGATTATACAGGACTAACCTAGAACATTGACTATACGGGACTAACCTAGAACATTGACTATACAGGACTAACCTAGAACATTGTCAATCTGTATCAATGTGTATGGATATGTAGAAATGTGGAATCAAAACCCTGTGTGTTTCCTCGCATTTGCCACTTTAACAAGAACAACTACAAAAATATTACATTTGATAAACAACCAATATTCCAGGAGAAACTTACGGAGTTCTTTTTTCTTTTTCCCTTTTTCCTTTTTTTTTCCGTTTGTTTGTTTCAAAGTCACTCTTCCCCTCTTGTCTTTGATAGAGGATTTCTTCTCAACAAGGTGACCTCCACTTGCTTCACCTTACAGATACTAAAAATGAAGTAAAAATAGAGTAAATGTGGAGTAACACGGATTAAAAATGGAGTAGGAAAAATGGTTCTTCAGTTTTTATAGTTCTTTTGTTTCATGTTTTTAGTCTTTTGTTTTTTGATGTTTTAGTGTTTTAGTTTATAGTGAGGAAGTAAGAGCCTCAAGGTTTAGTTTGTAACTCAATGATGTCATAGGGTCATCTTCCTGATTGCACTTAATTATATCACGTGAACTACCTAAAGGAAAAACTATGTTTTTTTTTCAAGGCACCAATTTTATTGTATACAATAATAATTTAAAAAAAAAAAAAATAATAATCTTGTAACCTCTTGATTTACAATGGAACACATCTTTTATATAATTTACGATTAATCTAATTTCAATGCGCTTACCTCTTTTTAAAAAGACAGATTATCCTTACTTTACTGTTGTGTTTTATATCTTTATTCTGTTGTTATATCTTTATTCTGTTGTTATCTTTATTCTATTGTTATATCTCTTATCGCGCAATTGCTTCTTAACCAATTGTCAATTAGACTAATGCACTAACTCATCCATCTCTTTCTCTTCTATCTAACCTCTTCTCTTGGAAACATCCAAACTCAGAAACTACGTTACAAAGGAAAAAAAGAGCAATAATATCACATCTCGCGTTGATGAATGGGTTTAGTGTAAACACTATCGAGCACAGCGAGATAGTGGAGTACACTAGAACTAGCAACACACGGGTTTTTTTAGCCATACATACAGGACTGCTCCACTATCTCGCTTCGCTCGATAGTGTCGCTCGATAGTATTGATCTATCTACTATCGACTAGACTCGTTTCACTCGTATAGTCTCTCTCCACTATCTCGCTTCGCTCGATAGTGTCGCGGTAGTGTACTTTGAACAAGACCAATCTTCGTCAACGCGCGCGCCTTTGAGGTGAAAAAAAAAAGGTCAACAGGACATATCATAATCATAATCACAACTTCAACACCCCTTATCTTGCTTGCGTTGTACACCTATACCAGACTCTAGAGTTGAAAAAAACAGTATGTCTTATCCAGAACCCGAAGTGAAATTTACTCAACCAAGCAAATATGTTGGATTTGACACAATCACAACACAAATCGAGAATAGATTATTAAAAAGAGGTTTCCAATTTAATATTATGGTTGTTGGTCGTTCTGGGTTAGGTAAAAGTACTTTGATCAATACATTATTTTCCTCCAATCTCACCAATTCCAATGGTAGAAAGTCTCCATATGAACCAATTGAAAAGACCACTGAGATCAAGGTTTCTCAACATTCATTATTGGAAAATAACGTACGTCTCAATATTAACGTTATAGATACTCCAGGATTTGGCGATCAAATCAATAATGAGAAATGCTGGGATCCTTTAGTTAAATATGTCAAGGAGCAACATTCTCAGTATTTGAGAAAAGAATTAACTGCGCAACGAGAAAAGTATCTCCCTGATACAAGAGTTCACTGTATCTTGTATTTTATCGCTCCAAATGGCCAAAAGTTGAAACAATTGGACATTCAAGCTTTAAAGAAATTGTGTGAAATAGCTAATGTTGTGCCAATCATTGCAAAGTCAGATTCACTTACTTTTGAAGAACGTAACGAATTTAAAAAACTCTTGCAATCTGAATTCATGAAGTATGGGTTCAATATATATCCATACGATTCCGAAGATCTTTATGAAGAGGAAAGGCAATTGAATGAAGATATTAAATCATTGATTCCTTTTGCTATTGCAGGAAGTGAAACTGAAATTAGATTAGATACAGGTGAAATGGTCAGAGGCAGAAAGACAAAATGGGGAGCAATAAATATCGAAGATGTAAGCCAATGTGAATTTGTATTTTTAAGAGATTTTCTTACAAGAACTCATTTGCAAGATTTAATTGAAACTACCAATTTAATTCATTACGAAACTTTTAGAGCTAAACAATTGATTGCATTAAAGGAAAATGCGTCAAATCCAAACAGGCAATCTCAAATTAATAGTCAGCAACAACACCTGGTGCAACATCAGCAAACCATTACTACTGCTCATTAACTAATAGGTTTATAGCTGTTATAGTAACAATCCATTATTACCCCCCCATGCTCAAAAAAAGAGAGTATAGCTATCTTAAGTTATATTTTTAGGTTTTTCTTTTCTTTAATAGCAAAACTATATCTAAAAAAAAAAAATGAACTACTACCATAACCAACTATCGAGCGAAGCGAGATGGTGGAGCAGCACTGACTATACTGACATATATGGAAAACAAAAAAAAAAACCAAAAAAAAAAAAAAAAAAACAGGCTTCAAAACCAAACCTTACTTACTTTTTTATTCATTTCTCCATTTTGACCCAGTCTCCTTCATAAAGACAAGCTGTCAAATGGGACAATTTAAGAGGAGGGTACTTGAATCCCGGTTTCAATTCCAATTTGGAATAAGTTTGAGCCAATCGAGTTATAACGTAGCTCGCTTCAGTTAAAGCAAATTGTTGACCCAAACAAATTCTTGGTCCACCATTAAATGGTAAATAAGCCCAACCTAATTTCCTAGTTGATTCTTCCCACCATCTTTCAGGTCTGAATAGTTTCACATCTTTTCCATAGTACCTTGGGTCCATTTGACATGCTGATATATTATACACAACTGTACTTGATTTTGGAATGAATATAGGTGATGCACCATCGGGTCCTCCGCCATGAGGTAATGTAGTATTTTTTGTTGCAACTCTAGCATTTCTAGGAACAGAAGGATACATGCGTAAAGTTTCATTTAATACTGCCTTCAAGTATTCACATTTCTTCAAATTTTCAAAAGTTATATCTTGTAATTCACTTGGACCAAACTTGTCCAACACTTCTTCACGCAACTTTTGCCATGAATCGGGATTTCTGGCTAGTTCAAATATAGCAAATGATAACAAACCGGCTGTTGTGTCTCTGCCTGCCAACAAAATGTTCAATGCTTGGTCTCTCAATACTATTGGGTCCCTTGTTTGTTTAGCCAATTCGTATAAAAAGACATATCCATTGCTCTTTTTTTCAAGTTCTTCTGGTGAATAAGAAAGCACTTTTTTCACATAATAGTCGCTAAATTCATGAACAATTTGATTACACTGCTGAAACTCTTTTGGATTAATTAACCAGTATAAATTTTGCATCAAGCTTCTTGTGGCCAAGTAGTTCTGAGAAATGTTAAAAGATTTTGCAAATTGCTTTCGACCAGCAAAATCCAAGCTACTGGTATCACAACCAATGGATTCATCTTGCAATGAAGAAACAGAACTACCAAACAAAAACTCTGTAGCTGAATCGACTGTAAATCTGAAAAACAATTCCTGTATATCAAAATATTCACCATTATTCTTATCAATGTGCTTGAACAAAAATTGAATATGTGGCTCTAATGAATTAACGTGAGCAACTTGTTCTCTTGCAAACTGTGGTCTCAACATTGCTCTTGAATCTCTCCATCCTTCGTGGTCCAAAGTGAATATGCCTTTACCCAACAATGGCTTGAAATAAGTATACCTGTGGCCCAACGAGAAATCGGAGAATTGCGTAGCTAGCATAGCCTTGATATTTTCAGGATCTTTTGTAAACACAAGCGGGGTACCAAATATCAACTCGCGATATGTGGGCACTTGAGGATTATCAACAAGGTAGAATCGTTCTTGTGCGTCATCGATGCCTCTTCCTTCATTTTTAGCCTTTATTGCATCTTTACCAGATTTGAAACCAAACCTGCCATCTTTTCGAACATTTGTAAACGGCTTAGCACCCAACTGCTTGATAACATACCGTAAATGCAAGTATTTGGCCAAGCGACAAACGACAAATACTGCTGGTATAGAAATATACCAAAATTGTGTAATGAAAAGTAATAAATCAGTCATATCCAATGATAACAGCAAGCTACCTAAACTATCGAGCAACACCTAGTAGCTTATACCAATCCTTTTAATAAAAAGATGGTTATACCGTAAACTTTGTTATTCTCCTTTTTTTCAAGAAAAAGGCTCTTAAATTACACCAAATTCAGCTTTAAGGGATCAATAACAACGATACAACCTTTCAAAATCAATACTTACTTTTAAGTACCCAGGAGAAAAAATAGAATAAACAAAGTAAAGTGCTTGGTAGAAGTAATACTGACAAGTCAGTGAAGACTTTAGTCCTTTATATAAAAGCCGAATCAATAGCAACAATTTAAGCAAATTTCAAGGGGGAAGCGGGAAGCGGGAAGCGGGAAAGGGAAAGGGGAAGGGGAAGGGGGCAGTAAGGGAGACTCAAGCACTCGATTTTCTTGTCGTGCATTTTTAAACAATCGTGAAGACGGATTTATAAGGACAGATGCAAAATGGAGTATATCTTATAACTCCGTTCGAGGGTGTCGAAAGAGGGGTGATGCGCTACCACTCAAGGTTGAAATGCAGGTATGTAGAAATAAGGAGTAGGGGAGTAGGAGAGTAGGAGAGTAGGAGAGTATGGGTGTATGGGTGTATGGGTGTTGGCTACGCCATGTGACACTATAAGTACATACTCAATACAATACTTTAGTTAACGGAGATTAATTGTAGATAAGAGGTAACAAATTAGAGACAAAGTTTTGCATTGTTTTTTGATAAACTTTTTATATTGTGTTGCAATGAAAAATTTCGGTAACAATGTGGCAACAAAAGAGTTTGATTACAATTTGTTGCAAAGAGTTTGATTACAATTTGTTGCAAAAGAGTTTAGTTACAATATGTATGGTATCATGTGAAGTTGTATAGGACTGATCCAGTGGTTGATGCAATTGTAGAAACCAAATACGCGTGTAGACAAGATGTAAAATCAGAAAAGTATCTAGTCTCTCTATGTGAACAGGCTCAATCAGCTTTTGAGAACAATTGACTATTGAGACTGACAATTGACCATTGAGATTAAATGACTGAGATTAAATGAATGAGATTAAAATATTATGTATTGAGATATATGTATTGAGATATTATACATATTTTTTCTATAATTGAGGATAAATCCATGCTTTAGATGAGAGGTTTAGATCTTTAATATTTAATTATAGACCAAATGTTCGATTCTATGCACCATCACTCAAATTTAGACAAACATACACCATATACATCAACATATAAACACACATTATACACATACACCTTACACTTTATACACACATTTACAACATTGCGAGGCACACCAAATCAGATTGCCTCCTGGTTGGTCTAAATCAGATTGCCCCCTGATTAATCCAAATCAGCTTCCCCCCCCGATTGGTCCAAAACAGCTTTCCCTAATGGAATCATAAAGATTGCCTTTGGAATATGACATAGTGTAAAGGTGTTGAATAAAATTGTAGTGTACTTATTGTGTTCTATAATAACACGGTAGCGCCGCGACGCGTTTTTCCTCAAGGCACAATTTGTCAAGATGCATCGTTTCCCACTCATATGATCATATCTAATACATCAGCTTCAAAATATGGGTGTCAAGGGTCTAAACCAACTAATCAAAGAACATTCTCCACATGCCTACAAAGAGTTTCAATTGAAAAACTTGTTCGGCAGAAAAGTCGCTATCGACGCTTCAATGTGTCTTTATCAGTTTCTAATTGCAGTAAGACAATCCGATGGCCAACAATTGACTAATGAAGATGGGGAAACTACCTCGCATTTGTCCGGTATATTTTACCGAACCATACGAATGGTTGAAAACAACATCAAACCCGTGTATGTGTTTGACGGGAAACCACCAGTGTTGAAAGGAGGTGAATTGGAAAAACGTTTACTTCGAAGAGAAGAAGCTCAAAAACAAATGGACCAAATAAAAGATGAAGCAACGGTTGCTGAAGTAATGAAATATGAAAAAAGACTAGTTCGTGTGAGTCGCGATCAAAATGAAGAAGCCAAAAAATTATTGGAATTGATGGGTATACCGTATGTTAATGCACCTTGTGAAGCAGAAGCTCAGTGTGCTGAATTAGCTCGTACTGGTAAAGTATTTGCTGCAGCAAGTGAAGATATGGATACTTTATGTTACGAACCACCGCAGTTGTTAAGACACTTGACCTTTGCTGAAGCAAGAAAAATGCCAATTGACCAAATTAGCTATAAAGAAGCTATTGAAGGATTAGACATGACAAAGGAACAATTTATTGATTTGTGTATTCTATTAGGTTGCGATTATTGCGAAACCATTAAAGGAGTAGGGCCAGTGACAGCTTATAAATTAATCAAAGAACACGGATCATTAGAAAACATTATCAAGTATATCAAAGAAAATCCAGAAAAGACCAAATACAAAGTTCCCGAGAACTGGCCATTCGATGAAGCAAGACAATTGTTCTTGAAACCAGAAGTACTACCTGCAAATGAAATTGAGCTAAAATGGAAAGAACCCGATGTAGATGGATTGATTGAATATATGGTCAAAGAAAAAGGTTTTAGTCAGGATAGAATTAAAAGCGGTGCTGAAAAATTGAAAAAGGGATTGAAAGCAGGTGTACAAGGAAGACTAGATGGGTTTTTCAAAGTTGTTCCTAGCTCAAAAGATGATAAAAAGAGAAAAGCTGAGAAAACAAAAGCACCAGCTAATAAAAAAGTAAAGAAAAAGTAAGCAAGTAAAGAAAAAGTAAGCAAGTAAAGCCTTTTCTTTACCACTCCTCCCCCTACCTACCTTCAAAAAGTCAAACTTACCCAAAATAATTGTGTATTTTTTTTTTTCCTATTCTACTCTGGATTTTTCCCCGAGTTCTTATTCCTTTGATTTAGGTTTCTTCTTTTCTGCTTCTGCTTCCTTCTCCCCTTCAATCTCATCAACATACTTTTTTATCTCATCAAGGGTCAATTTTGAAATATCCCCCTTTGGTCTCATTACACTAATTTCAATATTCTTTGCTCCAGTTTGAACTACTTCTAAAAGTGACTTGACCGTTAATTTCACCGTTTCATCTTCAGTCAATTCTTCCTTCCATTGTTTTTCCAAGAATTCCTTTACTGTTTTAGCTGATCTTCCAATAGCATGAGCTTTCCAGGCATTAAACACTCCCGAGGGTTCGGTTTGATATAATTTTGGGACATTGTCTAACTCATCAAAACCTGCAATCAATGTGGCTATACCAAATGGTCTCGTTCCTCCAGATTGGGTATATTTTTGTTGGACACCAGCAACATACTTGGTAAGATAGTCAACACTTACCGCATCTTCTAAATTCAATCTATGCGATTGCGCCTCTACTCTAGCTTTGTCTATAAGAATTCTTGCATCTGCATTCAAGCCAGCAAATGCTAATAAAATATGATGATCGATTTTTTGGATTTTCGAAGGCGTAGTTCGTGGATCTTGAAGCTTTAGTGTGGTGCGTCTTTCACAACCAAGAACAACTACATCTTTGCCCTTGACCCCTACCGCACACGTTCCTCTCTTAACTGCTTCAGAGGCGTATTCAACTTGGAAAACATGTCCATCTGGTCTATAATAAATAGGTTAATAAAGTCATCCTCCTAAAACAATGAAAAATCCCTCCCCGCAATTGGTAGACACGGGCTTAAAAACATACGAGAAAATCGATAAGGCACTATCGTATCCACTCATTATTTATGCCTGGTTCTTATTAGTGTTGTAGTTGTTGTTGTTCTTGCTCAACGTCAATTGTGATAAAGTTGAGTTTTTCATTTCTTTGCCGCTGGAGAGCCGAATGCGAAAAAAAAAAAAAAAAAAAAAAAAAAAAAAAAAAAAAAAAAAAAGATCAACTAACAAACCAAATAGGTGAATAAAGGAGCTTTTGGTAGGTGAATAAAGAAGCTTTTACTAGAGTGTAGGGAAGAGGAGATGGCATGGTAAGTAAAGGAAAACTGAGCTCGAAACTGAGCTCGAAACAAGTACTATCCAATAGGGAAAATAACTCAAGATTGAACCATTTGTACCAATTATGTAATTTTCTAACGATTTCTCCATCTCATACTCATGCAAGTGCATTAGCTAGAGGATATGATCGGAATTTCGACTTAATTGCTAAGAAAACAGTTTCCAAGATTTCTCCAGAAGTGAAAAGAACAATTTGCAAAAAGTGTCATTCACTACTAATCCCTGGAATGACTATGTCGATGTATATCGAAAATTTAGCCAAGAAGAAGGATGAAAAAGAGGATGTTTTTGTTAACAAATGTTTAACCTGTGGCAAGTGTAAACGATTCCCTATTGGGAAAAACAGGGAGTATATTCCATTTCATGAAAAAGCGTGTCTTTAGAACCCCTCAAACATCCAACATTATAGAATCATTATTGATTACTTGTCCTATTTATCATAACCTACTATGTAGTAGAAAATCGTTATACATAAATTTTTTTTTGAAAAAAAATCGAAAAAAAAGAGCATCAACAACTCTCTTGTATTCTCTTTCTCTCTTTCTCTCTCTCTCTCAGTCTCTCTCTCTCTCTCTCTCTCTCTCTCTCTTCTTTTATTCAGTCGTAGCAGCAACTAAAGCGGCACCAACACCGGATCCATCTTTTGCAATCTTTAAATGAACCTTTTTGTTGGATCCCTTTAATGGATCAATCACATTGAATGATTTCATAATAGCATCTCTAAAGCCTGGGTAAAATTCAATAACTGAACCATCACAACCAATCTCCAAGTCTCTGTTATCACCCTTCCATTGTTCTTTTACAACTCTGACTATTGAAGCGATTGGAATAGCAGCTAATTGAGAAGCTCTTTTAGAAATGGCTCTCGTTAATCTTTGGATAACTATTCTTTCATCTTCATTAGTTGGTAATCTCAAGGTGTTTTGCAAAATCAATTCTGACATTTTCAAATTTGTAGAATCGTCAATTTGAATGTATGATAACACTTCAGAGTCTAGTAACCATGGCTCAACTAATCTATGTGGCAAACTTCCGCCTCTTGCCTTGTACAAGTCTTGGAAAATCAATCCCTTTTCAAACATATCTAACAAAGCAACTCTTAAAATCTCCCCAAGAAACAATCCACTAACTCTCTTTTCAAACATGTGGTAGCCTTTGTTTGTAGTTTCAGAATCTACAATTTGATCAAATATGGTGTCGGGCAAGATTTCTAATGTGTTATCGAATGAACCCCATTCAGTGTTGATTACCATGCCTTTAGTACCTTCGGGGACACCTTTCAATTTAGGAATATCGTCAATTGTTGCATAATAAGCACCATTAGTACCTGTACCCAAGATCAACCCAATGACGGTGTTTGCATGAGTATATTCTGGATTATTAGCATAGGCTCTAGATAACAAAGTACCAACAGTGTCATTAGCCAACGCAACAACCTTAACGTTAGCTTCTAAAACGGTCAAGTTTGCCTGTAATAACTGAACAACATCTCTACCAACAGTATCGGGGATATCGAAACTCTTTGTCCATCTGAGTAAAGTACCTTTATCTAAAGCAGTTTGTTCTACAGGGAAGGAAAAGGTAAAACCCAATTTTAAGGTCTTGCCATTCTTTTGGGTAGTTTCTTGATGATGTTCACATAAGAAATCATTGATCTTTGTAGCTAAATAGTGGAACAACTCGTCAGCTTTCTTACCATGCATCAATTCACTAGGTATTTTGTATTTGCTTTGTTTAAGATCAAATGTATGGTCACCTTTCAAATCAACTGAGCAAACACGGAAATTGGTACCGCCCAAATCAGCAGCTAAATATAAGCCTTTCTCCTTACCTGTGGGCAAGCTTGTAACATATGTTGGTATCATTGGCATGCATTCTTTGCTTGGTTTGGAAGCTGCAAGGCCCTGTTTCATTGATTTTTCAAAAAAATCAGAAGCTTTGATCAAGAAATCATCATCTAAGTAGAATTGATTCTCTATATCTCTCACCGCAACTTCAAGTTTCTCTGAAAGTCCCATTTTTCTTTTACTTTTTAGTCTGCTTCCAGTCAACTACTTTGGAAAATAGTAGCTTAATATATATAAAAGCAATTGAAAAAAAAAACAAAAAAATAAAACTCAATGAATAATTGTGATAAGCTTATTCAAAAGAGCAATTTGAAGAACAACTTTTAAAAAAAAAACAACAACAACAATTACCTTATTAAGGGGATCGCTGTGACAAAGGGATTATTCAAGATCTGTTCGTTAAAAAACTTTTCGGTTTACTTTGCACAAAGCTTGTGTGAAAAGGGAAATATAAAAGAAAAGGTACAAAGTAAAATTGATATGGAACAAAAAATTCGATGGAGAGAGATTTCAAGTCCGTTTTATATCTTCTTTCCAGCCCCCCTCCTCTCCCTCCCCCCCCGTACGCCCCCTATCCGCTCTTTTATCCGTCACACGTCCAAAGTAAACTAAGATTTTGACATTGAAACATTACCGAGAAAAAGGCATTTTGCAAGATTTTGTTTAAAGTTTTCTACAAGTTTTATGACTTCACTTTTAATGCGCTAACATCTCGAAACAGCCGATATTGGCAGACAGGTGCACTTAAAAAGTGTACTAAAAGAGGTAGAATAATTGAAAAATAGGGGAATTGGGTCGAATGGGATTGGGGGCAACAACTTGTTTTGGAGTTTGGAGAAAAATGGGGATCAAAAGCATAAAATTTGGGTACAATTACGATTCTTAATAGTAGTGATGATGGTGGGGGCGAGACAAAGCCGAACCAATACTGATAAAAAAAAAAAATTAAAAAATAAAATAAAAAAGAAGCAAAAAATTTGCACCCATTCCGGGTTTCGTTCTAATATCAGTGTTTAACCATTTTAATTCTCAAACCTAATTTAATACCATTTTATTTCTCAAACCTATTTTTATGATCAATTCTTTATAGAGAGAGAGAGAGAGAGAGAGAAGAAGGTCAGTTTAATTAGGTGGTACGATGGTTAATTTAAAAAGCAATGGATCTTTGTTTGCCGAAGACTAAGAAAAAATAAAGTCTAAAAATATTTCACCTTCTTCGGTTTTGTGAAATCCATCATCGTATCACGTGATTAATACGTAAAAGACGTATAAAGAAGTTTGTTTGACAGTTACGAAAATCAGGTAAGAAAATCAGGTAAGAGACTTGATTAAAAGTAGAGTGGCTGTGCCTCATGTGTAGGTATACATTATTACAATCGTCATGAGGAGATGTTTATAGTACCAATGTTTATAAGCAGTAAACAGGTGTTTATAGGCTACAAGCTGGTGCTTGTGCTCATAACCATATATATATATATATATGTGTGCTCCCAATTAGACGTCAATAATTACGAGATACTGTTTAATTCTTCAGGGGAAAAGTACACGTGACTGAAAAATGATCTGGTAATATTATCATGAGATATGTTTACATATCTTCCCTGGAATTCAAGTTCACGTAGACAACAAAATCCTGTATTCTCAAGCTCCGTATTGAGTTATCAAGCTACAAACATAATCCCACACACAAGTTTATGCAGAATGCTATAGACAGTACCTTGTTACACTGAAGGGTTTAGTTTTGCCCCAGCTTCTTTCTTTTCTCTCTCTTTTCTCTAACATAATCATGCATTTATTGACCAGTATAAAAAGGTGTTGACCTTGCTATTAGTCCATCTTACTTTAGCTTGTATAGGTAACGTAACAGAAGTATCAAATAAAAAAAAAAACAAAAAAAACAAAATGTATGGTAGACGATCTGGCGGTGGTGGTGGTGGTGGCGCCTACAGAAGCACAAATGTGTATCGCACAAGAAACGCAAATTATGCAATATTTGGATCTACAGGGTACAGACCAGGATACAGCCCAGGATACACTACCAGGGCTAAGGCGAGAGCAGGTACGGCTTATTCCGCCCCAACTTCGCAAAGCTATAATGGTTATTATCAACGCAAGCGATACCTGAACAATGGAAATAATGAGGCAAACACAAAATCTCTGGGATATAAGGTACAGCAACAAAATAAAGCAAGAGGAAATGAATATTATCAAAGTAAAGCAAGAAGAAATGAATATTATAACCGTAAACCTAAACCCAATTATGTCTCTAATAAAAGTTCCCGGCAAGAACAACGTGAAAACTATGCAACAGGACAACGTGAAAACTATGCAACGGGACAACGTGAAAACTATGCAACGGAACAAAGTGCCAAATATCGTGGTAGTAATCACACATATAAAAAGAAAACTGTAAACCAAACGATTAATGTTGATCAACAGCAACAGCAACAGCAACAGCGCCCTAGTAGATGGGGCAGAATGATGGGTGCAATGAGAATGCCAATGATGTTTATGTTCTTTAGTAGAATAATGAGACCCAGTCATCAAGAGCAACAACCTCCTTTCCCTCCCATTCATCAAGAGCAACAGTCTCCTTTTCCCCCCTTTCATCAAGAGCAACTGCCTCCTTTCTCTCCCATTCATCAAGAGCAACAGCTTTTTTCCCCTCCCATTCATCAAGAGCAACTGCCTCCTTTCTCTCCCATTCATCAAGAGCAACAGCCTGCTTTCCCTCCCATTCACCAAGAGCAAGAGCAACAGCCTCCTCCCCCTCCTCCTAAAGAACAACATACTGTCAATAATACAACTAGAGCCCGATACCCTGCTACAACTAGCAATGACCACGTATCAGTTTTATCTGATATTCCACTGGTAATGAATACTGGTTCAGATTTACTAGACAAAGCTAGAAAACCTGCTTCAAAAACAAAGTCTACTGAAATAAACACCGGAAAGACTGCTGATTCAGTTCACATTGGCTCATTCCCAATGGATATAATTGGTAGAGTTCCCATTGCAAGAAACACAATTGACGATATAACAGCAGAAGACTTTAAATCAAAATCACCTCCTACACATGACGAGCCAAATGCTGTTGAAACAGAGACTCAAAGTTTTAGTAAAGACTCTGCTGATCTATCAGGAGCTTTAAGTAAGTCACCGTATTCCATCTATACTGGTTTGCTTGACTTGAGTCCTCAACGAACTTATACTCTACAAGAATTATAAGCTCGCACAAACACTGTTTTTTTTTTTCCACCCCACAATGTATAGCTTTATAGTTTGTTCTTTTATTTCTTTTTTTCTTGTTAGTTATATGAATAAAGAGTATACCATTAATATGTATAAATTTTATGTTATTGATACGAGGTTGATAAAGCTTACTTGTCTCCATGACCAATATACAAAGAGTCATAACACTATCGAGCAGAGCGAGATAGTGTTTATACTCTATTCTACTCTATACTACAGAGCGATAGGTTTATACTCTATTCTACTCTACACTACAGAGGGATGGGTTTATACTCTATTCTACTCTACACTACAGAGCGATAGGTTTATACTCTATTCTACTCTACTCTACACTACTAGAGTAGAGCGATGGTGTTCTCCACTCTCTTTTTAAAAATTAGTGAGAGGTATCATCAAGGTCATAATACTACATATGTTGTGGGAAAAGATGCATTCAAGAGTAAAATATCGGACCTATCAGCATGGGACCACTGTGATGGGTAACATCAACTGGAAAAACCGAGAGAGTAAAAAGAAAGCTTATACATTGCTTCATTGAAATTAAACAAAAGCAGTGAGATGCATCATATCATTACTTATCTTTTCTTTTTCTTTTCTTTTCTTTTCTTTTTTCAAATCACAATCACCTGGTGTTAAACTAAGATTATCTATCCACCTGGTAAGTATGTATTAACACAAAACGAAGACGCGAGTCAAAGAAAAGGGTTTGCTTTTGCTACTGGTAATTATAAAATGATGATACTGCTCTCATACGAGTCTAAAAGAGGAAATTGTGATTAGTGATTTATCATCTGTGAAAGAGAATACTAGCTGATTGGCAATGACGTGTATGTCTTTCTCATCGCGGCGGTGGATAATGCCGAAATGAGAAAGGGCGGGCACAAAAAAGGAAGGACCGCCGCTTCCGATGCTCTTTGTTGGGACACTATCCCTCCCCCCGCAAAATCACATATGTGAAAAGTTCTACCCCTTTGTGTAAAGAAAAGACATCCATCCCCTGAAGATGGTGATGAGATATACCATTTACACCAAAAGGAGATGAAACCTTGTCATTTATTGAAAAAAGCCGTGTATAAAAGGGAATACAATTCCCTTCTCTTTCCTCTTGTACCCTCCATCACTATTCATATCCAAAGAATAAGAAGAAAAAAACCAACAAATCAGTCTCTTATAATGAAATTTTCTTCTACAATTGCCTTGAGTATCATCTCCGTTGCTAGTGCCAGTATCATCAGCCCATGCTGTAATGAGCCAATTACCACTTTTGAAGGTGAATTTGCATTGGGAATAGTTGAACTTTGTGATCCAGGTACAATCTATTTAGCTTATGAGAATGAATGTGGTCAATTAGAACATAATTGTGAAACTTATGATTGTGGATGTAATGAATGTGTCGTTACATTAGTTGCTGATGCTGCCGCTGCCGCTGCTACTCCTACTCCTACTCCACTTGCTGCTGTTAAAGTTGCTCCTACTGCTGTAGCTGCTGCTCCTATTAAGGTTGCAGAACGTGGTGGTGTTGAGACATGCCCAGTCAAATTATGTGATTTGTGCTATCCATACTGTACAATTGATGAAAATTGTGTTGACTACTTCACTTTATGTGATACAGTCTTGAAAGACGCCCAATACAGAATTGGTCAAATCGCATGTAATCATGAGTTGATTTTCACTTACCCTGTGGAATACAATGCATTGTATACATGTGGTTGGTCAATTGTTTTCAAAGATTGCTACTATGTATTGGCATTAAATGGATGTACTACCTTCTGGGAATGTCCAGTTGACAATTGTGGAACATACAAGATCTTTGACGAAAGTATTGATTGTGCATGTAAACCAGTTGAAATTGTCATTATCTTCAAGACTTGTGATTAAAGAGACAAATTTACAAAAAGTGACAAAAAGTGACAAAAAACCGTTAGCTATTTGAAAATAAGCCCTGTGTTTTTGTGTGTGTATCTATGTGTGGTGTCTATGCGTGTGTCTATGTGTCCACATGTCTATGTGCGGTGTCTATGTGTTTTTCATCTTTATTTTATTGACCTTGTTTCATGGAAAATGCCAGTGATTTGGGCCTGGGGGTTTGCATGAGAAGGGATTATATCTTATTTTTTTATACTTTTATTTCGGTTTCGGCTCGATCCGGCTCGATCCGGCTCGATCGATTCAAATAATCATTTTAGCTTCAAATTAGTTAACAATAATAATAATATTATTATTATTATTATATACACACATTTTTATCCATTTCATCCTTAAATTCCTTTACTACTGTGTATATCACGTGATGGTGTGGCTAAGCATAATATTTGACGAGACAAATGATAAATCAGTCCAAAAAGTAAACAAAAACAAATAAACATAAAAAAAAAAAAATGAAAAATTAATTATTTTTTTTTTTTTTATTTGTCTTCTCCACCATGCAGTGCCAATTAATTATTCATTGTTCTCCCCTTACAAAGGGGTAATATAATGGACCGAGTTCATGGAAGAACAAAAAGTGTAGAAAGCGAGGATATGCCACCATTTAGGCCATATGGTGGGGATGAGATAAGAGTGGTTAGCGATTTGTCCCGTTTCCATTTTCAAGAAGGTAATAGTGTGCGATCACGTTCTAGAAATACTACGCCTACAAATACTGATGTCTCAGATACTCAATCTTCAGGTAAGTTGACTCTTGATACGATTATACCCCTTTACTCATCAAAAATTGATGATAGGAATAGGTATAAACCTTTGGGTACAAAATGCCAAGAAGAAGAAAAAGAGGCGTTGATGGTGATGGTGACAGAAGAAGAAGAAGATGCAAAAAGGAAGAAGAAAGATGAGCCGATTGTTGCTGAGAAGAAGAGATATGAGCATATTGTTCCTGAAAAGAAGAGAGATGTGTCGATTGTTGTTGAGAAAAAGAGAGATGTGTCGATTGTTCCTGAAAAAAAGAAAGATGAGCCGATTGTTACTGAAAAGTTATTATCCTTGCCCAAAACTCGACGTTTAATAAGAAAGAGGGTTTCCGTTGGTGTTCAAGTTCCTCAAGACCATATTCCTCCGAGAAGCCCAACTCCGCCGCCAAAGGATGATTTGCCAAAGGATGGTTTGCCAAAGGATGGTTTGCCAAAGGATGGTTTGCCAAAACTGTTGGATAAACAGAATGAATTTTCGCCATACCCTATCTCAGTCACCGATCTTCAACAAGTCGACCAATTACCGCCATTACCTCAACCTACAGAAGACCTATTTCTGCAAGAAAATCAAATTGAAACCGAAAAAGAAAGTTCAAGTATGTCGTCGCGACAAAAACAATTGGAACATGATTTGGTCAAAAGAGTAATGAATAGACCTTTGGTGTCGATAAAAACTGACCGATTTGGGGACAAGTATCGAGGTAAACGCATCACAATCACGGTGAACTTTGTTTTATACATATTCGAACAATGCTGCAGTATAGTTGGGATTGTGTTAGCTTCTGTCTTGTTGAAACATGATAGTTTTGTGCCTGATTCAATATATCGATATTTCCTAGCCGATGGATGTATATCGTTAATTGTCTCACTCCTTTTCGCTTTCCAAATTGTCAACTACGAAAAAAGAAACGGAAGTTTTTATTGCTTAGCTGCAACAATCATCAAGTTTGTTTCCTTCATAATGGTTGTTTCATATTTGTTCCCACTTGCCTATTACCAAACTCAGCAAATATGGCTGATGAGAAGAGCAATCGGGGCGTTTATTATAATATCTACATTCCTTTGGCTTGTAAACTTAACCATGTTTTTAACTACATTGTTCATTTCAAGATTAAATCTCTTGGAGGAATTGAACTTTGACTATGATTATAAGGGATTGGATGATCAGTTCAATAGAAAACCACAAGGGTATACTATTGAAAACGAACCTTTGAGGGAGTTTTTCCTAAATGAAAATGGTGAGATGTATGCATTGAATGAAGACTGGGAGAAGGAACAGTATAAAAATAATAATAAAATCTTGGTTTATACTTATTAATGTCAATCTCAGTATTGAAATCAATTAGTCTGCAACATTTATGGTAAATGCTCCTAGCCATTTGAAGCATTTTTTTTTCTTTTTTCTTCCTCATACAATTTTATTTATTTTATTTTTTGCAGCAATTTAATTTAATATGCGTAAAATCTTTTCGCAGCCAAATGGAAGAAAAAATAAATAAAGAAAAAAGGGGGCCTAACCAATCCTCATAACAAAACCTTTAGACAAGGAGAATTTTTTTTATATCTTTTTATCAAGGTCTGCCCATTCTTTTAAAACTCTATAGGCTAATAGAAAGCGTCTGTTGTTTTCTTTTTTTTTTTATTATTTCAATTATGAGGGTTAAGGTGATAGTATTAGTGCTATTGGTGCAATTAGTCACATCTATGTTAATTCCGCCAAATTGGTCTATTGTAAAACCAACACTTTTTTCACTTTCGGAAACAAAACAACGATTGATTAATTCTTTGCAAGCTTTGGTGCCTCCAACACATGGTGATAAAGATCGAATTATGTTCCAACCTTTATTAAATACTACTAAAGCAAAAGAGGAGGAGGAGAAGGAGACGATTAAAGCAACAGGGATGGTAGAAAATGGAACGGCTTTTGCCAAGGGGCAAAATTCCATTGAAACGCCTGCTGATGAGACCATGACATCTGGCAGTAATTTGCTTTTTATACCACGAGAACTAATCAATCCTACAATGTTTGAAGCTTTAGGTTTATCAAGACTCTTTGGCAATGAATCAGCACAACATCAAAAGTGGCTAAATTTCACCTCAAAAGATCAAATTTTCATTCCACGAGAATTTAAACCATTTTTCATATTCAACACATCGAGTGTTTACAACTCTGGTTTGGAATTTATTCAGCGCTATAACTATCATAACTTTCGAAGCTCTTCGTCGTTTAATAAGTTTTTATCAAATGCCCTACCATTTGACATGCCCAAATATTTGGAATTGGTTGATTACTACATGGTTTTACCCAACTTACCCAATTTGCGTGAATTGTCACTGGGTGTGTATAACAGAGGACTATTGACTTTTTCTAAAAGCCAACTTCCTACTTTCCGCAAGGAATTGAGTGAAGGCAAACCAATGATTGTGTTTATGTTTAATGAAACTAATGCTAAAGAAATGGCGGAAAAAACAGATAGCAATGGTAAGAATACTCCAATTGTTTCAATAAAGAATTATCTCAAACAAACTCAAGTTTCAAGCTTTTTTGACAAGTTTGCAAAGCTTTGGATAAACCAAGTTAGTTATGATTCTTTAATCTCAGCAATTTATTGTAATATACAAACCGGCACCGGTGGCGGAGGAAAAGGTGAAGAAGAGAATCAAAGTTATTGTTTAAACATTAAAAAGCAACTGGTGAATGTGTTTCCTGCATTTACAAAATTCACATCTCATTCATCCAGGAGTTTATCAGAGAAAGTTTTGAAACAAATACAACAAAACGAGAAGGAGGATAACAATGGTGGTGAGGAGTTGATGGTTGAAAGTCAAGCTGTGAGACAAGTTCATGATAAACTTCAAGCTAAAAAAAATGCAATGGCAATGGTAAGTCTTAGTTTACTCAAGAACCCAAAAGCAACAATTGAAGCCGCTGATGAATCATTCGATAAGAGAATTGATAGAAAATTAACTATGCTTGCAAAGACAAAAGAAGTGATTAAGGATCGTCTTGACGATAGAAAAACATCATTTAAGGAAGACGTTGCTGAAAAACTCGATACAATCGAAGATAAAACGCATGATATATCAGATAGATTTGCTCAAAAGAGGATCCAGTTGGAAAAACTAAAATTTCAACCTCAAATATTTGATAAATCAGAATTGCAACGTTGGGAACTGAAGAAGTATTTCTTTGGCGATTACGAAAATGTCGGAGTCGATGAGGATTGTAGTGGTGATGATGGTAAAGATGAAGATGAAGATGAAGGCGAAGATGAAGATGAAGATGAAGATGAAGATGAAGATGAAGACAAAGACAAAGACAAAGACAAAGACAAAGGCAAAAACAAGGACAGGGATGGTACTAACAAGAAAGGAAGAAAAAAGAAAAAACCCGATTGCATCTATGAAAATGACAGGAATTATATTAGTAAACGATCCGATTCACAAGTCAACACTGGAGACAATGATGGAAGTGTCACTATTGGCGGCGGGTTTTCTATCCCTCTATCATTACTTCATTTTGATGATTTACATACTTATTCACCAAGGAAAAACACTTATAGTCAAGTGATCAACATGGATACAAGGAAAACAATGAAAAAGAAATTGAGGAAACGAATTGAATTCAGTGATGATTTAACCAATTGTAAACCAATCACTTGGTATAATCTTTTCCATTGTAGTATATTTGGAGAATCAAAATTTTGTAAAGAAAATGATACAGTGGAAGCTTTTTAAGAGGAACGTTTGTAGTTAAAATATCACCAGTAGTTGTTTGACAATATACATATAATCTTTTTGCATTTTTCATCTTTTATATAAAAATAATTCCCATGTATAATAATAATAATGATAGCAATAGAAAAAAAAATTGAGTCATGAAGTAACATGAAGAAATGAGCCATAACATGAAATGAAGTGTTGTGAGTTTAAAAAAGTGCTAGTGGAAGGGAATGAGGAAGGAGGGGGGGGGGGAAAGAGAGGGGGGAAGGGGTATGGGTTTGGTTAGTTGGTTGGTAAATTTATCTGAAATTTACTCTACTGCCAGTATTCCTTTGATGCTGCTGCTGCTGTTGTGGTTGAAAATATGGATTTTGTGGACTCGATGTACTTCCCTGATAAGCACCAGTTTTACCAAAACTAAATCCACCACTTGTGCTAGATGAACTATTTGTAGGAAGTGCGTTATATGGATTTCCAACTATTGTAGAACCAGGCTGTGTTGGCTCCATATAATCCAATGAATCTCTTTTAGAATACTGTTCGTAATTTGATGCCGAACCTGAAGTTGTAGAAACTATAGGTCCACTTAGGTTTTTTGTTTTTTGGTAAACTGAATCTTCATCATACGATCCATCTTCATCATCATCGTATATATTGTTTCCTTCTTTCACGTTACTCTTTCCGTGCTCATGACCCTTCATTGCTATTTCTCCCAATGCCATTAATTCCATTTCATCATCGTAACCTGCACCACCTGCACCACCATTCTTATTATTGGTGGATTTTGGCAAGAATGAAACTCTGTCATCCTTCATTGGTTGGTATCTAGTATCTGGATTCTTATAAACCAATGCTAAAACACAAGTTATAATTGTGAACAATAACAAAAACAATGCCAAAACTGCATTTAAAATGAAAAAAACAACAGCCATGACTGATGAAACAACACTTGGTTGGCCAAACACCATTGAGAAAAACACAAAAAATAACGCATTAATGAAATTGATAACACTGATAACAATATTAAACGCATTTGTTCTCTTATCCATAAACGGACGAATCCAGCATAACACAACCATATAAATCAATTCAATAATCCAAACAATAAGCGATTGAGGTTTTCCATGGGTTTGAAGTACTGCAACAAACAATGACTTGAGGAAAATATAAGCCAATGACACCAAAATAAACCAATAACAATCTGCTCTAAACTGAACATAAAGGAAACCAAACCTATTCAAAAACCGAGCTTCTCCAAATAATAAATATGCTGGGTTTTTGAAATTGCTGACTGATCTTCTTCCCATAAGATATACTCGAACTGCGGCTTGTAATAGCAACAAACAAACCAATATCAAAAGGAATACTGCAACAACAACGGTACCTGCCGAGTCTCGAGTCGTCAACTCCCATATACATAACAAACTGACCTGTGGTAATGAAATCACTAACAAACGGTATATTGAGCCCTTGATGACTCCATTCCATTGTTGTCTATATTCATTAAATTTCCCTTCATTCATCATTTTGGATGTAATGAGTATCTCAATCAATGCTTTGAATAAAGTAAGGCAAACAATCATAACAAAAGCGAAAAAGAATAAGAAGCAAATACCGGTCATGAACAAGCTGGTGATTTCAATTCCCAATAAATATGCCACTCTTTGTATACCTCTAAGCACCAATATTTTACCGGCTAAATCACTAGCTTTTTCATTAGTCGAATATAAATCGGGATCCAAACTATCTGAAGTTCCAAAGTTGTCTGAATCTAATTGAATATCTGCTCTTTTCACTACTCGATGTTGCGTTCCTGTAATAGCTTGTTCAAACAAGTTACTTATTGCTCTCTTGACAAATTTCTTTTGCACTGAAACAGACAAATATGAAGATTTGATGATATCGGTTGGAGAACCACCTGTTGACTGTACATACCAATTTGCAATATCTTGAACAAAACCAACTTTGACTAATCCCATTGACCACATGAAATTTTGGGCCCATGCGGCTGCAATAGGTGGTACTCTAGCAACACCCATCATTGATGTAATAGCCAAAGACTGAAAGTATATGAACAAGGACATTGAATTAGAGGCGATATGTGCGGCTGTACTCGAATGTCCAATAATCGAAACGATTCCCGAAGTGATGACACCTAAACCTGATATCGCAGCTATTGGCCATGCAGCATATTTAGTTTGGACAGTTTTACCGTTTGATAAAGTTGCTTCGACACAAGCTAACTGGGTAAAGTCTTCCGTATCAAACACAATAACTCGAACTCTAGCATCCAAATCAGGAATAGTATAAGCGATCCCTGGTATCAGATCAGTTACCGAGGATTCAACCGGATAATGTGAGTTTAAATTCAAATGCCCTGAGGTTAATGGGCAAAGCGGGTTATTTTTCGAGTTACTATCGAGCTCATAGTTGATTGCACATAATGATTGATTGACCTGCAAAACGTTTAATCCATAAGCAATCAAATTGACATTGACAGCAACTGTTTTATTGTCGATTGCAGACATTGCGTTTATATCAAAATAAACCGTATTGTTGCCTGGATAAAACACGACATCGAAATAGGATGCAGAAAACTGGGAATTTTCCATACATGTTAAAAGCGATGAAGATTTGATATATTTTTCTGCACTTACTATGCTTGCAAGAAATGCTGTGCATATGAAGACCAAGTGAAGGAATAGCATGTTAATGACTGGGGGAGGGGGGGGGAAGGCTGGAGACAGGAAGACCTCGAAATGACAAAATAATTTGTTTCAACAATGATTTAATGAAGCCAATGAGATAGGATACCTCGAAATGACAAAATAAATTTGTTTCAACAATGATTTAATGAAGCCAATGAGATAGGATACCTCGAAATGACAAAATAAATTTGTTTCAACAATGATTTAATGAAGCCAATGAGATAGGATACCTCGAAATGCCAAGATGATTTAATGAAGCTAACAAAATAGGGCAGCTAGTTGATACCAAAGTGTTCCAATAAAGCTAACAAGATAGGGCAGCTAGTTGATACCAAAGTGTTCCAATAAAGCTAACAAGATAGGGCAGCTAGTTGATACCAAAATGATCCAATAAAGCTAACAAGATAATCCAATAAAGCTAACAAGATAATCCAATAAAGCTAACAAGATAGGGCAGCTAGTTGATACCAAATAAATTTGTTTCAACAATAATATAATGAAACCAACAAGATTGAAAAGATATTGTGCACGGCAATGAGATTGAAAAGATATTGTGCAAAGCGACACGATAATGCAAAAGACAAAGCAAAAACACTAACCTTGCTAGAGCTAGTTTAAAAGATTCCTAATTAGTTGAGTTGAGCCCTGTTAGTAGTAGTCTATCTAATATTTACCTGACTTGCTTTCAACTGATTCCATCTACTCTCAAGATCTCGTCTTCTTCTCTTTACTCTTATGATCTCGTCTTCTTTAATAAAGAACAATGTTTTTTTTTTTTTTCTAAACTTAGAAACTTTTTTGTACGCCCGGCGCAGGGGAAGAATAGTGACACTGGCTCCACTAGCTCGACTAGCTCCACTAGCGAGCGAAGCGAGCTAGTGGAGCAGTAAGTAGAGAGTAGACACTAGCTAGCTTTGCTCGCTAGTGGAGCAGTATGTAGAGAAAAGAGAAAAGCTCCACTGGCGAGCAAAGCGAGCTAGTGGAGCAATGTGTAGAGAAAAGCTCCACTAGAGAGCGAAGCGAGCTAGTGGAGCAGTATGTAAAGAAAAGAGAGTAGCGACAAAAGGGGGCGAAGCGAGCTCTTGAAACAGTATGTAGTAAGTAGAAAAAAGCGACACTAGGGGGCGAAGCAAGTTATACTAGAGAGCGAAGCAAGTTATACTAGAGAGCGAAGTAAGTTACACTAGCTCGCTTGGCTCCCTAGTGTAGCAGCGAGTATATGTTGATAGCAATATTATAATCTTAAATTATAAATAGTTTAATAGACCAAGCTATATATAATTTTATAATTCAGAATAATAATCTCTATAAATTTTAGAAAGTATAGTCTATATAAATGTGATTGAGAGAGCTAGAAAGCGAGCTAATGTCTACTGCTCTACTAGCGAGCGAAGCGAGCTAGTGGAGCTTTTCTCTACTCTCTATATACTGCTCTACTAACGAGCAAAGAGAGCTAATGTATACTGTCTACTAGCGAGCGAAGCGAGCTAGTGGAGCTTTCCTCTACTCTCTATATATTGCTCTACTAGCGAGCTAATGGAGCTTTCCTCTACTCTCTACATACTGCTCCACTAGCGAGCGAAGCTAGCTAGTGTCTACTCTCTACTTACTGCACCACTAGCTTGCTGCGCTCTTTACTCTCTACTCTCTACTCTCTACTCTCTACTCTCAACATACTGCTCTACTAGCTCGCTTCTAGTGTCTACTCTCTACATACTGCTCCCCTAGCTCGCTTCACCCCTAGTTTCGCTTTTCTCTACATACTGCACCACTAGCTCGCTTCGCTCTTTACTCTCTTTACTCTCTACATACTGCTCCACTAGCTCGCTCTGCTCGATAGTGTCGGTGGCAGCTAGTGTGCTCCACTAGCTCGCTCTGCTCGATAGTGTCGGTGGCAGCTAGTGTGCTCCACTATCTCGCTCTGCTCGATAGTGTCGTTTCTCGATAGTGAATAAGTTGCATCAATTTGCTTCAAGAAGAATGTTTATAAAGCCAAGGAATTGAATCGATAGTAATTCTGTATAGGACAATAAATGATGAAAAAATAAAATTAAAAGAATATTATATAGAAGAATATAAAAGAATATTGTATAGAGAATAGAAGAATATTGTATAAAGAAACATATTGTATAGAAGAGTATTATATCACCATATTGTATAGAAGAGTACTATATCACCATATATAGAATCTGGGCCCATTATTATTATCATTGGTGGGATGTTTTTTATATTCTGGGCGAAATAGAGAATCTAAATGATAATATGGTGATGCGACACTAGCGGGTGATGCTCTACTAGCAAGCGAAGCGAGCTAGTGGAGCAGTGTGTAGAGAAAAGTTCTACTAGCGAGCGAAGCGAGCTAGTGAAACAGTATGTAGAAAGTAGCGAGTAGCGACACTAGGGGCCGAAGCGAGCTAGTGGAGCAGTATGTAGAGAGTAAAGAGAGTAAAGAGCAAAGCGAGCTAGTGGAGCAGTATGTAGAGAAAAGCGACACTAGGGGCGAAGCGAGCTAGTGTAGCAATATGTAGTGAGTAGACACTAGAAGCGAGCTAGTAGGGCAGTGTGTAGAGAGTAGACATTAGCTAGCTTCACTCGCTAGTGGAGCAATATATAGAGAGTAGAGGAAAGCTTCACTAGCTCGCTTCGCTCGCTAGTGGAGCAGTATAGAGAGTTTTAGATTTGAGAGCCAAATCTATTTAGCTGCTCAATAGTAGATTTGAGTGATAAAAATATGTAGGTGCCAAATATAAGATCTAAGAGGTAAATCTATTCAGCAGCTAAGTAGGAGATTCAACAGCTGAGTAGATTCAACAGCTGAGTAGATTCAACAGCTGAGTAGATTCAACAGCTGAGTAGATTCAACAGCTGAGTAGATTCAACAGCTGAGTAGATTCAACAGCTGAGTAGATTCAACAGGTAAATCTATTCAACAGCTAAGTAGGAGATTTAAAAGATGTGTAGATTCAAAAGCTGAGTAGATTCAACAGGTAAATCTATTCAGAGAGTAGACATTAGCTCGCTTCGCTCGCTAGTAGAGCAGTATGTAGAGAGTAGACATTAGCTCGCTTCGCTCGCTATCGGAGATTTAAAAGGTGTGTAGATTCAACACCTGAGTAGATCTAACAGGTAACTCTATTCAGCAGCTAAGTAGTAGATTTGAGAAATAAATCTATTTAATAAATTAGTGGATATGAAAAGTATATCTATTCAGCTAATGAATAGCAGATAGCAGATTTGAGAGCCAAAGTTTAGCAGCTAAGTAGCAGATTTGAAAGGTAAATCTATTTGGTAACAAAGTAGATTTAGGTGGCAATCAATGCTCCACTATCGAGCCAAGCGAGATAGTGATATAATTAATATTACCTTTTTAAAATAGATTTATAATTGACTAAATCATAATATATTTTATAATCTCTGTTGCCAATTCAGTAGCCAAGTAGATTTAGGCGGCAATCAATGCTCCACTATCGCGCTTGGCTCGATAGTAGAGCTGACTGACTATTCCAACACTAAATAGTAGATTTGAGAGCCAAAATCCAGTAGCTAAGTAGTAGATTCAAGAGGTAAATCTATTCAAAAGCTGAATAATAGATTCAAAAGATGTGTAGATTCAAAAGGTAAATCTATTCAAAAGCTGAGCAGCTAGTCAGTGTTGCTCCATAGTGGGCAGCATAAATCGCTTCACCTCTACTCAGTATAAAATACTCTACTTTGCCGTATGATTTATCATGTGATATCGCCTCAAAAAGCACTACACTATACATTAACAATACAATCAATCCATAAGGCTAGTCAGTGGAAGCAAGTGTGCTCCACTATCTCGCTCTGCTCGATAGTGTTGCTCTGCTCAATAGTGTCGCTCGATAGTATCGCTCTGCTCAGTAGTATCAATATGGAATACCATTGGTGAGTCTTTGAAACTCATCATAACCCTTAGTATAGAAACTCTCCTTTGATTCCTTAATCAACTTTTTAAAGTAAACGGCAGCTTCCTTTTCACTCTTATTAGGAACAAATCTCAGACGAAGGTTCTTTATTGTACTATCCTTAAAACATGGTAGTCCACTTTCCAACATTGGAGTAACCGTTCGAACAATTACTTCCATATATGGACGACATGCTAGGTACCCCTTGATACACAACTCTTCAAACCATTTAAATGCTTGAGTTTCGTCGTTACCACCAAGAACTAGAATCATCTCATGTGTCAACTTAAATGGAACATTTTCAAATTTAACTCCTCCTGGCACAATATCAAAACAAAAACCAAAATCAATATGTAATATATGCCCTTGTTCATCATACATAATGTTACCATTATGTCTATCTTTAAATTGTAACAAATAAGAGATAATTGAATACGCTGCTAGCGACTTTACCAAATTATTCCTAGCCTGTTGAAATTCAATAGAGTTTTCTGGCCCAAACTTGGTAATAAAATACTCATATAATCCATTCACAGCCTCTCGACCCAACATATCTCTCGACGTTGAATTGGGCAAAACATCAATAACACCACAACCGGGTGCAGTAGCAGTAACTCGATAAGGAAACACATAAAGATCCAATCCTGAATTTTGCCAAATGGTTCGGAACATTGATATTAATTGTAATGCCAAAACATCCTGTCTACAATCATCTCCAACTTTGAATATGGCGCTTTGCCATTTCTCAATTTCAACCGTTTGCTCTTGTCCCTTTTCATCATAATCAATGACATTCTTCTTGATCTTGAACGTAGCCATAAATGGTGCCTTGGCGTGTGATTGCAATGGCTTACCCGATTTACGATTGATGTCAACCAATACACCGTCAGGATTGGATGGTAAATAAACACCAGGCTCAAGCTTGATCAAGGCCATTTCCTCATCAATCTTGGCTTTCTTTTCTGGCTTTGATTTCTTGATATATGGTTTCAATTTACCCGATATATCAGTAACTTCATTAAAGAATCCAAACTCCTTATGGTAAAACTCTAAATCCTTTTCGCTAAGACTGTTCAACATGGTTTCTTGAATTCGATCTAAAACAGGCTTCAAGTCATCAGGCTCCAAAGAATCTTCGTCTTTGTAACTATTGGCCAACATATTCCAGATAATTTGATGAGCAAACAATTGTGACACTTTTGCTGTTTCAATAATATACCTCTCAACATATCCCTTGGCGTCAAATCTCAAAGACTGGACAATTTGTGGAACATAAAAAAAGGTCAAATTAACATCATGACTTTCTAAAGACCTCATTGTATATTGTAAAATAAATGAATTGGAACCAAATGGAGGCAAGAATAAAGTAATTGCGTCAATGGGTGATAATGCTTCCCAGAATAATAATTGATGTGATGGCATATGAGTGCCCGCATTGATGCCAATAAAAAATTGAACCGCATCAGGATAAAACACTGCAGGCAATGGGTTCTTGATAATCAACTGCTGCAAATGATCATCAATGTTTTTAATCTTAAATCTCATTGCCAAGTTGATGGCCAAAATTGGATCAAGTTCATAAGCTTTAGTTACTTGTGCTACGTTGATCTGGTGTGAAACCAAAGTTCCCAGAGTATCAACGGGACTTAAACTGCTCATCCAAACATTAAACTTGTAAATCTCATCATCAAGGAAATATAAAAATATTGACTTCTTCATTGCAATGTCTCCCAGTAGCTTGGCATTTGTAATAATAGAACCTGCCATTCTGGCAACATCCTTCATTACAATGGCTTCGCTTTTAAATTTCAATCTATTGGCACCAAAGGGGTAAGTACTCCTTTGCCTAAACCATGTCAATCCACCATCAAATATCAAGTTTGTCAAGCTTAAACAGCTTCTAGAACCTAACTTGATATGGTATTGCAAAACTTCAAATGAAAATTTAATAAACTCAAAACGAACTAATCTTGATAATGGATGATACGATGCGTGTTTCAAATTCTTCAAACCAACTTCAACAAATCTAGTAAAGATTTTTAACAAATGATCACTTTGATTTAAAGTAGCTTCAAAGTTACTTGAAAATAATCTAATGATTTCCAAGTGTGGTGCAAAGCTTCGTTGTGCCTTTTCGGCAAGTCTATGCACAGCAACACTATTACTTGGTGCATATTCCATCTTTTCAACCTCTGGGTGAGCAATATCATACTCCTGAGAAAACAAACCCTTTCTCAATTCAATCGACTCTTGCCATTTCTTAGCCACTTCACTTAATAACAACATGCTCAATTTGGGTTTATCCTTCAATACCTCAAACCAAACACCTGTAGCACCAATCATTACTGATGGCTCAAACATAAGAAATGGAATTTCAACCATATATCTAACCAACTCTGCATTATTAACGTCACTCAACAATGCAAGACCTGCTATTTCTGTCAACAAGTTGGTAATCTCTGCACTATCCGGATAATCGTTATTTAACAACAATGCTGTTGGTGTTGATGTTGGTGTTGATGATGATGTTGTTGTTGTTAATAATGTTGTTGTTGTTGTTGTTGTTGCTGTTGTTGTTGACAAGCTAGACAAACGACTTTTTGTGTTGTAAACTTTTTCTCTAATTGCCTTAAACGCAATATTGGACTCTTCATCAGTTCTTAATGGTAACTTGTTCATTAATTGTGAAACAAAAGTGGATCTCCAGTTCAATTGTGCGACAGTTGTAGGCAAACTATCCAATGCTGAAACATTGGCATATGTAATTGCAGATGACTCACGATCATGTGATGTAATACTTCCTGACATCTCCAACGCAAATGATAAACCAAATTGAATTGGTGAATCAAAATTCAACTCTTCATTTGCCGAAACATATGATTGAATCAAACTTTTGACATCAATATTGCACTTGTATAAAATCATATTAATCCAGTATTTTGACTTTTCATGGAACCGATTAAATGTAGAACATCTCCACTTATAATCATCAGACATTTCGATTTTTATACCAGTACAACGTGCACGGAAAACTGTAGTAGGTTCATACTCGTGGACATCTGCATCTTCAATACTTTGGAACAATAAACCAAGCAAGTCAAAAAGGGCAAACAATGACTTTTTATGACACAATGATGAAGGAACTTTATTGATCAATAAATCGCAACACTGCAAAGAGGCATCTTGCATTTCTGGAATACTATAAGTGAACATGGTCAACATTTTGGTCAATTGCTCTGCAATATGATCAGCCGAGAATTGCTTATTGGCACCAGTACTAATCAAGTTATTATACTCTTTAACAATTTGGAAAGCAATTGGACCTAAATATTTTTCAAGACCAGCAATCTTGATAGATGGATCAGTGAAATACAACAAGATCTTTGAGCAGTTACCGCTTCTTACTCTTAATGTCTCCATAAAAGCAGTTGCTGACAAAAACATCAATTTGGGGTACGACAATGTACGGTGAACTTCAAAGATATCGCCAAGATTTGATCTATGATCTTTGATATTATGATTAGAAGAACCTCTTCTCAAAACAGTATTTAAGTCAATGGAAGTTTCCGTACGATCCCACGACATTTCTGAGCCTAATGGAGGTGAATTATAAGCAATTCTCTCCAACTCCGTCTTGTAAGTTCGGCAAATCTTAGCTTTGATGTTATAGCCGTGAACAACCATATTGAACCAAATGTTTCTAAACAAATCAATAATCTCTTTACTCTTAATCTTCAATGGTTCCTGCCCTAAACGAACATCGGGTAATAATGCAGCTAAAGGTTTTAAGAAAATAGCAATTTGGTCACCAACTTCGGTAATCTCATTATGAGATCTATGATGCTCCAATTGCTCGACATCACCTTTACTGATGATTGCAACTAATAACTCGCGTAAATAAACAGTGTACATTGGGCTATCCTGTTTCAATTTTTTGGCCAAGTTAACCTTTGCCTCGGTTAAATTGGCTAATAAGCTTAGATTCTTTTTGCTCAATGCATCAAATGATAACTTGTTCAATAATCGAACCAATATAATAAATTCCTTTTCTGGTAAAAATGGAGCGCATGAACTTAAAGCTCTCAAGATTAATGGGCCAATCACTGACTCAATTCTGGTCACTTTTTGTGATAAAATAGTACATGCTAATGCAGGAATCTTTTCGTCTTCGCAAGCTTCCGAGACTTCAATAATTGCAATTACTGCATTTTCACAAACTTTGAGGTAATCATTCTCTTCCAACTCGCTTGATACCGCACCTTTACTGAAAACTTGTGTTAATGAAGACATTGAAGTTCTTCTAGAAGATAACGGCGAGTTTGCTGTTTCTCTAATAGACCCATTCTCTAAACCGGTAGCATTTCTAATAGCTCTTCTTGCACTCTTGGATTGTAACTGCAAGCCTTCATTACTAACAAAAAGTAAATTTGTTAATGAGTAAATAGTGGTGATTACTGCATCTTGAGGTAGTTTCTTACTGCCTAAACCAACACTTTTGGATGCTTCTAAGCAGTATTGCAGTTGTAACTTGGGATTAGCCACTACAGAAGTGAAAACTCTAGTCAACAAAGGTCCAACTGACTCATCCTTGAAAAGCAATAAACACCCAAATTCAAAAACGGTTAGTCCTAAATCGGGATCCAACATAACGTCTCTAATTCCAACACATGAACTAAACAAGTTCTCTGAAGTTTTCAAATCCAAGTTATCGGTAAACATACCACAACTTAAAACTTGTAAATTATAGCTCTTGGCCAAGTAACCCAATTTCAAACGATTGAAAGTTGAGTAAATAATATATGTTTCACCTCGGTCTGCAAATTCCAATTTTCTCAATGCCAAATCGGTTAAAATCTTAATGATCTCCATATTTGATCTTGAAAACTCCAATACTCCTGCTCTTCCATTCTTCAATCTAGCTTGTATTCCATTAGCAGTAGCATTGCTATTAGCATGATTAGCAGTGTCATCATCACTATATCTTTGAGCAGCTCTCTTCAAGATGTAGTGCAACAAGGACTCATCCTTATTTCCAATAATACCATTAATAATGGAGCACATCAATCTCGATAATTTTTCAAGATACAAAACAGGTGAGAAATTAATTGCAAAATCGCGATCAACCAAGCCCTTGTACTCATTTGGTTCGTCATAAAGATAATCTGAATAATTCTCCACGTCACTTAAAAAATCATAATTGTCCACACAAGAATCCAAACTAGTGAAAATCTTGAAAGTTCTTGAAGAATAGCTCAAAAACTTGGCATTTTTGTTCAACCCATCGATAAACCCCATCAATGTTAAAAAGTTGGAAAATTGTGGTTCAACATTGTCGAAAAATTTTTCAATAAATTGATGGAAAATATCAACCACATTGTCGAAATACAATTTGTTCGAATGATAAGCCAAATTGATCAACCCACATGTTAATTTCTCACTCAATAAAGTCCATGGGGATATAGCCACGGAGCTGGACACTATATTATAGGCGAATTTTTGATCAGGCAACTCAAATAAGTAAACTTTGAATTTATCAATAAGCGTCTTCACTTGGTCCTGAATTTTCATTGTGTTCTTAGTAGCGTCACATAACGCAATCAACACTTCGTATTCCTTTGGAGCAATTGCCACTGCTGACAACTTGTTCCCATTCAAATTACTGCCCCCGCCGCTTATTCCTCCAGCACCTATAGCACCACCTATAGCACCACCCCCAACACCTCCATTACTTATGGGTTTGCGTCCATGAAACTCCTTAGGCGTTGCAGACAAAAGCTTTGCAAAATCGTCCTTCTGAATCCCAGTATTTATCTCTTTCAAATTTGCTGGAACATATTCAACTGTTAAACTAGCCAATTTTTTTAAAGCCTCCCCACGAATGGAACCGCGGACAATTCCTTGGTAATCCATAATTCACCACTACTCAAAAAGACCAAACTCAAACTAGCAACAGCAGCTGGTAGGTTAGTAGTAGTAGTAGTAGTAGTAGTAGTAGTCAATCTCACCCAATCTCAACCCTAGCCAATCTCAAATCTAGCCAATCTCAATCAAGTCTTGTCAAACTCTATACCTTTTATATCAAGCTATGAAGAAAAAAGATCTTGTACGAAAAAAGTAATTAACTCAAAAGGGAAATTTCGCAATTTCAATTCAATCTGTTTGAAGCATGTGGTACAAGCCGACACTATCGAGCGAAGCGAGATAGTGGAGCAGCACTGACTACCAGACACACTATCGAGCGAAGAGAGATAGTGTTACTCCACTATCGAGCAAAGCGAGATAGTGTTGTAGTATGCCACAGAGTGTTGTAGTATGCTACAGAGTGTTGTAGTATGCCACAGAGTGTTGCTCCACTACCAAGCAGAGCGAGATAGTGTTGGTGGCAGCTACTCAGCGTTATTCCACTATCGAACAAAGCAAGAAGCGACACTATCTCGCTTTGCTCGATAGTGTTGTAGTATGCTACAGAGTATTCCTCCACTATCTCGCTTTGCTAGATAGTGTTGTAGAATGCTACAGAGTATTCCTCCACTATCTCGCTTTGCTCGATAGTGTTGTAACAAGGCACAAAGTGTCGGTGGATAGTCTCGCTCTGCTCGATAGTGGGCAACTAGTCAGTGTAAACTATATTTATCATATTATTAATATTTAATTGTACCCCACTATCTCGCTCGGCTCAATAGATTAGGGCGAGATTCAAATTGGGGTAAGATGTAAAGACCAATTAGAAAGTAGAAAGGTGGTAATCTTTAGGTAGCGTGACACTATCGAGCAAAGCGAGTTAGTGGAGCACACTGACTAGTGGCACTATTGAGGAGTACTGTAGTGACACTATTGAGCAGTACTGTAGTGACACTATCGAGCAAAGCGAGATAGTGGAGCACACTGACTAGTGGCAGCTCTGACTTTATATAGTGCAGAATATACTGGAGCAGCTCTGACTCTAGAGTATAGTGCAGAATATACTGGAGCAGCTCTGACTCTAGAGTATAGTGCAGATAATACTGGAGCAGCTCTGACTCTAGAGTATAGCGGAAAGTGTCAAATAGAGTAAATTGTATAGCGTAATAGCGTAATAATTATCCCGCCTACTGCACAAATTGTAGCACGCAACTTCAAGGTGAGTTTTTCAAGCCAAATATTGTTTACAGGTGAAATTATACCGATTGGTGTAGAAATTATAGTGTTGTAACTAGCTACAAAGTATTGCTCCAATATCTAGCAGAGCGAGATAGTGTCGATAGTGTCACTGCTCAATAGCGGAGCAACACTCAAGCGGAGCAACGCTCAAGCGGAGCAACACTCAGTAGCTAGCAATACTCAATAGCGGAGCAACACTCAAGCGGAGCAACACTCAAGCGGAACAACACTCAGTAGCTAGCAAGACTCTGTAGCTAGCAACACTCAAGCGGAGCAACACTCAGTAGCTTGTTACTTGTTACAACACTATCTCGCTCCGCTCGATAGTGTCGTGGTATCTATGTATATGTCTCTATCAATGTGTCCCTCAAATTGCCGCCAATGGCATCAGGTTGTGCATCTTGTAATCTGAAAATAGACTCAATCACAGATAACTCAGGCGCCGTAGTGTCACTGCCAGCTACAGCTAACCAATCATTAACAACCATTCCAGCTCCAACAACATTGCTACCTCTGTTCACAGTTCCAGCCACAAGCGGGACTTGCAACAAACTACTCAACTCTTCTTGATCTTGTATCGACGTTTGTGGATGCACTAAACCACCTTGATTGCTCAATGCACAATATGATCCAACCAACACGTTCCCAGCAATTGTTTGACGGAAAACTTCTACTCCCAAAACATCAGCTATCAACTCCTCAGTTTCTCTTTCTATATCTGGATGCACAAGAGCAACGTAATCGTTGCAACATATCACATTGCCCAATGCCGATAGTCTTTCTTCAACTCTCTGGATCTTTACTGTATCAGGTAAGGAGTTTCTCAAATGCATCAACTCTTGATCGGTCGTCTGGGTAGGTACTAATAATCCCCGTCTATTCCCTGCAGTCATCCTCCCAACTATACGCGTACCAGCAATAGTCGTATGCACTATTGGTATAACGTCTCCTAACTCGGCCTCAAATGATGAATAAAAGTTTTCTGATCCTCCAACTGCTACTAAACAGTATGAATTAGTTAGTTTGGAAAACACCCCAACTTCGTTGGAGTTTTCAAATTGTGTTCTCGATGCCATTATCTCGTCCGTGTCTTTTCCTTAATCTACAAATCTACTTTTTCTCCTTCTTCTTCTTCTTCTTCTTCTTCTTTACCTTGCTCCCTCTGCACCGAATCTCATCTCATCTCATAATGAAAAATTTGAAAAAGAGAAAAAAAAAAATTACCCCCATTTTCAAAGTCGTGTAAGAAAAATCAAAACTCTCACTATATTATAAGTTTACTACTAACCTAATTTATATACTTCTACATCGTCTGGTGTGGGTCTGGCGTGGGTCTGGTGTGGGCCTATGTCTGTGTCTGTGTCCGTGCCTGTGTCTAGGTCTGTGTCTGAGCCTGGGCCTGGGCTTGTGTCTATTGTATTTCTACCTTAGTCAAGGCCGTCGGATAAAAGTTTAGCTTCATCTTCGTCACCTTCATCACCGCTATCTTTCCAGTCTTCAACATCGGTCATTTCTACATCGTCGGCATCGTGGTTAGGCAATACCTCCAAGCCTTTATCTCCCAATATAATTTTAACAGTTTCTTTACTCTTGACTTGTCCTCTTAACAATAAAACTGCCAATTTGTTCAAAATCTCATTTTGAATCAACCTATTCAATGGTCTGGCTCCCAAATCTGGAGAGTATCCATATTTGCAAAGGTAGTCCATAGAGGCATCATCCAAACTCAACTTTATATCTATATTATTATTTTCAAACCGTTTTTCCATCTCTGCTAATCTAATCTTAACAATCTTGGTAATTCCCTTTCTCGACAACTTGTTGAATATGATAATGTTGGAAATACGATTCAAAAATTCAGGCTTGAAGTGTGCACGAACTGCTCCCATAACCAATTCCCTTGTCTTTTCATCAACTTTGCTCGTCTTAGAAGCATTGATGTACTGAGCTCCTAAATTCGAGGTCATGATAAATATGGCATTAGCACACAGAATACTCAAACCCTGTGACGAACGAACAATTCCGTCTTCAAGAATTTGTAATAATATTGTTAACAATTCAGGTGCTGCTTTCTCCACTTCATCAAATAAAACTACCGAATATGGTTTCCGGCGCAATGCTTCAGTTAAAACACCACCTTCTTCATATCCAACGTATCCAGGTGCAGCTCCAAGAAGCTTGGAGACATCGTGTTTTTCACTCAACTCCGAACAATCGATTCTAATCATGGCCTTTTCGTCTGCAAACAAAAAGCCTGCTAACTTCTTGGCAAGCAATGTTTTTCCTGTACCCGTTTCACCCAAGAACAAAAACGATGGTGGTTGATTGGGATTAGATAAGCCCGATCTTCTTAATCTAACTGCATTCGAAATTGCCTTGATGGCATCGGATTGTCCTACAACTTCTTTCGACAATTCCGATTCCATATTGATTAATCTGCTGTTTTCAGCTGCGCTCAATTTCGCAACTGGAATTCCTGTTAATTTTGCAGCTGTTTCGCAAATTTGCTCTGGGCCAACGGCATTCTTGGTTAAACTTTCCAAGTTAGAAGCTTCTTCTTCAGCTACACGAACTTCCAACTCTTCAATTTGTTTTTCAACATCGGGAATGGCAAAATACCTCAAGTCCGCAGCTGTTGCAGTATCGTGTCTCCTTTCTGCATCTTGAGCTTTAATTTCCAACTCGTCCAATTTCCTCTTTGCCGCAATAAGTAATTCATGACCAGCACGTTCTTGTTGATATCTTTCTCTTAATGGACCCAATTGTTCTTCCAAGTTTTCTTTTCTCTTTTTAGCATGAACTAAACGATCTTTTGAAGCTGCATCGGCGTCTTTATCTCTTTCCAACGCATTAATCTCAACTTCCAATAAATGAAGTTCGCGTTCCAAATTGTCCAATTCTTCAGGTTTTGAGTCCCTTGCAACAGCAACCGCTGCTGCACTCTCGTCGACTAAATCAACTGCCGAGTCCGGTAATGCACGATAGGTAAGGTATCTTGAAGCAAGATTAGCAGCAATCACCAATGCGCTGTCCAAAATACGTACTCCGTGGTGAATTTCGTACCTTGGCTGCAAACCTCTCAAAATAGCAATGGTTTCGTTAACTGTGGCAGCAGGGACTTCAATAGTTTGAAATCTTCTTTCGAGTGCAGCATCTTTTGAGATGAATTTACGATACTCGACAAATGTAGTAGCACCAATACAATGAAGCTCACCACGAGCTAACATTGGTTTCAACAAATTAGCAGCATCGGATTTACCATCACCCATCAACATGTGCATTTCGTCAATAAACAAAATGATAAACTCCTTTGATTTCTCAATGTCATTCAAAACACCTTTTAATCTTTCTTCGAACTCACCTTTGTATTTAGCACCAGCTGTTAAGGCACCTAAATCAAGTGAGAATAATCTAGCATTGATCAAAATATTGGGCACATCAGCATCAACGATTCTTTGGGCAACACCTTCAACAATGGAAGTTTTACCGACACCGGCATCACCAATCAAAACTGCATTTGATTTGGATCTTCTAGCCAAGACCCTAATAACTCTTCTGATTTCTTCTTCTCTTCCAATAACAGGGTCAATCTTACCTTCTCTTGCCTTTTCGGTGAAATCTTCACAATATTTGGCCAAGAATTCGTAATTTGAAGAAGCATCAGCTTGTCTTGAGTCAATTCTTTGATTGCCTCGAAGTTCCATTGCTTGTGTCTTTATAGCATCTACTTTGATACCTGCTTCCTTGAAAATGTCCTTGATGGATTGGTCATCCAACAATGCTAGCAATATATGATCCTGGGCAATATAACTGTCCTTTTGCTGCTGCTTGATCTTATTGGCGTTTTGTAAAACAAGACCTGTTTGATAACTTGGCCTAACTTCGTCGGGGGGTGGGCTTTGACTAGGCAATTTAACCAAATGCCTATTCACTATCCTTTCAAATCCTTGCCATTCAAACCTTGCCTTTTCAATTAGAGTTTTGAGATATAATGTATTTTTTTCGGAATCATCAACGGGAATGAAGGCAGCAAGGAAATGTAATGGAACCAATTGAGTATTACTGTTTTCTTTACATATATTTGTAGCATTGGTAATGATCTTCAATGCATTGTCAGTATATTGAGTTTCGTCCATGGCTTATAAAGTATTAATATCTTTCTACAGAGAGGTGAAAGAGAAGAGTCAAAATCAAAACTATAATTTGTAAATTGCTATTGGTAGAAGCAAGTGCAACTACTTTTATATTTTTTAGTCCATCACTCTTTAATTCATTTTATTTTTTGCAGTTATTCAAATTGCGCACATGGTAGCGGTTCAAAAGAATTTACGAGGTTATTCCAGAATAATCCTTTGACATGATGAATGACAACACTATCGAGCAAAGCGAGATAGTGGATCAACATTGACAGGCCAACACTATCGAGCAAAGCGAGATAGTGGAGCAATATTGACAGGCTAACACTATCGAGCAGAGCGAGATAGTGGAGCAACATTGACAGACACTGACAGACACTTTTAGAGCTTGTGTTTGCTACTGCTAGTGTCTACTGTCTACTTTTACTAGCATCATTATTCAAATAATCATGTTCGTCGTCGCCATAATTAACTACCTCGCGTTATATCCGCCCGAAGCCCAATTGGTTGCTATCAAGGGTGCATACCATACCTTGGTTCTCTCTTGCAGGAGAAAAAAAAATGTTTATGAAAAAGAGTGTTTACTTTTATCGGCTGAGATTATTAGAGGTTTTTTTTTTCATTTTGTTTTGCATCATAATCACCTTGCACCCCACCTACTCTGGACCTTTTGATATGCTGAAAAAATCAACAATAAAGATACCAAGAGTTTATCTTGTTAGGGTTTATCTTGTTACTGTATAACGCCTCTCTTTCATCTCTTTGATGTGGAGTCTACGACGGCTCTTTTTGTTTCTTTTGCTCACTTTTGTAAGCACACAACAAGAGCAAGTGCAAGTTCAAGATGATGACTTCTATTACATTGACTTAGATAGCTTCTCTTCCAACATAGTAAAACCAAAAGATTTTTCTCAAGAGCAGCAAGTAGTCTACACTATCAACACGCTCGATGATCTTCAATCTAGATTTCCCGAAAAGCTTCAAGATCTTGGAAATATATTCTTTTTCAAATGTACAAATAGTTCAATGCAATACAATCCAAGAACAAAATTATGGACGGAAATAGTTAAACAAGACCCGCAAGCACAAACTATAACGCGTAAATTGGATCGGTGGGTAGCAATATCCTCGTGCTTGGAATCGATACATGGAAGTGGTGGATACTTGAGTCGCTACGTTATATTCTACATTCATGCAACTGTGGAAAACCAAATTGGTGTAGCATCAGGATTACCACCAGTTTTCTATTATTTGACAGGCGGATTGAATGTCTCATTAGGTATTAAAGCAGGAATGTCGAAATTACTCACATTGCTTTTTAGCTGTGCTATTAATCCTGGGGAAATAGCTCAATTCCTTATCAGACCAAAATATGTCCTTATACCAAATATGAAAACGATAATGTATAAATTCAAGGGGAAGAAATTGCACAAGGTTAGAGTCGAGTATATAAAACTGTTTAAAATGTTGAGCATTGACACTCCTGAGCATCAATGTTGGGTTTCCAGAAATATTGCAGATTTGCAATGTTCTGCACAGATTAGTGAGGATGTTCATATTGAGCTTTGAAAGAGGGGGAAACGCAGGGAGGCAAAGGAGAGGCTTCTCCAACCACAACCGTAATCAAAAAAATATACGAAATATTAATCACGCCTTACATTTTCTCGATGCAAACTGATGTGCTTCACTACACGTTTTGGCACTAGTTAATGCAAAATGACATGAACTAAATACGATAGAGAGAGGGGAACGAAATAGTTTAAATTCTGTAATTTGACTATAGTATGGTAATTACCAATTGCCTATCAATGACCCCTCTTCCCCCTACTGATAACTAATTGGTTTTGTTCAATCACAAAGGAAAAGGGAATAAAAGAAAAGAGAATAAAAGAAAAGGGGATAAAAGAAAAGAGAATAAAAGAACAGGCGAGCAAAAGAAAGGCGAGAAATGAAAGTAAAGGAGAAGCCAAAAAAAAGAAAAAAAATGTGAACACCAAAGACCGTTGCCAATGAAATAGTATCTAAATCTGAAACAGATTCTTGAAATAGTTTGGGTAGATAATAATTTTGTAGAGTACTATAGTATTGTTTTGTGTGTATGGTACTATAGTATTGTTTTGTGTGTATGGTACTATAGTATTGTTTATTGTGTACATTACTATAGTATTGTTTTGTGTGTGTGTATGTGTATGTGTAAATTATCGATATTGTTATCTATGAATGAAGCCTAGATTTAGTTGAGAGTATTTATTATTTAGTTTTTTAGGATTTCTTAATTTGCTGTGGATCCTCGATGATTGCTTAAGGGTAGTAGTATTGATTCTGTTCCTGTATGTTCAACTGCAATGCGGGATATTATCGGTTGGAGAGTTTTTGTTAGGTATTACTAAAATGAAAAGGAAATTCGTACACTACTAATTCAATATGTACGACACTATCGACCAGAGCGAGATAGTGGTGCACACTACCTGCCACCGACACTACCTGCCAAGTGGCTACACTACTTATTCAGTGTGTACGACACTATCTCGCTCTGCTCGATAGTGGAACACACTAGCTGCCAAGTGCCTATACTACTGATTCAATAGTCATGGGAAAAAGAACAGAGTAAATTATGTGGGGACAAGAAAAAAAAAAGTACCTGTGCTTATTTGATTCATAAGTAGGTCTTGTTAATCACTGTGATGAAATTGTACTACAAACTGGTAGGGAAAAAAAAAGTCCAACATGGCAATAAAAGGTATTATCAACTCTATACAACGATATTGTAACCACTTCATTCGAAATATATCTCTTGACTCTTCCCATTCACTAATCACTAAATCTCCTAATTTTGAATTTCCTCATCTTGTTATTAAAATAATTGACAGAGTTATCCATAATCGTCGACGTTATTGAAGATCCTCTTGACATCAGAGTCATAGTAGTCAGTGTAGAGTTATTTCTCGTGGTATTTGCACTCATTAATCTATCATCATTATCATCATCATCATCATCATCATCATCATCATCAAATTCATCATCGGATTCGTAGGACTCGTAATGTCTTTCCTTCTTCTGCGGCTCCTTGTGTACATTGATAGTGTTGTTATATGACGAGGATGATGGAAACGAATAAGCATGATTCCCTCGAAATTTGTGTCCTTCTCCTATATCCTCTTTTTCTTTTTCTCCTCCTCCTTCTCCTTTTCCTTCTTCTCCTCCTTCTTCTTCTTCTTCTTTTCCTTCTTCTTCCTCTTCTTCTTCTGTCTGTTGTGGGATAGAATAATAATCGTACCCTCTATATTTTTTACCATTCTTTGTTTTATCGTGATGTTGTTGGCTTTTAACGATTGGTGATAATGGAGGACTTAAATTCATTGTCCTTATATCAGTCATTATGCCTCTTCTCTGTTGCTGTTGGTTGAGTATTTCATTTTGAGTTTTATTTGATTTAAATTGAGAAAGTGATGAGCAGCTACTATGGTGCACACGTGGTGTAGGTGGACTCTTTGGTTTCATTCTTGTTGATAAAACTTCCAGTTTACTTCTAAATAATCGCACAGACTCGGGCTTAATAAGTTGCTTCTTCTTTATAAATTCTCGATATAAGTTTTGGAGTATTTCATTGATGATGTAGTTGTTACACTTGATAAGTATTTCCAATTGCGGCGGTTGAGCATAATGTAGCGGTAAGGTCAAGTAACATGGTAAATTGATTTCATTGTCCGAGTCCTGCGTCAAGTATCGGATATAGATGTAGTGCCATTGATCCATTAACACTGTCTCTCCTGCTGTTTTCAACGACGCTATGCTCAAGTAATCTTGCAAATCTAACACAAATTCTAGATTTTCTTGACAATGGATGGATTTGAGATACTGGGTAAATGCTTCCAAGTTGATTTCGTCGTCATCTTCAGCACCAGCACCGCCACCAGCACCGCCACCATTACTATTGCCATTATCCCCGACTTGGGCACTTGCATCGTTGTGGATATAGTCAGGGAAATTCGTGTGGTTACGATTATTAATAATATCTGATAATGTAGGTATTTCTTTTATGGCACTGTCATTTGAAATGCTACTACTACTGTATCGATGTTGGTTTTTGGTCTCGGTAGTATAATTTGTACTTTCTGGTGAAGATTTCAAATCATTCATTGTACTGAAATGTAGATAGTTCTTGGGACTATACGGATGAGACTTGGTAGTACTAGTAGCAGTGGGAATAGCTTTAGATATAGCTGTACTTGTCTTAATCTGTGGAGGTTTGTTACTCCTCAATTGATACTCCATCATTTCTTGGTAAATCTCTTGGAGTAAACATCAAAATGAATTAGCCCTTTATTGAAAAATAAAAAAGAAAAATAGGTTAGATGGAAATTTGGACTTGAATTTCGTTAGATATATATTGACTAAAACTCTCCAAGCGAACACTACTAACTTGTAAAAACTACAAATCCACCAACACCTACTACTACGGCGACTACTAAAGCACGACTATTATTAACTACTAGTACTAACTACTATTACTAACTACTATTACTGCTCTATTAAAGAGATGTTACTGCTAAACGAAAAAAAAAAAAAAAAAAAACAGATAACGGAAATAAAATAAAATAAAATAAAAGCTTAAATCTAATTTTTTTAGTTTTGTGATACTTGTATGTACGTGCACAGGTGCCAGAAATGTGCCTATTTATATGTGAGATTTCGTCGTTATCTACACGACCCTCTCTATCCACACTCCCCCTACCCAACACCACGCACCATAACACAGCTAAAAGAAACACAGTGGAAAAGCTTTTCAAGGGCCACAGTAAAGAGTAAGAGTGATGATAGGGAGTTAGAAAAAAAAAAGGGAAGGGCGGTGGTTTACAGAGACATACATAGAAATACAGTATCCAAGTTACGTTTTGAACTAATTGAAAAGATTCAATCTAAGGTATAGTTTATTTCTCTCCTTCTCTCTTTCCCTCTCCTTCTTTTTTTCTCTCTCTTTCCCTCTCTCTAGGTTTCTTTGTCTTTTTTCTCTCTCTAGCTTTCTTTGTCTTTTTTCTCTCTCTAGCTTTCTTTGTCTTTATCTTTCGTTTACGTTCAAGTCTATTGAATATACTTTTTACAATTTTACTCAAGCTTTAATATAAATAGCATTACTGATTTATTCCCTGTTGACTGTTTAAACGCTAATTAGGAGATTGCAAAACTTGTTCAAGTAAATTTTACCAAGAATACTAATAAGTATCTGGACAATATTTTGTCTTGTCAACCGATTGAAATCAAACAAGGAAAGAAAAAAAAAATAAAAAAAAAAAAATAAAGAAAAGGAAAAGAAAAACACCAAAACTTTTTTGTTGAAGGATGGTTTCGTAGTTTGCGTATATTTGTTTTCTATTTTGTATTCATTTTTGTGGCCCAGTTGTACCATTGGTGGGATAACTCTATTTTATCTCTATCAAATTCCCTTTTCCCTTTTCCCTCTCTCTATTCTCTTAGCAACCCGATTTACCAGCTCAGAAACTAAGGTTCAACCGCTCCTCTTTATCTCTGCTATTTCCCTTTTCTTTCTGCTGTTTCCCCTTTGTTTGTTTGTTCATTTTCGTGACTATTTAATTTAATTTTTTTTTTTTCTCAATACGTAAGGGGAAAAAAAATTAGCAAGAAATATGTGTGGGGTTAGAGGTTATGTGAAAAGAGCTATCAAATTTTTCTCCTATGAATGAACACCATTTCTTTTTTCTTTTCTTTTTTTTTTAAAGAAAATTGTTATAAACGATTATTAATCTTTCTTGAAAAACGATGATTAATCTTTCTTGAAAAATGAAAACGTTTATCTTACCAAAAGGTAAAGAGCTTACTTTGAATAAAAAAAGCTAAGAGCTTGATTTTGACAAAAAAAAAGAAAAGAAAAGAAAATACTCGGCATCTTGTTTGTGTTTGGTTCTCTTTTTTTTTTTTACCTCATCTCATCTCACTTGAATGAAATCACTATTCTTGGAGTATGTTTAAGATTTACATCTCCAAACCCGTGTGGTAGATATTCGAATATTGCAATTCTCTCTCTCATTTGTTTAGCAATATGTAATTTTTAAGTCTTTTTGCCTAATCTTTCAACCTACATATGAGAAGAATCACCTCACACAATTGAATAAAAAGCCATCATTGAAGAACAAAGAAATATTTTTTTTTTTAAAAAAAAAAAGACGTTATATTTTTTTAAAAGAAAATCAAAATCTTTCGGCTAGGAATAGACACGTTAATAGTTGAAACTTTTGTCCCTTTCGAGTTCACAAGTAAATGCTACCCAAATGCTACTCTAAATGCTAAATGCTACTCTAATACTACTCTAATGCTACTTTTTTCGCCAAATTAAACTCATCAGTGAAAGATTAAAAAAAGGAGGTGTTTTTTTTAGAGAGATATCTCTTATTTTTTCTTCTCGAGAGTTGATTACATTAACCAGATTGAATGAGCGATATGTTATTCTAGTCAAAAGAAGATGATGGGTTTAATTTTTTCTAGTAAAGATCCTCTTTCCTATTACTTTCTCAATGTTAAAGATAAGGAGGTGGAGGGGGAGGAATGAGAGAAATTTTTGCTTGCGTTATCCTGATAAGGACAAAAAAATGAATCAATCGTTCTTGTTATCTCTCATCTAAGTTTGCTCTTTTACTAATCAAGCCAAAATCAGGTTTCCGCTTTCCCATGTTGTGGCGTGGTTCATATAATCTTCTTCGGAAATAATTCGGTGTTTAAATTTCGTTATAAGTAAGCTTGAAAAGCCATCGTTTTAGCCATATTACACGATTTTATCGTACCCCCCACACACACACTTCCCCTGCTGTTACCACTAATATTATATCATATAGAATGAGATCCAGTATATCATATAGTACATAGAAAGATCCAGTATATTATATAGTACATAGAAAGAGATTCAGTATAGGATAAATTGTATAGTATAGTTTCTTCTCCCTCGCTGCCCTTTCATACATAGATGACTAAAATCAGTCGATTTTCAGTATCAATAGTATATTGACAAGTGTACTACTTACTGTATTTTAATAATACCGTTTTATCCTTGGTCCATTTTCCAAAACAGAAATTATATGCATGGTTTAGATATTGAAATAATTATTCACTCAATTCTACATTTTTGCAATCTCCAAAAATTTTAAAGTATAATTCTTTTTCGCAACTCAATAACATTTATCGCTGGAAACACTATCAAGCAGAGCGTCATAGTGGAGCGTCACTTTTTAGATTGTTACAGCATCGAAGGAACTGCTTATTGCATAAATGTTGTCTCTTATGAGCAGCTCTTGGCTCATTATAAGAGTGTAGTCTCACGTGACTCTGGTAAAAGCTACCTGGTCTATACACATGTTTCTACATTGTACATTGATGATGGGTTAATATCCCACTTGTATGTAACTATCGAGCGAAGCAAAATAGTGTCGCATTTGTCATTTCTACTTGCAATAAGCCAGTCAGTGCTGCTCCACTATCGAACAAAGCGAGAAAGTGGAGCATTGATAGAGTCACATTTGTCATTTCTACTTGCAATAAGCCAGTCGGTGCTGCTCCACTATCGAACAAAGCTAGAAAGTGGAGCATTGATAGAGTCGCATTTGTCATTTCTACTTGCAATAAGCCAGTCGGTGCTGCTCCACTATCTCGCTTCGCTCGATAGAGTCGCATTGATAGTGTCTTATTTATCCCTTTAGTTCCCCGGATAATATCTCCAAGCGCTACCAACGTACAGTTTGGTCTCGCTTATCAAACTTTTCCGAACATCTCCTAGTTAATAGCCCGGAGCCAAGATCCATCTAAAATCGTTGAAAAGAAAAATACAATCTCTTTAAACAATTAGAAGAAAACACAATCTCTGATATTTATCTAATAAACCAACTTGTTACAGATATAAATCCTACATAAGTTGTTACACTCTGTTTGACTTTCTTAGCTTTCTTTTTTTCCTCCCTCTAGCCCATCCCCTCTTCATCACTCCCGGAGCCACCCCGCCCCGCTTTTTCATTTTTTTCTTCACCTTTTATCGCTTAAAGGTTCTAAATCTCTCTCTCATTTTTTTTTTTCCTTCTTTGGCGGAAAATTGTCCCGGAGTTTTCGTCCAATAAAATGACCTGGTTTCAAAATATATAGCAATGGCAATTTCAATTTTTCAATTTTTCAATTTTCAATTTTTTTTTTTTCCATTTGTTCTATGTAACTATATTCATTAGAGTTTATACAAGTTCAAGATGTTATCGAAAAGGGTCAGCACGTCATTAAAGCATAGCTCTCAGAGTATGTTGAGAAACCATGTTGCATTTAAATCATCATCAAAGGTTGCTAGTGTTTTGCTTACTCGGTCAATACACAACTCTACAATAAGCCTTAAACCCATTATGATGTCGCCTATTGTGAAGTTCCAATCATTCCAAAGATTTGCTTCGACAAAGGTAAAGGTACCGGACATGGCGGAATCCATCACAGAGGGAACATTATCTGCATTCACCAAGGAAGTCGGAGACTATGTGAAGCAAGATGAAACCATTGCAACTATTGAAACGGATAAAATAGATGTTGAGGTTAACTCGCCTGTTTCTGGTACCATAAAGAGCTTTTTAGCTGATGTTGATTCAACCGTTGAAGTTGGCCAAGAAATTGCTGAAATTGAAGAAGGCGAAGCGCCAGCAGGCGGCGAAGCTGCTGCTGCTCCAGAAAAGCCAAAGAATGAGGAAGAATCCGCTAAAAAGGAACCTGCTGCTAGAGAGGAAACAGAACCGGTAAAGAAAGACGAAACCCCACCTCCAGCACAACCAAAGAAGGAGCAACCCAAACCTGCTCCTAAGAAAGAATCCAAGCCAAAACAAGAATCTTTGACTGCAACTACTCCATCATTTACAAACTTTTCTAGAAATGAAGAACGAGTGAAAATGAACAGAATGAGGTTGAGAATTGCTGAACGTCTTAAAGAATCTCAAAACACGGCAGCTTCCTTAACCACATTCAACGAAGTTGACATGTCGAATTTACTTGAGATGAGAAAATTATACAAGGATGAGTTTCTCGAAAAAACCGGTATAAAGTTGGGATTCATGGGTGCTTTCTCGAAAGCTGCATGCTTAGCTGCAAAAGAAATTCCTGCAATCAATGCATCAATTGAAAACAATGATACTTTGGTATTTAAAGACTATACCGATATCTCAATTGCTGTAGCAACACCCAAGGGTTTGGTGACTCCAATTGTCAGGAATGCTGAATCGAGGTCAATTTTGGGAATTGAAAAAGAAATTGCAGCATTGGGTAAAAAAGCTCGTGATGGTAAATTGACTTTGGAAGATATGGCTGGTGGTACTTTTACTATATCAAATGGTGGAGTTTTTGGATCTCTTTATGGTACGCCAATTATTAACATGCCACAAACTGCAGTATTGGGATTACACGGAGTTAAACAAAGACCAGTTACTGTAAATGGACAAATAGTCTCGAGACCAATGATGTATTTGGCTTTGACTTATGATCATAGAGTTTTAGATGGTAGAGAAGCTGTTATATTTTTGAGAACCATAAAAGAATTAATTGAAGATCCAAGAAAAATGTTGCTTTTGGAGTAGAAAACTTGTGTTATTACAAGAAGAAAAATGATTAAAAATTGGATGTTATTTTTTTTTTTTTTTTTTGATTTCAAGGACCAACAAAAGGTAAATAGATTTTCATAAAAAGAGAGGTTAAAATGAAGAAATATTTTTTTAAGTTGTAAACCCCATTTTCCCTTAGCGAAGAAACAATGATTGTTGCCATTGGTATAATAGTTCACAGGGACACATTCTGTGTTTGTTTAATACCTGGACTAAAGAAAAAAAAGAAAAAAAAACAGTTGGTCCTCAACTAATTGATTTTATTTCTGATCAATTTGATCTAAAGCAAAAAAAAAAAAAAAAAAAAAAAGGAGAAGAAAACTTAGTAGATGAATATGTAGGTTCATGTCAAGCTCAATTATCCTTTAGTTGGATGCTCGTAAATACATTTGTTGCAACTCTCTTATTGGCTACTTACCTTTTAAGCGTTTATAAACTCAAAACTCGAGACTAGAAAAAGAAAATGATCAACCCCAACACTAATAATGTCATTATCTTTGTACAATGAGGAAATGCCAGAAAAAAGTCCTTTTCCATTTCCCTTTCTCCTCCCAGAGATAATAAAGACCTCAAAGGAAAAAAAAAGATTGATTGTGGCACCACTACGCTACTATGTTACTCTGCCAATCCAAGGGCCCAAACATTATCAGACAACCCATTACTTAGCAAAGAGCTTTTCCGCCATCTCACAAACTCTCATTTGTAATGCATATATCGATATTATTATTATTATTATTTTTTTTTCTTTTGCATCTCCTGCTTACCAGTTTATCCGGCCATTTTGTGTAATTCATCTATTGCCTAATGCGTATATTTACATTTTACACTAATGTGGTAATCATCTTCCTTCTATCTAAAAACTGTTCACTGTTGCTTTTTCTTTTCGCATCAATTTTCAAACTCTGTCAAAGAGAATCCAGTGGTACGAAACTCTTCCTTCCTTCCTGATAGAAAATTTTTAAAAAAGGTAAGTAGAAGGAGAGAAAGAGAAAGAGTTGGTTAGAAAAGGTTGTTTTTTCCTTGCTGTTTTTTCCTATACATTATATGCTTTGCCTTGTTCAAGTCTCATAGATCTACTATTCTTTACCCACACTACCACCATCACCCAAGGCTTACATTTCACCAAGTTTGTTCCTTTCTACTCGCTTTTGGCTCAGGTCACAATCATCAAGCATCAGGGTTTTCTTTCTTTTAGATAATTAAGGAATAAGATCCATAATGGATAAATTCAACGTTTTTGATGAATTGAAAACTGACAACTTTACTTCAAATGATACTTTTGACCAATTTTTCATCTCAGATCCAAATGAAATCGACCTCTTGATTAATGAGACTTTATCCGGATTACAGGATTTAGACGTTCCAAGCGGTTTTGCTGTAGCTAATAGCTCAACAAATAATAACCCTGCAAAAGGCTATCATACTAGACTAAAGTCAAAATCTCATAGCAGGCAAATGAGTGGAACAGCAATCTTTGGCTTTGCTGATCATAATAGAGAATTCTCCTTACATGGTGTTACTCCTGACTTAAATTCTAGCCACGCATATAAGAAATCTGTAGATTCAAGGAATGTATCTCCTGGGGAGCTAGTACGGAGTCAACAACAACAACAACAACAACCTTCTCTACCACCACCAGGACAATCCACAGTAACTCCTAGTCATCAACGTCAACAAATGCCGAGTCAGGAGATCCTCAAACTGAATTTTGAAGGAAAAGCTTCCCTACTTGTAGAAGAGAAGGAGGAGGAGGAGGAGGAGGAGAATAAACATTTGTTTCAAAAAAGGTTTATTCAACTGTCTCCAATAAAACAAGTGAATACACCAAGGACCCAGCAGCATGGGTGTATGACTCAACCAAGAACAGCACAACAAAATGAATATATTGTAACCAATCAGAATCCAACGTCATATAAATTTCCACCCTCGCCCACACCAATGAGACTGGAGAGTCAAAACAAAAAGATTGTCAATTCATATTCAGCTAAATATTTGCAATCGCTACAACAACAATTAAATCAACTATCAAAATTACCTTTCCTGTATGTCGATGATTTCGAACCACTTTTAGAAAAGGATAGCACCACCAATGAGATTGATGAAAATAACAAGTACGTTCCTCTACCTATTCAAGAGCCGGTATATGAAAAACAACAGACACAAGAACTACCCAGACGTCAACTTCCTTTACTGTCGTCACCATTAGTACAACAGCGACAAAAAGCCCCTCAAGAACCATTACAGCAGCAATCTGAATTTGGCACGAATTTGACATTCAATACATTTTTACCGCCGCCTACTCCACCCACTTTGTCTAATGAATCACCCGACTGGCAATCGTCGCCTGAACCTTTATCACCCTCCCCAGCCAGGGTCAATTTACAGCAACCATTGGATATTTCTCCAATTCATCCCAACTTGCAAAATAGTAATCTGAATTTCTATACTCCAATGTATTTCAATCCTCCATCTCAGCAAAGCCTGAGTCGATTGGCCACACAATTCTCCAATCAGACAAATCAAACTATTAATCAAATAAAAGGGCATCAATTCAACCAACTGCTGCAACTGCCACAACCACAACCACAAACACAACCACCAAATAACTACTATCCTTCATTTTCTCCGTTTTCAAACATAAACTCATCCACTCTGAAATACCACACCTCGCCGCCAAAATATAACCAAAACTCACCAATACACAATGATCAATGTTTTCAAACCCCGACAAAACGAAAACAACAATCATTACAAATCCTTGAATGGAGTCCAATTTTTTTACCCAATTCCAAAGAAACACCAACAAAACAAATCAAAGATCTTTCACCACGTCTTCGTGTGAAAAAGACCTCCTTATTGCCACCGGGTGAACTCGATAATTACTGGGTAGGACCTGATGAAAATAAAATATACAAGTGCACTTACAAAAATTGCGGCAAGCTTTTCACAAGAAGGTATAACGTTCGATCACATATTCAAACACACTTGAGTGATCGACCTTTTGGGTGTCAATTTTGTCCAAAGAGATTTGTCCGCCAACATGATTTAAACAGACACTTAAAGGGACACAGTGAGAGTAGATTAAGTAAATGTCCATGTGGTAAAGAATTTGCAAGACTCGATGCTTTGAAAAAACATCAAATTAGAAATATTTGCGTTGGCGGAATTAAGGGGTTAGTAAGTAAACCGACAAAAAAGAAATTGAGCGATTTCCCAGTGATTAGCAGAGATGTTCCTTATGAGGTGATTGAAAAGAGGTTGAACAATGATTTGGTTTAATGTATCATATAAACTCAAAACAACGTCTGTGTTAACAACTGTTTTTATTCTTCTTTTTTCAATTCTTAAAGATGGTTATTTAAATAAAGTTTGATTTTTGTTGACTACTCCAATTAAATATAATATATATATATATAAATGAGTGTGTGTGCGTGTGTGTATTGTGAATTTAAAATCATATTATTAAAACGCATCCTTTTCCTTTAAAGATTTAAAGCCTTACACTATTGTGCAAGTTAGGAATTCTCATTAATACTTGACATAATATCAACTGCTCTTGGTTGAGTAGTAGTTGTAACGGCATCTATGTCAACACTTGCAACAGCACCACCAGCAGGTATTGCTGTTGTTGCTATTCCCGCTGCGGCTGCGGCTGCGGCTGCTGCTGCTGCTGCCTCTTCTTCTTCCAATTTGTGTATTTTCAAATGCTGGTTCAAATTATCCGACCTACTAAACTTTTTATTACATATCGTGCAATCGTATGGTTTCTCAAAAGTATGCAATGACCGGAAATGCCTTTTTAAATGCTCATGTCTTTTGAATCGTCTTGAACAATAATTACAAAGATAAATCTTACTTTCATCATGCAAATCAGCTTCCTTATTCTCTTTTCTTCCTCTAGTACGATTCTTAGAATTGATAATTGAGGTGGGGAAAATCTTTGTGTCTGGTGGTAGATCCAATGATGCAAGGTCAACTTGAACTTCGACGCCTTCAGATATCATAGTAGCAACTGGTGTATCTAAAGATGCAATTATTGGAGTTTCTTCAAATATCGGCTCCTTGCTCTTCTTTATGATTTTTGAACTAGATTTTTTGGTGCTATTCTTCAGCATAATCTTGGAACCTAAAATTCTCTTGGATGCATTTGCCAAAGCAGAACTGCTAGGTGTTTGCAAGCTTGCAGAAGAAGTTTGTTCATCGACATCGTTCAGGGTGCTTTTCTGCACTAATGAAGAAGATCCATTGGATGAAGATATACTGACATTGTTCCCACTTGAATTATCTGCAAGAGAGTTATTGCTACTAGCCGGTTGTTTAGCTTGTTTCTTACTTCCAAAAAATATTGATGTACCACCACCACCACCACCACCACCACCACCACTACCTTGTTGTTGAGCCTCGTCTTTGGTTTTGGTTTTTTCCTTGTTTTTTGGCCTTCGATAATTTGCAGTTGTGGGTTTTCTTTTTCCAACATTTTCAAACAAAGCTGCATAATCTGGTTCTATATTGGTCTGTGAGGACTCCGATGTCGAGTGCTCCAATAAGTCAATAGGTCCTCCAGTCATTATAGATGGCGTGCCACTTGATGCCGGATTAGACCCAGGACCAATATGGTCTAAAGTATCAATGTCCTCTTGACAGTCAGTCATCCCTTCTAATAGGGGTTTTTCATCTTCTTGCTTAACAGAAGTACTTTTGAATCTTGTAAACAATCCTCTCTTGGGAGCTTTTGTCTTTTTAACAGAAAGATTCATCTCAACTCCAAGCTCATTTTCCTCCTTCATCGGGCTCATTGTAGTGTTTTCAGATATAACATTAAAATAGCTATTTGTTTGGTCATCCACCATAGCGTCCAAATTATCATCAACCTTCATAGTGTTATCCTCGATGGGACTCGATACAGTGGGTGGAGCATTACTAGACTTGAAAATAGACCTGATCAAATGTCTCGATTGTGGCGCCAAAGTACTATTCCCTTTAAAAGGCGATTGCGGTGATGGGTTTTGCACACCAGGTGGTGATCTCTGTTGGTTTTTGTCACCCATAAAGGGAATCATATTCGATATCGAGTTTGTGAAACTTAAATAACGTGCATTTCTCTGTTGTTGTTGTTGGGATTGTGGACTATCTACTGATGAAATGCCATATGCATCCAGTGACTGACGGTTTAAAGAAGAAGATTGCTGTTGATCTATGGAGTTTCCCGGTAGGTATTGTTGTGCTGAAAAGAATGATGCTTGCGCTGAGTGTATAGATGAAATAGAGTGTGAATTCGAAGTGGTGGTAGTAAGAGGAGATAACTCATGAAGTGCAGATTTGTTTTGAAAATTCAGATGAGAATGTTGTTGTTGTTGCTGTTGGTGATGATGTTGATGTTGTTGTTGTTGCTGCTGCTGCTGCTGCTGAAATTGAGCATGCAGATTTATGACATTTGCCGCATAGTAGGAATCGATGGACCCATTTCGGAGTCTCCCCATCAATTGCTGACTTTCTGTATCAAAATATGTTCGTCCATTGTGGCCCGCGGAACGGTCTTCTTGGGCGGCGGCCGCAGCTACTGCATTTGAGATATTGTGACTAGATGATACTTTCGGACTAGACTCAAAAGGTGTAAAGTTTGTTTCTTGTGCTTGCGTTGGACTCCTCATTATACTATTGGGATGGCCGCTATAGCTTGTATTATGACTAAACACAGATAACCGGTTTTTGAAAAGTGAATCCGATTCTTGATTGTTCAAGGGATTACTCGTTATGAGTGAGTTGTTATCCAAAGCCTGATCAAAATATAAGTCCAGCTCAATTGTAAACGGCGGGGATTCATCTACTTCCATATTGTCCTGGCCATTCAAAAATGCACCTGGCATACCACTTGTTTGTATTTGTGAGAGGGTGGCTCTGTCATTCAACTGCATCTGCTGTAGCTGTTGTTGTTGTTGTTGTTGCCGTTGCCGCTCCTGTAGCTGCTCCTGCTGTTGCTGTTGCTGTTGTTGTTGTTGTTGCTGCTGTTGCTGTTGTTGTTGTTGTTGTTGCTGTTGCCGCTCCTGTTGCCGCTCCTGTTGCCGCTCCTGTAGCTGCTGCTGCTGTTGCTGCTGCTGCTGCTGTAGCAGAAGCAGCGGTTGGAGCTGGGTGGTGTCAAAGTTCTTTGTAAAGTTCTTTGTAAAGTACTTTTCCTCGCTAATCTCTTGATCTTGCATCAAGGTCAGTGAATTCAAATTAAGGTCAAAATCCATATTATGCATATCAAACGGTAGTCCCGATGTGGTAGTACTTTGCTGTAGCTGTGGATATAGCTGTGTATAGTCAACATTGACGTCCTTATTTGCATTGAAATTGTGCGATAAAAGTGAGGTTTGATCCTGCGGCGGCGGCTTTAATATTGAATTTGGAGTAATAGCTAGTTCGTCGTCATTGGCTAGATTATTGCTCAAATTGTCACTCTGTAAAGGTTTTGTTGAGAAATCATTATAGAATCCAGAAACAAACTGGTCCATTGTCGAGTTTGGGTCCATCTAGGAAGAAACAAATGACCTTCCTTCAACAAAGAAAGAAAGGAAAGGAAGGAAAGAAGGAAAGAAGGAAGGAAAAAAAAAAAAAAAAAAGATGATGCAGGGAAGGGAAAGAAAACAAATCTTTTCGAGAGGTTGAGATTCTCTGTTTGTTCCTCTCCAAATATTATAATGGGAATATTTTTACCCTCCTCACCTTCTTGCTGCTAATTTTGTTTTGTTCCTGCTACTTTATTTTAGTAGTGTAGGGGGAATATATATTACTTGTAATAAACTATGTGTTATTACAACTGCTAGTAAGCTATGTATTTTTTTTCATTTGAAAAGGAAAGAATGGAAGAGAGAAGCAAGAGAAAAAAGGTTTAGAGAGACTAGGCGAGTGAAACGAGTCGACACTATCGAGCGACACTATCGAGCGACACTATCGAGCGACACTATCGAGCGACACTATCGAGCGGAGCGAGATAGTGGAGAGAGACTAGACGAGTGAAACGAGTCTAGTCGATAGTAGATAGATCACTACTATTGACACTATCGAGCGACACTATCGAGCAGAGTGAGATAGTGGAATAGCTCTTATTAGCTAGTTACAAAAAGTCTGGTTCTAGGTGGGGGGTGGGTCATAGATTGTAAGTATTTCATTTATGTAGTTGGTTGTAGTTGGTTCTATTTGGTATTTTAATGTATCTGGTTGTATCTTGTTTCGTGCGTTTGCAACACTTTGTAGCTTGTTACAACACTATCTCGCTCTGCTCGATAGTGCTTTCATGTAGATTAACTATTTGGTTATATGACTTACTATACTTTCTAGTAGAGATAATCTCGTGTTATTAAGCAAAAGAAAAAAGATTTGTATGATTGAAGCAACACTATCGAGAGACTAGACGAGTGAAACGAGTCTAGTCGATAGTAGATAGATCAATACTATCGAGCAACACTATCAAGCAGAGCGAGATGGTGGACCACACTAGCTGCTACCGACACTATCTCGCTCTGCTCGATAGTGGACTAGCTGCCAATGGCTAATTGTATATAAATTGTATCGTTAATTGTATTATTGAAAAGTAATATTAAAAGGTAAATTTATAATATAACTTTATAATAAAAGTTTAAATAATACTATTAAGCTTGCTTTGCTCGATAGTGGAGTCATACTCAGTTGTTGCAACACTATTGCGCTTTGCTCGATAGTATCGCAGAGCCAATGAGATTCAGAAATCAAAAGCCTCCTTACTGGATATCGAGCAAAGCGAGATAGTGAGTGGTATTCACATATAAAAAGAAGTAATCAACGGTCAGTGTTTCTCCACTATCGAGCAGAGCGAGATAGTGGAATCAACGGTCAGTGTTTCTCCACTATCGAGCAGAGCGAGATAGTGGAATCAACGGTCAGTGTTTCTCCACTATCGAGCAGAGCGAGACAGTGGAATCAACGGTCAGTGTTTCTCCACTATCGACCAGAGCGAGACAGTGGAATCAACGGTCAGTGTTTCTCCACTATCGACCAGAGCGAGACAGTGGAATCAACGGTCAGTGTTTCTCCACTATCGACCAGAGCGAGACAGTGGAATCAACGGTCAGTGTTTCTCCACTATCGAGCAGAGCGAGACAGTGGAATCAACGGTCAGTGTTTCTCCACTATCTCGCTCTGCTCGATAGTGTCGATAGTGGAATCAACGGTCAGTATTTCTCCACTATCTCGCTCTGCTCGATAGTGGAGCTCAATAGTGTCGACTGCACCAATACCAATAAGAGGAATAAATAGACCGTAGCTAAATATGCAAAACATAAATTGAAACATCATTTTAAAAAGTAGTACACATATATAAAAAGAAGTAATTAACAGTCATTGTTTCTCCGCTATCAAGCAGAGCGAGATAGTGGAATCAACGGTCATTGTTTCTCCACTATCTCGCTCTGCTCGATAGTGTCGATAGTGTCGATAGTGTCGATAGTAGAATCAACGGTCAGTATTTCTCCACTATCTCGCTCTGCTCGATAGTGTCGATAGTGTCGATAGTGTCGATAGTGGAATCAACGGTCAGTATTTCTCCACTATCTCGCTCTGCTCGATAGTGTCGATAGTGGATAGTGATCTGACGGCACTCTCTGCCTCAACATTTGGTAGTGCAATCTATTGCTGCTGCTGCTGCTGTTATCATCAGCTTCTTCCATCTCATCTATCACCAGTACCAAGCTAGATTCCTCATTATGCTCGCTGATGTCAGCATCAGGATTGACTACTCTTAAAATAGAACGTCTCTTACTACTCACCAAAACTTGAACATCTAATTTCTCATCAATCGAAGTAGCTTCAGAGGCTACTTCGCGGTTGCGTGTTTCAGCCTCATCACTAAACGGATTTTCGCCATCTGCAAGTAAAGCATCGCCAATCAATTGTTCGGAATTTGTTGTTCTCATGGATTTGAGCTCTATTGGCACTTTCTTCTTTTGCATAGGACTAGTTGGTGGTGTTTGCGAATAACTAAACGATTTCCGTAAATTCTTGACAGATCTGTGCTGTAATGGACTTTGCGGGGGGTGACTGATAGTATTGTGGGCATGCTCAAGATTCCCTTCGTCATCAACTAGATTGCCAACTTGTGAATTATCGTCAATCGTATTCAACGTTTCATTTGAAGCAAGAAAACTGTTTCTTGGCCTTTGTTTATCAAAATCTTGTCTTTTTTTCATCCACGAATCAAATGATGATGTCCCACTAAGTGTCGAATTCGAGTCATTGAGGTGCATGTACAATGGCTTATGGTGTGAACTCATTGGCGGGCTTAAAAAGTCACACTTGAAGTCAATCTCGTTGTACGGTATGTCATTATTTTCATTTTGGTATTGCTCCTGCTCCTGTAATCTTCTTCTCCTACGGTAAAAATAGTACAAAACTAAACCTATTATTATGAGTGAAAACGAAATCGGTAGCACTGTTCCCAAGATCACCTTGTTCTTATTGGAGGAAGAATTTTTTTCTGATGAGGATGTAGTTGTTGATGTTGATGGGGATAATGATGATGGCAGTGGTGTGTTTTCTTGAAGATCTTCAATAGGCTTTAGTGTTTCTGCATCATATAAATTTATCTGATAGTTTTTGTTATCTATTCGTTTTCCCCTTTTCAAATCTAAAGTTGAATTAATAACAACAAGCGTTGTAAAAATAGTAGCTGCTCCAAGAATTTCGTTTATATCGAAATCGCTTGTATCTGTAGTATTCCAAGTCCATTCGTTTGTAGTTACGTGTAATTTTGCATAATCGGGAGAACTCTCTTGACCATTGGTTTCTCCTCCAACTAACAAAACTTGCTCTATTCGAAAATCACTTAGCACAGAACGTCTATCTGGTAATGGTCTAAATATAGGTAGCAATAACGAGAAAGAACGGGAATTGATTGTTGTTGTAGCACTATTTGAAGCATCTTCAACTTGTTTAAATGACCATCCTGAATCAAAGTCCCATGTGGCCAATTGATACATACTCAACCACCCATTATTCAGCTCTCCGCCAACGATTAGTTGACTTTCCACGTTGGGAGCCAAAATATTGGAAGCTCCGTAAAATGCTTGCGGTTTTGTTGCTGTAGAAATATTGTTGACATTACCACTATCGAAATCTATCGACAACATCCGATTCGATATTAGACCAGTTGAAGAGCATATTCCTCCATAGACATAGATAGTGTTGTTATCACTTGGATTGGTCAATATTGTTGGATAGCTGTAAAAAGATGAATCGTTTATTCCGGCAAAGGACAAGTTCAAAGAGTATTTATCCCAGGTGTCACTTTCGTACTTGGCAATGGATAGCTGTCCTGCTCCACAAACTGAGCTTCCACCACTATCATTATTATCCATATCATAAGATGGAACAAGAGCATATAAATCCTCATTCAAAATAAATAAAGTAGAGTTCACAGGGGGTGACGATAAAGCAGTTAGCTGCTGTTTATTCCTAAGATTGGTATCGTTGGCAAAATCTCCACTTAAATTGAAATTCAATCGCAACAAGTCATTATTCTTTAAATGTAGATATACCAACCCATTTTCATACGAGTACAATGTATTCCAACTCTTGTTAAGATTTGGCGTTTTATCAGACATTGCCCAACACCTTATCTCTTCTTTTTCTTGTTGAGAACACAACTAGAAGTTTTAGTTTGGTTATCAACAATGGTTCTTGCCTTTGCTTTATTATTCTTTTCAATCTAGAAAACTGTTTGATCTTTGGAGAAGGAAGAAAAATTTCCTTTGTTTACAATTATCCAAATTAGGAAATGTCATAGATAGCGTTTAAAGATCTAAAAAAGAAAAGAAAAGAAACAAAAAAAAAGGTTGTTAGTTAGCAAAATATTTCTGGTGATGACTAGTATTGGTATAGGCTTGCATTTCGTATTATGACACTTGTATCAGTGCTCTGATAAGTCAAATAAGGTTTAAAAGCTAAAATTTTAAATGGTTTTGACGTTTGTGGAATAGAATAAATAAATAAGTGTGGGGATTTTCTACTGATCAGTAAGACCAATAAAAAACTATCTCGCATTTGTGATTTGCGCAAATAATTGTAGAATACAAAGCTAATGACACTATCGAGCAGAGCAAGATAGTGTCGGTGGCAACTAGTGTTGCGACACTACCAAGCAGAGCGAGATAGTTTTGCAAAACTTGGTAAGTAATGATGTACAATGCAATTGTACATCATTGCTTTGTTTTCCATGTCATTTGGTTTGGGAAAAGGGAAAGAAAAGAAAAAAAAAAAATGGTTGATCTCGATTCGATGAGCATATACTTTATATTAAAACTCTTTCCCCGTGAATAATCATCCTCCTTCTTTCTCCGTGAATAATCGTCCTCCTTCTTTCCCCGTGAATAATCATCCTCCCAAGGTTTTCGTCCCATACGTTTCACATGCCAATTGCATCCCTATATCAATTAGATTTAGATCAGCTTTTAGTGGAAAAGAGAAAAGTACTTCTCAAGTGTCCTTTCAAAGAATGCAATACTAGAATAATCTCTTATTCATCAGAACTTCACCCAACATATATAGAGCAAGCACCCAATTGCTTGCAAATAAAAACGCAAGATGAAGCTGTCCCCAAAGTAGCATCGAAAACAACTGATTTTTTTCAAGTTGATGATGTTTGGTCTTTCGATAATATTGGTGTGAGCAAACCCTCAAGTGAGATTCAAAAGGATCCAATTGTTGCTAAAGATAACGAACATATTGAGATTGAAAGGTTATTAATCTGTAGTGAATGTGATAGAGGTCCATTGGGGTTTGCTGGGGTGCCTCGTGATTCAGAAAAGACTCATGAAAATTTGAAATATTTTATCACTCGTGATGGTTTCAGATACGAATATTGAGTTCAATACTGTACACATTACTGAGTCTGCATTTTTTACCCTCTTTGATTAATCATCTTCAAATCCGTTTGTTGAATGGCCCCTCATTAACTTTGTGGTTTTTCTCGAATTGATAAAGTCCGATACATGCATGAATCTCCGTTAAATGTGAGAACACAAAAAAAAAAAAAAAAATTCATCGACTATGAAAAACTTGACACGAAGGAACAACGATTTGACATTAGGAGGTTTGAAATATTTAAAAAAAAAAAACTACTGACAGAACCCGTTTCATGATGACATACATATATATATGTGTATGTGTATGTGTGTGTGTTTGTGTCTGGGGAGTGTAACCTTATAATGCGCCCTTTAGAAATGAGACATTTTCTGCTACGCGGGTTTGGTTAACGATTTCTTTTTCTTTTTTTTTGCAACAATCTCTTTTATGTAAAAACTCTGCAAAATAAATGACCGAGATTGTTGAACGAAATGGCACCTAAAAAAGGCCAGTCTCAGGAAGAGAAGATTGCTGCTTTATACAAGTGGTTCCAGTCATCTCATGAGTTTTATACTTTAAAAGAAATAGAGCAAAAGGGAAGTAAAGCATGTAAAATATCTCTGATGCAAATTAAGGAGTTTGTTGCCAGTTTGGTCAACGATGGGTTGGTTCAACAAGAGAAATGCGGTACAACCAATTTGTATTGGTCGTTCAAGTACTCTGAGCATAAATCTAAACAGGACAAAATTGATAGATTGAAGAAAGAAGTTGCTTTAAAAGAGGAAACCAAAAGAAATTTACAAGATCAAGTGGCCAAATTGATGGCTGATACAAGTGTTGCAACTTTCCCCGAGAGAGAAGCTGAATTAGAACGGTTACACAAGTTAAAATTGCAAATGACTTGTTTGCAAGAAAAGCTCAAAATCTTTAAAGATGTAAATAAAATCGAGAGTATAAAACAAAGTATTGAATTTCTTAATGAGCTGACAGAAGGTATATTATATTATCTCATGAAAAAAACAGGAATTGATCAACGTCAAATAAGAAAGGAGTTTGACATTCCATTGGATTTGGAAGATCCACCAACACTATCGACACTATCAACACTATCGAGCAGAGCGAGATAGTGTTGTAACAAGCTACAAAGTGTCGGTGGTAGCTAGTCAGTGTTGGTGGCAGCTAGTCAGTGTTGGTGGCAGCTAGTCAGTGTTGGTGGCAGCTAGTCAGTGTTGGTGGCAGCTAGTCAGTGTTGCTCGATAGTATTGCTCGATAGTCGATAGTGTCAATCACAAGCGGAATTGAATTTGTATGTATAAAGTTTATTACTTTTATGCATTATTGTTTTCTCCCCACAAAAGTGAACCAAAAAAAGGGGTGTTGCTCCACTATCGAGCGAAACGAGATATTGTCGATAGGGTCGTTCAGTGTTGCTCCACTATCTCGTTTCGCTCGATAGTGTCGATAGTGTCAATAGTGTCAATAGTGTCAATAGTGTCAATAGTGTCAATAGGGTCGTTCAGTGTTGCTCCACTATCTCGCTTCGCTCGATAGTGTCAATAGTGTTGATAGTGTTGTTGAAATTATTAACTCCGGTCCTTCTTTCTTTTCTATCCTCTTTTGTTTCTTTTTTTCCACTCCACTTTTTTTTGTTGAATAGTTGGATTTATCCGTTTAAGAAATAATGTTTTTTATACCTTTTTAATCTCCGAACGTCTATACTTTTTAACACATGCATTCATTTTTGAGCGTTTACCGTGTATATTTTATTTGCTGATTATATTCAGTTATAAAACCCCATACTCAATAAATGAACTGATTTGAAAACAGAAATAATAGAGTGGGAAAGAAAAGAAATAATAGTAAAGGGTTCCCCTTTTTAGGTTTATTGGTTATACTCCAAACACTACACACAATAAAACTGACACATATGACTTAATACTCACATATGACTTAATACTCACATACAACTGACACATATGACTTTTGCATATTTATTGATTATAGTGACAGGAAAATAAAATCCCTTTATGGCATAATAAGAGCGATGTTTCATTAATTTTATAACCTCTCCTCTTACTTGTATAATCTATTAGCAAACATTTTTTTTTTTATATATATAATACCCCAGGTTTATTTATTTCGTTTTTCTTTAACTAAACCTGATTTTAAATTTTTCAACACTAAACGAATTTATTTGCTTTAATCAGTTCTTTTCCACTTGCCATTTATCTGCCAATAACGCCTGGCTCTGTGATATTTATTAGCACCGTTTCTTATCACTTTCACTGGGTTCCTTTAAACACCTTTCCCGTTTCCCTTATATCACCTTTCCCGTTTCCCTTATATCATATTTTCCTTACTTTATTTTTTTTTTTTCCATTGTCCTTTCCCCCTTGTCCCCCTTCATCTTTGATACAAAATGTCTTCGTTTTTGCCAGATGTTGCCGATATCAGCCATGTTCAAACCTTTTCATACTTGGCCGATGGTATTATCCACGAAACGCCAATTGAAGTAATCAAAGAGGTGATTGATCCAGATTTCCCCGCTGAGGAATATGAACTCTACATCAAGTCATTGTCAAGGCCCTCTCTATTGCCAGAATTCAAAGAATCTGTTTTGAACTTGATAAATAACAATACCACAAAAGCTACCCAGTTATTTATTGTGTTGACCACGGCTTTGGAGTCTAGAATATTGGCTCCTATATTCACTAATTCAATGACCTTGATAAAAGATATGACCTTGCAAGAACGTGAGCAGTTGTTGGCCTCCTGGCGTGATTCCCCATTACTAATGAAGAGAAGATTATTCAGAATGGTTTGTTCATTGACTTTGAAAACTTTTGTTACCATCGGCAATGAGTTGCACAACAAAGCCATTCATTATCCTGGTAAATCGATCCGTGAACAGGCGTACGAAGGTCACGTGGTTGATCCATTCAAATACAATTTTGTTAAAAAACCCGAATTTGATGGAGCTGAGTTGTATTTGGGTGATATCGACGTACTTATTATTGGTTCTGGTGCTGGTGCTGGTGTTGTTGCGCACACTTTAGCCAAAGATGGCTTTAAATCTTTGGTTTTGGAAAAGGGTAAATATTTCCTGTCCGAGGAATTTGTAATGAATGACGCAGAAGGAGTATGCGAATTGTATCAAGGTAATGGTACAGTTGCCACTGAGAACCAGGAACTCTTCATCTTGGCTGGTTCAACTTTTGGTGGTGGTACCACTGTTAATTGGTCGGCTTGTTTGAGAACTCCATTCAAGGTTAGAAAAGAATGGTATGATGACTATGGTTTGGAATTTGTAGCCACAGACACTTATGATAAATGTCAAGATTACGTTTGGAAACAAATGGGTGCATCCACCGAAGGTATAACCCATTCTTTGGCAAATGAAGTTGTCATTGAAGGTGGTAAGAAATTGGGATACAAGAGTCGAGAGATTGATCAGAATAGCGGTGGGCACCCACATCATCCTTGTGGTTTCTGTTTCTTGGGATGCAGGTACGGTATAAAGCAGGGTGCAAATAACTGCTGGTTCAGAAATGCTGCTGCCAATGACTCAAAATTTATGGAACAAGTTAGAGTCTTGAGAATCCTTCACGATAAGGGAGTCGCTCAAGGTGTTTTGTGTCAAGATGAAGTATCCGGTATCAAATTCACAATTACTGGTCCAAAAAAGTATGTTGTTGCAGGTGGCTCATTGAACACCCCGGTTGTTTTACAAAACTCTGGATTTAGAAATAAGCATATTGGCAAAAACTTGACTTTGCATCCAGTAACTACCGTGTTTGGTGATTTTGGTCGCGATGTACAAGCCAACCATTACGACAAATCCATAATGACATCAGTGTGTACAGAAGTTGATGATTTGGATGGAAAAGCCCATGGTGCAAAGATTGAAACAATATTGAACACACCATTTATTCAAGCAGCACTTTTACCTTGGAGAGGTAGTGACGAAGCTAGAAAGGATTTATTACGTTATAATCACATGGTGGCCATGTTGTTAATTACTCGTGATACCAGTACAGGATCAGTAGCTGCTGATCCAAACAGACCTGAAGCTTTATATGTTGACTATAGCGTTTCCAAATTCGACAAGAATGCCTTGTTACAAGCTATGCTTATTACTGCAGACATGCTTTACATTCAAGGTGCAGAGAGAATCTTGAGTCCACAACCATGGGTACCTATCTTCACATCAGATATTCCAAAGAGTGAGAGATTAATTACCGACAAGGATTACGTAGAATGGAGGAACAAGGTTGCCAAGATGCCACTTGATAGCTACGGCACTCCATATGGTTCAGCCCATCAAATGTCGAGTTGTAGAATGTCAGGAAAGGGACCAAAATATGGTGCTTGTGATACCAATGGAAAATTATTCGAAGCCTCCAATATTTATGTTGCCGATGCTAGTTTGATGCCAACTGCAAGTGGTGCAAATCCAATGATTACAACAATGGCCCTCGCAAGACACGTTGGATTGGCATTGAGTGATTCATTGAAGACCAAAGCAAAGTTGTAAAGGGCAAAATGTATGTTTTTTTTTTCTTTTTTTTTTTTTCCAAAAAGAAGAAGGGGACAATATATCGAAAAAGAAAAGTTTATATATATATATTTTTAACTACTACTATAACTATTATTGTTACTACTACGGCTACGGCTACGGCTACTGCTACGGCTACTTCACATGTGTGACTTGGCTTATTTGCATTATACTTTTTTTCTTAAAATGGAAGGGTTTTTGTGATGGAAACCATATTCCCCCCCCCCTCATCCCTCCCAATATATGCTAATTTGCAAATTCGTCATCACTTTGTTTTTACTCTAGTTCTGTTGTTTTCTTTTTTTATTGACGCCAAAAGCCTTGTGGTTGTCCATAATATCCTGTTTGCTGAGGTTGAGCAAATCCATTAAACTGTTGTGGTTGCTGTGCAAACCCTGTAAATTGTGTCGCTTGTGGCACGAAACCAGGTTGTTGTTGTTGTTGTTGTTGTTGTTGTTGCTGCTGACCAGTAGGATTATTGTACAAGGATAATATATTTTGCTTGTTTGTCTGCTGTGCAATGAGCTGAGGATTTGTTGTGTTCAAAAGCTCTTTTTGGTGACTCGGGTTATTTGTGTCTAGATACTCTTGTCCGTTTGAATCAATATAGGATACTTGTCCAGTAATTGGATCTGTATACTGATATATTTGCGGCTGTGCCATTACCACTCCCATTCCGGTTGACATTACAGAAATACTTGTTGAAGCTGGATTTGAGCCCGTATTGGTACTCCACCAGTCCGATGTCGAAGATATGGGAGCACTAGCAGTAGGTTCAGTAGGTTCTGCTTTAGGACGTGGTCTGTTAGGTAAGTTTGGAGCGGTTTCCTGCTTTGAAGGGTTTGTCTGATTATCGTGATCCAAAATATCCAAAGCCTTATCGATGTTACCATTAGATAGCAACAAACTCTCCAAAACTGCGTCCCTGTCTGTATATCCAAACCCGCGTATCCTGCTAGCTTGTATAGGATACTGAGCATACTCAAACGTTGTCAATCTCCTATGGGTTAATTTTGGTATTTGATAAACGCTATACGCACTATTAGATCTCAGCCTGCGATTACTTGAACTTGAATACCTATCATTATCGTTGGTGCCATGCTTGCTCAATCTGCTATCTTCATAGTCCAGTATTGATCCATCCAAGTTACTATCGTCGCGGAACTTGCGTAGTATATATTTATCCGTAATATATTGTTCAACAATTGAAACATCGTCATCTCCATCGAATGGGAAGGGGACTTTTTTGCTATTCCACTTTCTTCGTGCTTTTTGATTGCCAACCTTGCCCAAACGACGCACCTGGTCATCGTTCCAGTTGTCCAAAGTTAGAGACTTCACGCGGGAGATGTCATTATGTGGTGGACTCAATAATCTCTTGTGGACTGATGCACATCTACCGCATAAGAATAAACCCAAATTGTACGATGCCCATGTTGGATATTTCGCACCACATTCACCACATTTATTGTCATTGCCTCTCTCATTGACAATATCGAGTAGTTTCCTTTCTACTTCCTTCTGGTGTCTTCTTGACATGCTTTTTCAAAGGGACAAAGTCTTTGCAAAACAAACAAAACTTCTTTTGTGAAAAATATGGCGAGGCTTGGAAAAGAATCAAAGAGAGTGTGTGTATGAATAAAGGCAAGCTCCTACATTCTCTACTATTAAGTGGATAGGTGGAATCTTCGGCATTAAAGAGTGCGCAAAGGGGAAAAAAGAAAAAGGAAAAAAAGAACAGAAAATAGCGAGCGGACAACTCTATCGAGTGACACTATCGAGTGACACTATCGAGCAACACTATCGAGCAGAGCGAGATAGTGTTGTAACAAGCTACTAAGTGTTGCTCCACTATCGAGTGACGCTATCGAGCAACACTATCGAGCAGAGCGAGATAGTGTTGTAAAAAGCATGACTCACAACGAGGTGATAGCTCGTCTCGCTCTATCACAACATTGTTCGTACTGAGTGTTGCTCCACTATCGAGCAGAGCGAGATAGTGTTGTAACAAGCTACTCAGTGTTGCTCCACTATCGAGTGACACTATCTCGCTCTGCTCGATAGTGTTGTAACAAGCTACTCAGTGTTGCTCCACTATCGAGTGACACTATCTCGCTCTGCTCGATATTGTCACTGATATATAGTCTATTATTGGTCTAGTAGGTTTAAAGTGAGCACATCTCTATGAGACCCCTTTTGGACACACAACTCATCTATATCAACGGTTATATCGCAAAGCGTTTTTCCGATATCGAGTGCGCTAATCTTTTCATTAGCTTCCAACAATGCCTCATCGGACAATTTTGCCCTTTTCTGATAACCAGTAGCAATTGATATATGCAAAGGCGAGTCAAAGTCTTGAAATATCGGTGGCGGGCCCGAAATATTCACCTTCTTGACAAATATGTCACGTATGCTTTGGAGATATTCATAATTCTCCAGAGTCATCTTTAAATGCGCCGTTAAAAACAAATTGGTTGTCAAGCGACCTTTTTCAACAGTTAGTTTATTCTCGAATCCCAATGGTAACGAGTATTTAGTGGGATTTTGGATAAGCCCCAAGGCAGAATTAATATCTCTAGTCTTTTTCCTTGGTTCACCTTTTGGTTTTGGCAATGCTTTCAACATTTGAATTACATTGTCCAAATATAGAGGCTCCTGCTGTTGTTCTTGATTTATCAAGGCAATGGTTATATGATGTCTTTGATAACGTCCAAGATCTTTATTTGGTACAACAAAGTTATAGTTTTCTGATAAAGCCGGCACTTGGGAAATGACTTGTTCCACTATAAGTTCTAGCTTCCGTAGCACCACCAACGATGGCATCCATGGTATAAAAGTAAATAGCAACGCTCGTGGTTTACTTAACATATTCTGATATTGTTGCAGATAAATCAATATCCGTGGAGGAGGTGGTAATGAAAAGTTGCTTGGTTGATCGTCAAAATCCTCAGTATCGGCTGCTTCGGCTGCTTCGGCTTCTCGCTCGCTATCACTTTGTGTTTCACCGTTATCACTATCAGATACGTACTGTTGAATCAAATCCATCAACTTGTAAACGATGAAAAATGAATTTGAGAGAGAATCGATCGAAATGATGAGTCGATGAGTCGGTAGCGATATTTTTATTTTATCTTCCCCCCCCCCAAGTCCCGACTGGAAATATAAGGTGATCAATTTTTTTGAAGAAGAACAGGCCTGTTGACACCTTCTCTTCAACTCTCTTTTCGACCACCTTCTTCTTTCCTTCCCCCTTTTTTTTTTCAAAAAGACCACTCGACTTTTCTTATTTATTTTAAAACCCGAGTAGAAGACTCTCTTCGACCCTAAAACCTTAAACAATGGTACTTATAAAACCAGTCAATTTAACGAAATGGATTGAAGAGAATCAAGATTTGTTGAAACCGCCAGTTAACAATTATTGTCTACACCGTGGAGGATTTACAATCATGATAGTTGGAGGACCCAACGAAAGAAGCGATTATCATATTAACCAAACGCCAGAGTATTTTTACCAATACAAGGGTACAATGTGCTTGAAAGTAGTTGATGATGGAGAGTTCAAAGACATTTTCCTTCACGAAGGAGACTCCTTTTTGTTGCCGCCTAATGTGCCTCACAATCCGTGTCGTTATGCAAACACAATTGGTTTAGTCGTTGAACAAGATCGTCCCGAAGGTGTCAATGATAGGGTAAGATGGTACTGTAGTGAATGTAGCAATATAATCTCCGAGGAGGAATTCTACTTGACTGATTTGGGCACGCAAATTAAAGAAGCAATTGTTGCGTTTGACTCAAATATCGATGCAAGGACTTGTAAAAAATGTGGGCACCTAAACTCATCCAAAAGAGAATAAGTAATAAACTTGGAAAGACATTTGCTATTACATATTGCTACACACACTCTCTCTCTCTATATATATATATATATATTATGTAATGGATATTATGCAACTTTTTTACTATGATAAAGGTCAACTGCTTTTTCAAAAGCCCAATCTGTTACATGTTCAACAGGTTCATCAAACACATACGGCAATAATGGAACAATCCCCAATCCAACTGCAACTGGGCCATAAGTTCTCATTGCTGCAATTTTTGTATTTTTGAAAAAGTAAGAAGAATAGCGTACAGCACTGTGTATAGTAAATGCTGGTAACCCCATTGACGCGATGCTCTGGAATATGCCTCTTTTCAATGCAACCAATTTCCAGTCGGAATCAATAGTACTATGAGTTTCCTTAAAAGTCGCAGCAGCAATTAAATCTGGCTTTAAAGCTTTATTCCAAGGTTGCAATCCAACCTGATATCTCCCTTGGCTTTTTAGTTTTGTTTTCCAAGCAGCATACGAAACGTCTCCGATTATATATATCCACGAAACAGCATATCCAGCTCTAACCAAGTACGGATGCGCTACTGGTCTAAACGACTCTCCTATGTCTGAGGTATATGCAACATATCTATGAGATGCCAATAAAATTGTTTTCAATCTATTGGCATAAGCAGCATATCTCAACCCACCAGATTCATTATCAGAGACAAATTGATCAGAGACAGCCCCTTTAATTTTGGCAACAGTGTCCTCCTTGGTAGTTGAATCGTCTCCTGACATCCTAGAGTGGTGGCCAACCAATTTTTCTACACATTTTTCACATTTTAATTGCTATAAATTTCATATATACATATACATATATAATATATACCTATCTGGACAATAGAGCCGCTGCCGCTGTCAGTATAATGAGAGATTTTGAATATTGCCCACAGAAAAAAAAATATACATATAATATATAGATAGATATATAGAATAATAGGAATAAGAAGGATTAAGAGAGAGAGAGAGAGAGAGAAAGAGAGAGGAGGATTACATCATGAAGATAACATTAATAACAAGGTTCACAAACTCTTTGTCATCTATAGAACAAATCCCAGACTTGTCGATTCCATGCAGTGTCAATTTCGACAAGGATGATGTCAACAAGTTGATCAATGTGACGTGGATAAAAGCGTCGATACGAAGTAAAGTGCCCCAGTGTTCTCAAAGGCGTTTGAAACTTATATACAATGGTAGAGTCTTGAATGAAAAAACCGATTTTGAAAAAGAGATTTTGAAACCACGAAAAGCATCATTAAATCAAAATGAGCCTATATACATACATTGTGTCGTTGGAGAAGAACTAACAAAAGCACAACTCTTGGAGGAAAATAGTATTGATAATAAGCCGCAGGAAGTAACAACCACGCCCAATGTTATTGGGTTTGACCGGTTATTGCAGCAAGGTTTCTCTTTAGAGGATATTGGCGATTTGAGAAGACAGTTTCTGCAGTTATATGGGAGCGCAGCAACTAGTAGTAATCAAAACCGAGAAATTGCTGATATTGAAGAAATAGAGAATAGGCAAAGAGAGTTACGCGAGTTGGAGGAGCGCTGGATAGAATCTACGTCAAATAATGATGGTGTCGCAACAGCAGGGGCAGCTGCAACAACGGGGACAGCTGCAACAACAACAACAACAACAACAACGGCAACACAAAATGGAGGTGGAGATATGATTGAGCAGACACAAGGCGTTCAACCTCCTCTTGAATTTGACGAGTCTTACGCAAATGAAGATTTACTACTTGGGTTTTGCATAGGTGTATTTCTCGGAATAATCTCCGTGGTGTTCTTTGTACTTGACGACACAATTTTCAACAAACGTCAAAAGATGGCAATAATAGCAGGTATATTTATCAATTTCTCCTTGGCTATAGTAAGAGGACAATGGCTATAGAAAACAGAGAGAAAGAGATGAGGTGGGAGAGTAAGAAGAAGAAGAAGAAGAAGAAGAAGAAGAAAAAAAAATGTATGATCTACCAGCCCTCACTAAATTCTTTTAATGACTTTTAATGAAAGGGCATTAAGATGATCTTTCTTGTGTATGGAAAACTATTCTCGCCAGAAAGCTTGACGCTCGCCAACTCCTTGGGATTAGAAGAACAGACAAGCAACACGGTTAAAGCTTTGGCTGCCGCACAAAGAAGAAGAAGAAGAAGAAAGGGAAGGAAAAGAGAAAGAAAAAGTGTTGAAAAGTTTTTTTTTAAACCAAAAAAAAAGAAAAAAAAAAGAAATTTCGACACTATCGACACTAGCGAGGAGAGCGAGCTAGTGGAACAACACTAGCTACCACCGAAACTAACCACCACCGAAACTAACTACTACCGAAACTAACTACTACCGAAACTAACTACTACCGAAACTAACCACCACCGAAACTAACCACCACCGAAACTAACCACCACCGAAACTCAGTAGCGACACTCAGTAGCGACACTCAGTAGCGATACTATCCACTTTCAGCAATTTTCTTTAAACAAAGTATTTTCCGAGAGTTTCTAGGAGTAAATATTTGGTAGAACATTTGTAGCCAAGAAAATAAATTAAAGTACCTCTACTTTGACCCTGATGTGAAAAAATGGGCAATACTCTAATAGACTAGAGAAGAGTAGGCAATCCTTTAACTAAAAAAGAGTAGGCAAGAGTAGGCAATCCTTTAACTAGAAAAGAGTAGGCAAGAGTAGGCAAAAGTAGGCAATACCACAGGGTATCTCTACAAAGTGTTTCCCGACTATCTCGCTTCGCTCGATGGTATAAAGTGTTTCTCGACTATCTCGCTTCGCTCGATGGTATAAAGTGTTTCTCGACTATCTCGCTTCGCTCGATGGTACAAAGTGTTTCTCGACTATCTCGCTTCGCTCGATGGTACAAAGTGTTTCTCGACTATCTCGCTTCGCTCGATAGTACAATGTCCATCAAAACTTGAGAAAGCTTACTTTCCATTATATCACGTGATTTATTGCAAGGGATCAGAAAGTTAAAAATGGAAAAGGAAAAGTTATTAAAAGATAACTCATTGGGGAAACCGGGTCCTCACCCATATAACCTTTTTCTTTTATATTGTTTTTCTCTTCCCCAAATATTGGATTTTTTTTTCTCATCTTCCCGCTAATATTGATATTAGTTTGTCGAGTTCTTGTTACTCTTGAAAAAAAAACCCCAAAGGTGTTTACTAATATAGTCTCTTTTTCCCTTCTTCCCTTTTTCCCTTTTTCAATTTTTCACCTTTTTCACTTTTTCATATTTTCACCTTCTTCAATTTTTCACCTTTTTTTTTTCAATTCTTCAAAGGACCATTGTTAGTTTTGGTTGAGCTTCTAAAAAGGATTATTAGAAAAAGATGTCGGAACCTACACCATTACCATTTATCTACCAGTTTCTCTCTGGAGCAGTTGCTGGTGTCTCTGAGATTCTTGTAATGTATCCATTGGACGTGGTCAAGACTAGGCAGCAATTGGATTCTACGGGTGAAGTCGGCGGTACTCTCAAATGTTTAAGAACAATTGTCAAAGAGGAAGGATTTTCACGTTTGTATAAAGGTATATCTGCTCCAATCTTGATGGAAGCACCAAAGAGAGCTACAAAATTTGCTGCTAACGATGAATGGGGAAAATTCTACAAGAATGCATTTGGCGTTAAGACTATGACGCAATCATTGGCCATCTTGACCGGTGCTACTGCTGGTGCTACTGAATCCTTTGTTGTTGTTCCCTTTGAGTTGGTTAAAATCAGATTACAAGACAAAACTACAAAATTCAACGGGATGGGGGAAGTTGTTAAAGATATCGTCCAAAAGAATGGTGTTGCTGGATTGTACAAGGGACTTGAGTCGACGTTGTGGAGACATATTTGGTGGAATGCGGGCTATTTTGGCTGTATCCACCAAGTCAAAGGTTTAATGCCTAAACCAAAAGACACGACACAAAAGACTTTGGTGGATTTGACTTGTGGTACAATTGGTGGTACTTTTGGAACTATATTGAACACACCATTCGATGTGGTCAAATCAAGAATTCAAGCCGGATCATCAAGATATAGATGGACATATCCATCATTGCTTATAGTAGCAAAAGAAGAAGGATTTGCCGCATTGTATAAGGGATTCATTCCAAAAGTCTTGAGATTAGGTCCTGGTGGAGGTATATTATTGGTTGTTTTCACTACATGCATGGATTTCTTTAGAAAAATGCGTGAAGGAAAGTAAAATATAGAAATTGTGAAATCATGAAATCATGAAATCGTGAGATCATGAAATCGTGAATTCGTGAAATCGTGAGATCATGAAATCGTGAATTCGTGAAATCGTGAGTTCATGAAATCGTGAAATCGTGAAATGTAGATGATTGTGTAGTAGCACCTAGTATTTTCCCCAAAATTTCCTATTTACTTTCAAGTTAATTTTCACCTCTCTCAATTGTATAACTTTTTCTTTTTTTTTTTTTTTTTTCATGGATTAGGGATGAAAAGGTTGATAATTTGAAACCTCCCCCAGTTTTGATTCTGAATCTTTTCTTTTCTTTTGCCTCAATTACTTCTTGAATTTATCAAACCCGTGTGTTGACCTGTTTGAGCTCGTATAGGTAGTTGAGAATAAGTATTTGAAAGGATGTGACGTATGGACCAGTTTACACACGGGTTTGACCTTTAACCTCTCAGAGTTAATCTGATTCAAGAAGGGAACATATATTACAATTTTTTATTACCAATGTAGATACAAAATATAAACCTTATTTTTTTTCCCTTTTTTCCAGTTTAGTAATGAAACCTCTATATTTTACTTTTTAAGTTGTATGTAATTTTTTTTTTTTTCATTGACTGAGGAGAGGAGCTGTGAAAAAAGCAGTTTGGGCAGTTTCTCTTATAGTTGAAGAGGAAATTTTTCATTGATGAATTAATGAGTCGGTGGTCTGTGCTAAGTGATTATTAATAGTGATAGAGCCTCTTCTTTTTCCATGTTTGCCCAATCGAAACAGGGAGCTCAATATGAAGAATCGAAACAGGGAGCTCAATATAAAGAATCGAAACAGGGAGCTCAATATGAAGAATCGAAACAGGGAGTTCAATATGAAGTGTACGAAATGACTCAACAACGGGACTACTCCCAAACAACAACGTCAATTGACGAGCAAACTAATCCTTACGAGCTGGGTGAGAATGAGGAAGAGGAAGAGGATAATATTGGAAACCGTGAATCTTTAGATTCTCATTCATCACAAGTTTTCCAAGATTTAGAGAGCTACGTCAATAAAATAGAAAGAGGAGCGGTTAATGATTTTCATAATGACCCTGTTTTCCATTCAATACTACGAAAGTATAGAAAAGAAGGGGTTAACACTAAAATATGTGGTGTTTTCTCGTTAGCTTGTCTAGCCATTTGGATCAGTGGTGTTATTCTATATTCACAGCTAAGTCCCTCGCTGATATTATCCAAAGTTACTTGGCAAACTACAGTTCAAATAAGTGATGGTATCAATATCACTTTGAGCGAATATAATCCCCAGTTTCGAAACTTGACTTTTGATCGTTGGAGGAGTGGCACCTATCAAACACGCAACGAAGAAATTATTTGGTTAACGGAACAGCAGTTTCCCAAGAGTCCAGGCGGTGCGTTTTACCTCAACCCTAAACCCGACCTGATTGTTGTTAAACAAATCAACTCCAATTACGAAAAGAGCTTTCTCGAGTCACGGAAATTTGCTTACAAAAACAATTTCTTTTATATCGAGGAAGTGGTGTTGAATCCCAGTGCCAGTATATCAGATTCAAATACCCTCCATTTAATTAAAACTGATACATCAGAACAGTGGAGACATCTGACGTTTGCTCTTTATTGGTTATATAGCCCAGCACTATCAACATATCTGCCGATCCAACCAACTCAAGAGGATCCTCGCTTGAGAAATAGGTTTTTGGACCTGGATAAGAAAGAAGCTTTGGAGAAGCTAAACTATGTCCAGTTTTCGCCAGATGGCCATTATATCCTTTTTGCATTTGAAAATGATCTCTTTGTCCAGGATTTGTTTAATAATGATATTCAACAAATAACTCAGGATGGATCATCAAACATTTTCAACGGTAAACCAGATTGGGTCTATGAGGAAGAGGTGGTTGCCACTGATAGGATGGCATGGTGGTCCCCTGATTCCAAACGGATTCTATTCTCCAAAATAAATGATACGCAAGTGCAAGATGTAAGTATTGATTATTTCGTCAAGTCTGCTCCAGAAATTGGAATACAATACGAACAAGAGTCGTTGGAAGAAAAATCTGCTAAAGGTCTCAACCAATATCCAATAAGAACTATTTTAAAGTATCCCAAACCGGGATCACAAAATCCAATCATCACGCTTCACGTTTATGACGTTGAACTGCAGAAGGTTGATCTATTACAAGACAAGGATGAGACATTAGGCAAGGACTTTATTTTATATCAAGCAACTTGGGTGGACAAAGACAACTTCTTGATGAAGCAAACAGATCGTACTAGTACCATTCTTGCAAAGAAAATATACCGTCCAAACGAATCAAAGGATATTAAAACCGTGCACTCGGCAAATGTCACTGCTGTTTATGGTGGTTGGGTGGAAAAAATGAAACCAATGACAGTGATTGATGGCGAATTGGGGAACAAATATATTGACAATTATGTCCAGAATGGTATGAATTACTTGGCTGTTTTTGATAATGCTACTTCTGTCTTTCCACTGCGAGTTTTTGGCAAGTTCCAAGCAATCAGTGAGGCCGTTTATGATAAGCGGGAGAATTACATTTATTTTTTAAGCAATATCAAAAGTTCAATGGACTCGCATCTCATTGGAATAAATCTCAACCTGGGGAAATACATGGACTTGACAGATATCACAAAAGAAGGTCATTATTCAGTGCAATTTTCCCCAAACGGTAGACTTTTGAATTTGAAGTATAATGGCCCTGACCAGCCTTGGCAACGACTAATAAGTATGGCTGAAGTACACGATCAATTTGTCGATAATGATGATGATGATAATGATGATGATGATGATGGTCACGATAATGATGCTCTCTTTACTGTGCAAGAAGTTATTCAAAAGCAGCCGATAATCAATCAAGTGGATGCATTTACCAAAGAGTTAAAAACCACAAATCTACCCACTGTCAATTTTCGAAAAATCAAAATCAAAAAGGATGATGTTTCATTAAGTGTGAGAGAAATCTTGCCCCCAAACTTTGATCCCGAGAATAAGAAGAAGAAGAAGAAGTATCCAATTGTGGTCCACACTTATGGAGGACCTGGTTCTCAAATTGTTTTTAAAAAGTTCAATATCGATTTTCTTCAAATTTTAAGTTCAGCCTTGGATGCAATAGTACTAGAAATCGAGCCTCGTGGTACTGGTGGCAACGATTGGAAATATAAAAGCTATGCAAAGAATAAAATTGGGTACTGGGAAGCGCGTGATATCAAGTTGGTTACTTCTGAGTACATTAAAGCAAACCAAGAATTTGTAAACACGCAACGAGTATCTATCTGGGGCTGGTCATATGGCGGGTTTACAACGTTAAAGACATTAGAGCACGACAAGGGGGAAATTTTCAAGTATGGTATTGCTATTGCACCAGTAACCAATTGGATGTTTTATGACTCAATCTACACAGAGAGAATAATGAACCGACCTCTGGAGAACCCTAATTATGGCGAATATGCGAGAATTAACGATGTTGCAAGCGTTAGCAGTGCCAAGAGGTTTCTCTTAATGCACGGATCAAGTGACGATAATGTCCATTTACAGAATACTATGTGGCTCATAGACAAGCTCAATATGCAAAGTATTAGCAATTATGATTTACAGATATTTACCGATAGTGATCACGATATATACTACCACAATGCCGGAGAAATGGTCTATGGAAAGATTCTACATTGGCTACAAAACGCCTTTAATGGTAAATTTGACAATCAATCAGTATGATCTATCTATGTTATAAATATACCAAACTCACTTTTTTTTCTCTCTCTCTCTCTTTCTCTATCTTTTTTCTTCATCTATATCATGGCATCTAATTGTTGCAAAAATCATGATTAAGCCCAAAATTAAGAGTTATAAAAGTACGTTTCTGACAGGAATATGGTTTATAAAGATGTAGCGTGTAGTTACTGATCTTCTTCCTTTTTTCTTCTATTTTTTTAGTTTCCAAGCCCGTGTGTCTACTTGTTAGAAAATCTCGAAAGGAGGAGGAGTTGGACAAGGCTATTCGGAATAGCAGGTTGCAAAAAGATACCTTGGAAAAGGCAAAGAGATACCTCCAAGATCAAGATAGAATCGAGAAATTGATTAACCACTGGCGAACAGTAGCACAAATGGCTTCGAATTACTTGTATAACGAGCAATCGATAAAATTTGCGCGAATGGGGGGGTTTAAACAATGGCAAATACAAGAGTGGCTGCGAGAAAAGGAATTGGCTGCAAGTAGATTAGAAGATGCGAGATTAATGCTTTACCAAAAGTTGGAGTTGGAGTTGGAGTTGGGAAAGGTTGACGAAGAAGAAAAAGAGTGTATTATGCAAGAATTTAATGGTTCATATGGGTTAGATGAAGAAGGCACTCCTATTGAAGAAGAAGAAGAAATGCCTGATTTTAGTGATGATTTTACAATGAAAAATTTATATAAGATCTTGGGTCTAGATTATGAGCTAGTGTTTGAGTAAACACTGTCGTGCAACACTATCGAGCGAAGCGAGATAGTGGAGCAGCACTGTCTACACAGACACTATCAAGCGATACTATCGTGCGACACTATCGTGCGACACTATCGAGCGAAGCGAGATAGTGTTGGTCAGTGTTGCTCAATGTTTCTCAGTGTTGCTCAAAGTTGCTCAGTGTCTGTCAGTGTTGCTCAGTGTCTGTCAGTATTGTTCAGTGTCTGTCAGTGTTGCTCAGTGTCTGTTGTGTCTGTCAGGGTTGCTCCACTATCTCGCTCTGCTTGATAGTGGAGTCAACTTTTGATTTTTGTGATGACTTTGATAGCGCATTTTTCAAATCTATACCAATTTTTTTTTCGTGGAATTTTATTACATTTTTTTCATTTGGTCTTGATAGGAACGCAATAAAGAGAAAGGCTTTTGTGTCCCTTTTCCAAGACCCCAAGTATTCAAGAGAGGATCGAATGTTGGATAAAGCGCTAGATAGCACATCAAAAGAGCTAAAAAGAGAAAACATAGCCCACTTTTTGCAGGACTTGTGCAAGGGTTTAGATTCTGAGTCTATAAAGATTGATGAAATTGTTGATACAATTTTGAAAGGTCTACCAGCCACTTTGACTGTAGAGGAGCTTTACACGTTTACTTCAGAAGTAATAGCTAGTAGAGTGATATATCATCCAGACTACTCTATACTAGCTGGGAGGGTAGAGGTGGCGTTTCTCCATAAACAGATTCCCTTTTCATTCAGTGAAAATGTCGAGAGGCTAAGAAATTATAAACCAATGGAGGGAAAAGTTTATTGCCCAGTTTCTCAAGAGTTTTATGAAATCGTTGTTAAGAATAAACAGTTTTTTGACAGCATTATTGTCCTGGAGAGGGATTTTGACCTTGTATATTTTGGTATCAAAACGTTGCAAAATTCATACTTGTTAAAAATCAATGGTAAAGTTGCCGAGACGCCGCAACAATTGTTTTTGAGAGTATCGATTGGAATCCATATGACGGATCTTGATTCCATTAAAGAAACTTATGACTTGATGTCTCAAAAATACTTTATACACGCGCTGCCGACTTTATATAATGCAGGTAGTCAGTTCAACTACTTATCTTCCTGTTTTCTAATGGCGATGAAGGATGATTCAATAGATGGAATCTACAAAACTTTACATGAATCGGCACTCATATCAAAAGCTTCTGGAGGGATTGGTATTCACATTCACGACATTAGGGCGAGTGGTTCCTACATTGCAGGCACAAACGGTACTTCTAGTGGGTTGGTACCGATGTTGCGAGTGTTCAACAATACAGCAAGGTATGTTGATCAAGGGGGAGGCAAAAGACCAGGAGCTTTTGCTATATACGTAGAGCCATGGCATGCAGATATATTTGATATACTAGATACGAGAAAGAATCATGGCAATGAAGAGCAACGTACGCGAGACTTGTTCTATGGCTTGTGGATTCCTGATTTATTTATGCAACGCGTTAAAAGCGGTGGTGACTGGTCGTTATTCTCGTCATATGAAGCACCAGGTTTAAGCGATGTGTTTGGCAAAGAGTTTATAGAGCTTTATGAAAAGTACGAGAAACAGGGTTTAGCACGTCGAACTATCAAAGCGCAAAAGTTATGGTTAGCGATATTGGAGTCTCAAACGGAAACGGGCGGACCATTTATGCTATACAAGGATGCTTGCAACGAAAAATCGAATCAAAAAAATTTGGGTACAATAAAGTCCTCCAATTTGTGCTGTGAAATTATCGAGTACTCTTCTCCAGAAGAAACGGCCGTATGCAATCTCGCGTCCTTGGCATTACCTTCGTTTTTACAAACTTTAGGAGAAGGCATAGAATTTGATTTTCCAAAATTGCATTCCGTTACTAAAGTGGCAACTAGAAATCTAAACAAGGTGATTGATGTAACTAAATATCCAGTAGAGTCAGCTGCAAGATCAAACAAAAAGAATCGTCCTGTTGCATTAGGTGTACAAGGTTTGGCTGACTTATTTTTAGAGTTGAGATTACCATTTGACTCTCCACAAGCCAAGAAATTGAATATACAGATATTTGAAACAATATACCATGCTGCAGTAGAAGCATCTGTTGAAATGTCTATTCAAGACGGTCCCTATAGCACATTTGAAGGATCCCCGGCGTCACAGGGAAAGCTCCAATTTGATCTCTGGGACCATACTCCTTCAGAGTTGTACGACGATTGGAATACTTTAAAGGATAATGTGATCAAACATGGTATGAGAAACTCGCTATTGATAGCCCCTATGCCAACTGCTTCCACTTCTCAGATTTTGGGATTTAGTGAATGCTTTGAGCCTTACACTTCAAATTTATTCAATCGTCGAGTATTGTCTGGAGAGTTTCAAGTTGTTAACAAGTACTTGATAAAAGATTTGATAGATTTAGGTATTTGGAATTCTGCAATGAGAAGTAAGATTATTATGGATGGTGGTTCCGTACAAGGCATTAAAATTATACCCGATGACTTAAAAAAACTATACAGAACAGTTTGGGAACTTAAACAAAAAGATATCATTGACATGGCAGTAGATCGAGCCAAATTTATAGATCAGCTGCAAAGTATGAATATTTACCTTCAAAATCCAACAATAGGTAAGTTGACCAGTTGTCATTTCTATGCTTGGGAAAAAGGATTGAAAACAGGTATGTATTATTTGCGCACACAAGCTGCTTCAAGAGCAATTCAATTTACGGTAGACTGTGAAAAAGCGGCTCTGGTAAATGAACAAGAAATGACAAAGAAAAACTTGAAACGGAAAAAGTATATTGAGACAGCACTGGTTAAGAAATACAAGTCCCTGGACTATGGCACGCCTGATTCGGAAGTGTCCATCGAACTGCACCTGGAACTGTACGATATACATGATTCTACCCCCATAGCTTGTGATATTAGAGACCTGGAAGGTTGTGAGTCTTGTTCTGCTTAGGATAACGACTTTTTAGTGGGTTTTTTTTTTTTTTTTTTGGTATATAAACTTGTAATTAGCTTTTCAGGGATAAAAAGGAAAAACGAATAAAGTCTTTCTTTTCATTGCCCTACCCCCACCCGTTTTTATTTATTTTTTTAATACTTCTTCCTTCTCTTTGCTTTCTAGCTTCATCGCAATTTTCTATTTGCAAAATCGGCAACTTGGGACATACCATCTTTAGTTACAAAAAATTTCTTCTTTATTTTGTCAGACCAAATTAGTACTCCTAATTCGGTTGCGTAGTTTGACAAAATTTCAAACTCTTGTTGATTTGCAAAATCTTTGAACAAGTATCCGTCAAATGTTTGTATTCTATCCAATTCCAATTGCCATAATTTGATTTGGTCAACGACATTAGGAGGGAGCACTTCCAATTTATGTTGTTGTGATACAGATCCATCTGCTTTACTTTGAGGGGCTCCCCCTGCAGTGTTAATATTGTGGCTCGCATCGAATTCCAACTTTTTATCTAGTTTCTCTTTTGCAAGCAACAACATTTGAGGGTGGGCATGCATTTCCAAAAACTTGATGATTTGATCAGCTGTTATTCCATTGTATAATGCGTTACGTATCGATTCTCTGGTTATTTGGCCACATACCATATTGGAGAACCTTGTCTTCAATTGTACAAATAGGTTCAAAATGGCAATTTCCAAGGGCGATTGAGTATAGGCGTACAACTTAAAGTTTGTTTCAATGATAATTGATTCTCGCGTATTTGGCGATGATAACATAGCGTCTCCCTCGCTTTTATCCAAGACTTGTTCAACAGCCATAGAAGGGGTCTTTAGCGCTGATGAATCCGAGGTCAAGGTCGTTGCAAGTCGTGTGGGGTAAAAACGACTAGACGTGTCGACTCTCTGATACACCAATCCGTAGTCTTTCAAATCTGCAAGCATGCTAACCTGTGTTTCACTCAAGCTTGAAACTAGATAGCTGTTGCCCAACTCTAGAGACCCCAAAATGAAAATAAAGTTTAACACATCAACCGGGTTCATATTTAGTTCTTGTGTGAGATTCAAGTATTGGAGCAAAAGTGTCCAAATTTGTGCATTAATGTCCTGTAACAAAAACTGAAAACCGGTGTTTGTGATATTCAAGTTATTGTTTTGCCCTTCCATTAACCCTCCTAGTCGGAGCAAGCTCAATACTGATTTCGATGGAGCCTTTGTACCCTCTGTACCCACCATAAAATGCAATATACTCTCCCATTTCTGTGTAGCAAACGAATCAAGAAATGCCACGTCCACCTTGTGTTTATCAACAGTGGTGTCTACACTGCCAAATGCGTTAGGATCTTGTGACCCAGTAAGGCAATCTCTAAAATTTGAACGGAAAATCGAGTTTAAACGAATATGTGTGCCCTTGCTATCATACTCTATTAGATGTAGCGATTCTAGCCGCTTTAGTGCCTCAAATTCAAGCTTTCTCGCCAGAGGTTTACACCATTTGTTCAAGTCCCTTACAGGTATGGGTTTCTCATTGAATATCATTGACATAATGTAGAATTTCGCCATAGGCGATAAAAGTCGGTATATTGAAAGACAAGTTGCTGGAGCTTCAAAAAGCTTCGATTGGACCGTCTTTGGTAGGTCTTCCAAATATTCGTTAACCGTCGCTTTAAATAGATTGGACGTCGTCATAATAACAGCTTCTTTTTCTTTTCTTTTTTTTTTTGATATCAGCAAGACAAAATAAACCCCGTTAACCAACTTGAATCAAGGGAGAGAGATCTATCTCTCAGTTGTACCAACGTTAAACCTTAACCTTAGATTGTAGCTTCTTGTTACATCATCGCAAGAGCAAGAACCAAAAACAAAAAAAAAAAAAAAAAAAAAAAAAAAAAAAAAAAATATATAAAATGAAAAACTTGATCCTGCGATGAGATCAGATAAGTCAAGTTGAAAACAAGATATCTTTTTACCAGCCTCATTTTCTGCCCAAGATGCCTTTAAAGAAGAAGGTGAGAAATGCTGGACAGTCGGAGACAGATACGGCATTCGATGAGTTACTAAGACCTGTGTATAAGGGTAAACGGTTAGAAGATGAGATCGACACGGCCGAGGATAAATGGAATCTTTTGCCGGCATTTTTAAAAATCAAGGGTTTAGTTAAGCAGCATTTGGACTCGTTCAATTACTTTGTTGATGTTGATTTGAAAAAGATCTTGCAGGCAAACTCAATGGTACGATCTGATGTGGATGAGACGTTTTATATCGAGTATACGGATATTAGAGTTGGACACAAGTCTACTTCGAAGCCAGGCACCAAAGAAGTGATATTACCGCCACATGAGTGTAGATTGAGAGACTTGACATACAGCGCGCCCATTTACGTTGACGTGTTGTATACAAGAGGATCCAAAATAATCCAACACAACGATTTGGAGATTGGGAGAATGCCAATTATGTTGAGGTCGAATAAGTGTATGTTGGATGGGATGGACGAGAAAAGAATGGCTCAAGTGGACGAGTGTCCTTTGGATCCCGGTGGATATTTTGTCGTTAATGGTACGGAAAAGGTAATCTTAGTTCAAGAGCAGTTGTCCAAGAATAGAATCATTGTTGAAGCTGACGAAAAAAAGGGCATAGTGCAAGCCTCGGTGACATCATCGACACATGAAAGAAAATCCAAAACTTATGTGATAACAAAGCACGACAAGATATATTTAAAACATAACTCTATTAGCGAGGATATCCCTATTGTGATTGTGTTGAAAGCAGCAGGCATCACATCTGATCTTGAAATATTACAATTAGTATGTGGTTCAAACCCTAGTTATCAAGATATATTTGTTGTCAACTTTGAAGAGGCTGCCAAGCTAGGTGTATTTACCCAACGACAAGCACTACAATATTTGGGTAAACGAGTGAAAACGATGAGAAGAGCAGGTGCGGCTAAGTTGTCACAAATCCAGGAAGGTATCGAGGCAATTGCCATCACAATCATTGCGCATTTGACTGTCAAAGACTTGCAATTTAGAGAAAAAGCTCTTTATATAGCTATAATGGCAAGGAGAGTTGTAATGGCTATGCACAACCCCAAAATGGTGGACGATAGAGACTACGTTGGTAATAAAAGATTAGAGCTTGCTGGACAGCTTATGTCATTGCTTTTCGAAGACTTGTTCAAGAAATTCAACTCCGATTTCAAGGCTAATATTGACAAGATTTTGAAGAAACCGAGTCGTGCTTCAGAGTTTGATGCTCTCTTGTCTATACATATACACTCAAATAACATTACCATGGGTTTAAATAGAGCTATATCCACGGGGAACTGGTCATTGAAGCGTTTCAAGATGGAAAGAGCAGGTGTTACTCATGTCCTATCCAGGTTATCGTACATATCAGCCTTGGGGATGATGACTCGTATTTCTTCACAATTTGAAAAATCGAGAAAAGTTTCTGGTCCTAGAGCTTTACAGCCGTCTCAGTTTGGGATGCTTTGTACTGCAGATACACCAGAAGGTGAAGCTTGTGGGTTAGTTAAAAACTTGGCATTAATGACGCATATCACAACTGATGATGAGGAACTTCCTATAAGAAAGCTTTGTGTAGCTCTTGGTTGTGAGTTGATTTTGAACCTAGATTCAGCAACTTTGCACATGGATGGTAACTTTGGAGTTTACCTCAATGGTACATTGATTGGAACGACTAGATTTCCTGTAAAATTTGTTTCCGATTTTCGTCGATTGAGAAGAGCTGGCAAAGTTTCTGCATTTATCTCCATATACACCAATATTCATCATCAAGCAGTACATTTGGCCACTGATGGTGGACGTATTTGTCGTCCGTTGATTATAGTTGAAAACAACCAGTCCAAAGTACAAAAAGAGCATATAGCAAAATTGTTGAAAGGTGAATGGGAATTTGACGATTTCTTAAGAGAAGGATTGGTAGAATATTTAGATGTCAATGAAGAAAATGATTCGTTGATTGCGTTGTACGAGAAAGATATTGGTGCCATCCCCAATTCGAACACGACACATTTGGAAATTGAGCCATTTACCGTGCTTGGAGCTGTTGCTGGTTTAATTCCATATCCGCATCATAACCAATCGCCTAGAAACACGTATCAATGTGCGATGGGTAAACAAGCCATTGGTGCTATAGCTTATAATCAATTCAGAAGAATTGACACTTTGCTATATTTTTCTGTTTATCCACAGCAACCCATGGTGAAAACAAAGACTATTGAGTTGATAAATTATGATAAGTTGCCCGCCGGTCAGAATGCAACTGTTGCGGTTATGTCGTATTCTGGTTACGATATTGAAGATGCGTTAGTGCTCAATAAAGCCTCTCTCGATAGAGGTTTTGGTCGATGTCAAGTTGTACGCAAAAATACAGTGCAATTGAAGAAGTATTCAAATCACACAAAGGACATTTTATCTGGTATGAGAGTTGATGAAAACAATCAGCCCATTTTTCCACATCAACCTTTGGGACCCGATGGGCTTGGTGAAGTGGGCAGTAGGATTGAGAATGGACAAGTGTTTGCCAATAAGTGGGTTCCAACTAATGCAGGCGACTCGACATTGAATGGACCGCAACAGCAACAGAATCCATCTGTGGAAAGTCACAGAGAGGCCGCCTCTTACTACAAGGGTCCTGAACCATCATATATCGATCAAGTCATGATGTCAGTTAGTGACAATGATCAAGCATTAGTAAAAGTTGCATTAAGACAGACGAGAAGGCCCGAATTAGGAGACAAGTTTTCCTCGAGGCATGGACAAAAGGGTGTTTGTGGTATAATTGTACAGCAGGAGGATTTACCTTTTAATGATGATGGTATCTCGCCGGACATCATTATGAATCCGCATGGTTTTCCTTCACGTATGACGGTAGGTAAAATGATTGAGTTGATATCAGGTAAAGCTGGGGTGTTGAATGGTTCATTAGAGTATGGAACTTGTTTCGGTGGCTCCAAATTGGAGGAGATGTCACGAATATTAGTTGATAAGGGATTTTCTTATTCCGGAAAGGATATGTTGTATTCTGGTATCACGGGAGAGTGTCTCCAAGCTTATATCTTTTTTGGGCCTATTTATTACCAAAAATTGAAGCATATGGTGTTGGACAAAATGCACGCGAGAGCAAGAGGTCCACGGGCTGTTTTGACAAGACAGCCAACCGAAGGTCGATCAAGAGATGGTGGGTTAAGATTGGGAGAGATGGAGCGTGATTGTGTTATTGCATATGGAGCAAGTCAATTATTACTTGAGAGGTTGATGATTTCATCGGATGCGTTTGAAGTGGACATATGCAACAAGTGTGGGTTAATGGGATACAATTCGTGGTGTACCACTTGTAAAGAAAGCGAAAACATTATAAAGATGACGATTCCGTATGCTGCTAAATTGTTATTCCAGGAATTGCTTTCGATGAATATTGCTCCCAGATTGAAACTAGCTGATGTGTTTTGAAAAGGACAGACACTATCGAACAGAGCTATACAACGCTATCGAGCAGAGCGAGATAGTGGAGCACACTGACTAGCTATGTGATGATAGTAGAGAAGATGGGAACTTTAACTAGAGAGAGAGAGAAAACTTGCTAGTGTTGGTGGCAGCTGGTGTTGGTGGCAGCTGGTGTTGGTGGCAGCTGGTGTTGGTGGCAGCTGGTGTGCTCCACTATCTCGCTCTGCTCGATAGCGTTGTATAGCTCTGCTCGATAGTGAGGGAGGAAACGGTAAAGAAAAAATTTTCATCTCCACTTCCAGCCACCCTGTAGGTATCGGTGACAGCTAGTCAATGGTCCACTATCTCGCTTCGCTCGATAGTGTTCCTTCGTCGTCAAAGCAGAATTAGGCTTTCTAGGGGGGTTCATTTTTAGCCTTTTTTAATTTTTATTTTTTCTTTTAGTTCTCTCTGTAGATTGATGAGATCTATTTTTATTCTTTTACTAGAAAGAACTAGATTGAAGGGAATACAGAGAAGCTATGCTTGTTTCCACAGTGTAGGTTATGGCACTTGGGTATATGATGCAAAGATCACGGCCCAGGATTAGGGTTGTGTTTATAAGTTTGGTGGTGCTGCTAGTGTACTTTTTTGTTGTAGCCATGAGTGAAACGTCAGGGCAATTAGATTTCAAATCGGTGGCATATTTATTAAGAAACTCAATAAAAGAGATAAGACTGCGTTTTGGAATTTTGCAAATGGAGTCTCAAGTTGAAAAGTTGGATATAACAACGGATCCAGAGCACCCTTTTGATAATGTGATAAATTCATTTTTCCCCATTGACTCGATTTTGGAGTTCAATACTACTACTCGGTTATCTGAGGATAGTGGCAGTGGCAGTGGCAGTGGCAGTGGCAATTTGACGACACACCAAATCGTGGGTAGGTATGCTTCATTTAGCCCCATTTTGAATAACGAGTTAAAGTCCAAATACAGAATATTGCCAAGTAATGCATGCACCGAGATTGACTTGAATGATTTGCACAATGAACAAGAGTATAGACATAAAGTGTTGATTGTTTTACGAGGAGATTGTACGTTTGTGGATAAGGTAACAAACATTTTGAACTCGGAATTGGATTCAACGGCAATAATCATTGCCAATAATGAGCCGTACAAGGGACTAATTACGATGTTTTCAAATGCATTCAACCAAGACTACTCGTTGGAAACTCCAATCATGTTTATCACTTTTGAGGATTATAAACTTCTCAAGCTGTTGGAGAAAGAAAGCTTAGTATTGAGAATTACAACCGCGTATCTTGGCAGTTGGTTCACGCTTTTAATGTCCATGGTGTTTTCGCCACCACTATTAATTGTTATTTTCTACTGCTTTATTGTTTGTGGACAAAAGATTAAAAAGTTTCAGGTTAGCCGTAAGAATGCGCAAATGGTGAGAGATCTTCCTGTTTATATCTACAACATTGATCACTTGATAAAAGAGACAAATTTTTCAACATACTTGAAGGCTACAGGTCAAACAAACCAGATACCCGAAATTGAGAATGACAACGCTGCAGCAATCTATGAATCGCCAACATCTTCTCCAAATCGATCCACTACATCGGTGCATCAATTTATTGTTGGGGGCATTGATCTCAAAAACTCAAAAGTACCTTTACAAGTGCTTTTTCTGCCCGAAAAGTTTTTCAAGTCTTACAAGTGCTCTATTTGCTTGGAAAAATATATTCCTTTAAAGTCAAAAGTCTTGGTTCTAGACTGCAAACATTTCTTCCATCAATATTGTCTATCTAATTGGCTTATTAACTTTAGAAGAATATGTCCATTGTGCAACTCAATGTTGCTGCTGCTGCTGCTGGTGCAACAACAACAGTCAAATTTACTTGCTGGTCAAGAAGAAGAAAATTATGGATCAACTTTAGATTTAGAAAGAGGAGATGAGCCACTGGAGATGTCATCAGCAACAGAACAAAGAAGAGAGGTAGTAGCATCCACATCAATACCACCACCACCACCACCACCACCATCCAATATATCCACCAGCATTTTTAGTCAACATTTACAATCAGCACAGAGAGAATTACTTGGGAATATTACTCTTTTACCACCAAGACCGCTATTGATAGCTCGGCCACTGACACTACTAAATCAATGTAATGTCAATTCAAAATTTGACAGAGAAGAGTTAAGCACGAGTATCGACTCAGGTAACGGCAAGTAGCAGTAAATATCCTAATCCAAAAGAAGTGCAGGTTACTGGTTACTAGTGGTTGAAAGAAAGGAGAAAACATTAATAAAGGATGCCTGTGATAGCTCGTATCGCTCTATCACCTCGTGTGATCGACGGTGGCTGAGATAGTATACAAAGCTCTTGGTGATATAAAGCTCTTGGTGATATAAAGCTCTTGGTGATATAAAGCTCTTGGTGATATAAAGCTCTTGGTGATATAAAGCTCTTGGTGATATAAAGCTCTTGGTGATATAAAGCTCTTGGTGATATAAAGCCCTCTGTTGTTGGTTGATTCTTTTTTTTTTCTTTTTTTTTTCTTTTTTCTCCAACAGTAAAATATTTCATCTCTTTAATCAAATCATTCTTCCACAATGAATAACGAAGCCGCTGAGCCGAAAACAGAAGTAACACCGAAGCCTATAAGGATTAGGAAGAGGAAAAAGAAGTTGGAGATAGCATGTGTTTATTGCAGGCGTTCACATATGACGTGTGACGAAGTACGGCCATGTCAAAGGTGCGTGAAGAGAGGTATTCTGCACCTCTGTTATGATGAACCATCGAATCCCCGTCAAAGGAAGAAAGCTGCATCTTTGAGGCGAACTCAAAGTGAAGGAGAAAATACATTTGCCTCACCGCCAACTCAAGAGGTGCCTTTTGCGAAAGTTAAGCAGGTTCAGCAACAGCAACAGCAACAGCAGCAACAACAGGTTCAGCCGCCACAGCAACAGCAGCAGCAGCAGCAGCAACCACAGGTGCAATTGTCATCGCCGTCGATGTCAGTACCACCTTCTCTACAGTTCAACCCTGTGCCCAGACCTTCTAAAAATTCGATATTATCTCAAACATTCCCTTATAATCAGGAACCGTTGTTTTATTCCGAACATGCTGGAAGCGAGTTCAGCTCGTTAAATGACTTTCTTTCCATGATCGATGATCCCGAGTTGGTCAATGGTGCGTTGAATGATGATCCAAATGGGATTTTAAACTTTGGTAACAACACTAATAACAACAACACTAGTAACAACAACAATAACAATTATCATGTGAATAGCGGCAATCATAATGCAAATTTGAACAATGTATTAGGACTCTCGCCAAATGCTGCTTTATTCGGGCAGACGTTTAATGAGGAGTTGGTGCATCTGCAGCAACAACAACATCAGCAACAGCGGCAACAACAACACCAGCAACCACAGCAGCAGCAACAACAACAACAACAACATATACAACATATGCAACAGCAGCAACAGCATATACAACAGCAATCATCACATTCACAACCCAAGATACAAGAAAAAACAGCAATGTCACCGAAACCAGAATCTGCGCAACCAGTGATATCCGACTCGGCGAGGGACAAGTTTTTCCTCACAGCTGCTGATCCAACCACAGAAATCTCTCCTGAAGAGAGATTAAAACAAGTTATCAAAGCAAAATTAGAGGCGGGTTTGTTACAACCTTATAACTACGCTAAGGGGTATGCTAGGTTGCAAAGATACATGGATAATTACATGAATATATCTAGTCGTCAGCGAATCTTGAAACCGCTCTCGATATTTAGACCTGCATTTCGCGCTATTGCTCGAACTTTGAAAGATGTTGATTTGGTACTAGTTGAAGAAAGTTTCGAAAGAATGTTATTGGATTATGATCGAGTGTTCACATCCATGGCAATACCTGCTTGTTTATGGAGGAGAACAGGGGAGATTTATCGTGGCAATAAAGAGTTTGCCTCATTGGTTGGAGTCACAACCGATGATTTGAAAGATGGGAAGTTGGCCATTTATGAGCTCATGAGCGAGGAGAGTGCTGTTAATTTTTGGGAGAAGTACGGAGCTATTGCTTTTGACAAAGGTCAGAAAGCAGTGTTGACGAGTTGTAACTTGAGAACAAAAGATGGTATTAAGAGAAAAACATGTTGTTTCAGCTTTACAATTAGGCGAGATCGATATAATATTCCAAGCTGTATTGTGGGGAACTTTATACCTATTGATCCATGAATTAAGAAAAATGATGTAACTATTTAGAGCTGGCTTTTCCATTTTTCTTCTCCTTTTCCTCTTCCTCTTCTTCTTCTTCTTCTTCTTCCTCTTCCTCCTCCTCGTCCTGTTCTTTTTCTTTTTCTTTTTGCTTTTCTTGTGCTTCTCTCAACAACTTGAGTCTCTCTTCTTTCAACTGTCTCTGCACTTCTATATATTGTCCAAGAGGTGTCTTTTTCAGTTCAAAATCGCTCAAAAACATTTTCACCTCTTGTTTGTTGCTTGGACCATACTCCACATGTGCTCTTTTTGTCATGATGAATTGGGCATTGGTATTCATTTTTTCAATCAACTGACCTAACTGCTTGTTGAATTTGACGTTTTTTGACTTTTTTATAAATCTTTTTAAAGCAAGCACTGCTGGTGTGATTAGCTCGGGAAACGCAATGTTTTTTGCATATAATCCAAAAAACTCTGCAGTCAACTCTATAAATTGTTCAGTTAATCCGTCTTGGTAAATCTTAGTCCCTAAATAGGCTTGATTAACCTTGATATTATGTTCGAAATCTACAAATTGTAAACTGGATGGCTTAGGAGGCTTGGTAATTGCTGTGGATGAAAGAACCTCGAAAAGTAATGGAAACAAGGGTATGTATACTCCTGTTAGTTGAGACAATCTGATAAGAGACCTTACTAAGTAAAATCTCAAGGGGAAAAACTGGGCTGTGGGAATCAATCTGATTGCACCTAAAGTGACTTGCACCAAGGGGTAAATCAACTGCCTCATTGAAGATTCCTTGGATTTGTGATTTCTTAACTCAACCTCGGGATTACAATATTGAGACAACACTCTTGACCAAAAATCTAACGAGTGACAATATTGCCAGTTGTAAATAGTCTTGTATCCTTCTTTGGCATTGGAAGTGGCATTGATACTGTTTCTCAAGTGTATAGCAAGTTGTCTTATATACTCAAATCCAATTTGGTACCCCACAGCCTCATCAATACCATATAATTCAGCAGCGGAGTTTTTACAAAAATTAATTTTGTCCATGCTGTGAACATTTGTTCTACGACAATGCTGAAGGAGTGAAGAGTAAGTGAGTTTTAGCACTGTTTCTAGTACCGACTTGGGATATTCTCTAGCAACATTGTTCAAAAATGCAAATGTGGCAATTTGTGTGTCAATCTCACCAGCACTAGCCCACACATTTACCACAGCAGTTAATATGTGTTTTAAAAGACGACGGTGTGATAAGTAGTATGGGAATACCTCGTAAATAGAAGCTAAAATTAATGCAGCTGTTTCTGTATTGGTGATGTCATTCAACAAAGTGATGAATGAACTGGCATGAGTTTTTAAAATGTTGGAAATCTGCTCTGCCTGTCCATTCTTTTGTGGAATCGTCCTTACTCCATGTTGATTTGTCTTGTATTTGACAATATTTTGAATAGCAATAGGCACTTTCTTCAACACGAGTAACATCAAATCAGCAAATGCTTGGGGATCAATCATTGTATATTTGTAGTCGTCACTCTTGTGTATATTTATGGCGGCCTTAAATGCTATAATTATATTTCTGATTATCTTAGTTGTTGGTTGGGTCAACTGTTGCTCCCATTTTTTAACCAACTGGGTGGTTATATCTATTTTAGTAGTGTTTTGCACCCCTGACTTGGCTTCTTCTTCATCTTCTCCGTTGTCATCTTCTTCTTCTCCATCATCATTCTCGTTTTCAGAATCATCACTTATCGCGTCCAAAGGATTCACATGTAAAAGCTCCTCGTCATTCTCTTTCAAGTATTTGTAAAACTCTGGGTCCTCTTTTTCCAAGTTATCTAAGTTCTCTTGCATATCGATGTCAGAAGAAGACGACAGCTCGTCGCCAGACTCAGACTCGGACTCAGACTCAGACTCTAACTCAGTGTCCTTAGTTTTCGTTTTCTTTTTCCTATCCTTTTTCTCTTTCTCCTTTGGTACTTCGAATCCCCCGGCAAAGAAGTCATCTACTGACATATCCTCAAACACTTCTTTAGCTTTCCCATCACGAGTTGTTGTAGCTCCACCATTCCCATTGCCTTTTTTTCTTAGCGCTGCTTTCTTGTTAAATTCCTGGACTTTCTTACGTTGCTCAATTGTATGCTTTAGATGTTTATTTTGAAACTTCTTTGTCTGTTTTGAAGTTTTGCCCATGGTAAGATATACCCTGTCCGAGTCCCAATATTTTTCAAAAGAAGAAGCTTAGAGATGAGCAATGAGATGAGAGAAGCGATTAGTTTTTTTGTCTTTTTTTTTTTTCCATTTTTTTTTTCTCTTTTTGCGATGAGCCCAAATTGAATCAGGAAAACTTAAAGATGTAGACAAAATGCCATCCTGTAGGTGGAAGTAGTAGTAGCGGATATGATTGTTAGCATCAATGTCGCTTAAACGTTATTGCTGTGTGTCGGTGGCAGCTGGTGTGCTCCACTATCAACCAGAGAGCGAGATAGTGTTGTATGATATCCCGATGAGAAGGGTTTCAAAAAAAAAAGGTGAGTATTTTGCAATGGAAAAAAAGAACCAACCCGGAATCGAACCGGGGACCAATCGATTTGCAATCGAGTGTAATAACCGCTATACTATTGGTTCTGGTAAGACAGGCTTCAAACCCTCTTGTAATCAGGAAATCAACTGTACTATTTGGTTGTTTTCTTGCATGACTCAGAGATTTGAATAGAGTTACCTGCACTGCTACGTATTTTATATCATAAGAAAGCTTTCCTCTATACTGTTGTCAAAAATGACATTGACAAGATCGGCAAGATAATAGGATATCCCAAGTAGAGTAAAAACTCAAAGACTTTTCTGTGTGTAAACGTTTAGGTCAATGTTGTTACCTAGGTTTTATAATTTTTTTTCTAAAATGTCCATGACTCTAATTTATCTTTTAACTTTTTGGATGATTTGATGCCAAAATTGTTGAAAAAATTCGACACTATCGAGGAGAGCGAGATAGTGGAGCACACTAACTGCTTGACTAGCAAAGTGAAGGCGAAGTTAGTTGTTCTCTATAACTAGCAAAGCGAAAGCAAAGCTAGTGGTTCTCTATAACTAACAGAGCGAAAGCAAAGCTAGTGGTTCTCTATAACTAGCAAAGCGAAAGCAAAGTTAGTGGTTCTCTATAACTAGCAAAGCGAAAGCAAAGCTAGTGGTTCTCTATAACTAACAGAGCGAAAGCAAAGCTAGTGGTTCTTTATAACTAACAGAGCGAAAGCAAAGCTAGTGGTTCTCTATAACTAGCAAAGCGAAAGCAAAGCTAGTGGTTCTCTATAACTAACAGAGCGAAAGCAAAGCTAGTGGTTCTCTATAACTAGCAAAGCGAAAGCAAAGCTAGTGGTTCTCTATAACTAACAGAGCGAAAGCAAAGCTAGTGGTTCTCTATAACTAACAGAGCGAAAGCGCCAGCTAGAGCCTAACACTTGCCAAGTGAATGCCTGACACTAAAGCGAAACCGACGTGTGTTTTTGACAAAAAAACAAAAAGAGTATTACCTACAATTAAAGAACTACACAGTATAAGGTTGGTTTTATAGCTTTTTCAGTCCACACTCAACTCTACTATTAAGTCTACAATTAACACACTAACTAATGACACTAGTGTCTATAAAGTGTTGCTCGATAGTGTCGTATTGTCGCGGTGTCTATAAAGTGTTGCTCCACTATCTCGCTCTGCTCAATAGTGTCGTATTGTCGCGGTGTCTATAAAGTGTTGCTCCACTATCTCGCTCTGCTCGATAGTGTCGTAGTGTCATGGTGTCTATAAAGTGTTGCTCCACTATCTCGCTCTGCTCGATAGTGTCGTGGTGTCGTGGTGTCTATAAAGTGTTGCTCCACTATCTCGCTCTGCTCGATAGTGTTGTATCGCATTCTTTTCTTCAAATACCCCGGATTTTATTGCGCTACCAAACCAAGAATTTTATACCTAGACCCATTATTGCCTCTTCTCCCGTCTTCCTCCGATCCCCCCAATACAAGACTCTATCCTGAGCCTGATAAACATGAATTCCGTCTCCATTGACAACATAGGGGAACAATGTTTTTTGGCCAATTTCCCTCTTCTTAAGCTTGCGTACTATTCACGTCCGAATCAATTTCTGACCAATGATGTTCTTTTTATTTGTAAAGTGCGCATGCCCTGGTGCTCAGTTAACCCGGGCAACTGAAGCAAAGGAAAAAAAAAAAAAAGAGACCCGATAAAAAAGACCAAAGGTAACCAGAGAAAAAAAAGTGAAAAAGTATAGCTACTGTTCATTTTCTTTTATTTCAACCAAGGACAAATGTTTAGGCCTACTATACTCAAGAGATGCGTCAGACTGTTAGCCACAGTAGCTGAAGAAAAAGCTCCAAGGGTCAAGAAATTTCAAATATACAGATGGAATCCTGATACTCCCGAAGTTCAACCCAAGATGCAAACGTATGAAGTGGATTTGAATAAATGTGGTCCGATGGTGTTGGATGCATTGTTGAAGATCAAAAACGAACAGGATTCCACTTTAACTCTTAGAAGATCATGTCGTGAGGGAATTTGTGGCTCATGTGCCATGAATATTGGTGGTAGAAACACATTGGCATGTTTGTGCCGTATAGATACCGATACTTCAAAAGAAACCAAGGTATATCCATTACCACACATGTTTGTTGTTAGGGATTTAGTTCCAGATTTGACTCATTTTTATAAGCAATACAAGTCAATCAAGCCATATTTGAAAAGAGACCACCATCCTGAAGATGGAAGAGAAAATATACAGAGCATTGAAGATAGAGCCAAATTGGATGGGTTGTATGAGTGTATATTGTGTGCTTGTTGCTCAACATCTTGTCCTTCATACTGGTGGAACCAGCAACAATATTTAGGTCCTGCAGTTTTGATGCAGGCTTACAGATGGTTGATTGATTCTAGAGATGAAGCTACGGCTGAAAGAAAAGCAATGTTGCAAAACTCAATGTCCTTGTACAGATGTCATACCATTATGAATTGTGCAAGAACTTGTCCAAAGGGATTGAACCCAGGTAAGGCAATCGCAGAAATAAAGAAACTGTTAGCATTTGATTAAGTAATTTTTTTTTTTCAATTTAGGCAAATCTTTTTTATCCCTCAGCTTTCCCTAGCCCTCTATGATGATGACGACTGTATCACTTATAGTCATTATGAGCATTGTTTGCTTTTTTCAAATGGGTTTCATTAACAATGCATTTCCCCTTTCTTTTCTTTTTTTTCTTTCTTTTTTTTTTGTTTGTTTGTTCATGAAAACAGGCATCTTCTGTAAAAATACAAGAAAATCATTTAGTTAGCGCTTGTTGATATACAACAAAACAAAATAGAAAAGAGCATTTACGAGAATATGGGTTTTAGGTACATACCATTGTTGTAGCATAATCAAAGCTGTAATAATATGGTCTCCAAGTCATCCCAATCCATAAACATTTCGCCAAACTCCATTGGCCCTTGAATAGTTTAAATTAGAAACAGTAAAGCGGATAAGAGCATACTCAAATGCACTGTAAACGCATAATGAAAAGGAAATTTTTTTTTCGATTCATATCTATATATATATATATGTATATGCATATATAATTATGAGTTTATACGAGTTTTATGTAGTTCTGATTATGTTTTGTAGATGTCTGATAAGGAAGAGGCTGGATTGAAGACCAACTCCGAGACCGAATTGGAAGCCAACTCAGAGGTGGGCTTGGCTAGCGTAGGCAGTTTTGATAATGCCTTTACATTTGTCAACCAACACCAACCAAGTGATGAAATAGATAAGGCAAGGTTAGTGAGAAAATTGGACTTTATTATTCTTCCGTTATTATGCTCCATCTACTTGCTTCAATATTTGGATAAACTTCTTCTCAATTATGCGGCTGCGATGGGGATTAAACGGAACCTTGTAGGAAACGAGTATGCCAACTTGTCTACAATCTTCTATGCTGCATATATTTTCGGAGAGCCAATTGTTTCATATTGTTTGCAAAAGTTTCCTTTGGGCAAGACATTGGGTATATTTATAATCATATGGGGGGTAGTAGTAACCTGCCACTCTGCTGCTTCAACTTACGCTTCATTAATGGTAGTTCGAACTTTGTTGGGAATTTTCGAGTCCTCCAGCGCAGTGGGATTGATTATTATTAGTGGTATGTTTTATACAAAGAGACAGCAAGTAGCCAGGATGGGAATTTGGTCTACAATGGCTGGCGTGGGTACAATAATAGGAGGATTGTTATCCTTTGCTTTTCAACACGTAAAAACTACCAAATTCCAATCATGGCAAATCCTATTCTTGGTAATGGGGGTGATTACAATATTAATGGGTATTATTGTGACTATCTTCCTTCCGGATAATGTACACACTTGCAAGTTTCTTACCGACCAGGAAAAAGTCTATATCCTCAACAACGTGGTTAAGGTTAATCAAACTGGTACAAAGAATTCCAAGTTCAAAAAGGAGCAAATCTATGAGCTATTATTCAAAGACAAATTCACTTGGCTATACTTTCTTTTAACCTTGTGCTCTCAAATTGTTACAGGTGCCATTGGAACATTTAGTGTAACAATCACCCTCACATTTGGTTTCGACAGTTATGAGTCGGCTTTGCTACAACTACCCGTGGGAGCAATAACCATCATTATCATTGCAACTGCAACACAGCTTGCCTCTAAAGTGGGACACCACACCCTCGTAACTGCTTCAATGTTTGTTCCGACTATTGTTGGTGCAATCGTATTGCTAATATCCCCCAATAGAGTTGGTAATTTATTATCATTATATTTGCTTTACAGCGGATCGTGTAGCATAACATTGATTTATGCATGGATAGGTGCAAACACCGCCGGATCGTCCAAAAAATTTGTAAGAAGTGCAATGATTATGATTGCATTTTCGGTAGCTTGTATCATTGGGCCACAATTGTTCCAAGCTTATAGTGCCCCTCATTATCGGCCTGCTAAAATAGTCATCCTCATAACCCAGTGCTTGTCAATTCCTATAACATTGCTTATCGGCTGGATGTGTAAAGAGGAGAATGAAAAGAGAAAAGAACTGGTAACAGGCAGAGAGTTTTTGGACTTGACGGATATAGAAAATGAAAATTTTAGATATATATATTGATAAAGGAAATAGACAATATTCATGAATCAGTGTTACTGACCATACTTATTACAATACATATAAGTCTTTATATTATGCTCCACTATCGAGCAGAGCGAGATAGTGGAGTTAATCATATCTCCTCCTTGCTATCACTTATATAGTGTCTGCTATTAAAAAGAAAGGAAAGAAAAAAAAAAAAAGAAAATGCCCGCCCTACAGGACTCGAACCTGCAGTCTTCTGATCCGTAGTCAGACGCGTTACCATTACGCCAAGAGCGGTCTTTTATATAAGATAAAGTTTTATGTTTCAGTTATTTTCAAAAAATTTGGATAAATAAGGTATAACATACAATGATGTAATGATGTAATCTCAAAGTTAGATTAAAAGCACGTAGAAACTGCTGTATATATATATATGTATATGTATATATTGATTTATTAAGTAGTTTCTTTACACCTGACTCTTTACTTGTTCCCTACTTTTTCTCCACTTTGGACCCCATTTCAACAATACAACGACAATTATTATACCCACCACGTCAAGTAACCCCAATCCCGTCATACACCATCCAAACCCCATCTTCCGTATTAAAACATCAACAATTGCAGTACAAATTGCCGCAGCTACGTTTCTCATCAAGTTTCCTATGGCGACATTGGCACTTGGCTGAGCTGGGCTGCATTCAGTTAAATAGGTTGTTGTAGCGACAAAGACCCATGTCATTCCAAACCCTGATAAAAACGCAAATATAAACACCGCATAAACTGGAGCATGCTTCTCAACTGTCCATGCATAACCAATCACTCCAGCCATGGAAATCAACAACCCTGCAATTTGTATGGAAAACCTATGTTCCGGAATATAATCCTCTCTTCTCATGAGCTTATCTGAAAGCCAACCGCCTATGCTAGATCCAATAATCAAAGCGCTGCCTGGACACAAATAACTCAAGCTTGTTTCAATTGGAGTGAAATTGTATTGTTCCAGCAATACGCGTGAAAATGTAATCATGACTCCATAAAACGTTGCAAATAATAGTCCTGAATTAATCGAACAAAGCAAAACTGGCTTATATTTGAGTAAATTCCAATAATTTTTCAAACTTGGTTTCGGTGGACGCGGATACCCTTCAACAACTTTCTCTTGCAATTTTGGCTTCACAAAGTAACCCTGGCCCAAGCAACTGCCATCTCCTACTAAAAACCTCAACGTTTCTGGTAAAAAAAACAATATTATCAAGTACACCACAAACCCGAAAAGAGCCAAAAATCCAAAAATCCACCTCCAATTGGTTGTTGCTATTAATGACAATAATGGCCCCAATACTGGGCCCAATTGTGGGCCCCACATAAATATCGAAATTGCCTTTGCTCTATTCTTTGGCTCAAAAATATCCGATACTATCCCGGCACCAACAGACATGACACTGCTCGCTCCAAACGCTTGGACTATCCGCAAAATGTAAAGTGCTACAATATTCGCAGGAACGGTGGCTAGTAAAATGTTCGCTAAAATGAAAAAGGATAAAGGCAACAAATAAAGCATCTTTCTCCCTCCGTAGTCGGCCCATGATGCCCAGATCAACGGGCAAAACGCAAATAATGCCATAAAAACGGAAACTGTTCCATCAATGGTAGTACTCGATACATTGAAAACCTCCTCCAACTCAGGTAAAATTGGCACGTAAATGTTCCCGGCAATTGGTCCCAAGCATCCAGCCAAAGTTGCAATGCAAACAATCAACACTCTTCGTTTGAACGGTAGGGCAGAATAAGCAGATGCCATTACTGGAAGAAGAGAGAATGGAAAATGACAGTGGCAATAGCAATTGGTAAATGGCTATGGCAAACAAAAAGACAACAACGACAACGACAACAATAACGATAACAATAAGGTCAACAACGCAAACAACTGCACTTCTATAAATTGCTAAATCGCAACTTCATATTCACTGGACAGATTGGGCCAGCTGGTGTTATTCTTTCCTTCCAAGTATCATCGAGCGATATCTTGTACTTTCCTAAAACAGCTTGAACAAACATTTTGCATTCATACAATGCAAACTTCTCACCAAGGCAAGCCCTCTTACGCCCGTGAAATGCAGGCAATGTTCCCATCCGTTTAGCTTTCGAATAGTTTGCACTAATTTCTTCACTTGTGGAACCCCATCTTTCTGGCTTAAATTCGTTTGCAGATTCCCAAAAATTTGCATCCCTTCCAGTTCCCATATTGTAGTAACCGACATAAACTCCTTTCGGAATGTAAATGTTTCCCAAAATCGTAGCTTGTGTCGTGCACCTATTGATAATCTGATTCAACGGAGGATACATTCTCAAAGTTTCATAAACCACTGCAGATAAATATGGATCGCCTTCTTTGCGTACCTTCTCCTGTATACAAGAGTTCTTGGCTAGTACGTACAATAAGGAAAGCATTAATAGCAATGGATTCTCATGTCCTGCAACCATAAGAATTATCGAGTTATCCAAGTATTGCTTTTGAGTTAGCTTTCCATTGCTTAATGCTGCTGACAAGTTGGCAGCTGCACCTCGAGTAGAGTTTTTGATTTTTTCTCCATACCAACTGCGAAATGCTTCAACCTCCTTTTTAGCTTTGATACGGCTCGGAATAGGAAACATTTCAACCGAAGGGAAATTCATGAAAAATGGCTTAAAAATTTGCAGCTTGATGTATTTGATCTTTTGATGCATTGGGGTGAGATTAGCTCCCACAATACAATCTCCCACGTTAGCAAGGGAGTAAAGCTGTAAAAGGTCATTGACAAAAATTGACGGACCCTTTTGCAATTCCTTCTCAAGCAGTTTAAGAAAATCCCTTGTGTTTTTTTCAATTGGAACAAGGTCTGGAAACTGAATACTCTGCGCAACTACGTCTCTGTATAACCGCCAAAGATCCCCATGAGCCGAAATTATATTATCACCGGTATACGTAGCAAGTACAGACTTTGGAATTTTGATATGATTGCCACTTTTTGCAAAGATATCTTCGTTTTTGAAAATGTGAACCAAGTACTCAGGTTTGCTCACCAAAATATTCCACCTTGAAGCAAAGTAAATCTTTACAGCACCGTACTTTTCCAACTTTTCTCTCAAGTACTTCTCATATAGCTGTAACTGATCCAACCCAAGAAACGAAACGTAAAAAGGGATGGTTGGTATGTTCCGTGGAAAACTGAACGGTGGAACGACGATGGGGCCAATAAAAGTTATTATTACTATTGATAGCAACGCTAAAATCAACAAGAAGACCATCTTTCGGATTGTTGCGTTTCTTGCCTTTTAGAAAGGTTTAATATTTCCAGAATTTCCACAGTATTTAAACCATTTTCTTTATTCTTTCTCTATTCTAAAAAATTTGGGAAACTAAAAGCAAAATGGATCTATAAAAGCATTCCTGGATCCCGATTCCTTGGTCAGATTGAAATCTAGCAAAGTAATTCAAAGCTAAAGAAAGACACAATCAAAAAATGGAATCTTCGTTATCATTAAATTCAAATGCCAGTAGTGTTACCACAGTGGAAAGGTCTCAACCACTCTATAATAACATTTGTATGATATATAGCCGCGATGAAGGCAGTATTTTAACCCAAAGACTCTTTCAAGAATGCGAAACGGAAATCATGCAAGCCAAAAACAAAGTTGAGTATGATGGGTTTTATCGAAAAGATTTGGGTACAGATTATTATATCTGGGAAAAAAAAAGGGACAAGATCTGGCATGGAATTGTTACCAAGATGTCAATATTTGAAAAAATTGACTTGTGGTTTATCGATTTGATATTAACGCTGTCAAAACTTGCCTTTGAGCGTGCACCCGCACCCGCACCTTCTTCCATGTTTGAAGGGGTCTCTACAACAATTACTGACTTATTTGCCGAGGAATTGAAGCACTCTGTAGAAAATGAAAAGTGGGAAGATATTGGCAAGCTTCGTTTCCATAAAAGTGTTGAATTTTTCACCTCTCGTTGGCAACCAGTGGAGGCGGTATTACCAGCTTTTCCTTGTAAGTCGTCTAATCAAGAAAAAGTTTTTGGAGTTATGCCTGATAAGGGCGAGGAGTTGGCGCTAACACGATTGATTCACTTTGCTCGCAAGGTGAAGAAAATATATCCACCGGGCTTTATTATATGGGTTGTTAGTGATGGTCACGTGTTTAGCGATTGCATTGCCGTTGACGACTCGAGAGTCAATGCTTATTTCTCGGCCTTGAAGCAATTGTATTATAGGATTATCGATGGTGACGACAGTGTCAGTGACAGTGTCAGTGACAGTGTCAGTGACGATTGTATCAGGTTTTGTTCCTTACCCGAGATTTTCCGATTGACCAAATGGTTTGATTGTTCAATGGTTGATCATATTGAGTTGGGACATTTTTTGGACACTGAGATTGACCCTGAGTCGGAGCTTTGCCGCAAGATTTTGATGAGCTCTTGTGATACCGATAATGGCAAGTTGTACATGGAGGTTAAGACGCCATCACACCCGAGATTATCATTATTTCGCGGATTTTCCAAATTTATGACTGAAGACTTGCAGTTTCACCCAAAAGTGTGCAAGATGACAAGAAAAATGTTCAAGAAGATTACTTCCAAGGTTGCTTTTGAGATGATTAGACGCAATGACGCCTACTCCAACTTGGTTGAATTGATGTTTCCCTTTCACCTTCGATTTTCCATCCATGCGCATAACAACTCGGGTCCCAAGTTTGGCATCTCGTTATTGCGAAGCCAATGCCGCCATATCACCAGCATCAAAGACCATAAGGAAATTAGATATGCAGATTTATTACACATTCCAACACCTTGGCATAACTCTATAGTTAAAATTGACGATGATGAAACTTATTTTGTAATTAAGGCTAAAAAAGTTGAAGAGGAATTAAATAAAGGTAGCGGCTATGGCCACTGGGATCAAAAAAATCTCCATTATGTTTTCTTTACCAAGTAATCTTCTTCTTCTTCTTCTTCTTCTTCTTCTTCTTCTTCTTCTTCTTCTTCTTCTAAGAAGAAGAAGAAAGAACGAGAAGCAGATATAGTGTTTAGAGAATGCCAGACCAATTGAAGATTAAGACTGACGCTTTAAAGAGACTTGTAAAAGAGGAGAGGCTTTATAAGCAGGAAGTTAGGGACCATGAGCAGTATGTGGATAGAATGAAGGCAAACGAAGCTGACGATTATGAGATTAAGAAACAAATTGAGGTGCTTGAAGAGGGTTATAGGATGATTCCAAAAGTGAGGGAGAGGATTTTGGAGTTGAAGCAGCAATTGAATGATTTATTGATTGAGTTTGGGGGCCAAGAGGAAGTTGGTGAAGTAAAGAAGGTTCTCGCAGAGGTTGATGAAAGCAAGCTGAAAAAGTGAATGGGGGAAACTACTCGCAGAGGTTGATTGAAGGAAGTTGCAGAGGTTAGTGGAAACTACTCGCAGAGGTTGATTGAAGCAAGTTGCAGAGGAATTGAAGCAAGTTGCAGAGGAATTGAAGCAACTTTCAGAGGAATTGAATCACAACTTTCAGAGGAATTGAATCACAAACAAGTTTTGGTGAATGAAAATAATGTGTGTAATGTCAAGTGATTGAAAAATCTATCACAGTGAATGATGTTACACGACGGAGTTAAGCTAATAATAATAATTTTTTTTATTCTCTCTCTCTCTTATTGATAATATAACTACTACGACTAATAATTTAATATTAAGAAAAGAGTTTTCCATTTACTATTATTACTTGTAATAATAAATGTAGATGAAGTAGGATTCAATCTCCCCACTTTGCTCTTTTTATTTTTAGTTAATGTTCTAACAAGGTTAAGTTACCAGTAACCACAACATTTTCCAAAATTGACCCATTGGGGATATCAATCTTGTCTCCGTCATTACATACGATAATCACGGTACCTCTTAATTGAACGCCTTTGCCAATACTAACATTACCTGTAATCGTCAAGTGATCCAATTCCAAGATTTTTGGCATGTGAGGGATTCTTGATTGGAAGCCGCTTACTTTCTTAAAATGAGAACCCAATTTGATCAATGGGTTTGAAAAGCCATCTCTAGTAGGATCTAATTTCAATGTACCGTGTTCCAAGTAAAATAAATCGGATTTGACTAATAGCAAATCCGAACAAGTCTTAACTGGAAGGAATCTCGATCTAGGTACAACAACACCATGGGCGCCTTTAAAGTGTCTGATGGCCGCACCAACGGCTGTTTCTAATTGCAAAACATTGACATCATTGCCAATAATCTTTTGGTTAGGAATGATTTCCGCTTCAATTGCATTAGCTTCAACTAGTCTCTTGATAGCTCTCAAGTTTATCCACAAGTTATTGGTGTTAAAGTATTTGAATTTTTTAATGCTCTTGAAATCCTCAACGTGCTCTTTTGGAACCTGTGCAATCTCCAATAATCTAACCTCTCCTTGGTAATTGATCAATGTACCTCCCTTAACATCAGCTCTAGTCTTATCGGTCAACTCCATAATATATTCAGCACCTGTCTCTAACATATGCGATAAGATCTTTGTGTCTACTGTGGCCCCCAAGTTGTCACCATTGGAAACAAACAAAATTTCTCTGCCTTGCTCCAACAATGCATCAAGCTCGCCTGATTGAACCAAAGCTTCAAACAAGTCTCCGTGTCCCGGAGGGTACCAACTTTCAAGAGAATCGTCATATGACTCCGGGACCGGCAATAACGAGTCCTTGTAGATTCTTGGAAATCTCGATTGGTTAAAAGTCTTGACTCTGATTCTGTGTCCTTGATACTTTTTGATAATCTTGGCAGTATCGGCATCGGTATTGAACGAGTTCATCAACAACAAAGGAACGTCAGCATCGTATTTTCTGTTCAAGTGCTCAATTTGTCTCACAGACAAATCTAAAAAGGTATTGCCGTCTCTAACTTCAATCACTGATTTGGGACCAACACATCCCATAGAAGTACCCAATCCACCATTCAATTTCAAAACAGCCAATTTCGTCAAATCGGGTGAGGCATCCTCTAATTTATTATAAGCAACAACCTCATCTGCCGAAGGTGATCTGATTTTATCCCACTCCAAAGTAGTACCCGAGGCCTTTTCAGTCAAGTATCGTCTAAACAAGGAGAAAAAGTTGTCCATTTCATTTTCAAATCGGTGCTTTTCTTCAAAATTCTCAACTGTGTCTGCTAAATTATTCAACGCATTACGCATCTGTGATGCAGCAACATTCGTTGCTGTATTGTCAAATGCGTATGCCGATTGACTCTTGGTGTGCCTTTTTGATGCCATTGCCACTTATACAAAGCTGTGCTACGAGTAAAGAAACTAAACTCTGTGTTAAAACTATGGAAAACTTGCTTGCTTTTATATCCAATTGTAATTTTTCTTCTATTTATATAAGCTGATTATTTAGTGCGCAAAAACAACGCCTATTTTTTTTTTTTTTTTTTCTTTGTTCCATGAAACACGCGTGGAAAACGAACTTGGGTGCAATAGCTAAGAAAATTGTTTAGCAATTGTCTCTTCTAGGTGAGATTTAATGAGGGGGGTGGAGATGGAGTGGGGGAGGAAAAGAAGAAGAAGAAGAAGGGGGGAGGGGGGCGGAAGGAAAGAGAAGGTATGTCATTTTTTGGTTGTACAAATGTTCCGAGATTTGACACTACTGTATCAAACGTATGGAAAAGGCTTGTTCTGGTAAGTAGTAATTGCCACGTAAATGAATAGCTACCAAGTAGTTTAGACTGGTTTTAGCCCAACTTTCGAACCGGCCGGAGGAATACAAGTCTATATCGGATAAAATGATTTCAATTGTATATAAGAAATCAGCTTGACGATAAAACCCCCTCTTCACACACAAAAAGAGACAAAGAGAGACAAAAAGAGACAAAGAGAGACAAAAAGAGACAAAGAGACAAAGAGACAGAGACAAAGAGAGAGAAAGATCTTTTTTCATAACCCCGGAAATTATACTTTCAAATATCTCTCTCACGAATCAATAAAATCAACAAGTTTATATATTAAGTATAACTCAAATCGATTGAATTGACTCCCTATCGAGCGGAGCGAGATAGTGGAGCAGCAATGACTATCTCCACACTCTCTTCTCTCTATCTACAATCTCTCTTCTCTTTATCTACAATATCTTTTCGCTCTATCTGCTCTTTCTATCGACTAGATTCGTTTCACTCGTTATCTCGCTCTGCGCGTTAGTGTCGATAGTGGAGCAGCAATGACTATCTACCGTCTAGTCTCTCTCCACTATCTCGCTCCGCTAGATAGTGGAGCAGCACTGATTGTCACCGACACTATAGTGGAGCAGCACTGATTGTCACCGACACTATAGACACCATCTCGCTCCGCTCGATAGTGTCTGGCTAGATAGTTAACTGGCATAAATCTCTCCATCATAATCAAACCCATAAAATGATTTGTTCATGTTTTACGTACACGATCACGTGATTTACCTTCAAGTCGAAGAGAAGCTATAATATGTAGAAAAATGGATCTTAGCCAAGGATAATATTAATGAAAAAGATAAAGTAACACTAATACCAAAAAAAACAAAATAAAATATATATATATATATCCAAATCAGATAGTGTTACGTCAGTGTTACTTCTGAGTTAATTCGGTGTTACCTCTACGGTTATCTCAATAGGGGGTGCATCGGTATTTGTTAATTTCTCAAAAGCACTCTATTAATTTGGACGGTGAGGCGCAACCAAAACACACACATGTAACTTCCCAGCTCTAGCACTATAACCTTTTATTTTTTTATTTTTTTTATATTTGTACCTTTATCACCACGTGATCCAAAAATTACCAAACTAGAATCGGCCTTTTGCTATAGCCGGTATCGGCATCTCATTTTAGATGGAATCATTGACATTTCCTCAAAACCATTGACGATTTATCACGATAATCAATAAGACAATTATAGCGAGTGAATCAAAGCGAAAGGAGGAAGGAATTGGTACCCAGAAAGAAATTTAGATAAATTTAATAATCACCAAATCAAGGTCTGTGTGCTGAGAGCTTTGTCTTGCCAACAATTTTGGAGAGAATCGCTAGTTTGGCCGAGTGGTTAAGGCGATGCCCTGCTATTGTTCCTTTGAGCAAAGATTGTTAGGCATTGGGATTTTCCTTCGCAGGTTCGAATCCTGTAGCTGGCGATATTTTTTTTATTCAAGATTCACATCATGAATAAAAGTTGGCCTTTTTTTCCTAGCAATCAAACCCGTGTGTTTACAAAGCAGATGTAATCAAACCCGTGTGTTTACAAAGCAAATGTAATTATGCTATTTTAGCAATTTATCTCCTCGTTATAGAATCAATTAATATTTCTTGAGGGTGTAGAAAAAAGTGGACAACACAAACCAATTATCCATAATTCAAAAAGCTTTCTCTAGCAAACTGATGAAGTTGTTGTTTATCTGTTTGTCACTACCAACTTCGTTAGAACGCAAGGGGCTTGAAGTCGGCCCTATCACTGTAGCATTGGTACTTTAGAGCTTTTCCTTTTCAAAAAAATACAAACTCGCCATGTGGTGTGGAAGAACAAGTAATTTACAGCAAAAACACATATACATGTGGCATCATATAGGGTCTATACTCTTGTATACTCTATATCAAAAATTAACTCTGGGTACAACTTTATTTCAAAACAAAATCAATGAATTTTTGTCAATTTGTTGCTTTCATTCCATTTTAATTTCTACTCCTCAACCATGCAGCTGTCACATTATTATAAAACTCACGTTTGTGGTTGCTGATATGTATGATGGGTCCTTGCTCGCCTCCGTCGAACGGATCGCCAACAACACTATACACGCAGTAGTACTTTTCGCTGTTTTCCAATACACGCGCCGATACGTGTTTCTTCTGTTCCACCCAAGCTTCGCTTTGCTCATCAAACGTTTTCACATTAACTTTCCGCTTCAAAGTTGGTGGTTTAATAATATTTTCAAAAAACAAAGGATTTGCGTAAATTTTGTGAAGAGTGGAATAATCTTGTTTTCCTGTCGCTGTTCCTTCTTTGTTTGTATCATCCACATGTTCTGTGGCTTTAGTTAGATATTTAGCTTTGAATGCAGCTTTGAATGAGTAATTATATTTGAGCCAATTTTGTAGCTGATGCGTGGTTGTACAGATTAAAGAAATGTCATCAGTGTCTGATAATTGAGAGAAGGAAGATGAACATATCTCAGAGTCATTATCTGGGCTAAGAACCCCTGACATAACTGGATAATTATAATGGAAAGTAAAATCTGAACCTGCCATCTCTTGTCCAATCCACAAGTAATCGGCTTGCTTGACTCTTAAATTTAATATTTCGTAAAACTTCAAACTGGCAGATATTAGCAATCCACTCAAAGCTCGATGTTTGTCGAGTATCATAAGATTCGAGTCAAGCACGGTTTGAAAGTCTTCCTCGTAAAACCTGCGAGACACTGAACTATCTGTTTTTCGTAGTTCAAAAAAGTCGTTATCAGCATTTTGAGGCAGCAAAACATTTTTCATAAAATTTGTGATTTCGTAAAAGCCTGGAGTTGCTTTTGCCTTGTTTAATAAGGATGGATATTTGAAAAAATAGGCCCCACTAGATTTGTACCTTTCATTGAACAACGATTCCAAGTCTGTCAACGGAATGGTATGTTCTGATAAGAGAACAACATCCCGAAAGGGATTAAATATTAAACCCAACGTGGCTATATCAACTGGATAGTCTGTGACAGTACTCAAGTCGATAAAAAGTATATCTTGTGGTACTGTGTCACCATTAGTTGTGTCTCTAGCAGCAGTGATCAATTGGGCTTTATCTTGATCCGACAAGGTCCTATAAGCTATTGATACTGGTAATTTGTTCTGCAATAGTCGAAGACATCTCAAGAGGCGTACAATGTGGTCCACTTGTTCTTGTTGGTTTTTTTCAGAGGTTATTGGAATAACAATTCCTCTTCCAATGCTCAGTTGTTGAATAGCCTTGAGAAAACAATTTGATGTGGTTGAAGTTGACAAACTCTCACCGTTATAATTCTCAACTTTGGCCATGTTTCCCTTTATCCATGGAAACAACTTTTCCTGTAATCGCAGGCACGAAGCATCTGAAATTTCATCATAACATTTCCCAAATACCCTCATATGGTTTATCTCGTCAAAGATTTGTTTTTCATAAGAAGCGTACTTTGCGCTTTCTCTAGCATACTCTTGAGCTATTCTCTCGTTGTATTCCGTTTTCCAATTCTTGCGTTTATACTGTTTCTTAATGGCTCTGGTACGTTCTTTTACCCATTTCTTTTTTTTATAAACCACTGGGTCAATTTGGAGATTATTCCAAAATTCTAGATCAACTTGAAACTGCTTATTGATGTTGGAGAAGTATATATCACATTTCTTTGATAAAGAAAACTCCGAAATCTTTTGAGTTTTCTGTTCAACTTTCCACTTTGTGTAAATTGCATTCTCAAAATGATCTCGTGCATCTTCAAGTCTAAGGTTGCTATCAATAAATAGGTGTTGTTGTTGCTTATGAAGGTGCTGATGAGTATGTATCAATAGAACCACTATTACGAAAAAAAGCACTATCAATCCCCTCTTTAAGTAGAATATGTAATTCATAGTCTCTATTCATCTAAAGAAACGAGAGACTTTATTAAAGAAACGAGAGACTTTATTATGGAAACGAAAGACTTTATTAAGGAAACGAGAGGGTTTGGTTCATTAAAATTTTTTACCTTGAATCAAAACAAGAAAAAAGAATCGGCCATGTTCCTCCATTGAGTAGCTTCCAGCGCGTAACATGGCAGGCGTTATCCAGACCGGGGATGGAGGGGGGGGAAAGGACTAGTCTTTAGGCATTCGTACATTGTAATCAAAGCGACCTGGCTACTTGAAGCACTGAGAAATAAGAGCCGAGGAGCCACAGCGGAAAAAACACGGGTAGCGACAGCGACACTATCAAGCAGCGACACTATCCCACTCTGGTCGATAGTGGAGCAACACTTTGTAGCTGGGTAGCTTGTTACACACTGATTAGCTGCCTACTATCTCACTCTGCTCGATAGTGGAGCAACACTTTGTAGCTGGGTAGCTTGTTACAACACCATCTGCTCGATAGTGTCAGTCAGTGTGCTCCACTATCTGCTCGACAGTGGAGTAACACTATCTCGCTCTGCTCGACAGTGTCAGTTTAACTTTACTAGGAGTCATTATCGTGTACTCAAAACCTGGAGCAACTTTTGTGCTTTGCTCCTTAAGCCAACTTGTATAAGCTTCAGCTTGCAAATTGAAACTTTTATTCTTTTCTATTTCTTGCTCCAACTCTGTGCACCACAGATTGACATCCTCCTTTGTCATTTTGAGTTTTGGAGGAACAACTGTGCTTGATAGCGTTGGTATGAGTTTGTTATAGCTAACATTCAAGGTGATTGCCTTTGGTGGTTGATATAACGGGTTTTTAATTAGTGGCACTTGCTTTAAAAACGGGTCGGCTAGAAAAAAGGTTACCAAGAGTTCTTTTGAAAAGTATGTCGTTTGTGCTTGTACTTACGCCTGTTAGTGTCGTCCATAGCTCTCTAGGTTTGTAGGGCTTGACAAAAAGGATTTGTGGAAAATAATGAGATTACTAGTTTTTTAGTTGCTCGACACTATCGACACTATCGACACTATCGAGCAGAGCGAGATAGTGGAGAAATACTGACTAACCTCAATACTGACTAACCTCAATACTGACTAACCTCAATACTGACTAACCTCAATACTGACTAACCTCAATACTGACTAACCTCAATACTGACTAGCTTCAATACTATCTCGCTTCGCTCGATAGTGGAGCAACACTGACTACATAGAAACTATTCATCGTGAAAAAGGCATCTTTAAAACACTCTCTATTAGGATTCAAATTATTTACTCTTTATTAGGATTCAAATCAACACTATCTCGCTCGGCTCGATAGTGGAATCATAGTAGTCTAATAAGAATTGTTAATTGCTACAAGAGCTACAAATACAAATCAAAATGGTCCATGCTCGATAGTGTCGATAGTGTCAGTCTGCTTGATAGTAGAGTAACACTATCTCGCTCTGCTCGATAGTGTCGATAGTGTCAGTCTGCTCGATAGTGTTCAATTATCCTTATAATGACGGATCAAGATATAAGCATTTTCTTGTTTCAAATTGCTCAAAGACCTATAGCCTCCTTCTAATCTCATTAGCAACCCGCCAAATGATATATAAACAGACATCTTATCACTATCAGTATTCTCTTCAAATTTGTAAACTGTACCATACATAACATAATCATAATCATCGGCCAAAGACCTTTCGTCCGGTTTTGGCGGCCTCCATGAACCATTAGAGGTCAACATGGAACTTTCGTTACCTAGCGAGGAAGCCAAGGTTATAGTTAACGAGTCATTGCTCTTAACTGGGAACAACTCACTATTTATATCAAGGGTAATGGTTATATCTTTAGATGTTGATGAATGGCCCGTGATCCGGCACACTTTATTATACCTTCCCGGATCAGTAGAGTCTACAATAAACATATCCTCAAACAATATTCCCGACATGACTAATCAATTTATTAGCTTCTAGCTTCTAGCTGCTAGCTGCTTCTGCTTCTCTTAAATCATCTCTTCTTTACTTTTGAAAAATCCTCTGGTGGGATTTTTCAGATGAAGTAGTGCAACATGGACCAAAAAAAACCCATAAAGGTAAACAGTAGTGTTTCATTATTTTACTTATAATAGAATAGAAGAGGATTGTTGGATTGTATGAAGGAGGTAGTCTAAACCGAGATAGTCCTTGAGGTAAGTATATAAGCTTTGATGGGATCGCAAAAGTTGATAGTGAAGGATGGTAACGAGTTAGACAAGAGACGTGGTGTCAAACTTTTTGCAGTTGTTTGTATATTACTGGCATGTTTATTTGGCTACTACTATAAGGAGAGTTGTTCTTCAGGTACAGTAACACTTTATGGCCAATATTGGTCTTTTTGGCAAAATTTGTCGCCAAGGGGGTTTGATAAGCATTATAGTGCAATGAGTGAGGTTTCTGCTGGTTTTGAAAAAAATGAGGGTGATGGTTCAAGTAAGATGGAAAGAGACGAGAATACTGATGCAAAAGCCAAGATGAAAAGAGATGAGAATACTGATGCAGAAGCTACTGACAGTAATAATGCCTCGGAAACTCAAGAAGCAAAAAATGAAAACAACGAGAAAAGTAATTCCAGCTCCGAAACTGAAAAGAATGAAACTACAGCTGCTGACGATAGCAAAACTACAGCTGCTGACGATAGCAAAACTACAGCTGCTGATGATAGTAAAACTACAGCTGCTGACGATAGCAAAACTACAGCTACTGACGATAGCAAAACTACAGCTACTGAAAAATCAGATGAAAATAGTAGTTCCAAATCTCTGACAAGCACCGAGTCAAATTCTACAACCTCAGCATCAACCGAAACAACTTCGGTTGATGCTTTTTCCACAAGTGAATCTAAACCTACACCTATATACAATCAACCTGGTATAAGATTTGTCTTTGCATTGTTTGGATTTATATTCTTGAACATGATAGCAATTTGTATCCATCACATATACCAAAAGATTACCAGATCACAGAAACTATATAGAAACTTTGAAGAAGAAAAATCACCTTTTTGATGAGGTTGTTTTAGATCAATCCAATGTTTTAGATCTCGATATTTTCGGTGTTCTCCGAACAAGAATTTCAAGCGCTTAAAATCTCTTAAACTGCAGAGCCCACTCATTGCTTTCGCCGCAAAATACTCTACCATTGGCATCTCCAAATGGTGGAAAAGCATCTTGTTTCATACTCATATGCCAGATTTATATAAACCAAACTTTTCTTTTTTTAAATCTTTTCGTTTCGTTTCGTTTCGTTTCTTTTCTTTTTATTTTCTTTTTTATCAAACGTGGGGGAGGAGGAAGATCTATCTACTGTGAGAAAAGATATGGTGAGATCTAAGTTACCGGCATTAACGACTCGGCTAATACAAGTCTCATGTGCAATAGCATGGTGCTTAGTTGCAGCAGGTCCCGTATTTGGTTTTGCCGCTTTGAAGCCAATTCTCATTTCTGAGGGTATTTACAAGTCACGATGCGATATGAAAGTTGCAGTTGTTGACTCTAACGAAGATGTTGAATGTGTTGAGCAAAACCTTTCATTAAATTTTTTGTTTACTTTAGCATGCATGGTTACGAATGTTAGTGCTCTACCCGTGGGATCGATATTGGACTCCTTTGGACCCAAAGTAACGGGGATCATTGGCTCTATAATTCTTGCATTGGGCTCGTTGAGTATAAAGTATGCGCCAAGTATGAGCTATATTGATGGGTATCTAGCAGGGTACACGTTGTTGGCCTTGGGCGGACCATTTGTTTTCATCAGTTGTTTCCAGCTAGCCAACAGTTTCCCTAAAAACTCCGGCTTGATATTGGCATTGTTAACTGGTGCTTTCGATTCGTCTTCGGCGTTATTTTTGTTTTACCGTATTTACTACTTTAATGTGAGCAAGATATCGATTAGTTCCTTTTTTACAGGTTACTTGTTAGTGCCTGCCCTTATCTTTTTGTGCCAATTGTTCTTAATGCCAAAAGATTCTTACAAAACGGTGGGCACTTTGGCCAAGATCGCCGAGACTGGAATAGACGAGACAGGTAAGCCATTGAATCCAAAATACTTAAACCCCGAGGATTCTAATGATGTTGGTGGTGTTGGTGGTGGTGGTGCTAGTACTGACGAAATTTTTTATCAACCAACTATATCAGAAACCACGTCTTTACTAATGAGGAGAGCTTCCGATACTAAACGAAGAGAATCTGTTGTGTCACGAACCTCGTATAGGTCTATGAAGTCGTCATATGAGCAACAGGCTGATGCAAACTTGATGAATTCTACAGGTGGTGTCTTTGGAGTGTTGCACGGGTGCTCAATTCGTGACCAGTTTAAATCACCGTGGTTTTTGTTGATGACGCTATTCACAACTATTCAAATGCTACGTATCAATTTCTTTGTCGCTACTATTAAAGCTCAAGAGAATTACTTGTATGGAAACGAAGAATTGGCTATTAAAATCAACCATTTTTTTGACTTGGCTTTGCCCTTGGGCGGAATTGTATCAATCCCCTTTATTGGACTTATATTGGATAATTTAACTACATTAACTGTGTTGTACATTTTGACCGGTTTGTCTTTGTTCATTGGCGTAATGGGGTTATTGTCATGGATTCCAGGTACATATGCAGGTATATTGGTTCTTGTTGTATACCGCCCTTTCTACTACACTGCAGTTTCGGACTTTTGTGCAAAAGTGTTTGGATACGACAACTTTGGAACTGTTTACGGTACCATTATTGCATTTAGTGGTATTTGCAATATTTTTCAACAACTTATGGATAAAGTCACTCAAGAGTATTTCAAAATGAATCCAACTCCAATAAACTCCTTTTTGGTGCTTTTAACTTTACTATTTGGCGGGCTTTTAATTGTTTATGTCAAATCGCAAGAGAAGAAAATCAGGAGAAGGAACTTGGAAATGGAAGCCGAAGATGCATCATTTACTGATATACCCAACTAATTTAGATTTAAGATTCAAGAAACAAAACAACCTTTCTTTAATAGTGGATTATTATTTATTACTTTTTATAATTTTTTTTTACGCTTTCGTCGAGTTGTAGTTGATGTTTCTGGATCTAGTGCAGTTAGAGCGGGAATGCAATTGATAGGCGGATGCGACATTGGTGTCGCATCCTTTCCTTTATTGCCAATAATCTCCTCTTTTGCTTTCGCTTCTTGTGCTTTTTTTGCTTCCCTTTTCCAAGAACCGCCAAAGTCCTGCTTTTTTGGAAAATTAGATAATATCTCCTCTATGCTCTTCATACCTTTTACCACACTTTGCACTTTGCACTTTGCACTTTACTTTTTCCCCTCCTTTTCAATTTGTCTTCTTGAACCTTTAATTATTTCCAAATGTCCAACTCGACTTGCAATTAGGGACTCTGTGCTTTTTATCAATTGTCCTTGGTGTACTTTGGTCAATTTCTCTTTATCCTTAGCAATTTGTTTCTTTGGCTTGATAATCTTTGGTGCGGCTTTCTTGGGATTCTGCTGCTTCTTGGTAATTCTCGAAGGTCCCCTCGACTTTAGCTTTAAGTTACCTTGGGCCATTATCAACAAAACAAGTAACTGGGGCAATAAAAGAAGGAATGAATTAATATTTTCTACATTGAAGCTATTTGTCCTTTTTTTTTTTCTCCATCTCATCTCATCTCATCTCATCTCATCTCATCTCGTCTTATCAAATTTTTCATTTTTTTCTTTTGCACGGTGTTAAAAACCTTTTGCAATTGACACCCCGTGGTGTAGATCAAATACATAATTGAAGCTTGATATTTGGTCTAGGGGGACAAGGTTTCTACAAAACAATCAAAAAAAAAATGAGTCAACTGTTTTTAGTTTTACCAGGACCAAAAGCTTTATCCCAATTTAGGGTTAATACTTTGATTCAGGAAATAGAAAAGAAGTTGAATCATCAAGGTTTGATTGAGGAAGTAGCAAGCCAATATACTCATTATGTTTCTTTAAAGAAGCCCTTAAATGAGAGACAGCTTGAGTTGTTGAAGATATTATTGACTTATGACAATCCAGTTAGTCATAACAATGAGTTAAATGAACAGCTAATTCGATTTTCTTCTCAGGGTGCTAAGGATGAGACTGGGTTGGAATTGATCCAAGTATTACCAAGACCGGGCACTATATCCCCATGGTCATCAAAAGCTACCGATATCTCCCAAATTTGTGGATTGGGAGATTATGTGGAAAGAATCGAACGTGGATTATCATTATTGATTAAATTTAAAGTTGTGGATGGAAACCCCCCCATTAATATGGCGGGAGGTGATGAATTAACTTCAGTTTTTGATAGAATGACTCAAAAATTGTACATCAACGACCATATTCCAAAGTATGACGATTTATTTGCCCATCATGAACCCAAGCCACTCGTTACCATTGACTTGTTAAAAGACAAAAACAATTTATTCAAGGCAAACAGCGAGTTAGGATTGGCCTTGGATAAGGGCGAGATTGAATACTTGACTAATGCATTCATCAATGTAATTGGACGCAATCCTACCGATGTTGAATTGTTTATGTTTGCTCAAGTCAATTCTGAACACTGTCGTCACAAGATTTTTAATGCAGATTGGACTATAGATGGAGAAAAAAAGGACAAGTCGTTATTCAAGATGATTAGAAATACTCATGAGAAAAACCCTCAGTACACAATATCTGCATATTCTGATAATGCTGCCGTTTTTGATGGTCCTGAGGGATACTTGTTTGCCCCGGACTTTGTCACTAAACAATGGAAATCGATCAAGGAGAATGTTCAAACATTAGTAAAAGTTGAAACTCATAATCATCCAACTGCGGTTTCGCCCTTTGCTGGTGCTGCTACTGGTTCTGGTGGAGAGATTAGAGATGAGGGTGCTGTTGGAAGAGGTTCCAAATCAAAAGCTGGATTATCTGGTTTCACTGTTTCTGATTTAAATATTCCAGATTTGAAACAGCCATGGGAACGAGATATTGGAAAACCAAACCATATTGCTAGTTCTTTGGATATCATGATTGAAGCACCAATAGGATCAGCTGCTTTTAACAATGAATTTGGTCGACCTGCAATAAACGGGTACTTTAGAACTTTAACCACTGAAGTAGAGAATAGCAAAGGGGAGAAGGAAATAAGAGGGTTTCACAAACCTATTATGTTAGCTGGTGGAATGGGTGCCATTAGACCCGAATTGGCCTTGAAAAACCACAAAATCACACCCGGTGCTAAATTAATAGTATTGGGAGGACAGTCGATGTTGATTGGTTTAGGTGGTGGTGCAGCATCCTCAATCAGCTCTGGTGAGGGTTCAGCTGAACTAGATTTTGCTTCAGTTCAAAGAGGCAATCCTGAAATGCAAAGAAGAGCTCAGCAAGTAATTGATACTTGTGTATCTTTAGGCGCTAATGGGAACCCAATCCAGTCAATTCATGATGTTGGTGCAGGTGGATTAAGTAATGCATTGCCGGAATTGGTTCATGATAACGACTTGGGTGCCATTTTTGAATTAAGATCCATACTTTCTTTGGAAAAAGGTATGTCGCCAATGGAAATTTGGTGTAATGAATCTCAAGAAAGATATGTTTTGGGAGTTGCTCCCGAAAACTTGGAGTTGTTTTCTGAAATATGTAAACGTGAAAGAGCACCATTTGCCGTGGTTGGTGAAGCTACAACAGAGAAAAGACTTGTGTTGAATGATTCATTATTGCAAACAACTCCAATCGATTTGGAAATGTCTGTTTTGTTTGGTAAGCCACCTAAAATGTCTCGTGAAACCGTTACCGCGGACTTGAAATTAGCCCCATTTTCAACCACGAATTTAGATATTGATGAATCGATTAGTCGTGTTTTACAATTACCGTCAGTTGGGTCGAAATCCTTCCTTATCACAATTGGTGATAGATTTATCACCGGTTTAGTTGATCGTGATCAGATGGTTGGTCCATGGCAAGTTCCCGTGGCCGATGTTGGTGTTACAGCCACATCTTTAGGCGAGACTGTTTTATCCACAGGTGAAGCAATGGCAATGGGTGAGAAACCAAACTTGGCTTTGATTTCGGCAAATGCCTCTGCCAAGATGTGTGTAGCTGAGTCCTTATTGAATCTTTTTGCCGCGGATGTATCATCATTGCAACATGTTAAATTATCAGCAAATTGGATGTCGGCAGCTAACCATCCAGGTGAAGGTGCCAAATTGTATGAAGCTGTTCAAGCGATAGGATTGGACTTGTGTCCGGAGTTGGGAATCTCTATACCCGTGGGAAAGGATTCCATGAGTATGCTGATGAAATGGGATGACAAACAAGTTATTGCACCTTTAGCTTTGACAGTGACAGCTTTTGCTCCAGTGGACAACACCTCAAAGACATGGACACCTCAGTTGATACCAGTTGAGGATACAGATACAAATGCAGGTATTGATACAATTTTGGTACTTGTTGATTTAGCCGCGCAAGTTTCCAAGTCTCTTGGAGGCTCGGCTTTGGCTCAAGTTTACCAGGCAATTGGGGATTCGGCTCCTACAGTTCATTCCAATAGTATGTTGAAATCCTTTTTGCAATCATTAGTTGTTTTACATAAGCAAGCATTTCCTGTGTTGGCATATCATGATAGATCAGATGGTGGGTTAATAGCTACTATTTTGGAAATGGCATTTGCTGGAAGATGTGGATTAGATATTGGATTGGAAGGTGAAGAAGATAAATTTACTCAATTATTTAATGAAGAATTGGGTGCTGTTTTCCAAATCAAGTTGCGTGATTTGATCAAATTCAAAGAGATTTTCAAAATCAACGGTATAGATGATACATATATAAAGATAATTGGTAAACCGGATTTTACAACTCAGGCAATTAGCATTTCATACAATGGAGCACCAATTTACTCATCTACACGTGGCGAGTTGCAACAACTATGGAGCAAGACATCTTACCATATCCAAAAAATGAGAGATAATCCATTTACCTCAAAACAGGAATATGACGCTATTTTGGATGACAAAGATCCTGGTATTAGCTATCACTTGACATTTAACCCTTCTGAGCGTAAGCAATACAAAACCAGACCCAAAGTTGCTATTTTAAGAGAACAAGGTGTTAATTCCCAGCAAGAAATGGCATGGAGTTTCCAACAAGCAGGGTTTGACGTTTTTGATGTTACAATGTTTGATATTTTAGAAGGCAAGACCACATTGGATGACTTTGTAGGTTTAGCTGCATGTGGAGGGTTTTCATATGGTGATGTTTTAGGAGCAGGTGCAGGATGGGCCAAATCGGTATTGTTCAATGACAAAGCAAGAAGCGAATTCAAAAAGTTTTTCCAAGATAGACAAGATACGTTTGCATTTGGAGCATGTAATGGGTGTCAATTTTTCAGCAGAATTGCCCTGGAATTAATCCCAGGAACAGAACACTGGCCAACATTTGAACGTAATTTATCAGAACAATATGAAGCCAGATTTGTTATGGTTGAGGTTGATTCATCCGAAAAGAACAATTCGATATTTTTACAAAGTATGAAAGGTTCGAAATTGCCAATAGCTGTAGCTCATGGTGAAGGACGTGCACAATTCAAGTTTGGTGAAGATGATGCTAACTTCAAACTGGATGTTATTCGCTATGTTGATAACTATGGTAATGTAACCGAGAGTTATCCATTTAATCCAAATGGGTCACCTAGAGGTATTGCTGGTATAAGCTCAGCAAATGGTAGAGTTTTGGCAATGATGCCTCACCCTGAGAGAGTTACGCGTAAGGAAGCCAATTCATTTTATCCACATTCACAAGGTGAACAATGGGAAGGTTATGGCCCATGGGTGGAATTGTTTAAAAACGCAAGAGAATGGGTTGGCCAAGTATAGAAAATTAAATAGTAAAAACCCCAAACAAAAAACGGGCAAGTATAAAAAAAAAAAAAAAAAAAAAATAAAGAACATAAGAATATAAGTTTGACATTTATGTGATATTATTCAGTAAATGAGACCAACAACGACATAAAACACACATCTATACTTAAGCAGTTGCTTCAACTCCAGCATTTTCTTCGACTTGAGCAGTTTCAGGTTCAGCGGTTTCGGCTTCGACTTCGTTAGATACAGCTTCTTCTGGTTTCTCTTTGTAAACCTTGACGGAAGGAGCAGGTATAACTTCATCTTCATCTTTAGCTTCAGCAATCTCAACTGCATCTGGTAATGCTTTAGGACCGACCTTGTTTGTAGCAGGATCTTTCATAATCTTCACTTTAACACCCAAAACACCTTGTCTCATCAAAACGTGTCTAATGGCGATATCAATGAAATCGTTAGTTGGTTGACCGGAATGGATCATGAAACCATCTGAGTATTTCTGTGATTTAGCTCTAGCAGCTCTTAATTTACCGGAAATGACAACTTCAACACCTTTAGCACCTGCACCCATGGCAAATCTCAAAACACCATATGCGGCTCTTCTGATTGGCAAACCAATCAACAATTTTGCTTTTAAAGCTTCAGCTTGAACAGCAGCTGATAATCCTCTTTCTTCAACTCTTTCAGCGTAAATGGCAATTCCTTCAGGGGAAAGTTTGAATCTCTTGACAATTAATGAGGTCAACTCGTGAATTCTTCTACCTTGTTCACCCAAAACACCTTGAGCGTTGGAAGCTTTTACAATAACTTCTAATTTGGATGGAGTTTTTCTAACTTCGACACCAGCATATCCTTGTTCGGCTAATTCTCTAGTGAAGAACTCGTTTAATTCGGCGTAAAAAACACCATCTGCTACTAACTTCTTTTTCTTTGATAAAATTGTACTGACCATCGTTAATAATCTAGTGAAATAGTTAAGGGAGGAAGGGGAGGGAGGGAGGTTATTGGTGACTTCTTACTTGAATAATTACTAGCTATACCTTTTTTTTTTTTTTTTTCAAACAACTCAAACGGGATGAGTGAAAAATTATGACGATGCTACCATGAGGACTATAAACCTCAAAAGTACAAGAAGCACGTGTATCACTATTTATTTATTTTTCTCTTTCCCCCCCCCACCTGTGATGCGGTGCGGCACTATCATACAGATATATAACTTCATTATATGTAGTCATAGAATTTTAGAGATTTCGATATATCTTTTTAATCATTCATTGCTTTTTTACATTCAATCATCCTTGTTTTTTTACATTCAATCATCTTTGTTTTTTTACATTCAATCATCTCTGTTTCTGTAATTACTCGGTATCCTTCCCCCGTGTACAATATTTAGCAGCACAATACAAGAGTTTAAAGGGGGGCAGCCTCCCGCGTTTGATTTTAAGTTTATTTGTAAATCGTATACAACTATCTAGCTTTTCTTTAATTGCAATGTATAATGTGTGCTTTGTGCATAAAAAGAAGAAGAAAAAAAAAGATGAGCTAAATTTCTGGCTTAAACGATGTTTAAATTGTGAATATTCACAAATAATGGAGAATAGGGGTGATAAACAATACCCTGTCGTTTGAAATTAGTTGAAATTAGTTGAGATTGTTGAGATTGTTGAGATTGGTTAAGATTAGTTGAGATTAGTTGAGATTAATTGCTGGGAAGTTGATTGTACAACATTTTTTTTCACACTCTCTTTGTTTCTCTCTTGTTTAAACGGAATAGTGGATAAGGAGCTTGTGAATGAAAAGTATCTTCCATGAAAGAACTGTCCTTATACCTAGCATAGTTCTCTCCCTGATTCGTCATTCCTTCCACACTTGATCTTCGCATGAACGGTAAAACAAGTCAAAACCTAAAGATATTAACCTCGGTCCAAGGGACATTACGCAGATCTAATTCCCGTTATAGAAATTAAACTCCGATAAATAAAACCTATTGATGCGTGGATGTATGACGTAAACAAGGAAGAGAAAAAACAACCATGGATAATCAACGGTTACTGATAAGGCGTCGCGGAGATATAGTTCCATTTTTTTCTTTCAAAATTACTCATTGCTTTTGTTAGAAACGAGATTGCAATAAGATAAGCGTGGGATTTAGGGTATATAAATACCATTATTCCCTAAACCTTTTGCTTTATTTAAACCCTTAATTATAATTATCTGAAACTAAATAAAATAAGATAAAACAAAACAAAAATTAGATACATATATACAATTACAATGATTGCACCACCATTAAACTTTTTACAATTATCTACAGAAGTAAGCGAACCATTTATTATACCCAATGTATCACCGGTTTCTTCACCTAAATTAATGGCCAAAAAATGGCAATATAGCATATCAGAAGCATTATCTAATAACCGCACAAATGATAGTAGTAGGATGAGTCCGCTTGTTGTTGGTGTTGAAGAAAAAAATGAAGAGGAGGAATTGATACCTGCAAGGAAATTTTCCACAATTGACTTGAACGAGACGGGTACAGCTCCTTGAACAGGTTTTTTCTTTAGTTTATATCCCTTTGCTTCTATTTATTTATTTATTGGTTTATGTGGTTTAATGACAATGACGATGATTTGACGAATTTGAATTTTATTTTTGATCAAGTATAGCCTACTGTTTGTAGGGGTTGCCCTTATCGAGTCTCTATATCTCTTTCAACAGCAACACTATCGAGCAAACTATCGGGCAAACTATCGAGCAAAATATCGAGCAAAATATCGAGCAAAGCGAGATAGTGGACCAACACTCAGTAGTTATCACCGACACTATCGAGCAAACTAGCTATCACCGACACTATCGAGCAGAGCGAAATAGTGGAACACACTGACTAGCTTGTTACAACACTCAATAGCTTGTTACAACATTATCTCGCTCTGCTCGATAATGTCATTAGATAGTGTGTTTAGGGGGTAGGGGAACAGAGATTTGACTTTGTGCGTCATTGAATTCTATAACCGATTTGTGGAGACACTGATCGGAACTAAAAAAAAAAAACAACCCCCGTGTCGGTGACAGCTAGTCAATGTGTTCCACTATTTTGCTCTGCTTGATAGTGTCGGTAATAGCTAGTCAATGTACTTCATTATCTCGCCCTGCTCGATAATGAAGTACACAAACTACATTTTTATTTTATTTTTTTACAAAACAATGACTAAATTGTAAAATATACACCCTATATTAAAAAAGGGATCTTTATTGAATAAACAGCTTCACCTTTTACCGAATATCAATTATATACAATACAATTGAATGGGTAACAAGCTACTAAGTATTGCTCCACTATCGAGCAAAGCGAGATAGTGTTGTAACAAGCTACTAAGTATTGCTCGAAAGTGTTGCTCGAAAGTGTTGCTCGATAGTGTCGGTGATAGTGGAGATTTTTTAATTAAAAAATGGATAAAACTCGTTATATTTCTTTAAATAATAACCGGTTGATAATCCACCAAGAAACACCAATAATAAAGGCACTGGCTTTTGAAACAGTGTAGGAATAGCTCTACTTAAACCGGCCAACAACAAAAGACCACTTGTACCTAAAGCCAATTCTATCCCATAATCAGCATTCCTTTTCAATAAATAGCCAGAGTAACCGTAAAGAGTTGATACCGCTATACCAGCAACTAACGAAGGAACTGAGCCTTTACGGAAATAGCCCATTAAGCCACCGACAGCGCAGAGTCCTGATAATGTAAAGGCTGGGTGCTCCATTTTATTGTGATTTTTACCTAAATTGAGTGAAAAAAGGTTTCTAAAGGATGTTAAAGTTGTCGATTTTTTTTTTTTCTCCTCCTTGAAAGAATTTGCTAGATAAACACAATTTGGAATTGGCAAATCCTTATAGTGTCACCTCTACCTTATAGCTTATGCCAATACATTTTCTTAACCAGATTCTAGAAAAAGGCTTTACAAGGTTTACAGATTTACATTTTCCAAGTAAAAAAAACCCGGTGTAATTGGTGTAGTCGGTGTAGTCGGTGTAGTCGGTGTAGAGAGTGCTCTATCTCAAGCTCCGTTTGATAATTAATCCACGTGACCGAACAATAATTATACAAAAAAAACCTATAGTATGGCTACAAAGTTTTCTCCACTATTGAGCAAAGCGAGATAGTATCGAATAGCCTAATAGAAAGGGCCTTTCAGATTAGAAGGTCGGTGGAGACAGGGTACTATACTATCGAGCAAAGCAAGCGGAGACAGAGTGCTATACTATCGAGCAAAGCAAGCGGAGACAGGGTGCTATACTATCTCGCTTTGCTCGATAGTGTCGTCGTTATTGGTTTACTTGCATCACGTGACAAACCTGTTAGGTTAAAACAGTATTTTTGGAGATATCACGCGACATACACGTGCATTAAATAAGTCATGAGGTTTTCTATTTTTTTTTTTTTTTTCTCTTTCTTTTCCACATTAGTGTTTGAAACAGAGTCAGTTGTTATGCGAAATGTTGAGAGTAAGTTGGGGCTATTAAGCGAGTAGGGAAAGTTTGAGACTAGCCAACAACGCAAAACCCCAACCAATCAAATTTGATTTAATTTCTGAAAAGAATAATTTTATCACTAAAGATGTAAAAGAAAACAGAGTTTTCTTGTACATTGTATCATGACAATTCTTCACCAATCGTTAACCTAACTTTCTCAAGAAATTGTAATCTTACTAAACTCTACTGAAAACGGCAAAGAGTTCAAATCTGATGTTTTTTTTTTCTCTCATGCATTGGTTACAGAAGTAGAAAAGTAATAGGCAAGTAGGGAAACCTAGTAAAAAGTAATAGGAATAGGGAAACCTAGTAAAAAGTAATAGGAATAGGGAAACCTAGAGAAGTAATAGGCAAGTAGGGAAACCTAGTAAAAAGGAGTAGGCGATTAGGGAAACCTAGAAAAAGCAGTAGGCAACTAAGAAAACCTATTAAAAAGCAGTAGGCAACTAGGAAAACCTAGTGTCAACCAATATGAGAGCAGAGAAGATGAAAAAGAAAAGAATAATGTCTTAGCCTTAGAGACAATATCTTTTCCAGTTTCTACAAAAAAAAAAAACACATTGTTGAAATAAGCCACGGTAGGTTTTCCAACATCCACCGCAACACGCTATCCGATTCTCTCTATTAAGCCCATCTAGTAGGGCTCCTCATCTAGTGGGCTCAATTGTGCTGTCTTCTTCTCCTCTAATCACGTTTCTAACAGTAAAGAAAGAAAGAAAAAAAAAAAAAAATCTACAAATCGCCGGTCCACATTCAAAAATGGATTTCCATTCTTTAAAATTCTCACTACTTATATTAACAAACAAAGACTTTTGAGCACTAATATACATATATATATAGCAAACAGTAATTGATACCAGTAGTTTTAAATAGCAAGTAAATTGTAGTCCTCCCTCTCCCAAAAAAAAAAAAGGAGTAGTTAATCCTTTTTATAAGTTGTAATAGAACAAGAAAGTTAAGTAAAAAGTTATTGGCCAGTGTGTTGTATTAACCTCATAATTCTGACTATCATTGCCTAATAACAAATAGGTTTTAAAATTTTATTTCTCTTGTTAATTGATGTGCTAAGTTTGAGAAAAAATTCTACTGATAGCCATAGACAATAAGTATAGAAGAGCGATCAAAAGATATCTAGTAGTAAGGTCTATCAACCAGAAAATCGGTTACTAGTAAGTTGTTAGAGCAGTTACTTGTGAGACCAGTTATTCACAAGGGCAAGAGAGTGTTGAAAAGGAATTACAAGATAAATGAACATATCATCGATGCTATCTACTGATGGTGGTGGTCAAGCTCCTTCATCGCCTCCTCCATCTATACGATGTACCGATATTCCCAAAGGGGAAGAGGAGAAGTTGTTGAAACAAGAGCTGAAGGAGGCGCGAGAGCACGAGTTTGCCACTGCGGTTGATAATAAGGAGAACCAGAATGGAAGTGCCACCATGATTTCTCCATCATATCCATCAAAACAAGCCATCTCGCCGATAAATTATCATCAAAAAATTATCACCAAAAAGCAAATAGAATCATCCAAACTCGATCCACTCATTGCAGAAATACTAATACCAACAAACCTAACCGGCAGCAACTACAACAACGGCGAGCTTTCTTTAGACCAAGAGTATAAATCCATCTTTGAGTCCAATATCAGCATTATAAACCAACTAGATGAAAACCAAAAATTGAGTCAAGATTTAAGAATACTCAAATTTAACGAAATTAAACTAAACAACTATCTCATCAGTACTCACCAGTTTGCTGCAAATTATATCGATAGAGTTGTAGCTGAAGATATCTCTTCAAGAGCTAATAAAATTAGCGATACAAACAAGAGCAAAGAATTGAACCTTATAGATTATTCGAAACCATTGCACCATAATAGTACTAGAGGCAAGGAATATAAATGGGGCTCAACAAGAGAAGTATACAAGATTGAACATAAATCAAGGAGGAGAAGACCCGAAGGTAATGGCGGTGGTGACCACTCATCTGGTAAAGGTGCTGGTTCCCACAATAATAGTGCAAATGCTAATGCTACAACCAGTAGTAGCGGTAGCAGCAATGATGACCCCGTACCGATTAAACCTAAAGGTGGATTGTCCGCTACAAGTACCTTTGATACAAACGTAAGACGTAGTAGTCGTTCAAAAGTGAAGAGAAAATCTTATGAAGAAGAAGGCGAGTTGAATCTTGACTCGCTTTTAATGGACGAAGAACAAGGGGGAGAGAATGAAGGGCAAAATAACAATAATAATAAAAAGCAGGCTAGCGGTGGCGGCAGAGGTGGCGGCCGTAGCAGTGGACATGGTCATGGTGATTCCAAACGAATTAAGTTAGAAGACGAAAGTGGCAAGATAAAAAGTGTTTCAACTAGTGGATCAGGTATGACCTCTAAGGAACACAAGGCATTCAATAGACAATATGATAACACCTATGTAGCAATATGGAAAGATATGTCAAGAAAAGACGGACCAAAAGTAAGTCGATTGATTCAACAATCAACTCAAGCCAAATTGATCAACTTAAAGAAAACATGTATATTGGCAGCAAGAGAAGCCAAAAGATGGCAATTGAAAAATACCAAGAATCAAAAAGATTTGGTTACTAAAGCAAGAAGAGCAATGAGAGAAATGTTCAATTTCTGGAAACGTAATGAAAGAATTGAAAGAGAATTGAAGAAAAAACACGAAAAGGAATTAGTCGACAAGGCAAAGAAAGAAGAAGAAGATCGAGAGTCAAGAAGACAATCTAGAAAATTGAATTTCCTTATTACTCAAACGGAATTGTACTCTCATTTTATTGGTAAGAAGATCAAAACTGATGAAATCGAAGGCAGTGATGCTGATCCAAGAATCAAATCACGAGCAAAGGAACATTTAGATAAGTATTCTGGGATTGATGCGGCAAGGCACGATATACTGGCACTTGATTTTGACAATGACGATGAAGATGCCTTACATCGTGCTGCAGCACAAAATGCTCAAACCGCTTTAGTCAATGCTCAAAATCAGGCTAGACAATTTGATAATGATGCTAATATTGAACAGGAAGGAAAAACTGAAGGTGAAGGAGAAGGAGAAGGAGAAGGAGGAGATGAAGACCCATTTAAAAACCCAGATACAAATGGTGAAGAAATGAATTTCCAGAACCCTGCTTTATTAGGAGATATGAGCATAAAACAACCAAAGATGTTGAAATGTACATTAAAAGAGTATCAAGTCAAAGGTTTGAACTGGTTAGCCAATCTTTACGAGCAAGGTATCAATGGTATATTGGCAGATGAGATGGGTTTGGGTAAAACCGTACAAAGTATATCTGTTTTGTCATATTTAGCAGAAACACATAATATTTGGGGTCCTTATTTGGTTGTTACACCAGCATCAACTTTACATAACTGGCAACAAGAGATTTCCAAATTTGTACCAAATTTCAAGGTTTTACCTTATTGGGGGAATGCCAAGGACCGTAAAATTTTGCGTAAATTTTGGGATAGGAAATCTTTGAGGTATGACAAAAATGCCCCATTTCATGTATTGGTTACTTCTTATCAATTGATTGTTTCCGATATTGCTTATTTCCAAAAGATGAAATGGCAGTATATGATTTTAGACGAAGCTCAAGCTATCAAATCATCTCAGTCTTCAAGATGGAAGTCTTTATTATCATTAAGTTGCCGTAACAGATTATTACTTACAGGTACACCTATACAAAACTCGATGCAAGAATTGTGGGCTTTGTTGCATTTTATTATGCCTACACTTTTTGATTCACACGATGAGTTTAGTGATTGGTTTTCCAAGGATATCGAAAGTCATGCTCAGTCAAACACAGGGTTAGATGAACAACAATTACGTCGATTACATATGATTTTGAAACCATTCATGTTGAGACGTATCAAAAAGAATGTTCAAAGTGAATTGGGCGATAAAGTTGAAATTGACTTATTCTGTGACTTGACAAATAGACAAAAAAAGTATTATCAACTGTTGAGATCACAAATATCCATAATGGATTTAATCGATGCAGCAGCGGCAGCAGCTTCATCATCATCTTCACTGAGTTCCGATGATTCATCAACTACTTCTTTGGTAAATTTAGTGATGCAATTTAGAAAAGTCTGTAATCATCCTGATTTATTTGAAAGAGCCGATGTGAAATCGCCCATGGCAATGGTTAAATTTCCCGAAACCAGTTCATTTTTAAGAGAGGGTAACGATTTGGATGTAAGATATGCTTGTGAGAATTTGATCCGGTTCGAGTTGCCAAGATTTGTCTATGATGAGTTGATGACTCCTAATATTAAGAAAAACAGTAAGGAATCAATCTTTGCTAAATTTAATATTTACACACCCGAGAATAGCAAGGATTTGCCATGGATGCCATTTGTAGGAATTTCACCTGGTGAATTATTACAATTGAGTAAACAAAATATTCTCGAACGAGCAATTGGTCAACACAAATACACTTCAGGAGGCAATAAGATTGAAATGATCAGTTATTTATACGAAGGAGAGTTCACTCCTGCCAGGTTAAGACTATTGATCAACGAAAATAAGATTACACAACCAAAAGTTGGAAACTCATCTATATTATCCCACTTGTGTAATGTGCGTGGAAAAGTATATGAGGAAATGTACTTGAACACTCAAGACTCTGCATACACACCAATAGCAGCAGCACCACCCATTGCAATCAATTGTTCATCAAGTAACTTCTACATTAAATTAAAACAAGAGTTGTTCAACCCCAAAATCCGTTCATCACTATCGCCCATGACACTTGGACAAGAATATCAATATATGAAGGATAACATCCCGCTTGATCGATATCCAGCATCAAATATGCTACCACAAGCATTGAGTCATCTTCATGATTATTCCAACATTCGCATGCCATCAATGGACCGATTCATAACCGAATCGGGAAAATTGGCCAAGCTTGATGAATTACTATCAGTATTAAAACAAGAAGACCACAGAGTATTGATTTATTTCCAAATGACTAAAATGATGGATCTTATGGAAGAATATTTAACTTTTCGACAGCACAAGTATATCAGATTAGATGGATCTTCCAAATTAGATGATCGTAGGGATTTGGTACACGATTGGCAAACAAAGCCGGAAATTTTCGTGTTTTTATTGAGTACTAGAGCAGGTGGTCTAGGAATAAACTTGACTGCAGCAGATACGGTTATATTTTATGATTCTGATTGGAATCCAACTATTGATTCTCAAGCAATGGATCGTGCTCATCGATTAGGACAAACTCGACAAGTTACCGTTTACAGGTTACTTACAAGAAACACCATTGAGGAAAGGATGAGAGATCGTGCTAAACAAAAAGAACAAGTGCAACAGGTTGTGATGGAAGGCAAAGGCGCCAGTACGTCATCCACCACCACCACTACAAACACCACAAGCACCACCACAAACACCACAAACACCACAAACACCACAAATACCACTACTACTAACAGCAACAACAACACTAACGCCAACAATAGCAATGGCAATAGTACCATCGTTACTGCCACTAAAGCTGGAGGAGTAAAAATATTTGGGAAGAAGGAAGAATTAGCGAATAAGAAGAAAGACGTTGCGTTTTTATTATTGGGTAACGAAAATGGTGGTGGTAGTGGCGGGATTGGTGATGAAAGTAGTATTAGTAGTGGAAATGTAAGTGATGTTGCTGGTGAGAGTAAAGCAAAAAACACAAAGAAAAGATTAAGAGAAGCCGATGATGATGATGATGATGATGATGATTATGACGATGATGCATTGAATAGTAAAAAACTACAGGAATTGTATCATGAAGGAGAAGGAGAGTTTTCAGGCACAGTGACCCCAGCTCCATTATAAGTTTCGAGAATTCATTTCTAGGTTATCTTCTACAGTTTTTGAAGAGTTTGAATTGATGAAAAATATATATATATATATATATATTGTATGTAATATTAATAATAAATAAGAGAAAAAACATATATTTGGGGTGTTCTTTTTTCTTTTTCTTTTTCTTCAAGTATAGTTCCTTGCCATTAACTTTTGTTCCAAGTCATTAACAAAAGAAGTAGTTGGTAAATTAACATGGATCATTTCCTGTTCCTCTTCATCATCGATATTTCTTAATTTTTTATTCTCTTTTTCCAAATCATAAATTCTGTCAAAACTAGCTTCTAGTTTTCTCCTCAATTCTTGTTTATCCATCTTCATTTCCTCTTCCTGTATACCACCATCTACTTCTCTTTCTTTTCCTTCTACTTTTTCTTCTTCTTCTTCTTCTTCTTCTTCTTCTTCTTCTTCTTCTTCTTCGTTGTCTTTATAACTGGTCAATTGAGTTGAAATTAGATCGCTTATTCCAGAAACGTTACTTTTCATAGAATTCAACGAAAATCGTTTATGGCTATAATTATTAGTAGGTGTATTAGAAAACCTGCTTGTTCTTATGCCATTATGAATTCTCCTATTTAATTGTTCCAATGTTGTATTATTATAGCTTTCTAATTGATGATCATCTCTCGAATTAATGCTTGCATAATTATCATCAAACGGGACTTTCTGCAATGGGGAGTCTAATGCAGATAAGGGTAAACGTATGGAAGAAGAGGAAGAAGAATTTCTTCTTTTCTCACAAGGAAGTGATTTAGTTGAGTATCGATGAGACTCATTTGCATCGATGGGATCGTCTTCTTTAAACACGGTAAGGAGTCCCAACTGCAATCCAGTAGATGATAATCGATTATGCTTTTTGTACTTCTTCGGTAGTTTAGTAGAGCTTTGGATTGGGGTGTTGGATGTTTTCTGGGTATCTTCAAATGGCAATGAGGATGGCCATTTTGTGTTATGAAATGTTTTCAAATTGAATCCCGCGCTATTACCACCATTTAATTGTGGCGATGACGATGATACATTTGATTTGGGGGAAGTGAGGCTTCTATCATAGCCAGGGTTAACCTCCTGATTAAGTTCTACAAGTGTTTGCTTATGTAATAATTTCAAATGATTTAGTTCGTCGTTAAATTGATTAAAGATTAGTAATTTTTCCAACTGTTCATCAGTGTTGTCCATTGATAGTGATTGATTATATTTATTGAAATAGTTTACATTATTTGTAAAATTGCAAAGTCGTGACGTGAATCGATATAAGCTCAGTTGCAGTTGCAGTTGCAGTTGTAGTTGCGGTTGCGGTTGCGGTTGCAAATAATCCATCCCTCTTGGCTCCGACTCTTTCAGCGATGATGTTTGTTCAAATTTGGAAAATGTATCATTGATATTTGTTGTCATTGAATAATAATCAGCTAGCACTTCTTGTAGCAAGAGTAACTTTTCCAATACTGGCAAGTCCTGCTTTTCTAACAGACAATCGCAATTCACTTCAAATTGATCGATCAAGGTCAAAATAAAAAAATTTGACTGTGAGACCTCGTTTATTGTGATCAATTGACAAACGAATAATTTTCTCAACTGGTTGAATTTATTGATATTAAACAACACTTCATCAACTTGATCTGTGTTTCCATTGTCATCGTACTCTTGAGTTATTATCGCCAAATTGATATTATGTAAAGTACAGTACTGTTGAAGCAAATCTCCATTTAAATTCGGTATCAATTTGATGATCAAGAATCGAAGATTGAAGTTCATAAATGATAAAGAATTCAACAATAGCGATGAGAAGTTCTTCATACTCTTTCTTCTGAGAGTGTCCTCTTTGCAACTCTGCAATTTAACCGTATAAAGTATAAGGTTAGTATTTACCAAGTAATTTGCTTTCAAAAAATCATTCAACAGAACAAGCAATTTATTAGTCTCCACTATGATTTTAAATTTACGAATTTTGATTAGTTTTGACGCTATTAGTAGGATTACTTTGAATAGCTTGAATTGGAACTCAACACTAATCTGTTTTGAAGTGTGCGCCGGCAGCAGTCCCAGCAACAGCTGATGATGATGATGTTGTTGTTGATGTTGTTGATGTTGTTGCTGCTGCTGCCGCTGCTTCAACAAATATATAATCATATTTGTAATACCAATAATCATACTGAAATTGTTATACCTCACATTGTACCTCACCTCATAAACGGTATTCAAGATAACCAATCTTGTTTCATCGTCATTTATCATGTACTTTAAACTTTTCAAAGGACGAGCTATAGGGTGCGTATCAAGCACTTGCAAACTTGATTCATTCTTGGCCAATATTATGGAATCTTCTAACAAATTAGATATTATTAAGTTGTACTTAAATTTCTCCCAAAATTGGTCCATTTTGTTTTCCAAGGATAAGTATTTCCTAATGAATTTCGTCATTGATGTTGTTGTTGGTGTAATAACATTCCCCGACGCTTGGCAGTATTGAAGCACATTGGGAATACTGGAATGTCGCAGTGGAGAATAAGTGATGAATTGAGGGTGTACATTCAATGGATGGTACAATGCCGAAGAGTTCAGCATTGATGAATTTCGTCGCTTAGCTCCATTGAAGTACAATGGTTGTGGTGGGGTATACGAGTCTTCAAAAAATCGATGATTGGTCTTGTAATTATTACTTTCTGGGTACACTTGTCGTGCTGTGTACTGCTGCTGCTGCTGCTGTTGTTGCTGCTGCTGCTGTTGCTGCTGGGTGTAGTTAAGGTGGCCATGAGTACTAGACACGCTAGTAGTTGGAGATAGGAAATTGGAAAATGTCGATGTTGTAGTTGCAGTAGTAGGTGTAAACTCCTCATCTATACCCCAATCACCCATTTGCGAGCTACCCATCTGCAGATGGTTTTCCAACTGAGAATTGGTCGCCTCTGAGTCTTGTTTAGCGGCACCGGATTTGTATAGAAAGTTATTAGATAGCGGATTGAATTTATCAAAATTCATCATTTGAGCATTGATTTTAAAGCGCGCTTAAAGGTGAATAATTTAATAATGATGGGTGGGCTGTCGTGGTAACGGCCGTCGTGCTGCTGCTGCTGCCCCCTGCTGCTGCTACTGCTGCTACTGCTGCTGCTGCTGCTGCGTACCTATCTTCTCTGCCTATAGCTCTCAACTTGAAACGGCTACTTTATCAACAAAAGCTGAAACCCCAGGAACCCCATCACTCATTTTTAGTATATCGTTTATAACATTTTCAATTTTCTAGAAAAGCTTATTACCGAATTCGGAAGGTCAATGCGCAACGTTTTTAATAAAAGAGAGCCGTGCACATGATACAAATTATTTCGTTTAAAAAGAAGGAAACCAAAAGGAAGGATAAGAAACGCGTAGTAGGCGTCCACAAGTTAGCAGCGAGAAGAAGAAGAAGAAGAAGAAGAAGAAGAAGAGGAAGAGGGGGAGGAGGAGGAGGAGGAAGAAGAAAAAGGAAAGTAATAAACACGTGAATATCATGTGACTCAAACATAAACAAGAATACGAGGCGCGTTAATGGATCCGAGGCTTTACATGATCAATAGAAAAGAGATCAACACTAGGTGAAAATATTGTAGTGACTTTTATTACTTGATGCAGAAATAATTGATAGTATTAAGCTTTATTATATAGGATACCCCCTCATATCTCATCATCCCTCCTCCTCCTCCTCCCTCCTCCTTCTCCTTCTCCTCAAATTATTTCATAAGATGAGTACCGCAGCTAGTCAGTGTGCTCCACTCGATAGTGTCGCTCGATAGTGTCGCTCAATAGTGTCGAAATACTCGGGCGTGGTGTGTATAGTAAAAAGTAAACACTTAAAAATAGGGGACAGAATGTACAGGCAAATCTATTCACATGTGTAGAAAAGTATACTAATAGTGTCGGCAGCTAGTGTCAGTAGTGTCGACAGTGTCGGTAGCTAATGTGCTCCACAATCTGGCTCTGCTCAATAGTGTCCATAGTGACGATAGTGTCTGTAGCTAATGTGCTCCACAATCTCGCTCTGCTCAATAGTGTCGATAGTGTCGATAGCGTAGGTAGCTAATGTGCTTCACAATCTCGCTCTGCTTTGCTCGATAGTGTCGATAGTGTCTGTAGCTAATGTGCTCCACAATCTCGCTCTGCTCGATAGTGGCGATAGTGTCTATAGTGGCGATAGCGTCGGTAGCTAATGTGCTCCACAATCTCGCTCTGCTCGATAGTGTCTATAGTGGGGTTATTCAAATCCGGGACCCGATCCCATTGAACTCAACCAATCGGTTCCAAAAGTCTCTCCAATCTCATCAAATTTTCCATCAAATCCAATTAGTGTATTTACATTGTCACCGGCACCAGCACCAGCACCACCCATGCCATTTTTGTCTGCACCCCCCGATTGTGGTGGATGTTGCTGCTGCTGCTGCTGCTGCTGCTGCAATGATGAACTCATATTTGCAAAATCGTCCAAAAGTAAATTGTTTGAAAAAAATGAATCATCAATTATACTCTCTGCTGTCGTTGTAGTTGGCAAGGTAGTTGTATTTACCGTGTTTGGAGAAAATTTGCCTTGGTCATAATCATTACTCTGTGGTGGCAAAGGCTGCCTTTGAGGTTGTTTAACAAACTGACGAGTTTGCTGCTGCTGTTGTTGTAAAGAAGGTATAGATTGTTGTGGTTGAGGCGGCGGCATGTTTCCAAATATTGCATCCAATTGAGCATTTTTATTATCCATCCCTCCTCCCCGTTGCTGTTGAGCTTCATGTTGCAAAAATCTTTGTCTCTGCATATTATTTTGATTCTCCATTTGTAGTAATGTCATCTGATATGCATCTAATGATTGTATGTTGGGACGTAGTGGTGGACCGCTATTTACATTTTGATTTGAAGCATTTTTAGATTGTGATGTTCGTGAAGGTGGTTTTTGGTTGATGGTAGGACTACCTTGCTTAGTTTTATGTTGTTGTTGTTGTTGCTGTTGCTGCTGTTGCTGTTGCTGCTGCTGTTGTTGTTGTTGTTGCTGCTGCTGCTGCTGCTGCTGCTGCTGCTGTTGTTGTTGTTGATGTTGTTGGGATGGGGAAAAATGAGGCTGTTGCTTTGGTTGTCCTTGAATTTGTTGCTGGTTATGATTCATAAAATTGTTAAACATAGTTGTGGTAGAAGTACCTGAAGGAAAAGTTTGACCTTGAGGCACTGATTGCATTCTCTGCTGTTGTTGCTGCATCAGAGCTTGTTGTTGAAATTGCAATTTGAGTTGCTGTAACCTCGCCTGTTGTTGTTGTTGTTGTTGTTGTTGTTGTTGTTGTGCTTGTTGTGCTTGTTGCTGTGCTTGATTGATATTAGCACTTCCAGGTACTTGTACAGTTGATGATAAGTTCTTGTTAATCGACATTTGTCCAGGGGTTGTACCAGGTTGTTGTTGTTGTTGTTGTTGCTGCTGCTGCTGCTGCTGCTGTTTCATATTTGGTGTTGGTATCTCAGATATTTTAGGAGTATTCTGGTCTTGGGACTTTGGCGTTGGTTTTCGAAGCGAATGGAGATTTGCTTGCGTCTTTTTACTCTGTTTCAGTATTGACGGTTGACGAGAAGGTTGTGGTAAAGGTTTTTGTTCCAGTTGTAGCTGTAACTGCTGTGAATACAAATGTTGTTGTGGAGTATTTGTCGTCACCATTTGTGGATTATTCAACACTTGGTTCAATTGGGGATTAGCTGTACTTTGCAATATCCATAATAGATTCCACCAATCTAGCAAAAACTCCTCTTGTTGATTGTTATTGTACTCATCTTCCTGCTTTGTATGTCGCGACGAAATTACATTTGAATCTAAAGTTGAATCTAATGAAGACAAGGATGTGATGTTTTTCACCTCTTTTACTAAAGCACTAGCCGTTTCCTCGTGTCCGTTATTTTTCAAGTATAGATACAATTGGTTGATTAGTAGATCTTGCGAATTTTTGAAGTTTGTGCTTGACATATTATCCGAGCTAGATATACTATCCTTAACAAAAGCTGAGCTTGAGCTAATTATTTGAAGAGGAGGGGAGAGGGGGGGGGGGGGAAGGGAAGAAAAAAAAAAAGAGTATCAAGAATGAACAAAACACCGGTTTGAAAGAGATGAGTTTTGAAAGATTTTTAAAACGGTTTCCTAACAAACTTGACAACCTTGTTAACAAACGAGGAACCCATTAGGGTAGTGAAAAAAGTGAAATAATGTAAACTTCACTTGACCAATATAATGCCAAGTAACTTAATTTAATAAAGTTAAACAACCTGCTTTAAATCAACAGGAATGCACAACCTAAAAAATGTCATTTTTTTGAATCTTGACTTTTAGAGGTGATGGAATGGGAGAAAAACACAGCAAGCTACTACATCGAGCAAAGCAAGATAGTGTCTACATAGTGTTGATAGTATCTACAAAGTGTTGATAGTGTCTAAAAAGTGTTGCTAGTGTCTATAAAGTGTTGCTCGTGTCACTAGTTAATGGTGCTCCACTATCGAGCAGAGCCCATATGTGTGTAATTAATGTATATAATTAGGTATTCTTATGTAATGGTTTTTATTTTTCTTCCCTTCCCCCCTCTCCTCCTTTTCCTTTTCTTTCCTTAATTAATTGGAGAGCACAATAACATACCATTTTATACATTATACAGTATTTCATAGTAGGTGCCTAAGAATAAAGTAGATATGCCTATGCCTTTGACATATCTACTTTATTCTTCTTTGCTTATATATCATGTCGCGCCATATGCACATATACACACAACATATACATATAAATAAGTATATAAATTAAGTCGATTTTCTTGTACATCACAGGTTTTGGTTGCATTAAAACTAAACTAATGGGAGTAAAACCCATTCTATTTAAAAAAAGTTGTTCCTCTTAATTTTTCTTTTTCTTTTCTTTTTTTTTCTTCCCCTTTAGTTTAGTATTATAATTTAAGACCTAAATTAACATGGACGGCTTTTGCTTGAGTATACATATTCAATCCATATTCACCCAATTCTCTACCAACACCAGACATTTTAACACCACCAAAAGGTATACGAGCATCAGAGTCATTTGAAGAGTTAATCCAAACCATACCAGCTTCAATTTCACCAGCCATTTTATGAGCTTTTTCTAAATCCTTGGTGAAAATTGCCGATCCTAAACCATAGGATGTATCATTGGCCAATGTAATTGCTTCGTCGTCACTAGAGAATTTGCCAACTGATACAACTGGCCCGAAAATCTCTTCTTTAACTATTCTCATATTTGGCTGAACATCGGCAAATATAGTTGGCTTGATGTAGTATCCTTTAGCAAATTCACCTTGTTCATTCTTTTCTCCACCAAGAACAACTCGTGCGCCTTCAGCTTTACCAATTTCAATATAGTTGAAAACTTTATCGCGTTGTTGTTTAGAAACCTGAGGTCCAACAACACACCCTTGATCAAACATTGTACCTTGTTTATACTCTTGTTCAACATGTTGCGCAAACTGGGTCAAAAAAGTTTCGTAAATTTTTTCATGTACATAGATTCTTGAGGTTGAAGTACAAATTTGTCCCTGATTGGACATGATACCCACAGCTGCCCACTTGACAGCCTGCTCTAAATCTGCATCTTCTCTAATAATCAATGGTGATTTACCTCCACATTCCAATGTAACCAATTTCATTGTATCGGAAGCCATCTTGGATATCAATTTACCAGTGGCGGTGGATCCAGTAAATGCAATCTTGGCAATATCTGGATGAACACACATAGCACTACCAGCAGTTGCACCATATCCGGAAAGTATATTGACAACACCAGCAGGGAAACCTACATCTTTAAAAGTTTGTGCAAAATACAACAATGACAATGGAGTGATTTCTGAAGTCTTTAAAACAACAGTGTTACCTGCAGCTAACGCAGGTGCTAATTTCCATGCAGCCATAGCCAAGGGATAGTTCCAAGGAATAATTTGTCCTACAACACCCAATGGTTCATGAATGGTGTATGCCAATTTCAATGGATCATTTTGTATAAGTTTACCACAAATCTTATCAGCCCAACCTGCATAATATCTAAATGTTTGAACACAAATATCAATATCAAATACAGCGTTTGTTTCTTTGTTCTTACCCGAGTCCCAAGCTTCAATGGCACCTAAAAGCTCTCTATTTTTGACAAACGCATCGGCTATTTTGTTCAATAATATACCTCTATCCTCACCAGTAAACTTCTTCTTCCAAATAGGCAATGCCTTTTTAGCGGCGGCAACTGCAATATCGACATCCTCTTTTTCAGCAGCATAAACTGATCCATTGATTTCTCCGGTAGAGGGATTAATTGAATCCAAAGTTTTACCAGCAACGGATTTTATATATTCATTATTAATAAATAATCCTGATGGTTGTTTGAACGTTTGTCCATCTGGCAAAGTAACAGGATACTCCAACTCAAGTGACATTTTCTTTTCTTTTCTTTTCTGCGAATTATTTGTTTACTACTAAATATAAAGTGTAAGGGAGAGTAGATAGTAATCAGTTAATCAAAAGAGGGAGAGATACGGCTATTTATACATGTATACATGCAATGCATGTTGGCGGCGGGTAAAGAAGGGACAAATAATAATCTGAAAAATATCCGGGGTCGTTGATAAAAGGAAAAAAAAAAGTCCATTGTGCAATCAAGAGTTATCTTGATAAACAATAATAAAAAAAAAAAAATCAACATTTAATTATCCATTTGCGGCTACTTGATGTGGGCGGAGAAATGAGGTGACAATATTGGGAAAGGAGGGGGGAGAAGGGGGGGAGGGAAGGGGTGAAAAGACAAAACTGTCGTCACATAGCTATTATCTCTTGGTTTGATTGTGAAGGGAGGGGAGAGATGTGGTGGTGGAGAGATTTTATACGTGTTTGTGTGTTTGTGTGTGTGGGGGGGAGAAGACTGGCTTTCAGTATCTACATCAAATTTCTTGCTTTTGTTTTTTTCGTCCCGCCAATTGCCATTCGCCTACCGCGAACTTCCACAAGGGCAAACTCTTTCTGATAAGACAGTACATCAATTAACCTACTTTGAACAGACGAAAAGTTTTTCTTTAAGAAACGACATTCAATTGGACATGCTGATAATCTCTATGTGCCCAATTCCTGGCACACTATGCTAAATTTCTCTCTCTCTCTCCCCCTCTCTTTCTCTCTTCATCTCCCTCTTTTTAAAACTCTTTGTTTTATTGATAAAAAATGTATAGTTTTAATTTGTTTTGAGGTGATGGCGGCTTTATCCCAATTTGGGAACTCAATGCATATTTTGCAATTACAATAACTACAAGCCTAAATACGAAAACACACCAACACACCAACACTACAAGACACACACACATACATGTACACACATAGATTTTTCCTGTAAGAAAAGCTTTCCTCTGTTATTTCTGGATTTTGGTTTTGTCATAATTATCAACACTGCTAAAATTTTGCGTAAAATAACATGCAAATAAAGATTAATTGATGAATCAAATTATCACAAATGAAAATTATTTTAAAATTGCTGAGGGGGATAGAGAGGAAGAATGTTTTCTTTATATCGGGATATTTTTCCCCTAAAAAGAGGGAGATCTTTGAGGGAGATCTTTGCTCAAAAAGGGATGGCCTTAGTTAATAGAGGAGAGTTTTTTCGTTAATGATATTGTAATCTTATTTATAAATAAAACCAGAGCTCGACAAATGTGACTATTAAAGGGAAAATTTAACGTTGAAGCTGATATTATGACGCCACCACCACTCCACCAGCATTATGGGTAACATAAGGCCCATGACAAAAATTTATATTTAAAAGAAATCCATTATCGAACCTCAAAGTTTGAGCGGAATTTGAATAATTCCATCAAGTAATCTATTCCGCGTTATTCCATCTCTTCCCTCCCCCGCCAAAAAAAAGAAAAAAAAAAAGACAATGCTGACACTAAACATTCAGCAATGAAAGTAGGCACTTCTTCTCATAAGCTCTTCATCGTAAGATCACTCCCCCGCTCTCCCCCAATAAGAAAAGATTCAATTGTAGCAAGATGGATCTTTCAGTTTTCTCCGTGCAAAGTCCTGCTCATAATGATTTCCGAAGTGATACATTCACTACACCTACGGTGTCAATGATTCAATCATTATCTACAACAACGCTTGGAGACGCAGTATACAACGAGGATGCCAAAACCATCGAGTTGGAAAAGAAAGTAAGTGCACTAACTGGAAAGGAAGCAGGGCTCTTTTGTGTGAGTGGAACTCTTTCAAATCAATTGGCAATGAGAGTCAATTTAACGCAGCCTCCATATAGCATTCTCTGTGATTATCGTGGTCATGTGTATGAACATGAGGCAGGGGGTATGTCTACTTTAACACAAGCAAGAGCGCAACCAATACATCCAAAAAATGGCCGTTACCTAACTTTAAAAGACGATATCTTGCCCAATTTTGTGCCTGATGATGGTGAGATTCATGGCGCCCCCACAAAACTTATCTGTCTTGAAAACACACTACACGGAATGATTTTCCCCCTTGATGAAATTAAGAGAATTTCTCAATTTTGCAAAGATAACAATGTGAAACTACATTTGGATGGAGCTAGACTTTGGAATGCCTCTGCTGCAACGGGGATAAGTTTGCAAAAATACAGTAAATATTTCGATAGTGTTTCATTGTGTCTCTCAAAGACATTGGGCGCACCAGTAGGTACGGTACTAGTCGGCGATGCTGACTTTATTCGTAAGGCTAATCATTTCAAAAAACAAAATGGTGGAGGAATTAGACAAAGTGGGTTATTGGCTAGTATGGCAATAATTGCAATTGATGAGAATTTCCCAAAGTTGCCAGCAACGCATGAAATGGCAAAACAATTAGGTCAATTGTGTGAAGAGAAGGGAATAATTTTGGAACATCCAGTAGAGACGAATTTCGTGTTTGTTGATATTGCTGCAAATAAGATAAACCCAGAGAAATTAGTTGAGATTAGTGATAAGCATGCAGTGAAAGTTTATTCTGGGCGAGTTGCTTTTCACTATCAAATCTCAAAAGAATCATTTGACGCTGTGAAAAAGGTTATCTTGGAGGCTTTCGAGTATGCTCAAAAACATCCTTTTGAGGAAAAGACAAACTTTAAATTCTACAAGCCTACAAAATAAGCCAGTGGAGGGATGATGCTCCCTAAAAGAGAGGAATAGAAGCTGAAAAAGGAAAAATAAGAAAAGATAAAAAAAGAACTGGAGCAAAAATGGTTGAATTTTAGATTATAGTAGATAGGAATTAAACTACGCAGATTTATTTTTAGAAAAAGAAAACAAGAAAATCGTTTAGAGTTAATTTTTTTTTTTTTTTTTTTTTTTTTCCACCACCTTTTCCCAATCAGCAGTAGTGTTTGAGATCATGATAAAGTGAATGGATGAATGAGTGAGTTAACCTTGGACGATATAGCTGAGTCTGATGTGATAGTAGTAACAACAAAATTATCAAAAGACCTTATAGAATTCTTTGAAGACGATTATAATTTCGAAACAAGTTTGAGATTACTAGACGATTTGAAACTACAGACTTTTATTCAGTCAATCTCTTCAAAATTGAAATACAAGCAACTAGCAACTCAGTTATTCACCAGATACGTTGTCAATAGCTTACTTAAACGTCCTTATTTTGAAAAGATCAATTTTGGGTACAGCAAACATGGAAAACCCTTTATTGATCGGTTTCAATTTAATACAAGTTCATCAAATGATATTATTGCGATTGCAGTGAGCTTGCATCTACCAATAGGTATAGATTTATCACACCTGGAGCAAAACATTTCGTCGGTAAACTACTTGTCTCAATTTGAGCCTATTTTTCATGACCTGGAGTTGAGCCAAGTCGATACATATTTCAGATTTAATCATTTTTGGACTTTGAAAGAATCATTCACAAAATTATTGGGTTGTGGATTGAATATCAATCTTGCTGATTTTTATTTTCGTGTTGGAAATGAATTCGATGAGCTGAGAGGTGGTGGTATTTATCCCTATTCAACAATGCAAAGCTCTGTTCAAACTCGATATGAGTTGAGTTGGTTTAATGAGATTGAGGTCAATGCTGAAAAATTATTCAATCAAGAAAACGAATTCGTTCAAGGGTTCAATAATGAATTTTATTGTTATAGTTCTGTTCTTGAAAACGGTGATCAAGTGAGGTTACCTGTTATTATATCAATAGTCACTCCATTTAAAGCCGAGAAAATTCATTGTCTAGATATAAAATTGAGTAGATTATTATTAAATGAATAAGTCTTTTATGATGATTGAAGTAGTGATATTTTACTCAGTTTCATCTCGCCTTTATCTGGGTTTTCTTTACTATCTCCTCCTCCTCTTCTCCTCCTCTCCTCCTCCTCTCCTCCTCCTCTCCTCCTCCTCCTCTTCTCTCATTATGCTACCAACTGTCACCAATACCACTACTAAAAAAAAATAAGTTGGACCTGAAAATTTTGCAGCCATTACTTTTAAATCTTTTTTTTCTTCTTAATAACTAATTAAATACCAAACAAAGAACACTATAAAAGCAAGCTCTATCGCCTTATATCTCATCAAAATAATAAAACACCAGCAACAGCACCAATAATTGCCATTAACAAACCAGATTCATCAAATGCAGCAACAATAGCTCCAGCACCACCATTTTGAGTTGTTGTACCAGTACGTGCAGCGCCACTACTCGAACTTTCCTCGTTCTTGGTTGCTGTACCATCAGATAATGTTGAGGTATGTTTTCCGGTATGTGTTTGTGTATCGGTTGAGTTTTTTGTGTCTGTTGAGCTTGAAATTGATCTTCTACGTGAAGTGCTTCTAGTAGTAGAGTTCCGGGTACTTGCAATATCAAGTGTTGTTGTTGGTGGTTCTTGTGTGAAGCCCCTGGTATTTCCCGTTTCTGACGACACATCAGGAATAGTCAAGCCAAATCCTGTAGCATCTTGTGCATTGGTTATCTCATCTGTTTCGGTAGATTGGCTGAAAATTGGCAACAGATTTGTTCCCGCTGCATCATCCGTGAAACGATTGTTTTCCGTTGTATCTGTTGGGGGATTCAATTGGTCAGTTTCTGTAAATGGATCGTCAACTTCAGTCAATGTATCGACAGCTTCAGTTGTAGTATCTTCGATGCCGTCGGAATTCTCATCGGCTCTTATTACAAAAGCAGTGTAATAAACTTTAGCATGAACTGAAATAAGCACTGAACCAATAATTGCCAATTTTGATACTCTCATTTCTGAACCAAAACAATGGACAGTGGACAAGAAAACTGCTTCCGCTGAATGAAAAAAAAAAAAGAAAATGAAAATGAAAATAGCTTGAGGTTGTTTGATAAAAGTTTGGAAAATTCAGGTGTTATTTATAAACATAAATGAACACAGCCATGTTCACATTCATGAAACAAGTAACTTTACTATACCAGTATCCTGCCATTGTGGTATACGTAATACACTTTTTGATTTTTCCTTCTCCAACTCCAAAGCTAATAAAAAAAAACCCAATTTGGGACGAATGTTACATGTATCATTAAACTTGATTGTTTTTTTATTGTCCTTTATTTGAGCATAAACAATAATATGATACAATAGGACCCTGAAACCGGTAACTCAGGAAAAGCTTCATCACCAACTCTTTAGCGTTGCGTGGCGACTACTACTATTACAACAATAACAATAACAATAATACTACCTACACTTGCCTCCTCCGTACATATATTTATTGTTTCCCTCTTCCTCTTCGCAACCATCTGAAGTAAACTTTTTTTTTTGTGGTTTTTTGGCTTTTTTTAGGTCAATGAAAAGTGGATAATTTTGGGCACCTTGTTTGGAAAAGTATGGTTGTCTTGCCAAGGCTATCAAGAAGAACCAAAAAAGCACCAAAAAAGGACCTCGTAGAATAGAAATGAAAGACATGCAACTTAACCTTTTGCGCAGTGTCTCAAGCAATGTAATATAGTCTTTATTTTAGAGTCTCAGGCTTACACAACCTTAATTTTTTCTTTTTAGAGAGCCATCCTCTTTATGATCGAATATAGGAGATGACTTTTCACGAGGACTTTTTTATTTGTTGATGCTATGTATTCAGTGTGATTTTGAGGCTTGAGTTTTCGAGTTACAACGGTTTAATGAAAATGAACCTTGAATGCTACGTCATCTATAACGCTATACCACTTTCCGCTATGCTGTACCACTTTCCGCTATGCTGTGCCACTTTCCGCTATGCTGTGCCACTTTCTGCTACACTGTGTGTTAATCTCTTTGTTGGCGATAAATATATCGCATTACTTTTTAAATTTTTCGCAGCCAAGGGAGGAGCAGGCGGATTTTGTTCCTCTCCACAAAAGAAAACAACAAAAACTAGGAGCTCATTACAGCAAAGAGTGTAAAATTGTGTGAATCCACTTAACTGACGCTATATTTTAAGGCTTGTACTTTACTTTTCAATTCCGCTGTAAAATATACCATAGACTTGAAAAAATTGGAAAAAATTTCACAAGGTAAAGTGTCTTTGTAATTGAGCACAAAGATACTTGACACACATACGAATTATGACAAGGGCAAAAGGAGGGGGGAACCCTGTTTTCAGAAAAAGTGTGAAGCATGTGCATATATTATTTAGCACCACCACCGTCACTACTGGTAGAGTTGAAGGACCAAAAGCAAAATGATGCAATAAATATGTATTGTAAGTAGTCCTTTACGTGTGGGTGCGAAAGATGTAACCATATTATTATTTTTTTTTTTTCTTTTACTTTTTCAACATAATGAGGTGATGAGGTTTATACCAAAGACCTACCCAGCTAAGTTACTAAAGCATTACCTCTTATCTTTTTTTCTTTTTCTCTTTTTGTAGATGTCATTGCTTCATGAAAAACATGAAAAGTTTTTCAACAGGTGTCTAATTGCATTACCTGCCCAAGCTGCTCTGGAAGATTCTAATAAACTAGCTATAATATATTTTTCTCTTCATGGGCTACAGCTACTTAACAAGTTCAATTTCACACAGCAAGAACTTAAGTACCATGAAAAGTTTATATGGGACAGTTTCTTTATTGAAAGAAACGAATATGTGACATTTAGATCAACTATGTATTTTCAAGAATCTGGTGAATTGTTTGATTCTGGTGATTTATCAGCTTGTTTATTTGCATTATATTCATTAATGATACTAAAGTCGGATTTTAAACGACTCAATTGGCAGAAATTGTTTAATTTCTTGGTTAAATGTCAAATTAAACAAGGTCTGAATAAAGGGGGGTTTCTACAGACTTCTAATGAAACGGATCTTGAATCTGATTTTGCTCAAGCGGATATAAGGCAATGTTATATGGCATTGGTAATACGGCAGCTTTTGTTAGATAAAACAGAATTAAAACTGGATATAGATAAGAACCTGCTAACAGATTTTATATTAAAACGGTTGAACCACAATGGTGGGTTCGGTTCTCAAGTTTTCGATGAGCCTCATTTAGGGTATACCTTTTGTGCAATTGCATCTTTGAAATTGCTTGGATTTCCAGTAGACAACCTTGAACAAACAAAAAATTGGTTGGTTCATAGGCAAGTATCGTACCCGGAAGTTTTGTACCCGGTAATGAAAGATTATGCGTTTCATAGGAATATAGATACGGGCGGCTTTAATGGAAGGGAAAACAAATTGAGCGATACTTGCTATTCTTGGTGGTGTAGTGGGAGCCTTTATTTATTGAATCAAGATAATTTAAAGCTAATAAACGTGGAGTTGGCAGAAGAGTTTTTATTAGAGAAAACCCAAAATACAATTATGGGCGGATTTTCAAGCGTTCCTGATGGTACTCCTGATCCAATGCACACTTATTTGGCATTGGCGAGTTTGTCGTTATGGAATTGCGAAAAGTACAAATTGGATGAAATAGATGCGTTGTTTACAATAAGTAAACGTTTACGACACTATCGAGCAGAGCGAGATAGTGTCGTAATAAGCTACTGAAGCGAGTCTAGTTGATAGAAAAGAGTAGAAAAAGATTAAACTGGGTTATAAGAAACAAACTGGGCTACAAAAGAGGTTGTAACAAGGTATCAAGTGTTGCACCACTATCGAGCAAAGCGAGAGAGTAGAGCAGAGCAGAACAGGACCCGTGTAGACTTGTGTAGACCCGTGTTGACCTGTGTTGACCTGTGAACGGGGTCCTTATTTTTTATTTTATTTTTTTCATTTCCTTCCTCTCTTCCTTTCGACTGCGAAAAATTCAATCCGAAAGCTGACAGGTCATTTTGCCCCTTGTTATATCGTAACACACCTCCACCTCTTAAAGATATACAATTTCTTGGACAAGTTACCACACGGGTTTGATTGCTCTTTTTCTTTTTCTTTCTTTCTTTCTTTCCATGTCCAATTAGATGTCATCTATAACAACATCTTCACCAACACCACATCATGACTCCAAGGTAATATCCAAACCAGTTGTTTTATTAGCCAATAAGTCTCCGGATGCAGTAACTCATTTAGTATCGGGAGGTATAGCGGGTTTAGTCTCGGCAGTTACTTTACAGCCCTTTGATTTGTTAAAGACTCGACTACAGCAACAACAGCACACTACCAAGAATGAAGTTCGGACTACGATATATAAGGAATTGAAAAAATTAACCAAAATAAAAGATCTTTGGCGTGGTACATTACCTTCGACATTGAGAACTTCAATTGGTGCTGGATTGTACTTTACAATCTTGTCCAAGATGAGATCGAACTGGGCGGCATATAGGTTGAAGTATCCTAGAAACGGTGAAGTTGAATCAAGCTTCAAATCGAGCTCATCTGTATTACCTAAATTAACACCAATGGAGAATTTAGCTACCGGGTTTTTTGCAAGAGCAATTGTTGGGTATATCACTATGCCTATAACTGTTATCAAGACAAGATTCGAGAGTAACTTGTATAATTACAATTCCATGTATGATGGTATCCTGGGGGTATATTTAGAAAATACAAAAGGAGGGAACGGGGAAATGGGGAAAGTACCACGCCATGGTGGATCATTAAAAAACTTTTTTAGAGGTTCAACAGCAACATTGGCAAGAGATTGCCCTTATGCTGGATTATATGTTCTCTCGTATGAATTGTTTAAAAATGACATTCTTCCGATTTTCATACTTCGAAACTTTAGCCAAGACCACCACCTTCTTAACCATCATTATGCAAGTATTATTAATACTACAGCCGCAATATTAGCAGCAACTACGAGTACTACAATAACTGCCCCCTTTGATGCGATAAAAACGAGGTTACAACTCACTAATGGTAACTCAATGTGGAAAACTTTTCAAACATTGATGCAGGAAGAAGGTGGGTTTAAAAACTTGTTTAGAGGATTAAGTTTGAGATTAAGTAGAAAATGTGTTAGTGCTGGGATCAGCTGGTGTATTTATGAGGAATTAATTAAAAGTAAAATGCTCAAAGACTGGTTTGCATAGGATCAGACTGGTTTGCATAGGATCAGACTGGTTTGCATAGAGATTCAAGACTTGTTTACATAAAGATTTATATATAATTTCTGTATAAACTTAGGTGAAAATAAATGATGTATAATAGTAGAGGAGCTTTGAAAAAAAAAAAAAAAAAAAATATCTGGGGTAAGCTTTGTCACGTGATGAGGTCTTTGGTATCCGCTGGAACAAGAAAAAAAAAAAGTTGGCTATTAGCGGGGGAAGGGGAGGTGGAAGGAAGAGGGTTGGTATTTAGTAAGAGCATTATCAAGAATAGAGTATTGTATCCGAAGCAGTTGTAAGGAGGTATTATGAATGAGGAACTTATAAATAGTGCAGTTGCATTTTTGCAAGATCCTAATGTTTCAGCTTCACCATTAACTAAGAAGGTTGAGTTTTTAGAGTCGAAAGGTTTAAACCAACAAGAGATTGAAGAGGCTTTAAGAAGAGCAGGCGGTGGCGGTAGTGGTGATATGTCATCATCGGGTGGAAGTACTTCATCATCAACAACGTTGACGCCATCTAGTTCAAACACTAACTTGGCACACCACCAGCAACTACCTGTCGACTACTTTAATGTCGCGCCACCGTTGCCTGAGAGATCATGGAAAGATTATTTTATAATGGCAACTGCCACCGCGGGAGTTGCATATGGACTATACCAGGTGATATCACGCTATGTTGTTCCATCGATCATACCACCGAGTCAATCTGCAATTGAAGAAGACAAGGAAACAATTAATCAAGAGTTTATCAAGATTGACAAGATTTTGGAAGAAATGAGTAAAGAGCAAGAAGAAATGAAGAATTTGAATGAGGAGAAGTTGAAAGATATAGATACCGTTATTGAGAACATTAATGACTTTTTAACGAAATATAACAAGGATAAACTTAAATTTGATGATGATTTGAGATTAATGAAATTAGAAATTGACAATTTGAGTAATTCAATAGAGAAGAATATGAGGTTGAGTAAAGAGAATGTTAGTGAAGAGTTGATAAGCCTTAATGAAGAATTGCAAAGCTTGAAGAACTTGATAAAATTGAGATCTGAAACTACTGGAGCTACTGGCGGTGCAAGCGTTGGTAGAAGTATTGCGCCAGTTTCGTCAATTCCCTCAGCTAGTGAGATTTTGAAGAGAGCGAAAGCCAAGACTGAAGCAAATGCGTCATCTTCTGCAAATGTGGCAAATGCGGCAAATGCGCCATCTTCTGCAAATGTGGCAAATGCTTCTTCAACTGCGGCAACTACTGATAACCAACTTGAGAAAGTTACCACGACGAGAAGCAACGATGTAACTGAAAACAACATTGTTGCAGGGGGTATACCAACTTGGCAAATCAAGCATAAAGAAAACGAAACAAAACGAGACGAGCAGTTGGTGAGAAGCAAGAGTGAAGAGAAGAACGAATATAAGGCTCAAGAATTGAATGATAATGACCAAAAAGCTGTTGGCGATGTTACTGAAGAGAAAATCAAGGAGAGAATCAAATCTGCAGGCATACCACCATGGCAGTTGAACAGTAAAATCAATAACAATAACAATAGTAACAACAGCAGTAATAGTGATAGTAATAGTAATAATGGAATACCAGCATGGCAAGCGGCAGCAGCAGCATCATCAACAAGCTCATAATAACTCATGCTGTACATATAGTGACGCTATAGGGTCTATATACACTTTCAACTCATTGTATTTGAATGTAAAGTTTCATTATCTTTGACACTAGCTGCCACCAACACTATCGGCACTAGTGGACTTGTATTAATGTATGTGCTGGACTTGTATTTGAATGTAAAGTTTCAATATCTTTGTATTGTAATATATACTGGATTTCGCACATATACTATATTTTTTGTTAAGCTCTATGTGGGAATAATGATGCGCGGTTGAGCTGGTGAGGTATTGCATCGCCGCATGGCCTTGTATTGACACAAGCCCCAAAAGGCGTGGCGGGGCGAGTACCAAACAAACAAGCAAGAAAAAAAAGTAGTAATCCACTAGCGAGCAAAGCGAGCTATTACTCTTGGTCCAGAGTAATAGTCTAGAGTATCGGTAGTATCGCTTGGTCCAGAGTAATAGTTAGAGTATCACTAGTCACCTGCTCCAGAGTAATAGTCTAGAGTATCACTAGTCACCTGCTCCAGAGTAATAATCTAGAATGTTGCTAGTCAGTGCTACTCCAGAGTAATAGTCAAAAGTATCACTAGTCAGCTGCTCCACTAGCTCGGTTTGCTCGCTAGTGTCGTTGACCAATTCAGAGAAGCGAAAAAAGAAAAAAAAAAAAAAAAAAAAAAAAAAACGAAAAAATAAGCGGTTAAAGGAACTAAACGAANNNAAAAAAAAAAAAAAAAAAAAAAAAAAAAAAAAAAAAAAAAAAAAAAAAAAGAAAACGAAGAACTCAGCGGTTAAAGGAACTTAACGAATACTAAAAGAAAAAAGCATTCAAAGTGCTTATATCAAATAGGCCACGCGATACAAGCAGGTTAAAGCATAGGATAGCGGTTTTGGAACATATACATCCTTGTATTTGAAACTTGACGAAAACCGGGGAAAATACACTACAACTTTGCTTTCACAACTTTGCTTTCAAACCTGTTTCTTAGAGAAGAATAAAAAAAAAAAAATTAAAAAGAAGGATTTTTATCGGCGGTTAGAAGTGTATAATTTTCCTATCATTGATCTGGCCGCGGTTGATAAGAACTTGTTAGAGCTTTACTTTCCAAGTGGCTCATTTTTTTCACTTCATTCAGTTTGTATAATTTTACTTTTCCATTTTATTCAAGGGATATTGGGGGATATCACGATTAAATTTTCGGGATTCTTTTTTTTTTTTTTTTTTCAATTCAGTGTTTGTAGATTGATTATAAAAGTATTTATCAAGGGGAATAAAAGTGTTAACCAAGGGGGGATAGTAGTGTTAACTAAGGGGGATCTTTTTTGTATACATATATGTTGCATAATGTCGTCATCTACTACTATTTATCCCAAAAGACTGGCGCATTCTGTTCCATTTAGTAGCCAGTTGGAAGTTATTGAAAAGATTAATTTGAATAATTCGAAAAACCAACAATTGCAAAATTACAAGTACAACCAAAATTATCATAATCAGAATAGGTCACAGGGGCATTATAATACTTATCACAACTATAGTAATGGTGGCAATAAGGGCATCTACGTTAATCAAGGCGGGTATGGTCATAAAAATCACAGTAACCACCATATCCAACAACAGAGTAATAAATATGCATTAGCCGCAGTGGCAGCGGCTGCTGCAGTACAACATCACCAGCAGCAAACCTATTTATTACAACAACAAGCAGCTCTAGCACAGCAGCAACAGCAGCAACAGCAGCAACAGCAACAACAACAACGTCAAAAACAGCACCAGCAGTACCAACAATGGCAGTCCCATCAACACAACCTTCCCATGTACAATACATCACAGCTCACTGCATTTTCTCAGCCACCTATATTTTCCCAGCCACCTCCCCAGGTTTTTGGCGATTTTTCAAATTGTGGTGGTACCAGTGGTGGTACCAGTGGTGGTACCGGTTATGTTGATCAAAATACAACAGGTGGTAGCGTTCAATCACAATTGAACAACAAGTTAAACATGTCTAATGGAAGCACCAATTCCATTAGTTCGATTTCATCATCGTCTGATTCCACGCCTAACCCATTTCCAGTAGTATTTGCCAATTCACCACCGCCGCGGTCAAATTCCTTACAGGAGGAAAGAGGTTGTGTTTTTGATAAGAGCTCACCACCAAATTTATTATTATCGACTAGCATTGCTTCACTTACGCCTACTACAACAGCAGCAACGAGTTTCCTCAACTCTCCAACCTTAATGTCAACAGCCGGCTCTGCTAAAGATAATAACGTTCGTAATGGCAACAATACAAATGGGAATGCGACTTCAACTACATTGACCTCGGGGTCGATCTGGGCTAAGAGCATAAACGAGAATACAAGCACAAGTATGGGCACACCTACACCTGGAAACAGTACCATATTGGGATTTGGTACTTCCAAGCTTTGGTAACCACTAATCGCCCCTATTCATTTAATCATTGCCATGTGATATATATGTATAACATTTTTTTTTTTTTTCATTTGGTTTTACTTGACATTTGTTTAATTCGGTTTTGCAATCGCTGTATATTTTCACACAAACCAGCTCCACTATCGAGCAAAGGGAGATAGTGGAGCACACTAGCTGTCATCGGCACTAGCTGTCATATTTAAAAACAGTTTGTCATTCCTTTGTTGATGATGGTGTTAATGTTTTTCATTCCTTTGTTGGTGATGGTGTTATTGTTTGTCATTCCTTTGTTGGTGAAGGTGGTGGTGTTATTGATTTTTTTTTTTATATTCAATTTTAGTAGGTAATAGGTTAGAGTTTTTTCAAAAAGAAAAGTTATTTTATGGATTAAGGGATGTTAGATTAAAGGAAGTTGGATTAAGGGAGACTGAATTTCGTTTGTTTGGAGTTTTATTCTACAATACCATAGAGTTATTAAGTTATTGAAGGGAGTATATATATATATATAGTACTAGTTTGGTTAAATGAGTATAAGTACAATACACTAGTAATATTTTTGTCACGTGACTCTTTTCAAGACCAAACGAAAAAAAATTGAGAGAGCCAACAATTTCAACTTTACTAGGCAAGTTGATTCAAGATTGTTGAATGATGTTGCAAGGTATGACGCTAGGAGGTCTACTAGACAAGTCAATTGAGTTAAAGACATCCAGCAAGACATTTATTCTCTTGTTTTTTCAGCTTAATTCTGGGAAATGTATAAGTAATGAAGAATATATCGAGTTACTTCAACCAGCATCGATATCAATGGCTTTTGCAGACAAGATTGAAGGACATCGACTATACCTTATGACTGAGTTGTCACTTAGCACCAAGTCGAAAAGTAAGCTTTTTTGGTCAAATTTATACAAGCTTCCAGATGAGCTCGAGGCTCGGTATTTGCAAGAGGTATTGAAGATTATCCAGAAATGCGAAAAGGTGCAAAATCAGGAAACTATTGATGCTTTAATTGCAAGGGATCTACCTAATTATATAATGGCTTATTCAGATAAACAAGACAAGTCTTTGGCTGTGGTTAACCAGATTATTCTGTTGATAGTGGTACTTGTTGATAATTACTACTCATCCGCTATTAAAAACGATAGCAGTAAGCAAATTTGGAATAAGTTTATTATCAAATTTGTCTCTTCAGTTGATAAATATACCGGTGGCACATTTAATTTCACAAACTTGGTAAAAAAAGTAAAACCGATTTTATTGCAAAGTCTGTTGGAAAAATTGCAAGATTCACAGATTATTCGACTCGATGAAGGTATTTGTGCCTCTGCTACAGAACAAAGTGAAATCTTACCCGTTTCCCTAGTGATTCATAACAAACTCGAGTTTTATCTAAATGTAAAGAGAATTTGTTGGTTTTATCAGTTTTCAAAGGACTTTAAGAAATTGGAAATTTTGCAAAATCCAACTACATTTTTGAAACATTTTGTACAAGAATGCATATCTCCACAAGTTCAGAGTGATAATCACTATATTGCTAATGCATTTACTAATGCGGTCTTTGCAAATTTGAGCTTGAACGTCTCTGGATACCACTTGTTTAATGTAAAGAATTTTATTTTAACTAAACTTACATTGATTTTCAAAGATTTAAATTTTAAGGAGCAAGAAGTATCTGAGTTATTAGCGGACAATTTGAAGTCATTAACCATGGTGGATGCAAATATGAAGCGAATGGTTTTGGAGGCCATGAAGTGTAACAGTGTAGGCGACGACAATAGTGTTGAGTTGAGAGCTAAGTTTAGTGAGACTTTGGTCAATGTGAATCTGGGATTCACGTCGCTTGAAGAAAGTGGGCTTATTGAATTGATTAACGAATTGCCCAAGATTCTCTTGACCGATAAGCGACAACAAATTGCATCAAATATGATACTTGATATGATTGATGGTTTTGTTCGCTCAAAAGAATTGGAGAAATTGAATCGTTTGTTACTCGCATTGATGAACAATGTCGAATTGGTCAACATCATTTTATTCCACACCAACATGACTCTTTTAAATAAACTAATAGACTATATTGATTTTGAAAATTTCAAAATCGATTCAGATGAGGATGAATTTCAGGAATATTACTCATACTGTGGTGTTGCTATTATCAGTATAATCCTTATTTTGAAAGTTTTTGACATTGATTTTTCGAAAATCGATATCAAAGACTCATTTGTGATAAGCTACATCAACTCATTTTTCTACAGATTAGGGTCCAATCTCACCAGCAACGCACCCACAAAGAATGAAAATGCCGAGGAAGACTCTACAATAATAACAAATTATAACACACTATTATCGGAATGGATCAATTCTTTATTTGACGAGAGTAATGATGGGTTATCGGATGATTTGGTAAAAAGTTTAAGCATTAAACAGATTTACAAGTTGATTCCTATCGTTTATAAGCAAGCAATAGAAGCAACGAATATAAAGAGAATCGACTTTAGTGTAATGAACAATGGACTAGACTACTTATCGCAATTATTTCTAATACCAGTTAATGTTTGTTTGATTGAATGGATGTTGCGAGATCCAAGTTTGAAAATGGACTTGAAGTACAAAATTTTGTCTGAGCTCATAAAGACAAGTTTACAAAATGTGGGAGAAACCCCCAGTCTCATATTCAAAATCATCTTGAATATATGTGGTCCAGAGATAATGAAACAATGTCCCGTAACAGAAGTGTATCAAATAATTACTCCTCATGTGCACTACAACAATGTTGAAAAGACTACTCCCAAGGAGAAGATGCCCATTTCCAATATTAGGGAAAGTTTCAAGAATATCTTTACTGCTGATACGTCACAGTATATTGAACTATTTGAAAGCTTTGAGAAATTTCTTAAGCACAACAAATTGGAAGTTGTTCAGTTTACAATCCAAGAGCTTTACACTTTTCATACCAGATCCAGCGAAGAAAACTTGAAGTTGTTTATTAATCTCATGGTTTCTATTTTTATTTGGGATTCGATTGAAAATAATGAGGATAAATTGTACTGGATAGAAAAACTCAATGCAGATGTTGACCGCGCTGATTTAACAACAAAGACAACTTCATCATTACCATCTGCTACTTTTTCTACCACTACCACTTCCGAAGCAAAAGATCTTAGCTTCAACGTATCTATCGATTATCATTACTCTTCAATTTTCAATGATGAAGTAGCAGCTTCATCAATGAATGGCGGCGGTAAAGATGCAGCTGATGCTATGGATGATATGGATGAATTTCTAAAGCAAGACGATGAAGAAGATGACCAGAATGAAGATATTGAAATGAAGATTGCAACAAGCGAAGAATTATTGAAATTCATAAATCATGTACACCGTGAAGACTGTTTATTAGCATACTTTAAGAGAGTCAAAGATAAAACTAATGAGTCCAATTTGTTTTATACTACAATCAAAATTTTGAATGAGAAAATATTAGAAGATTTAAGTAGTCGGGAAATATGAAAACAAAGACAAAAATACTGTTAAAAAACAAATGATAGAAAAGTGAACGTCATATGATTCTAGAACTATATAAAGAGATCACCGCTGATCACTCTTGGTTTTACGTTGATTTGTTTTGGTTTTTCTTTAATCTGCGGTGGTTTTTTAATCTTTGACAAAACATTTGCTGATTCTTCCTCTTCGTCTACTGGTTTTCTCTTTGGCGTGGTGGTGGTGGTGGTGGTTTTTGAATTAACAACTTGTTTTTGTAAATTTTTTGGTAATCTCCGCTTAGCGCCCTTGGCCCGGGTTTTAGTCAAGTGTTCCAACTTTCCGTCACCTCTAGATTGTTGGGTGGTGATGCTTGAGGTTTTCCTGGTAATCGATCCAGTTTGTGGAAAAGTACTAGCTTTTGAAAGTATTGCACCCAATTTGTGCTCAAATGATAATTCCACATTTGATTCGTCACTGCTCCTTTTATTGGATTTGCTTCCCTCTTGGTTTTCACTCTTGCCATTAATGAATGAAGTTTCCTCAATTTTTGCTCCACTTTGCAAATCTTCTGTACGAGACTTTTTGAGTTGCTTTAGTCGTGGGGCCAATGCCTTTTTCTGTGCCAATTTCTTTAATTGATCTCTTAACATTTGACTATCTTGCTCCTCAAAATTTGTTTTTTGAGATGTACTCAATGTCTTTTCGAGTTTTACTGGAGACATTTTCTGTAACTTGGATCGTACTTCACTAGCATCTTTCTCTTCGTAATTTATCTTCTGAGGCGTATTTAAAGTCTTTTCGAGTTTCCCCGGAGACATTTTCTGTAACTTGGATCGTACTTCACTAGCATCTTTCTCTTCGTAATTTATCTTCTGAGGCGTATTTAAAGTCTTTTCGAGTTTCCCCGGAGACATTTTCTGTAACTTGGATCGTACTTCACTAGCATCTTTCTCTTCGTAATTTATCTTCTGAGGCGTATTTAAAGTCTTTTCGAGTTTCCCCGGAGACATTTTCTGTAACTTGGATCGTACTTCACTAGCATCCTTCTCCTCGAACTCCTTTACCTTCAAATTTGTGGCAAGCTTTGGTTTTGCAGGTACTGCTGGTGGTTTTGATTTCGTCATTAAGTTGACTTTCTTTTGAAACTCCAATGGTGATTCTTGCAATTTCAATACAGGTTGAGACCTCGTAGTTGGTTGAGGTTTTCCACACTTATTCAATAGACTGTTTGGTTTGTTAAGTTTCAGTAAAGCGTCTAAAAACTCTGGCTTTACTTCTTCATCATCGTTTTTACCCTTTTTCAACTTTGCGTTTTCAATTTTGTTTGATAAATGGGCTGGTTTATTAGGTTTTATAACTGGATACAATACAGGTTTTGGCTTTGATTCGGGTGACTTACTAACCGCGCTATCGAGCCAGCTAGTAGGCTTGGGCCTCACAGGACTGAAAATGGGTCCTGTGGTTTTCACTGATTGCGGTGTTGAGACTGTTGATTTTGCCGATGCCAATGAAGTAAGCCAATCTGGTTTTACAGGTTTTTCCTTTACTTTTTCCCCCACCACCAATCCTGGTTGAGCCATTTCTTTGGTGGAGTTGCCTTCTTCTCTTTCTCCAGCCTTTATCATGTATTCCATTCGACGAAAAGAGTTGCCCTCCACAGATGACAAGTTCCCCTTTTGTTTTTTATCATTCTGATTCGATCTAGTCGGTGATGGCGATTGCTCTTTTCTAGCAACAGGTTGCATTAGTCCAAACGACGGTTTCAGTAGTCGTCTTGGTAGTTTGGGAGAGTCTTCATCATGAACTCGCCTTGTTGGCAATGCAGGTACTTCATTTCTGTCACCTCGTTGGTCCCATCTTCTTGGCAATGCAGGTACTTCATTTCTGTCACCTCGTTGGTCCCATCTTCTTGGTAATGCGGGTACTTCATTTCTGTCACCTGGTTGGTCCCATCTTTTTGGTAATGCAGGTACTTCACTTCTGTCACCTGGTTGATCCCATCTTCTTGGTAATGCGGGTACTTCACTTCTGTCACCTGGTTGGTCCCATCTTCTTGGTAATACAGGTACTTCACTTCTGTCACCCAGTTGGTCACTCGATTGGTCCCGTCTTCCTGGTAACCTAGGTCTTGTATCACTTTTGTCTTCTCCGTCATTGTCTACCGCTTGTCGACGAAATACACTCGTACTATCCTTGGTATTATTACCATCACCAGCACCATTGTCAGCCTTTCTAGGTAGTGAGCGATTGAACTTCAAGTCGGGTACATTCATGTTATACGGAGACATTACCCTTGTGTTTGTAACTTGATATTCTTGTTTAGTCGGAGAAGAGCTATTCAGTCGTGATCTCAACTCATCAATGTCACGCTGTAAATTTCGTTGGCGTTGACGGTCCTCTTTAAGCTTCTCCTGAGATAATTGTGAAAGACTGGATAAAAAGTCATCTACGTCGTTACGACCTGACGCCGTCACCGTCACCTCAGTCATTTTGACTTCAAATCTTATCAAATAAACCTCACTTATCGTCTCGTATTTAATTATTGCAAAAGCCAAATTGTAAAGAAGAAAAAAGAGAATAGTGTTTCATTAAAAGCCAAAGAGTGCGATAACAAAAAATATACTGAAAAAAAAAAGGCACCAAAAAGAGAGGCACCTATTGATTGATCTGGGGGGGGGAGGAAGAGATTGGGGGTTGGAAATCAGTATAGTAGGCAACGTATCTAAATTCTCTCGTAGTCCAAGAACAGTTTCAACAAGAGACGGGGTTTGGGGCATGTATGGTATACAAGTAGTATCACATTTCTTTACCATTTCGACACTATTGAGCAGAGCGACACTATTGAGCAGAGCGAGATAGTGAAGTGTGCTTAGCTGTCATTGATAAAACCTGTGTGTTCCACTAGCTGTCATCGATAAAACCTGTGTGTTCCACTAGCTGTCATTGATAAAACCTGTGTCTTCCACTAGGTGTCATCGACACTATCGAGCGACACTAGCTGCCATAGGGTAGTGGGTCTGTATAAGGGTAGAAAAGCGTGTATTAGGGAGAGGGGGGTACCCACTATTTTCCCACTTGTAGCAGACCGCACCGCCATCGAGCAGAGCGAGACACCCTCATAAGTTATTGGACAAATACAATTCAGATATATATAAAGAGATACAGATGATTTTTTCCATGTCTATACCGATAATTTTTTTCTACATCTATACAGATGATTTTTTTCTACATATTTATTGGCTTTTTATAGATAATCTCAAAATGAAGCAATTCAAGTAATCCATTTTCATCGTTTTGCCATTCTTTCCATTTCTCAATAACCTCTCTCTTGGCTGCTTGATCCTTCTCATTGTCATCGCGAAACATCACTTCATCCTTGTTATTAGCAATTCTATTTATAAACAATTTAGCCCAGTTCTGTTTTGCGGCACTGTCATCCGCAAGCAACCAGTTTGACACGGAGGTTGTAATATTTTTAGCTTCATAACCGGCTATAATGGCTTTTCCTCTTAAATTTCTTCCTGCTCTTATATCTGTAGAAACTGCATTTTTGGCTGTTAAAATATAATAATCAACCAATATCTCGTATTTTGGAGGGGAAATAATTGAAGTTTCAATATCTCCGTCTTTTACGCAAACATACCCACCTGGCTTAGTAACTCGTTTCAACTCAGCTAATGCAGCTATTGGATCTTGTAAGTGAACCACCACTTGATGTGCATGCACGAGATCAAAAGTATTTTCTTCAAAAGGTAACTTATAAATTGAACCTAAAGTAAACTCAATATTTTTCAAGTCGGGTACAGTTTTTGCCCTAGTTTCGTTGGCTAGATCAATCAACTCTTTAGTTGGCTCCACTCCTATAATTGACCCGCCTTGATTAAGATAATTTCGTGCAAAATCAATGGTAATTGTTCCTGGCCCACATCCAACATCTAGTACTTTAAAATTTGGTTTAAGTACCGATGTGACAAATTTTGAAGAATTCTCAACATTTCTCCATGAGTGTGTATCTGATTTTGTCTTGTCAAAGCCTTTTGAGTAATAAACTTGATCGTTGGTCATACCTGTTGCAAATTACTAGGGAGTGAAGCAAGCTAGTGGAGCAGCACTGACTAACGACACTATCGAAAGCGAGATAGTGGAGCAAAATGTGTCACGATATGTTTACAAACCGGTAAATCCGAGAACCGGAAAATCTAATTTCGGAAATTTTTCCGAAGCAAAAACGAAATAGGGAACAACTTCCACACTATCGAGCAGAGCGACACTATCGAGCGGAGCGAGATAGTGGAGCAATACTCAATAGCTTGTTACAACACTGTGACACTATCAAGCGAAGCGAGATAGTGGAGCAGCACTCAATAGCTTGTTACAACACTAAGACACTATCGAGAAGAGCGAGATAGCGGAGCAACACTAACTAGCTTGTTACAACACTAACTAGCTTGTTACAACACTAAGTAACTTGTTACTACACCAAGTAGCTTGTTACTACACTGACTAGCGAAAAAACATATCCTAGTTTTGACTTGCTTCGATTTTCAAGTGTTTTTAATCTTTATAAAGGTTGGTGCAAAGCTGTATGCCAAATGTGGCGCATAACTTTGCATCAACAGGTTGTCTGCCAAATGTGGCGCATAACTTTGCATCAACAGGCTGTCTGCTTTTTTGCAACAAAGTCATAAATAAATAACAGTAAAGTGTATTATCGATAAGCAAAATCTTTAGAAATAAACAAAAAAATCACATTTCATGCATAAACAACGAAATATGCCTCAACCATTCTCTCTTGTCCCCACTCCCGCACACACGCACTTTCTCCATATTATTAGTCGACCGCATATATTATATACATATACTTATTTACATATTGTACTGATCAACAGAAAAATTAATAACGCCGAAACCAAAATAAGATCCAGAACAGACGGAGATATATCTGTACAAAACAAAAATATCACACTCCTCAAAGTTGATTTAAGACGTTTTCAGATTTTAAGATTTTCTTACATTTGCTAAAATACAGAAAAGAACGGAAACGGTGGCAGCTAGTCTCGCTCTGCTCGATAGTGTTGTAATATGCTAGTCAGTATAATATGCTAGTCAGTGTAATATGCTAGTCAGTGTGCTCCACTATTTTGCTCTGCTTCATAGTGTCGTGATCTACCAATTTAAAAAAAAAGACTCATTCTCATACTATTTCTTTTGATTTCTCGAAAAGAAATAGTTGCTATGTTGATAAAGAAAAATTGATAATGTTATCAATCAAAGAGGATATATCTTTTATTTTGGATAATAATCGGGTCATCTTTTTTTTTTGATTTTCCTTTCACTTAATGCTTCTTACGTTGTTTCTTCAAAATATTTTAAGTGGTAACCATGTTTGATAAAACAAATTTACTAAATCCGTTTGAGTTTACTATATACTACTTTTTTTTTTTTTTTTTGCAGCAATTAACTCAATTCGTAGTAGTCTTAGCGATGATCACGTGTCAGAAGCAATTGAAACTTTGTTTGCTACAGAAGAGAAGTAAAGATACGGGAGACACTATAGAGCGAAAAAATGGAGCAGCACTGACTACATCAACACTATCGACGCTATCGAGCAGAGCGAGGTAGTGAAGCAATAAAAAAAAAAAAAGATATGCATTGATCTATAAGTAGTACCTGATGATGGGGCGGGATGGAGCTAAAAATATGTATATGGTATCGATATGAAAAATTTTTTATAGTAAATAATTGTTGATGAAATGAATAAAAAAAAGTCAGGTTATGGATAAAGATTGCTTCAAGTTGTGAGTAAAGATTGCTTCAAATTGTGAGTAAAGATTGCTTCAAATTGTTTGAATCAAGGGCGATTGGATTAGTTGAGCTGGTACTATTCCTTCTTGCACTCATTACTGAATCAATTTTATTTGCCATGAAATCCATTTTATAATTCAAAGGTTTACCAAAAGTAAAATCAATACCTGTTTGAGTGAAAAGTTGTAAATCATTAGTAGTAGTCCTTGTCGTTACAGCGATCAAAGCTATGTTATCCCTTGTGGAATCACCACGTATAAATTGCGCAATTTGAATTCCATTTACAATGGGCATTTCAATGTCGATAAATATGGAATCGTATGAGTTATGTATTACCAATTCTTCAACTTTACTTGAGTCCAACACTTGAGTGATTTGTGATTTTGGGTATAATTTGGCCAATACTCGATTTAGTAGCTTTAAATTTATAATGTTGTCATCTACTATTAAAAATTTTAATGGTTGAAGATTAGGCAATGATAACCGGAAATCAACAGGTGATGGTGGTGACGGTGACAAAGAGGAGGCGGAGGAGGAGGCGGAAGATGGGGGGAAAAAAGTGGAGGATCGTTGAGAACACGATGGCTTTGTTATAGGATGTGGATGTGGATGTGGAGATGGAGTTAGTGGTAGCGATGATGCATGAAGTGATTCTGGTACCAAACTTGTCTTTGGTGAGGATAAATCGTTACTGTTATCGGTTACATCTAATGGGGTTAATGGTGAGTAATAGCATGAATCTGTTCGATAATTTGGTTCCGTACTTATTGATACATGATCGAGTGCTGTCAACATTCCAGTTAAACTGCCATCCAACAGTCGCATTTCGTCATTATCTTCCAGCTCACTCTCTTCTAAGTCACTTGAATGCCTGGTATCTAGTGATAACTTTGGTTTAATTGTGAAATAGTCGGAATTATCTTTGGTGAGTACGGTTTGAGGAGATGTTGTCATTACTAGGGGCTTTGTATGTATAGTATAGTTCATATACAATATATATATATATATATATATATACAATAATAAAGATCTATATAAATACTTGAAAACTCCTAACCTACAGAATAAAGGAAAACTAAAATCAGTTTTATACTATCTCTCTTTTTCATCTTTCAGTAGTACATGTTGCCTTGGGTTCCATTTGTGCATCTAATTGTGATCCCTTTTTGAACCCGCCTTGATTGAATTCAAATTTAAAAAGATGCATTTGCTTACTGTAGAAACAATAAAAACTTAAAAAAAAAAAAAAAAAAAAAAAAAAAAAAAAAAAAAAAAAAAAAAAAAAAAAA